ATCGGGAGGCGGTCATCGTGAGGCTTCAGTTTTGACGAGAGGCTGACAGATCTATCAGAAACGACTGGGCACTTTTGTTGGCGGGAAGTACTCGGGCATCAATCTCTCTTCTCTAATATTTGCGGATCAACGCGATGACAACGAGACACTACAACTGGAGATGTGGTCAGCTCCCGATCATACCAAGCCGACCTTTGAAGAAGCCAAGAGCAAGCTCGAGAAGGGTGAAGGCAGAAAGGTTGAGCGAGGGGTACGGTTCGGCCCGAGCTGTAAGCAGGCTCCAAGGATTCTCTCTCTGATTATGACAGGGACGAATCACTGGCTCAAATTGACCATCAACATCCCATCGTCATGGAGATCAAAGGACGATGTTGAGCGTAAATTGCTCTCAATGCTCCTGCGTTCGGCGCTCACTACTCTCAGTCAATTTCGATCCCTCATGTGAAGCGATGATCTACGATGAATCAGGGCTCTCTCTCCAAGGTTAGAATACTCCTCTGAGAGACTCTGACCCATGAACAGGCATCACAGGTGCTTTCGACTACAACCGGAGAGTGGAATACATCATCCCTCAAAAAGAAGTTCGTGCGGGGAAATGCATTCGATACATCGAAGTCTCCGCGAATGGAGTCTTTGGAATGCTTCCTCAATCTTATACAAGAGTAAATTGCACTGCTGTGACACCGCTGACCTATTTCCAGAAAGACGTGTTCTACACTGTAAGCCTCTGACGAAGTCACTCCCTAATCCTGCGTCTAGTTGGAAACCATTGAGATCGTTGTTGTGAACTCGGAAGCCAGGTATGATGCGTCCCGGTTCGCGGCTAACCCTTCAGAGCCCTAATGTACGACTTTGACATGATTTCCCAACTTGCCGACAGTCTTCCTGAAAACTCGCCTATGAGTAACCGCGCTCGTGCTATTGGTAACGACATCATGAATGCTTTCGATGGGACCCTTGATGGCGTTGCCAAAGGTCGCAGGCTGGCGCAAGGAGCCTTTGGTTCAGGCTGGGAAAAGGAATATGAAGCCGACCCGGAACAATTTAAGCAGAAGGGCAATCTCTGGGCGATTGGATACTGCCATATCGACACAGCCTGGCTGTGGCCGTGGAGGGTGACTCAGCAGAAAGTGGCCAGATCCTGGTCATCTCAGGTTAGTCAACAATCCTGGATAGTGCTGAATGACACAGATCGACCTGATGGATCGATACCCCGAATTCCGCTTCATGGCGACCAGTGCTCAGCATTTCGCCTGGCTGGAGCAGCTATACCCCAAGCTGTTTAAAAAGGTTCAGGAAAAGGTCCGCACTGGCCAATTTGGTGGGCACACAGGATGAGGCGCTTCGACCGGACTAATTGTCTACAGAGGCCAACGGTGCTTGTTGGGTCGAGACAGATGCCAACATTCCCAGTGGAGAGTCACTGTGCCGACAATTCCTGTACGGTCAAAAGTATTTTGAAACCCGCTTCGGCAAGAGGTCTGATATTTTGATTCTCCCTGATACTTGTGGGCCTTTTCGGTTGAACTCTGCTAAAGTTTCACAGTTGGATTTGGACCTCAGCTACCCCAGATCGCTCGTTTGAGCGGCTGCTATAGTTACTTCTCTCACAAGCTCAACTGGAGTAAAATGTGAGGCCATGAGCACTTCTCATGCTAATAGATTCAGTAATCGATTCCCTTTCACATCCTTCAACTGGGTTGGTCTCGACGGGAGCCAGCTTCTCTCGCATATCACTCCCATTCAGCGATATGATTCCGTCTGCAACGTCGAAGAGATCTCCCGAGCCAACAACTACAACCAGAACCTTGACGTCACTTCGGACGCGGTCATCGCCTTCGGCCATGGAGATGGGGGCGGAGGCCCTCGACCGTTGTTGATGGAGAGGCTTCGACGTGCACATGCCGCTGCGATACATGGACATGAGTCTGAGGAGCTTCCTACAATCAAGCAGGGAGGCACTCTCTCAGACTTTTTCGCCCACCTCAGAAAGATCACCAACAACGGAACTAAGCTTCCAACCTGGTGAGCATAGTCAGCCTCCTTGAGGCATCTCTCACATCACTACAGGAACGGTGAACTCTACCTGGAGATGCACCGAGGAGTGAGTGGTCCTCTGTGACTTTATTGTTTACCTTATAGGTTCAAACATCCCAATCCAACACCAAGCGCAACTTCCGAAAGTCAGAAATCTTGCTGAGGCAAGTCGAGCTCTTCTCGACCCTCGCTTCCGTTTACACTGGCTACGCGTATCCTAAAGAGGTGGGTGATGCAACGGATGTCGGTCTGATGAGCAGCGAATCGATCGTGCCTATGAGACTCTTTGCTTGTGTATGTTCCATGATACCCTACCGGGGAGTTCGATCAGATTAGCCGTAGAGGACTACGACAAGGCTTTTGCCGAGCTTCTTTCCACTGGTAAGGAGCTGCTCAGCGGAGCTGTCAAAGCTCTATCCTCCCGGCTCCGAGACACTAGCGACTTCACGGTCCTGAACACCCTGCCCGGCGTTCCCAGGCGAGAACTCGTTGAAATTCAAGGAAACTACCAGCTTGCAGCAGCCTCGACCGGAAGTCTGACTGCTACTCTCTCTCCCTCACAATCTGTAAAGGGTGTCTCGGGTGAGTGAAGACACCGGCGAAGAGCTGACCCCCGGCAAGTGGAGCAGAAAGGCGGTCGTATCACGCTCGCAAACGATCATCTGGCCATCGCGTTCGAAAGCGGCCGCATCTTTAGTATTTACGACAAAGAAGAAGGGTGCGTCAACTGAAATACCGACGAGCTGAAATGTTTGCAGTCGCGAAATTTTGGCGCACGGCTGTACAGCTGGTTTCACTTTGTTCGAAGACCGAACTGATTCTGGAGAGTGAGTTTTAGTCCTTCGTGGTCCCTGACTGATACGTGCAGGGCCTGGGAATGGGAACAATACGAGCTCGACAAATTTGAGCCCCTGCAATTCACTGATGTCAAAATCTCTTCGCGAGGTCCTCAGCGAGGTGTCATAGAATGCTCGCTCAGTCTCGGCCACTCCAAGGCGTCGATAAAAATCTCACTCGATGCCATCAGAGCTTCGGAGCATGCCTCCTCGAAGAGTATCCTTCGGTTCGACTGTCACCTGGACTGGCATGAGAGACTACGCCTTCTCAAGTTTGAGCTTCCTTTGGCGCTCTTCTCGGACTTTGCGACATATGACTGTGCATTTGGTGTGCAGAGGCGCCCGACAAGCCGTAACACATCGTGGGAGGCCGCAAAGTGGGAGGTTCCAGCCCATAAATTCGCCGACTACAGTGAATACGGCTACGGAGTCGCTCTCCTGAACGACTGCAAATACGGCTACGCAGCACAAGGAAATCTTTTGACGCTCAGTCTGTTCAAGGCTCCTATCAGTCCCGACGAGGAAGCCGACCAGGGCCCTCACGACGTACGATTCGCCATTCTCCCACACAAGGGAACTTATGCCGAAAGTGATGTTCAGAACATCGCCCATGCCTTCAACAGTCCGTTGATGAGTGAGTTCCGCAGAGACATGATCTTCTCTGACGTCGCAGTGTATCCCGGCCTCTTGTCTTCGGGACACGAAACGTTGCCATTTAGGGTCGAAGGCGCTCCAAATGTGTTGCTCGAGACTATCAAGCGAGGAGAGGCGGACTTCGATCCTATCACTGGCGCTGAACTGACTCAAGGATCAAAGACGATCATCTTGAGACTTCACGAGCACATGGGTGGTCGTGCTCGCGCAAGACTAGTCATGTGAGCTTTGTGAGCAACGGTCAATTCTGGCTGACTCGCAACAACAGACATCCTCTCCAAATCTCCAAAGCCGAGCTTGTCAACGTGCTCGAAGATTCGATCGAGGAAGTGGATCTCACACTCGAGGTTGAGAGAGATATCATTGATTTGGAATTCAGAGGTTTCGAAATCAAAACTGTCAAGATCACCTTGTAAGGTCACATTGACCGGCGCGCGCCCGCCGTCTGCTTTTCATGTCGGAACAGAATGCATTGTGATAGCCATTACGCTCTGTACTTCCAGATACCAAGCTTTTCATCGCCCGCAGGTCCTACATGTCTTCCCATGCCACTTCCTTTATCAATATCAGTCAAGTAAACTAGCTCCCAGCGGTCATCAAGGAGCTCATGATACAGATCCAAGGACAAAGCGAACGGCGGACCCTCAGTGGGACCTCTGTTGCTATTGAGAGGGAACATGATGGTGATAAGGGTGGCTTCTGTTGCTGGAGATGCAGCGGCGCTCATTGCAGTCTTCCATTTTGGTCTGTCGTGTGGATCCAGGGCACAGAGGAATCTGAAGGTGTATGGTCAGAGTATATCTAGGCGTTTTGCACACGTGTAGTCCAGCAGTACGTTGGCTTTAGGTGAAGATGAGTCCTCTGCCCATTTGAAGAAATCTGCGTCGACTATATCGTACTGACCAAGACCATCGGCTTGCTCGCGTAGCCACCTTAATGAGGGTCAATGTCTCGCAGATCTCCAACACCCACTTGCGAGCAGCCTCGGCACCGGTAGGGGAAATTTCCACGCCGATAGCCCGGAGGCCATGCGTTGCTAGCAAGTGAACATCGTACCCCTGCAAAGACGATCAACTGAGCCATACGTGAACGCTAATGTTGTGGCATACCCTGCCGCAAGCTGGAATAACGGCTACACCTTGAGTCGGCACGAGCTTCCTGCCCTCATCACTCTTCAGCAGCGCTACCAGGGAAGGATGCGCGAGGCCCTGATCCCAGTGAGTACGTCCATTCGCCCTGAGACATTCTTCAGTACTGCCTGGTGTTGCATGATCGACCCACCATTTCTCTTCCCAAGACATGTCGACGTTGGAGAATTGTCAGTGTGTGATGAGATCGATAGTCGGATCGTCGGCTTACGGGAGGCTCGGGACCGGAACCAAATAGTCAATACATGCTAGTGACTGAACAGTGAACCGACTACAGACTCTACTTTGGTCAAGACCTCTGCCCATTCAGAGTCTGCGTTGGACATCCAGGTGATAGCTCCTCCGGCACCAAGGGACAGTGCTGTAATGAGTCAGTCCCCATGCTATTTGACTACGTACCATTGCCTTGGATGACCATCGTCCGAATCACGACGCTCAAATCAACTGCGCCGTCGGCAGAGATGTATCCTAAAGCGCCAGAATAGATACCTCGCTGACGGTTACCTTCATACTGCTCCAGCAGCTGAACGGACCGCAGCTTTGGTGCACCTGTCATACTGCCTGAGTTCGGTCAGCCTTGAACTTACCCCGACTCACCAGGTGGAAAGCATCGCTTGACAGCCACCACACTGGACACCGCATCCCCCAAACAGCCCCGCACTGTCGTGACGAGATTATGAACCCCATACGACTCAAGAGCGATTAATTTTGGGACGGTGACTGTAGAGGGAATGCAGCATGATAGCAAGTCTGAGCGGATCAAGTCGACAATCTGAGCCGAATAAGTTAAGGGCTGACAACAAATTGCTAACCATCAAATTCTCAGCTCGCTCTTTCGGATCGTCTTGAAGCGCTTGACCAATCTGCTCATCGATACGTGCCCGCTCAGTCTCACAAACTTTGGCTCCGGGCGACTGTCTTCGGCAACCAGATGTAAGCGAGCATGCACAGACTCCCTTCTTCAGTCGCTTTCTGGTGCCTTTGATAGGCATCATTTCGATAGTTCGACCAGACTCGCCCACTTGAATTTTGAGGAAACGTTCTGGGCTGGAACTCAAGATATAGATCCCTCGTCCGCTAGGTGTAACAACGGACGGAAAAGAAATGTAAGTCGAGTAGTATGCCGGATTGGATTTTCGCAATTGCAGATATAGATGGAACGGGTCCAGTCCAGGAGGCAACTTTGCGTTGAATGATGTGGTGAGCGTGAGTTCATAGCTGTCTCCTTGTCGAATACTTTCTCTGCAATCCTCAATACTGGATCGATATGCCGGGCCATCTGTGTCTGGCTGAATATGAAATGGCTCGAAGTCTCTGCTTTCCAGCTTGTGCATCGAGTCATTGAGAGCAGCAGATATTGTCGAGTACAGAGTGTCGAACTGACTCTCGAGAAGACCGACGGAGACTCCAGCTTGATGCAGAAGCTTGCCCACCCCGGCGTCTATGGGTAGTGACTCTGCGTCCGCGGCCCTAATGACTGCGCGCAAGGTCCATCGACCGGTGGAAGATCGCTCCAATAGCCAATCGGACCAACTCCAGCAGGCGTCCAAACCATCAAGGCTGGACTTGCCATTGTCTCCCCGATGGTCCGCTTTGTACCCTTGCAAGCTTTCCTGCTTCATTTCGTAAGAGAACCAACCAACCCATCCACCCTTCCAACCGCCGATCTCAGACCTGGGGGTGGCGAGAGACTGTTGAGCTTGGTCAAACCAGTCCCAGAAGGTTGTGGCGGTTCCGAGTCCGCTCCGCAGGACCTTGCCTGGTGTCCGTAAAGTGACTGTCTGAGATGCGAGTGCATAGGTGAGGAGGAAATTTGGACATGCCAGAGAGGTCGTCGTCGCTCGGGTGGGCTTGAAACTCAGCCAAGCAGATGATATCGAGACTCACAGATTCTCCGTCAAGCCATATTTCGCCCATAGCGCCGCTTTTTAACGAGGCCCGACAACGAATCACAGAATCGAAGATATCCGCCGTTGATCGATGCCGGCCCGACTCCTCAAATGACCTTTCAACTAAGCTGAAGGCACGGCGAGCGGAAGAGGTCTGGTGAGAGGCTGCACGGCTGGTACTAGCATGCGTAGAGGATGCACGAGGTTCAACTGGAAGGCTGGGCAGTTTCCTAGGGATCTCGGAGTTTTGTGTCGATACAGCGGACTTTGCCTGACGGGTCGCAATGCGGTACGCGCATGAGTCAAGGATTTCGGTCTCCAACCTGGGATAAGAGGCTGGGTGATTGTATATTCGGTGGACTGCCTCGATGTATCGGAAAAGTAAAGACGATCCGCATGTTGACGATATAGACTAAAGGGGCGTATGAGTATGCTATCCGAGAAGTCGACTTGCCTCGGGATGGTACTGAACACCCCAAATGGGCAGATCACGGTGCTTCAATCCCATGACAGTGCTTAGGTTGGAGCCCGGGTCTGTCCAAGCGGTGACAGTGAGATTCGCTGGCAAAGCTAAACAAGCGTCAGTGAGAGGCTGTACAGCAGACATACAGTCTGCATCGACGACCAAGCTGTTGTACACGACCGCGGCGAACGAGGCTTGAACATCGTGCCCTGGCATCGGTGCAAACAGATCGGACGACGGATCTGTTGGAAAGACTTCGACTACATGTCCGTGCCGGATCAGTGGTACATTGATGATCTACAACGCGACATGTCAGATGGATATCTAATACGAGGGATCTGACTAACCTTCGCACCGAAAGCGACGCCTATCGCTTGGTGACCTAAGCAGATGCCGAGGATGGGAAGAGGATGTTGGCGGATCAGATCAAGTGCGAACCCGATATCCTGTGAGTTATGAGCTGAGCATTGCAGAAGTGTCCTGAAGACCCACCGAAGGCTTGTCGGGACGCCCAGGTCCAGGTGATAGGATGATGCAGTCTATATTCGGTAGTATTAAGCGTTGAAAAGTTTCCCTGTACGTCCTTAGCAGCGTGACAGGCTGGTTACACAGCTTACCAGTCATAGTGGTCATATTTGACGACCACGACCTTCCTCAAGACCTCCTCATCGCTGTACAACTGAGTGAACAAGGTCAAGAGGTTATTGGTATCTGATGGGCAACAGGGTCAGGTCCCTGTGATTGGAATGCGTTTCTGGACTTACAAGAATCGTAGTAATCCAAGATCAAGCACCTAGGAAGTGGAGGCAGGCTCTCCATGCCCTGTTCGCCCATCCTACTCGGCCTCTCCACTTCACGCCATGCCCCCTCAACGGTGATAGTCGTCTGGCGATCGCTGAAATCCCAAAATTCCGCTTGATAGAAAAATTGTTCGGATAAAGTCGGCGTTCCTGGGCGTCACGGCGAGCTTTGTTCTAATAAATCATCTACCGAGAGTCGACGGAGAAACGGTGCCAGCTGGGATACTTGGACCATCTGATGCACGCAGGATACGCCTAAACAGCCAGGCATAACCGCGGCTCGCGAGCTGTTGGGCTGCTGAAGGAAGCCGAGGCTGGACGAAAGCGAATGAGCGACATCCCTTCATTGTCCGGCAATATGTCTGTCGGTGCCAGCAAGATAGCGCTTCGTCGGGTGATGCTTAGGAAGCTAAGGGATGTATCTCAAGATGATCTGAGTGCACAGTGTAGGTAATCATCATCTGTGATAATTGTGAACCCATTCTTTCCAGCTATAGCGGTGACATCAAGACTGCTGAGCTCGCCATTCTTCAAAGATGCACAGTCGATTGGCTGCTATCTCAGCATGGCTCAGGGAGAGCTGAGGACTGATCTGATCGTCAGACACATTCTGGAGAGCGGTAAGTCGGATCTTTAGGAGAGCGAACTGAGCCCGCTCTGCAGGGAAAAAGCTTTACACCCCTTATCTTCCTAACGTTGCGAAGGCAATCGGGAAGCCAACGCCCGGCTCTAGCGCCGTAAACTCAGAAGAAGATCATCCAGCACCTATCTTGGCATCAATGCAGATGCTTCGCCTATACTCAGAGGAAGATCTTTCACTGTGCCCGCTCGACAAGTGGGGTATACCGGATCCAGGGGAGCTCCGTAGAGATTGTCAGATGAAGACAGCTAGAGAGGATTGTGAGAAGACAGTCCGCACAGCTGAACAATCTGACCAAGTCTCAAGCTATGGATGCGGCTGCCTCACCCATAGACCTCATTCTCGTCCCAGGCGTGGCGTTTGACTCACTGGCGAATCGGGTGAGCTCCAGCCGTCGGAAGGGATTCACTCAAGCCAAATCCCAGCTGGGTCGCGGCAAGGCATTCTATGATCGCTTCCTGAGGATATATGTCTCTGAAAAAGGGCGGCCCCATATAGGTAATTCAAGTCAATCACTACAAGGCTAATACAACTTGCAGTCGCGCTCTCGCTCGCATGTCAGGTTCTGCCGGAGGATCAGAAAGTACCGGTTACAGATGCTGATTTCAGGCTCGATGCAGTAGTGTGGCCCGAGGGAATGATCTCAAGGTCAAGAGAACTAGGCTGAGTGGCTGCAAGGAAGTTCCCCAGCCTCAATCCTCTATATGCATCTCACCGTCAATCGTCGGCTCTGGCCGGCCCGGCCCGGAATAGAAGTGCAGTATCGGTCCGAAGGTAACAGCAATCGACTGTCCACTTTCGTCTGCCAAGATGAGCAGGACTCCCGGCTTGTCAGTCTACACGATGAGAAGGCTCTTAAATGAGCATCGCCTCTGCGGAATTGCCAGGAGACAGCAAATGCGGAGATTGTTGTCCACGTCAAGAGTGCCCACCGGTGCTCCAATGATTTCGGTGGTAGCGGGACTGGCAGTCTTGGGCAGTGTAGTAGGTAGAGATACCTCCTATATCTCACGACTTCGTAGCTAGCTTTCAGCACAACACAAGCTGGAGCTGAAGCTGGCTCGGCACCTGCTGAATTACAGGGCCGGTCGACCTACAAAGCTTCCAAACTCGATGCTGCTTACCTCAGAATGGAGGAAGTATCAAGACATAATCTGGCGCACGATTGCTGGATAGTCGTAGACGGCAAAGTTTACGAGTATGTGGCTCCCAATGAAGCTAGCATTGATTGCTCCAGTGTGACACACTTTCACAAGAATCATCCCGGGGGATCTGCGATAATTGTAGCTAATGCTGGGAAGGATGTCAGGTAAGTTGAAGGTTTCTGTGAGACCGACTGCTGAGGTCCGGTAGCGAGCTGTTCCGTCCAATACACCCTCCTAAGACGCTGGAGACCAATTTGGTTGAGGACCAATTCATGGGGTTCATCGATCCTAAGGAGGCTGCTAAGGTCAGCCGGCACTCTGTAGAATAATGCCTCTACTGATCCATCGACAGTCGCGAGAGAATCTGGCTAAGGAGGTCGATCGGATACAAACTGCTAGGGACGCCCTGATGCCGGTGGAAAGGGTTCTGTCGTTGGACGAAATGCAGGTACGACCAGATCATTGCTGACAATGCTGAAGCGCGTACAGGCAGCAGCAGAATCGATTCTCAGCGATCGATCTCGAGACTACTACGCTGCGGGAGCGCTGGACAGCTATACGCGAGAAGCAAACCGAACCGCCTTTCACAAGTGTCGTCTCCTACCTCGCGTGATGCGAGACGTATCAAGTGTATCTCCACAAACAACTATCTTTGGGCAACCCTCCGCGCTGCCCATTTACATCTCACCCGCTTCGAACGCTCTGCTTGGACATCCGGAAGGAGAACTGAATCTGACCCGAGGAGTGAGCCATAATTCTGCGAGCGAGCAATCCACAGCGTCACTCTCTGATGAGCAGTCGTGAACAGGCGGCTCGGACTGGCCTCGTCCAAGGGATATCAGCCGCGTCTTCCTTCTCGCTCACCGATATCTTGGACGAACGCGATAGGCTGAAAGAAGACGAGTCACCGTATGATTTGGCACTGGCATATCAAGTGTACGTGCAAACTGAAAGGTCACGGACAGAGGTCTTGGTGAAAGAGGCAGTTGAGCGAGGAGTTCAGTGAGGTCCTCCTTACAGCTCAAGCCACTGACAAGTCAGAGCGCTGCTTCTTACAGCCGACACAAATGTTCTTGGCTGCCGCGAGACGACAGATCGGATCAAAGGCGTGACTGGGAACGTGTCGCCCGGTGCAAGAATGGGACCTTTCACAGAATACCCAGCTTATCACGATGCGAAGCAATGCTGGGCCGACTTGCCATGGCTGAAAAGGCTCGCCGGCGATATCCCAATATACCTTAAAGGAGTTTGCACTATTGAGGTGGGCACTCTAATTGGCTAAAGCACTGAAGCAATGTAGGATGTTCGTCTAGCCAGAGACCATGGACTCGCAGGATGTATCCTCTCGAATCACGGGGGACGGCAACTTGATCAAGCCAGGACTGCATTCGACAGTCTTAGAGCAATACATGATGAGGATCCTGAGCTGCTCAAACAAATAGACATCTACATCGATGGCGGGATAAGACGTGGGACCGACGTCTTGCTGGCTTTGGCATATGGTGCCAAAGGCGTTGGACTTGGAAGACCATTCCTGTGGGCCCAGACTGCATACGGTGAGCAAGGTGTGATCCGGGCAGTAAGAAGTAAGTCTGGCCTCTGCGAGAGATTTACAGTCTCATCGTCCTCAGTCATGGAGAGCGAAATTGTTATGGCTATGAGACTATTGGGCATTACCAGGATTGATCAGATCAATGCCAGCATGGCTGAGTGTATTCAGGAGGTCTGGCGATAACACACGGGGACAGTATCATCCCATCGTCCGCTCTGGATCCCTGAGTCAACTTCTGGGACAAAGTCATCGGATTCAACGGCCACGGTCACCTTGTCCGTAGGTTATACCCGGGTACCGATTTGTATAGCTGGCTGCTGAAGCCTTCGTACGCCTGCGAATCTGGCTACTGCGGGTCCTCCAGTCGATGCCAGCCTAGCGTGTCGCACGAGATTAAATTCATGCATCATGCATCGCATGCGGCCTCACAAGTCATTACTTCACGCGCTGCCATCTCCCAGATGCCTGACCTTGATCTTTCTTCCGTTCAATCCCTTGGCGGTGATGACCTGAGGATCACCAGGGAACAAGTCGATGGTCTGGTCGCTCCAATGGCACTCATCACCGCTCTCAACGTCAAAGACCAGAGACTTCATAGGCTTCGAGCAGCTCAAAGTCACCTCATCTCCCTTGATCTGTATTTTGAGGGATGGATCGGGGAACGTGAGATACTTGAATGGTTCGGGCCAGCTGGAATATCGGGCAAGAACAGCACCTTTGTCATCGATGAGTCGAGCTTGGACGACGATGGCTTTGGGGGCCGAGCCTTCGTTCCTGCGGACAACTTGGCCGGGTACATCACCCTTCCATATTTCGATCGACGAGTTGGGGGCGAGGTCCACTTTAATGTCGCGAGAATCGACCTCACCACCTTGCAGATCAAACGAGACGAGTCTCAAAGTGGCCCGCTTCGGCTTTAATGACGAATTGCAGCCCCATAATTGTATCTGTTGACCGTCAGCAAAGCCTGTTAACGAGACCTCACCTCCTCGTGGATCTTGCCCGAGGCAAATGGATCCTTGCCTCCAGGGTTGTCGTGTACCATCTTCCTGGCAATCTTTCATAGCTCAGCACGGCTTGCGACGAGAACACAGGTCACACTCACTCCGACTGTGTAAGTAGCTAACTCGCGAGCAACAGCGAAGAAGCATGGCCTAGGCATCAGCACCATTCCAATGACATTTACTCACTTTGGTCGGAGATTATAATCACAGATGGCCCAGCTGACACATGGCCAGCAGTCGTTGAGCTGCCAGACCAATGCGCCAGCCACGTATTCTCGGCCATGCCCCCGCCATTCCCGTCGCCAGAGTCTGACAGTACATGTGAGACCCGGACCCGAAGCGCTGGTGCTTCACTCACCTGTAAGCGGCGGAAATACACTCCGCCTGCATGACCTGGGTGTAGTAGACGTAAGACTCCATGTCGAACGCGTGCCTGTAATTTTCCATCAAATACAATTCCAATCGCCTTTCGAAGCCGGTCTACGAAATAGATAGATCAGCGCCAACTTTGCGCCTGACGTGACCTACAGCCTTGTTGTGCTGAACGGCTATTCGGGATTGAGGGAACAGTTGAGATTTGTCATCGGTCCACTCTTGCACGGTACGAATGTCAGGGTATCCTTGCATTCCAAATTCGCTTTGTGATATATGAGCGGGCGCATGGTCACAGGCCGAGGTCTGGGCTCACGAGACAAAGCGTCCACTCAGGATATCCCACTCGGTCCATGGATTCTGAGTTCCATGCCAAACGTTCCACTGGTGGATATCACCGACAGTCGGGTCGGTGGTGTTTTTGCCTCCATATGGACTCGATCGGTGATAGTGAATGTTCGAGAGTCTTTCGACGACCTCGGGGAGCAGAATCTCGTAGATATGCCTCCTAAATGCTGGTCAGATGATTCGAAAATGAAAAGGCTCTACTCACGCAGGGAACTTGCTGTGCATGTAGTCACCCGAATTGTCGTTGTAGTCCATGACACCCTCGCTCTCGGCGACCTGATAGTCCTCATTATTGCCTGCGAAGATCACAACCGATGGGTGGTCACGGAGTCTAGTAACGACCGATTCGGCCTCGCGCTTGATGCTCGCATTGATCTTGGGGTACGATGGGTACTGTTTGCCTGTCAGTACAAAGGAATACGAAGAAACCTACCAGAGCACAGCCGAACATGAAGTCTTGCCATACCAGCACTCCCAGCTCATCACAGGCACTTTTCAATCGTCAAGCGGGGATACAAGAAATCACTGCTGCACTCACGAGTACAGGGCCTGGCTTTCATAGATACCACCTCCCCACACTCGAAGCATGTTCTGGTTACCTTTCACCTACAAGAGATCAGACCAAGCGTCAAGGATCAACTCATACGTACCATGAGCTCAATCCAGGCACGGTAGCGTTCAGGAGAGATCTGAGTGAGGAAATTGTCCGCTGGAATCCAATTTGAACCACCACAAAAGATCCTGATGCCATTGACTTCGAAGAGGAAACTGGTTCCCTCTTGACCTTCAAGCGGATCCTGGACGACAACGGCGTGTCTGAAGGCGACTCGGGATGTCTTGCTGGCAACGGCGTTGCCGGTCTGGCAAAGGGATCAGCCGAGGATCTGGAATTGACCATGACACTTACCCTATCGATCAGAGCCGTCTCTAGCTCGTAAAGTGTCTGCGCTCCATAGTTACGAGGGTACCAACCCTCAATCTCTCCCTTTCCGAACTTCCAATCCACCTTCTCGTCAACACCAAGAGTCGCTTGCTCAACGACCTTGTGTCCATCTCGCTCCTTGAGCGTATAAACTAGCTTATGGCCGTTGAGGGGGGCAGAATCGTCTGCGAGTTTAGTCGTGGCCTTCAACGTAGCAGTCTTGAAGTCGGGACCTTCCAGATCACTGCTGATATGCACATCTGCGATTCGATACGAGTAGCTTTCCAGTGAAACAGGAACTACCAGATTAATCAGGATCCGGGGCTACAGGACTCACGCCATGGTCCCACGCAGATGATCGTTGGACCCTGGTCACATCAGAACTGTGATGCTGCAGCTTGTCAATTGACTCACCCAGTCCCAGCCTAGGGATTGAATATCAGTTCAGGTTCCGAAATCAGTCGACTCTACTCACCCCAATGATACTGCGCCTTTCTGGAATAGATACGCTCAGAAAATCCGTTCGCTATCAGAGATAGAGATGAGCTTCAGATCATTCAAAATCAGCGATCGAGCTCACAAAAAGTCATTGGTCCACCATTGTCATGCTCTTCTCTCAAGGCCGCTCTTTTCGGTGACTCAAAGTCGAGCACGAGCTCATTATTACCGGCTTTCAACAGATCTTTGACTGCAAACCGGTGGCCGATGAACATGTTGTCGGTGGATCCGACTTTTCTGCCGTTCTATTACACCTCAGCAGGGAAAATGGGCGGGAACCGCCATTGGCGAACCCACCACTGTGATGTCACAGTAGGTATCGAGACCCTCAAAGACTAGATCGACACATTGCTCTGAGAGCTGAGAGTCGGTGACCTTGAAGGTGGTCTTGAACTGCCAGTCGGCGAGTGGAATCCCTGGAATTCGAATTGAGTCCCAATCACTCTCCTGTCAGAATCAGACTCACATTGTACGTCCCATTCGTTGAGATCCTTGTATGGATGCTTGATCTTCTTAGCCTTGATCAATTCGGTATGAACATCGGTCGGTACTGAACACTTGATCCACTCCTCTTTTTCGTTTGTGCCGTGTTCGGGAACTTTTGTGAAGGACCAGCCGTCCTTGATCTGAGTGGTGTTCACCATAACTGCAATATTATCGATGATAGAGCAATCCAACAAAGAGGTATGTCTGTACAATAACAACCAGTGGGGGGGGTGGTCAATTCGGTAGTTCACCGGCTGATTTCATTAAATGAGCGGCGATTTCTCCATGCGGAAGATTCCACGTGGTCACACGCCGTTGTTATCCGTGGCTAACCGTTGCGCATAGGGTGCGGGTCTAGCAATGCAATGAGTGTTCCCCTTTTCAGCCGCGTCCTACCGTGTAGCGGTCCGTCAAGGAGTGAGAGAGATGTTGTGGACGTCGTGACCACCGCTTTCGCTAGGCTGGGATCACGGGGGAATCATAATCCTAGAAGCCCCCTTTTCTCTTGGACAACCCCATTATGATCGTTTCGTCATAAAATGCAGGGCAGATATGAACTTCCGTCCGACCCAGTCAGACTCGGCTTCGCACCCCTAGCGGAGATGACATCTTGAAGGTGAAAAAAGCGAAAAGGATCGCGCCACAGACCAAATCCGAAGCGACGGGAACAGCTTGCCCGACGGACTCTTTAGATTCAAACCTGGCACGCCTGTATTATCTAGCCATACCACTGAGAAAGGAAACGTGCGCGAGCCCTTTGTGGATCTCGCCTCCACAGCATCCTCGTATGGCAGAAGTCCAACCAGAGACACGGCGCACGTTTCAACTTTCGAGCGGCAATCGGCGTTTCGTTCCGAGCACTAGCGTCTTTGCCTTGGATCCCCACTTCTCCTTGAGCATTCCAGAGTGACTCTGATGTCGACCGCATGCAATGTAAAGTTCACACGATCCTGAGCAGCTTGTGACATATACATAAATGGTACGACTCTGGGATCTTGGGATCTTGTCGCCTATCTGACCGCTGAAAGTTCCTTCCAGTACACTCACTTCGTTATGATGGCTCACTCTCTGTCAACATTACTGTTGAGTACTCTGGGGATCTCCCTCGTCTCTCAGGTAACCTCGCACCCACTCACGCCACGAGGGGGTGGCTTAATGGGCGTGATACCGGACAAGAAGAAGTTGACCTTTGACGACAATGGCAAGTTCAAGGTCTGTCCAGCTGAAGTTTGTCCGGGCATAGCTGACGGCCGATTCAGGTCTGTGTGTTTTCAGATATGCACTTTGGCGAGCGTTGGGGTAGGTCGGAAGGCGCGGTGCAAGAAGTCTATTCTCATCTTCAAAACAGGCAACGGCTCGTTCGCAGCTTGGGGGCCGGAGAATGACAATCTCACAAATTATGTCCACGCCACCATCCTTGACCAAGAGCAGCCGGATTATGTGTAAGCTAACAAGGACTTGTCTCAAAGCCGGAGCTGAGGACTCTGTAGCGTGTTCAATGGTGATATCATGACTGGTGAAAACGTCTTTGCGGATAATGCTACCGGCTACATGGATCAGTGCTTCCGTCCCACTGTTGAGCGTAATCTGCCATTCTCAAGCACCCATGGAAACGTGAGTGCTATGCCCAGCTAGAGAACTCCTGAGGTGTACTGACGGTACATGTCAGCACGACAATGCGGTGAGCAACCGAAAGTATGGCTGGTCCGCGCCTGACATTCATCAGGACCACATCACTCACGACGAGGAAATCAAGTATGAGATGGCACACTACAGCAACCTTTCATATACGCGATCAGATGTTGGTCCCGCACCGTACGGGAACGGAAATTACTGTGAGATATTCCTAGAGGCATGACGCAGGACATCGCTAAACTTCTGCAAGGGGTTCCGGTTTATGCCAACGCGGATGACTGGGCTCCCAAATTGATTATGTGGTTCTTCGACTCGCGATCCTTCGTCTCTGGTAGTGGTGATGGTCCAGGTGAGGCTTTCATTCCGCTTTTCGTTCGACTTCTTGACCATACTGGTAGGACCCATCCCCGAGGCGGCAGACTTCTACTGGGTCGACCCTGACTCCGTACCATCGTACATCCAGCAACAGTCTCTGCTCATGAAACTCACGGTAGGATGCGGGCTTTCGGTGCACTCAGCGCTGACAAGGTGATCAGTGGGGATCGGTTCCTCCTTCTTTGGTCTTCGTTCATATCCCAGTGAGGAAAAGCGGATGATTTCCCGGCGTGACTGACATTATACAGTTCGAGTTCTCTGAAACTATTTCGACCCTGTGAGCATTCATACGTGGCCAGAGAATGAATTGCTGAAACGCACTTAAAGGCAAACGCCAGGCGATCACGATGATGAGCCGAATCCTGCCGTACAAGGATACGCGGCTCATCAGGTGTACACCGGTCTAGATCTTCCCAGTCAGTCACACTGCGAGGGCTAGATGTAACGCTGACGCTGTGCCGAAAGCCTTCGACGCCATCAACGATTGCCTGAATGAGGGTCAAAATAAAGTCATGGCCATTACTTCGGGACATGATCATGGGGAATCTTGGTGTGCTCGCACTCGAACCTCATCTGGCATCACCTTGTGCTTTGACGGTCACTCGGGATAGTGAGTGGTGTGTTGTGTTTGGACCGGATAGAGTATACTGAACAACACCTCCAGCGGCGGATATGTCACTCCACATTCTGAAGTCCGGAATGCCAGAATTTTTGACCTCGATCTGAACAATCTCAACTGGAATCCGACCGTTGAGACCTGGTTGTCTTGTGAGTGGGGTTCGATTTTGAAGCGAGTACTACTCTGACTGCCACAGACGAGAACAAGACTATCAACACCCAGGAGACTCTCGGCCCGAATTTCATGGCTACCTACAATCAATCTCCTGACTGGTCAGCCAACATCCTGCACAGTACTACCAACGAGTAGTCACGGGAACGTTGCCAAGAGGCTCTGTGGAAGAGCCACTTTTATTAGATGAGAACAACTCTGTTTCGCGAGCATCCCGGTGGCAAGCATGTAATGAGCTCGTGATGCACAGGTATTTGCACCAAGAAAGTCATTTCCGGCATGCTCGGTACCTCGGCCACAATGCTATGCTCTCTCTGTGAACCTGCATGATGATACAGTAAAAAGCTGTTAGAACCTGTCAGCATGTGCTGCGATTGACCGAATATCGGCCGGGACCTGAAAAACTTAAATTTTGACTTTGTCGTTGCAAGATAAAGAGAGACGCAGAGAGGACATTGGATAGTGTTCACCAAGTTGCCGGGCACAATGTCAGTCCTGCGATTCTTATCACCACACAGATCTCGCCCGTCGTCTCCTTCGCCTTCCGGATCTCGGGCTGCATCGCGATCCAGCCGATCGAGAGGGCCACTACAGCCGCGGCTGGAGATCAATCTTCCTAGCTATGGGTCACTCTTCATGCCTCAGGCCGACAGGCTTGAAGACAACGAGCAACGGACGAACAGATCCGAATCCAGCGGTCAATATTGGAGGGAGATTGAGAACCGCGGAGAGCTCGTGGTGGAAATCCCAGTAGGTATGGGAAGACGAAGAGTCAAATCGATCCGTGTAGGGCTGCAGACGGTTCTGGAACTCAACATGGGACCGGAAAGAGGCATTGAGAGGGATGTCATATTTGAGCGAAGGGTTGAGATAGGTCCCGGAGGCCGATCTACCGGACGAGGCGTATTGAACAAAGTCGGGCGTCAGCCCCTTGAGAGCGATAGTGAGGGGCTCATTTTGGAAGAAGGCATCCAACGGTAAATTGATCAGTCTCGAGATGAAGATAAGCGCTGAAATGTCGAACAGCTTTGTCTTCACTCTCCTCATCCCTCAAGACCTTCCTGGTCACGACAGGCATGTCAACGCGAAGATTGATCATCGTATCTTTGCCGAGCTAGAAGGCATCTCGGCCAAGCAGAAATCGCAATCCTCAAGTTCTCGCTCGAGATCAAGACTTCCATCTAGATCTGGCCGCAGGTCCTCTGGAGCGATCACTCCAATTTCGCCGCCCTACTCCTCGCTTTCTCCCAACTCTGACGAATCACCTCCAATCACTAGCTACTTTGATACCCCAGGTACAGCTACTCCGCTCGAATATCAAGGTCAAGCCGTTGATCCCGGCTCCTTGAATGCTGCCCTTGCATCCATGTCAATGAGACCCTCACATTCAGAAGACATGCTATCCCCGTTACCTGGCTACGAGGATGCTACAAGGGTCAACAAGGATGTCGAATGGCTCGTGGGAACCATCACTCAGAAGAGATATTCCGAGGTCTTGCACAACATTGATCCCTCTGGTGGAATCACAGACTTGAGTCTCAATCTGAATGGGGCGGTGGATGGTCTGGGCCCTTACCAGTTCCAGCTGATGTCCGATGCTGTGAGGTCGCACTTTCATTCGCAGTCGATGTATGCTGACAGACGTAGTGGACCATCGGCACGCTCCTCCTCAGCACGTTCACCCTCCATGATCCCAGTCCGTTGGCCACAATCTATTCTATCCGAGTCTCTTTGTCCCAGACACACGAGATAAAGTCGCCCAGAGATGATCCAGCAACACCGCCGTTGCCATTTACTAAGGTCGGTCGGTTGGTTTCTCGGGCCAACTCTTCGTATTGACCTTTTTCCCAGTCCTGGACTATATTTACCTTAGGGACCAGACCGCCTGCTAAGGACATGAACCCTGCCATCGACCATCCCGCCCTCTGGAGAGGCACCAAGGCAGGCGGCAAAGACGCCGGAGAACTCATCATGGAGGGCAAAGGGAGAAACCCTGATGATAACCAGGCTCGGCCTACTACTCCGGAAAGGTGAGCAGAATCGCGGTTCAAATGCTATCTCTCTGATATATCTAATGACCACTCAGAATTCCCTCCCCTATCACGGTCCGCCACAAGATCATCATCGAGGTCCAATTCTCTATCTGGGGCGAAGACCATCTGGGTAATCAATTGGACCACGATGGGCCTGGAAGGACAAGGGCTCTGATCATCACAAAGCCGACTGAGATTGCATCAGTGAATTTTGTTGTAATTAAAATTAGCTGACTTGCTCCAGTGTGCCTTCACTCCTGAGGAGCTACGACTGCCGACCTACGGAGGAACACGACATCAAGATGCATTCACTCATCTCGCTAGAAGATGCCCATTATGTGGTCTTGATCCCCCAGATAAGGTCTGCAAGACCTGTCCTCCAGGTGTGATCCCTCACGCTAGGCACGACCATCCTCCAAAGCTTGTTGGGAACGACGAAGGCATATGTCCGTTGTGCGCGAAAGAGGTTTTGCCAGGCAGAGGGCCCTCGTTCGACGATTGCGCATGTGGTATGAGCACTGAATACCTAGAAGAGCGGATGAAGGGCAAAGGAAAGGTTGAACCGAGAGTTGCCGATGGCTTTGGGGCTCAGCTTCGCGTCAAGGAGCAGGAGGTAGAGAGAGGTCGGAGGCGGTGATTGCTGGCGCCGTATATCAGTCAGTCATACTCATTCAAGAGGTATGCAATCATCTCTCCTGATCGCGATACGCAGCGGACGCGCAAGAGAGCGACTTTGTTCAGCTAGTGTGGCCTGCCGACAAATTCGCCTTCGCGCATACGAAGATAGCACCAACCGGACCTACCGGGAAGACAGAGCGGTGAACTCAAGATATGCAGGACAACGATTCGTTCGCAGGGCTCTCTCGGTCACTCGGTCATATCCGACATCGTCCAGTGAAATCCGAATTCGGCCTCACCCCGCTACCCGAACTCGGCTCCATCTTGGCGTGAAATCCCAGCAGTAGGCTTTGGTCAATTGCACTAACGGTCTTTTGACCGGTATCGAACAAGAGCCTCATACTCTATAAGATGAACGATGCGAGGGCTCCTGGATCCGTCCAGTCTAGCCTCTCGCTATGCTTGTCCTCGCGTTCTTGTTGCTTCGATCGATCAGCGCGTGGCAATGCTCGCCTGTCAACCTGTACGTTGACTCATCAGCCAATGGCACCATAGGCATCTTGAACAATGGATCGTCCCCCCAGAATGCTTTTTCGAACGTCCATGACGCCGCGGCTCAGATAGCTCTGACTCTTACACAATGGACAGATACTTCTACCAGCCCTCAGATTACTATCAATCTGGCGCCCGGCACATACCCTATGACGACGTACCTATTCCTCACGGGTCATCACTCCGGAGTTCCAGACTGTCCAGTCATATGGCAGTCTTCCGATGGTGAGGTCGTGCTGTCAGGTGGTAGGGCAGTCACGAATTGGTCCCAGTCTTCCGGCGCCATTTGGTCAGCACCAGTCCCCGCTGGCTCAGCAAGTCGAGCGCTGTTTGTCGATGGCATCTCTGCGCCGAGAGCTCGATCTGCAAATATCTTTCAAAACGAATCCATCTTTACAGATCTATCGTACGGTTACAATGGCTCCGCTTTCGACATTGCCGATATTCAGAGCCCCGAGCAAGTCGACCTGCGCTTTGTGGGAACATTTACGGACCGCTATATGCCGGTCGATTTTCGACAGAACGATACACTAGTCATGAAGCAACCTGCGTGGCACCGCAACCTAATTGGGTACGATGTCATCTCTCAAGCTCTTGTCCCAGACTTCTACTTCGGCCAAACAGGGATGTTTCTAGAGAACTCGCTCTCGTTTCTGGACGAAGATGGTGAATGGTACCTTGACACCCGCACCGATACACTTTATTACCAGCCCATCAATGGCCAAGATCCAAACGAGTCTGAGATCATTCTTCCTAGCATCGAAGTCCTGCTCTCACTGGGTGGTCTGTCGTATGACGAGCCTGCCCACGACATTATCTTCAGGAACATCTCGTTCGCGCATACGACCTGGAACTATCCATCATCAAAATTTGGATTTGTCGACCAGCAAACCGGTGCTTACATCGGAGAGCAATATGAACGACCCAATTTTGAGTCGACGAGACCTTTCTGGTGGATGACGCCGGCTGCCGTCCAAATCAGCGCAGCGGAAAGAATCTCTCTCGAAGGCGGATCCATTACATGTACTGGGGCGGCCAGTCTCGGGATAGGTAATGATGATAACGCTCATCTTTCTTCGATCGGACTAGGAGCAAAGAACATTACTGTGTCGGGCGTGCTGTTCACTCAGAGTGGAGGCAATGCCATTCAAGTTGGAGGAATACAGGCCAATGGACATCACCCATACATGTCTTCAATGATCAATTCCGGTATCAATGTCACGCAGAACTTCCTGCATGACAATTCCAGAATCTACACGTCTGCCACCAATATTCTTTTTACATATGTTCAATATTCTCACATGACCTCGAACACGGTCGTGAACACGACGTACAGTGCACTCAATCAAGGATGGGGCTGGGGTTCTAACGACGCCAATGCCAATCCGCAGTATATCCAACGTGGACTGTACAGCTATCAGCCTCTCTACAAAACGCCAACGACTCCTCACGACAATCTTATCGCTCAAAACTATGTCACGAACATTGGCTTCAATCACACCGACGAGGGCGGCATCTACACTCTCTCAGTCAGCCCCGGTACTGTCATTGAACGTAATGCAATAATCAAGAGTCAAGCGCAAGGAGTGTACCTGGACGAAGGCTCCAGATTCTATCTCGTACACGACAACGTCATCGAGGCGGCCGACATCCCCTGGTACACTGAAAACACTCAGAACAATGACTCGACTTTGACCGGCAATGACACGTTCACCAACAACTATGTCAACAGCGATGTTAGGCTGAACGAGGTACTCTCGGACGGAAGCCACTTTGTTGGCAACATTTTCTTCAACGATACTGGTCCTTATCCAGAAGGTTCCCAGACTATCGTAGATGCAGCAGGCGCGCCGGGCTTCCCTAGACCCAACAGCAATTAAGTAAGCTCAGACAGTGTCACAACACAGATTAGGAAATCCTGCATGAATTCTGGGACACGATGCAGAGCTCTGACCCGTCCTTGAGGCGATTCAATGCCCGATCTGTGCAGTCCGAGGCAGACGTGCATGCATCGATCGGCTAATGAAACTCATCTGTCACGGAGTCTCAGATCGCCACCCTTCCACATCTGACAGGTCTTTGGGACGTGGTCCCCCTTCACCCGTACCGTTCGGGTCACCGGCACCTGGGCGCCAGCGCCACAGGTGTCGCTTGGTATCGGACAGCTGGCGAAATCAGTAGGAAGTCAGAAGACATGAGCTCACTTTGTCCTCTATCAGATCAGCTACTTCTGAGCCCACCACTGGCAGCATTTTGAATGTGTGACCTGAATCTCCCGTTGCCAGGACGAGGCCGGGGAGTTTGGGATGTTCGCACAGAAGCCAATTGGCGTCTTCGGTATCGGTGCACCAACACATGCCTAGAACCGGCTCATCAGGAACTTCGGCTACTGCACAATGAGCATCGCCTACCTTGATTGATCAATGGCCTGCCCCTAAGATGAGGCAGACATTTGTCGATCAGTTGCTTGATATCTTCTCTCGATTCGTCGGGGATCGTGTCTGTAGGATGCCTGGTATGAGATCGAGGGACAGACATTCTGATATCTTTCTGTAGAGGGAACGGTCGAGCCAATGCCATATGCGTATAACCCGGGAACTCGTTGCACAGCTTCAAAAGACCGGTGCCCGGTTGAGGCTCCATGAAGAAACCCTGTGGGGTCAGCTGAGTTCCCGGTGCAGACTCACGTAGAGGTCGTTGTACATTGTCGGAATACCTTTCCATGCTTGCGACTCCTCAGGTGTCAATTGAATATGAGCATAGATCCAAGCCTGCACTTGTCAAATCGACGGTATCACTCGCTATCAGGCTGACTCACCTTGGATTCACACTGTCCCTCCAAGTCTACTAAGACCGGAGACCATGCTCCGGCGGCGAGCACAATCAAGTCACCCTCCCATATAGTCCCATCTGCTACTTCGACTCCCGTACATCTGCCGCTCGAGTCTAGTACGAGCGTTCTGAATGTCCCACTTTCCCCAGATGCGCACTTGACGCCGAGTCGACGGCACTCGACCGCAACAGCCGAGAGAGCTTGTCGCGCAGCTACCCATCCCCCATTAGCGCACCAGAGGCCTTGCCAGCCCTATCATGATCAGTGTAATGCATCAGAAAGAAAACAAGACGAGGTCTCACCGTTATGTCAGCTTGCTCAAGATGGGGTGCCTTGCGCTTGATAGCGTCGGCAGAATCCATCCAATCCACATCGGTCCGTCCAAGCCCTCTGAGCTTCTCATACTTTTTGTTGAGATGTGCAGCACGATCATTAGACCCCACAGTGAGGTCAAGCTGGAAACAGCGGTCAGTTCTGATATCCTGCAGCAGCGGATGAGATTCACTTTGCCAACATTATGCGCGTATGGCCTGAAGATTGGATCTGTGACCCAAGCTTCCCAAGCCTCATCGCTTACACCTCCAAACAAGCCTATACTGTCGGCTCCGGCGATCTTGCGTCAACACAACATCATCAGATACCTCTCACCTTGTTGATGTCGTTTCCCGCAGAGTCATTCGAGGGTGACTCCCAAACATCTAGGACTTGAATATTGGTATAGCCTCGCCTTGCGAGGTGAAGGGCGGTGGAAGAGCCCATGGTCCCACCTCCACCGATGATAATGATACGAGCATGCTTATCCGATACCAGTGGGCGTCGCGAGAGTCGCGATTTACTGGATTGAGAAGTGTCCATGAGGCTCAGAGGGATGCAAGGAAGGTAGTTCCAGAAGGCGGCATTTCGATTCGGGAATTCCTGCCGATCGTTCGGACGAACAGGAAATGTTTCCGATAGGTGAGATGCCTGAGCGATGTCTGTTCAGTCTATGTTATATGAATACATATCACCATTTACGCAAAGCGGTCGTGAAGGAGCACGTCGTCAGAACAATACGATTATCCCACTTTCCGCCTCATTCGCTGCTCTTCTTCGGCTTCTTCTTCTTTGGCTTGTCCTCCTCAGATTCAGCCTGAGCCTTTGCATCATCCTTCTTTTTGCCTCCAACCTTTGCAGCTTGCCTTCTGGCAATCTCCTCCATCATAGGGTCACTCGCATCCGAGGCATCGTCATCGCTATTCGCATCTGAGTCAGACTCTGATGGTGAACCCCCATCCGAAGACTCGTCACCACGAAAGTCTTCATCCTCTGCAGAACTCGTGAGAAATGTGACAAAGTCACGGTCCTATCATGACTCACCCGACTCCTCATCATCCTCGGCTGCGCGTCTAGACGGTTTGGACCCGCGCTGACTTTTCCCTCGGTTGTCTTCACTCTGGATACTCATCTCATCGTCCTCGTCCTCCTCTGCGCTGTCCTCGCTGATTGGATCAACATCCATTGCCTCGTCCATCTCATTCTTGAGCCGCACATTCTTCGACTGCAGAAATGTTGAGATTGGCTGGACTTCCTCCTTCGAGATGGCGGAGAAGACATGATCCGCAGCGTCGGTTCGAGAGACCACTCGCATGTCGAAGGTCTTCGCGGAAGCGATTCCTCCACCGACTCTGCGCAGTCTCTTCAGCTCCTGGCAGGTCGTGCTGGGATGACCTACCTCGAAAAAGATATGCTTTCCGTTTTTCCAAAATCGATCAGGATAGGTTGTTTCGCAATGAATATCAAGCCCTTCTCCAAGAAGTAGAGCTCGCCCTGCACTGCCTTGACGTTTGCCTTGATCCCGTTCATCCCTTGGGCACTGAGAAGGCAATCAATATCATCTCGCGTCGCATAGTTTGTCTCTCACTTGCGGAACGATCCCGGAGGAGTCACCTTCTTGCCGGACAACGATTTGAGGACCCGTGAGATGACCTGGAAAGTGGGAGCCTCGTATTTGCGTTGAAGGTCCGGATACTTTGCGATGTCTTCACTACCGGGGTTCAACAAAACGAAAAGTGGCATAGGTCAGTACTCACTCTGAGAGATTTAGCTCAGCATCCACCTCTTCATCCTTTGGCCATTGCGCGACCAAGAATGGGTATCGAGTCGCTCCTTGCCGGATTGGAGGGTCGAGTCCGATGACGAGCTGGACATGGATGTCGTCCAGCTTGGGGATCAGGAACATGCGATAGAGGGAGGTGAATGGTATTCTGTAATCGGTAGATTTGCCAAGCAAACGGAGAGAGTCCTGGAAGAATTCCAGAGAGTATCGACCTCTGTGCATTCGTCAGCATGATCTGGCTTTGATGACTCACCTTGGTGTGAGGATCAACACCTCGTCAAATACCACTATACTGTCTCCGACCACTGCTCCGATATCCGCCTTGTCCTTGATAAGATTGTGCATGGCTTCAGCGGCGCTGATCTCATTGCCATCCTCATCGCGATCCGTCTCTTCTCCTTCTGCGTCTGCATCACTGCCTGCATCACTTCCGCCTCCATTCTTTTTCATGCTTTTTCCAGGGATGTAGAATCGCATCTCTACCAGCTCGTCCGGTTGTCGAGTCGATGAGCCAGGTTTGATGTCAAAGGAAGGAGGAGTGAATTCCAAGGCAACTTCATTCTTGCCGGCAATGTTTGAATTGGTAACGGAGGCGAGCGGCAGTTCGAACGCAGTCTTGTTCTGAACCTGAAATGAGAGCTCGCCATCTTACGACAGGTCAGGATACCTCAGCCAGTCTGAACGATATCACACACCGTCTATTGTCGCACGTCCCCAATTCCATCCTCTCAAAGCAGGATCCCTGGACTCGACCTTGATGTGAAAGTAGTCATCCAGTGTTCTCTTGACTTTATCAAAGTCCTATTTGCCTCGTCAGCAGAGCTTCCTCGTGTTTAAAGCTTGACAAATGCACCTCTCGCTTGAACCCATCGAAGGTTACTTTCGCTCGATCCGCTTGTCTCATCGTCAATCTAAGCTGGAAGTTCCTTGCGACTCTGGGGGGTGGATGAGTGAGCCACCAGAAGATCCTCGAGCGTAACTCAGCGCACCTTAGCCAAGCGGCCGACCTCAAATCACTCCCGCTGAACGTTGTAGGTTGGTTTTCCTCATTCTCATACGACTTCCATCCAAATCCAGCAGCGTTGAATCGAAGCTCTGACAAGCGTCAGTCAAGCTGTTGATAAAAGTGACACAAGCTGGATGTCTTGACGGCGATCGACGGCGATCGCAAAGCTCTCGCGCGCACGGCATTGCCATCCTGGAGTCCAAGTGATATCTCGTCATAGGCACTCACTTCCTACTTGCGACGAATCCCCATGGAACACTGATTCAGGGTCAGTAGCAGCTCGACCGGTGCGGTTCTGAACGACTCACCATTCTCGAAAGTCACCGTCGACATGGTCTCGACGTCTCTTCTGTAGCAGTTACTCTTTCACGAATCAGATCCCTCTGCCGTTCGCTCAATTCATGCAATGAAATGTTCAATCGATGAAATATCCGGCGCGTGATGATACGCGAATATACTTTGATAACGATCAATCGTTCGTGACACGTCATGCAAATCCGAGAAGTCTTGTGGCAGTTGGCGGCGACGGCGGCATCGCTGCAGGTGCGTGCAAGAAAACCTATACCATCTCGTTCAACGGGGCAGTATAGTGTGTTCCACAGGCTACATGTATCTCTAGCAGTCATCCTATCATCTTCAAGAATGTCCATCTCCGTCTGCTATCACCAAGTGATCATTCCTCTCGAGCGAGATTGATCACCATCTCCAGCTCTGTTGTCGCCTCCTTCTTCTCCCACTTGTTGAATTTTGGTTTCCACGATCGCTTCCGCTTCTCCGCCTCTTCAGCTTCTGCATCCAGGTGCCGGATCCAGCCGATAGAGTCAAGCATCTTCTCGAGCTGACCACTGCCTCGCATCTCCTCCATCTTGTTGACATTCGCGACGAATGGTTTATTGCCAATGACGACGAGGACGAGACCTCTGTCCATGGCAAGGTCGAGTCGGTTGAGAATCTGCATCAGGACAAAGTAGTCGGATCGGCCATGCACAGGGATCAAAGTGGGTTGACGTTCTGATCCGTGAAGAGCAGAGAGCAAGGCAAGGTGCTCGTGGGGTTTCTTCCCGATACTGGTGGAAGAGATCAGGAAAAAGATCTGGAGGGTACAGGCCTGACTCACCCATCAGTCCCGTACCAGATGACCACTTCATCCTCTCCTTCTCTTTCTAGCTCCTTGAGCGTTTGATCATCAGCGCCCGCTCCGAGGACCACGTGAGCCTCGAGGGGCTTGAGAGGGTCAATAGATTCCGGGAGTCGGTTGTTATCCGCTTGAAGGAGGTATGACTGCAGGGCCAAGAGCTCGTGGGATGGGGGCAAGGATTGAGGCTTCGATTTTGGTCGATCGGCCTTGGGATGACCCGCTACTGTTCGGCCCGGTTGACGAACGACGATAGATTCGGCATTGCCCGTGGATCTCTTCATCATGATGTGAGACTTGATCTGGGGTGGCACGTAATCTCGTTCTCTTGCTTGTTCCCAGCTCGTGATTGGGTGAACAGCGTCATACACGGCTTTACCGTTCGTGGCGAATGCCAGACGTCTAGAGATAGAGGCGGCCCGGAGAGAGGGCAGTTGAGCGCCTGGAGTGTTGGCAAGAAGGCAGATGCAGCAGATGAGAAGGAACCCAAAAGACATGACACGCATCACGGGTCGAGGGATGGACGCTGAGACTGAACGGGAGGTGTATGTGTATGATTGAGTCGGGATGTTCGGAATGTCCAGACTTCTCCTGTCGAATGAAGGTCTCGGACTGCTCTGAGCGCTGGTCGTTCGAGGTGTCCTGTCTATCCTGGGGATTCGTTCGACATCATCTGCACCAGTCAGGATGATGGAGGGTGAAACTGATCGAGGCGTGTTGGGCCTCGACAATGGCAGAGGGTAGAGGGAAACGTCGAGGGTGAAAGAGCCCTGAGTAGGTGTCCTAGGTGAGCGAGCCTTAAGACCCAACTCTGCTCCGGCGAGGGCGGTAGACATGGCGAAGCTGGGGAAGCAATCTATCGGGTGGATTTAGGCCCTATGACAATGGGGATCTGCTTGACGTGTTGTATGAGTCTGTCGCCAGTGTCAAGCTTGTCTGGTTTCCAGAGGACGGTGAATATGTCTATACAACCCGATTCCTTTGATCTGAACAAGAAAATGAGCGTGTTACAAACGAATGTTGCGACCTGTCAAAGGTGGTGAGTTTGGCTTTGAAATGTTGAACTAGGAGTGATGATAATAAGTCAAAATATCTCTCTCTTGATCTTGATCTCTTCTGGCTTGTTGTACACACATATGCATCGCCAGTACAGATACTCCCACCAGGGATCTAAGTCTATTATCAGCGACCTGTTGCCGACCTTGGACCTTGAGAAAAACGCCCCTTGTTGCATGTTGTGCTTGCGGTGGCTCTGCCCTTCTCGTGTCCTGGATGCCGAGAGATGGAGAGAGAGAAAGGACAAAGGTACGCCTGCTCGATATCTGTGATGACGAGTAAGTACGTGAGAGAAGCGGTCGCAGTGTCGTCGCAGTCCTCTTCTGTTGACGCTTGATCTGGCGGCGTGAGGCCAGACGCGAAGAGCAAAGCAAAAAAGAAATCAAGCGCCTCGTGAAAGAGAAAGAGGAGGGAAAAAAAAGGGTTGAGGACGCCACGCACAACTTTCACATATTCTGGAGTCTGGCGATGCATGCACAGTCCAGCGATCGATAGATGGCAAAGGGTTGAGAGAGATCGACGTGTCTGTTGCGTGTAGTCCCTGGATCAGTGCCTGCCTCTATGCCAAAAGTGTTCAATATATCTCGACGCGTCGAACCCACCCCTTCTTCGGAGGAGAAGAGCAAGACGCGTCAATAGCATTATCATCTCTGAGGCGCGAAACCGATGCAAAGCAAAGACCACGTCTCTGGTTATGTTTTCATGCCGAACGCCTCACGTCGACGCCATGCCTGTTTCATCAGACGTCCAAAATCCTCCTCGCGTTGACGGTTCGTACAGTTCAGGTCATGCATCCGTCCGTCGAGCACCGACCCAAATATATGCACACAAAGATCGAGTTACGAGAAATATTATTACTATACTACTAGCCCAGGAACTGGGGTCCGTGAAGATGCCATGTCATCTTGGTCAGAGGGATTGAACATGTTCGTCCTTGGCCTGTTCTCTTGTTCTTGGTTGGCATTGTCTGACATGAGAACCGACTCGTCAGCCAACCGCATTACGGCCGCCCAGGATAGATGATTGTCAACAATGTAGTCAATAAATAAAAAGGTCCGAATACCTTAATTGACCAGAGCAACGCCATGAGAAATAGAAACGCCTCCAAAGCCGATGAGCGGCCACCACCACGACCACCACCACCTCCTCCTCCTCCTGACCTTGGCGGAGGCTACACGTGTCCGCCTCGCCCGAATAAGCATGTCCAGTGAGACAAGTAGCCTGTGGCATGCAGCATCTCACCGACTCAACCGATTGCTCGCTAATTGCCATCGCCGCTTCATGATCTATGATTAGATCTCAACCGCGGGTTGGTCGAAGTTGATCGCCGTGGGCGGCCGACGTGACATTGATTGGGTCACAGGTCTTTGAGTAAACAATTGTGTCAAAGGATCATACCACGCCTCCACCGCCATACTGGCATATTCTTGCATGCGACATGAGTGGCATAAGCGACTTCTACTCTCCTCGGCCCCCGCCATTCCATCATTAGCATCATCTCATCGTGTCGAAATCGAAATCAGAAGTCAGAAGTCACTTGATGTCCATCTTCAGTTGTTCAGCTCGTACAGGTCGACAGTCCCAATCACAGACTCGTCATCTTGATCGCCAGGGCTAGTGACGCCGGTTTCGAACCTTGATCTCGGTATTTTCACAATGTCCTCACTATCATCCCATAGCACCTCATCCATTTCTTCGATTCCAGCAGACCCTTCACCCTGTGCGTTGTTTTCTGAGCTTGCGCATCGTCCTTGACCTTCTTGCTCGCTCGACTCCTCCTTACCATCTTCGTCCAAACCCATACTCGATTGGAAAATGTAACGCAATGTTTCGAGTATATCAGTAGTCTCTGGATCAATGTCCCACGAGAGAAATCGCTTCGCTAGAGTCTCGCACTTTTCGAGATCTTTGATATCTTCAGGCGTCGGTTCCGTCTCGTACAGCTTGCTAGCTTGATGCGTCGCAAAGAGCTTCCTGGACTGAAATCAGCTACCCCCAGGAAGAGGCTCATCGAGAAGCCCACGTCGCTTCTCGACTGCGATCAACAATCTTTTTGGGTAGCCCATGGGCCAGCGCACATTCAGCCGCGTAGCTTGTTCCACTTTGGCCTGGACAGAGTCTCCGTCTTCAGTTTCAGGCTACACAACCAGGCTCACTTGTAGAGGTATGCCAAACTTTGGTCATCGTCATAGAATTGGGTCCCCATGTGTGCAAAGGTGATGGGCAAAGTATCAGGAATGATCTCTTGAGCGAACAATTCGCTGGATCTTGTCAGACACGAGGACCGGAGACTAACGAGCATACTCACTGGAAGTGCGTCAGCACGATAGTACGAGGACAAGCACCACTGAGGAGGTGCTCCACAACCCCAGCGAGCAGGCCGGCACCATCGGCCGCTTCGGTCCCCTTACCGAATTCGTCGAGAATGATGAGGGACCGCTCAGTTGATCCACGGAGAGCGTGTGAGACTTGCTCGAGATCAATCATGAAGGCTGAAGCTGGCTACGGGTCGTCATGAGCAAGCTGTTTATGGATCCCTGGATCCACCTTTGATGCGGACTCTCGAGTCTGGATCCGAGTGAAGACTGCAATTGGTCAGCCGTGACTGCCGACACAGAAAAGCGCAGCTCACTCTTGTCGACCAAACCAATAGTAGCATGTTCAGCCGGCACGTACGAACCGATCTGAGCCATGAACGCGATCCAAGCGACCTGTGGCACTTTTCAGCAGAGCGGACCGACTGATGAGCGAGACACACCTGCTTTCCGTATCCCGACTTTCCAGACGCATTGGCGCCGGTAATGACCATCTATGTATTGTAAGCCTGTAGAGTGTAGAGCTCAGGCAGCAAACTCACCATGCTGTTGTAACGCTCGTTTTGCCCACCCTCCATCATCGTATCGTTCGGGATGTAATTGCTGACGCAGAGCTCCTGAAGGATGTGGCGGCCCGCCCTGATCTCCAATAGTGGCTCCTCAGACATCAGAGGCCGGATGAGCTGATAATTGAGAGCCGCTTTGGCCAGTGCTAGAAGGCTGAGGGAGTCGTGTCAGATACTTCCAATACTGAATTGCTGTCCTGGTTACGGGCCCACCAATCGAGATTTGCCACGATCTCCTGTATAGATTCAAACTCCTTTTCGTGTAAAAGTAGCTTTTCAGCCATGATCGAGGCAATTTCCAGCTCCCTCGCTGAATTTGAGGCTCATCGGCCACTGAACCAGTCACCGCGGAATGCTTATACACACCCATAATCATTCCGCCGATATCTCCAAACTCGTTGTCCAAGGCTTGAGTGTAAGCGCTCCGAAAGTAGTACCACCCATCATGTTCCATCTGTGGCACGGCGTCAGAATATGCCCAGTCAAGGCGCTCGCGATTGGCTCAAAATCCTCCGGGGCACGATATCCATCACCATGAGTTCGGACCCTGAGTAAGAAGCCGAATTGATCCCATCGAAGACATTCGAGTTCCTGGAAGAACCGAGGATCGAGCTCGTAGCGCAGTTTATTCGCCAGAGACATCTGTGATGGGTAGGTCAGGAGACAGCCCGTGCTGCGGCACCGACAAGGATCGGGTCAATCGCTTGGTCAAGTCAGAAAATCTCCTGTTTCACGTGTGCTCACTCTTATCCTTGGCTTTCAGCTCATCCAGCTCCTTATCTACACCAGGACGGAGACATATCCTTTTCTCATCCATCGAGGACTCCCAATCAATCTGGCACTGGTCAGCAATCGCTGAGTTTGTAGCATCGAAACTACACACGTTGGCAGCACAGAGCTGTAGGACCTGATGGAGTTCATGACTGACAGCGGTCTGCAACTGATCGAGATATCAATCCCTTCCGAAGGCCTCACTCACCTGTTGGACCACAGGCAACGTGTCAGCTCCTTCCATCTGATGCAGCAATTCCTTCGCTTCAATCACCGCTGCGATGGACTGTCAAATTATGGATCAGAAGAGCATCGTACCCCATCAAGACTCACTTGAGTCACACCTGACCAATCGATCGGACTATCCAACCCCCTTTTGATCTTCTTCATACTTTGGGCCACATTTGTGATCTTCTTCATTTCTTTTCGGATGTTTTCAGAGATGCTAGGATTGTCCTCGAGCGAGAGAAGACCTTGAGAGTCGGCGGATACATGGGCACCCGAGAAGATGGCTATAGCATCGTGACGTTCAGAAATTTGATCGAGGTCGAGCAGGGGACGTAGGAACCAGGACCTAAAGAGATTCTTGCCGGCGGCAGTGCAGCAGGTGTTGAAAAGTCCTCCGGGATTCCGTCAGCGAGGGTAGCTGTGGATATTCCCGCCGACCTACCAAACAGCGTTAACTTCTCCTGCTTGCCCATGGTTTCATCTCGGCCTCTGTCTCGCGTTCCGTCGTCAAGGATGGCGAGTGATCTGAGGTAAGGAAGAATCAGAATTGCGAAGCAGAGCTGGCCTCACTCCAGAGCATCTCGATTGATCAACATGTAGTGGTCTCTGTCTTGATCAGCCGCTGATCTGATGCTTCACTCACAGAGCCATGTTTTCTAATCGTTCGATAGGGAAGATCAGAGAGGTCTCGCGGGCCTGCGCCTTCCGCAGGACCCGTAGATGTGCGAGCAATCCTCCCATGGCGGACATCTGATACGAAGTCTCAGCTTCAGAGAACGATTCGGGGCCAATGAGGAGGACTCACGGCGATCGGTGCATCCACATTGACCAGCGTCCCGACCTTTACCAAAGTCATCCTTCTCTTTCCCATACCGGCGAAATCTTCCTCGTCAGGACCCATTCTCCCTTCGTACTCGGATGAGAATGTAGAAGATCGGGTTGGAGAAGAGTGAAATGGTGCAGATTGAGCAGCGACGGTTCCCTGAGACGATAATGCTGCCTTGTGAGCCGGAACAACAAGATTGGCGAGATTCAATTCTGCCATGAGGTCGACTGCTCGTCCAATCGTGAAGTCTTTGCCTAGATGAAGCTTGTAGGACGTGGCAGGGTTCTCGGTGCCTAGTGAAGTCTGGTCAGCGATGCTTTACCTGGCTACCCAGAAGGCGCGACCTATAGACACCTACAGAACGACTCAATGACATCCTTGAGACTGTCTTTAGCACTTGGACTCGTCACGACGACACTTGGACAGCATTGCTCAAGTACTTGACAGCTATGAGCTTGATCCATAGGAGCAACAGTAGATGGAAGGAAAAGCTCACGTAGGATCACCAAATCCCACTTCTCGTTATCCTTCGTATCCTCCAACACGCTGACTTTCTTCCATATTGGATCATAAAATGCCGCACCGATTTGCATTCCACCAGAAGAATGAATGGCGAGGATCTGGAGATGACCAAAGGTCAGTATGTCCGTGGTCGTCCAACAGACGCTCGTTTAGCTACGGACTCCTCTCGTCGAGTGTGATCGTGCTCAAGACTGGCGATAGACAGTACAGCGTGCAGGGCAGATTGCAGGCTGGACTCACGCTCGGTACACCCGCTTCATCCCCTAACTTCTGACGCTCCTCTTCAGAAACTTGATCCCCTTCATCTAGATTCTCTTCATCCTCCACTTGAGTCTCATATACTCTCTGTCTGACCGTACCAGCTTGCCCTGTCATCATTCCCCCTCGATTTCCATGGTCACCCATTCGCGCGAATTTGCCCTGTAATTCATTGGCTCGTGCACTGTCACTACCGATCGATCGCTTGCCCAGCTCTCCATCAGGCACATCATACACCATACCATTGTTGACTCGTCTTGTTGTCGTTCCACCGAGCTGTGCCGTTTGAGGAGTCCGCCAGTTCCTATATCGTTCGCGGAGATTGGATGGACCTGGAAGTGAATTGGTCGACGCGACGGATGATAGCCCGGGAACCGATGGGTTCCTGAAAGAACGCCTTAGAGACATCTCGAGACCTTCTCAAGCCGTCGCTGCGCACGAGTATATAGCGCTGAGGATTGTGGGTCACTCAGGTGAGATGTACAACACTCTGTGCAGCAAAGATATTTCAAGGGGATGCGGTGGGCAGTGGTCCGTGCGAGTGGAGGTCAACTTTCTCACGGTGGATTCAACCGCACCGGCGGGGAGATGCGAAATGCATGAATCATGGGGGGAGCGTTCAGCCCGACGTGGAGTCAGAGCCACGACTATAGTCTTTACATCTTACAGTGGAATTGAAATGGATACAGATACACACGCCCGGACATCTAGGCTGCAGCAGTCTGATTGAGAACCAACAAGCCTTCTTGATTGCCCACTTCTTCAGCCTTTTCAGCCGTTGTGACTCCCTTGGCGGCGCTGGCGAAACTCGACATGGCAGTCGCTGATAGAGGTGGCATGCCTTGTATACTGGGAGGCGGAGGGATATCTTGGGGATTGGCGCCGTCAGCCCCTTCAGTATGAGATCCATTGGTGGCTGGTGTCTGATCCGCGCCGATAGGTATCGGTGTCGGGTCCGTACGAGTCGCGGTCGTGGCGGAAGATGTGGTGGAGGGGAGACTGGATGACAACATTTCGGTAGGCTCGGCCCTAATTCCGTATCAGCATCATGACTCGTACCGCACATCAGAGACTTCTCACTTGACGCGTTTGCTTGGACCTTGATCGTCCAAACCATCCTCCACAACTTCTTCCGTCGAGCTCTGAAGCTCACAGTCAGCACAGGCATATTCACCATCTGAGACGTGGCACTCACGCCGTTCTGAGCCCGCTTGACTTTCTTCTTCGGTTTCGGCTGACCATCGGGGAAACAATAGAACGGAAGGTCGGACCTGAGAGACATCAGCATTGGCCCACCGACGCCATCCTCTCTCTCTCTTTCTCTCTCACCGCCTGGCCGGTCTAAGGATTACACTCATCTCCTGTTCGTCATACTTGTCCCATTGTTGACAGGCGCCACAGAACCGTTTGCTAGGGTAAAACAGGTTGAGGACACGACCTCCACCATCCTCTGCGACACCGAATCGTCAGTTTGAACCTCTTTGACAAAAAGAGCTTGACACACTCGACTTCTTCTCAATCTCCAAACCGATAAAGAAACTCTTCGTCCATATCCGCTTGAATTCCTGACCCTTGACATCCTCCTCTGTTCTCTTCATAGCTTCCACGCTCAATTCGCCCTGCGAGGCGGCGGCTTGCTCCTCTTCCGAAAGACAAATAAAGGAGTTTGTTATGGATGCGACTGATGGATGGGCGGTGAGAATGTTGTCGGTGACCTCGAGATCTCCGACCAGCGTCCGAATACGAGATTCAACGGTCCCGCCCCTGGAACTGCGTCAATCGACCAGCACAGGGGAGGGGGGGGGGGGGACAGCCAATGAACAACCCACCAGTCTTTTATACGCTCTGAAGATGAAGCGGACGCGACGACCTGGACGTACGTTTTGTACATGCTGAAAAAGTCGACTCGCTCGAACAACTCGACCCAGGAGGATCCGGGATCCGCTAGAATCTTGTCAGTAATCTGCATCGCTGGAGTAGTAGTGTCAGCTAGCTCATCCTCGAACACTGGGATTTCGCTCACCTCGCAGCATCTCATTCTTGATGATGGACATAGTGGAGGCGGTTATGTTATGCGTGGAGCACATGGAAGGATAGGCGGGAGTGATGACTGGCATACGATGAGCCATATCTCGGCGGTCAAGCTGAAACATGCGTCAGAAGGTGGGTCATCTGATGAGACTCGACTCACTTTAGGATTCCAGACTGAGTGTTGCATGTTCGAAGGACCAGATTCAATCTTTTTCAGTATCACCGGTTGTGGCCAGTTCCTAGCCTCGAGTTAGCGCTTGACCGACCTCAAGACATGGTCAGGGCTCACCACTGGTAAAAGATCGGGAAGAATTTGCCGACGATGACGGCTGGTGAGGCGGTGGGATAAAGTTGGCATATTCGAGCGGTCAGAAGTGCCCACGCTACACCTCCAGGGAATCCAAGGACGTTTCCGTAGATTCCTCTCCCTGTGGAGTATTCGTCAGCAGTTGGCCAAACATCAACCTGGGTCCATCCTCACGTTTTGCCCATAATCTGATGGTCCGTAAAGCCGTCCTGAACGTTGCGACATCAGGAACGAGGTTTAAGATCATGTCGGTGACTCGGGGACCTGCAGATGATGATGTTAACAGGAGATCCAGTTGCCAGACGATTGTCAATCCACCGTTCAGACTTCGCTGTGAAGCATCATCGACTCCTCTCAGAATCTCATCCTTCTCTATATCTAGCTTATCTCCAGCCTCTGGCAAATTGACCCGGGCGAACAGTAAATCGACCTCGACGCCAGAAATGACAGTCTTCATCACGGGTACGAAAGCTGACTCGACGGCCTAGAGCGTACATGCTCAGCACTGTATCCGATGTCAAGAATAGCCGACTTACACTGATCTCGGTTACAGCTGGCCAGTCCCTGAGCATCTGCTTGAACTCTCCGAAAAAGTGTTCCTTGTAAACATGCCGAGGACAGACGCAAATCGTATCGATATCGGATCCTGGACCATGTACACCGAGTCTAAACGAAGCGGAAGATTTAGCCTCACTCCAAAGCTACATGGAAGAGATCAGAGCCCACCTGTACGATCCCGAAGTGTATATCCTCCCTCCTGCCTCGGAAGCAACTTTCTCTGACAGACCCGCTTTGATCGAGACATCATGTACGAATTTGGCGACGAGCTGAGCAATGTTGCTGAGGAGTCTTTCCCTGATATGGTAGTCAGCACGAGATGACGCGGGGGTAAAGGGTTTACAGCGAAGAAAGGGAGATGAAGAGAGAAATCGAGAAGCGAGCCCAGAAGGGGATCGTCGCCTTCTTTTGTCTCCCTGCTGATGACCACATTCAGGACAACCCACTCACCGGACCTTTCTCTCTTGCTCTGATTCGAACTGATTGAGTGCTACCAAGTCTGCCATTAGAGCTGAGCAAGCAAGGCGTTCAGTCAGCTATTCGTCCGTATTGAAGATTTCCCAGTCATCTCCAGCCATGACCTCCAGCCTTCACCCACTCACCATCGCTTGATTGGATATCTACAGGTTTTGGCGGTTCAACGCTGATAGGCGGTGTGACACCCAACATCTTGATCTCGGAGCTGCGAGAGGAGAAACGGTTCAAGCTATGTTCTTCTGCGAAGTGGAGTAGAAGGACTGCTCACTTCGCCATGATGTCCAGGGATGAATTTGAGAATCGGGTGATCCAAGTCGAGATGGGAGAGAATGCTCGCTCGTCCCTCTTATTATTCACGCTGCGCGTATCCCGTTAAATCGATATCCGAAGTACCGGGTCGCAGGAACAAGGTGCTCCATTCACTCTACCAATGGGTATCATGAAACTTGAATAGAAGCTCGAGAAGCTTTCACTGTGCCTGATAGCTCATTGGAAGACCTATATGACAATCCCTTCGTCCTCGCTATCGTCACCTCTGTGCTCGTCATCGCGCTTCCTCACGGGGATACTCGGCAATTTGATCGAATGTGGCGGAGAGAGTATGCATGATGATACCGGGGACTTGGCGGAGAATCTCATAAGACTGGTCCCGCTTTCACCTTGACTAAAAGCTCCTACGAGTCTCGCTACAATTCAGCGGGGGATGTATGGGTAAGGGTTTTCGCACCAAGAACTCAGGTCTATCGCTACACAGTGGTGCGCTTTCTGGATGAACCCCCTTCACACAAGTTTCCCCAATGTACACGTCCCGTGATGTGAGGCATAATGTTCAATCATGCGCAGATGGTGCCCATGTGGTCGGCCGAACTTCTCACAGAGCCCATTTGATCCCTCCCCCACCGACCTCTTGAATGGCCCAGGTGAACGAACCTATTGACCGCAAGTCCCTTCGTGTCTTACCTCCACGAGCTAAACCGCTTGAGAAGCACGCGTCCATCATCATCAAGCTCAACTGCCTCCGCATCTCGACTCCAACGTGAGAGCGGTCTGTCCCACCGTATGTCAACTTTGGCTAGGGTGGCAATCAATGGTTGCTCAGATGAGAACTGGCGACTCGCCGCTACGCAAGCAAGCAGACAGCTGGAACGCGACGTGCATGCGACGTGGAGTGCATTTTACAAATAGGAGAAGCTTACTTTGCTACTTCTTCTCCTCTCCTCATTCACTCCGATCGTCGTGCCATTGATTGTCCTTGAGAAGAAAAGTGTCCATTAGTTGGATACAGAGGTATCCCATTGTCCATACATGATGAGAGAGGGAGAGACTGTCAGAGGGGTCCGCCAGGGGAGACGCTTAAGCGCTGACGGGCTCAAAGGTGAATTCTGAGACAAAGACATCAGCACAAGTTCAAGGCAAAGAAAGATACACAAGCCAACTCACTCTGGTAGGGGTCTCCGTTGGTCGAAGCTTCCCAAGTCTGGAGATCCTTGAGCGATTGGTAAGGCTTGGTGGTGTCGGGTCCAGACTCGGCCTTGACGTCCAAAGCTTGGTTGTTTGACAAGGTGAGTTGAGCGCCATCGTACTGCCACATTTGTTGAAGGAGACCATCGTAGCAATCCCAGACTTTGACACCCGATCCGTTTGCAGGGTTTTCGCCGGCGTCCAAGCAGAATTTGTTGGATCCGAGGTTCTGGATCAGAGAAGAGCCTTGTTGATCGATGGCGGGGAAGGTCCATTTCTGGTAAGCCCAAAAGTCTCCACCGCCAAAGCAGGAAGAGCTGGGAGAGGAAAGGTAACAGCATGTCAACAAGAGTCAGAGCCGTGCGACTTGATTGCACGTCACTCACATGGCGACCCTGGATCCTTGGCCATCGTATCCGTTCTGAATGGTCACACATCGAGACGCGTCTCCATCAGGGTGGATGAGGTAGGCTTGTGCAGCGGTTCCAGAAGGCTCCGTGGCGGATGAAGTGGACGAAGGGCTAGCGGAGGCGGATGAGGAAGGAGGGGGATTGGAGTCGTCCTCCTTGACGTAGAAGACTGTGGTGGGGAAGAGGAGGAGGAGAAGGAGAGAGTTAGCCGGGCTGCATGACGGAGACTGGAGAAGATTCTAACTCACCCTGGTTGGTGTTGCCGGTGGTGCATTGGTACGTTTGAATACCGTTGTCACCCTCGTCGAGACATTGGTCGCCACCAGTAATGGCGATTCGGTTGTCACCAGTGAGGAACCAGCTGAGAGGGGGAGGAAGGAAAGAGGGCAATTGTCAGTCCCGAGTCAGAGGGGGAGAGGGACAAAGCTAGCTAGCTCGCTCAATTGCTCGCTTGCTTACTCACGTCTGCTGGTACAATCCGGGGTAGCTTGTCCACACTTTCAAAGACCCAAAGTTGCCCGGAGTAGAGCCTGCGTCCAGAGCCAGAGGCTCAGGAAGACTTTCTGTCCCGCTGAGGATGATGGACCCGGAGCCAGGGTTGATGTTCCAGTATTTACCTCCTTGAGTGTTGGCACAATCTTCAGACGTCACTGGAGATCCAGAGCCCGTCTTGGGAGCTGCAACGAGACATTTGCCGTCACGTCCTGAGACGATCAAAGCGCGGTTGTATCGTTTCTGGATGGGTGTGGCGGATACCGAGACGAGCAGGGGAAGTAGAGCGAGAAGAGCGAGCATGGTGTGTGTGTGTGAGAGAGATATGGTATTTTATATAATTATATCGCGACGTGCAAGGGTGAGGTGAGGAGGAAGTAGTAGTAGTAAAGGGAAGAGGAATGGGATGAAGTGGACGATTGACAAGGGCAGAGGGGCTTTTATATGTGCATCAACCGAACCGAGGACCGCCTCGGACGCAAGGGGATACACAACGAGTCCTGACCGTACCATATGACACACAGCTCTTATGTCTCAAGGGACGGGTGTTGTTGCTATGCTGCCCTTGACAAAAGGAAGGGGACGGGGCAACGGGGCATCAGGGGTTTCAAACGTTCTGGCCGCTCGGGGCTCGGTCGTTTCCCGGTCCTTCGGGCATCGTCATAGGAGTGTGGGGGGAGGCAAGCAGTGTCATAGGCATATGAATGATACAATGCTCTTACTCTCGTCTCTCAAGCTGATCGAACCTCATGAGCCGCCCGCCACTTTACGCCGCACCTCCCTCTTGCAATACATGCGGCATCTCGTTTATGTCCATGCCGCAAATGTGGCTTGGCGGCTGCCTGTAATACTGTAGCAACAGGATTGGCTATAGTATGCAGATTTCGGAGTGTCAATGAGCCATTCACCGCTATGCATTGCATTAGCATCCTCTGCCTTTCAGGACCTGCCTTTCGAGACCTGAAGGGCCGGGAGGTCATACATACCTTTGCGAGAGTGGGGGACGCTTAGGGAACCGCCACGGTCCTACCCATGACCTGTACCCCTTCTAAAGCCCTCCCCGCTCTGCCACACACACCTCTTGACCTCCCTCATGCGATGTCCCTCCCCGCTTTGGATGGTCCGTCAAGTCATGCATGGACCGCCTCTCAATGACGAATGGGGTTCGGCCCCCGGACTTGTCTTATGGCTTGGCATTGTGGAGTACATGGATGTGCATAAACCCCCGTTTCATCGGCAAAAGGTATTGATTGATCCGATTCAACTTTCGCCGAGGCGGCCGCTCTTCAGCATCACGCTCATGCTTCTTCAGGAATCGCTTGGGACCCGAATGCATCGCTGGAACTGACTTGACTGATAATGGCTACTTTTGCCTGTTGGCTGAATGGCTGGTGCTACAATGTGTCTTTGCACTTTTGAGACTCCCAGGCCTACTTGGAGTGTGTATGTGTGTTGCTGGAGCCAACTGTTCACAATGAACTCGATCTGATCATCGAGCGCCCCGCTGAGCACATCTCACAGAGCTGTGCGACCTCGTGTCTCGATAGGAAGTAGCAGCATCACCAGGCCAGTGCTGTGAAGAAGATGCGAATGAGTCTTAGCTGCCTTGGCTCGCCCTCGCTCATGTATGTACCACTCACACGACAAAGATGGATGCCGAGGCATACACGGGTCCTTCCACACTTGCAGTGCCGTAGACCGCAATGACAGGCGCGAAGAGTCCTGTGATTCGATTCGAAGCTGCCGCGAGGGCATCACCCGTGCCTCGAGAAGGCGTAGGGAAGACTTCGGGCGCATAACCATAGAGTACGCCGTCTGAGGCGGGGGGCAAGGGGAAAAAGTTCGGAGAGATTCAATCGATCAGCATGAATATGGGAATGGGGCGAAATATGTGACCTGAACTACTCACAAAAGGCATTCTCACATAATGCTGCAAAGCAAGTGAGGACGTTGATTTGAGCTTTTGTCTTGGCCTGAGTCAAACCGAACAAGAAGATTCCCGCGGCAACGGTGAAGAAAGCCATGGCGACCTTTCTTCCACCTCTGCCCCATTCGACAAGGATGGCGGCTAGGATAGATCCAGGAACACCACACGCGGCTTGGTACGTGAATGCAGAGTAGGTCGAGTCGAGTGAGTCTTCGCCCAGATTGGCATTCTTAGCACTGAGGTAAGCACCGAGGAATTGATTGAACAAAGGATAGGCGAGACCGATCGAAGCGTAGATGAAGATGACCAGTGAGGTAGACCATGCGAGTCGAGGGGTACAGAATAACGCTTTGACGTGGTCAAACGAAAGGTCATCAAAAGAGTGACGGAACAATTGCCAAGAAGACATTTTCGTCTTGACAGCAGCGTCTTCACCGTCACTCCCCGCTCCAGCAGCTGCCGCTCCAGCACTGACTCCCGGAGCCGATTTGGTTTCTTCATATCGATGTTGATGTTCAGGATCAAGGTATGGTTCCGCGGCGGATCTCAGGTCGTCCAGCGTCAAACTGGAGACCTTGCCATTGCGCTTGGCGATGAGATGAATGGTATCCACTGCTTCTTGATCCCTTCCAATACTGGCTAAAAACTTTGGCGATTCGTATACGGGTAGGAGAAAGAATCGACCGACCCAGAGGACAATCATCATCGCTCCGAGCGTGTAGAAAGTGTATCGCCAGCCAGAATTGGAGGAACGAGAACAGAATTCGCCAGCAGGAGCTGCAAGCAAGCGAGCGAGAGAGTGTCAGCGACAGAGCTATTCTGGGGGTTCGAGCCCTCGTTCAAGGCTCATGGGGTGGTTTTTCGGGCACCGCACCATACCAACTCACGCGTATCACACCCGTACTTGGCAAGGAATGCCCACTGGGATGTAATGTCAGTCACTACCCGCTACGCTTGATGGTGTCCCGAATGGACTCACCGCTATCAAACTCCCAACCACTTGTCCAATCGCCCACCATACGGATAACAATGTCAGTAGATACTGATGGCTTCCGGGAATGAATTCAAGAAAGAGCGTCCCATCGACCGGTAGATTTCCACCGACTCCAAAGCCACTGTGGGTGAAAAGTCAGGAGATCCCTCCGCTGTGATGAGCCATCTTCGAGCGGGGCTATGTGATGCAGCTACTAGACACTCACATCATCGCGATGAGCGCACACAACGCTATGAAGTTTGGCGCTGCGCCGGCTGCTATCCCGAATATACCTCCAATAACGAGCGTACAGTTCCAAGCGATCTTTCGACTAGGGCATCGAAGGTTAGCGGAGAGTGCTCGGGACGAGTAAAGCCGCCGGCAGACCAGTCAAGGCAAGCGGGGTCTGCCTATCTCCGTATACCTGCCTGAACACTCACCCAACGATATCGCATGAACAGCCCCAGAATGTCGCTCCCAAAATCAAGCCAGCATACAGTGCCAACGAGATGTTTCCGACACCAGGTTGACCTCTGAATTCGTTTCCGATCGAGGGATTCAGGATGGATATGCCTTGAAGCCCTGTCACTCAGGTTTCAGCTGCGTCGTTCGACGCGAGCGCGAAGAGCAATCTACTCACATATATTATCTGCGAACCATCCGAAGCCTGTATCGTCAATCAGTATTGGGTCCCTCGATCCACAGAGCCCTGCAGATACTCCTCTCCCCCCTCTGAGCCACTCACCAGCCGTAAAGAACAATTCGTACTGGAACCTTCCCATCCCAATCTCCTTGATGGCCTCGTTCAATACCTGCACTTTCGCCATGACTGCAGGTTTGATCCCTTGTCCATGTGCCAGCTTGAGTGCCTCGGATGAGTCTTGCGCTTCGACCTGACGACAGGACAGAGGCGAAGAGGACGACATGGTAGAGCTCTTGGGGAGTTTGTCTGATGATATAGCGGCAGTATGTCTGGATCCATCAGACCTAACAGGAGATGGGTCTGAATGAGAGAGGGCTGTCGTTTGGTCCGAGAGACTGTCGGTCGAGGGTCGAGGCTGGGGTGAAGAGGTTCGAGGACGATGCGAGTTCATAGGAGAGCTGTTGACCATGTTTGTGTAAATTTTGGAGGGTGTGATGGATCGACAAAACAGGTGGTCGTTGGTCCAACGTCAAGATGCTCAAATACTCATCGGAGAATCAGTCACCGAGTATCTGCACTTGTGAGTGTGCTCTCGCCTGCACGCTTGCGGGGTAAAACCCATCCAATTCATAAATGTCATATGGTGCTCGCTCACACGGCACTGGGGGGCGAAAGGGCGATGAAAAGTTTTCAAACCCGATGGTCATGTTAGTTAGTTCTCCTCCCTCCGTTTGCGTCTTACGCCACGTACGGCGGGGGGGAGGGTAGGTACATGTGAGGCATTGAGGATCTATTGTCTTTGCAAAGAAAGGCTTGGTGCATCCCAAGCAAAAGGTCCTGAATGGAGTTAGACGGTCGCTGGTCCCAAATCCCGGGTCAGCTAAGTTAAACGCCGCTTATGAAAAGGTTTTGAAAAAAGAAAAATGCCAAGCGGGAATACGCATGCAGCGAGCCAGCTTCGAGCTCACACGAGCAGAGGCAGAGCGACAGTGGGTGAGTCCTCAAAAGGGGGAGCGCAGAGGAAGGAGAATGGCAGCAGCAGCAGAAGCAGACTTGAAGCAGGATTTGCTGCCCACTCGACCGCTTCTCCACGATCAACAAAGGGGTGACCGAGGGATTTTTTGCCCGATCAGCGGCGATAAGATAAAAGGAAAAATTCGGGCATTTTGATTTGTTCACTTTCGGTCCGATGAACCCGAATGTCGGCTATCTATCCTGGGATGATATCATGGGTCGGGTGAATGGCGCTTGGACTTGAGCTCATCAGATAGATCCCATGCAATGGTTCAAAGACGGATCGATGCGTATTCCCAAGGTGGAAACTACAATCCCAATTCTATCAGATGCCCGCGCATCAGCCATGCCGCGCGCGCTGTGCTGCCCAAAGCCTCTTTCGACCAGACCTCGCACCACCTTGTTGGTCCTATTGTCGTCCCCTACGCAATGACTTTTTGACCCTCCGCCTCCTTCTCTCCATTGACCACACCCTGCCATTTGGGTACTTTGACGACCCAATCCTCTTTCTCTATACGTCCACGCTGAATGCCCGTGATGGTATCCCGGAGAATCTTGACGACGGGATGATAAGGGATAGAAATGAGTCGACCACGGTACTGGATCTCTCGTATAGAGACGACAACGACGCCAGTCCCACAGCCGAACATACTGAAAAAGGGGCGAGGAAGACGAGAGTCAGCGAGAAAGCCACGCGGATCGAGCGTAAAGGGTAATGCAGGGGACAATGAGATGTGACGTAGGACACAGTGCGCGTAGTAACCAATTGCCCATAACCCACAACCCTCTCGCTGACAAGCCTATGTCGAAGCCGATAATCTCCCTCACTCACCCTTTCAGACTTCCATCCTCAGCACCGTCCATGATATCCTTCATGGGAATATCCCTCTCGACCACTCGGATATTCTTCGGAACACCTTCCAGTGGGAACTCCTTCTTCCCAGACGCATGGTCCTTCAAGAGGGAGATGATGGAGGCACGGGTGATACCGGGTAAGACGATCCCGTTGTCCAGGGACATGGTCACGAATTCGAGGACTGAAACGAAAGAGGGGTTAGCCGGCCGGCCAGTTTTTGTTTTTCTTTCCTCTTCAGAGATCCTCTGAGGACTCGGAGCCATCAGATTCCTAACGCACTCACCTCCATCGCTGGCCTCTTTGAGAATGAAGACGTTCATCGCGCCCGCCTCGGAGACGAAATCTTCTGAGCCATGGAGCCATAAAGACATTTGGAAACCTGGCTTCTTGGCAATATTGACGACGCCTAGAGGGCAATTTCAGCGACGAATCGCGTTTCGAGAAAGAATCTGGCAGGCTGGAGAGAGTTGAAGCGCTCCCTGCCTTGACCAGCGTGGGCCTCGTCCTCGACTCCAAGCCCCCCGTGGCGACCACCCCAACTCACCATAATTCGCTCCAACCTTGTATTTCCCCGTACCGTTCGACCAAGCTCTGACATAGTTCGGATCCGCATCGACTCTGAGACCGGTTTCTGCCTTTTCTGAACTCGCGTAGAGGCCCTTGCCAAGGTTAAGCGTCGTGACGATGTACATGAGCGCTTCGCCTGCATTGCCATCTTCTTTGATTCCGAAGGATTCGGACGTCTCGATGAGCGTTGGGCGGATGTACAGGGAGGCCCCGTCCTCTGAGGGTACGATGGGGGCTTCTACGGAGGGAGAAATGAGCAAGGCCAGCGAGAGGAGCGACGAGCTAGACAGATCTCTCCTACTCCACTCATGGGCGGTCGTGGACTGAACCCGCGTTGTCGCTTCTACTGGACCCTACACTTACCCAAAGCGAGCAGCTTGCACAAGAGATCCAGTAGCTCAGCATTGTCCCAGTCACTCTGTGCATGGTCAGCAAAGGGATTCGACTCAGCCTTGCCCTTGCTCGGCTCGACACATTTCACTCACAGGTAGACCCATCCTTGCAGCTGAGACTTTGAACCTGTTGAAGTTCTCGTTGGGTCGAAAGAGTGTCAATTCGCCAGACTCAGTCTTGTAGCACTAACGGAGGTGTGTCAGCGATGCCTCGTAGGCGACAGCGTAGAGCAATTAGAGTGTGAAAGGGCGGGCAGAGCTGTGGCACTCGAGGGCGAGACGATCTCTTCCGCTTGCTCGCCATGTTCTCGCGACTCGTGCCGCTCGCTCCGCTGCGCTCGATGCAAATCCGCCAACCCACCTTCATCCCCTCGAAACAAGTCACTGCATATTGCGTGACACCACTGAGCGGGTCGATCGAGATATCGGCCCGGGGCACGATCTTCGCTTGACCCCATCCTGACGTCTTGGACCACGGCACCTGGAGCATATAACTTCCATGCGCTTCTTTCCCAGGTAAAGGCACATGAGATGCTGGTAAAGGGTGAAAGAAGAGCGGGGAGGCTCGGAATGGAGCGGAAGTGAGGGAGGAGGAGGAGGCGGCGGCGGTGGAAGAGGAGGTGGTGGTGGTCATCCTGATTCGTCTTGGGATCCGACCCAATGAGACTGAGCTCCAGCTTGAGTGTCAAATTGACAAGTGCCGACTCGACATTTCAACTTTTTTGGACCAAGTCATTGTCTTTTTCTTTTTTTTCGGGCCACGTTTTCCAGCTTGGGCGGCGGGTCTGTACATCTGAACGACATAGGTCTGATAACATGGCTGAGGCTCGTCCATCTGTCGCGTATACTTTCTTCAATGAAGGACCTTGTGAGATGACATCGTGTCGGTCGAGGCGATCACAGATACCTACAGCAGCGGCTGTCCTAAAGGGGAGTTTCTGCCACTCGACTCCTGCCCAACAAGTCAAGGGCTTCGCTTTGGCAGCGGGGACTTGCGCGCCTGACACACCTCTGAATCAACGCAAGTATTGTTTGTGATATACAAATGAATGACCAAATGACTACAACGCCGCCCCCTCTGTATGGGCATCTTCTGCCATATCATTGGTTGAAGATGCGATGCATCAGATCCCCTCGATGCCACAAGAGCACCCCAGTAGTCATCTTGGCAGGGAAGAAGTGACATTATCGCCCACTGTCCAGAAGCGAAGACGGGACATCATGTTTCCATCCTACGTTTCTTCTTTCGGAGCACTGTATGCGCAAGGAAGGCAGATAGGAGTAAAGCTAAGCTTGCGTGAATCGCTCGCCTCGGACCGCTTTCCCCGGAGCCACAAGAGGATCAACTTTTTGGTCCCGTTTCTTGAACCCCGCAGCGAATTTTGGAAGACATCTCTGTCGAAGCATTTTGTTTTAAGGGGGAGGGCTCCTCCTGCGACATAAGCTACAGACATTCGCCGTCGTCCTCTTGATCATCAGCTCGTCTGACGCCGTTGGGTACCATGCGAATCCAAATGACACCTTTCTCACCATGTCAGAACCGACACCCTTCGTCACTCACTCACCCATTCCCAGCGATTCTTGGAAGGGGGGTTGACTGTGAGTCTATCTGTGGCTCCCTATTCCCCTTCTCAGCCCAAGATCCACTGACCCCTCACGACAGGCCGGCCCCCTCACGCTATCGTTTCATAGCCCCCCTCCTCCTCTATTCACCTCGACACCCCACCTCCTCACCATTCCACCGTCTGCGCGATGCGCTGATCCTACGTCAGCCCACGTGGTAGCCCGTGCCACATCGGGTCTGTCTTGACTATTGGATCTCCATTAGATCTCCCCATTAGAAACTGTTTCTAATGGGGAGTCCATTGATCCTAATGGGGGGTGTCCCAGCCGGGGTTACTCAAAGTGGCAATAACGTTGTGTGTGTGTCTGTCTAAATTTTTTGCCACTTTGAGAATTTCCCCCCCTCTTTTACCCTGTCAACAAGCCGTTTACCCACCCACCTTCTTTTCTCATCCTCCCCCTTCCCATCTTTCCCTCTTCTATCCATCCATCCATCCATCCATTGGACTCATATCACATCCCAATCATCGTTCTGTCTACTGTCAACACAAAGCTGGGGACTCTCGGGGAAAGACTGAAGGGGTTGGGAAATCTGTGGAACGAGTGGCGAGGGTGAGGACAGGAAGATTGGACGCCCTTCTTCTCTTCTCGTGTCCCTCCGCCTTTCCGCCGCGACACGCAACGGCCCCTTCCGCATCTCATTATAGCTACCGATTCAACAGGCGAGGACACCTTCTATCATTTGGCCACCAGGCTGCTTGCTGCTGCTTCTCACCGTCAAGCTCAACCTGCATCCACAAGTCATACGTCCCACGGTGTGTCACATCGCATCACGCGTAACATACATCGACACCTCATGGCCCACGCCGTCACACATTCCTCGACGGTTCAAGAGAGAGATAAACAAAGAGTCATCATCTCCATCTGTTGACGAGATACTCGAGTGGAGGAGAAACATCTCGAAGTGAGAAGCGGAGTGGATAACTGGGATCGTCTCAACGCGTCGTGGACAAGCGAGCTGGACGTTTAAGGCGAGAGCGGAGCGAGAGGATTGAGCGAGGAGGACTCAAGACGGTGCCGGACTGAAAAAAGGGTCATCAAAAAGCAAGATCAGAAACTTTCTGGTCTCAGGGGGGTCCCATTCTTTCTTCTTCACAATCATCGATCCAGCGCACCTTTCTGGACCTCTTGCCATGTCCCAACTCCACCTGCCTGATCCACATCGAGCACCTTCAGCCGCATCTCACATCTCTTCATCGTCTCACAGAGACAAGATGGACGGCATGTCGAACGGCTCCGCTGGACCTGGACAGGTTGGCGAATCTCACGATCCCTATTCTCATTCTACACCCCTTGCACCCCTTCCTTCCATGGCTTCTTCTTCCAACCCCGCCTTGTTTTCCAACATCAACCCTGCGGCTTATCTTCCTCAAGTCACTTCATCGCCTCCACCTCACGTCCCGACTTATATCCCACCACCTCAACATGCCATGGCTCCTGATCCCATCCACGATGGTCATATGGCCGGTGGTGGACCCAGCATGATGCCTTGGTCAGGTGCCCAACCTTCACTCTCACATCCCTGGGCTCAGTCTAATGGATACGGCGCGATGCCACCTCCTCCACCCAGAGGGATGATGCAAGGTCAAGCAGCTCGTCTACCTCAGAATGGACCTTCGGGTATGCCTCTGAGTCCGACGGAGCCGTACCCTTCGCGCGGCTCAGTTCCACTCGGTGCATATTCTCAACATGCCATGATGGGACTCGGAGGGCGACCCGGTTCAGGACATGGAGATGGGAGGGATAGGCGGCGAGATAGGCACAGAGATGAGCAGGACAGAGATGAAAGGGATAGCAGGGAAGACGAAGTCATCACGACCATCTTTGTGGTCGGATTCCCAGATGACATGGGAGTGAGCTGGGCTGTTTTTGTCTCATGTCTGCGGACGCTGACGTTTTGATTAGGAGCGTGAATTTCAAAACATCTTCACGTTTTCCCCAGGTTTCGAGGCTGCGACACTCAAGTTTCCCTCTGGAAGTAGACGAGAACCAGCCGCTGCTCTCCTCGCTGAACTCTCTCAGATCGCCGCGAACCAACAAGCCGCCGCTGCGGCCGCTGGAGAACATTACGAGATACCACCTACTCAACCTGCTCTGGAGGAAGCATTGGCAGCACTGCAGATGGGTGGAACAGCTTCCACTTCATCCTCTACTACACCCTCCGCAGCCATGTCGATGACCCCTTCTGCGCCATCTGGAGCCACGTTCGGATCTTCCGTATTGCCTCAATTACCTAGTCGACGGCAGACGATCGGATTCGCACGATTTAGAACGCGTGCGGATGCTCTCGCTGCGAAAGAGCATCTCCAAGGCCGAAAGATCGATACGTTGACCGGAGCCACGCTCAAAGCGGAGATGGCGAAAAAGAATCTGCATCAGAAACGAGCGACATCGGGAGAAGAATTGGTCGGATTGTTATTGAGGTCAGGAAGATTGGCTGGCTTGATGAATCCCAGTGCCACGGCTGCTGCAGCGGCTGCTGCCGCCACAGGATCGGGCTCAGCTGCACAGATGTTGGGTATAGGCGTTCAAGGTCAGCCTACGGCGGTTCCAGGACCATCATCGCATATCATGGGACCTCCACCGATGCCAAATCACCCGTCAGGTCATCCTCATTCATCAGCCGCTACGGCGAGAGATGCTTGGAATTCTTGGCCCGGACAACAGCAAGCTCCATCGGATGATCGATATCCTCAGCCCGGCAGCTTCGTGTACCCCAATTCACTTTCAACCAGCATGCCCAGTCACCAACAGCCGTCTCAGCAACCTCCGTCCTCTCAATCGAATGCATCGACATCTCCGCCCCTCAGTGTCAAGTCACCAAATGCCCGACCAACCGACTCAAAAGCTCTTCTTGCGCTCGCCGAGGAGGCCGATGAGCTGGAAGATTGGCCTTTGAGCGGAACTGCGACAATGGGAATGGGGATGGACGGCTTCGATCAGAACAATGCCAACCATGGGCACTCTTCCGGCATAAATGGCCCAAACTCTGAGAGTGCCGCCTCACGATCTCGTGAGAGGTCTTCCACGAGCTCCCACGCTGGCGATCCGAATCTTGCATTCTCCCCCATTTCTAATCATCCGTCAGTCAATTTGATGGACGCAAGTGGCAACATGCGAGTTCATCCCAATCAGTATGCTCCATACGGTCGTGCAGACGGCGCAACGTCGGTGGGAGATGCTGCCATGGCCAGCAGTCCACCTGGTGGGAGTGATCGCCTTAGTGAGGGAGGAAGAATGTTGGGCGGCAATCCTGCCGACCAGAACCCACCGGTATGTCTGAGACACACTGACCATGTGTCCATGTGCTGACTTTCCCGTTTCAGATCAATACGCTCTACGTTGGTAACCTGCCTGCTATTTCGCCTCCCACGCATCCGCCAAACTTTCTCGAAGAGTCTCTCCGGGGTCTGTTTTGCCGATGCCCAGGATACAAACGCATGTCTTTCCGACAGAAGATCAATGGACCCATGTGCTTTGTCGAATTTGAAGAGGTGGCATTTGCATCTCAAGCCATCAAAGAGCTTTACGGTCACAACCTTGTAAGCTGGCGAATACAGGTTGGTTGACGCAGCTCACACTTGCTCACTCAGGGCGGTCTCGTCAAGGGTGGGATTCGATTGAGCTATTCTAAAAACTCGCTCGGTCAACGTGGGAATGGTCACCCTTCAAGTGGCAACCCTACCATGTTTGGAGGAATCGCTCACACCGTCGCTTTGGCAGGCATGTCACCTTCATCCAGTGCCAAGCATCTTCACGGTGCTTCCGCAGCTCCACCCTCATCCGCTACGACCCATTCGTTTGGTCTTCAACTCTCTAATGGCTCTTCATCCTCTCCGATTCCCATGCCAGACTTGCGGCGAGGTAGCGAAGCCGTTACGGCTCTATCACCCACAGCTCAGCCTTTCAGCCTAGGGACAAGTGCCAACTCGGCCGCGTCGGCCACATCTCCTCGCGCCCGATATTTCGGTTCGAGTCCCTCTGGCCATTCAGGTCATTCAGCTTCCGCAAATGATCAAGCGTACTCTTATGCCAGTTCAGCGCACAGTAACGGTGGTGGAAGCACGGGCGGCAACACTACTGGAGGACCCAACGCCACCTCCGCGGTTGGTGGACAATTCTCGCCCGTCTCGCCACCTATTCGAACTCCGGCCTCGTTCGCCTGGGTCTCGTCCGGACAAGGAAACGGCACAGCCGTCGGAAATGGAGGCTATGGATTCAACGCGACTCCTTGGTCTAGCACCACCATGTGATCGACCGACTCACACTATCAATTTAACTCTTTGCTTTGGAATATTACACTGTATCTACCTTTTTCCCGTGTTTCGTCCATCGACTCGCAGCATCGATTAGCCCGGTTCTCGACCCTCAATTATTGCAGAAAACCATCCAACTATCCAGCCCTTGTCTACATCCGTTCATTCTTGGAAACCTCATGTCTATACAATCTCAACCTAACCTTTTTTTCTCCTTAAACCCACAACCATCAGCTCACCTGCATGTCCTTCTTGCCCGCTCCTAGTCGATCTTGGCTCGGCTTTTACCTCTTTCGCCCTTTTCCTGCCCTATACAGTACCTTTTCAACTCGCATCGATACATTCCCTATTCTGTTTCGGATAATATCACTCGACTGCTCACTATCTGCCTTCCTTGGCCGCCTCAGAACAACTTGCACTATAGACGGGATCTCAAAAACCTCAACTTACCTATCCTCTTGACTTCACCAATGTCACCTCTTTTGGAGCAGCACACTGGATGTAAAGAGATGAAAGAATGCATATTACATCACATCATTGCTTCATTGCGCTTCGCTTCCCTTACCTCCTTTACCCCACATGATCCGCTGAAATCTCGAGGCGTGTTTTTTCTCCATCGCTCGCGTCCGTTTCCACCTGGCGATCCGTCTCGAAAGCGTCGCGGCTCCCCATTTGAGGTATGAGAACGAAAAGACGATGAAGAAACCGACAGTGCAGGGGATAGCAATCTTCCAAAAGTAAGATACGGGCCCTTGAAGCTGGTCAAAGCCAGTGAAATTCTGAGTTAAGGCGGACAGTGTCAGCTGAGAACACCGCTTGGCGCGTGGTCGAGGTCTTACCATTCCAAAGTAGGAGGCCTGTCGATGGGTGGACTCAGTTAGCTTGATCAAAATCATCCCGCTCGCAGATCTCACGATGAATGTCAGGGCTGATCGGGCATCAGCGTCAAGTCTCAGAGGAGGAACAAGACTCACGCAGAAACACGACAGTGACAATACTGAGCCTCTCCATAGACCCATTCGTCTGAAAAGAGAGGACATTCTTGACGGGGGAAAAAACGTCATTCAGTTACCAGGCAACCGAGCGGTCCACGTCCCACTCACAAACACGTAACCCGTCAGATGCTCGCAAGTCCCTATGAACTGATCCAAGGAGCTGATGGCATTCTCCACATGATCAATCACATCGACCATATAGATCTTCGCCATGGGACTGAAAAATCCCACTTGGGTCCCATTGTCAGTCAAGGCGGACGAAGGGTTGGTATTGACGCTGAGGGAGGATATCGGATTGCCCTTCTCGATCATTGGCGTAGCGGTTCGACTGGGAGCCAGGGAGAACCCCCCCTCTTTGGATATAGCCGATAGAGTGGAATCGGTTGGATGACCTTGACCCTTGGTCGGGGCTATGGCTGCGGCCGCTGATCTTTGCGAGTCATAGTCTCGGATGGTAGATGTCAGTCTGAGGATAGGGAAGAGGGATCGTCTAAGCCGGATCAATTGAGATGATAGAACATGTAGATGTCGGACGATTTGCATCTGAATCCGTCAACAAGACACCTTCATCTCTGCTCAGCCAAACCCCTGCTCACAGATGGATCGACGAGGACAGACGCCTCTAGATTGAGAATCTCTGCTTCGAATGTGGAAGAGACTTCCAAAGCCAGATCGACGGCTGTGAGGGGCAGCCTTTTAGCTTCGCCCTCGACAGGACGCTTGTTGGACAGCTCACAGACATCAAGGAGGGCCTGAGCCAGCATGCTGACATCCTGAGATGACCTCAACAGACTTTCGGGATCCTCCAGACGTTCATAGATGGGATCGAGGGCATCCCCGATCGGATTATCCATGAATGTAATCATCGTACCTGGCCAAGGTCAGCTTGTAAGGTGATATTTAGCTCACCGTCCCTGGTCATGAAAGCACAGAGCATGGCTCGTCGTATGGGTATCATATACTTGGCAGTGAGTTGAGCAATGATCAAACGATGGGCATCTCGCTGGTAAGGCTGCGAACAATATTAGAAATGCTTTCAATCCGCGAACGGACCTTTGGAGGTCTGGTCAATACCGGTGAACTAGCCAGAGTCGGTTCAAAGACTCCCTGTATACCGGGAGGTAATGAATGACTCCTCTTTGCCTTTCTCCTTCCCTCCTCTTCGTGTCCTTGTGCCCAAGCTGAATTGCCTGACCTCGCCATACGTTCGTCCAAGCCTCCTTGATGATGATGAGAGTCCGATACACCATGCTGCTGCCTCCTCTCTGCAGTTGCAAGCCCATCAAGCACATTGAACCTCTCTTCCATCTTTCCCAAGGCCATCTCATCCGCTGCTTCTGCAAGGACCGTCTCGTCACGCAACGTGACGTGCTGTATCAAGACTTGAAAATAGAGGTGAGTTTTGTAGAAATCAATTTTAGATCGGTGAGAGTTTTCGGCCTGCAGTGCGTCTTCGACTGCCAACGGATGGAGACTATCATGGATCAGAGAAGCGTCTTCAGGTAGGATCCGGCCGGCCGGCTCACTTGTATCGCATGGTCAGAGTTTTGATGACTTGCCAATTGAGTTTGTTAACATGGACTGTGAGGTGATATATTAATCGAGTGAACAGACTCCACCATCTACATTACTCACTCCATCGTACGCCATAGGGTTTCCCATCTTCAGTGTTGACCCTCTCACCATGCTCCGAGTCGAGCCAAGCAGAGAGCTGAGAACCATCAAAGTCTGCCCGTGTGTTTCTGCCGTCCTTATTGGAGCAATAGTCCAAGACCTGAAAGTCATCATCAGCATGGGACATAGCCCCCCCCCCCCCCATATTATTGATGACCTCACCGTGATATGCGATTCGTCGGTCAGGTGCCCATAAGCCGCTTCATCCCTTCTGCTCCTGACATCCACACCTGGCTCATCTCCCGTTCTAGTATTCAAAAGTTGCCCGGAAGAAAGCCAACGATATCTAGCTCAAGGGGTCAGACAAGGTCCTCGTCGGATTGTCATGAGAAGGGGACAGGGAACAGACTTACCGTGCCGATGGTCCGCCATTCAATGGCGAGGTTGAGTTGAAGGACTCGCCCGAACCAGGTAGCCGTGCACCTAGTTCCGGTGGAGAGCTTGAGGAATTAGAGCCTGAACCAGCAGCGGAGACGTGCGGAGATGTGTGTGACGCCATCCTGTGAGCCGCCGTCACGGCGAGCGCCCGCGTTCGGAACGAAGCTGAGATACATGAGCAATGACTACAAACAGAAACAGCGGCGACATACACGACAAAGGCTTGAGTATCGGTCGTGACGACTCGCCGTTGATCTCTGACTGGAAGGTGGACATCTGGGATGACCGTACGCAGGCGAGGTGCCTGGGCAGTATACACACAGGTCGAGTGGATTGAATAGACAAGAAAAGCGACGATCTCAAGAGCATCAATCTGAGACTTCGAATGCTGTCGCACAGGGCTTCAGATGCTCATCTGCAACGTCTAATGTATGAATGAAGATGACCAGCTAGTGATGATAAAAATGACATAACTTTGGCACTTGTTTCCGCGTTGTCGGACCTGTCTCGGGGCAAATCTCACGTGGCGTCGGATCACATGGGGTGATGGTATGAGGCTGATGACGGCGTGGTGTGCATATAGACAGTATCTACAGCAATTGGTGTTATGCTACAATGGACGGACCTAGTCGAGGTTCTCCCATCCCATGTCCTCGACGCTCCAACCAAAGACCACTCGCTCCTTTTTCATCTTCTCGGCGTAGTCGACCAGAGACGTCGTCTTGCCTGATTCCTTGTGGATCGCAGAGAGGGCGTCGTGATCAGCCTGATCAAGCTTGACAATCTGGATCGCAGGCGTCAGTCTACATCACAGTCACGTCTTGTCACTCGCCTCGAAGTTTGCCTTGAGTCTAGCGGGGTTGGATGACTTGGGCACGGTGTTCCAGTTGGGTCTCTGGGCAACCCAAGAGATGAGAATCTGTAGGAGGGTCAGCTGTAATGTCCCAGAAGCTCAATCTCACTTCACTTACCGTGCCGGGTTGTGTGTCGTACTTCTTCGCGAGCTCCTTGACAAGCGGTTCATCAAGGATTGGAGAAGACTTGCCAGAGGCCGGTTGACCCAAAGGCGAGTAAGCGGTCAGGACGATCCCCTTGTCCTTGCAGTACTTGTCAAGCGAAGCTTGAGGCAAGTAAATGTGAGATTCGACCTTGGGATGCGTCAGTATTCAGCTGGAAGTACATGGCGTCTTGGGATACCTGATTAGCGGCAGGAACGACCTTGGCCTCCTTCAGGAGGATCTCGAGGTTCTTCACGCTGAAATTTGAGACCCTGGCGATACGTCAGCTCCGTCAAGCGCTATTACAGATAACCTACCCGATGGCCTTACATCGTGGTCCAACGAGCTTCTCCATGTTCTTCCAGGTATCAACAAATGTAGGTGATTGTCCCTTGGGGATCGTCTTGCCCGTTTCGGGATCTTCACCCTGAGGCCAGTGAACAAGCTATTAAGGGCAAAAATTCAGCCTGTTGTGTCATGTCATGTCTACGAGGAGTCTCACGAAGAGATCAATGTAGTCAATGTTCAATGCCTTGAACGACTCCTCGAACCCTTGCTGGACTTTCCCATGATAAGAGTTGCTGCGGCGTTAGGCAAAACTCAATACCAAAAGACTCCTCACGTCAGCTTTGTAGTGACAAAGATCTCCTGGCGAGGGATTCCACTGTCCCTGACCGCCTTGCCGACGGCCTGTTCATTCCCATATCCAAAGGCAGTATCGATATGCCTGTACCCGTATTTGAGGGCGTTGGCCACCATATCATAGGTTTCCTGATTCTCAGCTTCGACAGGTCGTTGGAACCAGCAGCTGACATCGTACTTTAGTATGGAACCTCTACGCTCCACCACCACTCACCCGACACCGACAGCTGGCATCTTTGCCCCCGTGTTGAGGGTGCAACTGTGTACGGCAGCACGAGACATCTTGCCGAGTTTGTTCAGAATAGACGAAGAAATGGTGGTAGTGTGAGGCTTTCCTCTGCGTTCTTCTTATGATTGGCTCAATGAGATGTGAGGTTCAAGAGAGGTCGAGGGGTCATCGGTGTGTCATCACGAAGGGACTCTCTGAGGTGGAGGTCCAGAGTGGAGGTGCTTTTATCAATTGTGGCGAGTCCATGTGGCACCTCATTCATCACATGCATTGGGCATTCGATCTCTATATGGGGCTCGAAAAGGAGCCTTGAGGGTGCAGCAGAAACCTCAGCTTCATGCAGTTCCAGTATCCAGCCCTTCTGCCTCCTTCCACCTGGTTGCCAAATTCTTCCGGGCTTGAAGCTTGCCGAAACGTGTCACCTCCGTCTCGGACAAGAAGGCTGAGAGTTGACTCGCTTTTGTAGCGTCGTCGGGGAGTTTCTCCCATAGAACCCGCTGATCTTGCAGCCTGAGCAGCTCCGATTCCTCCTCTTCGTTGAGCTTCAGATCATCATATCCATCCCAGAGCTCGGTAGCGTCATCACAGGCGAAAACCGCAGACTCCGCCAGCCTGGTATCAATGGCGAGTGGGCCCAAAATATTTGGAACGTATTCCTGGTAGGTGTTCGCTTCTTGGATGAGCCCCTTCACACTGTCTTGTTGATTCAAGCTATATAGAAATGCACTTGAAAGAGCATCCAAATTCCCTTGGTCATAACCATTTGCCTTCAATCCTTCTTCATACTCAGTTGTCAGCTTTGATGCCTCGTCGTCAATTGCTTTCAAAGAGCCGAAGAGCAGGACCTTGAATTGAGCCGTTTCCACACCACTGAGAAGGTTCCGGAAGGAAGTGGAAGCCTCCAAGACTCCCTCTGAGAAGTCGGGGAAGATCTTCATCATCTGTGGGTGGGAGGGAGTTCAGTTCTTCGAAACCGGGAAGCTCATCGTCAACAAAGTCTGCAATACTTTTCATCGAGTCGGTGTCCTTCGTGCCTCTTGCTACGATATCCGTGCATCCGTCCTGATACATCTTGAGGTTTCTATATCTATCTTGCTCCTCTTGGATATTCTCTTCGCTCTCAGGCAATTTGCCCCTAGCTTTGGCCGACATTTTGACCGTAACATCACTGCCAGACGAGATATCCGTTCGGTCACTCATTGTCAGGGAAAGGGATGGTTATAGCCAGATGCTTGTATGTTCTCGACAAGTCACGCAATAGGCAGAGGGAAGACAGAGGAACTATCAATCCATGTCGAGCACCGTTGTAACTTGTACCATATATATATTAAATCCTGTCAAGTAACCGGAGCATTCCTGTCCAGCCACCCTCGGTCATTGACCCTCGGTCATGCCCGCCATCTCCGCTCGACCATGGATTGTGCAGTATCATGACACTCATTGCTGCGGATTATTGAAATGCAACAAGGGCGTGTGTTGTGTGTTGTATGTTGTATGTTGTATGGAGAGAACGTATGCCAACGCAAGACTCTCCCCTTATCTTGTATACACTCTGGGTATGCCTTCCATGAAGTCTAGCCTCAGAGGCGGGTCGCCTCCTTACTCCTACGGCTATCCACGGCCATGATCGTGCATCCTCCAGAAAGGATGTTGTGGGAAATGCGACGAGCAGGGTCGAGAAGGCGTAAGAGAGCGTGAGAGCCGCGAAGTTGACATCGACTGTCCTTTCACACAGATTTTCTGCAGAGACCTTCTGGTTACTCAGCAAGCGTGACAGGGTGGGATCTCCGCGTTCTTGGATCGCCAGACCGCGCGGACCTCCCTTGAAGCCGATGTCGCGTGGGATAGAAACACAGAATCTTTGCGCTACGCAGAGTAAGAGGAAGCAGTCTATCTCACCCAAATCGAAGCGTCTTTACAGTCGGTATGACTGGGACTAACAATGCACGAGAAGCACGACCCGGCTTCTCACGTCCCTGCGAGGTCTTCAAAACGTAGCCGATCCTTAGCCTTCTTTATTCGAAGGACGATACGCGTCATCGCTTGTCTTTTCGGTTGCGCCAATGCTTGAGGACGAGATACCGGTGCCAGACCTCACACTCTTGGATCGGATCAAGTCTATCCCAGAGCTTTGAAGCAGTGCTAGCTACTGAGCAACTCTCCTCGGCAAGGACGTTACCGATGGGGAATCGGCTGCAGTTCAGGACATAGCGCCTTCGTGGCAACCTGGTTTGGGGAAATTGAGATGCATCACGTCTTGCATATAGGGTATGTACAGTACGATGTCGAGGCTGTGAAGGACACGATCTATCGGACGCTGATCGGGTTCGCGAACCATCCTACTCTGAATCAGGATCTTTCAAGATCTTCAGCAAGAGTCTTCGTTTTTGCAGAAGCGCGTACGAATGCTCTTCCTCCGTCGTGATATGCGCTGAGGGTCGAGCTAGTCCCACGGGTATGCTGTTGAGGAACTCGCGCTTTTTTTCATGGGCGATCAGCTCGCTTTGTTCACCTTTACTGAGCTCAAGTCTATCCCAGAGCTCTGAAGCACTGCTAGCTACTGAGCAAATCTCCTCGGCAAGGACGTGACCGATGGGGAATTCATGCAGAATATCCGGGAGGTGCTTCTTGTACGTTTCTGCTTCTTTGATGAGTCTTTGCATGTCGGATGTTTGATCAAGTTCATCTTCGTAATGATCCATGTGCGTTGTCACGGATTGGTCTCTGGAGGAGCTGCCATCTTTCAATTGAGCTTCGAGAAGACTTCGGTAGCTGGCTTTCATTTCTTTAGCCTTGCCTTGAACAGCTTGCAAGGATTTGTAGAATGTGTCTTTGAGCTGGGCCTTGTCGACCCGTTTTAACAGGTCCGCAGTGCATTTGACGCTTGAAAGATCCTCTGGATCCAGAGTGAGGACAAGTTTCTTAATATACTTGTGAGAGCTGAGCTCGGGAAAGTCAGGCAACTCAGTCTCGGCCAAGGTCTCGATCGTGTCTTGACTTTCCCCTCGTATAATTGCGTCCCGGTAACGTTTGAGCGCTTCGAAAATTTCTGCATCTTCCGTGTCTATTTCCATCTTGTCACCTCCCGTGTCATCTTCCACCTCTGTCTTCTCATCACCCGCGGCGTTGAGGGATCGGTGTTCCTGGGAAGTGGGGGAGACCCGCATCGTTCTTACTCCTTCTGTCACCGTTTGCGTGTTGACAGCGCCATCACTTGCATGCGTTTCGCAACTGTTGTCACTCATTCCGTGTGTGTGCTGAAGTGCCGAAAATACGTTATATACTGTCAAGTGGTGTATTGTACTCTGGAAATGTGTATGGGAAACGAGAAGCCAGTCTCTCATACCTGTTATATACCAGATGTCTCGGGTATCCTGCAGCTCTTCTTGAAGGGAGACATTCCGGGACCTCACGGGTATACACGGCTAGTAGTGTTCTCCCACGGTTGAAAGGAGACCTTGGGAAAGTGCGGTCCAGCAGAGGTTCTCTAGGCGTCAAAGGGTCTGGATGTGTCGAAGAGTCTCTGGATGGGCCGAGTTTCGCCTTCTATGACAAGTCTACCTGGCAGAGGATCGCCTCGACGGCCAGGGGGACCAGTCTAACCCCATCTTGCCCTGTTACACCGCGCAAACTGTGTTAACCCCCAGACTTTGAGTGGGGTCTGTAACGGAGAGCTTCATGCTTCTTGCGACAGGCATAAGAAGAGAGAACTGGACCCAGCATGGAGGTATTCACCGCGGGTCGTGAGCTCAAACTCGCCTTGCCCCCTTCTGTGCGGTCGCCGAGACCAAAAACTTCCTTGCCTGAAGGAACTCCCATCCACAACTTGCAACGGTCCTCTTTCTCTGTCAACTGTTCATGCCTTGCTCCATTCCTTTGCGAGAACCAACACGTGGAATGATTCACAAGGTGTGACTCGGACAGCATCATTGCGGTCACAGGGACACTCATCCATCACGTTTTCTGGGGAACCTTCGATCAGGGACTCTGTGTGAGAGGGATACTGGCTAAATCTGAAGCGGCATATGTCATTCAAATGTCCCATGTTCGTTGTCTATGGCCATGCCCCGGCTATCTCATCAGGGACGGAGGAACACGGTGAACGTTTCACTTGCTTTCTCCAGCTCTTGTCGGATGTCAAGGGACCTAATGAATATCGGCTGCAGTCCAGGACATAGCGCCTTCGTCCACAAAGGTGTCAGGGGCAGGACATTCTCTCAGCAGATGAGATCTTGAACGCTCTCCAGTACTGAGGCCCAAACTACCGTCAAAGGCATGCATGCGACAGGGTCCGACCAGTGCACTCTAGCACCGACGTGCTTCTAGCTACCTTGGCCTGAAAGTCGCGCCCGCAGGCTGAGTCTCCTGTACTCCTGCTGTCTGCCCTCAGAAAAGTACGTCTGGGATCGCTGGAGCTCTTCGGGCAGTTTCGCAACTACATTTGACATCCGTCCCAGCTCCAGCAATGTTTTCTGTTCTTCATCGTCGAGGCTTTTGGTGAGCCATGGACCCAGGTCATCCGGAGTCTCGGTGATCGAAAAGATCTCTACACACAGCTCCCGGGTCATCTCATGATCTCCAAAGATATCGGGGATGAGGGACCTGTAAGATTCCGCCTCGTTGACGATCTCTTCGACAGCCTCGGAAGCTTCTATGCCTTGAGTCTGATCGTAGTCCATCATCAGCCCCTCCAAGGTAAAGTCGTCCATGCCCAACTCTGACAGTCGGTGCCATTGCGCTTCACGCTGGGATCCCTGTTGATCTGCAGCGTATGCAACTTCGCGGAGGGCATTGTATAGCAAGAGCTTGCGGGTTTCCATGTCCATCTGGGACGTGATGCCTTGAATATCCAATGCTCTTTCCAAGACACTGTCTGCGATGTGGGGAAACGTTTTGAGCATGGTCATCGTTGTGAGGTCAAATTCGCTGAGTTTCGTCTCTGCGAATCTGAAAGCCTCCGTCGTCAAGATATTCAAATGAGAGAGATCTATGGGCCCCTCTGCATTAGCCAAGCTTGCATTGTACTCGCTTTCAATCCCAGCGCATAGTTCCTTGAAGTGTTTCAGGGCCCGAAATGTCGGCGTCTCATCGTCACGCTTTGGTTTCTTGCCTTCCCGTTTGCTCAGTGAGGTCTTTGATGGATCTTCAGAGCCTTGACCGTTGTCGTTGTTATCACTAGCGGAAGACACCTTGAGACTATCCGACCCAGTGGCCAACGTCCACCCTGTTCCACCTTCGCTCATGCTTTATAGTAGGGTCAGACTATGATTTCGAAAGCTGCCAGGAAGAAGTGGAAGACACAGAGTAAGTGTCCACGATAGCTTCCTGTTTGATAAGACATCGCACGCCATACTCACCCATAAGCCAATCAGAATGGAGTGACCGCATCCTACATTCAAAGGATTTCACACGACGCTGTCAAGTTTCCACATCAGCGACAAGGCTCGACAAAGCAAGTAATACTCTGGCCGTCCCCACGTATTATGCTCCACCTTTCATGGGAGAGACGACCGCTGGAGTTTGCGAGAAATGTCGATTTGTCTCCAAGCTCGGGCTGTGCATGACAAGTGTGATGTACGTGAAAGGACGGAACGCGTCATGTTTTGTCAGCAAACCCACCGGCTACCGAGGACGCAGTCTCGGCACCGGTCGCTTCGCCGCTGCGACATACACTTTTGGCCATAATCCTTCCACACAGAGCCATCCGGAGCCTCTAGCTTCGCAGCGCTTCCTCATCGACGCTAGAAAAAAGTTGAGCGGGGTCAGTAGAACCTTTGACACACAACCTTTGCGCTTTCAACAGCAGCCATTCCTCCTCCTCCGCTTCCCCAACTTCTGCTGGTTGCCAAGCTCTGCTGGAAGTCGCACACAGCTTGAGATGACCGCTGCCCAGTCGGCATCGAGGACGGTACTTCAAACCATTTGAGTAAGCTTTGACGCATAAATAGTACCGGCGTCGATGAGATCCCATAGACTGTCCATCATTGTAGCGGATCGTGTGGAGACATCGACTTTGCTCATCGCTGACTTGTTTGCAGCATTCTACGCCTTGATAGTCGCCTTGATAGTCCGGAGCAGTCTCAAGGACAGCCTTCGAATGTCCTCGTCTCCCGTTCTAGAAAGCAGATCGCTTGTGGATCTGACGCCTCCGAAGTCCGTTCTGAGTTGAGGCAGCTCTTTCGTCAATCTTCTCAACTTGCCTAGGTCCTGGAAGGGCTCAGCTAGGTCAGTCTGCACATATTGAGCAAGATCTCCTCTTGTGACGCCCGACTCAGTGGTTTGATGACGCTTAATAAGACTCCCGCAGATGAATTGACAGCGCAGCAGACTGCTTCGGATCTCTTCCGCAGCTCCCCCCTCATCGTCTTCCGCCATACGGGTTTGCTTTGCCTTGTTTGGAGCCGAGCTTGCAACACCGGAGGTAATGCTTCGAGGCCTGGCGGCTCTGCGCTGACCGTCCCCCAAAAACACCACGCGTGGCTCTGTATCCGTCCCCGCGGGATCCCCATCAGTGGTGCTCCTGTTGAATGTCTGATGGCCGACGACCGGAAAGACGTTTGGGCATATTGGAAGTTGATCTTGAAGCCAGCGAATAGTGATAGTGGTAGGCTGCTTCGGGCGCTCTTGGGCTGCTTTGGGATTCTTTGATGAGAGCAATGTTTCCCTCGATGGAGAATAGGGTGAAAGGATGAGCATGGGTGAGTTTCATTATCGAGCTTTGAAGGATGTGTCTGAGACCAGCCCGGTCCAGACCAACTCGTCGAGTCATGGGACGAGGTCACTCAGGACAGAGTGTATGACCATACGCCGAGATCACTCCAGCCGATGCATACCACGGTTTTACTTTCTCTCCCCTGGCTTGTAGAAGGTGGCCTTTCCCTGTGAGGTAGCGTTAGGACAGTGCAAGACGGGACGGCGGCTGGCAGACTCACGCGGATGTATTGTATGACCAGGAAAGAGGTGTAAGAGAAGGAACCGACAACAACGATAACACTGAAAGCTGTGTCGGGAAAGCAGGTGGAGTGAGGGGAGATTAGAGGGTAAGAAGAAAGAAGTGAACGAAGATCATACCGAACTTCAGTATGCGGTCTGCGGTTTTCTTGCCCTCACTCACGGAATGTGTACCGCTTGATTCCCTTCATGTAGGTCGGTCGAGGGTCATTCTGGTGACACAGTCAGCGCTTGTCCTCTGCAGAAATGAAGAGACTGAGAGTTGTGTGCATTCGAGCATGAGAACAGCCGGAACGCTAACCAACCTGATAGGCAATCTGCTTCGCCCGGATATTATTTGGTCCTGGCTCGGAGTCAGCCATACGATTGCGAGTGATGGCCTGCTGCCGCTAGTCACTCACTGTTGACGAGCCAGTTGATCATCTTGTAGGTTATTATCAAAGCTGAAATGGACGATGAGAGAAGGTATAGATGAGAAGGAAAGGTCATACAGCGACTGGGGAGGGGAATAATATTTTACTGGGGTTATATTTAGCCGCTTATTTTATCCCAGAATTTTGAGACTCGACCTTGTCTCTCTGAAGCTCATTCATTCATACATATCATCTCCAATCATGGACGTCTCCCAGGATCTAGCGGATTACGCAGCGAAACAGTGAGCATCTCCTCGAAAATGTATCTGATTGCCAGCTCTTCCAACCTTTTGGCACGGCCCCAGCCTGCCGATGTGGACCTGGGATATCTTGCTGCCTTTGATACCACTCCGACCGATGCGGAGCTTTACTCGTGGGTACATGTGAATTGGAATCACTCTGACATTCAGGTCATCTCGCGATTCACATCTAAGAGACCTCGCCTTGGCGTCCGTCTCGACTCTACTAAATTCACTCTTCGCTCTGCCAAAGACATCCTCCCCTCTCGGACCCGTTGTCCGTCCCCCTGCCCCTACGACCGTGTTGCCCCGAGAGAAGCCTCTGCCGAAGCCAAAACCACCTACCAAATGGGAACGATTCGCCAAGGAGAAGGGTATTTCTCACGTCAAGAAGGACAAGGTGGTCTGGGATGAAGAGAAACAAGATTGGGTCAAGCGATGGGGACGAGGAGGAAAGAACAAGGAAGCGGAGGATCAATGGTTGCATGAAGTCAAGGGTGGTGACAGTGAGCCATTTGAAAAAATGCCTCTTCTAATGTCTAGACGCCGATCATGATCCTGCTGCGACCGCTCGAGCTGAACGCAAGGCTCGTATAGCCAAGAATACGGCGCAGCAAAATGCCAATCTCGCCAGTGCCTCCTCCTCCAAGGAAGCGCGTAAAGCCGAGCTCAACCGATCTATGCTCATCTCCAAGACGTCCACGGCCTCTCTGGGCAAGTTTGACAAAAAGATTGAAGGCGAACCCAAAGCTCGGGGAGTCAAGCGCAAATTTGACGGAGTCGTGGAACATGACTGGAAGGACGAAAAGGCAAAGGCTTTGGATGTGCTACGAGGTGTGGAGAGTGGAGAGAAGCGCAAAGTCAAGGGAACTGCCAGGGAGGAAGGTGCAGTCAATGTCAGGAAAGCTGTCAGAGGTCTGGGTCGAGATGGTCCAGGGAATGACAGGGGAGTCAAGGGCAAGGGCAAGAAGGGGAGGAGGTGATTCATGTGTATCAGGGGTCATGTATGTACTATTCGGCTCTATGTTCATTGGATAGGCTGCTAGGATTGAGCAGTCAGCGCCGGGCGGGAGAGTGCCCTGCCACAAGTATTTCTTTCCCTATCGCCGTCCTTTGAAAGCTCAGACAGACGAGCCGATCCTTTCATGCTATGGAATGTTTCTCCATTGCTTATATGTGGCTAGTCTTGTTGCCACCCTTCACTCATTTTCTACATACGCACCACACCTCTTGTCACGTCACACTACGCATCATGGGGCCTCTTTCCGCGGTCTCTACTGCAGCTTCAGCCGTTAGCAATGCAGCCAAATGGACAGCCAATTCGACAGCCAATGCCTTGACGCTTGGTTGGTGGAACAGCGGTACTCAGGCGGATGCCGGGTCAGCGACAGACAAAGATACTGCGACTGGCGAGGTCACAGACTCGAAAGGCGCGACAGAAGCGGATACCAAGGTATCGGACAGCGAAGCGGATAAGCCGATCAGATATGTTGAAAAGACGAGAGCCCTATATGACCCTTGGGCTTGGATGCCGAGCGTCCTTGGCGGTACATCGACGTACATCGAGAGGGAGGATCCGCTCCCACAGGGCGTCCTCGGGCGCACCATAGGCTATGCAACGGCGCCTATCGGAACGCTCGCGAGCGTAGTAAGTCGGCCACTCACCTACGCGACCAAGTCCATATTGGGCACCGAACGATACACCAAGTACGGAAAATACGTCAACGGTGGTGTCAATGTCAAGCACTATATACAGACTACTGGAGGTCAACTCACAGAGGTAGGACACGAGCGGGGCAATGCAGAGAGATTGGCGGCGGAGGTGGCAGACACCAAGCCGGAGGGGACCACATCAGAGGTGAGTATCTTAGCAAGTCACTGGTAGGCGACCCGGGTTAATTCTGAAACACAGCGGAGTCCCTCGCATTCATCTGCTGGAGGTACTGTGAGTGTCGCAAACAAAGGACATAGCTTGGGATCCACTGACTCTCATGTAGATTCCCGAGACCACAAAGACGTCGGCCGCAGCACGGGACACTGCGGGCACATCTCTCAGTCAGCCGACAGCAAAGGATCCTCTCAAGGACAAGAAGATTGCCCAGATTCTCGAAAAGTTTCAAGCGAGCATCGCAGCCCATGGGACGCCGGGATCGACTACAGATGCGCCTCCTGCGCCGTCTGCGGTAGCGCCCACGGCTTGATGACCAGGATGGCAGACACCTGGAGGGCTCGATGCTCCATGACGCGCGGTCTAAGCTCATCGCTAGCTTCCTTCCAGACTCTACCTATCTATAGATATACACCAATGCCATTGCTGCGTATACGCCACCCGCCACGAACCAAAGTTTTTGTCTCATCCGACGTGTTATGTAATGTTTTCCATCATAATGTTTTGGCTCCAACTGTCCCTGAAAAGTTTCAGGACGCGATTGATATTTTTTATTCTTCTTCTTTCGTTTGATTCATTTTTGCAGTGTCTGAACGATTTTTACTACATCGAACGTCTCGGTGTTGCATAGCAGAAGGGCGGTCATCCAGCGCAGACACTGATCAGGTAGTATTAGACAGCGCACCGTTCGACCTCAGCCTCCTTTATCGACCCAAGGAAGGTCCACCTCACCCTCACTGCTCCACCATGCCAAGGACCCGTCTGCCCTTGGTGCTGCTTGGCCTCAGTGCCATCGTACCACTCACTCTGGCTCAGACATACTGCAACGCCACATCATTGTGTCCCGAATCTGCTCCATGCTGCTCAGAGTATGGCTACTGTGGCTCGGGAACGTTCTGCCTGGGCGGCTGCGAGCCCATGCGTGGGTTCGGAGGAATGATCCGTGATCTTCTCCGCTGATGCTGGCCTCGCAGACTCATTCAGCCCAACATCATGCAGACCGAATCCTATCTGCCAATCTATGACGACGACCTTTGCCAACGACGTATCGAGGATACAACAAGTTGCCTCTGAATGGAATGGTAATGCATCTGCGTATGATTGGTACGGTGAGTGCCTCCGCCAAGACTCTTGCCTAGCACTTGGAGCTGATGCACGGTCCACAGTCAATTCTGGACAGATCATACCCAGTAGCGATGGCATCAAGCTCGTGCTGAACGAAACGAATGGTGTGTATATTGAGAGGCTGAACACAGTCACTAGCTCGGTGCTGAAAATAGATCTCCAGGTGGAACAAAGATTTCTTCAACGCGATATGTCCACTATGGCAAGATTGATTTTGTCTTGGGTGGGTGAGGCGACCAGGCGGAACCTGACATGTTCAGAGACGTCGAAATGGCCCGGTGTCGTGACGGCAGCCATCACCATGTCCGATGTCAAGGTGAGGGCCATGAAGCGCGAATGTCTCAGATGCTGACGAGCGTCACAGGATGAGATTGATTGGGTGAGGTCTATTGTTGGACCGGCGGCGGGAGCTCATTCCATTCAAGGAATTCACAGGGTCCAATACCACGCTTGCGCAGACAAACTACTGGTTCATGGGGATCGCCAACTGTGAGCGCGGATAAACGACTAAACTAATGCGATGCAGATTCCGACTCGCAGGGTCTCTCTGTGGATGTCTCCTCCGATACGTCGGCCAATTACCACACATATACGGTGAGTTCACGACACGGGTACAAGCTGAGCCATCCAGTTCGACTGGCAGGAAGACTACCTCAACTGGATGATTGACGGCAACGTCGTTCGATCATTGCAGAAGCAGAGCACGCTTTCGAGCGATGGGACGACTTAGCAAGTCGACATGATGCTGTTGAAGCTGACACTCTCAGCAAATATCCCACGACTCCCTCGCAAATTCAGATCTCCATCTGGCCAGCCGGTATCAACACCTCAGCAGAGGGGACCATTGCCTGGGCGGGAGGTATGATCAACTGGCAGGATCCAGACTATGTGGCCAATGGGTACTTTTGGAATACCATACAAAGCGTCACAATAACTTGCGCGGATGACCCAAATCAAGCTTCGAATACCACTGGATGGGCATATTCCGATAGCAAGGGGCAGACTGTTCCGGTAAGAAAGTGCTTTGGGATAGCAGCTGAGACGTCCAGACCGTTTACGACACGACCGCTTCGTTGTTGATCAATGGGGGTGGCAGAACGACAATGAGTTGGACGATGTATGCTGTGGGAGTGTTCACGATCTTGATGACTATGCTTCTCTAATGTATCACGCCTTTTTATGATACATGCTAGAATCAGTACAACTTTTCGTCGGATATCCGCTACTCTCCATCCATCATGATCGCGTAGAATTCTTGTTCGCTGATCTCGCCATCCCCGTCCAGATCGAATTCTTCGATCATGGCAGAGCTGTGTATGAGAGTAGATTGGATAAGGGGAGAGACGTCGATAGAAACAGGAGCAGCGGACACGGCGTCAGCTTCCTCGCACGCGGTCTTACGCCCCACTCACAGCTCCTCATCTCCTAGACTCTCTCCGAGCTCCTTTGCAACTCGCTTCAAATTCTTCAGCGATATCCTCCCTGTCCTGTCGTCGTCGAATAGTGCGAACGCCCGCTTGAGATCAGTCATCGGATCACGGGAGAGGATCCTCTCCGTCACTGTCAAGTCTCAGCTCTCCTGATGGCTACTGGTTCACCCACTTATCCTCTGGAACGCTTCGAAATCCATCAACCCATCATCTCCACCGTACCGTTTCAGCAAGTCCACCACCTCCACCTTTTTCAAGTCGAAGCCTAGTGCCCTCATGGCCACTTTGAGTTCATGATAGTCCACCGCGCCATCCTTGTCCGAGTCGAACAGCTCGAAGGCCTCCTTGATCTCCTGTCGTTGATCTTCGGTCAAGGAAGGTTGACGAGAGGATGGGGAAGGAGTGTGATGTAGATTGGAGGACCCAGTGATGGGGCGGCGCTGCTTGGTTTTGGGGAACATGGCGAAGCGTGGATGAAGTGGTCGTAGGACGCAATGTAATCAATTGCAAGTTGAAAGTCTCGACGCGTCTGAGCTGTTCCAGAAATTTTCCACGTGAGCCCAGACTCGTGGCACTCCAGAAACCCTTTCCCTCTGCCACTATTTGATCTTTGTATCGCCTTTCAGAGCACGATGAGGTAGGAGGGAGGTCTTAGGAGCACCGCAGATCAGCGAAATCCTCACCAATACAGCACACAACAACACAGAATACTCCCTTCCCTTTTTAACTTGTTGTACCGAGACGACTACCGTCGACCGCGGAGTTGATTCTATAAGCCGTAAGCTGAGATTTACTCGCATGCGATTTGTCGGGTCTATGGGAATCATCCGGCCCATCCGTTTTGAGGCTCCAGCGTGCTCAATATCATGGGACTCGGACCATCTCAGGTGACTTGGTTCAACAATATCGGCACTTCAGCGGTAAGAAATGGGAAATGAGAATGGGGTCGTGGGCCACTACATTTGGCTCCTGAGGAACCTACCACAAGCTCTCCGTGCCCTCTATGCCCGGAACACTAGAAGCGGGGTGCCATGCAGCGTATTGAACACTCGGCAAAGAGGAGATGAGCAAAAAAATGGTTCTCTAATGAGGGAAAAAAAATGCCTTCACTCAGAATCGAACTGAGATTTCGGGATGGAGGGGGTTATGAGCTCATAGAGCCCTCATTTTTCTCGATATGAGACCCACGTACTAACCGTTATACGATGAGGGCACGACTAACTCACCGAAAATTTTACAACTATATTGTGCATTGTGGACTCTGAGGTCGGGAATTCGAGATCGCCACCTTACCTAATTGACTCCCCACCTCTAGACATCAATGTGCGTGATGTAAGAGCCTAACTGATCACACTGGGTATCTCTGATTCTGTCTTGATCCGATCTCCGGGCCGCTTCCTGGCGATTCGTGGAAAAATCAGGCTTCAGAAACGAAAACCAAGTCAGATTCGCTATGGACCGCCACATGAGCCGAATTTGCTACATTTTCTGTCATTTAGATACTCAACCCATTGACATGAACAACAAGCATGCCTTGAAGCAGCAACAGAGGACTCCACAGCGAAGATCCAATCCAGTTGACGACTCGGATGAGTGGGAGGACGCCGACGTGGAGACAGCCCTCGATCTTACGACGATGAGCGAGAGCAGCAGTCGGGTCTCTGAAGGGTCGAGGAAGCAGCCGTCAACTCCTAGGAGGCAGATCAAGGTGGCCAGAAGTGGAGGGACGCCAAAACGACATGGTCTTACCACACCTCAGAGGAGATCAAATAGACCTTCCGAGTCCTCAACGCCGGTCGCTCGAGCTGCCGCTCCCGTGAAGACTCGCGCTGGTGCTCAACAATCAAACACATTCGGGAAGATTCTCCATACCACTCTGTCTGTTGCCTTTGAAATATTGCTCTGGTCCATCCGCCTCTTTCACGTCATACTCGCGCCTTTCTATCCGTATGTCGCTGCGGGCGGTGCCATTCTGCTCCTCATCAGCTTGACCACACACCTTCTCTTGGACTCCCTTCCCCCTCTCTTGTTTCGAATACCTGGCCATCTCTTGCGACTCGTCTTGCCATCCTTGCCCTCCTTTGCGTGGTGGACAGCACCAGATACCGACACTGCTGTGGGGCAAGGAGTGGCTCTTCTCCCACTACGCCTGCTTGCCACGCCCGTCTGCACGTTCACCGGTCAAGCGTGCCTATTGTCACTCGCATCGAAGCGGGAGTCACAGGCCGGAGAGACGCGGATGATCAAAGCTCGTCCATTTTGGGAATGGCAGCTCACTTCAGCGAGGAATGCAGTGGACGTCGGTAACGTTGCTCGGAATCTGGCCAAAGAGGCATCAGGAGCCAAGAGCATATTCGAGAGTGTGGCGAGATTAAGTGAGGGAGGATTGATGGACAGATTAGAGCATGTTAGGTGAGCCGACGGAGAGGATTCGTGCTGACGATGCAGAATTTGGGAGCTTGGCGTGGCTGTTCAAATCGGGTCCAATCTTGAGGATAGGGAAATGCTTGGTCAAGGGTTGGTCGAGGTGCGTGGTCCAGTCTGTCGATGGAGCTGACTGTAGCTCGGCAACAATGCCAAAGATCTCTCCGATGAGCTGGTGGAGATCAACGCCATGGCCATCAACGCGTTTACTTGGCTCCAATGGGAGGTGAGCGAGGCATGTCGGCACCGCTGATGCCTAGTTTGCCTCAGTTTATAGGACTCTATCGCTACCTCAGGGTCAATTGTCCTCGGCACAGAAGCTCGCTGAACGCCTCAACGGCCTTCTCAACAAACTGTCCGACACATTGACTGATCTTCACCGACTCACGTCGCGCGCACATCTCACGGCTGTCCGAGGATCCGATCAAGGTAATCGTTTGCGGACGAACCTCGGCCTGATCAATGCGGATCTCGTCAGACAAAACGAGGTCGAACCGGGTTGGAAAGCAGCCGTGGAAAAGGTCAATCACTTTTTCGTCGGTGGAGAGCCTTCGAAAATGGAACGGATAAGGCGAGACGTCAAGATCACTCGCCAAACAATCGAGAGTCTGTCGACGATCATCCAGGATCTGGAAATATCAAGAACTCAGATCAAGAGCTTCAGAGATCAGATTGGGCAGTTTGACGCGAGCATGATGGGCTTTCATATGGGTGCCAATGCTGAACATGGTATTGGACCCGAGGAGGAGTTGAGGATCCTGGCGGACGTGGTTGCCGAGTTTGGTCAGTCTATCGGGAGAGCCAAGGGTGGAGGGAGTGGGGCGGAACGCAGCAGCGAGAGCGATTCGAGGCGATTAGAAGCTTAAAATGCCACGCTCCTGGCTTGACTGTTATACATTCCTGTCTGGAGTACCTGATGCAAATAGTAGTCTTCTTGGCTTTTGATTTCGATCGCCGTAGGAATGCCGGTAAGCCGGACTTTTGATGTCATCTCTGGATTCAACATTGATCCTTCTTCGTCGAACCTCATTCATCATGTCCTTGCCAGGTATACTCAGCACTTATCCAATCGCAGGCAGCTCAAAGTCTTATCCTTACTTTACGAGTGGAGCTATCGATTCCACCAAAGCTGTGATCTTCATTGGCGGTCTCACCAATGGATTGATGTCAGTAGACTATGTGTCAGCTCTGTCCTCGACCTTGGAGACGGCTGGATGGAAACTGTGAGTTAGGACAAAGGCCTATCCATTGATGATGGCAGTATTCAGATGCATTGGAGCAGTGCCTACGACGGGTACATGACTGGCAGCCTTGATCGCGACGTTTCAGAGATGGCTTCTTTGGTTAAGCATCTCCGCTCACAAGGTGAATCCAACGGGACAGTTAAACGGAATTGATGAGTCGTTCTAGGACTAGAGACGGTTGTTCTGATGGGACACTCTACCGGCTGCCAAGATGTCATGCACTACCTTACGTCTCCTTCGTCTGACTCTCGCCCTACAGTCGAAGGAGGGATCCTCCAGGCTCCAGTCTCAGATCGAGAGTACTATGAACAGGTCGACAATGATTACACTCATATCTGGAGGACCCGATTTGACCAAGCTGAGCAGATGGTCAAGGAAGGGAAAGGCGACCATCTGCTCGACTGGGAATTTAGTCAAAAGGTCGGTCATGCCACGGCGTACAGGTTGATCAGCCTTTACGCAAAAGGGTGAGCAGGCGGATCCATTGAGTATTCGCTAGAGCTGATCCTCCGTACACATAGTGGGGATGACGATTACTTCTCCAGTGATCTCCCGAATGAACACGAAGAACCCCACAAGCACCCCCTTTCCGCATCTTTCGGTGAGCTGCCCGTGCCAATCCTGGCACTCTGGTCCGGAAACGACGAATTTAGTCGGGTCCCATCAGTCCCAGATCTGATGGCTCGATGGGAACACGCTGGCAAGGGCAAACTGGAGTCTCGTATCGTGGATGGTGCGGGGCATGCAGCAAACGAGGCAGGCCCTCAGAAGCAGCTATGCGAAGAAGTCAACGGTTGGCTGAAACGACACTTCTAGGGCCTTCTGGAAGACAGGCATGCATCTGGCAGAGAGAACTGTGGCCTCTTCGCCTATCCACTTCTCGCGGTATATGTATCAAGCCGGGCGTGTTCCATTACGTCAAAGGATGTTCGTCGATGCTGCATGACACACGGAGACTGACCATTCTTCAACGCTGCAGCCACTCGCTCGGGGGAGATTGACCTGTGCTGCATTCTTACCTTTCTCACCATCTGGTTCATTCCTGTCTCGATTACTCCTGGCTAACAGGATGACTTATAAGGGGGCTACTGGATAGCAGGGTCTCGAACTGCCTTCTCGAAGCTATATAAAGACCTCTCGATCTGGCGGCAGGCCCGTCGACTCCCTCATCTTCCAACACACCCCCGACCTATAGCCCATCAACTGTCCACCTTCGCCTCATCAAATACATTATGCAGTCGATGACGAGCTCGCTCCTTCACAACAGTAGTCTTGGCAATAGCAGCATCTGGCGCTGGACCCCGCGTGCGGATACCGATGAACCTTGGCATACTCTCCTTGCGGTTGCAAGTGGGGCTACCCTCGGAGCCCTGACGGCGAGAGCGTTCAATTCCATTGTTAGCTGGTCGCCGTCCTGGCATGGGACTAGGGCCTCCAAGGAATCAACAGCTCCTTCGAGCAGCAGGCGGGAGTTTACTAGCCCCCAAATCAAGGGACAAGCTTATGTGCAGAATGATCCTCACGAGGGCAATACCAACACCAGCATTGTCGGCGGAGGATCTCACAGCCGGCTTGAAAGCACGTTTGACACCACGGGTAGCGACGGTCAAAGGAAAGCTACTCTCGCTAAGACGTCAGACGCCGGCGAGCGAGTCAGTGAGCCGGACATAGCATTGAGCACAGAGGAGCGAGGCACCTCGCGAAAGTTGCAGGCCGATCAGTCGACTTCTAATCCTCCCCTCATTGATGCCATCGTACCAAAGAGTGAGACGAGAGTGATATAGAGTTTGTAGAGGATTTGTTGAGATAGGACACTGGGACGAGGAGGGAGCTACTCGGTGGGAAGTCTCGTATAGCACACACGCACATTATGCTGCCTTTGCATACCCGAGGGTGTGAGATTCCAAAGAAGGAGGACTTCCCGTCAATCCTTTCGGATCCCACAGACTGTTGTCGCCGAATTCCTGACGAGCGAGAGGCGATTCTCCCATGATCGAAACACTGCCATCATTCATACACGAGGACTTTCTTTTGTCTTGTGTCCCTCGGAGAATCTCTTTGGCCTCAACTAGCATACCGACTGACAGACGTTACACTGCTACGCGTTTCACCAGGAAGATCACCATTCATAGAGGATCCCTGTAAGACCCCTGCACGACGGATGACGTGGATCCGGCTGCCTTGTGCCTCCCCAAGCTCCTTGGAGCTCTGTCATATTGAATGCCCCGTCCTCCTTTGTAAGTCATACGGTCCAGATGTATTGTACTCGTAACATATCTTCGAACTTGTTTGAGCCCTGTCCATCCCTCGCACACATAAAGACTGACAGCTACATTGCTTTCTGATTTGCCTCTTTCTTCAACTCCCTCTCTCATCTCCAATACATATACATACTAACAAATGGCATTATTCGGTACACCTACCAGCCAATACGGTGGCAGCAGCGTCGGGGACATCAAACTTGATGTCAGCTGTCCTTCCGCCACAGCACGGCAATCCTGGGATCCAGTGGCTTTGGCCGTTGGTGCTACGGCGGTGTATTATGGGCTCAGCAAAGCTAGTGAATGGTGTGAGACTCTGATGAGGCCGAGGTTCGGTAATGACTATACCAACTGGTCGAACACTCGCTACGAAGGCAATACTCAAACCGATGAGCTGAGGCGCCACAACAAATCCCGCGTATATGCGAGGGATTATGATTCAGCGTCCAGTACCGATTCTTGGGATCGCAATGGGCGACGAAAGGATCATTTCGGGACAACGGATCCCCTGACCGCCCAGGATGACACGGGTCCAAGGTCGGGGAGCCGTCGCCGAAGTGCCCTCATGACAACCAGGAATGATCGCTGGTTTGCGGGTCAAGATGAAGGCGCACATGAACGGACGACCGAGGATCTGTCGGACGGGAAACACGTAGCCTTCTCATTTGAAACCAAATCAGGGAATCTCACCGCTGGAGACGACAAACAGTCGCACCAAGGCTTAGAGACGAGAGAACTCAACACCACACTGGACGAACCGACCCTCCAGAAAATCGTCCCGACTCAGCTTTCGATCGGAAAAGATGACGAAGTCATTCCGAGCCCTGAGGATGGTCGCCAGAGTCAGGAAAACGAAACTCGTCTTGCTGGCGGTGGATACGGCGAGCTGGGCATCAGTCAGATCGGACCCAGTTCTGGATATGTCTCTGAGGCGGATACCGCTTCGGGCCCCAACGACACAGTCAATGACCACAGAAAGCTCGAAACTCAGAAAGAGGATCTCTGTCCCGCTGCGGATGAACAAGTTCATGACGCCGTGAGCGAAGGCGAAAGTCTTGTCGCCGATACCCCTCAGACCGATCCATCCTCGATAAGATCTGTTACGACGAACGGATGAGATGTCGATCCCGTCCGCGGGATGGTCTTGGCCGACTTTAGACTCACATGAGAGGGCGAACGTCATCTACATAGAGGCAGTCCATCTTAAGCTAGATCGATGCATTTCCTCTTTCTTTCCTTGTGACATGATCGATGTGCGAATCAGATGACTGCGAGGAGCTCGAGCAAGGAGAAATCGTTGTTGTCCACCTGTCATTGAATCTGCTTCGACATAGAGCGTTGAAGCGTGCAAGTGGCTCGGAGGGAGGATCAGATCCGAGGACAAAGGCAGTAGCCACGAAGTTTGGCCAAGCTTCAGGTTGATAAACCCATTGGAAAGAGTCTGAGGACCATGCAAGCGCTTTCCGCTATAGGAAGCACAGTGATGAGGCTGGATCCATGGCTGATAGCTCGGAAAGCAAAGAAGCATCCCCAGGCAGTTTTCCCTCATGGTCACCTTGTCGGCCAAACTTTGCGACCTGCTCGGGACTTTAATCGGTCTAGGTGTCAGCAAGCAAGTCAGTTTGCCGGACACTTACCAACGAATCGCCTTGGAACAAACAAGGATAGACGAACGACATTCAAGCATGCTCAGATACCCAGATTCAAGATATCACATGTCACAGACATGTGCAATCATTGTTGTAGAGACAAAGAGAAAGGCACAGGATGGTATATACATCCTCACACATATTCCCAGAGGTCACATTTTACCGCGGCCCCATGAGGGTCTGATGAGAAGCGAGTGCACGTCGATGTACTTTATCCATTCCGGATCAGCGAGAGAACCGATCTTGGAGCATGTGTTCAGTCTCTACATGTATCACTCCTCATCATCACCACTCGTTGCTCTGTGCAGCCCACTTTGAACAACGTGCTCGCCATCCATGACGTCAATTGAATAGTGTCCTCTCCGGCCCCTTTCACACGAGGTACGGGATGACCCCTTAGTGACCATCAAATCAGACGAGAAGGAGTGGGTTCATGATCATCGTCTACTTCGTCTGGTTGATCCCATGTCCCAACCTCCACTCAAATCCTTCCCACACTCCTCATGTCACTTGACATAGCCCCTCGTCTGACTCCTATTTGGTGTCGAGTCCTTTCATCACCGCGTCAAAAACATTCCGATAGATGAGAGGAGGGCACTGCATCGAGCACTGACCAAAGAGGATATCCTCATAGACGAGGACGCTTGAATCATTGCTGCCTGGTTATCAGCGCACTGCCCAGTCCTCCCTCAATCATCCCTCATCCGTCAGACCGGCTCGCCGCCACAATCCGAACTTTGCCGTAAACAATGGTCCTGCTCTCCTCCAACTCGTCCTCCTCATCAATCTCCATTCTATCCCTAACATCCTCCTCCAAGACTTCACTCGATCCATATCCAGCCGCTCCTCTAGCCTCAGATCCGTCTCTCGTCCCATCCAAGTACCTCGCAGAGGACTGCTGCCCGCCCACAGCTCACGCGACTGGCGTCGACCTTCGTGCGAGCATACCACCCCCTGCACCTGCTCTGCTCGTTCGAGCACCTCCTAGTCAGCTCATGGATGCGCCTGCTCGAGCTGCCTTGGGGATGCCCAACTCGTCCACAGCTGCGAGTCAAGCCAGAGCGGTGAGAGGTGAACCTGTCACGCCCGAGTATGAGGTCAACGATTATCTATCGGATCGGAATGATGGAGAATCTCAGCCGTTGCTCTTAGCACCCACGGCAGTCCGACCGGGTCTGTCGAGATCCTCGTCAAACGGCTCAACATCTTCTGCCAGGAATGCTCTGAGGAGGATATTCATCGATCGCAGTAATACGCCGTCGCAGCATCTCTCACGTCCAACATTCCCACCTCCCTCCCTGACGACCTATTCACCTCTTCCCACTCGACCTCTGAGCATACTGGCCAAGATCAATCTCTTCATCAATCAGTCCATTTCTGTCGGTCTCTCGACGTTCTTCCTCGCCTTCGTCGTCCTTTGGGCCATGACCGCGGAAGTTGTCAAGGCTCTGCCTAAATGGCTGAGACCCGTCAAAGCCAAGAGATTTCCATGGGACGATGATAGGTATTGGAAGAAGGAGGGACGGAAAGTGTCTAAAGAGCCAAAAGACTATGCGAGACAGATCGGCATGGATATAGAGAACCAGGTGGTGGAAACGGAGGACGGGTATTTGCTGAGGTGAGTTGTTACCCTTGATCATCACTGACATGCAGGATGCACCGGGTCATTGATCCTGAAGCTCAACCGCGGAGCGATGGACGAGGCGGATTCCCTGTACTCATCCTTCACGGCCTCTTCCAGTGCTCTGGGTCATTTGTCACCTCTGAGGAGAGATCCCTGGCGTTCTGGCTGGCCAAACAAGGAGGGTATCAGGTTTATCTAGGCAACACACGGGGGATCTTCGACATGGGTCACAAGAGCTTTTCGCGGAATGACCCGAGATTCTGGGGTGAGGCCGGGTTCTCCTAGCTTGCAGCTGACGATCCAGACTGGACGATTCGCGAATTGGCCATGTACGATCTCCCAGCGTTGGTCGATCACGTTTGCAAAGAAACCGGCTACGAAAAGGTGAAATGTTCGAATTCAATGGTTACTGACTTGCAGATCGCCTTTATCGGCCACTCCCAAGGCAATGGTCTCACGTTCATCTCTCTATCCCTCGGCATGTGCCCATCACTCGGCACCAAGATGTCAGTCTTCATCGCTTTGGCTCCGGCTGTGTATGCTGGACCTCTGACGACCGGATTTCCATTCACCACATTGAACCAACTCGAATGGAGCACCTGGAAGCGTTTCTTCGGCGTCCTTGACTTTATCCCTCTGATGCGGTGGGCATATGACTACGCACCACCATCGCTGTTTGCTGCGCTAGGATAGTGGGTCGGGGCATTGAAAGGACACTAAGCTAACGACAGTACCATGTTTGCTTTCCTCTTCTCTTGGACCGATACGAACTGGTATGTTCTCCCGAGGTCTACTTCTTGCTGACTCGTAACTCCAGGCTGCATCGCCGCAAGACCAAAATGTTCCGTTTCACACCTACTCCCGTCAGCTCTGCCAGCATCTTTTGGTGGTGCGGCAAGGGCGGGTTCGCAGATCGGAAATGTACCCTTGACGATACGTTGGAGAGGTGGTTTGACGATCGATTTCCATCTCTGTCGATCTACCACGGCGGCAAAGACTATCTTGTGCTCGCTGAGCCTCTTTTGGAGAGGCTGAAGCACAAGGAGAAGGACGTCAAGGTGATCAAGGTGACCAAATTGGACGAATCAGAGGTGAGGAAGATCCGGGGGCTATGCTTATCATCTTAGCATTGCGACTTTTACTGGGCAGCCGAGGCTGTAGAATGGGCATACATGTCCTTCCTAGGTGAGTCAGACTTGGAAGAAGACGCCGCTAACCCTTCTAGACGATATCGAGTCCACTCGACCCAAGTATCCCGAAGAGATGCAAGAGGGCTCGGAACAACAGCATTGATTCGTGACCTTTGATTGAGACTATACATGACTTGTAGCCATATGACATGGAACTATAGATACAGGCTTTGTCATGCGACGAGGTATTACAACAGCTCGATTCCAGGAGGGGAGCAAGTAGTCTCGAGTTGAGCTACTGGCCTGCTACGGCTAGCGAAAGGCCGTTCACCGACACATGACGGATCATTGGTCCGAGTCGGCTCGGCGATACGCATAGAAAGGCTCAAATGGGGATGGTGCTGCTGTATTTCAGCTGGGCTTTGCATATTTCACTCACTATCCGAATCGCGATCCTCAAACGAAGACGGGAAGGGAGAAGCGAACTTGAGAGGTAACCGTGATGTAGAGGCCTTCAAGCGGATCGGAGATCCTAATCGGTATTCAGGCTGAGGTGATGGCCGCTCAAGGTCGAGCGCTGGGGACTCTAGATGGATGACTATGTCCTCGCCTTGTACCTCGTGGCCGCTTTCGACCTTCTCCCCGTCAGACTCACTGTCGTCGTCGTCCGAGGTGTAGTCACACAACGCCGCCAGAGCGTCTTGACCACTCATGATAGGTTCAAAGCTCCAATCGGGGTCGTCCACGTCGAGCTCCACCTGTGACCAGGTGAGGCGCGACAAGTCTTGCACTCGCGGGTCGGATCCACTCGTCTCAGTGGGCGAGAGGGACGGAGGGTCGAGCGGTAGGTCGGTAAGATCGAGATTGGCCAAGCGGATGGCTAGAGACGGTGTCGTTGGCGCTGCTGGGAAAGCTGAGGATCGTTCTGGCGTTTGAGGAGGCATCGTATTGGCAAGATTGGGAGATTCGTCTAGAGGAAGTTGCATGGAGCCAGATCGGTCTGTAGCGGTTCGCTTGAGGATATCCTTCAGCCAAGGCCGAACGACACTATACTTGGGTTGGGGAAGAAGTTGATCATGCGTTGATAGCCAATCTGCGCATTGGAGAGGTGGAGGGTAAGGCGTAGGGTCTCGAGCGAGTCTCTTGGAAGAGAAGAGGGAGCCGTTGGAAGTGTCGAATCGTACACTCAGGTCTGACTGGACGTTTTCTGGCGAGTCGTTTAGGTTGCTACTGTCAGGGGTATTGGGAGGTGCTCGAGACAGCGTTCGATGAAGGATCCCGCGGGGGAGAGTGGACGAGTCTGTAGCGGGAGAAAGGAAGGATAGATCGTAAGGTATATCAAGGCCTTGCGCTGGAGATGGGAGGGTAAAGCTTGAGTCTCTGACTTTGAATGATGAGCCGACTTGTGTGGGTATTCGACATTCTGAAGTGATCAATCTCGAGGCTAAGCCCCGAATTGGAGTGGAAGGGACCGAGAGGTGTAATGGGGATGATGGAGGGTCATTCTCATCGGTGACTCGCCTCGATTCAGACATCTTTGTCGTCGTCAACACCGTCAGATCGGATCTAAATGTCTGTAATGGAAGATGGTTGAGTGAGTGGACCTGTCAAGTGGAGGGAGAGCCAGAGTCAGTTGGCACGTGGCATTGGAGGGATACAGTACATCGTGGCGCTGTTCTTTGCAAACCACTCGTCTGCGCCAAAGGGATGAGTGACGGCGTATCCCCAAGACCTGTGACCTTCTATCACGGGGCATCATCACCATCGAAAACAATCATGGTATTCTCGTTAGCATCGCGCTCGTCCTGATACACATGACCGCGGAGACGAGACGAGACGAGATGCGTTATCAGCCCCTCAGATCTCAAAGACCTATTTGTGCAGTCTTTTTCAACAACTCGATGACTGGACTCCCTCGAGACAAACAGGCCTCGCCCGACTCCCACGCAGCTCAGATGCCCAGAAAATAGCTTGGATCTCGTAGCTTTTCGCAATTGCCGTCGGCGTGTATATAGGCTGATTTTGGGCTCACTGCAGGAGCCCTCGTGACCCGATATCGATGATCGGCTTTCACACTCATTCAGGGAAAAGTAGTTGTGAGGGGGTGGGGCTCATGTGGGGGAAAGCCTAAAGTTTCTTATAAGCGGTCGATTCCTGCTCGGATCCTTTGAAGCAATTGGTCAGCATCGTGATCGAGACTACATCATCAGATTCTATCGTGCCTGCATAATTGAGCCTATAATGCGGAGGGCTAGGATATCAGGCGGAGCAAGGGACGAAGGCATCTCATGAGATCGAGTGGACCCAGGTTTCGACCCGAGAGCATCCATATATGCTTGTGTGTTGCGGACCAGTGACCTCTGCCTCAATCAATCAATCATGTTCACCCTCGCTCTCACCACTGCCTTTGCCCTTTTGTCGTCGTTGGTTGCTTCTCAGCCGTGTGACATCTACGCTATTGGCAACACCCCATGCGTTGCTGCTCACAGTACCACTCGAGCCCTTTACTCGAAATACAATGGACCACTCTACGAGGTCGTTCGAGCCTCTGATGGACAGTACCAAGTCATCTCTACCGTTTCCGCTGGTGGTATCGCCAATTCTGGCGTTCAAGACTCATTCTGCGCCGGGACCACCTGTAGCATATATGCAATCTACGATCAATCCGGAAATGGCAACGATCTCCTGCCTGCTCCTCCTGGCGGAGCGATGAGCGGTCCAGGACCCAACGGGTACGACTTGATGGCGAATGCCACTATGGCTCCCGTCTTGCTCAACGGACAGAAAGTCTATGGCGTCTATTCTCCGACTAAAACTGGCTACCGCAATGACAATACGAAAAACGTGCCAACGGGAAACAACCCTGAAGGCATGTACTGGGTCGTCGATGCTCAGCACTATAATGGAATCTGCTGTTTCGACTACGGTAATGCGGAGACTGATAATACCGATGATGGGGCTGGAACGATGGAGGCACTCAACTTTGGTCTCATGATTGGGACCACTCACGGAGCGGGCTCTGGACCGTGGATTCAAGCCGACTTGGAGAATGGAATCTTTGCTGGAAACACGCCAGGCGCTTTCAACACTCCCGCTTCGGAGAACCCCAACAACCCTACCATCACCTCTGAATTCGCGACCGGCATCGTCAAAGGCGACTCGTCCAACCTCTGGGCCATCCGAGGGGGTGATGCTCAGTCTGGAGGTTTGACAACGTTCTACAGCGGATCGAGACCCAGCGGGTACTACCCTATGAACAAGAAGGGCGCCATCATACTTGGAATCGGTGGAGATAACAGTAATAATGCCGTAGGAACCTTTTACGAGGGTGCCATGGTGTCTGGATACCCTAACGATAACATTGAGGCGTACGTCCAGGCGGATATCGTTCAGAATGCCAAATACTCCCGGGCAAGCTAAGGAAACGGGGTCTGGTTTTAGGCAGTCGTAGAAATCAAAAAGTCTACCCAACACATGCATTCAGTACTGAGCCTGGTGAGGGTCAATAAGGCTGATATGGCGATAGGGACGCTCTCAAAAGAGGGGTCTCTCATGTAGGCGTCGATAGATGATACAGATCAGAGTGCGGGTCGGTCTGCAGCATGGATCCTGCGCGGCTCTGACGGGCTGACACCGAGTCGTTTACCATGGGACCCCTGTCCCCATCTCCCCGTGTCGGAAAGCCATGCTCGATAGCAAAGGAGGCCAGGTCCTGCCTCTATTGTCCTGGATCCACGCGTCATCAAAGGACGAGGCCCGTTGATCCAGCGCTTGCTGTTCCCATGATCAGTACCCTAGCATCAACGGAGGAATGCCTTTTCAGGTCCACTTATACCCATGAGGGCCTGCACCTCCTTTCTCACTCCTCACCCCCTATTACAGGATGATCGGCACGCCGAGGAAAGATCATGAGAAGGGATCGTCGATGGTGGGAAGGACGGAAAAGGGACGGAGAAAGGGACGAGATTGAAATGATATCGCTGATAGCTATCTTCATCCCGTTCTGTCGCATTCTTGCCCTCGCTCATTGAGGGCTTTATGAAGAATTGTTCGACATGACACTACTGTTTCTGCATTGGGTCCTGGCTCTGAGTGCCTTGGATCAAGGTGAGCAGAGCAGCTTCAGGAAGAGGAGGTTCACCAATGCGTTGCAGTTCTCGGGGGACCATTACTGCCAAGAGCGGGTAACGATCCGATATTTGGCGATAGTGGCGCCCCGGCCGTCAATGACCTCAAGCAGAGTAAGTAGAGACTTGTATCATGTTAGTCGAATATTCACAGGGCGATCACCCATTGTCTTCAGCGACTGTGCCCGATTGTGGTTTCATGTCTGTCCTTGGGGCCATTACCCACGTTTCCCCAGCTTGGTTAAAGTCAAAACTTACAGTCCTCGACGGGACTGTTGATGCTGCCACATCGGTTCGAATCCAAATGTACGATTATAATTCGCTCGCTCCCCAAATGCAAACTGTCACACATGACGAAGCGTCGGTGAACAATGGAGATAGAACTGATATCTGGTACGGTCACTTTTCTGCGAAGATAAGCTTAATCACTCCTCAGGTGGCCGGGGGCGTTCGAATATGCCGGAATCAAGGCTGGACTACCCTCTGCCAATGGTCTCCTTGGACCTGTCCTTCCTGGAGATTCCATGTCTGCCTTGACGGGCCTCAAATCCGATGGGAAGATGAAGCCTACCGCCGACCAATTGTTTGACTATGCGTTGAAAGCGACGAGCATGAATACTCCCATGGTATTTCAAACACTACCGGACGGTGCCAAAGTACTCTTGGGAGGTCATGCTTATGGCTTGTTTGGAGGCAGTGGGAGCGGATCCGGACGAAAGTGAGTGATCGCGGGAAGGGGATAGGGTGTGTTTTGAAGGCTGAGCCAGACGTGGACAGGCTCACCCTCTTCAACCCTTGGGGCAGCGTTGAGGACTATTCCCTATCCGATGTCGCTGGTGACTGTTATTTGGTATGGTTCCTTTCAAACTTTGATACATTTGGCGGTGAAGGAGGTGGAGATGGCTCAGGCGATAGTGACAGACCGAAATCGACTAAACGACCGGATCCCTCTCCGACGCCAGATCCAGTCGTCAATGTTGTCCAAGCGGATAGATGGACAGAGACCAATCGTGTCACAAAGACCGAAGGGAACATGGTCATTGTCCAAGAGATGGTGACTGTGCATGTCTAGGGATGAGTGCGAGGTAGTCAAGATAACACGCCATGCATCCAGTGTATGTACCACGAGAAATCTTGAAGAAATCAGTCGCGTCGGTGAAATGACGTGGTCGGCGTTTTTTGGCTTTTTTGGCTGTCGGAGCATCTCATCGTAAAAAATGTTCACCTGCTGCTGCACTCAACGTTTGTTCTATTTACAGGTCAACCCGCTACGTCTCTCTCTCTCTCTCGCTTCCAACCTCTGTCTCCATCTCGTCGGTGACATTGGAGCAAAAGGACAGCACGATCATGGACAACGTCTGCGGCGGCGTCTGACAGGGTGTACTCATAAATCACGCACTATTGGTGGACCATTCTTTGCTGCTTCGCCTCAGTCTCGACTGAACAATGTCGACCCGCTCATCAGGTAGCAGTCCTCAGTTGACTGTCCATTCTCATACCTCCCCGACGTCCTTCTTCACACCTACCAACATTCGATTTTCCGATCTCTCCAGTGATCCGTCTGAACGTACGCCGACCAGTGAATGGAACTCTAGAAAAGCCAGAAAGGGTCGATATGCTTCACGCCCTGCGACGGTGAGGTACATTACGACGAAAGATGGAGCGAGAGGCAGTCGTTTGGAAGGATACGGGACGATGATTGCTCAAGAGCTCAATGGGCGGATCAAGCATGAGGAGAGCAAATTGAAGCCGAATTTGAAGATGGATATCAGCTGGTGGGTTGCCGTAGCGTTCACATTTGGATCAGCCGTCTGGGTTGTCAATGGTGAGCAGGAGCTGGGGGTAAGGGTGATAGACCACAGAGTATTGAGCAAGTGTTTCAGGCTACGTCGAATGGTTCCCATTGTTCCGACCCAATTTGGACAATCAGACCGTCAGTCGAACGGCCGCAGCACTGGCATTCATAGGAGGAACAGTCTTCGAAATTGGTTCTTACTTGATGGTCGTGGAAGCTCTGGACCGGTGGGTGTGACCAGCTAGCTGCCTTTCGGGATGGTCTAAATGTCTGACTCAATGACATAGCGGCCGGGAGATTAATTTTGGTACTGCCATCGGGCAGCTGCTCCATCATCGTCGTCATGTGGATCAGGAGAAAGATGCTGAGCATCACAAGTTGATTCAAGATCACGTTTTACACCACCGTGAACGGCATTCATCCAGTACAACCCTAAGTCACGCGGTGAACACAGATGGAGGTACGGAGAAGAATGGAAAGCAGAGCAAAGTCAAGCCTTGGATTTGGTGGGGTCCACCCATGTGGCACGACATGGGTTATTGCGCAGTGAGCCTGACACGTTTTGCTTTGCTTGAGTTTCGTTCCGATTCTAATCAGAGGATAATACAGGCCGTCATCCAGTTCTTCGGAGCCACAGTCTTTTGGATCGCTACCATGTGAGTCAAGTTCTGCTGTTCTCCTCCCTTTTTTACATGCTGAGTTTCGGCCCATCACCACCAGCACCGGTCTACCTGGCGTCATTCCTGGATTCGCCGCTGGTGGAGGATCCATAGCCATCATTGACGTCTTCTTCTGGACGCCTCAAGTTGTGGGCGGAACCGGATTCATCATCTCGTCCACGCTCCTCATGCTGGAAGTTCAAGGATCGTGGTGGAGGATCAAACCATTGGATATTGGTTGGCATGGTAGGTTTCCTAAGCGGTGCATTAATGATATTGGCTGAGACCGCGCTTTTCAGTCGGATTCTGGAATCTCATTGGATCGATAGGATTCACCCTATGTGGTGCGCTTGGTTTCTCATCAAAGTCTGGAGTAGTGTACGAATCGGATCTAGCAACATTCTGGGGAAGTTGGGCATTCTTGATTGGCAGTTGTTTTCAAGTTTGGGAATCGATCTGGAGGGAAGCTGAGCCTGAACCAGATACGAAGAAGGGTTGAGATGATGCACGACAGGATTACATTCGAGAATGCATCTCCCTTCCGAGCTGAACATATGCGAGCATTATGAAAGATCGAGGCAACACAGGCATTGACACCGCGAGAAGAACAACTATAGACGAATTTGAATGTGGGCCGTGTCTTGGATGATAAGGATACAGGAATGTGTCGAGGTAGTGTGTTGTCGAGAATATATTGATCGAACAGCCCGTCTATAAGTGTGAACCCCAAGAAGCGACGTCAAAGAGAGAAATGTCCGTGTATACAGAAATGAATTCCGAGATATGTGTGAGATGTCGTGTGATTCTTGATATATGTGTGTGTGTTTGTGTGCGTGTGTGTGTGTGTTTGTATGACCTTCCGTTCCCTCGACCGCCTACATCGGCGTGAACCGACTGAGCGTCTGAAACAACCTCGCGCTCTTCTTTCGCTTCAGACCCGCTGCGCCTCCATCCCCAGCATCATCGTCGTCCTCCCCCGACGCAGCCCCAGCGCCAACACCCTTCTCGCCACCACTCCCAACCTGCATGAATGTGGGCATACCAGATTCGCCGCCCAGACCCTCTTCTGAATCCGCGACGGATGCAGGTCCACCTCCATCGACTCCGCTACTGCTCGCTCGTGAGATACTAGGTCGAGAGAAAAGCGGGAGGGAAAGTTTCATACTTCGCGGACTGTCCATCACGTCCCGATCCCGATCCCGATCCGAAGATTCACGAGAGAACGTAGGTCGTTCGCGTCGGAAAGACATGGATCGTCGTAGGTTCTGCCACGTCGTTCCGAGAGGTTTGTTATCGTCTTCGTCGCCTCCCTGCGTGACCTTTTTCTCCCCGCCGCCGTTGCTACCTTGAGAACCTGAGCCCGTAGAACTCGGCGCGCTATCGCTCGAATTGCTCCGGGATGTCGTGCCAGAATCAGATTTCATGACTCGGCGAAGGAACGGCGGTGGTAGCATGCCTGCAGGGCCTTGAGGGACCCGCGGAAGTTCTTTCGAGCCGGGCAGTGGCGGGAGCTCCTTCTCCTTTGCTTTGAGCACGGGCGAAACGGGTGTCGACATGGCTCGATGGGGCACAGGCGTCTTTTGGTGGAGATTATACGAAGATGCCGTCTGACGCCTGTTCAATGTCGCCCAAGGCGTAGGAGAGACCTTGATAGGCGATTCGACAAAGTCAAATGCAGCTTGTCTCAAGTTGGACAAGGAAGGATGATGCGAGTTCGGTGGAGAGATCTGAGGTGCACCATAGAACGAAGCGACAGAGTTGGTCCGACTAATTATGGCCGTGTTGACTTCCCGTGTCAATGTCCCCATCTCCGACGCAGTCGTTTCATCCATCTCCTCTTGACGGGTCTCGAGCGTCTCAAGGTCCGTCATTGTATCCCCAGAGGGTTTCGTCATGCGGTGAGAACCGCCATGCGAATGCGCTCGCGTATGTGCATGCCTCGGGCGTTCTGTCTCGAATGAAGATCGATGAGATGGTCTCGAGGGTATGACGGAACCTCGAATCTCACCCGTAAAGGCAATATCGAATGTCGCTGCATGAGAGTCGAGAAAGCTTCGGCGGCGACGTAACAAGGTGGAATCTCGGATCGACATGCGGTCTCGCACCTCGGACACTGGCATATCAGGCAAGAACAAGACTTGATGTAATTGAGCTTTGCTTCGAGCAGTGGCGCAACTCTCCGAGATAATGTCGCCGAGTCCTCTATCGACAATGACACGCTGAGGTGCAGTGGCGCGTTTGAGCAAGATCGTCGAGGGTTGACCAGGTCGACCCGCTTGGTCCGGGGTGAAGCCAAAGGACGATCGTGTGGGGGAGGACTGGGGGGTGATGAATGGCTGGACGTCGTCTATTGGAGCGGTGGCCGTGGTGTCGACGACTCCGAAATCACTCATCGAAGCAAAGGTGCCGAAGATGGTGTGCCTCTTGGATTGAGATGGCGAGACGGCTTCGGGTGATGAAGCGTCCGTGGGAGGCAAAGCAGCTGACATGCGTCGTTTCCGTGCCGCGAATGGCGAGACGGATGCGGGAAGTTCAAACGGGGGCATGGTAGATTGGTCTCGAGCCTCGGTGATGGCGGCTTTCCACACCTCTTTTTCGGCATCACATGAAGCAGCGAGGTCAAAGTTGTGATCACGTAGATTGAGCCGAACGCAATGCGGTAGAAAGCCTGCAAGTCAACGATAGCTCCTACTCGCCCACTCACCCTCTTCGATGTCGATCAACTCAAACACCTCGAGCGGGAGGTAATGCCTGACTTCGTATGTCTTGCCTCTTTTCACCTTGGCAAGGATCAAGTACCCTCGATAGAGAAACGCACCGAGGTATTTGACCTTGACGGGTGGCATCAATGGTGCAATGGTAGGATGATGATGGAGGACATCGAGCGATCCGACCAATCGGCATTTGCCGAGAGTTTTGAGAAACGAGGATGAAAGGGCGGGATGAGGCTCCAGCCTGTCGAGAATCGTCGCCGTCTTGATTTCGATATCTTTGAGGCGCCTCGCTTCGTCGGCTTCTTCCGCTACGCCCTTCATGGCTCCCAGAGCTCGCTCTACATCTACGCCGACGTCGTACTTGTCCTCGATCCCCTCGCCGTTTATCTGGATAGACGAATCATCGCGCTCGGGCGAGGATGTCGCGCCTAGCATCTGGTTCAGCAGCAGGGGATACCGACAGACACGTTGAATAGGCATGATGAGGAAGTCTCGAAAATGCAAGCGATTGCGATTGCGCAGTGAAGTCTCATAAGGCGATGTTGGGGCAGATACAGGCGAAATGGCGGAGGTGGCTTCGATCATGAGATCCGCAAGGGTGCGATGAGGTAGCGTCGCCGCGATGACTTGACATCGCCGCTCAAACGCATCGTAATCGGGGCGCAGGGAGATTCGTCGAACCAATGAAGCAGCCATGATGGATCCCGCGCAGTACTCGTTGTAGGCGGAAAATTCGGCGACCTGATCATCAGCCAAGCCTCGTGAGTATTGACTTACCTCATCTACGAACAAGGACGCCAAACGCCGAGCGACCTTTTCCAGTTTTGTCCCTGACTCTAAAGCCATATCAGTCGGTACCATGCCTTCTTCAACCATCACAAGAACCATTCGGCTCATGAACGCCTCGTGGAAGCGCAAGAGCTGATCCGAGTTCCGGGCAATGGCTCTCGTGGTGATCTCGCTGAGACCGGGCAGAGCAAAGAGCTGAGGCAAGTAGACATGAACCAATGTCTTGAGGTCTTGTGCGTAGGCGACCTCGGTTTCGACCAATTCTAGGAGGACCATGCGTCGTCTCTCTATCCTCCTTCGCGCGCGAGTCTGCTTGGCTTCCCACTCGAGGGACTTTTGCAGCTTGATGGCGGAAACACCACCGGGGCCTTCCTTGCCTGATTTGACAGAACGCGATAGGGATGTGCTCGTGGACGAGAGTGGATGGGGATCTGTGGACCCAGAGGACGTGTGACATTCTGCCGAAACCGATGCGGATGTCTCGGTCATAGTCAACGAGCTGGAGAGCACAGAGTGGACGTCAGTGACGACGTTCGCTCCAGCCAGCAATCTTTCATTGTCTGCGACAATCGACGACTTGTCAAAGTTGACCACGAGGGAAGAGCGACGTGGCGGTGGTCCATGAGGGATTTCTTCAGCAACGACGACCTCGACGGAACGAGCTGGACTGGGCGCAGTGTTGACTACACTCCGAGCCAGAGACGATTTGCGAGGTGATATCGCCGGCTGAGTTGTTTCCGGCTGGAGGACACTGCCCGAACGATCTGGAGGGTACGGGAATGCCTGGGAAAGTCCCTCCGTATCGCTTTCAGACGTTGCAGCATGGTGACGGTTTCGATATCGTCTGGCAAACTCTGACAGGTCTGTGACCGAGCTGAGAGAGGCTCTACGGCTGCGAAAGTGTTTTAACGATTTGGAAGGGGTGATGGCGTATAGAGCGGCGAGAGCTCGGCCAGGCGTCCCCGTCTCATCATGAGATCCCCGACGATCGGTCGTTGGGATGGCTTGTGCCTGCGGAGCTGACCCAACCGTACTGGCTCTTCTTCTACCTCGAGGACGGTGACCAAGACGTGGAGACGTGGGTACAGATGGTCCGTCGGCCGAGTCATTGCTGTTACGGGGTTTAGGCGGTCGACTGAGTGTCAAGCTCCGTATTGGGATATGGAAGGCTTTCGCTTTATGAGCCAGGACAGTCGATGCATCGTCGACTTGAGGATACGCCGAGAACAATGGTTCGTTGGGCGTCCCCACGGGAATCTCAATCTCGATCTCTGCTCTCGGTCGATCTGGTTCTGGGTCCTTTGAGGGAAGGGGAGGAGTCGCCGAGACCAGTGGAATAGTGGAGGATGTAGCTGGAAAGTAGGATCCTGGAACGGGACCGGGAGGTGGTTGAGAAGGTGAGGAGAGTGGGGTGACGAAATGATCTTGAGAAGAAGTGGATTCGAGATTGGCGTATGGATCTGGCGGTTCCAGCAATTCGCCAGAGGAAGTGACACGGGGAAGTGGGATGTGGGACCCAGCCGGACTAATGAATGATGGGGCGAAGGAAGAAGAAGCAGACATGAATTCTTCTACTTCTGGTGGATCCACGGGTGACGGAGAATCTTTCAGCGTAGGGACCTCACCAGATCCATGGGGTGACGGTGTAGGCGCTGCTGAGCCGGGGATGGTCGCTAAGGATGGAATGGCCATGACGGATGGCATGAGACCAACGGGGATGGTCATTATGGGGCCGTGATGTAGCGTCTCCATCGTGAGCGCTGAGCAGGGCTGAGTGAGGGTTCAGGGAGGATATGGAACAAAGGATGACGACCAGTGCGATGAATCGTGACCGAAAGGTGGAAGGAAAGACAAGTCAATGTCAGCAGGATGTCCGTCCCCTCCCTCGATGAGAATGACGGGATGAAAGGATCAGACGATGTGTCCCAGAACTCACCTATGCCCCGAAGGGGACGTGCGTTGATGTGATGGCGATGATGACGGTCGTTGGGAGTTGTAGGCGGGAGCAGGGTCCAATGGGAAGGTGGCGATGCCAGACAGTGATGAAATGGGATCGAGGTCGCAATCGCCGTTGATCCCCTTTTGCCGCTGCCAAGGGACCGAGGGCAAGGGGGTTCCTGCGGACACTTTTCTTTTCCTAGCTCGTCCCAAGCTATCTCTAATCCTCTTTCCTCGTCGATCTATCCGGACGTTCCTCCTCCCTTCCCAGCGTTCTCGTCACAGAGAGACAGAGAGAGACACAAGATGTGGGATGTTCCAGTGAAAAGTAGCGTCTTAAATATCGATGTTGTGTGTGTCACCTCCCTATTGAAAATGCGCCGATCAGACATTGACCAAAAGTAAGGACGGGGGAGGGGGCGGGTATAAGATAGGATAGGATATGGGGGGTGTATGATCAGGTCATGGTAGACAGTGAAAGCGTGATTGAGAATGCTTGAAGCCCGCCCCCCCCCCTCTTTCCATCTAGAAGCGTGTATGAACACTCACCTAGACGCGATGGGACGACTGTAATTTTTTGCTGTGTCCCCCCCGTTTTCCTCCTTGCTGCTGGTGGTTGGTTGGTTGGTTGATTGGGGGAGGCGAATGAGATGAATTAACACAAGAAAGGGCCCCTCGCAGGTTCTAATGATACACAGACAGACACAAGTTGCAAAGCGATCCACTAACAGAAGAGGTTGTGGTTGATGGATAGAATGGCAGGAACGAGGGGGATTGGGATGAGAGACGCCCTCTGGTGACGTTTGTGTGAGATGACTGCTGTTATTATTTATTATTATAGAATCCCACGTTTTCCGGTTTCGAATTTTCCCGAGTATGGCAACTTGTCGTTGGGATGGGATGGGTGGTGGATGGTGGCGATGGTGGCGAGGGGGCGTGGAACAGCAGCTGATGATTGACAGTATGAGAAAGGTGCAACTGCATTAGCACATCCTCACCTCCACTCACCGTATAGCTCTGCACTGCTTAAAGGCTTGTATCGGACGGACGAAGTGGAGGGAAGGAAGGGGGCTACTACCCATTTTAGCGTCCATCTCCAGGGTGTAGCCTGCCCACCCTTATTGACCCTGCTGCTTTCCCGCTCGCTCACGGTATGCCAAGAAGGCAAAAAAGAAAGCATGCATCATTTAATGGATGGTTCTACTATGCCGCCTGATCACCACGACCAGTCTGTGCGGGGCATTGTATGTCGTCCTCCTCGGTCAAATGGGCTCCATGGCCCCCAGCGCAGTGACCAACAAAACAGAAGATGTTTGTTCAGTGGTTTTGCTATTTCGTAAACAAAAACCCCCGAGAAACCATCCGTGGGCTCTCTCTCTCTCTTACTCTGGTTCTATGCGTGCTCGCCTCCACCTCGTCACGTCCGTCCGAAACCTTGTGTCCTCTCGTATGGTAAAAAAGTTCGGGTGCTACACGTATTGGCGTACGTCAGATTTATTGGGGTAGAGCTTGTAAGTGGACAACGTTTGAGAGTCTATCATAAGGTCATTGTATACAAGACACGCATATGAGTGACGGTGGCGAGCGTGGTGATTGATGTCCATCCGCACTCAACCACCCACCAGATGCTCTGAACATGCCGGTATAACTCGATGTGCCACAGATGACGCGCTGAACAGTGGGTCCAGGGTCTGCCGAGCATCGGCACAAGGGGGGTCGATCGCCACAAACAGCAGTGCCAAAGGGAAAGTGGCGGCAGTGGCAGATGGGATGTTGTACTTCTTCTTACGGCCGATCTTGTACATCACTCTGATACAAGCGATCGCAGCCCAGTCCACGGTATCTTGATGATACGTTAGGCCATGGCTCAACGCAGCCAGACAACGTTCAGGCTCTCCGAGAGATGGTCCGAGACGAATGATATGACGTTTTGCACATACGCCACTTTTCAGCGCATCGTATGTCTGGAGGAACAGAGTTTTGCCATGACTCATGGACCAAAGTGAAGTAGGAACGGCGACACTGTGGACGTAAGCCCTGAAGATCATGCGGGCGGACGTATGGTATGCATAGTGTACGCCACTGCTTGGCTGCACAATGAACCGTAATCCCATTTCGTCCTGTACTTTTGATCACTCCTTTGCCCCTAGTTGAATGGAGGCTTGGCACCTTGAGACGTCGATACAGACAAACTTCTTCCGCGCAGCCCCGACACCAACCATGACCTCACTTAACATCCTTCGGACGACCCCTGACATATTTGAACACCCGTCTCTCCCCTCCTCCCTTCTCGAGAGGCCACTGCCAGATCTCCGAATCAACTTCGTCAAATCCACATCTACGTATCATGGTGCGAGATGCGACATTGGATTCTTGTATGTGCTGTGTGTGTGTGTGTGTGTGTGTCAGAGAAGCCTCAGCTCAGCTGAGATCTGAACCGACAAAAATTTCTCGCGTTGCAAAGTCGCTTTACGCTATGCTAGACTCACCGCTATCGTCTCCTCCACCCCGACCCAATCATTCCAACCTTCCAATACTGCATCGAGAGCTCTCGTCCCGACACCTTTGCCTCTCATAAATGGCATCAAGTCGTACGCTACCATATGGGTCCTCGAAGCGGATTTCGAAGTCTCTCCGATGGAATTGGCGATATCGTTGGTATTCGGGAAAGATGTGAAGGAGCCGAGAAAGGTATCTGGAGAGAGGTTCATCTCAGAGAGACGATCTTCAACGGCCTGATCGACATCTGGTCGATCCAACTTTGAGTAAGACGAGTCTGTAGCGGTGGACCCGTTCACGCTGCTGCATGTCGGAACATATCGCATCATGGCGAGTGGGAATGTCGTCGCTGGAGGTCTCGTACCGTGTTCCAAGTGGGACTTAAGTGAGGCGCAGATCATATCGAGATCAGCATGAAAGTTGTCCATGAACCACTGAGAACATTCGAGATCGTACCTGGGGATTGGCGTTAGAAACACCAACCCGAGGACTCGAGGATTCGGCGCTGCATGCCTCGCTGACTCACGGGTAAGGCCGCCTGAAAGCATATTGTCCCCCTTCTGGATCATTGTACAGATCCACAAAGTTTTGCCCATCTGTCGACCGTAGCGGGGTGAATCGAATGCTAGGTACAGCAGGGATGATCATGTACGGTTCGGACCGCTCTTCGTCCCATTGCACGTGAGCTCGGGCAGATGATGAGGAGGACATGAACGTAAGGCGAGGCAGGCGAGACGCGTACGAAGATGTTGTAGAAAGAGCTAGCTGAGCTACGTGAGTCGCTGTCTCTGGATCGTCAGTCGTATTGGACTAGACAACTGTCTTTGAAAGATACAGATCTGACTCGGGCACGAAATCTCGTCAATCAATTCCTCAACGCCGCGGATGATTTTCGATTCCGGCTAGTTACCGTCGGGTCCGACCACGAGTGTGAAGTTCCTTGGAAGTCTTATCAGAGCGAAGGAGTCATCAGAATATACATGAATACACAGAAGCAATATACCTGATCTGATTGAACAAGCTACATCATCCAACCAAATTCCCGATTCATCCCCTACACATCCCCCAGGAGCTCGAGTCCACGAGGGTGATGCGCCGACCTACGAACATTCTGCCTTTTTCCTCTCGACCCAATCTTCCAATTTATTGAATCCATTCTTTCCCAGACCCTTCCACTCATGTTTGGCGATCGTACCTCCTCTTCTGAACCCTCCATCGACCTCCCAACAGGTTGACATGAGCGTCGGTTCGTACCCGTGCCAAGAGACATCTCTGACAGTCCACGATTGACCCATCTCGTAAGGTAACGCACCGTATCGGGAGATAGTACGTTCTCTCTCTGTTGCAGAAGGATCATTATAATTTCCACGTGAGTCGCGTAAGGGTGTAGACTCGGCTCGATTGAGAACTTGGACAACTGCGCGGAGCGGCGAGCGAAGCGCATCTAGTGTCAGCGGGCAATAGAGGGGCGGAAATCGCCTCGACTCACCTCGACCATCTAGCGACCAAATATGGATTAAGCCATCGGCACTGCGCGCCCCTGTCAGCATTGTCCCCGGGTACGAACCATTATCCCTACCTTCCCGAGTATATGTAACTCTGTCCAGTCGACTCGCGCGGGCTGAAATGACATCGGATCAAGGTCCGCAAGACAGAGTGCCCTCGATATGTCATGATGGAACAATCCTTGGGATGAGCTAATCGGGACGGGCGGGGATATCGGCTGTCGCGGTCTGCACGGAGTGTCAATGCTCAGTATCTCATGTAGCCGAACCGACTCACAATCGAAACTATTTTGACCCCATTTCCTGACTGCATCCGGCTCTGTCCTGAATTCTCCGGGATCTCTCATTTTTCTCAAGTCGTACAGTCTCGCCGCTTGATCTTTGGAGTTGACGACAATGTATCGTCCATCACCCTTTGGCGAAGCGTAGGTGATACCTTCTGTAGCGCCAACAAGGACACCGGAAGCAGTATTGGAGGACAGGGATCGACGATCCCATACTTTGACAAAACCATCATCAGAGCCAGAGACCAGAATGTTGGTGGACGCCTCATCGGCAAAGCACACAGCGTTCACTGACAGATGTTCAGTCACACGCTCCGAGCGCGGGCGGTAAAGAGGCTCACCGTCATCACCGTGGCCTTGCACTGCCAATGTTTTCGAACGCGCCTCAATATCGTAGACCAATATTTTGCCGTTTCCCGCACCGGCGACTACCTCTCTACCATCTGCAGAGAACCGGATACTCCAGATCTACCCTGGAGCGTCAGCCATGCTTCGTAGTCATCGGCCTTTGGCACTCACACCAAAGCTGTCGTATCCGCCCCAACTGTCGGATCGATACTGACGACGACTGGTGAAATCCAATTCGATGTGCTCTGAATCGTCCTCCGATGTGCTGACCATATGAACATAAGGAGTGATAGAGGAGTATATCATCCTGCCGATGTCAGTTCAAATTCAAGCGCACTGCCTCCATGTGGCTCACCGTTCACCCTTCCTGTCCACATCACAATCCGTCACTGTCCATCTTCCGTCTACCCCTCTGACCTGTTTGATCCTTTTCATACTTGTATCTTCTCTTATAATACCACGTCTTCGCATGCCAGATCCTCCCCATCCCATCCCGACAAAATCATCTTCGCTATCGTCATCGTCATCGTCGTCATTACGAGCCAACTGAGCACGGGTGGTAGTTTCGGGAGACCCAGAACTCGATCCTGTGCCTCCATCTGTCGTATCTCTTGGTCTTGCTCGCCGTTTCACAGCCCTGGATTTACTCGTATCGTATAGGTGAAGAGTAAAGGCCTGGGTCGCCGAGTCTAAACGCATGGGAATGTCCCGATTGGGTCGATGGCCGGTATCAGTTGGTGGGGAAGGGAGCACGAAGGGGTTGAAGGGGGGAGGAAGGGGAAAGGAAGAGAAAAGATAAGTCAGGGGATTGACAAGGAGGAGAGAGGAAAGGACTCACAAAATAGACCGTAGTCTTCTCCGGCGTACTGACCCACGTAAGGGATAGATGGGTATGTAGCCACGATGGTGCCTTGAGTATTGGGTACTAGGGCCTGAAGCACGAGTGTCAGCGAGTGCATCGATTGAATGCGCCTGATCAGCTCACCTCTGGCCGTGGTGCAGTCCAACTGCGCTTGTAACCTTGATCCATCCTGGACGACTTGCTCCCGCTCGCCTTTGGATACCTTGTCCAATCCCCCACTCTGCCAAAATCACCACTCCTCAACAATTCCAACCCTTTTGGATGAGGATCCACTTGTACGGACCACCATCTATCCCTCTTTCGCTTCTCTGCCGCTCGTCGTTGTCTCTCCTCAGGTGATATCTGAGGTCGTTGGGATCGTCTACCTAGACCTCCTCCGCCACCACCTGCACCTGCACCCGCACCCGTGGGACCGAGCAATAATCGAGCCAGGAGTGATTGTCTAGCTTCGGAGCTTGTCCCTGGTTGATTCAACATTTGAGCAATGTTGACCAACGTTGATGCGTCAATGTTGCTCAGATCGATCACATGTCGACCACCGATCTCATCGTCGTCATCATCATCATCGTAGTCTTCACCATCCTCGTGGTTGCGGACTGGATAAACAACGAGAGCATCACCGAGAGGATTACCTCCATCTTCATCATCATCATCTTCTTCCTCGTCTTCATCATCCTCATCCTCATCTATCTCCATATCATCCTCATCTTCATCATCCTCATCGTCGACGTACAGGTCATCAAAGAGCTCATTCCCATCTGGACCGATGTAATCTTCATCATCGGGATCGTCTTCCCAAAGCTCATCTTCGTCACCTGGATCGATTGGGTCATAGAATAGGTCCAGATCGGGATGAATATCGTCGCTCATCGTGTGGTCAGGGGATGCGATGTGATGCGATGAGCAGGTTCAGACAGAGGTCAGGAAGGCGATAAGGTGACCCATTACGTTTTGAACCTCCACTTCGGCGAGATGCGATTGCCGAATGGGAACGGAATCAAAAAGCAAGAAAGGACCCAGGCGTGGCATTACTCTGCATGGGCTAGGTGGATGAACTCTGGACTGACTGAATGACTGAATGACTGGCCATGACTGCTAGGTGACAAGAGACATACCCTCCGTGCCCCACGTCTCACGCCTCATGCCTCACGCGAACTCCGACAAGTCCAACTTGTAATGCGGCGGTCCCGCCAACTTCATAGTCCTACCCCGCCTCATACTTTCCAAAGTCTTTGTCTTGCTCTCATACCCTTCTTTCCTCTTTTCGTCATCCCAACTGAGCCCAGATACATCCTCAAAGTAATCACTAATGTTCGTCAATAGACTGGCGTTGACACCTAGCCTCTGCTTTTCGAGTGGATACTTGGCAAGCCCTTCTGGAGGTTCCAACTCGAACAAGTTGCAACCGCATTCCCTACAGTGGTACATGAGATTTTCCTTCTTGTAATAGCCGTAGTCGAAGGTCGAATCGGGATGAGGATGGTATGGTTCGTCAGGTGCTGAAGGGGAGAAAAAGAAATCTTGTCGAGGTGGATAGATCCACAAGCTGCCATTCTGCGAAGTGGTGGGCTTCAGACATCAGGGTACCGACGGGCACTTACACCTAGACAGATGGAGCATGCACAATCATTCATCCTAGTCGTACCGAGGGGCGAGTCGATCAGGGCGAATTTGATAGCTTTGCAATGGCACGAGCCGAGGAGAATCTCGGTGGGACCATCGCGACCTTGGGCTCGTTTCTCCAGGTATTCTTGGGCTCCGGGAATATCAGAGAGTTCAGGGTGATTGTATTTATCTCCGGCTTGGGAGAAGTTGATTCTGGGATCTCTCAGCATGAGACGGAACGGACGACTGAATGATCGATCGGGGCAGGAGTTCAACTCACGGTGTGACGGGATACTTCCATAGATCGAAATGATCATCTCGGATATTCCTCATCTGAAACAACGCGTCAGGGCTCGTCCTCCCTCACTGAGCTGAGCTGAGCTGAGCTGAGCTGGTCATACGCACATTGAAGTACATGGGCATGTCAAAGTTGAGGTTGGCATCTTTGTACGTCGCCACAAGGTTTGACCCGCACTCGCCACACCACTGGCGAGAAGACAGAAAGTCAGGCAGTGAAAAAACCAAGGAGAGTGCTCCCACCCTATGATGCATGTTCTTCCCTCCGAACTGGTAATCTCTCAACTTGTCGAAACCTCTAAGGACTTTGACGCTGCCTGCAGGAGCGATGGACCATACGATCCTTTTCTTGAGACAGTAGGAGCAATCACATACTTGATTCTTGTTGAATGGTTCGGTGTCTGCAGGGTACGTGATACGGAGAATGTTGGATTGACAGTGGCATGAGAGGTGGAATGTGTGGTCGTCAGACATTAGTGGTGAGTAAGAAAGGGTCGAGAGTGAAGCAGAGAGATGCGATCGTTCAGATAGTGCTCTATATCGTTCTCTCTTTGGAATGTTGAGGATGTCGAGTCGATCTCGCGACTTGATGGTCTTCGGAGTTCGGGTAGAAATTTAGCCGCCGGTCCATGGAATTAATTGAGCAAGGGCGACGAAGAGAACAACTACTGACTTGGGATGCTGCCAACAGGTCAAGGCACACTGGCAGCATTCTTACAAGGACACATCCGTACGGGTGTAAGGCCCGCTAAGGTGCATGGATGCATATGGGCCGTAATGTCAGACAGAATGATGTGTTGATGAGGTCCAAGGAATCTCGTCATGCTATTCCCGTGGACAGCTCGAGTCTCCCGATCTCCCGCGACGAAGACCAAATGCGACGTGATTGCGCAAATAAAGATGGGCAGTCTGTCCGACCGGCCACGAATAGCCTTGCTGGTGTCCATGTGCGTGGATGACCCACGAGATTATATGCTACAGTATGGTTCTAGCTCAGAGGTCGTTGCTCGCGTTACCTCGCTCCTGGCATCTGCAGCCAAGAAAATGTCAGCGAGGGGGCATTTTCGAAACGGTACAGCCGCTTCAGGCGCTGATCGCTCGACGACTCACTTGAATGCCATAGTCATTCTGAAACTTTACAAAATCCTCCTCTTTCCCCTTATAATTCTTCACCAGCGACTCCAGAACCTCTTTGATCCCATTGTAGTTGGTCTCGAGCGCGGGGACCACATCAGTGACTGTTCGCTCGACCAATACACCTCCGATCAATCGATAACACGAGCGTGTAGGGGCCGTTTTGACCAGTGGTTGAAGAGTGGAAAGGACCAGACTGGCGGAGTTTTGTCAGCTTCAGTAAAACAGTGGAGCGGCGGCATTGTACAAAGGTCAAGGCGATGGACAGCTACCTATCACAATATCATAGTTGTCCGAGGCCATCTTGAAACGTCCTCTCCCTCTCTCTCTCTTGAGGAATCGGTCTCAACTCACGCATGCTCCTCCAACTCTGATTCCAGCTCGCCAATCTTTTGAGCGAGGTTCTGCAATTCCGTTCGATATCGTTGAAATGCGGCGGGGACCTCTTGCGGGGTCAACTTCTGTGAGCCAGAAGCTGCTGCAGACTGTTTTGGAGGCATCGTGGCTGACCTCGTGCTCGATGATATCCCTCGCAACTTGATCTTTCGACTGTCAAAATGAGTAGTGTCGTTCCCGGTGCCCCGGACTTGTATCGCCACGGCGTTATCTTTCCTATTTCCCGAATGTGGCACTTCTTCTTTTCGTAGTTCATTGAAGGGTCCTGGAATTTTCGTGACCTCTGCAATATCTTTTGTCGTCTCTTAAAAGAGCTCATTGGCAGCTCACACGAAAGCGTACTAGCCAGGAGAGATTCACGTGGACGGAAGATCCTTAGTCGGAGAGACGTCTACTCGCCATGTCTGACGCCGTGGCTATCGTTCCAGAGTTGCCATTCCAGCAACAGGTGAGTCTGGGTCTAGGTCCAGACGATTTTGTCTGACACACACCCAAATGTTCAGGTCTCTGAATACGCTAGACACCTCACTCGCTCTCTACCTAATGCGAGTGACATTGCCGCCGCGAAAGAGTTCGTCGCGGGGTATGAGAGCCAGGTCAAGGGAGAAGAAGGACAGGAAGTCCCAGAGTCCACACGGCAAGAGATCGTCAGGAGTTTGGTGGAGAAGACTGTAGAGTTGAAGGGGGCGTTGGAAGCGTCGAAAGAGTCTGGTGAGGGAGACCAAGAGCAATCGCAAAGGGGGCTCTAACACTGAAACCCCCTGTGGTCGCTAGAAACCGAATCTTCCCACCTTTTGCTCAATTATCTCCTCTCTTCCACTTTCGAGCCATCCTCTTCGACCTTTAACGAACTCTCTCGATCCGTCATTGACAGTCTGAGGTCCGGAGGTGAGGCAGCCGCGTCCTCATCACGGCCAACGAGGCTCGATGCCGCGTGTAGAATGTGAGCTTGCCAATCTTACAGCTTGAGACTGATGCCATCTCCACAGACTCAACAATACCTACAACTATCTTCCTCCCACGTCCTCCCTCCGCCCACATACCCTCACAACGCTCCTCTCCCTCCTTGCTCTCTCGTCCGAACTTTCCGCTCTTCCGCTTCACACCGCTTCCCTCTCCGCTTCCTTGACACAATGGGACATTTCTTCTGATGAGAAAATCTCATTCCTCCTTTCCGCGGCAGATATCTATGCTCAAGCGGGTCAACTGCCTAAAGCTTTGGAAATTCAACTGCTCGCTTTACGATTGAAGCCTTCGTCCGATATCGCCGAGAGAGCTTTGGCGTTGGCTTTGGCGGATCAGACGAGATTTAGCTTGGACGATGTCTTGCGATTGGAAGGAGTCAAGGCATCACTGAATGGCAAGATGGCGGAAGTTAAGGGGTTGTTTGAGGGATCAGATGAGGTTGGCGCTGTGAAGCAGGGACTAGAATGGTCCTCATCTTCAAGCAGCTGGATCGAGGGATTGAGTGAGCGAGCCTGCTGCATCAGAAGGAAGATCTCTAGGCTGATCGTTTATTCAGAAGTCCCCTCACTGACGAGCGAGAGCATCGTTCGCAAATTACGATTGATCGCTTTGACGACCTTGGCTGCCAAATCGCCAAAGCAGGAGTTGACATATGAGGAGACCGCCAAAGCTCTTCAGATAGACGAAAAGGACGTCGAAGCCTGGGTTATTGAGGGTGAGTTCAGATTCTCCGCGTCACTTGCGACCATCGATTTCTCTCTATCTGACTAAAACTCCTAGCCATTCGAGCGTCCCTGATCCGTGCTCGTTTATCTCAACCTCAATCCCTCATCCGCATAACCTACGTCTCATCACGTGGTACACCAGCTTTCGGACCGTCCGAGTGGCAACTCTTGGAAAGACGTCTGGAACAATGGCAAAAGGTCGTTGGAGACGCCAGGAAAGTCGTCGAGGATGCGGAAGGATTGGCAGCTCAGGGTCCAATCACACATCGTCCGAGGACTCAAGGACCGTCAGGTCAACAGCAGCGAGAGCAAGCTGGAGCAGCAGGAGGCAGAAGGGAGGAGGAAGTTGCAGCTTGATGAATGGCGTCGTTGACATGGATACGAGATGCATATGCTGCGAGGTTCAGATGCTGGTCCTGGTGTATGCAATAATCTGATGATCTCTCGATACGTCATTCATTGACTGAGGCTGATCAATCGAATATTCCCATGAAGGACTTCATAGCGGTACGATGGGCAACTCACGTTGATGTCACATGCTCCGGACCGACGGTAAAAGATTTCTCATGGGATGAACGCTTCCCGGCGAGGGTGATTCCTATGAGGACGGAGGGAGGACACGAGATTGGTGACGTCGGTGAGACATGGACGAGCAGTCTCTCCCCTTGTCAAACGACTCTAATTGTGACCACGGTGTTTGGGTCTGATCAATGTCTATCATGGCTCGGCGACTTGATACACTATGGACGTGTGACGGACGCGTACTCTGAGACGGAGATCATCCGTCTGTCGTCCGACCATTAGCGAGGCGCTCCACTTGATATTATGAGCCCACTCATTGTAAATTGCCTTCGCGCAGCTATGCATGCTTCTCGTATACGCTACCATCTGCTCAGCTCTGAAGGTCCCAGGCTAAGGCAAGCTAATGAACTAACATCCATCTCTACGGTAGGAGTTGCTTTCGCCCCCCACTCAACACGGGTTACCGCCACATTGCCACTTTTTGTGGACGCACACGCCTTCTGACGCATCATCGCTGGTCATTCTCACCATCCGAACGCTGTTTAAGGACCTCTTCTTCTCGATTCACAGCCGAATCCAACAGAGTCATCATGGACCCACTGTCGCCCAATAGGGTACCTGCCATGCCGACATGGCCAGATTCGCCAGATACACCTATCCGTTCTTCGTCCTCTAACCACATCACATCCCCACTTCCAACCTCTTCCTCCATCTCATCCTTCAGAGAACCAAAGGTGTTTGGGGCACCACCTCCTTCTCTAGTCAGTCCACCTATCGGTCAGCCTGAGAGTGGTGGATCATCCACGTCGCAGGATGGGACATCGAGCCGTGCTCAGCAAGGACCTTTTCTACGCGTTAGAATCGGTGGATTGGAGAGAAATAGAAAGGACATGTTGGTCCGGTTCGATGCGAGTGTGAGTAGAACCCCCGTTGTTGTTGTTCGTCCCCCGCTCTCGCGCCGGGATGCAGGGACTGTGTTGATGGCTTCAGACCAACTTGCCAAATTTTCGGACTGGTCTGTATCGGAATATGCAGCGGACCTACGCCGATTTCCAACGATTCGTCGAGCAGACCTCACATACCTCTCCGCATAGTGAGCAGCGAAGAACGTCATTTTAGGTACTCTCAGACCATGACTTACCGTGGCCTAAGCCATCATCCCTGCTTTACCACTTCCTACCACGTCCGCAATGACAGATGCAGAAGGTACGTCAAGTCAATCATCATCGGCTTCGAGCGGTGTCCAGCTCACCCCGTGGAACAGACGATCGGCTGGTCCGCATCGCTCTTCAGCGTTGGTTCACCCGAGTGTGCGACGATCCAGTATTGATGAGAGATGACGAGTTGAGATCGTTCATCGAGTCGGAATTCAGTGTGAGTCGGCGCCGTCTCTTGGCGGAAGTGAGATTTTGAATTTCCTGCAGTACAATCCTGTTCTGCCTGCTTCAGCCAGGAGACAGACATCTTCCTCTTCAGCCGCTACAAACGTCCTCACCGCTGCTCTGTCCAAAGTTGTAAGAAGAGGACCAGCGGACGAAGATGAAGAGCTCGCTTCGGCCAAAGGAGCATTGGAAAAACTCGAAGGGACATGGGGTGGTGCAGCGACAAACGTCAATTCGCTCGGCAAAGCCAGACGAGGTGAGCTCTAGGTGTGCCGCAAAGTGGATCGCTCAGCTCACCATTGTCATAGCACATGCCATGGCGTTCACAGACGTCGGTGCAAAGATGGTCAGTCTATCGACGGTGGAATCGGATATGCAGCTCGCCGCGGCGGTCAGAAAGGTTGGAAGAGCGTACGAGCAATTGGCGAACCTCGCTGGATCACAGGTGAGCTGATTGGGTCATCAGGATGGCCATCAGCTGACAGCGGTCGGTCAGGCCGTCAGCGAGAATGTGGTCCTGAGCGATTCCCTAGGGTATCAAGCACTTAATGCCCGAGCCGCCAAAGTGAGTCTGACCGGTAGAATACGAGCTGATTCCTTCAGGATGCACTCCTTCACCGAACCCAGATTCTCGAAGACTCTCAAAACGCAGCTAAAGCCGCGATCAACAAACGCCGGAACGTGGAGAGACTTCGAGGAGCTTCCAATATCAACCCAATGAAAGTCGATGATGCGATCAGTGAGATGGAAGAGGTGAGTGAAGGGACCCCACGCAGGACCGAGTATTGACATTACAAGGCAAACACGCTCGAAGGTGAATACCAAGGACGACTTAATGCGATCTCTCGACATCTCCACGTCGCTCTACGTGCCCACTCTCGACAAACTCACGAGGATGTTGCCCTTGCACTACTGGAGAACGCTCGATTGACCGTCGGCTTCCACAAACACGCTCTCAGGGAATTGGAAGCTTTGCAACCTGATTTCACACGAATCGGTACCAACAACGCGCCGCCCATCTCAAACACTGCATCGAGTATACATCAGCGACCTCAGCTTCCCACCGCCCCCACCGTTCCGTCCACCATGGGTCGAGCGGGCGATCCCCGTCTATCCGTCGAGAGTGATCGCATGTCCGCCAGACAAGGCTCCAGTCCGGGACTACTCGGACACGTTCAGGCCCCTGCGATGGACGGCAGTAAATCCATGTTCCTTCCCTCTCAACCTCCTCCACCGATATCTTCCTCCGGTCTGCCGGCCAGACCTGGATCCACCGGTCCGTCCATGTCGACTCACACTGATCCGCTTGCTGGGATGCCACCTGGCGCTCACATGGCTCAGAGCATGATGCTTCCAGGGCAGTCGGCACAGAGGTCACAGACGTTGGGTCGGGCACAGGGTAGACGGCTGGACGAAAGACAAGCCGCAAAGATGCTCGCCGGTGGGTTCTGAGTTGGCTACCTGGTGTATCTTGTCATGCAGCTGTAAACTTTCCCGTGGGCGTCTGATAGCAATTTTTGCTCAAAGTCTCTTTCATGCCGATACCTTCTGTACAAAGTACGATAGCCTGCTCAAGCGTATGATTCGCCGACCCAAAAGACGCCTACGCCTTTCTTGCCATCACTAATCATCCGGCTCACGCCGCTGCGGCTGCTGCCACATTGCTCTGCCTAGCATTCCGTTTGGCCTGTTTGACCAGGACCAAGCTAGTCTTCTTTGGATTTCGACTCTCGAACACCTCGTCAAGGTCTTCAAGGGACAACTGCTTAGTTTCTACTGCAAAGACATAAATGAGGACAAAGCCAATGGCGTTGAGGACGACAAAGATGATGTATGCTGGAGCGTACCGCCGTCAGCCACAGAGTGCGTGTCACAGAGATGACTCACTCTTCCATTGAATATGCGTGAGGAGGGCAGGAGACTGATCAACAGATCGCGGACATCAGTGGAATGCAGTAGAAGGCTGCTGCCCTATCCTCTGCTCCACTCACGCAAACGAGTTCCAGACATTGATAAGGATACTGATCATGGACCTCAAGGCATTCCCTTTCTGTCTATTCTCGTAAGACAACACTTCGGTAGGGTACAACTGCTGGAGGGGCGTCCATCCGATCGAAAAGCAAACCATAAACAGCACTGCGATGTCATCTATCAGTCCAAGCGTTTCTCTCTCTCTCCACTCGAGGCATTGACTCACTGATGAAGGCAATACTGGCATTTGTCCTCATCAGAGTCTTTGGACCGGTATCACTTAACAACCCCGCACAGATCGCCATGCCGATTCCGCAACTTGCTGCTGCCCAAAGCATGAGGCCGCGTCGACCAACATGGTCAACAATGGCTACCCCCGTCATGGCGCCTGCAAAGGACGTGACTGCGTTAGCGAAGGTCAATTGGCGTTGTCGATTGGTATCGGTGATCCCAGCTTGACGGATCAATTCAGGCAACCAATCTTGGGGTCCAATCCTATCGTCAGCAGGGTCCTGAATCACAGGCTGGTGATACACTGACTTGTAACGAGGCCATTACCCGCGAATTGACTCCAGACAAGGTTGACGACTCCCAGTAAAAATCGATAGGTGTTCGCTCGAGTATTGAATAGAGACCTGAAGTCCCACCATCTGGTATCTGCTCCATCTTGGCTGATCTGCGCTCTAATCTCTTGCATCTCGAGCTGGACAAGAGGTGAGTTGATATCACCATCTCGAGAGTGAAGATCGGCAAGGATTCGAAGAGCTTTTTCTTCTTGACCGTGGGCGTAAAGCCTGGCACAGGGATCAGCCTCAAGTTCTCGGACTCATGCATGGCGCCGGTTGCGAACCAAACGACACCACACAACCCACCATCTGGGAGATTCTGGACAGAATAAAATTCCGGCCATAAGGACAAGCAAGGGCGCCGCCTGGAGACAGAAAGGAACCCTCCAGGCCCAATTGGACGTTCCGCGTCCGAAAGGGATACAGATTCCAGTAGCGATGATCTGCCCACTGTGCGCCGGCACCGGCTCAGCTTGGTCCACCTGCTTTTGTCAGGTCACACTCACATGTAGTACATGCTATCGAAAGCGCCGATGACTCGCCCTCGATATTTTGGAGGAGTAATCTCGGCGAGGTATGCGGCACTGCCCAGGTTGCATCAGGGGCAAGTTTGTGCTGTTGTGAGGTCGGCGCCACGATGCTCACGGTGCGGCGCCTTGAAATCCTAAACCTCCGATGATCCTAGCTGCGAGCAAGGTGTGATAATTTGGAGCAAAGCCAGACATGAAGGCGGAGATACTAGAGATGAGAGGTCAGATCATCAGAAAACGGGAGGTACGACCGTTACGCACATGCTTGGAATGTTTCCTAAAGACATGGCCCATCGTCTTCCATACTGTTCAGAGGGGTTTCAGCGATCAGTTCATTTTTGACGTCCTGACGACCTGACTCACTCTATCAGGAACAACATAGGACGGTACGAATGATATGATCGTTCCTGCAGCGCCAATACCCTGTCGCTAGTGTCAGCTTGTGAATCTAGCATATAGGTGTGCGCCTCACCAGCACCACCCCCGTCTTGGTCGATGCTTCTCCAGCAAGATCAAAGTACGATTGATACTGCTCCATACTATTGATTGACCCGACGACGGTGCCATCGAAACCTGAGGATTAGGAATGAGCGTAATGCCTCAGGTACTCTACTCTACTCTACTCACCCCAATCGCCAGGAGCCATGAAAATCAATGCGCAGATCAAGCAGTACTTGATAAATCGCCAATCTTTCCAGTCAGGGCCGGGATCCGCTTGCATCGCCAGTTCGAGGGCAGTCTGTCGAGCCTCGAGGCCCGACACTTCGAGTATATCCAGAGGGTCCTCATCGTGTTGGGGCCCACCAAACTTGGAGTCGTCCGTTGCTCTGCTGATATCTTCCCCTTGGTCTCGCTCGTACTTGATCTCTGTGCCAGACATTGTGGATGACAATGATTCGTCCGTAAAGCAACGTTGGACGAAGAGTCCTCGGCGGAAATAGACGTATAGCCCATCCTGTAGGTACTTTTATACGCCGTTGCTGGAGCTTTCCACATACCAAGAACAGTCAAGGTTTTAGTCTCCATAGAAATCAAGCTAGGTTAAGGTAGTCACCCCACTTTACGACATGCGACAGTGGGGCCACGGTTATCGGGCAGAGCATCTGTCCACGCTCTCCTTCGGAACGGAGAGTTGTAAGCCTCGGATGGGACTCCCCGTAGGATCCTCCGCGCATCACGGAAGAGAAGGGAAAACCTGGGTCCGTTCGAGCGCGAGCGGTAACGAACGGATGGCACTAAAGTCTCCGAAAACAGCCTCATTTCGGTCATCTCGCTTCAAGCCTCGATACGCTACGGCCCGCAAAATGTGAAAGCCGAGAAATGCAGGTGGCATGACTCAACCTTTTCAGAGCATCATCTTTTTCTAGTCAAAATACTTGATCGGCTTTTCGTGACTCTGCTGGAAGATGGAAGGCCAGATCCAGATCCAGATCCTCTGTCAGATGCAGAGCCCGTTCTCCTGCGACCCCTGCTCCTCTTCCTTCCAGATGTCCCTCTCAAAGATCCAGAGCCTTGAGCCTCTCTCTCTCCCTGACTCCTGTAGGGCGCGCGAGTCGAACCGTCAGATTCGTAAATTTCACCGTCTTCACTCAAAAGGCCAGGCGTCCCGGATCTGCTGGGTTCTGGCGAGTAAACAACTTTTCTGCCTAGAGGTGATTCGAATTGCTGCGATGGCTGAAAGAACACTCGTCAGCTCGTCGTCGGAAGCCTTCTCTGTTTATATGTCCAAGGCTCACGCACATCGCTAGTGTAATTGATGGAGCGCTCATCATCAGGGTTCGTGACTATCAGCGCTGGCGCATCCCCGGGACCAAGCTAGAGAGGGCGAGGAACCTATCAACAGGCAGTCCCAGGCATCTACTCACAGGTTCATCGGCGAGTGATTCTTGGTCCCAATAGTCTACCGACCCATCGTCACTCATTTCCGAGTCACTATCTTTGTCGAATGAAATGGCCTTCGGATCGACGGTCGCTGTTTTATCTGCTGACTCCGTCATGTAAACATGCGTCGAGGGGGTCTGAACATGCTGCCCCACTGGAGATGATCCTAGCCATGACGTCTCCTCTTCCGATCCTGTATAAGGTATTGACGTATCGGGATCAGTGAGAGACTGCCTCCATTGGTTCCCCTTTGGACTTCAGCGCCACAAATCAGAGCACTCACGTAGCTGTGGCCGCTGCTGCCCTCTACCGCTGATCTATACCCAGCGGACACTGCTTGCTCCCCTTCATTGAGCTCAGAACTGACTGTCATCGATGTCCCGCCGGTAAAGGAGCTACCCAATGCCGCTAACATAGCGCTTTCGACATCGGTATGGGTATCAGGTTGATCAAAGGCCGGCAAGTCATTGTCCCATGTGAGCTCTGACGGATTGAGGTCTGATGTATTGTTCTGGAGGTCCGGAAACAATCGTTGAAGGTCCTTCATCTCTTCATCGTAGGGCTGACTCTTAGAAAAGGGGTCTGTGTCATGCGAAAGATCGCCTGGATTTGCGTCAGTCTCAGAAGACAAGGTCATGTCGCCAAAGCTCGCATCTGGGGTCTCATTCGTTTCCGGTGGTGAGGACATGATGGCTAGAGACACGACACAGATTTCTTTTCTATCGACTCGACATGAAGGATTCAGGAATCACATGTGCATGCCGCTCTCGCAACCGCAGTCGGTATCCTGCATCCAAACCCTACAGGTGCCACACAAAGGATGGGTGGTGGACCCAATGGAAGGCCACAAAAACCCCCCATACCATAGTATGCCACGTCACTTCCAGCCTGGCTGAGGGAGTGATAACGCGGCCCGATCTAAATCCCCGTCCGCTGTTTTTCTTGGCAACTTTTACCAGGTCTTGGCACGTGCCACGCTTGACTCAAACTCCACACACAGCCGGTGGCGAAGCGGAGGAAGATTCCATTCTTGTGTGGCGCAGAGAATTTATAGATCTACTATATATGTCGAAGTTTGTCCAACAGATTCTCAGCGTTGGGCTCACGAGGGAGGCGAGCGGAGTTCAACGGCGGCCGGGGGGAGCAAATGAGAAAGATTTGAGTAGCCAAGACCCTTTGCTTCCTTATTCGAGCCCTTGTTTTTCCGTAGTTAGATCAATGATCCCCCTCCCCATAACCCAGGTCTCAGATGGCCAAGAGACGCCAAGCATCCCAACATGAAGATTATCAATGACCTAATCTCCTCCGGATCTGCGACCCCCTCCCCATATATATATATATATATATATAGAGGGAAGACCCCTCTCTTCCCCCCTCTCTTCTGGTACTCATCACACACCTCGCCTCCTCCAACTCAGCAGATCATGAGTGAGAAGATAACCAACCGGACAGACAACAGCAACAACAACAACAACCGCCGAAACGCTACTGCCGCCCATTCTGGCCTCGATACCATTGCCGAGAAGCAGAATAAAAATGTATCCCGATCCGATACGAAGGATACGGCCACTTCTCAATCCCTGCCCTTCCCACCTCATACGATCGAGTCGTCCAAAGTCCTGGAAGCACTTCATTCGGATGCATCCAGAGGTTTGAGCGAGGGAGATGCTTCGAATCGATTCGAGATACATGGACCCAATCGGCTCAAACCGCCTCGTCGACCGAAAATTTGGAATATTCTCTTGAGACAGGTGTCTAATGCCATGACGGTGGTACTGAGTGAGTCCGTCCTAGACAGCAGCTGTGGCTCCCCCGTGAATGTCACTGACGGAGATGATGCCTAGTTGCCGCCATGGCCGTTTCGTTGGGAACCATGGACTGGATCAGTGGTGGAGTCATTGCGGCTCTAGTGATACTCAATGTCTCTGTCGGGACTTATACAGAGTGGCAAGCCGAAAAGGTGAGAGTCACTGTCCCAAAATATGAATTATGATCATCATTATTAAATCATTACATCATTCGCTCAGACTGTGGCATCACTCGAATCTGTTGGCGCACCTCAAGCTACGATCGTTCGACACTCCAATAACTCATCCTCAGATGTGACCACTAAGATCGTACCCGTTGACGAAGTGGTCCCGGGAGATATCATCGAACTCAAGATTGGAGATATCGTCCCTGCCGATGCTAGAATCCTCCAAGGCCACTTGAGCAACCTAGAATGTGACGAAGCATTCTTGACGGGAGAATCACTCCCCGTGCAGAAGCAAGTCGAGCCGATCGACGAGGAGGACTGCCCAGTAGGGTGAGTGATATAAGTGTCGTGTTATGTAGAGTATGACCTGATATTCCACCCATTTCATAGCGATCGGATCTGCCTCGTCTTCTCTGGCTCTCAAGTCACCAAAGGACGATGCAGAGCAGTCGTGTTCAGCACGGGAATGAACACCGAAATCGGAAAAATCGCTCAAGCCTTAGCCGCTAAGGGTGAGAGAAAAGAAAGAGGCTTCAAGGCCTTCTGGTACAAAATTCAAGTCGGCCTGGGACTCAAAGAAAACACCCCTCTTCAGATCAAGTGAGTGGGCAGGTCTCCCGGTTCAAAAGAGCGAAGAATCACATGGCTTTGGCGATGGGGCTCTCAGGGAGTGTATCGCTGACCCAGTCTCCAGGCTCAACAAGCTGGCGTACTTTCTCCTTGGAGCTGCCATCCTCATTGCCATCATTGTCGTCGCTTCAACTGGTTTCCGAAGCATTCCCTTGACCGTTGCGACTTATGCCGTCGCTGCAGCTGTCTCCATCCTTCCTGCCAGTCTCGTCGCAGTCGTCAGTCTCACATTGGCCACTGCCTCGACGGATCTGGCCAAGCGAAATGCCTTGGTCAGACGAATGGACGCCATTGAAGCACTCGCAGGAGTTCACAATGTTTGTTCAGACAAGGTGAGGAGTCGGATTGAGGGAATACAACCGGGGGAACAAAGACAACTGACTCGGATTCTAGACAGGTACATTGACTGTCGGCCGGATGGTCGTCCGTAAATTTTGGGTTCCTGTACTCGATTCTCGACCGTCCGCCTCTGCCCCTGTCGAAACCAAGCATGGCCAAGCTTACTCTTTGGAAACTGGGGCAGACCCTTTCTACCCACGAGGGGAAGTCAAGGCGGATCTCGACCCCATCGTCCCCGTCGGATCGACCCTGGACCTGGGTCGCACGCCTCCGAAACGTGAAGGAACACAAGACCAAGTTGACGCTGAAGACTTGGTCGTCCACCATGAATCCCTTGAATCCGGCCTTCGATCGTTGGTGCTTTGTGCTTCCCTCTGTAACACTGCGTCACTCAACAGACCGACTGGGGAAGAAGGTCAATGGGAAGCCAACGGAGATCCAACAGAGATCGCCCTTCAGGTCGCAGCTCATAAGCTCGGTCACGGAAAACCATTCCTGACTCACTCCAAATCACCACTGGCACGAACCATGTCTGCCGCTTCCAGAGTCTCTCGACCTCCTGTCGCGGGACAAGATGGTCATTACGAGCTCATCGTTGAACACCCATTCGACTCGACCGTCAAGAGAATGTCTATTGCTTACAGCTTTGTCCCTGACTCTGGCACCTCGTCCTCCAAAGCACACGTCCTGTGCTTCCTCAAAGGAGCCGTCGAGCGAGTGCTTGAGCGATGCACTCACGTTGGAGACCAACCCATCACCGAGGAGATCAAGACGGATATCATTGCCAAAGTCGACGCGTTGGCCAGTCAAGGTCTGAGGGTCTTGTCTTTGGCCGGAAAACGTCTTCCACGAACCGACCCTGAGACTATAAAAGCTATTCCACGAGACGAATTCGAAACTGGGTTCACGTTCTATGGACTCGCTGGAATCTTTGACCCACCCAGAAAAGAATCTGCTGGAGCCGTCGCAGACTGTCTGCGAGCCGGTATTACGCCAAGAATGTTGACTGGTGACCACCCAGCCACTGCAACTTCAATAGCCCTCAGCATTGGAATCCTCGACAAGGCGTACTCAAAGACTGCCGTTATGACGGGTCAGCAATTCGACGCACTTTCCAATGATGAGGTGGACAAGTTGGAAGAATTGCCTCTCGTTGTCGCTCGATGTGCGCCAGAGACTAAAGTCCGAATGGTCGATGCGATTCACAGAAGAGGACAAGCAACGGTTATGACAGGTGATGGAGTCAACGATGCACCTTCGCTCAAACGAGCCGATGTCGGAGTCGGTATGGGAACTGGAAGTGATGTCGCCAAGCAAAGTTCAAACTTGGTATTGGCCGATGACAACTTTGCAACGATCTGCAGAGCCATCCGAAAAGGCCGTTCAGTGTTCAAAAACTTGGCAAAGTTCCTCTTGGTGAGTTTATCAATGGATTCTGACCCATCATTTCGACTGACCCTGCCAATCCAGTACCTGCTATCCGGCAACGTTGCTGAAATAGTTGTTCTGCTCATCGGGCTTGCCTTCCAAGACGAGAACGGACAAGCTGTGTTCCCCTTGTCTCCCGTTGCTGCCCTCTGGATCAACACCATTGCCGCCGGTCCACCTGCACTCGCACTTGGACTCGAACCGACCGCCGTAGACGCCATGGACCAGCCGCCATCTTCATTCCAAGAGATCTTCAACCTAGAATTTTACATTGATCTTGCGTTCTACGGTCTCTTGATGGGCGCTCTGGCTCTAGTCAACTTTGTTATCGTTCTCTGGGGTTACTATCCTGTGAGTGTTCTTGCCTGTCAATGTGTGCGCAATCTTCTGACATGGTCATCGTAGGGATACTTGGGTCGATACTGTAATGAAGGAGATGCCGACATTTGTGATCCCGTCTTCCAGGCTCGAGCAACTTGCTTCGCTACGCTTATTATCATCTTGTGAGCTGCACAGAAATCTTCCGACCGGTCGATTGCTGAACCCGCCCGGCAGGATGATTCACGCCCTCGAATGCAAACACTTCTCTAAAGGTCTCTTCCAGGTCAACCTGAGAGACAACAAGGTCTTGCTGTGGTGTGCGATTGTCTTGATGCTTTTGACTGTGAGTGAACTGTTCCGCGAGCCACGGAATGATAGCTGATGTTTCCATTCACAGTTCCCCGTGGTCTACATCCCCGTGATCAACAACAAGGTCTTCCTCATTGGCTCCCTCGGATGGGAGTGGGGCATCATTGTGAGTCGTCGCCCCCAGACGCAACAAGAGACTGGACACTGACCAGGTAATTCTAGTTCGGAATGATCTTTGTCTATCTCGCCTCGACTGAAGCGTACAAATGGGGCAAGCGAGTCCTCGCACGCCGCAGGACCCCTGTGGAGCCTCAGCGTGGTCCGGGGGACAAGACTTTGAGACTGGAAAAGACAATCAGGGATGGAGAAGTGGTATAGATGTAGATGTAAACAATAAGACTACAGGTGACGCTTTTAATGAGGTGTTCTCCATAGGAGACATGACTTGAGCCATGCAAAGTGTACAATGTAATAGATCTACAGTATCAGGTTGGCCTTGTTCGGGTTCGGCCGATATCGCCACCTTTTTTTCTTGTGATTGGCGAACGACGACTCGCCCGTAATTTTATTATATATCATGTTGTCTTCTCTCTTTATCATCTGGTGACTACCATCTACCATCTCAGCTCAGTTGAGATCCCCAGTCCACAGTCCAACGATGAGCACATCCACCATCACACCAGATAATCCTGCACCGGTTAAAGAAGACACTTTGCCTGGTCCTATAATGGGAGGGACAAACAGTGGGAAGAGGATCAGGGATTCTCTTGGCTTTTCCAATATTGTGGGCAAGTTGAAGGAAGATGTCGACACGAAACAAGTCAACTTGGCGTCTGTCGCTGCTTGCTTCTTGACTGGATTCACGAGCTGTAATTCGTTCACGGTGAGTCTTTTGCTTGGCCTTGTCAGTGATCGACTGAAGGCTTCGTATGCTTGTCGCGTGCTCATCTTGCTCCTAGGCATGCTACATCTGGTGCGGGTTTCAAACGTGAGCTCGCAATTGTTCAACATCCCGCGTAAGCTTAGCTCACGCTGTTACACCAGTGGTAACGTGGCTCAACTTGGACTGGCTCTTGCGAGGAATCTCAATCCTCCGCCATACAAGACCATCGGATTTCAAAAACCAGATCAACAAGCTTTGACATCATTACTATGTTTCATCTTGGGTGAGTGCAATACCTTGTCACTTGCGGCAGCTTGTCACCATCCTGATACCTTCTGACTCAGGGACATCTCTTGGCCGACTTGGAGATCGAATTGGATCAAAGTCAAGATTATGGTTGATGCTCGCTAGCTTCACTCAGGCTCTACTATGCATGGCTGGAGCCCTGGCAGCTCATTTTTCTGGTCAATCAGGAATAGCATTGGAGTAAGTGGAATACGGAGGCGTAATCAAAGAACAGTCGGGGACATTGCGACGTCACATCCATCCAGCACACCGACCGAAGAGCTCGGAACTGATGATCGATCCAGGCGGGAATTCCCAAGCTGGACAAATGCTCTCGGCTTGACTGCTTTGGGCTTCATCTCGGCTAGTTTGGGTATACAGGTGAGCCTGCTCAGGACTGTGACACGACTAAAATGCTGATGTCCCTCGTCAGGGTATCGTCGGAAAGGTTAGCACCCCTCCTTTACACGTAGGGACCTCCACTGACATCATCACAACAAACAGCGTTTAGGCAGTCCACTCAATACGACCATCGTCCTAACCACCACGGTGAGTCAAGCTTCTTGACATGTTTGTCGGGTCTCTGATACATATCTACGCTAGTGGGTCGAGCTCGCCAATGATCCCCTTTTATACTCTCTCAAGCCCGTCACATCACGAGACGTGCGAGCCGCAGGTGTCTTTGGTGTGTTCTTTGGAGCGTTCGTCGCGAGAGCATTGCTCGGAACGCGGTGCGGGGTACCTGGAACACTGGGTATATTGGTCGGGTTCAGGATCATTCAAATGTTTTCTTGGCTGTTCATCCCAGCTGCGAAGAAGTGATCCACCAGAGGATTCAAGTGTTGTACGAGTAGATTGACAATCAACATAGACCATAGAGCATTTGCATCGGATTGAAAGGCATTGGCGCAGGAGCGTCTCATTGGCACAATTTCCTGAGACCGTGCTTAGTGCCGGTAGGCGAAGCTTCGAAGGACAGCTCGCTGCGGTCTGCAGGAGCCAAGTTCAGTCACAGATGCATGCCAATGTTCACGCATTGAGCCTTGTCGAGTCCCATACACTGTTTGTAGCGAATTCTTTCGGTGCAATTGGGTCCGTCTGAGTCAGAGCAACTTGTCAGCAAAGAGTTTGAATAAGGCTTGTCGATCGAAGTCGACTTACCCTTTGCCCACGTAACGTTCCCGTCAGTCGACGATCCCTCTCCATCATCATTTCTTCCCATCTGTCCAGACTGTATCTTGGTGGCTGAGATCGCAAGAGTCAGCAGTTGTCGGGACTGAGCACGAAAAGACAGATAGAGCGGAAGGTAAGAGGAGTGCAGTGTAATGGAGAGGGATGAGGTGGTCTTCGCGGATTGTAGAGAGATGTGTTTATGCAGCCTACACCCACCTTCCAGTCATTCTGAGATCGCTTGACGATGTTCAATCCCGTTCCTGCCACTCCAAAGAGACCTACGAGCAGCCCAAATGGGATGAGAGCCTGATCGACGATGGGTCAGTGGAGATTCCCAAGGAGTTTCAGAGATTCAATGGGCGGGTATGTCAAAAGGGGCTATCTGGCTTCCTCGCTTATCCAGGTCAGGTCGAAGGAGACGAGCCGTGGAAGAGTCGTGGCGATACGATGCAATGTAGATTGAGCACATCGGGTCCGCACTCACCTCCCACGGGACTGGCATGATGCGCTCTGGATCGATTGAATTCAAGTATTGGCTGTAAAGCAGTTGATGAGTGATTGAGTGAGTGAGTGAGTGAGTGAGTGAGTGAGAGGTCGAGATTATCAAAAAAGACCTGACGTGGCGTTAATTTCTGGGGTGGGCCTCCAGTTGTGGCGGAGATGCGTATGTGGGTCTATCTTCCGATCTATTTGCTCTACGATCTATCTACATGAAGCGACAAGGTGCCTGGTCGAGGGGCTAGGCCAGTATACCACAAGATCCATCCGACCGCACTATGCGTAGGGGTCAAATTTGGCATCTGATCGACGATGATCATTTGCCAATACCAGCAAACCATGGGCTGACAGATGAGGGCCGTCCACAGTAACATCCACATGAGGCCAGGTGGGCCACTGACATGTCTACCGGTCCTTTTGTACCATAGTCTCTCGAGCATGATTCCAAAACCGCAACCTAGGAAGAGACTGGACCAAGCTGTGAACGATCCGGGGATGGGAAGACCAGTGTGGTAAATGGTATAGTGCTGCACACCAGAGATTAGGAAGACGGAAAAGAGTTGAATGGTCCTGCCGAGTGGTTTGAACAGGTTACTCCATAGTGACAACGTATCCTGGGTGGAAGGCTGTCAGTAAAAGGTTTGGTTCGAGGGTGGATCTCGACCTACTCGGTTGAGCTGGTGGTATCGTTTCCCCCAGAATTCCGTCAGGCTCGTACTTTTTAATGGGCTGTTGATCAACCTTGGAAACTCTTCTCCATTCCATAGCCCCGAACCGATCATCAAGACTGCCGAAGCATGCCACACGATTTCCAGGCCGAGCTTTATCATGATCATGATATTCACCGCGAACAGAGTGCGAGTGATCGCCGGAGGGATGCCAGAATGCCTTTGAAAGTCTTGCATCCGAGTGTAGAGGTCCGTTGCTGGAGCCGCGGAGTATGTTGCCCCACTGAATAGGTACACGAGGTAGACAAATTCTGTCCATAGTTGTCTGGAGATGATGACTCGAATGAAGTGGTGTCTGATGTACTGGAGACGAGTCTTGCCTTGGGATCGGAGCGGGATGAAACCTTTGATACCGACATGTCGGTGGACATTGAGCATCATGCTGAGTGCTTTGTATGCTGTACTTTGACGGATGGTGGGGAATGGAGAGGGTTCAGTAGTGGGCTGATAGTCTGGTGGCAGATCGCTCAGGGCCCATCTAGTCGCGGATCCTGCTACCTGAGCGCAGTAAGCGTTGCTAGAATTACCATGACTTACAAGGTTGAACTAATCAGCGGGTCGTATCGTCAGCAAGATACACCGAGGGTTAGAAGAGAGTCTGACCATCTGATTCCCATACATTGCCGAGTCTGAATCCTCGTCAGCTCGGTTCTTTCTGTTGGCGCTCGCTCTGGATGTCCCATGAATCGCTCACATTGTGTGTCCAATCCACCGAGGAAAAGCACCCGAAAAGCTGCAATGTAGCCAAATGGCAGGAGAGCGAGCTTGAGCGCTCGCATACCACCAAAAAGAGACAAATAAAAGATCACGTATGGTATCATGATGGTCCCAGCGACATCTAGCCAGAATTTGGATCCAGTCACTGGCTTTAGCGAGGCTCGCCAATTCGGATCTATAAGGTGGGACATGATGGCGGACGCAGGAGAGCTGAGAACAGTGTCCTGTGTCAGCGATTCGAAGTCATACGCTGCTGTTGCAAGAGTGTAGATGTTGAGGACAACTCATACATCCTATCTTTGTTGCCATATTCACACTTTGTGTCATTGTCGAAACAACAACCCTTTCTTCTTCTTTCACGGAGACCGGGTGCCCGAATTCCGATCCAAATAACGTGGTACGGACTTGTGGAGTCAACTCCGGGTTTCACGTGGTGGCTTCAGTCAAAAGTCCATTGCACAATCGAACGAACACCTAAGGCCTGGCTTGGATTTCCTCGTTGCTACCGGATTCCTCACCATGCCCCCAGCTGGAAAGAGAGCGCAGGCCACGAAAGTCGAGTCCAAAGCAGTGAGTTTGGTCATTCTGCTCTTTCCTCAGCGTATCAAAGCGCACCGCTTGGAACCCCAAGTCAAAGTCCTTGATTGCAACGAGACAGACACATTTGAAGCGCACGAAACGCAAAGCTGACTCTTTTACGTCTCAGCGCGCTAATGATGAGCTCGATGATACACCTCTCCAAGCTGTCGTCTTTGCGGACAGCTACAACCGTCGATTCGAAGTGTTGTGTCAAGACCAACCGAGGATCTTGTTGCCTTTATGTTCTGTCCCGCTCCTCACTTGGACGCTGGAGAGTTTGAGCCTGAGCAGGGTGAAGCAGGTATTCATCTTTTGTGGAGCACATGCAGACAAGGTTCGAGACTTTGTCGAGTGAGCTGGATTGGTTGCACTATTGAGTCGAGCTCATGTGTCTCAGGAGCTCCCCCTATCGATACACTATGGATATTCAGTGCTTGTCGTCCAAAACTGCCAGAAGCGCTGGAGATGCACTGAGAGATCTCGATGCGATGAGTGTGAGCTTAGCCCCATCTAGACGGTGATTTTGCTGACGCGGGGCGCAGGTTCTCAATCCTGACTTTCCATTCATCCTTGTTCACTCTCCACTCGTTTCCAACTACGACCTCTCTAAAATGGTCGAAGCGCACATGGCACGCAAAGAAAAGGACAAGGATTTGATCATGACCATGGGTGTGGGACGAGGCGGAAGGTGCGTTTTCAACCACACTGATCATATGCTGAGCCTCCAGCTGCCACCCTGAATCCCCTGTTATGGTCGTTGATCCTTCATCCTCTCGGCTCTGCTTTTACGCTCAGAACCCTCTTGTACCTCGTCACTCTCGCCTCAAGATTCCTTCATCCATCTTTCTCGAGCCACCGCCTGGCGTTGACGAGTGGGAAGTCTGGTCAGGGACACCCGCCAATTCATCTTCGCATCAAGGCGGATACAGAGATCTCGGTGTAGACATTTGCGAAGCGGACGTCCCTGCGCTATGTACGGAGAACTTTGATTATCACGATTTGAGAAGGCACTTTGTCAACGGTGTTTTGACATCTGAACTGTTAGGTAAACACATTGCTGTTCACCTTGTCGGTTCAGAGGAATCCAGAGGGGAGAGCTCGAATGGAATGTACATTGATCGAGTGAGAGATACGAGGACTTATGGAGATATATCGATGGACGTATTGAATCGATGGACATTCCCTCTGACCCCGGATCTCATGGGAAGCAGGAAAGGAGAGTACGAGTTGCGGAAGGGGAATGTGTATATCGCGAGGGATCATGTTTCTCTGGGAAGGTGAGTTCCAGTTGATGAGGGGTGGATTGGGCTCAACATGGCAATCCAGAACGACGGCTCTCACCGGACCGCTCCTTATTGGCGCACGGTCTGCATTGAATGAAGGCACGCACATCATCTCGTCTACTCTTGGACAGGACTGTGCCGTCGGACCACACACAGTCATCACTTCTTCCTACATCTTTGATAATGTCACGATCGGAGATCACTGTCAGGTCACCCAATGTATTATCGGCACGGGCGTCAAGATTGGAAACGGTGTCAAATTGGGCAAGGGATGTCTGATTGGTGATGGAGTCACGCTTGGACACGGTGTAGAGCTTCCAGACTTTATGCGCGTTGGCAGAATTCGACATGTCCCTGAGGACTTGGACTCGGATGAGGAAGATGAAGAGGATGAGGAGGAGAAGAGTGAGCTGAAGGTGTCTGTGCCGGGCTAATCTGAGCACAGATGAACGCCTTGAGATCCTTGGACACGACTCTGTCGGTTTCATTTGGCCGTCTGAAGAAGAAGAGCTCGCATATGATTCCGACGAAGATGAAGACGATCTCGACCCTTATGAAAGACCAAAGAACAAAAAGTATCTGCAACTTGGAAGGACGCTGTCGAGCCTTTCGGAATACCCCGAATCATGCTCGACCCTTTCCGTCGCATCTTCCTCTACGGCGTCCACTCCTGCTTCCCTCGCCGCATCTGACGACTCTTTGCCCGACATGCCGTCGCTCGCATTGGATGCTGTTCCACCCGAATTTCATGCTGAGGCTTCTGCATCCCTCGTTAGAGCTTACGAAGAGGGTCACTCAGTCCCGAATGCCCTTTTGGAACTGCGAACGCTTGTCATGGGATACAACGCAGGTATCGATCGCGCTCGAGGAGAAGTCACGGGCTTCCTCATGAGCAAGATGGATTTCTCCGGACCTGCGGCCAGTATCCTCGAACACGCTACGCAAACTTGGGCACGATGGGGCGGTTTGGCAGAAGGTTTATCACCTGATCTCACCAATATCGTTCTCGACGTTCAGGCTTATAGTGTCAGTCACGAAGATGCTAGACCTTGGTTCGGCGTGGTGCTTCGGGGACTGTACGAGAGTGATCTTGTACCGGAGGAAGACTTGATCGAATGGAGATCGCTCAGTGCAGCGAAAGGTGAAGGCGCGGCAGATAAGGACAAGGCGCTTTGGGGAGAGCTTTACGCAAAGGGCAAAGCATATGTAGATGTGTTGGAGGCTATGGACAGTGATAGTGAGGAGGAGGATGAGGAGGAGGAGAAGGGGGAGGAAGAGGAAGATGACGAAGAGGAGAGTGATTAGATCATGATTTTATGTGACCCATCACAATCGCATAAGTTGTCGGACACACTACATTTCCTTTCGATATCATGTCGCAAGGCTACTATCAAGAAACTGGCTATTGTCATGGTTGTCTGTATGTGACCTCTCCAAGACGGAGAAGATTACAAGTCGACGATTGGGCCAGCTGCTAACGAAACCAAGCGGTCTGTGTTTGGTCTCCGCACCTGTCCGCGGCGGTTGAGAGGGGAATAATGAGACCCAATCAATCCATCTGTTTCACATGCTGTCAGTCTTTGTCCCACTGTCCTGTCCAATCCCTCTTCATGCTCGACTCACATTGAGAGATGGTGCAGTATGAAAGAGAAGAAGCCGATTCAATTTCGAGGCTGACTAGATGGTCTTCCCTGAGCCAACAGAGGATGATTACGTTAGCTAATGTTTTTCCCCCTCGTGGGGTACAGAACCGGTCGCGCTCGGACCCGCGTATTATAAAAAGTTGACGAAGCTCTCTTGTATATATATATGGATCCCAACTTGACAATGGTCTCAACGTTGTCCCAATCACCTGATCAGAAGAGGGTCATGATCATAGATAGCTGAACAAGATCCATATCATGTCGGGTCATCCTGACTCTCAAGCTCATCCGTCGTCAAGCTACGGACCTGGCTCAAGTTCCACTCGAGAGCTCCCTGAATCCTCGTCGGATACCGGACGAGATGACGAAGGGTCACCTTACGACAATCCGATCAACTTGTTGAGCGTGTATCCATTCGCAACGTATCAACCTATAGCAAGGAGTAAGCTCGGGCCATTGATCCGATGTCTCTCTGAGTCTCCTAGCTGATCCAGACCCACTCAGCTGCCGAGCATATCTCACCTCATACCGTTCTCTACCAGCCTCAATCCACCTCATCCGACCTGTATCCTCACCATGCGGACTATTTCCATCGTATAGATCATCCTTCTACGCCTGAAGACCGGGCGCTGAGAAAAGCTACGGAAGATAGAGTCAGGGAGATGATGGACTCGCAATCTAGTTACACCAGCTCGTAAGTCAATCTCACTCGACTGGAAATTTGCACGAACTGAGCACGAGGTATCCAGGTACCTACCCACTCCGAGTCCCACATTAGAACCCTCTTCCTACCTCCCATATCCGACCACTGCTCCACCTCACCCTATGCCATACAGCTTTATCGGCTCATACCTCCCTTCTCCCGCCAGTACGGTCCTTCAATCACCTACTCCCGAACGACCGACAACTCCTCCCGTCGAGTTCCTCGATAATTTCATCAAGAATACTTTGATTCAAGCTGACGAGAGAGAGGCAAAAGCGGAAACGGCTCGACTTGAGGCCCAAGCTGTCAAGGAGGCCAAGGAACTAGCAGCGAGGATGAAGCGCAACTCCAGCTCGGCTTCGGCGTCATCTACTAATCTCGCGAATGGTGTAACCGCGAAAGCGTTGACTCGAGACACTGAACCGTCTGGCTCAAATTCGAAGCAGCCCATGACTCCCTCTCACCGACACCGCGAAAGCTCGATCACTTCACACACCTCTACACCACATCTTTCACGAGCCATGTCTCGGGCTGATCTGGCTCAAGAATCCCCTGACCCACTGTCGATGCACGAACCGTCCCCTCCGAAGCGCATGCGATCCTACTCTCGAGAGGAATCTCCTACTATGCGTCATTCTCAACCTTTTTCTGGGAACGGTCATGGTAGTCAGAGCAGATTTGAAGTGGTTCTTTCGACTCGGAGACCCGTCTCTGATTCGTCAGTCCTGGCTAAGGATGAGGATGACGATTCTGGTTCAGAGCTTGACTGGGGTGAGGATCCGCGGCGAGACGCAGATGGCGATTGGGCGATGGGTAATGAAGGAAGATCGCGAGCTTCTTCCTCGCATGCTCTTGAGACGTATGGCGGAGTACCGCCTGGCAGTGCAAAAACAGGCGAAAGGGATAAGAGGAGTGAGCTGAGTCCCCTTCTTTTTACCTCAGCATGAGGCTCACAGCACGTCAGACCACCATGAGAGATTGCAAAACCTCCTCGATGATATCCTCAACGAGTCGGACGGTTTTCCGGCGGACCCTACAAGAGAAGACTTGGCATCCGCTAGGTTCTTCACGAGGCTCGGAAGAGACGGTTGTGGACCCCTCTTATCCGACAGTAGCGTTCAGCAACTGTCTCGATACGTCGTCAGAGTCCAATCGACAAAGAAAAATACTCAAGGGACGGCTCTCAAATCAGAATTGGACGTCGAATCCATCGGTAGGATCCTGCGATTGCTCGACAGGAGTATGCGGGCTGGACAAGGCCTCGTCACGTTTCCGAGCGACACCAAGGTGAACATCGCCAGGGTCAAGCCTGTCAAGAGCTCTCGAAAGAAGAAGAGCGGTTCCAACTCAAGGTCACCAGAAGCAGATGTCGACATGCCTGTGGAATCTGTTGAGGAGATGACGGATAAGGAGATGCAGGATGCAGATGCTAAGCTACTTACGGTCCAGTCTGCGGGCATTGCAGCGGCTTGCTGTGTGACCGTCTTGGACACTGATGGATTGCCCAAACATGTGAGTGGTCGATGGATAAGCTCGCTGAGCGTCTCAGCTGCTCTCTGAAGAGGTCTTATCGGTATCAGTCGGCATTATTCGTCAACTCTTGGACACTGTGCTGATACCTGCCGTCGAGGCACTGGCGGGAGAGAGTGAGCTGACGCAATGGTCACTGGCAGCTGACGGTACAAAGGGATCTCTTCTCGATTTCTAACCCGCGTCATCTCGAACGAATGTGTGTCTCGCACGAAGAAGGGCGCTGGCGGCATGTTCGTACACCCTCACCTCTCCTCAATCGCTCAATCCTGTTGTATCGCCATCCCTCGCTTGACATCGCTCGTATCCCGCACGGACATATCCTTTGACGAGCAACTGGTCATTGGATCCGTCTATCTATCTACCGCAGCTTTGTTCGCACCAGATCAATTGCCTAAGAAGGGCAAATCTAAAGATGGCGACAGTGGAAGGATGGCAATCTTTAGAACATTGGTCACTGAGTCCTTGAGCTGCTTACGCGCGGTGAGACGAGCGATGCAAGATCATGCTGACGGCAGACGTTCGCACGATATGAGGCACATCGTCAGTGGATCCTTGAGGAGATCCTCACGAATATGGTGAAGAATGGAGGTGGAAATGCGTCTCAGGCGAGATTCAGGTAGGCCTGGCACTGTGGTGACACTCTAATCGCGTCTCCAGGCTCGCCGATGGAGGTTCCATATCCACAATCAGTGCCCTCTTGTTGCAACTTGTTCAGGCCTCAGCTTTTGGGGCTGGCATTCGCGTGAGCAAGTTGCGCTCAAAAGGTCAATCGTTGGAGAGTCTGTCCCAGTCGGTACCCATGGTCAGAGAAGATACTTCTGATGAAGTGAGTCCGGCCGCGTGGTATCCAACCGACACGCCGTTAGGAGCAACAGATCTGTACGGGAGAGATTGAGTCCGCCATGAAGTCGTCACATACAGTTCTCACGTATCTTGTCCAGCGGTGAGCTGCCAATATCAAGCGTTTCGCTTACGACAACCGTCCCAGCGCTGCCAAAGCCTCCAAGGGCAATCATGATACTGATTACAAGGCCATTCTCGATGTGTTTGTTGCGGATCTCCTATCGGTCTTGTATCGGCCCGAATGGCCAGCCGCGGCCTTGTTCCTCATCGTCGTATCGAAGACAATGGTCACCCCTTTGCATAATTCGCAGACGGGGAATGAGCCGACTCATGCCAAGATGGTTGCTCTGGACTATCTTGGTGACATTGCGGCCAAGCTGAAAGGGTTTCAAATGCAGATGGAAAAGCATGCAGTCAAGTCTTTCGACGAGGTAAGCAGAGACTAGGAAGGATAAAGCTTACACTTTTAGATCATCTCCACTTCGAATATAGAAGAAGCTGAACGACTGACTGAAGCGCACGCGAATGTTCTTGCTTTTTTGTCCGGATCTGCCAAGGAAGATAGCATGTACCAGGTGAGGTCCAGACTGTGATCTCTTCAAAGGCTCACTCGATCAGTCATCGCTCGACCTTGAGTCCATAGTTGCTGCTCAGGAGCACTATCTCGCGATTGTCAAGATTAGATCAATCGTTGAGAAACTCGACACTGAGAAAAGCGACGAAGCGGCTGAAGAGAAGGCTCGTCTCGAGTCGATCGCTGAGACGTTCGCCGCATCATTGGATAGGATCTGGTCCGGAGAAGATAATGTATTTGCCTCGAACACGTGAGCAGTCGCGGGGCCTGACGTGACTGACCTAAATCAGCTCGGTCAGCTTGGAGTCAGCTAGAAGTGCTGTCATTGGCCTAGCCAAAGGTCGCGCTCTGCAGGGGGCGTTTGACCGAATTCTGGACGCCCTTGTCCTGTCCATGGGCAGTACAGTCATCGGCGTGAGGGGTAAAGCTTTGCGCGGCCTAAGTGGAATCGTGGGTATCGACCCTACCTTACTGAGTCATGTGAGTCGCCCTCGGTCTCCGAGGCTGATTTCCCCAGTCGACTGTACGACGAGCTATCGAATCGAGGCTGGAAGACCCGGCATCATCTGTCAGAGACGCCGCCGTGGAGCTCATTGGCAAATATGTTGTCCGAAACCCCAGCGTAGCAGCGCAATACTATCCCCCGCTCGTGGGCAGAGTGTACGATACCGGTCTGGGAGTTCGGAAAAGAGTCATCAAGCTCCTCAAGGACATGTTTGCGAATAGAGATCGGGGAATGCAAGTTGATATATGTACCAAGATGATTGGCCTGGTAGAAGATATGGACGAGAGCGTCAAGGTGAATTCAGGAAGCCAGGTGTGGGCTGATACCGCAGGATCTCACGGTCAAGACTTTGAGCGAGCTGCTGTATCCTGAGGGCATATCAAATTATCGCGAACCGGCAACACTCCTTGTTGAGATCTGCGATGTGTATAATGGAGCTTGGGAGACCATTGAGAAGGCTATCAGAGAGGTGAGAGAGCTCTCTTTGTCAATGCATATCTGACACACCTCAGATATCCAAATCGGCCAAGACTGAGAAGCCATCTCGTTACGACCAGACTGTCAAAGCGCTCATCGATGATCTCATTGACAATACCGAGGAGACGGAATTTGTGCGTCTCCCTTCTTCACGGGGTGATCGATATTCTAACAACTCTGCAGGATCCGCTGAATCATATCCGGGCGATCTACCTTCTGTGTACAGCCGAGCACGATCTGGTTGATCCGAATCGCGCGGAGAAGCTCTTGTCTTACATTCGATTCCCGCCGGGCGTGAGCTTCCATTGTATTTTGTGACTGCGAGCTGACATCACCAGCAGAGTGATGAGCAGCTCACCAACGGACTCATCTTGCGTATCTTCACCAAATGCATTCCGCGGATGCCCAAAGCAGCTTCGACCTTTGCGGCAGATTTGAATCGAGCTTTATTGCCGATGATCAATAGACCTGGCAAATATGACGTGAGAGAGCCTGTCGACACTCGAACATGAGTCTGATACATCTCCCAGCACCTTCGAGAAACGATGGAGTGCTTCTGCTCTGTGGTCAATCACCTGACTTTAGACTATACCAACGCCATCAAGATCCTTCGGCAGTGCGAGGGTGAGCCGTCAGGGGAAGAAAAGTTCTAAAAAGCATCAGGCAAGCTGCGTGCGGCTCGAAACAGCTACCACAATGGTGGCAATGCTGATTGGCTATCGAGCGATGCCGCAGCTGTCTGCATGTTTATCTGTTCGCTGATCACCGAATTTTGTGATCTCGACGAGGTGGCCAAAAGTCAGTCGACGATTCAAAGTGGTCTGGCAACTATCACCGACGTAGGTGTAGTCTCGGCTAGCTTGCCTGACGCTGCAGATGCCGATAAGGGAGTACTTTTTCGATGCATTCTTGGAGTATTCCAAGATGCCCATTGCGCAAAAGGCCCCACCGATTTGTCTCGGTGAGAGTGGCTTCAATGCACAGCGTCCAAGATGTTCTGACCTCTAACCTCAAGGCAACATTTTCAAAGCCAGTCCACTGCTCATCCTGCGACCTGAATCAAGCGATTGGATGCAAAAGGTTTTTGCGTCGTCTGATTACGAACTTCATTGCCGACTCTTGACGAATATCAAAGAGTTCCTGGTTTCGGAGAGCGAGAGAAAAGCGACAGGAAAACGAGAGACGGATCTGACTGCGTTGATAGGACATGCAGAGTCGTCTGACTCGGGGTGAGCCAGCTGCCTGGTTTTGCAGGGCTGTGCAGGGCTGATCTATGCTTCAGACTCTCGACGGCTGTTGTTCAAAGGAACATCGAGTCGATTCTGCGTGGTGCCAGATCTCAACATGCAGCCACGCAGAACGCTGCAATGGATATTCTGGCGTTCACGGTACATCAGGGTCTGTACCATCCTCTTCAGGTGAGCTTGATTCATACTGCTTATTCTCACCAAGCTCATTCTCCACAGTGCATGCCGATCTTGATCTCGCTCGAGACGAGTGATAATGAACTCGTGGCTGATCGAGCACTGCAATTGCACCAGCACCTACATACCAAACACCCAACTTTGGTCAATGTTCGATTTTTGGAGTGTGCGAGGGCTTCCTTTGACTATCAGCGCGGTCTGACTGCGGAAGTGTCTGGTAAGCTTGTCTCGACACGGCCTATTCAACGCTGATATGCTGTCTTTTAGGCCAGCGCAATGGCGCCGCCCTGCTCGCTTCGTGGTACTCGCTTCTTGGGGAGAAGCGGACATGGAAGACGGACTTTCTACGTCAGATCTGCCGTGCATTCGACTATGATGTTTCGGCAAAGGGCAAGGACAAGGTGAGCTTCGCTAGTCTGATAGCAACTTAGATGGCCTACAGATCGATGATGGGTTTGCACTGTACATCGCTGAGAATCTCGCTGCATTCGAGTACAAGCTTCAGGAAGAAGTCATGACGACTGTCCATCTTCTCAGCGCTGTCATCTCGGCGTCACCGCATCTCGTTGGCGTGCTTGAGTCGGCAACCTTGGATGATGATTCCGGAGAAACCTTAGACGACAAGGTCCTCTCTTCGAGGGAGGGAGAGGTGAGTCGGCCCTTGTGTGGTGATAGCGGCTCATGATCGGTCGACTCTAGGATTCAGAATCGTTTTCTGCCGCTGCTGTCATCCAAGCCAGTATCATCGTCGGCTTGGCAGTCATCACAAAGAATCACTTGCTCAACCTCTATGGTATTCCTGAAGACAAGTGTGTCAAATACCAACTTGGCAAGAAGAGTGCTATCGGTGACAAACCGGCGCTACCACGCAAAGATGATCGAGTGGGAATGAACTTTGACCGTATGCCGCTTGTCCGAGGGGTCCATACCATTACAGAGTTCCACGAACAGAGAAACGCGGTAAGCTGCGGGATCATACACACAGTTGAATCACGGCTGAAGCGACGCCCGCCAGTTTTTACAGCTTTTACTTGAAGATGGGACATTGGATGAGATGGATCGAGAGTCTGCTTAGGAGCAGAATTTGCACTGTATAGTAGTAGGTATAAGTTGTATATATATACCAACATACCATGAGTCACGAGTCATGACCAGGTCGATTCAGCCGAGGTCACTATGCATAAGTCTGTTGCCCTAGCCCCGTCGCCGTAGCCGTTGTTGTCGTCGTCGCCGCCGTCGTTATCAGCCTATGATCTATTTCTTTCTTTTTAATAAGCGGATTAACCGGGGAAAGGGAGTCCGAGAATATATCCGAGTAACATCGACGAGACATCTCCACTGTATTCAAAACAGCGACAACAGTTGTTTTCTTTTGGCATAGCGAGAGCAGCAGGCCCCTCAGCTCTGTATCATTCATCGAGTGCCCTTCGCACCCAACCCCGTTCCTTTGTCGCCCGGATGCTGGTCAGACAGCCTGTCGCTCGACACGTCACCAGAGGGGACCTTGGAGCCATTAAAGTGAGAGTGGGTGTAATGTGCTAAGACTGAAGCATATCGTGTTGATGGTTTGTCCGCTCTAGAGTATGACCATTCCGCTTTGGCAAGCTCGTCAAGCTGGTGCTGGTGCTGGTGCTGGTGCTGGTGCTGGTGGACAATCGCGACCCTTTTCTTCTGCCAAACCTGCCAAATCCCAATCATCCGAACCCAAACCTCTGTACGCCGCTCAATCTTCTCTGCCTCATCTTCCCGTCCCGACGCTGAGCTCGACATTCTCCAAATATGTTGAGACTCTCCAACCGTTATTGACGCCCAGTCAGCTGGATCACTCTAAATCCCTCGTGAGGGACTTTCTACAGTCTGAACAGGCTCAAATCCTGCAAAAGCGCTTAGAGGACAGAGCGGCAGAGAAGGACTCTTGGTTGAGTGAATGGTGGAACGAAACTGCGTATATGGGTTACAGAGGAAGGATACTGCCGAACGTTTCTTACTTTTACATCCACGCAAAAGGGTTGGCAAAGGGAAAGGATCAAGTTGAAAGAGCGGCAGAGCTGGTCAGAGGGATCGTAGAGTTCAAAAAGCTGGTCGTGAGGTGAGTGTGTGTGTCCGATAGCGTCAAGTTTCCACCACTGGGGAATATAGTGTGGAGCTCAGTTAGCTGACTTCTTCTTCTGCCTGGCAGCGAGAGGCTCGCGCCGGAGTCCGTCAAGGGCCAACCCTTATGCTCTGCTTCCTATAAATACATGTGAGAGCGGAGTTTCGGCTCATGTACTGTCTTTATAACTTACCAGTCCGACCTCAGGTTCAACGCGGTTCGAGTACCGACCAAACCTGCAGACGTCCCCAAAGCTTACGCTGGAGATCTTGAACATATTGTTGTCCTGTGCAACAATCGCTATTTTAAAGTCGATACAAAAGGTCGATCGGCATCCGAACTGAGTGACGCTTTCCGAAAAATCAAGGAAACTGCAAAGAGCCAACAAGGGATCAATCTGGGTGTTTTGACTGCGGACGACAGGGATGTCTGGACTGATGTGAGTGGTTCGGTTATAGCAGGTGGGAGAAATCAGACTGAGCTCTACCACAGATTCGCGACAAGCTCATCAAGACATCCGCTGCGAATGGCAAAGCGATCGAGACGATCGATTCTGCCATATTGCTCGTGTGCCTGGACGATGCGCCTGCACCTCAGGGAGAAGATCAACGAGCTTGGCGATATTGGGTTGGAGGATCAGACCGAAAAGCCAAAGGCAAGGCGTTGAATCGGTGGTTCGACAAACATCAGTTGATCGTGGATGAGAATGGAGGTAGTGGATTCAATGGCGAGCGTGAGTCGATTTCGGTCGACGACCTTATCAAATCAAGGCTGAGCTGAAGCTGTGCAAACCACAGACTCGATGCTGGATGGAACTCCGACACTGAGGCTGAACGAGTTCATGCTTGGGGGATTGGAGAAAGGCGTCATCCCGCTCGAGCTGCCCGAGGCGGAGAGGAATACTGAGCCCATGCCTGAGCCGGAAGAGATCACGTTTGATCTCCGGAAACTGAAGACAGTCATCAAGGAAAGTCAGAAAGGCTTTGAAAGGGAAATGAAGCTGCAAGATCTCAAGGTGGGTTTCCGGCATTGAAATGAACAGAGTGTGTCTGACCTGCAATCTAGATGGTCAACTTTGATGAGTATGGCAAGAACGCCATTAAAGGCTACAAGATCTCACCAGACGCCTGGGCGCAAATGATCAAACAACTCGCATTCTTTAGATCGTTCGGACGACCTGGAGTGACTTACGAATCGTGTCAGACGAGAAAATACCTACTTGGTCGAACCGAAGTCATCCGATCTGCATCAGCTGAAGCGAAAGCGTTTTGCGAAGCGATGGACGATGCCAGTGCCTCAGACACCGAACGCGAGAGACGCCTTCGACGAGCTGGCGAGAGACATCTCCAGTATGCTGCTTGGGCGGCTGATGCGCAAGGTGTCGATCGACACATGTTTGGACTGCGCAAACTCGTGAAGGAGGGTGAAAAGATGCCTGCAGTATTCGAAGACGAGGCGTTCTCCAAGAGTAGTCATTGGGAGATGAGTACGAGTCAACTCAGTACGCCGTACTTTGATGGATGGGGTTATGGAGAAGGTGAGTGATACGCTTTACAGATGGCTCTTGGCTGATCTATTAACTTCAGTGGTTGACGATGGCTACGGATTATCGTATGAGATCAACAACGATTCCATCAGATGGTGCGTCACGACGAAGAACAATGACGCTGCCAAGTTTGGAGAGGCGTTGAAGACTGCCGCGCGAGACATTCGAAAGATGATGGATCGAGCAAAAGATGCCGTGGGAGGAGAGCAAAAGGCGAAGCTGTAAATGAAGTGGGAGGGCCGGGCCGACAGGCGGAGGAGGGACATTAGATTCATATGTCTAGACGATTAATGCTCTTGCATGGTTCCTGAAGAAGGCAGAGGGGCTATCCTATATGCATGGTAATACAATTGATGATTATACACGGGCTGATGCGATGCGATGCGGTCCGGTCCATCTACTTTCGAATCTTGGTGAGGAGGTAGTTGATCTGAAGTGGATGGGCGGGCGGTGTCAGACGTGCGTTCGCTGCGGGCCTCGAGTGAAAGTCACTCACTGAGCTTTTTGGCACGACGGGCTTCTTCGGTGTCTTTGACATGCACAGATGTAGTGATTTTGAAGCCGCAGCGCAATCTGCAGCTGCTCGAATGTCGCCTGATGCGGCGAAACAGTTGAGAACCGCGCTCATTTCTTCCGCACAGGGGATCACGAGGGGGTCTGGATTCGAAGCGAACATGCGGGACCGAAGTTTGATCGTGAGCGCATCGAGAACATTAAAAGATAGTCGGAAAACACAAGGAGATGAGATCATAGTTGACAGCACGAGACGTGGGATGTGCAGGAGGGTCAATCAAATGAAGATAATTCGGGAAGAAAAGGACGAGGAAGATCAGTTAAATGCGCTTCTCCTAGTCGACCAGGTTCAAGACTCACTCTTCCTCGGCCTGACTTTGAACCGTAAGATTTTGGTCGTCATCTCTTACTTTCCGGGGCCACCCTTATCCTATCGAGAGCTCTCTTGCAGACCTCCAAGGCTGGCTGTCCTCCTTCGTAGAGTGAGTACTGCCAGACAACAGCATTTCAGCTGGAAAATTCATCCTAGCATCGAAACTTAATTGCGTTCACCGGTATCGCCTATCGAGGGTTTTTTTGGGTGAGCGTAAGTCGAAATGCTACGGTGCCATCCTCTTACGCTCCCTGGACTGAGCATGAATGGACCGTTGGGAGGCAGAAATGTGGCACGCTGGCATCGATGGCCCCGGCGGATTTGCTTAAGACGTCTTGACGTCGCCATGGATTATCCTGAACCGCATACAGGGATTCGCCCCTGAAGATGTGATGGAAGGTTCATTCGTCTCGAATGAGCCCAGAGCCTCATGGGCGATCCCCGGGTCATGGGCATTGAATACGTTTATCAAGGCAGCATGTTGATATTTTCAGACGTCTGATTCTCCCCCCTCAGCTTACGATTCGTCGAGCAATGGTTTGAACACCTTGACCGGCAGTGCCCCGAGATCAGCGCACCACAGGTTGGGAAAACCTACGCTAGTTAGCGGCGAACGACACACGAGCCTGCTCATTCTTCCGAAACACAACCGCAACAGGACATCATCTATAAATGTTGGCTACAAAATGTCCCTCACCAGCTTGTTATCAACTTGTGGCAGGAGGGATAATGAACGTTACTGACCCAGTTCAGTTTGGAGGCGAATGATTTTTCTTTTTCTTTTTGCATTCAGCGTTCGATGATCTCGCTCATGACCACCTCTCATTACTCATTCATCCATCCATCTACCCATCCTCCTTCAGTCTTTCTTCCACTACCTCAACGAATCTCCCTTCATCCTCATCCATTAATTCCTCACGCCTCCTGCAGTGAAACAGGACTCGCACCGCCAGGCTCCTCGCCCTCATCCCCTCTCCCTGTTCCAACCCAGAGCTGACCTCTATCCCGATACGCAATCTTGAGCATGAAAAAGACACTTCAGGCGATCGCCAGGGTAGTGGCTGTCCCTACACCACCTCTGCCTCCAGGTGAGTCTATTCTGCCGATCACACAGCCCGCTCGTAAAGTGCCCATCTTCTCCAACTACCTCGGGCGCTGGGGGCTCACTTCCCATCGTTCAGATCGCGAGACCCTCGATCAAGTCGACTCTCTACCCATTCTCACATCATGGGAAAGCCCACGTCAAACAGATGATCGCCCCGTGTCCTTTGAGCTACCCGCTACGAGGCCCCCGACCGATTCCACCATCCGCGCAAGCCGCCGCCGCCGTCGTCGTCATGTTCAAGAGCCATCCATCGATTCGCTCTTCATCAGAGGCTTTGACGTGCCTTCGACTCCACTTCCTTTCCGCCATCCACCACCTTACGAGCCGTACGTCAGTCCACCCTCATCACCTCTCTTTGGCGCGGAGCCACGCAACGCAAGTGCCAATGCTGGATCCCAGGCCGGCCCCTCAGGTTCAGTAGGGGCCACGTCGAGGTTCCCTAGTCTCCCTCAACGGAGCGTGACTATTTGGGAGAGACGGAGTCAATGGACTCGAGGACAGGAGGAGGCAGCAGGAAGGACTGACTCCCCGCCTCGAGTTGCCGCCACCACCTCTTCGGGCCATCCTGATGTGCTCACATTCCACGCTTTTGACGATCTCCCATCTCCCGTTCTCCGGCGCATGGTAGATGATTACATCAACACACGAGCAAGGGATCAAGGGCGACGATCGACTGCTCTGCCCGACGTGGTCATAGGATCAGGTTCAACGGGTTCAGTTCCGGGCCCCCCGAATGTTCCCCTACCCCCCGTACCCAGCATGGAGCAGCCAGAGGGTGCACTCCCTCGTCAGCCTTCGTCAACGGCGACCGTCAGAGCTCTTGGCCTAGAGGTGGAGCATGGCAAGCCTCGAGGTAGATGGATACCAGACTCCTTCTACACGCCCTTCCCCAGTCCTCGCCCCGCTCGTACAGTCACTCGACGACATTCCACCTCCACAATCGTTGAAACGCGAAGGTCGCCAACGGAGACAAGTCTGCCTGCCGATCACATTTTCAGCCGTTCGCGGGCTGGTGATGGAGAATCTACCATCCTCAACACGTCTATCGACTTTGAAGACGCCATCATGTCTTTCGGGGACGCAGCTTCGTTCGATTTCAACTCAGGCACTGAAACTCGGTTGCAGAACGTTGATACGCCGGAGTCGACGAATCTAGAGACAGACAAAGATGTACCCTTGCACAACCTTAGATCTTTCGGACCACTTATGGACCTATCGGGTGCTACCGAGCCTCGCAGGCACTCGGTGGTTGCGGTCGAGCTCAAGTCAGCCTACTTCAACGACAGCTCCAAGCCTCTTCCCTATCTACCCTCAAGCGGCAATGCTTCGCCGAGCCGAGATCCAAGCAGCAACGCAATTCTCTCCAGATCACGCAGCTTCGTGGCAGACTCACCTCCTCGTCTTCCTGCCTTGGACATTCCGACCATCACGCTGGGAAGTGACTTGTGGGATACCCCAGTGCAGGCCACTGAATTTGAGGAAGATGATGTACTTGATCCTCATCCTCCATTACCATCTGTCGGGCGATTGCAAGAGCCTTCGCCTCCTTTGGTCCCTCCCAGACCTCCAAGAAGCGCCAAACGACTGAAGGACGACGTCCATGAGGCGGATCTTGTCCCTCTCCCGGCATTTGCAACTGACAATGACAGAACCCCCGCTAGGACTGGACAGAACATCTTCAAGAGGCTCTCTGAACCCCTTTTTCGTCGGCTGCAGACTAGACCGAAGCGCAGGCCATTTGAGAGTGTCGATCTGGCGCCATCCAGCTTGGAAGCCCAGCGTCTGCGCGAGCAGAGGAGACAGGCTGAACACGCTCGGCTCGAAAGCGAAGACGAGCGTGCTAGACCCGATACGCCTCGTCCTATCAGCCCTCAGAGCGATTTGAGAAAATCAGTCGACGTGCAGAGCTCGGAGAGCGATACAACTCCTCGAGCTTCCCCTCCGCTGGACAGCGCAACACCCCTGCTGGCTGGCGAACATCAACTTGATCGATGGCCAGATCCCGATGAAAATGATGAGAGTGACGAGGACGAGGATCTCGCTCTGATGGGGGACATTCTCGCTGCATTCCCACGGCCACCAACCCACACACCTCAACCGTTCCGAACTCCGCCGGTAGTTGAGAGGCGGCAACAAGCTTCTTCCTCCAATGGTGCCGGTCGATCAGAGCCGACTCCAGATACGCACGAGGTTTTACAGACACCTTTGACTGCGCCGCGAGCATCCAGGTCCTCAACACGGGATACTCGTCCAGACATGTTACTGTACAGGACAAGCCCTACACCCCTTCGTGGATCAAGGGTCTCGCGTAATCTTGGCGAAGTCATCCGACCGCCTGCCAGTGATGTCTCTCCCGAGGAACATAGACGTCAGGAATCGATCGACAGGAAAGGCAAAGGGAAGAGCAAGCAAGAATGTGGCGAGAATGCTGGTCCCGGTGCGCTTCGAAAGATACATCAGGAGGCATTCGACAAGATCATTCAAGGAGGCGAAACGAGAAAGCTTCGTGGCGGAAGGGTTTAGTGGAATGCTTTTTGGAATGTGACTTGCGGCAATAGTATGCTTTGCAATCGTTTTTTGTGTCTCTTGTCGATGTTGTCATGTTCTCGTTGTACGTGCTCTCGAATGTATCTTGGGTCATCCACACCTAGTCTGTGTGTCAGACAGCTCGCAAGCGTCATCTACTTCGAACATGAGACTGGATGCATTTCGATCAGGGTGTGTGAAGCCAAGGCTCTGATACAACAAGTACATGGAATGCTACAAACTTCACGACGAATCTAACTATCATATAGCCTTTGCAGGGCTTCCTTCACAGGTTCGCTTTGGAGGGAGAGGATCCGCCTCCGCCGACAGTTCCCACTCCTTCGAGATGAACCATCAAGTCCGACGTGAGAAAGTCACTTGGCCAAGTCGCTTTGACCTGATTGAGCATGTATTCACTTGCGATCTTGACATGGTTGGCATCGATCCCTGGAAGAGAAGAGACTTTGGCAGATTCTTCAGAGAAGATGGGTTGGAGTGAAGATGGCGTAATGGATTTACCAGAGTCCTGCGAGGTTAAGAACGTTGTCAGTCTCCATGGAATCGACATCCATCCAACGAACGGACATACCGTCTTGGAACCGTACTTGCACCATTGCCAAAGCTGAACACGGGCAATTTCCGCCGTGGCGGCGTCTTCCTAATTATCCTTAAGCGTTTTGCACGGAAGAAAGTGACTTACCATCAGATGGTTGATTGGTACGCAACCGTTGCCAGAGATCCAAGCGGCACAATATGACAAGGCGCTTGATCCCTCGTCAGGCTGCATCCGTATCGTGAATTGAGCGTCACTTACGCCGACACGTTATCTCGTACTCCCGGGTCTGTGATTTTGCCGGGAACTTTGGGATCTGCAATCTGCTTATCCGTCACAGAGACATCTTCCCGGCGTATATGGTACTATGCAGTGGTCAAAACTTGACCATCCAATTCATAGGCAGGACACACCTGATTTGGGCCTTTCATGTGCTCGTCAAAAACGTCCATTGCAATCTTGATGAGAGCCGGATGAGCAACCCAAGTTCCATCATGTCCGGCTTTGACTTCTCGAAGTTTGTCCGCCCTGACTTTCGCCATGGCTCGATCGTTCGCATTGGTGTCATTCTTGATAGGGATTTGGGCAGACATACCACCCATAGCGGCGACTTTGCGCCTAAACAGGAAAAATTGAGATGATGCCCTCTCACTTCCATTCAAAGCCGAGCCGAACCTTTACTCACTTGTGACAAGTTTGAATGAGCAGCCGAACATATGCATCCATGAACGGGACCGTCATGGTGACGTCTGAGCGATCGGGGAATACACAGCTCTTCTGTGCTCTCTGTTTCTTAATACTGGAGCAGGTCAGCGAGCATAAAAGTCAGCGATGAAGGCGACCTACAAGCTGAAGATATAGTCCCATCGACCACAGTTGAGGCCTGCCGAATGCTCTTTGAGTTCGTACAATATTTCCTCCATCTGAAAAGCGGCTGGCAAGGTCTCGATAAGGACCGTAGCTCTGATACAGCCTTGGGGTAGACCAAGCTTTGACGTGGCGAGGCAGAACACGTCGTTCCATAGTCTAGCTTCGAGATGATGTTCCATTTTTGGAAGATAAAAGTATGGTCCGTATCCTCGTTTGATCAGCTCTGCGGCATTGTTAAAGAAGTAGATGGAAAAGTCGAAAAGAGATCCGGAGACGGGTGAGCCATCGACGAGAATTCTAGGTTCATCAAGGTGCCATCCACGAGGTCTGTGAGTCCGTCAGCGGGTTGCACCGTAGTGACAATGGCATACTCGCCTGACGAGAAGCACAGCGGGCTTTTCGACGAGCTTGTATTGCTTGCCATTGGTCTCAAAATCGATCTGGTGTCTATCAAGAGTTAACGACATGCTGTATCACACGTCTTGATGCCTCACCGAATGGCATCGTGCAGATTCAACTGGCCATGGACCATGTTGGACCAAGTGGGTGAGTTTGAGTCTGTTTCAAAGTCAGCCCGTGTTCTCGATTCTCGCACCGACTGACCCTCAAAATCCGCCATGAATGTCTTTGCACCCGAGTTGAGAGCATTAATGACCATCTTGCGGTCAGTCGGGCCGGTGATCTCCACTCTGTTCAAGGGATCAGCTCAGGCCCACCACTGGCTATTCAGCTCCGTACTCACCGTCTATCTTCGAGCCCTGGTCCAGGAGGTGCGCAAGCCCATGCAGGTGACTTGCGGATGGCCTCCGTTTCCGATAAGAACTTGAGTGTCTTGCCCTGGAGTGACGGTCATCAGCTAGACCCCGAAGTAACGAGAGCGCGCAAACGCACCTTGTCGAGATCCGCCTGAACCTTTCTCCTATTTTCCAAAAGCTCCTTGCGTCTGGAGTCAAAGGTTCGGTGAACGGTCGCTAGGAATTCGAGTGCCTCATTGCTCAGGATCTTCTCTGTGCCCTTTGGCGGGGCTAGAACGAGGTGAACGCCTTGTGGGAGAGTACTCATGGTTGTGAGGGTGAGTTGATTGATGAGGAGTCAGTCTTGCTTGGGTGGAGCCTGCCTCAGCCGGGAACGGTGGACGCGAGGTCGCGGGGGTATCACTTTAAGCTGCTGCTGAATCGATGCAGCTGGTCTGGCTGATGTGATGAGCGGAGGGGTCTTAATCAGTTCAGTCCTCTATCTATATCTATCCATCCATATCCATCTAACACACGAACGAGTCACTTGATCCGATGATTTCCGGAGCTCCGAAATTTCAACAGTTGCCGGTGGACGGCCGGTTGGAAAATAGTAACCGAAGACTGGAGCGGGGGGTGGCGAATCATCATCAGTTAGCGGGGTATACCTATGCATGTACGTGGTGTCAAGACTAGTCCTCATGCTCTAAGCCCTCCTCCTCTTCCTCCACCACCACCACCACCTCCAGTTGTCACTGTGACATAGCTAGGCTGCTGCCCGTCGCTCACCATACTTGCCAGCTCGTCCGTCCAATTGGAAATGGGAACAGAGGCTTGAGGAGTGGCAGCAGTGTCGAGTCCCAAATGTATCGGCACAGTACCTGTATCCTCAGTCTGCAAGCCATCATCCATCGACACCTCTGAAACCGCCTCCTCAGCTCTCTTTTGGGCTTCTTGAGCGTCGTGCCACTTCCAAGGGTCTTCCGCTCCCATGAGCATCTTTTCAGTCGAACGACCCTGAGTTCGCAGCGCTAGTGACCTGACGAAGGGGCTAATTTTGTGATGGGTGGATCCTTGACACCAGATCTTGCCTTTGGATTGGCATTCTGGGTCGGTACATCCAGGTGGTCCACGATTGTCTGAAATACCTCTCGATTCAAGGTCTCGCTTGATTGCGTCATTGTTGGCCAGTTCCGAGTTATCCAGCAAGATCTTTCGGCCATTAAGGTTGTATCTGTCCAAGACCCATCTGTCCAAATCATCGTCCGTTCCCATCTCCTCAGCATGAGCCAAAGACAAATACTTCGCAGCTGTGGATCCGACCGTGTCCAAGTACTTGGTATCGACGATTGAATCAATCATTCGACCATCTGTAGCGTATCTCGTACCTTGACCACCGGGCAAGCTCATAACACCTTGACTCTCATCGAGTCCATATGCTTTCTTCTGAGCTGCGTTTTCCATTGACATGGGGTGGAAGTGGTTCGAATTGGCAAAATCGGCCTTTGTACGTGACGTGGTGTACTTTGAAATGACCTCGTCCCTTGCGACTTCGGCCTTGGTCTTCTGTCTTGCCAAAGCAATGTCGAGCGAAGGGAGCTCGTCCAGGGCATCTCGCTCTTCTTGTGTAAGCAAGAAAGTCTTCTTCCCTTTTCTCGCCTCCTCATATTGCTTCAACCACGCGTAGTGCTCTCCTCGTGCCTGAGCCTCGTCATACGTTCTTGATCGAACCAACTGAGCGAATTTGGGAGTATCAGATGTATAATAATCTTCCCGTGTCATGGATTTCAATTCATCTCTCCAAGCCTCTTCATAGGATACAGGCTTGCTGAACGCGTCAAACAAGTCACTGTCATCGGTTCCACGGACTCTGCTTGGTTGATCTTCATCAGGTAATAGTCCAGCATTCTTGACACCTCCTTCTTTTGATCCATCGACGCCGAATCGCCGGATGAGAGGGTACATTTGATCCATCGTTCCGTCCGCTGAAGAAGTCGCCAGTGTTCCAGTTGAAAAATCGTACAGCTTTGTCGCCAGCAACTGACCGAGCCTTTCCTCTCGCGTATAAGTAGTGGCTTCAGAACCTTGAGATCTATGATATCCTCGTTGATCCTTGACTGTTCCTCCGACAGATTCATCAAGACCTTGTAAATGAGCCAATTTCCACTCATCATTAGCGTGCTTCGCATCATGCCAGTCTTGCGCTTCTTGATCATGTAACAGTTTTTCAGTAAATCGCAACGATTTACCAGACTTCTCTGTCGTGTCACGTAGTGCGCTCTTGGTCGTACCTGTAAACTTGGTCAAGGGCTTGACCTCAGTGTACGGTTCATCGGGAATACCCAGTCGCGATCGATACTGTGACACAGCCCATGATGCCTTGCTCTCCCGTACGGCTCGCGCAAATTCTTCATCCGTCGCCAAATGTGTGTTCTTTCCAAATGGCTTAAAGCCTTTCTCTCTGTCCCACTCGTGTGAGGGTATCTTGAAAGTCTCATCGGGTCTGCTCGTCTCATAAGCGGATCCCAGCCGCTGGCCAACTCCTTGAAAATGGTCGTTCGAGTTTGAAATTAACGTCGACGATGACGCTCCAGTCGTAGGTGTGCTTTCCAAGAGGGATGACAAAGTATGAACGACCATGGTGGTGGTGGTGGCTCGCGACCTGACAATCGTTCCAGAGTAGTTGAGCTGGCCAGTATGTGAGAAAACTGATGTCTATTGTGGGGTAAGAGAATGTCGAGGTCGGACAATATTCCGGTGGCGAGCTTTCTTCGTGAACCCATACCACCTTTCTCGTGTCATCCTTTCACATTTTCAGGTGCCTCCTTTCACGCAGCGTTCTTGCGTCGCTTGACACTACTGTCCAGTACGCGCGGCGCGATGCAGGCAATCAGCCTGGTACTTGTAGACGAAGCCACAAGTCGGACATGCGTCAACGAGTCAGTCGGACAAGCTCAGTCAATCTGTCAATATCGTCGTCATCAACGTGCATACGAATGTCCGAAGCCTAGAATCTGTGCGCCAGCTCCAAAAGTCCGATAGATCACGGGTGGCGAATGCGATTGACATCAGCCCCGACCTCAGCCCAACCGCAAAACTTCGAAAAGCTCTCCTTCCTTGTCTGGTCAACGCCCGCCCAATGTTGGTCATAGTCCATAGTTTCGCAAACGATCCTCCGCATCTCATTCCTGCCCATTCACAATGTCCTGTTTGAAGATTCCACTTGCAACACCGTTCGATTTCTTCCCCTTCAAAACTTCTTCTCTCATTCTCTGAATTTCGGCCAACTGAGCCGGAGTATGGGCCAAACTCGCAAACATCGGTACGAGAGGTTCGCCATCGGTTCGTTTCTCATCCATCCCTTGCTTGCTAGGAGATTGCTTCTTTGCCGTCTCGAACAAGACGCTCTGCCCTGCTTCCTCCATCAAGTCTGAGACTGCAAAGTAAACGTTTCCACGGTCACCTTCGGGAAACACCTTGACACCGTTCAGACCCGGAAGATCGGTGCTGCTTCCACTGGTTGGAGGTGAGAGCGATTCAGCGGTCCGGACTTGTCCATTTGATCTCATACTGCCGCAGTCGGATGTATTGGCCGATCGTTGAAAGATCTCAGCCGAAACTGGTGCAGGCGTCAATAGCACAGAGTTGCGGTTCGGAGGTGATGGTGAACCTGGATCAGAGGGTGGTGAAGGACCGATTCCAGGACTTCGAGTCCCGTTGATCCGTGGCAGGGGCACATCTCCCACGCCTAAACCGTTCAGCTCGCCGTCATCCTCGGGAATTCCAACATGTTCTTGACTCGATGACCCTACACTGGATACTGAGTCGGAGCGGCTGGTCGGATGATCGGGTTTCTGCTTGAGCACTTGAGAAGCTATCGAGATCCGTCTCAGGTCCGCTGCGCTCTTCCCTGACGACTGTCCATTCTGCTGATCATGAGATGGGGCGATGGACGAGGCCTGACCAGGAAAGCTAGCGCCAGCATTATAGCCATATGATGCGGGTAAGAACGAACCAGCAAGCGCTGCGGCATCTTCTCCTCCTGCTGTCGACGCTCGTCGATACCCTCCAGGTGTCATGGCTCGCGGAGAGTGATTCTGCGAGTGAAAGTGGGGATGAAGCATGGGAGAAGGGTACATCCCCGGCGAAGGATACGGAAAGTATCCCATGGGTCGGTTGGGTGTATGAGGCGAAGGAAAGGGAGGAGGATAAGGTGAGGGTGGTGAAAGCTGTTGACTGGGGGCGGCTCCAGTAGTGACGATGGGTAGGGTCGGAGGAGGTTGGAGACCAGATTCACGGACGAAATTCTCAAGCGCCCCTAGTCTGTGAAGCGTCGCAGTGTAGAGAGAGGTGATCTGTGAGATTTTTGCCGACGCCTGCATATAGTCAGAGACGGGCCACTTGATCTCGCTCACCTCTGCATCCCTCTTTCTCCCATCATGATCGGAAGCACTGCCAAATTTCTTGAGATTCTCCATTTCCGAGCTCATCCTTTCACGCTCCGCTTTCATCCTTGATAATTTTTCCAAAGCCTTAGACTCTTCAGCTTTCGCTTGACCGATATCCGCTCGGAGTGAATCTATCATCTTCTCTCGCTCCGTCAACAGGTCCTCCAAATCTGCATTGACAGGCCGTGTCAAACTCGCTTTTCGAGCATGACGAGAGGATGAAGGTGTACGAGGTGTAGGTGGAGGTCGGGATGCAAAATCGGCAAAAGGAGACGGTGTAGGTCCGGTTGTACTGAGTGGAGAGGTGACTGAAGGAGATGGCTCGAGGTGCTCCAATGGTGCGGGAACAGCTTTGCCCTTTTTCTTCTTCTTCTTATGGGATACAGCTTGTAGAGCCGAGGGAGGCAGATAGCCTGCTTCTGGCATGATGGAGAAACCTCCTCCTCCTCCACCACCGAGTAGGTCCGTCGTGGAGTTGGATCGAGCACGAGTACTGTTGGTTTCGGACGTATCGCCATCGACAGACGCCATATCGGAACTAGCGATGGAAGGTGCTGGGCGGGATGGGCCGGCCATAGGTGAATCGGGTAGAGGTATCGCCCAAGCTGAAGGAGGCGTGACGGGTCGAACGATGAGTGAGGGTGGTGGATCGACCATCTGACCTGCTGTTTGCTCCACTGGGGATTGCGCCGCGCTGGACTTTTCGACACCTTCAATTAATGTCTCGAGAGTCGAGGCAGGAGGTCTGATAGGAGTTTGCGCCGCACTGAGTCTCCGTCGAGGCACAGGTGAAGGACTGACACTGGAGCTAGGGACGGGTGATCCATCTGTGGAACTTGAGGTTGACGTTCCGTCCGCAGGCACTTTGAGAAGACCGATCGACCCGGATCGTTTCTTCTTCCTCTCCCTCCCCCGTTTCTCCTTCAAGACGCTGTCCGATGATGACTCGTCATTGCCTCCACTGAGTTTTGGTTGATTTTCCATCGACATCAACTCTTCCATTCTCGCCTGGGACAATCTCTCTTTACGCCGACGCGACCAGTGTCGTAGTGGATCCCTGACGACAAAGTAGATAGCTCCCAGAGCCAGAGAAACGATACAGATCAGTAGTTGACCTCTCCAAGATGCAATGAGAGTGATGGAAGATGGTAACAGGGGCGTAGCGGTGGGTCTCCGAGATGATGAATCCAAAGGGTGGTGCTGGCCCATGTTGCTGGATGAACCAGGTCCTGGACCACCGAGAGGATGACCCGACGACATTATTGACAAGGAGGTGGGATTGGAGAATGATGAATTGACGGAAGGGTGAAGATGATGATCTGAGCTCAAGATGGAAAGGTTATCGATTCGATATAAGCGGTGCACGGTGTGTACGTGTGTGTGTGGGTGCAGAGAAGCGGAATGGATTAGAGCATCAACCCTAGCTGCAAGATGAGCGGCATGGGAGAATTCTGGGAGAACTCGAGCGAATGAGTGTGAGGGGTTGGATGACCCTTGTGAATAGATGAATAGATGGTAGGTCTGAGCTGAAAGAGTCAGCAATGATTCAAAGGGGAACGAAATGGATTCGTTTCGGGTCGACTGAAAAGGTGTACGGAGGCGACGGGTTGATGCTGATTCGGAAACAAGTGGAGAGAAAGTGAGTCAGAAGGTGGCGTCCTGCGTCCACGAAGAAGTGGGTTCGCAAGTGATCGAGGGGTCAGAATAGCCAAGACCCGGACAGGTCGTCCATACAATACAAGGAGTGGTGATGTCGAAAGGAAGGGGGATATTCAAACGATAACGACGAGGAGTACACTGACGACTTGGCGTGCGTGGTGAACGTAACCAACTCACCGGTGTACCTGATACTCTCTACACTCTGTCTTCTGCTCGGGTTGCGGTATCAAGGTCACGTTCTCCGTAACCACACACAAAAGACAGCAAGCACTACCGAGAAGCCGCTCTTTGACCGTTGTCTCTACCTTCTTGCCTCAATTTTGGGTTCGGCACCTGGACGGAAAAGCCTTCTTGATTGACCCCACGCACACACTCTCTCTCTCTGAGTTGGATAGTGCGGTATAATATAGAATGAAAGTGGTCTCTGTTCTATTCCAAGCACATTTTCTTGTCATCCAAATGAGGAATTGGCGGATCGAAGACGGGGAGAGAGCGAGAGAGGGGGGCGTGGCGTTTTTTGGGAGGGAGGTATTCCCGGCGCCTCCGTGAGCTTTGAGTACCAGAGTGAGTGAGTGAGTGAGTGAGTGAGTGAATGCGTGATTGGCAGGGCAGACTGTCTATACTGACCCCTGCTTGAGCTTAGGGGTTCGATGTGAGGAGGACACAATGTCCCAGTGCGGTTAGCAGTAGTCCTCCCATCGAGCGGTTCTGCCGAAGCGGTGAAAAAGAAAACCACAACAGGTTTCTAACGCCTCCCGGACAACTCGGCGTCACAAGGTACACTACACACATACATACATACACTGGCCTGACGACGGGTTGTGGAGAAAACGAGGATGCACAGAGCTTGAAGACGGCGGAGAGGCACACAGAGCAGCACCTCGCTCTCCTTGTGCTGTCGGCGCATGCTTCCTTGAAGCTCCGTCTCATCATTCGGTTGAAATTCCACCTCGGCTCTGGAGAAATGGTCAGAGTCAAGCCGTATTGGGCAAATTGGCGGAAAAATGAAGGGCCGCTGAGATCGATGAGGATCAGCTTTGGGTCGGATGGTACGTCTCGTCGCAGAAGTTAATGAACGGACATTCGTGTCCGTGTTGACTGAAGTTGGACCTATGTATGGATTCCGTGGATCTTACAGCTCTGCCATGCCATGAGCGGTCGCGGCGCTGTGACCCTTTCCGAGATCCCGCGAGTTCTATGACAGGGCCAAAGTGGACTTCTGTCGATTGAACTGCTTGTACAGAAGCTTATGCTGGGTCAAATACAGTCAAGCTTGAGTCTTCAGGCGAGGGATGTGTGTCTGATGCATGCTTGGAACAGTCGAGAAGGATGCATATATGAGATGAACAAGTGGCGCTGTTCCTGGTCCGGTCCCTACCCGGTCTACAGTGTACCATTCCCTCTTGGATGAAGCGAGAGCATCTTCGAACAGTTAGTAACGGGCCAGAGAATCCTCCGCGGATCTACATCAGCTCAAGCTTTCAAGCCTGCGATCCGCACGACTGGACTGTTATTCGTGGGATGCTGGCTCTCCCTTGAAATGAGGAGACACCGATGCCCGTTGTGGCGGAGCAATTCATCACAGCTTGTTCTCAACCGTTTCTCATACACGTAGCTCTGATCTATGACACGGACTGTGTAGACCTAGCCCTTGCAGAGCCTTTGCTTGATACTGTCCCTGATCAGCCAGAGCCACCACCCTTCCAATACTCTCCCTGTATACTGCCTCGACGGCGACGACGATCTAATTTGATTCCGCCGCCCAATTGAACCCAGCTGGGCCACAATTTTTTATCGCACGTGCATTATTCTGGTTAACCCCTTTCCGTTGCGTCGCTGCTAGCGGTTATCCTCCCTCCTCCCAAGTTCACCCCATCCTCTAAACTGCCCAGAAGGACTCACTCCAAGGCATCCAAGTCGTATCGATCTGGATCAAAGAGCCCATCTTTCCAACGTCGAGTACTTTGATACAGTCATCACTGTCCGCCTTATCCTTGATCCCTCGACTACCGTGATCTTGGCGACATCATGTCTACCCAACCTCTTCTTCAACGGACCGCCAAAAAGGCAAGTCATGTTGATCAAAAGCCATGCAGCTACGTCAGGCTCTGACTGACTCGCCAACTCTAGCGGATAGCCCTTCCAGTCCGCGTAGAGCCTAAAGTATTCTTCGCCAACGAGTAAGTCGCGCGACCTCGTCACGAGGTCATAGATTTCCGGAGGATCTCCCACGAATGAGGGACAGTCATGGATATCCGTGGCTCTCACTCCTATACAGTTGACCTACATATCTTCAACCCCTGATCGTGTGCCTCGTCCATCTACATCCTTTGGAACCCTCTCGATCTCGGCTAGGACCCACACTGACACTTACTTCAGGCGTACCTTCCTATCATGGCTCCACTTTGCAGTCGTTCTCGGTGGATTGGCAGTGGGACTCTTGAACTTTGGTGACAAGGTGAGATGGTGGATCTCTCAGCGAGGCAAGGGCGAGGCGACGGCTTCGTGCAGATAGATGGCTTCGCTGTGGATGTCAACTGCGGGAAATAGGCAATCGCTAACCCACCGTTCCTTCAGGTCGGAAAGATTTCCGCGGGCATGTATACTATCATTGGTGAGTCTCAATCGCTCCAATGCCCTGTGATCCTCCATGTGTCCCACTCGAGCTTTGTTATATCTCGCTCCGCGCGCTTGTGCACCTCTCAACCCTATCCCTATGCTACCCCTGTCTCGCTGCAAGTGCATATGCTGATCCATTCTCCAGCCATGGCAGTCATGTTGTACGCCTTGACAGTATATCAAATGCGAGCCAGGGCCATTAGGCTGAGAACAGGAGCACCATACGACGACAGGTTAGGACCGGTGAGTCATGCACGCAGTGCCGCAAGCTTCTCCCCAAATCGGACAAATCACTGATACCGGCGCTCTACAGACTGTCCTTTGTGTTTGCCTATTGGGTGAATTATGCCACATCTCTCGTGCGATAGGAAAGGTGACGCTGACGGTCTCTCAGCCGCCATCATTACCAACTTTGTCCTCAAGGCTGTCTATGATTAAACCAGAGCAGACCAGACGAGATCTGGTGTTTCATCCGAAAGGAAGCGATCAGTCTATGTTAGGCACTCTTTAACCAAGACTATAAATCAGTACATATCCTCATAACCCCCTTTGCCTCCTTCCCTACACATGTTTCGGCTGCGTTCTTCTCTCAACTCGCTCTCATAGATCGATCCCATTTGCATGTACTCGCTGATTGTGAAATGAGCCTATTATCCGGTCGAAAGATAGGCACGCCACGGGAATTGTGACGTGCGTTCCCTCTCTTCTAGAATACCTCGTCACTCCTTGTTGCATCTTGCTTAGAACCCAGTCCCAGATCGTTCGCGAGAGAGAGAGAGAGTAGCATAACAATGTCCTGGCAAGGTATGTGCAGCTGACTCTCTAGCATGAGCATGTACTGATGCGGACTCTTGTGATTCTTTTCCCACCACTTGCCCTCTCACTGGAAACACCTCATCATCATAACAATTTACACATCTCATCACGCCGCTCTCGCTTTCTCACTCATCGTTACGAATGGATTTTCTCCCCCCTCATTCTCTGCGATATCTGTGTCTCCTGTCTTTTGCTACGCTCATCGAATCACCACCCACTTGATCCTCCAGCCTACGTCGACGACCAACTTTTGTCCACTGGACAAATCAGCAAAGCTGCCATCTTAGGCAAACAGGGAGGTATCTGGGCAGCTTCAAAGGGGTACAATGTGGGTTCTGAGCGCCGAACTGCACCGACAGGCTGTCGGATATGTGGGGCAACCGGCTGAAGCTAAGATTCAAACTCAGCTGTCCCAAGGTGAACAAAACGCTATTACCAACACCTTGTTCAAGAAACCAGATGAGGCTAGGGGTGAGCGTCCGCGGTACGATGACCAGGGTCTCGATGCTGACTTGGTCCCTTCGTTAGCATCGGGTATAACCCTCGCGGGATTCAAATTCATGTGCATCAAAGCTGAACCTGAGGAGGTGATCGGACGAAAAGGCGTAAGTCGTATCGGAGCTGGAAAGTGAGGCTGCGAAAGATTACTGATGGGATCTTGACCATAGGAGCGAGGTGTCTTTGTCGTCCCTACCACTCAGGCTGTTATCGTTGGAGAGGTAAGCTGGGACCTCGCGGATCCAGAGATTTGGGACAATCGTACTGACGCTCCCCACGCAGTACGAAGCTCCGACTCAAGCGGGAGACGCCAACGTCGTTGTGACTAAGCTTGCTGATTACCTCAAAAGTGTAGGGTACTAGTGTGTCGACGTGATTCTCTTGCAGTGAATACAGTGGAGGGTCGAGGCCTTTCAACAAATGTATACAATGCGCGGGATATCGTACAATCTCCTTGTGGAAGCAATAGTAATTGTCTACTGAGCTCCCCAAAAATCATGTTCACCAAAGTCTCTCTCAATTCCTGGACCCCTTGTTGTTGAACCTCTGAGCCGCCATCATCTTTCTCTTTGCTGACTGTTTCTCGTGTTTCTCCTGCTTCTTCTTCCTCTTTTGAAGCTTCCTAGACATCTCCTCGTCTCCCGTTTTCGCAGCTGGGTCAATACCCATCGCCAGCAATTTGGCATCCCTCGCTCTCTTTCGAATCATTCGGGGACTGACACGTTTCTTGGCCAATCCTCCAGCAGCTCCATCCCGCCATGATCTCGACGTGGAGGCGCCTGCTCCATACTTGCTACTTCCAGACCCTCCACTGGCAACGGGAACTGAATTGGCATTGAGGTTGCCGGCTGCGAAAGCTTGTTGTCTTTCCCTCTCTCGATTAGCCTTCCGTTCTTGCTTGACTGCTTTCCTAGCTGCTGTCTCCAGCTTCTTTTTGGCTCGTCTGGCATCCAAAGCTGCTTGTTCCGATTCACTGAGCACCTTCGGCTGTTTACTGGGTTTGGGATGTTCCGCCTTGTAAGCCTCTCGTTCTGCTTTTTTGATGACTTTTCGGGCTCGTCGAGCGGCCACTTTGGCTTGCGTATTGGCTTTATCCCGCGCCTTGTCAAGCTACGTCCAGTCAGAGGGTCCCAATTCAAACATGACGATCGCTTTTGCTCACCACTCGCTGGGTTTCAATCTTTCGGAAATTCAACGCTACGATTACTCTTGGATCTTCAGGTCGAGGTCCACGACCAGGTTTTTGGTAATTCTCTAGTGCAGCATGCCACCGTTTAAGCGATCGCAGATGAGACTGGAGAGGGTCGTCAGATTAGACTCGAGCAGGCGCAAAAGTAGATCACATACCCCTGACTTGAGATGCAAAGTTGCCATGTGGTCATTCTTGAATGTCTTGCTTGGACAAAGGACACACGCGCTCTTGTTGGGTCTATCGGCAGGGGCGAAGATGGGATTGGTGTTGACTTGTTCAACTGACATGGGCGGATCATCTTCAAACACAGGCCAGTTGGCGACAGCCTCATCTCCTTCCTCGCCTTTGTCTCCATCTGCTTCATTTAGAACGTGTCAGCTGAATTCAATCAAACTATTCCAACTCCAAACCTCAACCTCACCATCGCTGTCGTCCGCCTCCAGCTTCAAGATTCCCTCTTCCACTTCGTCCTCACTATCATCCTCTTCCGAGTCATCTTCACTTGACGAGTCCGATCCCTCTTTGTCGCCCTCGTGCTCTTCCTCTTCACCATTCGTACCAGATCCACTGGCTTCACTTTCACTTTCACTTTCACTTTCACTCTCGCTCTCGCTCTCACTCTCGCTGCCTTCGTCTCCCAGTCCCAAAACCTCTTTCAATTGCGTAGTCCCATCTTCATCTTCTCTCTTCCTCTTTGCCATCCGCTTCTCTGTGATCTTGTATACTGGCATGGCGACGACAAACAGGCTGATACGGTCGTCTACTGCATGTCTGCGGTGCTTTGGTGGTGGACTTGAAATTTTGGTCAGGTGGCGAGCGCCGAACGAAGGGGCGGGATAAAACTTACGTAACGTTTGCCAAGGTTCAACTTACGTATTGAATCGTCTCCCCGGCTGCAGCTCCGGTGATCGCTACGTCATGATTAAAGGTATCACGGAAGCAAAAAAAAAATGATACTCCCCGCGCTAAAATGACGATGTGACGTCACTCCTACCTAAATTCATGTCTGGATCTTTTTTTTTTTTTGGGATCCGGTTGTAGCGCCGAGCCTTTTGCGTCAAAACGTGGCGCTGATCCGCAAGGAGGAAAAATTGAATTGTTTGTGGCTGCTTGTCATGGGCTGCTGCAGCTGCTGCTGCTCATACAGCTTCAATTGCCGCTGCTCTCTTTTTTTAAACTCTTCTCTCTCTGCTGCTGCTGCTGCTGCTGCTGCTGCTGCTGCATGCTGCTGCTGCGTTGACCGCGGTGCCTAGACCCAGAACGAAATTGGCTACCTCTCGAGTGCCCCTTACGCGTAATGTCGAAACAATGGTGGCTGCGAAACGTTTTAATGGATCGTCATAGCTTTTTCTCGGAGGGATTGACTCCACAAATCTCACAGCGAGCGTAGAGGGGCGTGTAGCAGATATGTATATATATACCATGATGCAATGAGAGTGCACTGTTCAGACCAGATACAACCCGTACCAACGCAAAGTCATCACACCAACAACCTGGTTCATTCCTCTGTTCCGCGCGGATAGGTGAGTTGACTTGTATTTGTGTTTGTTGTTTTGTCGGGTCGGGTCAAACGCGGGCAACGCCAAGCATCGTTTTGGACCGACCCGGATATGGGATCTTCATCTGATTTTTCGCCACCTGCCAATGCTCACCGGCTGACCTTGTGCGATTCTGCAGCCTCTTTACTTAAACCACTACCTCATTCTCATACAAACCCGACACATCTCTCACCATGGGACTTGGACCAGTTCACTGCGGCTCCTTCTTCCTCTTCTGTGCCTTTGCACTTTTGCTTATTGCCACCATCTCTTCGCCGATCATTAAACAGATTGGTTTCTTGAACATTCACTACAATGGAGAGACTTCTCGATTCGGTACATTTGGTTACTGTCTGGACGTGAGTGCAGGTCGCGACGGTGGCCGAGTCCACAGCTGACCCCATTTGACAGGGCGTAAGAGAATGTTCCAAGTCTAAACTCGGATACGACCTCACTCGTATCACTGGTGCTGGACTAGACTACCGATGGACCAACGAAACTTTGAACGGCTCCACCAAGGCCTTGATCCTCCACCCCATCGCCATGGGAATCGCGTTCATCGCGTTCCTCATTACCCTCGTCTCTGACCACGTCGGATTCATCTTTGCTGCCTTCATCACTTTCCTCGCGTTCATCGTCTCTCTCGTCGCCATGATCATTGACTTTGCCGTGTTTGGAATCGTTAAGCGAGAAGTCAACGACCACACCAATGCCGTCGCCAAATACGGAGTCACCACTTGGTTGACATTGGCCGCTACCATTGTCCTCTTCTTCTCCGTCTTCATCGTCTTCTTCTCTTGCTGCACCCACAGGAAGAACCACCGAAAGGAATACGACAACTCGTACAACAATGCCGGATACGTCGGAAACGAGGGAACAGCCTACGGTACCAAGCAGCCTTGGCACAAGCGATTCTTCAACCGAAACAAGAACGCCAATGGAAAGTACTAAGCCGTTGACTCAGAGGCGGTCGATCCCAAAAGAGTTTGTTTTGTGGCCCTGAACTCATCTGCGCGGAACAGAGCAGACTGAGGACTCTTTTTGGAACCTGAGGCGTGGAATGGTCAGGCGGAAACACCTAGCAGTTTATCAAGCATTCTCGATCACACACAGAACAGTACATGTATACACGGACCTTCCTCTTGTACTTATCATATGCCTACGATTAATATGTATCGCATCGGATTTTTGCTGTTCGTTCGGCCACTACACATTTTTATTATAGATCTGAGGCAGTGTGCAGTTTTCAGGGTAAATAATGTAAACTCAAGATCTCTTTCTGGCGGTGCGGCTCTCGCAACCCGCACGTGTATTGGGCACAAGCTTGTGGGGCTGACGAGCTGAATTCTGACTGCAGCTCTGTATGGCTCTGTGTCATGAACGATTCTCTAGCTTGCAGCCAGTCCCTCCCGGCACTGTGATCATTTTCGCCACACGCCCTCAGTGGCTTGTGCCCCCCCCCTCGCCACATTCTGAAACACACCATCTCATTTACGTAATGAATTTTATCCACTTGGGCTCAAGTGAAAAGAAAAAAAACAAGCATGTCCCGCCTCTTCCCCCTGATCTCGCCGCGCACAGCTCCTGTGATAGCAGTCGGCGACGACCAATCATCTACCACCACCATCACCACCATCACCACCAACTGGAAGGCTAGGCAGTTGGCATCTTCCGTGTCACTATCGGACACAAGGTCTTCTTCGCTCTGAGCGAGGCTGACGCGCGCCATTGTGAAGGGGGCGGGTCCTTTCCGCTCAGAGAGCTCGCCGATCAAACCCTTTTGACCTAAGCGGGAACACGAATATTCACGAGAGACGAGTGTTATGCACCGCCGTGCTTGAAAGGAGGAAGTTCACGGTGAGTTGATAGCGCTTTCATCTTCCTCTTCTCACTACATGCTCAACGACTCTGAAGGCTCATCTTGTCCCCAGGCCCTTGCATATTGGTGGGGTTCCCAAAAAAAGGTGGACCGATCAGCGGGAACATCTAGCGATTCCTTTTTGGATCCTTTCATTCTCTCACCATCTGTGCTAAAACCATGTCGGTGGCCAATATGACTGCCGGCGAGCCATCATCCACTCGGTCTCTTACATCCCTCATCGCTTCATCGTCACCGCACGCTGGATCTTCATCCTCGACCTCACGTTCCGTCTTCCCCACCGACGAGACCATCACGTCGCTCTTGTCATCTCGAGCACGATTGGATTTACCGTACACTCGAGTGGGATCCAGCGGGACGAGCTATGTTGTTGTCAACCCCTTGCGCATGCTGGAGTCCTTGGGTGAAGCGAGTGAAAAGGAATATGAGAGGGACGTAGAGTCTGTCGACAGTGAAGTCCACTCACGTCCGCAGCCTCACGTGTATGAGCTGGCAGGGAGGGCTTGGATGTTGATGCATAGGCGGAAAGAGTCACAAAGTATCCTATATCAGTGAGTATAGGTCAGAGCCAAGCCTTGAAGCGCTGCTGACACGCGCTACTCAGCGGAGCCACCGGGTCTGGGAAATCCACTGCATCCCGTCACGTCACTTCCCAGATCCTTCGACTGGCCTCTCATACCAAAGCTCAACGCCGCATCTCCGACCAGATCAATTACGTCTTTACCCTTCTGGAATCCTTTGGACACTCCAAAACACCCCTCAACCCATCTGCGTCGCAGCATTCCAAGTATCTCGAGTTACACTTTGCATCCGACGGTTCTGTGTGCGGTGCGAAAGTTCTCCCATTTGGTCTGAACAAATCCCGACTGGGACGTCTACACCATGATGAAAGGTCCTTTCACGTCTTCTATCAACTCTTGGCCGGAGCCTCACCAGGGGAACGGGACGCTTTGGATTTAGAGGACCCATCAAGCTATGCAGTCCTAGCTCAGAGCGGATGTTATCGATTACCTGGAGGTCTGTTCTCAGATGACGCAGCGCAGCTTGGTGAACTCCGAGCGGCATTTGCTTCGCTTGGGTTTAAATCGAAGCATGTCCAGTCCATCTTTTCCCTCCTCACAACCATCCTCCTCTTGTCCAATCTCACATTCGTGGATGACAGGCAAGGATCCCTGGGGATGACATCGATCGACGAGAGTGCTCGGGCGGAGGATCAAGTACTGCTCGCGACCGTCGCTCGACACTTGGGCGTTCACCCTGACGAGCTAGAAAAGGTCCTCGTCAATCGAACCCGGTGGATTCGACACGATCTCTGCTCGATGATCCTCGATGTGGACGGAGCTTTGGCACAGCGAGATGCCTTGATCAAAGATTTGTACGCCATATTGTTCACGTTTGTCGTGGAAATGGCGAATCGAAAGCTCGCCCCGCCCAATGACGCTGCCCCAGAATTACAAATTGTACAGCTGGATGTCCCAGGGTACCAATCTCGTACTGTCGACGCCAGACTCAGCGCATACACCCCTTTAATCAACGCTCAGGGGTCCAATGGGTTCAACGAATTCAGTGCCAACTTTATCAACGAGGTCGTCCATTCGTACCTTGTTCAGAGGCTCTTTGAGGATGATTCGAGCATGGGGCCTGATGGTTTACCCCATGTATCCGTCATGGACAATGGCTGTCTCGAGCTGCTGCGAGGTGGTCTGCTCGGTTCATCCAGGCTATCGCGAACGCCAGGCGGCATGCTGGGAGTCGTCAATTCGCAAAGCCCGGAAGACTCTGCCGACCATTTGGTCGGACAATTTGACGCTTCATTCATCCGTTCAGCATCTTACATCTCAAGCCCGCCGGAACTTTCAAAGCGATCCTTCGGTATCAATCATTACTCTGGGTCTTGCATCTATGATGCCTACGACTTTGTCGAGGCCAACTGCGACACCCTCGACAAGCAGCTCGTAGACCTTCTGAGATCATCCTCGGATCCATTTGTGTCGAAGCTGGTATCTGGGCCAGGCTTGGCAACGGAAGGTCATCCAATGGACGCAAGCATCACTGTCCAAGCGCAAGTGTCAGTCACCCCACTGCGAACTCCGACTCAAATTGTCAACCCTGTCCGAGGAGCCAAGCAATCTGATGCTGATTGGCCGATTGACACGGCTGTGCCACAACCCGTCACCACTCAGATCAACGCCACGCTCAGCACTCTCCTAAACCAGATCGATAGCACGAGAGTATGGACAGTAGCTTGTATCCGGCCGAACGATTCTGGCCATCCCAATTCGTTCGACAAGCGAAGGGTCAAAATTCAAGTCAAGGCATTGCTGCTTCCCGAACTTGTCAATCGCAACGAATTCGATTACGTTGCAGACATCTCCCTCACCGATTTTTGTCAACGCCATGCCGTCGAGCCAGACGGCGTTCACAAATTTGCTGAATCGTATGGATGGTCAAAGAGCGACTATCAGATCAGCAAGTCGAGGATTTGGCTCTCATGGGACGCCTGGAAGATGCAAGAAGACATAATTCGACGCGCAGAAGGGACACCTTACGGTACCACAACCGAAACGTTCGTCTCTGACGATGAGCCCAAGCGGGGGTCGTACCTTGGTGTGGCCGGCCAGACCATGGACGCAAGCACTGATGATTTGCTCTTGAAGCGTAGTACGACATCAGGAGATGTATACTCGCCCAATACGCCCGGCGAGGTCGAGTACAAAGACTATCAGGCGACTCCAGACTTCCCTACCAATCAGCACCTCTACTCGGATACCAAGACATCCATGGTCTCGCCAATCTACAAAGAAGATGACCCGCTACATAGTCGTGACGCCGGGGATATGATTGTCCATGAAAAGAAGCATCAAGCTACAGAGGTCATCGCGACGACGACAGCTAGACGCTGGTGGCTTCGGATCACATGGATGTTGACATGGTGGATTCCATCGTTCCTCTTGTCAAGCATTGGAGGTATGAAGCGAGCAGATGTGCGCATGGCCTGGAGGGAAAAGCTGGCCATTTTCATGATGATCATAATGATGTGCGGAGTGGTCTTGTTCTATATCGTCGGGTTTGGACTGCTCCTGTGCCCTGACAGTGACAAGGCTTGGAACCCTACTGAGCTGTCTGAGCATGCCGGAACGGACGACTATTATGCTGCGATTGCTGGCAAAGTCTACGATGTGAGTCCCCGGTGAAACATGACGGATCATGCTCACGCATCGCAGTTTACAAACTTTTACAAAGGCCAACATTCCGATATCAAGGCGTATCCTACATCCGCGACGATTATGCTAGAATTCGCTGGACAAGATCTGACTCACTACTTCCCCATGCCCATGACGTTGGCTTGCCCGAATCTAGTGACCAACAATCAGCTCTCACTTTTGGCTGCCAACTTCACTCCGCTTGTCGATTATGCTATACATACCAGCGGAGCCCAACAACAGACACAGAATACCAAGCTAGACAGCCCGACATGGTACACTGATACCTTGATGCCTGATCTCGTGCAGTACTATAAGGGAAGCTTTGTGTACGACAAGCAGTATATCCTGAACCAAGCGGATGGCTCGCAAAGGTGAGTCAATAGGGAAGTGCAGTTCTGACAGCAGACAATGGGCAATCTACCAACAAAAGGTCTACGACCTTTCCGACTACCTCTACACTGTCCAGTACTACTCTTCGTCTTCAGGGACCGACTTGCCCAACTATGGATTTTTCAACAGTGATTTGAGCGGACTTTTCCAGACGCAAGCTGGCCAGGATATCACTCAAGCGATGAATGCCATTTTGGCAAAGATGTCAACTGAGGATCAGCAAAACACCATGGAGTGCTTGAACAATGCCTTCTACGTCGGAGAGCTCGACTATCGTAGATCCGCTCGATGCACCGTTCAGAATTACCTTTTATTGTCTTTCTCCGTTATCCTCATGACGGTGATTGGTTCGAAATGTGAGCGTCCGTTCCTAGACCAGTCGCTGACTCGGTAGTCCTCGCCGCCCTACAGCTCTCATCAAAGCGTCAACCAGAGCTGCTCGACAAGTTCGTCATTTGTCAAGTCCCTTGTTATACCGAGGGCGAGGAGTCACTCAAGCGTACAATCGACTCGCTGTCTGTGCTCAATTACGACGACAAGCGGAAACTCATGTTCATCATTTGTGATGGAAACATCATTGGATCAGGTAACAATCGACCGACGCCGCGAATCGTCCTGGATATCTTGGGTGTCGATCCAAAGCTTGACCCGGAACCTCTCTTGTTCAAGAGTGTAGGGGAGGGCAGCAGGCAGCTGAATTATGCCAAAGTCTACTCTGGTCTGTATGAACACGAGGGACATGTGGTCCCGTGCGTCTCTCTCCTCAGCTGTCGAATCACATGCAGAGAGCTGATGCCTTCTCAGCTACGTTGTCATCGTCAAGGTCGGTAAACCTACTGAAACCTCGAAACCCGGAAATCGTGGAAAGCGAGATTCTCAAGTACTTCTCTTGCAGTATCTCAACCGAGTCCACTTTGATGCTGCCATGTGTCCACTGGAGCTGGAGATTTATCATCAGATGCGAAATGTCATTGGGATCGATCCGACATTCTACGAATACATCTTCCAGGTTGATGCGGATACAGTGAGTGCTCCTCCGGAGGCGCTGCCTGACTTGACAGACTGTCACACCTGATTCTCTGAACCGATTGATTGCCTGTACGGCGGACGATCAACGAATTATCGGGATCTGTGGGGAGACAAAGGTAGAGAACGAGCGAGAGTCCTTGACCACGATGATTCAGGTGAGCACGCGGTCGTTCGGTGCCTGGACCATGCTGACGGCTTCAGGTCTACGAATACTACATCTCGCATCATCTCACCAAGGCGTTTGAATCTCTCTTTGGTTCCGTCACTTGTCTGCCTGGATGTTTCTCTGTCTACCGAATACGTACCGCAGACAAGGGTCGACCCGTTATCATTTCCTCCCTGGTCATTGACGAGTACGCTGAGCCAAACGTCGACACGCTGCACAAGAAAAACCTATTCTCACTGGGTGAAGATCGATATCTCACTACCCTCATGATGAAGCATTTCCCTACATTCAAGCTCAAATTCACTCCCGACGCAATTGCTCATACCATTGCCCCGAGCCGATGGAACGTTCTGCTCAGTCAACGTCGACGATGGATCAACTCGACCATTCACAATCTAGCAGAACTCATGTTCTTACCTGAAATGTGTGGCTTTTGCTTCTTCTCTATGCGATTCGTGGTATTCATTGACCTCCTCGGAACCATCATCTTGCCAGCAACGTGTGCCTATCTCATCTACCTCGTCGTGATCGTTTCGACTGGCAAAGCCGCTATACCCGTCATTTCGCTGGCTATGATTGCGAGTGTGTACGGACTCCAGGCTCTTATCTTTATTTTGAAGAGGGAGTTCATGCTGGTTGGATGGATGGTACTTTACATCCTGGCTTTCCCGGTATACTCGGTCTTTCTGCCCCTCTATTCATTCTGGTCAATGGATGACTTTAGCTGGGGTAATACGCGTAAAGTGGTTGGGGAGGGTAACAACAAGACGGTGGTATACGATGATGATGAGCCATTCAGCGACTCGTTGATCCCTTACAAACGATTCAAAGGTGAGTGCTTAGGGACGCTGTTGTTGGCTGATTCGATTTTATAGATTACGAATCAGGCGCTTGGGAGACTGGTTCAATCCACTCGGAGAAATCACGGGCCACCTCCCACACTTCCAACACCCGTACGAGTCGAGCTCGTCCGAGACCTGGACCAGCAAGTGCATACTCCCAGGGATCTGAGTTGCCCCCTGGTGCCGACTACTGGCGGGACGCCTCACCTCTTGGTCCATCACATTCTTCGCGTAATTTGCAAAACATGACGTCGGGCTCAAATCTTCGCCAATCCATGTCGAATCCTTATCTCGTACCTCAGCATACGGGTGAATTACCACGTCCACGCGTGACATCCATGGCTGGGTTGAGCATGTGGGGTCCAGGGTCAGACTATGGAGGACCTACCGGATCACCCTATATGGCACCTCTTCCCGTGCCTAGTAATCCGTTCGACTCGCCTGCAATATCCGACTATGGTGGTGCAGGGCTGAGACCGCCGACTGTATTTTTACCGTACCAGGTTCCAGGATTCTTGTCTGGCAACCCAGGACCACCGAGAAACTCGGTCATGTCGGGTCTGAACACGTTTGCATCGGGCGGGCCGATGCTCGAGAACAGAGGATCAACCTATTCCCTCGCGACCACTGCGAATCCGTTTGGCGGCATGGGTGGTGAACCTCCGCCCACAACAGATACGGACGCGGAACCGTCCGACGACAAGGTACTGGACGTACTGAGGAGGTATCTAGCTTCTCAAGATCTGATGAGCATGTGAGTGTGACGTGTCGCTGGCTCCGACTCGAAGACTGACGACATGATACAGTACGAAACGACAGACTCGGGAAGCTTTATACGGTCTCTTCCCTAATGCCGATCTGGCCTCACGAGCCGCATGGCTGAATCAGAACATTGATCAAATCTTGTCGTCCACATAGACGACAACGAGGACACATGATGACATACTTTACACGGACTTTTTCTGCTCACAATACTCCATGATTTCTCTCTGTATCGTATGACTCTATTGCATGGCATTTGGTATATGTAGTTTGTTCAGGCTGACAAGCCTCACTGATTGCTCACTATGAAGGCGAATTCTTCATCCGATACAACGCAACAGGTGTTTGCCCCGCTACTATTCAGATGTACGTGGGATGCAATAGAACGACAGAATCAAGCGATGACACGTCTCACGAGGCCGTGCCATTCACGGACGATCTCTGCCAATCGTATTCGGATTTGGCCCAAACTTGGAAATCAGCCAGGGCGAAGAACATACTAGTTTGAGACATCAGGTCTGCCATAGTGGTTGTGGTCTTGTTACCTGACGTCGAAATGAGGTCGACACTGTGGGGATCCGCACCCGCGGTCAGCATCGTGAATTGATTGCGCAATTTGGGTCAGCTCCTTTTCCCGATACTCACGTCATGCTGCTCTGAACTGGTCTCGTAATGGCGTAAATGCTTCCTGGGTTCCGATCGGACTTTTGAGCAAGCATCGGCGTTTCCGAAGAACGCTGAACCATGTGCCCTGAATTACAGGCTCAGAGTCAGCAGGATGCCTATGTGATCTGGGCATTGACTTACACAACGAGTCTGTCGTTGCCGATATCAGGGTTGGCATAAACCATCGAGGAGGATACCCAGTGATCATGCGGATTTTCATACCGACATCGTGTGGAAACACGGAATTGGAAGTGTTGGCTAGTTGGGCTTGAGCGTCACGGACAACGTTTGCGTACCCTGCAGGCCATCTACCAGTCTCTACATCAGCAAAAGAAGCGCCAACAAAACAGCCCGACGTATGCGTGCAGCGCTCACTGTGCACCTTGGCCCGTTGGACTCGTTTTGAATTGGCGCCTGTAGAAGGTGTCGTCAAAGATTGAATATGAGATTTCATCTGCAGTATAGGCAGCAGGCGCAGAACTGCCGTTGCCGTTGGCTTGTTGTCCCAGGAGGTCGACGATCCAATTAGGATTACAAGATACCATGGCGATCAGGATGGCTTTGATGGCCGGGTCAGAGACAGATGCTAGGAGGGACGGTACGGTGTCATCCATCCCATACTCTCTCTGCCTCAAGTGCCACTTACAACTGGTCACATCTTGGATGGTTGGACCGCCTGCATTCCACACCGTCACTTGTCCACGCTTGTCGAGACTATGAGCTCTCCTATGACTGATGTCGATTGAGCGGATTCTTGTCCGCTCAGCTGAGACAACAGTCTGACCTGAGAGTCCGAAGCGCTGTTGAGTGGACCTCTCTGATGCGACTTCGACGATCCTGCTCACCAGAAAAGAATAGCAAGGCACACCATATGAGTTTCAGCATGGTGTCCATCTCTACGACTTGAACGTCAACAATGGGCTAAGAATGGATATGAGTTTGGCTGGTGACGTGCCGGCCAGACTTCAATCTAGGGAGCAAGAACGAATGTTAAATCTCACCCCTAAGTGAAAAGCTAGGGCAGAGCGTAGCTGAAAGGTGTCGAGAGACTCCATTGATGTTGCTTTGGCCCAAGTGCTCAAACAAGGGACCAACCATGGCAGTCGTCTGAAACATACGATCCAACAAGATCCTGTGGCATTCGAGGGACAACAACTCGAATGGTTTGACCGACCACCTCAGTACTGAACCCCCTTGTGACAGGCAGATCAAAGGAAGCCAATCTGTCGTTACAGCTGGGCGGTATGCATGTAGGGTCAACGGGTATATCAAGGGCTTTCGCAGTTCGAGATTGCGCTGTCAAATCGATTGACTGCTCCAGTATAATGCCGACATGGTCCATCGTTGGAGATCCGCCAGCGTCACATAATACTCTACTTCAGCCATCAACTTATCCATGGTGACTTGTGTGCCTAGCCAATTATCGGTCGGGCGGAAAATGTCGACCCTTAGTGAAGAAGCGGGCTCATGAGCATGCGTCACTGAGCAGGAGGGTCCCGGATGCGCCAACTTACTGCTTCGAATCCGGATAAGCGGTATTGACGACCCAGACATTTGGAGTAACATACGATCCATTGCCGACTAGTAAGATGGGCGTCTCCTCGGACCGCCTAACAAAGTTCCCTGATGTGGCTTTAAGCGCTCCGCAGAGGTTGAACCTTGCCCGAGCCGACCTACACAAATAGTCTGTCGACCCTCCGAGGACGCTAGCTGGTAGCTTTCTCGTTGGATACCCCGAGATGGCTCTCAGCTTCGTGGTGAGGTCCCAGCTTTCACCACTTGCCAAGAGGTTGGAGATGGACCCTTGACTCTGATTGAAAGCTTGTTCATAGCCATGAGCCCAGCTGCGAAAAAGCATCAGTGTCTAGTGAGATTGGCGATCACACGGTGGAATGACTGACACTGGGCCTGTGCCGGAGACGCTGATGTTCACTTGATGTCGGTAGAATGTCGAATCATAGATTGAGTATGCAGCTTGAGACCCCGAATACGCATTCAACGGAGCATCGGATTCGAGAGGTACAGGTTGGCCCATGAGGTCCATGATCCATTTCCCGTGCGTCAGTTTCGTAAGCACGAAGAGGATGGCCTTGATATCAGAGTCTTCGACCATCAGGTCTGCGGTAGCTGAAACGCCGTCAGATCATCAGACTTCAGCTGCAGAGCTGCTCACTGGTCCGCAGATCATCGGTCGAGGGACCTCCTGCATTCCAGATGACGGTATCGTCCCTACGATCCAGACCATGGGAGCCTCTTCGGCCCTTCCGCAAAGGAGTGTGTGCGTGATTGCGAGGCTGACTTGCGTGAGCGACCGCGATGACTGGTATGTGTCAATACCGACCCCTTGAATGTGCTCAAAACACTCACACGATAGCAACCAAAAGCCAATAAGTCTGAGGGATCTTACCGGCGAGACCATTCTGCCAGAGAGGCCAAGGAGATCCAGTACGGTCAACGAAGACGCCGCGACGTTCAGCTCTGACGGAGGAGCTGAAAAGTAGATGACTGAAGAGCTGATGTCGCATTGGGTCTAACATCTGCCGCTGCATCACTCCCCTCTGTTACAATCAGCTTTAGATGTAATGACCAAAGGAGTGGCGGTAGACTTTTGAGGCTATGGTTTCACCCGTGTGTTCAAAGTGCATGTGGTGAAAGGACGGGCGCCGATTCGGTCAGTCTCAGCTAGTCAGTCCCTTCGAGCGTATCCCCGATCACACGGCCCCGCGACCGTCCTTTATGCAAGCTTGTCTCTTGGCAGGAGTCCGAGTTTCCAAAACGGATGGACGGCCGTGAAGCGCAGGGTGATCGCATGATCGCTGTCCGAAGCAGAAGAAACTATTTGAAAGACTCTGCTGAGACGTGGTCAGATTCCATAGACATGATCAGAGTTCAAGTGTCCCGCCGAAGGAGGCCTGAGCTTTGGGTCCGGACTGACCGAGCCTGAAGGGATGCAAGATCCACACGGAAGACATCTACCATCGTCAGTGATCAAGAACACTGACGTGAAACATTCGTTGGCCCAGCCGACACCTGCATGCACATCGGCCTATCGTATGGCAGGACTACCTATGCGTCCAGGGGTGGCGGATCCACTCGAGCTTTGGGGTCGAGTTTTCAATGATGAGCGTCTGAATACACCGCCAGATCCTGATGTCTGAGCTTGTTTTGCCTTTGCAGCATTGGCGATGAGTTCTGAGATCATCCCATTGCTACGGGGGGAAGTTATCAGCACCGACACCCTATCGATGTCGGAGAACACCCACTAAGTCTCTGCATCTTGAGTTTGAGCATCCTTGAGCTGTAAATACCACGCGAGGAGCGCCGATGCCTGAGCTGACGTTTCGACGAGCTCATTCTGTATTGTACGTAGGCGTTCTAGGCTGTACAGCGATAGCGCGTCTGGTCTTCTCAGCGACAAATTCAGCCAAAGTCATTCACCTTCGTCAAGACCGCATAGCTCTTCGGCTTGGGATGTATCCAGCACAGGTTTCGGTCCCATCCCATTTTGGTCTCTTCTGTTCCGCTGCGAAGCATTTTTCGGACCAGTATGATTTGGACTGATACCGTTCCCTCTGTCGCCCGTACTGCTGCGCTGATTTGAATACGATTCGCCAGCTGGACTTCGAGTCGAACGACGACCATCGACTGACGCTGGCCTGGGAACGGCAGGCGGTAACATTTCACCTTTTCCACTTCTTGAGGAGGAGGACGGATGGTTAGCTCTGGAGGATGATGAGGAAGGTAATGTCGTGCTAATGCGGAGTGGAGGAAGTGATGAGAGACGATGTGAATCTACTTCGTCGAGGTTGACAGGGACGCCCATAGATATCAAATGTTCTCTCCTGACCCGAGATCGTGTCCAATCCAGTGATCTCAAAATTGGAGCCGTGGTAAGCTGAGCATAGGCCTCACGGCTGCGAGAGAGTCAGTATATGATCGTTTGTGAGAATGCAACGAGACTCGCCTGGACTCTGAGACCATGATCTGACCTAGACCAGCGACCTCTCTAGGAGGTTCATCGGTCAGTCTGGATGAGCTTCCGCTTGATTCCGCCATTAATGGCGATAGTAATGATGCGATCTGATCGCGAAGTGCCGAGCGGGAAGGGAATGGGTCGAGATGGAGAGCAGCCTATATAGCGTCAAATAAGAAGACTGTCCTTCCCTGCGTGCAGATTGGAGCCGCCGCCAGAAATGCAATTTCCTAAGTACCTCTACTCACCCAATCTCTCGGTTCTTGCATTGGCTGTACGCCGACAGTACCGCTTTGATCCCCAAATGTCTCGACAGACTCATCCCCTCCCTCGAAATCTCCAAAGTCGCCGAAGCCATCATCCCCGTCCGTCATTGCACTGGCTCCGAATGAGCTAGGTCCAGCGGCAGGTTCGTCAAAATCAACAAAGTCGTCAAAATCGGCGTCCTCTTCGGCAGGCTGTCCTGCTGCCACGATAGGTGCGGCAGGAATATCCTCGATGGGAGAGTCGACCATCTGTGTCGCTGGCTCGTCTGGGTCGACGTGAGTTGAGTCGACGTCCTCTGACTCCGCGATGGGCGACGACGGTCCTGGAGTGGAATGCGTCGCTGAGGTTGAGTCGGTTTGTTTTTGGGGAGATGGTACAGGCGTCCTTCCGTCCATCTTTGGAGTCGCAGGAGCGTCTGCCCATGGATCAGCATCCATCCTGACGATGTCCTACTTCTGCAGGCAGTGCAGAGCTATCGGTGAAGAGCGTGTGTATGGAATATTGTCAATACGATCAATGATGAAACGAACCGTGGTTCGCGGTTGAAAAGACTTGTGGCACTAGACTCGAGCTCCAAAGTGGTGCTTTCTTGTCAAACGTCTGCATACTTCATCTCTGTTGTCGTGGTATAGATCTACAAATGGGGCATGGGATATCGTGACACTCTACAATACAGGCTGGATGGATGGATCGATGATATGATGTTCACAGTGCAGAGGGCACAAAGTGGAGGAAATCGAGGACCGTGAGTCGAGCTGACTCGTACTTGCTCGACTCTTAGGCCTTCTCGACGAGTCGTTCGTGTTCCTCTTCCCCGTACGCGGGCAATACTTCGTCCTCGTCCCCGCTCTCGAGTCTCACACCTCCCTTCTTACCAGCTGCCTTGGCGGCCTTTCGGGCGGCTCTTCGCTCCGCTTTAGCTGCTCGCCTCTCTCGTCTGGCGGCTTTGCGTTCCGCACACGATCCTCCGCGCAGTCGACGAATGGTCAAAAGGAGAACCATGAAAAAAAGATGAAGGAGAGATCCAATTCCAGCCCCAAGAACAAACGCGAGACTGAGAGATTCGGCGGGCTTGAGAGACTTGAGAGCATGGTTGAGTCTACCAACGAAATCAGAAAATGTATGGGAGGATAGGTCTCTCCGTGCTCACCTGCATCCAAATGATCTTCCCTTTCTGTGAGGGTAAGCGGCATGATGATGGCCATGATGGCTGTGATGCACGGCCTTGATACCATCCTTTCCAGCCATAGCGTCCCACTCTGCAATCCGTAATTTCCTCTCGTGGTCGGGATCCCAGTGTCCCGTCCTAAATTTGGGATGCTGGACCGCTTGCTTGTGATGAACGTTCTCTGGGGATTCGAGATCACCAAAGTTATTGAAAATAGGCATAATCTTGACGATTCCACCTTCCATCAAGGGAATTGACTCCGATTCGACATGGTGAATCATGTCTTCGAGACGGTTTTTGAACGACTCGACTGACTCCTTGTGCGAAGCGACTTGATCCTTGATAGTCGAAATGACCTCCATGTGGATATGAGATCGATGGTGGTCTTCTTCCGCCTTCTGTCCGGGTGTGAGACCCAAGTGAGACAGGAGGGAGCCAATGGGTCCAGGGAAAGGGAAATAAGCAGAAGGACCGGCATTACCGTGGACGCGGGCGACTTGCAAGGAGGCCGCAGATCCGCGGCATGGGTTGACAGCTTTGGGTTTCCTCATACTGTCTACATAGGCTTTGACGCTATGCCAGCCAGTTTTTACGATAGATTTCTCGTGAGTCGGTGGGACTGGACCATGGTTGAGTAGCTCGTCGATCTGAGGTCCGGAAAGAATGCTGATAGACAGTGCGGGAGTGCTAGCGGCTGTGGGTGATGGCAATGAGATCGTTAAACCGAGACGGATGAAAGGATCAAGAAAGGATCCACCAACGTCAACAAGAGTTCTCTCGGTTGAAGTGGAAATATGCTACTTACCCAGCGCTGCGACCAATGCGAGGGAGACTTTCATGCCGGTTGATTCGATGTGGTGAGGAGACCTGCCTGAGCTTCTTCAAGATGTGATCCTGTTGTACTACGTTGCTTGTTCTCAAGGGTCACAGTGGAGATAAAGGTCGATCAACAAAGAATAGAGACGTGTGGCGTGGTGATCCGATTAGCGTAGAGTGGCAAAAGCCCATTCTGATAAGGTGACGGGTTTTATACCACGTCATACCCTTCGATTGGGGGTTCCGGTGCGAAGCTGAAATACCGATTGGCATGAAATGCTCATTCATCCATCCATCCATTCATTCATCTCACGGGAAGGGTCGACTGACACGAATCAGCCTGCAAAGATGGTCTGCGCAGCCTGTCTATCGAGGGCAGCTAGAGCTACTACTGCTGGCAAACTCTTGATGTTGTCAGAACGCGAAGCTCTACGATCATGGAAACCTGCACATCGCCGCCTCACTCAACGCTCTTTGTCATCTTACACACCATGCTCCTTCATCGGTCCGTCCCGGACTATTTCATCTACCCAGACTTCTACCCCTCCGCTCATTTCTAGGACATACGCAACTATCATGCCGACGTTCTCTCAGTCCTCCTCCTCCTCCTCCTCCTCTTCCTCTCCTCCACCTCCCTCCTCCATATCATCAGGCTCATCCTCTCGATCTCGAATAAAAGTTACTCCTCCATCCCTCGAAGCCATCAAGAACGAAGGGTACTTTGACGATGACATCGCGTTGATCCCTCCGGATCAAGCTGTCCTCGACATAACACCTTCGTCGATCCGTCAGCTGGTCAAGATCACTTCAAAGGAATCGCCAGAGGTCCTCGCAAAAGGTTTGGCATTGAGAGTAGGCGTGGATAATGGTGGATGTCATGGATATCAATATACCATGGCATTGACCGAGGAGCGAAATGTCGACGACTAGTGAGCTATTACTTGTGTTTCGTCTCCCTTGGTGCCCACGCTGATATGCTGCATAGCGTGATGCAGCCGCAGGGAATCGACTGTATCCCTGTCGTCGTCGACTTGATATCATTGAGACTGCTCAAGGGTGAGCATTCATCGCGTCTTCCTTACACGTCATTCTTATAATCTTATCCAGGCTCCACTCTCCACTACGGCTCTGAACTCATTGGATCCTCCTTTCAGCTCATGAACAACCCACAAGCAAAGCAGGGCGGCAGTTGTGGATGTGGCGTGTCATGGGAAGCGAAAGAGGGAATATGACATACTTGCATCGCCCATTACTTCATGATAATGCATGACACATGTATGAGACCAACCATACGCCGTCCTCATCGCCTCCTCGTGATGTATGGCATATGTCTTTTGAACCCTCTGTCGTCACTCCTGGCCAGCTCCCCGAGATACACAGACCCGTCATCCATTGATCAGATGTGCAAATTTGTCGTGTGCGTAATCCATCGTCAATATCGTCAAGTTCGTATGTACAAGATGTTATATATATCTCCATAGTCAAGCTGAAAAATAGGCCGTGCTTGTCGTATACCGTGCAATGACATCGATCACGGTCCTCTCGATGTCCCGTTCCCCATACGAGAAATGAATTCGCGAGCAAAGCGTGGGGGCGTCATTGTCACTCCAATTCGTCGCGGACTGAATTGACCTCGATCCACTTCGCCGGGCCCAAGGTCCATAGCTCGTCGGCTCCTTGCAATATCAGGTGTTCGCTGACCTGGGTCTACCGTGCGTTTATGGCCATCTCTCGTCGGTGATGGAATCGGAGTTTTTTCCTTCCGCGACGCGGAGTCGGCTTTTGGCGAGCTGGACGCAATCCGTCGAGACGTGTAGACGGTCGGCTGCTTCAGCTGAGATCGCATGCCCTGAGAAATGGGGATGGCGCTTGGGGGTGGAGATCTGAGGGCATTGTAGTCGCCTTGTGCCACTCGATCCGGCTTCAGCTGGGGTGACGGGCTAACTCTTCGTCGGAGCTTGTTGGCGATCCTGGACGGAGAGAGTGGCAGCCTAGTGTCCTGAGATAGGCTGTTCTCCATGGGCGAGCCTTCTCGACTGGGAGGTGGAGAACTCAGTCCCGTGCTCTCGATCGGGTGATGACTCGACAATGGGTTCGAGGAGACTTCAGGCACACCACGTCGTTTCGTCGGACGATCATTCGCTGATCCATGAGACGAGGCCAAGCTGACAACAGAGTCGGATCGACTAAGAGACTGGATGGCCAAAAGACGACTCGATGCACCACTGCTGGAGTCTGTCGATGGTTGACTGACGGGTAGACGAGTCGCATCGCGTTTTGTTCCTCGCATGGAGCCGGATTCGAGCTCGTCAGAGGCAACCGGACTGGGTGTCTTGATCCGAATCTCGTCAGGGGTGGGGGGTGCGCTGTCTCCATTCTCCTCTTTTCGGATGGGAGCCCGACTTGGAGACTTTCTCGGTTGCCCAATGGCGTCACCATCTTTACTCTGAGCGTTGGCGACGCTGACCGTACTTGGACGAGTCATTCCACTGCCTACTGGCATCTCCAGTGCAGACCGCCCTGACAGCAGATGTGAGACCTCGTTTTCGCTCGAGAGGCAATCGTCGATGAGAGCTAGACCCAGAGTTGGCTCATCACTCTCCATTGGCGGTGTGGCGAGTTGACTTATAGGTGGGTTCAAAGTCTGCCGGGCCATATCACGTGTAAGTGCATCTCGAGCGGCCTGCATTGTCAGCTCGGCATACATCATCAAGCTCACCCAGCCGGCCCACTTCATCTGATTCTCCACCATGTACTGCTGCTGGGGTCCAACGACCATGCCAGGTCGCACGAGGCGCATGTAGCCGATAACTTCCGTGGCGGTGAACTGATACTTGTATATCAAGTACGCTGATTAGTGTGAGCTCAAATATCAGGTGAAGGTCGAGACGAGATAGCTCACCTCCGATGAGTACGCCGGTCCTTCCAAGGCCAGCTTTGCAGTGTACCGCCACTTTCTGCCTACGTCTCTCGATGAATTCTTCGGCCATTCCGATGAATCGCTCGACGATCTCGTCTGTCGGATTGGAACCATCGTCAAAGTACAGATCGACGTGTTCCATTCCGAATTCTAGGAAGGTCTTTCGATCGTATCTGGGCCAATGAGCTGGGCTGTGGCTAAGCACGATCGACTCACAGGTCCTCATTGAGTCTGACTACGAGCCCAACTAGCTGTTCCTGGAATACCTCCAGAATACATCTGTATGCGTGTCTCCGATTTTGTGCAGTTTCAATCAGACTCTTTGTAAGAGAGGCTGCCTTGTCGATGTCCTCTGCATGTTTGTTCTTTTCAGACCGAGACGCTTCGATCCATTTGGGATCCATCGGCGATGCGAAGGGGATGAAAGGACCGAGGATGTTGAGATCACCGTTGCTAAAGGTACACCATGAGCTTGTGAAGTCCTGTAGGAAACAGAAGCTCACTCGACTGTCTCATAGTACCGATAATAGCGAGGATCAAAGTGTTCTAGATCCAACAAATCGAAATTGATCGCCTTGTAGACGCCCCAGAGTATGTCCTGTGGTTGCATGAGCTGATGACAAACCGACGACGGGAATCATAGCCCACCTGGATAGAGAGACCAAAGTCCATTTGGCCGCTGCTGGCATCTCTGAATAGTCTGAACTCCATATGAGCAAGCGGGGCAAACGCAGCGGACGGCTGCCAATGCCATACGATGAGCTGATGTGGCGGGGTCAGGGAGCTTCGGCATGGGCCAGTCAGGAGCTCACAAAGTACAGGGAGACCATAAGGGCAATGTTGGCTTTGCGCCTAGAGTTTGGTAAGGTGTACACGCAGACTGTCTTGAGCTTGTCTTCGCTGGCCTTGACTTATGTGAGCTTGACATGACGAGTCAACGCAGAAACTCACTCTGTACTTCTCATGAATCATCAGACACGCTTTGAAGGTATAAGCGAGATTCAGGGGTCCATAATCTTGAGCAAATGGCATGTAGTGCATTTCTTCATCGACTGTGTTGGACGATATCCAGCGTGAGAATTTGCCTGACAGGGTCACCATGTCCCGTCACACTCACGAGATAACACCAGACATGCTTTCCCAGTCTGTGGGTGGGCATACGGATATTGCTTCCCCATAGCAACTTCTCCTGAGGTGAGAGTGGAGAAGACGAATGATTCTGTGAATACAGCGACGGGATTTGGGAAGCGACGGGTGAGCGAGGAAGACATGACGAATGGCCGGGTGGGTTTAGAGGTCGAGGGAGGAGGGGTTTGGTAAGGGGGGGGGGAGGTTAGGAGATGGCCAGACCAGATGCTAGAAGAACACGTTGGTTGAGAATACGGGTAAGTTTCAGAGCATACCTTCCTCTCCACCTCTTCGTCGCTGAGACGAAGCAAGGGCTCGATACAACGTCGCGAGGCACGGGCGGAGAGGGCAGAAGGGATGTGTCTTGGCGCGGTCAGCTGACCTTTCTGTGAAGGTCTACTAGGATGGAGGAGGTGTCATTGGACTGAGTTGTGAGAGTAGTAGTGACGATGATGATGAGTAGAAGGAGGATGAGAAGGGGGGGATGAAGTAGAGTTGAGAGAGAACACAGAACAGCGTTGAAATAGCGTGTTCACTCAAAGGGACACCTCTCTTCGCTCCAAGCGATCAATGCGCAGCTCCCAACGGGCCAGCAGCGAGCATGGCCTTGTAGGATGGCGAGCACCAACGTATTAGGGCACATTCTGATGAGCCTATACACAGTCTGCTCGCCACAAGACTCGCTCGAACTCGTCGATACATCGTGTGCCAATCCCAGAGCGAATATTGGAAGCATACCGGACAAGATCCCCGTGCCTTGGTCTCCATTGTCGGGATTAAGGCGGCGACGGCAGCGGCAGCAGCAGATCGATCCCTTGGTACTCCTCGAGCTCATGCATGGAGAGAGCTCACACGGGATCCAGTGCCATTATTCCATTATCGCTGGCGATGTCATGCACACATTCGAGCTCCCCATCTTGAACAGGGCTTCTGGACGCCGTGGGTTCCCCGAAACGACGCCCCCTCGCTCCGGTCTATCGGCCTCCGAAAATTGGCACAACCTCAAAGCCGAAATATCGTCATTTTGGTGCATCTTTTGTTTGGTCTTTACACGTTGTTGCATCGGCTCAACTCAGCATGCCTCAGATGATACCTTCAGACTGGCTGACCAGCATACAGCCTCATCTGGAACGGCAGACACCTATTTGGGTCACTTTCCTTGCTTTCTCCGTCCCTTATTCCATATGCTACCTCGTTCATCTGCCGAATACTCGGCTCCTGCGGATGGGTCTCTGGCCGATAGGTATCATGGCCTTCATGTGGACCACTCTGACCATACGCATTGGGCTGGGTAAGTCAGAGAGATGTGCTCCAGGCTGAGACTAACATCTCTCTCAGTCCACTCCATGCGGGTGGGATTGACCACGGTGAGTATGGAGGGCAGCGCGGAATCGCGGCGAAGAGCCAGTCGCTGACGGTCAAGGTCACACCAGATGATGTTTGTGAGCCTTTGGTGTCCTTAGGTGTCTTGACATCCTTACACTTTACAGAATATTGGCGCCGGGACCCGCTGGGCCTTCTCCCCGACCCCTCCGCGGTATCATCCCCTGCCCCGGCAAGTCCTTTGGCCCCGTCTTCGGCGTTCGACCGCATTCAAAGCGTTTGATCTCCTTCTCAACGAGAGCAGACACGTCAATATCGCTCCATTCTCTGGACCTCTGAAACGTTTCCCGGGTCGATACGTTCCACTTCGTCGAGCATTGACTCACTGGCTCTTCTTCATCCTCAATACAATGGTCTTTGACCTGGCGTCTTACCCTGCTTTCCTCCTCGCTCCAAAGTCGTTCGGATCGCCCAACGGAGTCGGAGGAGACTACCATCAATGGTGTGAAACACTTTCGAAACAGTGGGGCGTGCCTGCCTTTGCGGTGAACATGTTCTGGACACTGTGTCTCTTTGTTCAAGAGACTGCTGGCTTTGTGGTCGTCTGGGATGCTATCGCCTTTTTGGGAATAGCTACTGGAGTCTATATACCGGAAGAATGGCCAAGATTGACGGTGAACATCTTCAGAGCGACTAGTTTGAATGATTTGTGGGGAAAACGATGGCATCAGACCAACCGGGTGAGTCGAGATCCCTTGTGTCTTCAATGATCAATTGTATAACCCCCGGCAGGACTTCTACCTCCTTCTAGCCAAGCCATTTGCGTTCAATCGCCCACTTCACATCCTAACCATTTTCTTCATCTCCGCATTATACCACCTCGTGACCTACTACCCTGTTCACCATACCATTTATCCAGCTTGGCCATACCTCCTTTTCTATCTCGGCCAAGGGGTCTGCTGCATACTTGAAAGAGGGTACTACAAGTATACTGGGCGGAAAGTATCCGGATTCTCAGGCATGATCTGGACGTGGGCCACTGTCTTTGTCCTGAGTCGACCGATGGTCGCCCACGAGTGGTCCTCTGGCTGGGCCGGAGCGATGAGAGATTCATTAGCCAAAGATCCCAATTCTTCACCAATCGTCCAGATTTTTCATCGTTTGGGTCTAGGTCCATCTCCAGAGCAGATGAAAGCTAGTATGATCTAGTTTTGAGTCGCTTCATGCATGTCCTGAGCTCGCTATGCCGAAGACTCATATTGTCTAAATGACTCCGCCATGATCCCATGTTTCCGCCACACTAGCTCCGCGTCGCGTCAAAAATAAACGACCGTATGGAATGACTTTCGGGATGTGATCGAGCGAGATCAGTTCATGACAGCTTCAACGTTGGGCAACAGCAGAAGAGCGTGGAAGCGGATTGGAGCGCAGCAAAGGTGCAGCTTTTGGTCAGATACGTCTTCGCATACGATACACACTTGCTACCTACTCGCGCGCTGCCGTCACAACGCTCACCATGACCGCGGAATCCTCCAGCACAGACATCTGGTCGGATATTCTCAGGAGCGCAGACAGGTCCACAGCGGGAAGGGATACTTATAGGAGGAAGAATGTGATTGTGCTCTGTGAGTCTGAGCGTGGTGGCTTGATTGGATCGCTACGACAGCGATGAGAAAAACGATATCGAACGTCATATTCATGGCCTGCCTTTCGGAGAAGTCTCACGATGATGTGGGATGTGATAATATGGAGCGAAGATTGCTGACGCTGCCATCCCTCACTCACAGCCGAGAAGAAGCATGGTCGGCGGCATCTCATAGATCAGCTCGTCGAAGCGTCCGGATCTTCATCGAGGCGCAAACAGAGGCAAAAGGTGGCCCAGCCAGTCAAACCTAGCCCAGTCTTAGCTATGGGTTACAATATCCTTGAAGTGAAGGACGAAGCGGGCGAGGAGGGTGAGTCAGGTCTTTTGACGTACACGCAGGCCATGTCGCTGATATCATATCGTCTCAGACATCGCCCCGCCCATCTCCATCTTTTACCCCCCTTCCTCTCATCGATCCATGTTGCGTCTCATCCCGCATTCTTTACCGCCAAGCAGCTTCGCCGTGAGTTCTGCCTTCAAGGGATGCGTAGATGCAGGTTCATCATTCTGGCAGGACACAGCAGTGGTCATTGTTCTGGACTGGACAAGACCGTCGTCTATGGTAAGATTATCCCCAACTCGTCCAGTATGCCCGAACTAATCCCATTTATAGGTCAAAGAAATCGTCATGTGGTTGGACTGGGTTGAGAGGTGGGCGAGTGACAGTGCGGCGAGAGGTCAAGGCGAAGAGATGAGGGATAGATGTGTGTCAATTCTTAAGGTGACCGGGTCCCATGAGCTGATGAGAAACAGTACAATCCCACATTCAACATTATTCTGAACCGAATCCCACCGCTAGCGGACCATCCACAGCCGCCGGTCCCACGACCCCCTCCCTTCCTTCATTATCCTCGACCTATGGCTCTGGCCCGTTACTTCCTCTTGGCCCTGGGACACTTATCCTCAACTCTCATGGCGTGCCCATCATCGTCGTATGCACCAAGGCCGATTTAATGGACAATGTCGCCGAGGAAATGGGTATGAAAGGCGCAGGATGGGAAGAGCGGACGGATTGGATTCAACAAGTCTTACGGACCATCTGTCTTGCATGTGAGAGTGTCGTCGTTGTTGAAGAACGTAATGCTCACGAAGCGTTTTCAGATGGCGCTGCACTGTTCTACACTGCCCCTACACAACCTCAGACCTACACCAATCTCCGTCGATACCTCCTGCACAGATTATACACCATACCACCACCACTGAACCCCACTTCCGATACACCGCTTCCCACCGCCTCTTCATCCCGATTCCCATTCTCACATCGTGCAAACGTCCTTGACAGAGATGCCATCATGGTCCCTACAGGATGGGATTCATGGGGGAAAATAAATGTTCTCAGAGAAGGCTTTGACCCTGACCAAGTGAATAAAGCTTGGCAAGTCAGCTTGAGAAGGGTCAGAGATGGTGAGGAGGAGGGAGATGACGAAGAGGGTTTGGAGGATCTTTGGGTGGGCATGATCCCGGATATCGAGAGCGAGCCCAAGGTGAGTCAGGATTATTGACCACGAAACTCTAAAAGACTTGCGATTAGGATATGCGGACTAACGCTGACGATCTTCCAGCGAACCGACCTTCACGCCATTACGACCACATGCGAGCCTGAGCAAACGTTCCTAGCTCGTCAATTGGACATTCTTCAAAAGGATCCGAATAGAGATCCGCGAGCTTCCTTCAGACAAGCAGCAGCAGCCGTCTCAGCTTCAGCCGCCAATGCTGGGTCACCATCCATCGCCATTACGCAAAACACCAGCGAGAGTGGCGTTGTCGGACCCATGGGCGCAGGTGGACTCAATCTGCCCGGGGTCGAAAAAGCAATGGCTGAGATGGAAGGTGGGAGCGCAGACGACCTGAAAGAGAGGTTCGCAAAGCTCGGCAGGAGAGTGAGTGAAGAAACCCCCCGCGTCTTCTCGATTGGGTCGCTGAGATGAGGCTTCAAAGGAATCTACTCGTCCTGGTGGGCCTTTATCACCTACGTCACCTGGTAATCCCGGTACAACTGCTGTGCCGAATGAAGCCCTGCACAACTTTGTAAGTGGTCACACGGTAATGTCTTCTTGACAGCTCATCCTTCCAATCAGTTCCAAGGCCTGCTCGCTACGAAGGGTAAGACAAGCACGAGCTCCACTGCGAGCACAAAACTGGCACCTTCGCCGCAAGTTTCTGCAAAGTCGCAGAACGGCGATGTCTAGGATTGGCAGAACGCGCAGAGGGCGAAGGGATGCGAGTTTTATCAGCTGCTTAGACACCACGGATAAGGGTTAATAATGCATGACGACTTGATGCTGTGAATGTCATTATCGCTACACGCGCCATCGCTTGCCGATCCAGATGAAACCCATGCCGGCGACAAGACTGCCCGCAGCTGCTACCCACAAGGACGGCTGGAAACATTTCGCGCCGTAACACATCAGGGCCTTTTCCGAGGCTTTTGTCAGCGTCGAGGGGAGGTGTGAGCTCTGGCGAGCGACTGCCGAGGACGTCAAAGCGTAGAGGTACTGGAGCGGTGAGGTCAGCACGAGATTTGACCCGGGTTCTGAATAGAGCACGCACTGAGAAGAGGACCGAGCCTAGAGCCGTAAAGTACGAAACCATACCCCACGCCAGACCGAAAGACGAAGGGCCGTAATGTGTAGAGATAATAGCGGGCTAAAGGAAGGTTTGAGCGCCAGGTTTGATGGCGACTGGACTCACACTTAAAGTGAACAAGAAGCCATAGGCCGTCCCCACACCCGCACTGAGCACCCACAATCCCTTCTCGGTCTGCAACACTCCGGCACACCAGGCCAAAAGCATCGCAAGGATGACGGAGCATATACCTGCAAAGACTGATCGGTACATGATGACTGGGCGAGTGCGAATAAACTTGTGTGTCTGGGGTGTAGGTCGGGGTTCCTGATGATGGGCAAGATCAGTCAAGCCGATACGACCCCCAGACTTGACTCTACTCACTCCGCCGTCTTCGGATAGAGGCGTCGATGGGTCGCTCGGACGACGGGGAACAGCTTTGACTGGGGGACAGAGATAATCTGCTAAAGCGCCCGCGATCAACCTCGATATAGTCGATGTAAGGGAGATAATGGACACGTGCTTGTTCCGCAGAGTCAGCGCGTTTGGAGCATTGAGCACAATTATGGTGTTGGTGAAGAGAGCAACGGTCGATGGGGCAGGCTCATCGAGCGCAGGTGGTAACAAGGATGTCAGGATGGTCCCGATCGATGCGATAATTGTCTCGCACTGAATCAGGGTCAGCGTGGTCTTTCGCCAAGCGTGATGAACTGACCGGACCGATGCAAAAGGCCAGTATCACACCAAGCGCCCAGAAACCTTCCCAATCCTTGACGAGGTCCCACGCTGTCCATTGTTTCGCCGTACCCTTTTGCATCGCCTCGACCTCCTCGAGGGCAGCTTCATAACCTCCGAGAAGCCAAGGGGATCTTTCATCGAGATGTAAGGACTGGGACATGGCCATGGTCGCTTCCGCAAGCGCGTCATATGCTTCTTCCTCAGCATCCGAGTCTTCGTCATTTTGTGCATCCGTCACTAGCTTGATCTTTGGAGGAAGGGGCGGTATGGTTTTCATGAAGATCGCTGAGAACAGGTTGATAGCTGGACATAGAATTCCCAAGAAGGTCAAGAATCGTACAGGTAGGAGCTCAGGGTTTGGAGCAGGGGATTGAAAGGTTGAAAGGGAGGAGAATGAACTGAGGAAGAGGGAGGACAGACCAAGCAAGCTGAGGGGGACGGAGAGGGAGAGTGTGGGATAGTGAGGGAAGGAGAGTGAGGCTAAAGATGGGTAAGCAATGAGCTGTGGAGGAATACAAGTACGACTGACCACACGTCAAGCAGGCGAAATACGACCCGACGGTCGCGGCACCGACGAGACAAAACGCAATGGTAAGGTACACATTGACGTATGGTGTCTCGGGACCCGCTACGCTGAGGATGAACGCGAATCCCAGATACCCAACTGCGGCCAGAACGCCAGATAGGAGGGAGCCAAATCTAGGTCCATAGCGATCTGTCAATGATCCTAGGGGAGCAGCCATGATGTAGACTCCCAGGATTCCACCCACGGCAATGGTTTGCGCTTGAGGTCCAGTCAATTCCATTTGTCTCACGACGACGGGTCCATATGTTGGCCAACAATACACTCCATTTGCTTGAAGTGAGCTCAGACCAATGCTCGTACATGTCAGCACGAGCTGGCCCCTGCGACCAGTGTTGAAGGAGAAGAGTGAACGATACCATGGCCGTTTACGATGTAAGATTTCGTCGAGGTTTGGAGGCGCTAATGAATCTGGGGATTCGAGCGGACGCTCTGTGTCATACCGCACTGTAGGATTTGGATTGGGTAGAAGTCTGGATCTCTCGTTGGCCGAGCCAGCGCCCTTGATGGAGCCCTTGCTGGACATGACCTGGGGAGAGCGAGGATGTCGTTGTAAATGATAGTTGATGCTGAAGACTCAAAGAATCACGAGTCGCCCGAGTCCGGCTGCAATCGGTAATTTGTACGTAATCGAAACCGGAACAAGCCGAACATGGCATCGTTGGATCCAAAGACCTTGGAACATGGAAACATTGCTGGGTCAACACGGTGTTTGTCAATGACTACAGGGACTTTCCTCGTGAGGGAGTGTAGCGAGACCTTCTCAGAGGTGCTCAGATGAGTCATGCTGAACGCTGTCAGGCTTGACCTTCAGCCCGAAGGGACATCGGAGGTTCCGGCCGGGAGCCGTCGAGACAGCGACTGCACAAATCACTATTTGCAGATGTGCACATGGAGTACATTTAGTGGAAGAGAGCGGGAGCCATAGTAAAGCTACATGATGGAATCATCGTGGACCATTTGAAGCATTCCAAGGAACTAGCCACATATGTCCTCACCAGCCAAGACTCTGCAGCCATTCCCAAAAGTTCCAGTTGGATCCTGAGCCAGAGCTCGATCCAGAGCCTGAGCCTGAACCTGAGCTGGAGCCTGATCCAGAACCTGAACCAGAGCCAGAGCTGGACGGGATCGTGCAAGTCGAAAAGTCTACGCACGGCGTAGCTTGGTTGCACGAATTGTCAGAAGGACCTGCACGGAAACGTATGAATATTTCTCATTGAAAGTGGTGAAATACCGAAGCCAGACTCACCAGTCACAGTACAGCACTTGTCCCCGTTACAAGCAGTGCATTGACGACCAGAGCACGAGACACTACCACCCCCGCAGATCTGATATCGGTCAGCACATTCAGCACTCTTTCGTTCCCTCTCGGTGATCTCCAGAGTCTCACCTTGACTCCGTTGGAACATGTGTCCCGCTCGACGAGTACAGCGGCTTGAGCCGATGTGACCAAGATGGCAGTGAGAGCGATAGTGGACACGCGCATGGTGAGACGAAGCTGCTTCTTCTAAGAGAATGGGAGAAAGCTGTAGACGTTCCCCATGCATGCCATTTCTTATATGTACGAATGCCCTTACCCCCCCCCCCCCCCCCCCCCGGTGGTCCACACGTCGTCGATGCTGCAGGAGAGAGTTGGGAAAACCCGACACCGTGTACAAAATATCTGGAATTCTGGAAAAAAATGACATCAAGACGCCGAAGGGTGGAATGACTGTGGGAGCCATGGGATGCTACTCTCTTCTTTTCTCGTCCGATGCATGTGAACAATCGGAGTAATTATTGTCTGCCGAGCTCTGGCACGAGTACGGGTGAGAACTGGCAGTGAGAGTCTGAGATATACGATGAGCGTGGTCTCAGCGGCCAAGTGCGAAGCCCGAAATTGGCACAACTTCGCCACATTTCACAAGTGAGAGCCTGTTCAGGTCGCAAGAGATACAGGAGACACCGACATAGAATCGGCCAAGCTGTTCGGGTTGTTCTAACCTGGATTGGATGAATGAGCGAGCCAGTGACACGCTGGGAGTTTAGACATCGCGTCCGTCAGCGAGACCTCCCCACATTGGGCTGCACAGAAGCAACAAGTACTCATCCGCATCTTACCCGATCGTGACGGTCGAGAACGACCACCCAATCGAATGTGATGGGATCTCGAAGGAAAAGTTCGAACTGAAAGCATAGTTTTGGGAAATCAGTCCGTTCGGAAGGGGAAACATCAGCGGCCGAATTCTGGATTGCGAATGCGTCAACCCCTCACTGATGAATTGCGGATAAAGAGCGTCTGGTGCGGTCTCTGTTTTTTCCCAACAAGCGATCGGCTGCAGCCATGGAAAGGCCAGAACATGAGGTGTAGTGGTTGACTCAATTCTCCTGGACGCAGATTTCATCCCCGATCAGACCCGCTAGTCTGTAGCGGTGTTGCATCATTTGATCCTGACAGCGTATGCCAGTATCCTTTCTACAGAGGGGAAGCGATCCGAAATGTTACGCAGGTAATTTGCGGTGCGAGAGGATCCTTTTCGCTGGCACATAGTCACGGAGAAACATCAGCGCTTCACCATCGTTGCCTTCAGAACGCTAAAGGCGATCAGTACCCCCACCGACTCATCGTCACTCACCTGATTCCAGTAGCCAACCACCATCGATGACTGTCTCACTTCCCGTGATGTACTGATTCTGCTCACCTCAGCGTGATCACTCCTTCCCACACTTACGGTAGCCAATGAGATGATACACTGAGCATAGTCAACGGCATTACCAGGTCTGCCAAAGGGTATCGCCCATTTCGTTCGGAATTCTTGAAAGTGAGCATCGGACCCAGTATTGTTCTCAGGTTCGATGACGGTCATGCCCTGGTGGAATTCGGCGTCAGCCAGTAACGATCCAGCTTGAGCAAATATCATTCGACGTACCGAGGGAAAGTACCCAGGTGCCACGCAGTTGACTCGAATACCAAAGTTTCGTCTGGCAAACTCTGTCGCCTGCATCTTGGTAAGACTGAGAGTCGCCGCCTTGCTGGCGTTGTAATTGAATTGTCCCCTCTGAGAAGTCACGGTGATTCCGGACATTGAAGAAATATTGATGATGTTTCCAGGTTCAGAGCGACATCCAACAGACTTGGCCGCTGCGAGGAGAGGCAGGAACGCAAAAGTCGTGAAGTGGTACGAGGCCGTGTTGATTCGGTACATTTGCTCCCTTGAGACCCAGGCCATCAGCCGAAAAGCTAGGTTGCTGGGAGAGGAGCAAGCTCACCAAACGGGGAAATCTTCGTTCTCAAACATCTCCTCTGAAAGTCCCTCAGGGGTCTGTTCACAGGCATTGATATCCGCATGGGGGAGGGAGACGCCATGATCTTGAGGTCAGTCACAAAACTAGTATTTTGCTCGCCCACTGTTTATCAGGATGTCGAGGAATTTCTCCTTCTTGGAGATTTCATCACGGACCTCTGGAGAGTCAGTAAAAAGCCTGCCTTCCGCATCTTGACTCACTCCTTATACCTTCACGGTCACTGGCATCCCCTACAATGGGAATGATCTCGCCTCCATTCTCTCCTTTCGATCGGGCAGCGGCTTTGAGCGGTTCTGGCCGTCTCCCCGTGATATACACTCGGACGCCATTGTCAGCTAACGCATTGGCAGTGATCAGTCCAAGACCTGTGCCTCCACCAGTGACTAGAATTCTTCAGCAACGTGTCCGAGGTCTTTGCTCCGAAACTCACCGAGCGCGACTCGACCTTTGACCTCAAAAAGATTCTCGACCCGGAGAGTCTCTCCACTCTTCACAGACTTTGCCAGGGCTTGAGCAGAGGTGGACATGGTCGATGTTGGGATGGAAGAAAGTGTAATCCTACGGTGAATGCCAGGGTCGCAAGCTGGTATATACCGGCGTCGGCGCACGGAAATCACTGATCCGGATTCATCGGACCGGCTCGGCTTACAATCGACCGAGTGATGAAATTACTGCAGCCGATCCTCGGAAAAGGCCCCTTGTCTCTGGATGTGGCAGTTGTAGACCAGGACATTGCGAGCTCAAGATGGACGAGCAGCTGCGATCACTGGCGAATTCGCTCGCTGAACAGTTCAGACAGTGACTGTCGTATCCGGAGAGCAATCATTTACAGTAAAACTGAGCACTTCAGAGATTCTCCCAGGCGACTTCTTGTTGCTGTGGCAGGGTGAGCACGGTCAAAAGAATCGGAAACCTGACCCGCTAAGACCTCCTGGTTGTGGAAAGTCCACGGTTGTCGGGCCTCTCTGCGCGATGCTCAACCTAGAGCTAGAGACTTCAGGAGCAAGTCTTGAAGATGGTCGCCGGGTACGCTGCGCGACCGTCAGCCTGGACGGTTGGCATTATCCTCGTGTGACCTTGGACAAAATGCCTGATCCGACTTTGGCTCACTGGCGACGGGTGAGGCATGCAGTGGGCTATGTGGACTGAATTGCAGGGCGCACCATTCACTTACGATCGACTTTCATACCTAGACTTTCTCAAGGGTTTGAGGAGTTCCGGAGGATCCAAGATCGCCTACAAAACTTTCAATCACGCCACAAAGGACCCCGAACCCGGCTTGGTGCCAATCGATGAGACAGCTCTGATAATCTTGATAGAAGGACTTTACACTGCTTTCGATAGACCGGGATGGAGAGAATGTGCAGAAATGATGGACAGACGAGTATGGATAGAAGTGGACCCTGCAGTCAGTCGCGAGCGAGTCATAAGACGCAATCTTGCTGCGGGAGTGTCTATCGATCTCCTTTCTGCAATCGACAGAGGTAAGCGGACCCAAACGGCTTCACTGAGAATGGAGTGGATGCTTCGGATATGTTGAACGATCAGGAGGTGAGAAACCATCGACTAGCGCCAACAGACGTAATCGTATCCGTTGAGATCTAGTGAGATTTAGTGATAGAAGGAATGAATGCATGTGATGCCTGGGATGTACGTCTCAATCTGGTCAATGTCCGTATCTGTAGTGTCTATCTTCCGCGCCTTGTCTTCTCCGACGCCCAACGAATACTCCAGGTTGCTTCGTAAGTTCTGACAGCTGTTGATACATTAGTCTAGAATTCTGCAGCGGATCCACGAACCATCTTCGTAGCTCGACAGGATTGGTATCTTTGGCTCAACCCCCTCGACGGTGTCGATGAAGGATGCCATCTCTGACAGGAAAGGGTCGTCATCGTGAAACGTCATGATCTGCTCAGTGTCAGATCCAGGTTGGCGAAGGTACAGAGTAGGGCGGTTGTAGGGATCAATCAGCTTCATCTGGTATCCGTCGGCGACTATGACTGTGAGCTTGGTGTCATCGAGCTTATGAGCCCTTACAGACTGTGAATTCGGTTGAGAATGTCTGGCCTTGCAATGCGACACCATGCTCAAGATGACCGATTGCACCCTTGTCATATTTCCAAGTGGCGGAAGTGAATCGAGGAATCCGTTGATCTTCCGGGATCTTCGACTCGTCCACTCGGATCTGAAGCCGAGTCAGCGAAGCAATGGATCAAAGAGTTTCCACAGACCTTGGAAAGTTGCCCTGGCCGCTCATACCATTCGATCGAGTGTGCTGCTATACTGGGCAGATCGATCTCCCCCCCAAAGTATCGAGACAAATCCACAAAGTGCGTCGCTTGTTCAACTATAGGTCCACAGTCTACCGCTTTGTTCCACCATGCGAGCTTCCGACTGGCCTCGTATGCTTCAAGAGCCATTAGTCACTCTATCACACATGCTGACGACGCACCCATGACATATCTCCCTGATGTCATCATCACCGTCAGCCCGTTGTCCTTGATGATCTGTTGCATCTTCTGAACCGCGGCAGAGTATCTCAACATGTACCCTACACTGACAATGTTCTCTTTTCGGGATTCTAAGAATTTGCCGACCATGGTTGCCTGCTCCACAGCCCCTGTACTGACTGGTTTCTCGACAAACATGCCAGCCGATGGGAAGGCAGTGGACAGTTGCTCTTCGGCATTGTTTGGCTGCTGCATTTGACCGCGGAACGCAGGCGGAGAGCCAACGATGACAATGTGTGGTGGGCTAGAGGACAAAGCCTTCGCTGCTTCTTGGATGGTTGGAAAGACTGTCGTTCTCTGGTACGCCGGCCGCGCGACCGTCAAGCGTTTGGCCTCCAAAACTGATTCTGCACGAGCCGTCATGGGATCCACTACGCCGACGACGTTCAGACGAGCTCCTAGAATCTGTTCCAATCGTTGAGAATGATTCCATGGACCTTCCTCTGAGCCAAAGTTGACTAAGGGAGGTTAGCATCAATCGATTTTCAGCAGTGAGTCACGCACTGTTCCCGGCTCCAATGTAAAGGACCCTCATGTCTGTACCGGGCTTTGGCTGAATACGGGGTAAAGGTATCTCTGGGGGCTCTGCTAGCGTACAGGCATACCTGAAGCTCTTCAAAATCCCACCTGTAGACCATCTGTATCGCTGTACTGGTCGCATGTTTGCTATAGAATTAACCAGAGCTTCTTCTTTGCTTGTGACCTGCTGCCACCAATTTAATCGTTGCAGGCCTGCGTGAGATCCGGTTCGGCTCACTGTTTTCCGTAGGCATTTTGTCCTGCCAATCTTGTTGTCATCCGGGTGAGCTTTTCTCACCGTGATTGTCATGCCATGTTCACCGAGCAACTCTGCGGCAGGCCGAGGCCAGAAGAGGGTCCGAGCGAGTGCAGCGTGTGACGCGTGTCGTGAGTCGCATCGTTTGGGGCATGGTCGTGTGGATCTGGTCTGAGTCAGATTCCAGGTGCCCGCAAGATTTCTTGCAATGCCCTACAGCCATGCAGCAGGTGCGCTGCAGATTCCCGGGAATGCATCTATGGCGAGAGACCGGAAAGGTCGCCCTTAACTCGACAGAGGATGACCATGCTGGAGCAGCGGTAAGGTATGAGTTTGCAATAGAGCTCACCCTCCGTGCTCAGGATCACCCAATTTGAGTTCATCTGGTCAACTGTATTCCCCGATGTGTCCTTGACGGATCTCGAAGCTCTGGCTCACGAGATTGGGACCGAGCTCGCGATTTCCAGCTTGAATCTGAGGCCCTCAACACCCTCGCGACTGGCCCAGCGATCTGATGCGATCAATGCCATTCAATCCCCCCGTGATCCTCCGCGACCGGATCTTACCTCCGCGATCTATGTTGAAGATCCTCTGCCACCGACCAGACTCGGATCGCCATCCACATTGCCTCTTAAATCTGCGTATGACTATCAGGACCATGTCTCGCCAGGTTCAGACTCTTACTCGTGGCATGAGGGAGGCCCCGAACCCGCTAACCTTCTGGACGGCATGGGAGGTGACTCTCGCCCTCTTCATAAGGGCTCTTCATTTTTGGGTTTGTCATCGAGCGCGACGTTCCTCAGTGCCATCGAAAGATTGTCCAATCCCAACAAGACACCTCTCGAACCGAACAGAGATCTCTCGTCGTGGAATCTAGCGGACGGCTTCTCTTCTCCTTACGACTCCCTCTCATCTCATATCTCGCCTCGAGGGGAAACCAAGGTAGCGAGAGAAGGCACCAAATTCCGGATGCTGCAATGGTCAGAAGTCGGTCCACTGGTGGAGAGCTATTTCAGATACTTTCGTGAGTCTCTCATGGAGAGTGCGCATCGATCGCTAACGCTTGGCAGATCGACTGACGCCGATCGTACATGAACCAACAGCTCGAGCGCAGATGCTGGGTGCCTTGTCCATGTCGCCTGGAGCGGGACCATCTGTGCTCTTCAACATGATTTTCGCTATGGGGGAGCTTGAGAAGGCGGAGAAGGAGTCGGATCCGATCGGCTCCAAGTATTACCTTCAAGCAAGACTCGCCTTACAGCAATCTTTCTTGGAGGAGGGTAGTGTCGAACTCGTGCAAGGTCTGGCCATTATGGCCATCTATCTCCAGCATACGAATCGTCCCAACGCAGGATATCTGTGCCTGGGTTCGGCAATTAGGATGGCCATAGCCTTGGGCCTGCACTTGCCCGCCAAAACACTTCAAAAGTCCACGTCTCTTCTGCGTTCAGAGATCCGACTCCGCGTGTGGTGTTGTTTGGTTACACTGGAAGCTGGATGTTCGATCACCTTTGGTCGTCCGCATGGTGTGGGTACAACAATGATATCAAGCCGACAGATGCCGGTTAATTGCGATGACGAGCGTCTCACTGTCAGCACTACGGAAAGACCTGATGATAAAGACGAGCCGACAGTCTATTCCGCATTGATCGTGCAGGCTCATCTCGCCAATGTCACGTCTCAGATATATTCTCGAATATTGCATTCGGAGAAGGCCCCTACCATTGAGCAGATACAATGGTGTGATCGACTAATAATGAATACCATGGCTGAGGTCCCTGCCAACATTAAAACGCCTCGAGTTGGTCCCAATCAATTGGCGCTTTTCGTGCAAGAATGGCGGATCAGGGATCAGCGTGTCATTTTGTACCGGCCGGTCCTCTTAGCCGCTGCATGGGCATCTTGGCATTATTCTTTCACGGATCCAGCCGTAGCCAGTTGCGTCCAGTATGAGCTTGACTTATCAGATGCTGACTATTAGACTTTCACGGGAGCTGGCGATGGCGAACATGCACAGCACTGGAGAATGCCTCCGCACGGCTCAGCTGCCTGTTCAGAGGGAAACGGAATGGTATGCTCTGTACTTTGGCTACCAAGCGGCTCTTACGGTCCTTCTGTCGTTGGTTTGGGAACCGATGCACACTGAGGCGGTTTCCTGGAAGGCAGCGTTAATGAAGGCGACTTCTTGGTTCCGAGAGCTTTCCGCTATGCGACAAGTATGTACATCTCACAGCTGAACAGTGACTGATATCAGCTCGGCCAAACATATGCGTCCCGCATAGAGCAGCTCGTCTCGCGAGCGATTGTTCAAAGTTATCCCAATAAGTCGCCTATCGCCACTCAACCTGCAAATTGGGCTGATCTATTTGATACATTCCAAGTCAATTTTGATCATGACACTGCATTGCGAGTACAGTCTGCTCTTCGGGACTGATCTCTGTTTGTAGGTCTAATTCCAACTTACCCAGTGCAACTCTGCCGAACTGGGAGATCCCAGAAAACTTTTGGGAGGATCTTCTTGCCACTCAGTCACATGATTCATGAGAATGCATATACTGTAACACTAGTGACCTACAGATATGGGAACAGCTCTATTCTTCAAGCCAGATCGCTGTGCAGATGTTTGGGTAGAAGCGAATTTCCAAGCTGGGATTCTCCTTTCGTAAAGCTCGTCCAACTCCCAGTAAGTTCGTCCGTAGGTTTCAGGGTAGAAGAGATAGAGGAGGATGACAGTGGGGACCAGCATACCAGCCCATACGTAGATGGCCTTGACTCCCATGTTTCCAGCATCTGGCGAGATCATGTACGAGACGCTCCATTGGAAGACAACGAATCCGAGTCCGTAGCAACCAAGGTTGAAGGAAGTTGTCTGGGCACGAAGTCGAGGCGTAGAGGTTTCACCAGCTGCCACGAATCCGATGGGACCGGCTGACGCCCCATAACATAGCACCCAGAGCAGGAGACAAGCAACAGCTGCCTTCCCAGCGCCTGGGCCAGATGCGAAGCCAGTAGAAGCCAGAGCAACGTTGAAAAGCAGCATCATGAAACAACCACCGACGAGAAGTGGGCGACGACCAACGTATTCGCACGCGATCAGGGAACAGGAGATTGAGATGATGAGCAGTATTAAAGTGATGATGGTGATAAGGAATGGGTCCGTACCGAGGCCGGCGACCTGAATCGAGGTCAGACTCGGAGAGATCGAGCAGTTGACTCACCTGGAAGAAATATGTGCTGTAACCAAAGACGATGGGCGCCCCTGCCGCCCACTGAGAGCAGATTCCGACGCATCCAGCGAGTGCTCGTCGCCAATTTAATCCTTGGAAGATTTCAAAGAATGACGAACTCTTCGAGGCGTCACTCCATTCCTTCTCGGCTTCAATTCCATGTTTGACGACCTCGTACTCGTAGTCGACATCATAACCCGGAGCTGTACCGTACAGCTGCTGCATAGATCGTTTCGCAGCTTCGTGGTTTCCCTTTCGAGCGTGATAAATGTGCGATTCGGGAAGCAACCAGACAAGGATCACGAGGATTCCGGTGAAGATGAATTCCGTGGCGACGATGGGTCTCCACTTGTCGGGCGTAGCCTTTACGATGATCTGAGTTGCCCCCGAGCTGATGAGTTGTCCGAAACCGAGACATAATTGGTAGGACCCTATCATGAACCCTCTGATCTGGAAAGGAGCAAGTTCGGAAACATATGTGACCAAGATAGCTTGAGCGAGACCGACACCCAATCGGATGAGCATGGCTGCTCCTAGCCAGCCTTGCCAATTTTGAACGGTCATCTCAGCGATGGATCCGGCGAGGAGGACAGCCACAGCACCGATAAATGCGCGTTTTCGACCAAATCGATTTGCAAAGTATCCTCCGGCAAACATGCCAATGGTTTTTGTCATCTCAGCGAAGCCCTGCCAGAATGAGATAACTTTGGCAGACACTGCAGGTTTGCCATCGATGAAGGTATCCGCCATCTGAGCCACAAAGGCCGGCATCGGGATGACATTTCCTGGGACTTGTTGCTGGAAGCCATCGTTCAGTGCCGCCCAATTCAGGATCAGACAATACAGCATGGCTTTCCAAAAGACTTTGGCGGCCTCCCATCTTCCCAGAGCTGATCGACTGTCAGGTTATATCCTCCGAGTCACCTGACTCACAAGCATATCTAGTCTCGAGGACTTGCTCCTCAGGGACGTTCGACGTCTCACCCTGGATGGCCTCAGCCTTCTCGAGGGAAACGGTCTCGTCTAAGAGCTTCTCTTCGGTGTGCATGATGAGAATTGGGACCAAAGACGGATGTGAATAGAAGATATGAGTTCATGCTCCGGACTATATATCTCCCCCGTGTAGGGGCTCAGCAAACCTTGGCAAAGATTGTCGTACGCGAAACATTTCACGGAACGCCTCAAATCGGAAATCTGTCTGCCGGTGCACCCGTCGGTGCCCCCTCCCCTCGGGATAGTGTACGCCGGGATGGGGTAGTGATACGATCTCTGCGCGAGTGGCGTGAACCCTTGCTTCAAATGGTCACATTTCACGTCTGATTCGAACACAGCACCATGCATGTGCTCCGGAACAGATCAGATCCGGTGAAAGGCACGATGGATGCATTTCGGAACATGTCTGCTCCTTACAGCCTTCACACGCTTATCTGAGGGAGCTGAACGGATATACAAAACACATTGAACTCTCAATTGAAGACATTGCTGTGCCTGCATGCCCTGCGTTCCCAGAGCTTTGATGATCTGATCGACCTGACATTGATCGTGGGGTAATTGGATTTGGGCTACAATCCTGTCTTGACGACGATATGCTTTATGGTCTTGTCGCCCGAGATAACGAGCTCTGGAATCTGCTATATTCAGCTGTCAGCCGACCCATAGAGTGTCTGCCCTGTGCTCAATCATGCATTTGACCTGGGGCACATCGTCTTTGGTGAAAGCATTCATGTAATTGCCAAAGTGCCACACTCCCCTCCGTTCAGGGGCTGACGTCATTTTTGATGGGAATGGCCCAAAGTTAGAGGATTAGCGACTTTTGTACTTGGCGACTCATTCTTCGGGTCTGGGAAACTGTCGAGGTGTCGTGTATATCACTGGACTCCTCGCCCAAGTCTGCCCTCAGCTCGACCAGGGTCCCATCGTAGCTCCTCTACAGCCGCAGCATTATCAGCCAGCCATGTCAGACCCAGACTCGCAGACTACCAATTTCCCCGACCTTCCTCCGGCGCCTCCTTCGCGAGTCGTCGGTCAAGGTTACTCTACCAGTCATCCAGTACCGACCATACAATCATATCGCGACACTCAAGCAAAGCACGACGAAGAAGCCAGACAATATGCTGAGATTGTCGATGCCAGGCGAAAGGAAGCTGAGGAGAGGCAAAGAGCCAACGAAGAGGAACACAACGAAACGGGGGATGACGAGGACCACACGGATCGCCCAACTGTCCCTGATGTGAATGAGGATATCAAAGAAGAAGCAAAAGGAGATTCTGATGGGCAAAAGCATACACTTCATCGGAAGAGAGATGCTGTCAAGCATGAACCACCGACTGAGAAGCAGAGAATGATGGAACAGATGACTGCCAATCAGCGTGAGAAGTCACCGCCGATCATCGTGCACGAGCGACTGACACCTTGTAGGCAGCCCCACCGATCGTTTCAAACACGCTGAAAAGGGTCAGCGTCGGGTACGAGACCCGATCACTGGCTCAGAAATCATCGTCAAGGATGCTGATCCGAAGGGTGGGCGACATTCCCAAGGGAGTTTTTATGCTGACCTTACCCCCGCAATACAGACTTTGACGCTACCCAGCCTCGAACTCACGGTTCTAACATTCTGTACCACCCCTTTCCGCCTGCACGTCCCGCGTCTCTCGAAGCTCTCCTTTCCAAGCTGAGGTTAACTTCCTACTTGGCAGGAGGTAGCATGTTCCTCGTCTGGCTTTCTGTCGCATGGGGCTCTGGCTTCACACAGTTCATTTGGCGTAGCACACTATGCGGGGCTATCGGATTCGCCTTGATGACTGGGATCAATATCGTGATGCGAGGCGTTGATAAAGAAGTTGAACGAGTCCGTCAAGACTTGCACCGACAGCGCGGAGAAAGCTTCTCTCCTCCCATGCCGGAAAGTGTGGAATGGTTGAACGGGCTAATCAAGCTGGTGTGGGGTCTGGTCGATCCGTGAGTCGTACCGGGGCGAGCGCGTCCTAATTGTCTAGTTCTTTGTTCATCTCTGTCGCCGACATGGTTGAAGACATCCTTCAGCAGTCTCTCCCCTCGTTCGTCGACGCTGTAAGAATCACAGACATCGGACAAGGATCGAACCCATTCCGTATCACGTCAATCAGGGCGCTACCGGATCAGCCAGGAGATGAAGGGTATCCCAAGACATCTTGGATCAATCAAGGCAACGACGACATTCCCACCAAGGACACTGCTGGCAAGGAGCTCAAGGAAGACCAAGCCGGAGACTACTACAACTTTGAGGTCGCCTTCTCGTACGCGGCTCTGCCCGGTCAAGGTGCCCATCTCCGGGCCAAGAACATCCATCTCCTCATTGAATTCTTCATTGGGATGTACGACTGGTTACACATCCCTGTGCCCATTTGGATTCAGGTCGAGCAAGTCATGGGCATCGTTCGACTTCGAGTGCAATTCATCCCTGAACCTCCTTACGTCCGCAACCTGACATTCGCCCTATGTGGTGTGCCCTCCGTGGAGGTATCGGCAATCCCAATGTCCAAACACCTCCCCAATGTCCTCGACCTGCCATTCGTGTCGAGCTTTGTCAAGATGGGCATTGCCGCCGGAACCGCAGAGTTGTCCGTACCCAAGTCGATGACTTTGAATCTGCAGGAAATGCTCTCGGGAGCCGCTGTGGGCGACACTCGTGCGATTGGTGTCTTCGTCATCACTGTGCACCACTGTGAGGGATTATCCGCTCAAGATAACAACGGGAAGTCAGATCCATACATCGTTCTCGCATACGCCAAGTTTGGAAAGCCACTGTATTCCACGAGAATCATCCTTGCAGATCTGAATCCTGTCTTTGAAGAGACAGCAGTGCTTCTCTTGACCATGGACGAAGTCAAGGCAAAGGAAGATCTGTCGGCCATGTTGTGGGACAGCGACAAGATGAGCGCTGAGTGAGCACTGAGAGTCGACGTTATTGCTTACAGGACACAGTGACCTGGTTGGACGTGTTCAAATTCCCGTCACCGAATTGATGGAGAATCCGAACCAGATGATTCGACGAGAGGACGGCCTAATGGGCTTTGAAGATGCCAATGACATGCCAGGTGAGATCACACACCTTCATACGGCAGGTTGACCGCGTCAGGAAAACTCGTTTGGTCAATCGGATACTTTGAGAAAGCTCCCTTGATCAAGGAGTTTGAGCGAGGTCCAACACTAGAGGAGGCCAGCAACGCAAAGACCCCACCGAAATCGGCTCCGGAAATGCAAATGTTGCCAGGAGACAAAGGGCCTGAGCCAGCGAAGACTGACCTGCCACCAGCACCTCCCGACGTCGAAAAGACGAGACCCGATCCAAAATGGCCTTCGGGTGTTCTGTCGATTGTTTTGCATCAAGTGAGTCCTCGGGAGAGAGAGCACTGCTTATCGCCCGCGCTAGATCAACAATCTTGAACGTCAAAACCTCACCGGGAAGTCTGGCAAGGATCGTGAAGGTGAAGCTGGACAGGATACAGATGATCCCTCCGAGCAATCTGACAACTTGCCATCTGGTTATGGTGAATTCATCGTCAACGACAATTTGGTCTACAGGACGCGAGTCAAACAATACACCACCAACCCTTACTTTGAAGCTGGAACAGAGATCTTTGTCCGAGATTGGGAGAATACCGTTGTTCGAGTGGTCATTCGAGACTCAAGATTACGTGAAGCGGATCCCATTTTGGGTATTGTCAGTGTACGACTCAGCGAAGTGTTTGCACAGGCAAGCTCTGTCACTCAGATGTACGCGATCACTGAGGGCATAGGCTTTGGAAAGTGAGACTCAAGAACACCAATGTGACCTCTCCTGACTCATTCACAGGGCCAACATCTCGTTCGCGTTCCGTGGTGTTCAAACGACTTTGCCACCGAATATGAGAGGATGGGAGACTGGCACGCTGGAGATTGAAAATGTCCGAGTCACCATCAACGAAGACTCCAGAGATGTCTTCAATCCTCATCCCACTCGCCTTCGTGTAGTGTCCACCGAGGAGACTGAATCTCTGCCCAAGAAGGCTGCCGAGAGCCACGAGGATGGTACGGTCGTTTGGCAAATGGACGCGTTACGGATGCCAATATACACGCGATATCAGTCTTCCGTCATCTTTGAACTCGGCAAAGAAGGCGCACTGTCGGCCCTCGGTATTGGCGCGAAGCCTGAAGCCCTTGCCGTGTTGTGGTTGCAAGACTTGACCGATGATACGGAACAAGAGGTCAAGCTCCCTCTTTTGACCACCGCGAACCCCGAGAATCTCAGACAGAATGCAATCAACGACGAGACTGCCAAACATCATGATTTCAAGGTCATCGGCTGGCTAACTGCCAAGATGAAGCTTGACTCGGGACTCGACGAGGATCACGAGGTCAGCGGGCTCGTACTGCTCTGAGTCCCCAAACTAACATGATATACAGAAACTGCGCCTCAGCCAGGGCCGACGACACGCACTGGAAGCTTAGTGAGCAGTCTGATGTCGATTGGAGGATGACAAGCTGACCGTGACCAGTGATCATATGGAAGGCGAAGCTGCTATCGCAGAGCGACAGGCTCATTTCATGGATGACGGAGTGATCGACAAGGACGAGAAGAAGGCTATTGATAAGGCGCATAAGAGGCAGCTCGAGAGTCGAGGTCGAGGTCCAGCTCAGATCAAAGCCTACAGGACTGGCAAGTGGATGCTCAGGGGTGTCAAGGACAGGATCCCCATTGGGAAGGACAAGACGAGGGAGCCGACGATTCAGACGGAAGCGTAGACAAGCAGTCAAGATGTAGCGGCTCGGATCGGAGGCTCTCTGAGCGGTGCTTGACCGCCAGTTTCCTGTATATATTTTTCCTGTGTAGCTACAACATACGACATATGATCATTCTCCTCTCGAATACACTAGGCTTGAAAAGCATGCATGAGGTTATGTTTTCCTATCGACGACACTGAACGTACAACAATTCTGCCTCCTTCCCGCCTAATAGTCATCCATGACTTCGTCATCATCGCTCTGAGCCATCGTGTCGCGCCCTGCGTCTGAGGATCTGGGTGTATCGGCAGGTACGGGCGGTTGACCGGGATACTGGGGTAGGACTGGAGGAATGTCGTGATCACCAGGCTCGTGGGTCGCTGCTGTATGGCCATTGGAAGCGCTCTTGTCCATCGAGGAGTGTTCTAGTGGTGGAGATTGTTGGTGAACGGGAGGGACTGTCCCCGTCGATTGGATATCGGAGGGCGGAGGCTCGCGGAAGGAGTGGGAGGTGGGCGGAGCTGGGGAAGCTTGTGCTGGATAGGGAGACGCCCTCTTCACATCCCTGAGCGCGACACGTCATTTTCTGTCGGCCTCCGCGGGATAGGACTCACCCATTGGCAGATTTTTGATGACGAAGAGAATTGATGCGCTCCTCGAACTGAGCGATCTTTATCGCAATGAGGTCGTTTTCCTTAGACCGAGAGACGTCAGCACGTCCAGTCAGTCGCAAGGCTCGATATCCCAGCTGATCATCGCGGACAAGGAGGTATCACTAAGGACCCTCCTCATAAGACGATCGCACTCAAGTCCAGCAATAGTAACCAATCACTTACATCCTCGAGCTCGTGCACTATCTCCTTGATCAGGTGGAATCGCTCTATTGGGGATCAGCTCTCTGGGGCAACATGGGAGAGGCTCTGACTCACCGTTGTACATCTGTTCGGCGTCCTCTGGATAAGGCACCATTGTCCCCTCCCCCCGGTTGGCTAGAGGATGCGCCGGAATATCCTCATGATGTGGACGACTGTCCATTTTTTAATGAATCAGTGCTGTACCAGCAGAGACCGCGAATGCCGAACGCAGTTGAGCACCTTAGACTTCACTGGCCCATCGTTCAGTCCTCCTCAGCCTCGGGATGCTATGACTGACTAAGGTGTCGAAGGAGTAAATATGGAAGCAGAGCACTGAGAAGGAAAAAGATGGAATTGAAAATGTGGTTTGAGCCGAGGAGCAACTGCAAGATGAGACCGTGACACAACATTCCGTTTGACGTCGACTTGATCAGGTGCTGATGATGCATGCACGTCCAGAAATCAGTCTTTGAGTTCGACTACCTCGCCATGTCCTTCGACCCACGGCCGACATGCCTCATAGAAGCGTTTGAGAACATTCACCCCATCGTCTCTCTCTCCCGCCTGGATCAGGCGCTTGAAATTAGCCTCGCTGCCTCGCTTGAACCAGGTGATAAAGGCGGCGAGCATAAAGTCTTCATAGCATGGCTTGTCACCTGCCAGGAACGGAGACGATTCGGTTGAATGGACGAACAGTTCGGCGAGAGCCTTGAGCTCCTTGATGAAAGGTTCCCAATCATCCTCCGGGTTTTCCGCTCCCCAATCTTCAGGACTTCGGTTCTGTCCTAATGGATCGTCTTTCGCTCGATCCTCCACAAAGTAGACTTTTGCCCTTGGGTCCAAGATGCTGGGGATGCTTGGTACGACGATATTGTGTCCCGCACCCCAAGCAGGTGAGAGAAGCCTGACGAACCGCCTCATCGTCACTGTCGTCCCATCCTTCGATGTATCCTCATCTCCCATGGGCAGCAAGAAAATGGGAGGATCAGGGTACAACTTGTCCAATAGCTCCGAGATGGTTCTCGAATCCAACATTGCCTTGATCACTTTGCCTTGTTTGTCCCGGATGAGAATCGCTGGGAGTGTCGATCTCGGTGGATCATAATTGGTATTCAGAGGCAGGTCATACTTCTCGCCAAAGGCTCGAATGTCGGGATATGAGATGTAAGATTCTACGTAGGGTATCTTTTTGTAGTTCAAGACCATGCGGACTCTGACTGTATTCGGTGACCATGATCTGTCGACGCCTGATCAACGATGTGTAAGCTTGTAGGGCAGCCAGTCAGGTCGTCACCCACCCTGTAGCCGAGATTCGATGTCCAAGAACTGAATCTGATCTATCTGGTCTCTAGTAAGTCCCTCCATGGGCATCGCTGAGAGGGCAAAGCGAGTTGACAAGTGCAGGCTGAAAAGCAAGGACCGATCTATATGGTCCTGATAGTCGTGAAGAGCTCCGGGCTAATCCGACTTTCGGATCCCGAACAGGTCCGGGCCGAACCCCGCAATACACGAGGAGAGTGGATTGTAAGATATCCACTGGCGCGAATATCCAGTACCGGACCCTCGGAACTGAGCGTCAGGATCTCGTCACTTGTGATCCCCCAAGCCCCTTTTGACAGCGTCCTGACTCGGTCACCGCGCTTGACGAGGAATGTAGGAGTGCCGCGACGAAAACGTCGAAAGCCACGATCTGGACCGGGTAGATTGGTTTGATGGAGCTCTTCCTTTCTTCTACATCTTGCTTGATGGAGTCAACCTCCACAAGGTAGCTTTCAAAGTCGTTTACAGCCTTTCTCGTGCGATTTTCAGAGTAGCAGATGCGCTTGAGTTCGTCGATGGTGCGCGTTCGATCAACAGAGCTTCCCGTTCCGCGTGTGTTTATCGAACGTTCTCGCGAACGATGTCGATCAATCGTTCCCCGAACGAGACGTTGTACAACTCGCATCCGTAGAATCGTCGGCCTACGTGCCCTGGATGTCATGCACTTCTACCTGCGTGGTCAAACATGGGGGCTGACAAACCAAGCGGGAAAAATCTCTGGTTCCCAGAGGTGACAGATGCATTCTCTACAGTATCTACACTACAGAATGTGTAACGTCTGATGTCTGTGCTGGCTTATAGAATGAGGCAGACGTGGCCGATGTGGGCTATGGGGAAGTAGAGGGCTGTTGAACATGCCTTCATTCACAGAATCCTCAGTGGGAACTCGCTGGTTCATGATGCGTATCAGCTGGGAAATGGGCCGTATATCCTCTGCTGGGCATTGAGAAAGCCTCAAGAAACCAGGGCCAGTCGCCGTCTCTCTCAAGCGTTCCCTCTGTCTGTCATTGAACATGTGAATGGTGTGTAGGCAGAAATGTGGCATCGCCACTCAATGATAATGACGAGAAGGATTGATGATGATCGACGTCATTTTCAGGAATTCCGCAACCGAGAGCATTCTATCGTTCATTGATTGACCATTGTCCCTCTTGCGCTGACGAGCAAAGCTAGAACGATGGCCACGACACCTCAGCGAGTGACTCGGTCCAAATCTACCTCCAACACTTCCATCGTCAGTTCCAATACAGTCCCTGGTCCACCTATCCCAGCCCGAGACACATCCACCAAGCTCGATGCTGTTCACTTGTCCAACCCGTACCAGGTGGATCTCGTCATCCCCTACTCCATCGCTATAGATCCCAGAGATAGAGCCAAATCCCAGAATGATATCAAAGAAGGCTACGAGGTGCTACTCAGAGCGTTGGAAGGTGAAGGCGGACTGCGAGTCGCTAGTAGAGCTGGCAAGTCTGGTAAAGGAAAAGAAGAAGTATGGGTCTTTGTCGGTGCAGAGGATGAGAAGATAGAAGAGCTGGTCGAGATAGAACAGTGAGTTTATTCATCTCCTCTAATGTTTAAAGAGATTCAAGTTGACATACATCGGCAACAGAATCATGGACAAATCGCACAACCTTCCACCCTGTTCTCACCCAAATGGCGCATCACCCGCTACTCGTATTCGCCTCCTCTACGACCTCTTGACGAGTCCTCAGATGCAACATGGACTTGGTATCACGCCAGGAAAAGGTAAATGGAAGCGAGTCAAGAGTATCATGGCGTTGCACGATGAAGAGGCAGACAAGGATTGGATAGAAAAATGGACACTAGGGGGTGATTGGAAGATTGGCTTGATGACGGATCTGACGGATAAGGAGAGCGAAGGTCTGGCGAGGCATGTGAGTCACTTCTCTCATCCATTCCGTGATGAAGATGTCTGACGATTTCTGCAGCAACCCCCTCCTGTCCACCTCTACTTCAACTTTCTCACTACCTACACATTATCGCTCCTCCCTCTATCCGTTATCTCGATCCTATTCTACTTCTTCACCGCCCCAGAATCGTATCCTCCGCTTTACTCGATCATCCTCGCTCTGTACTCTACCATCTTCGTAGCCATATGGCGTGTGAAGGAACGCAAATTGGCCGTTCAATGGGGTACGAAAGGCTGTGAATCCGTCGCCGTCGGTCGATTGAGACCTGAATACGTTGCGAATATGGGATTAGACCGTCCCGGTCAAAAAGGCAAACGAGTGATCGATGTCGTGCGTGCTGGTGATGACCTCAAACGAGACTTCAAAGTCGCTGCCTCGATCCCTATCATCGTAGGATGCGGACTCATCCTCGGCACAGTCATCATGTGCATCTTCATGCTCGAGGCGTTTGTCTCGCACGCTTACGATGGGGTGGGCAAGCAGGTCGTCGTGAGTCAAAGTCCAGCGTGATGCCAAGTCCCGTTCTGACGTTCCTGTAGCCACTCTTCCCAACGGCCATTTTTGTCCTCGTCGTTCCCCAGATCACCGGTCTCTATCAGCGTCTGGCTAAACGTCTCGTCAAATGGGAAGATCACCCCACACCCGTCGGTGCGGACAAGAGTCTGACAGCAAAGACCTTGTGAGTAGAAGAATGAACGAACGAACGAGCTGACCAGGAATGCAGCGCAATGAATGCGATCGTTGCGTACCTGCAGCTGTTCCTATCTGCGTGAGCTTAGATGTTTAGATAATGCGTTCTGGGCTGAACGCGCTCCAGCTATGTCTACGTGCCCTTTGGACCTTTTATCATGGCGGCTGTCCAAGGTCAGCTGTCTGGCTCGAAAATTGAAGGGGAGAGCGTAAAATTTGCCAAGACGCCTGAGCAAGCTGGTCTTGGACCGAAATCGAGCGGTCGTAAATTGGCAGCGATCAAAGCGGGCAGACTACGAGGACAGCTCTTTGCTTGTGAGTCTTACCATGATGATGCTTCGCCGAAACATGCTCTCAGACACGGTCAACGGTCAAGTCATCAACGCATTTACCGAGCTCGTCTTGCCGTACATCATGAATCGGGTGGATGAATGGAGATCAGGCAAGAAGACCATCAAGGAGGTCGTCTCGGTCCATCAAGCCGGAGAAAAGCTGCCGAAGACGCCTGAAGAAGTTGAGAAGAAGTTCTTACAGAAGGTCGAGCGGGAGCTCAAGCTGCCGGAATACTCCATCTTCAGTGAATCTGATCTAAGCTCAGACAACACGGTTGACTGATGTTGCTCGTCAGCTGATTACGCCGAGATGGTCACTCAATTCGGCTACGTGACTATCTGGTCCATCGTGTGGCCTCTCGCTCCGCTGTGTGCCTTTGCCAACAACTACTTTGAACTCCGAAGTGACGCTATCAAGATCACCAGGCACGTCAGGCGGCCGATTGGCGATCGGGTGGAGACGATTGGCAGCTGGCTGGAGACATTGGTGAGTGCACTTAGGGGAGATGATACTGATGCCTTTAGAACGTTATTGCGTGGATTGGAGCAGTGACCAATGCTACGTTGATCTACCTCTTCCGACCTTCAGCTCTATTACCTGGACAATCACCTAATCCCGAAATCCCATCCACAGGATCAGTCTACCTTCATAAGATCGTCTCAACATATGACGTGTCACCAACATGGAAGATGATCTTACCCACGCTCGTGCCCCTAGCCGCCGTCGCTTTGACAGCCTCACACGGTTTTATCATTCTCCGCTGGGCTGTCGAGTATATAACTGAAAAGGCGCTATGGAAAGGAAGCGAGGAGGAGATTCAGATTCAAAGATTGGCGGGCGATCATGCCGACGTCAGCGAGCAGCTGGCAAAGCTGGAGAAGAAGCAGTACAGGGGATGGGCTGTAGGCAAAGGCTTCTGGAATGGTGGGGAAGAGGGTGCTAGGGAGATTGGCAGGGTGTCCAAGGCAGAATGATTATCATCAGCTGGTTCAATGAGGAAAAGTTTATAGAAGCTGGTCACGACGTTATTACCATTATGACTTTATACATGTGTGACTGTCGCAGAGAGCGGAGCCATATGCGGCCAACTATGCCCGTGGTGGTATTTTGGGTCCGACCCGGTTCAGAGCTGCGCTTCTGTTTCAATCTCTCCTCCCATCTCCTCCGCCAGTAACAATGCCTTCTTCATTTGGTCCTCTTCGCTCTCTTCAGATCCATCGAGGGTCTCTGCGGTTGAAAACTTAGACACCATTTGCGGGCCAGTGCTTTCCGCTGCAGCGCTCAAGAGCGACATGCTGGAAACAGTGGGTTTCCTATAGTGGGTGCCCGGGGGTGGTGGAAGTTGGTCCACAGGGATCAAATTGATCGTTCGGAGATCTTGTAGGTCATGCGAGACTAATGTACCTAGTCGAGGGGGAGATGATCGACTGATGATCTCGGATCGAACGGGCAGTTTGACCTGAATGAGTTTGAGAGCTGGATAAAAGGCCCCCTTCATATCAGTGACATGTTCTTGTCGTTTCTAATCAATCAGAGCCCGCGTGGCTTAACTGACCGGCTTTAGCCACTTGTTCAGGCATACCTCCCGGCGCTCCAATCTCCCAAATGACACGACCAGCAGGAACTCTGCAAGGCGGGGACGGGGACGGGGACAACCCAATCAGCACGAAAGCAAAGGCCAATGACGATTTTCTCTGTGATCCGCCTCACCTGCAGGCCCAGAATTCAAAGGCACCTTTTCCCTTGCCCATTCTGACCTCGTTTCCCTTGACGCAGATGGGTATATCGGGGAATACTCTCAAGTACAACTTGAACCCTTTGACGGGTTTCAATTTCTTTCGTAAGGATTCACGACATGAATGAAGGACAGCAGCGGATAGACGATGCGATTCGAGGATTCGGAGTCCATAGTTTCCAAATTTGACCGTGGTCCCTCGGATCGAGCCACCCTAAATTGAGCAATCATCAGCATGTTCATCCGTCTGAGCAATAGCCTGCTTCAAGACGAATTTGTGTCGAACCCTCCCTCCCACAAAAAAACTCACGATGGGTAACTATTGCACGAAACGTTAGCTTTTTGTTTGGAACCCCTGCCAACACTAGAACTCTTCACTTACATGGATAGGTAGACCCTTCTGGGACTTTCTATGCTTGGTTCTTCTCGGTGCCAATACCTGCTTCAATCCACGGGTCTGCGGTCGCTCAAGAGCAGGGAATGAAATTCGGTTAAAGGAGGAAGAAGATGCGAGAGGAGGTAATCGAGTCCGAGAGGAAGAAGCGAATGAAGATTGAGCTATGGAAGCGAGGGAGGTGAATGGTTGACGGAGGTAGGATAGCATGATGCAAGCTTTCTTCAAGTCTGGCGGGTCTCGCGACGACGAGAAAGTATGGTCTCTCAAAGTCAGTGACAAAGTTGAGCTTCAAGGTGGTGGTCGATTTCAAGTGCCACGGTCGGAAATAGCCGGAGATTTGAGCTCTCGTCCATCCTCGATCCATCCCTTCATCTGCTGCTGCTGCAGTGTAACTATTCCAAAACAAGAGTCTCTCTGCCCAGCATGTCCTATGTCATAGCAGGCAAATCTATCAAGGTGAGTTAGGGTGCTCCGCCTCACTGTCAGCGCACAATTTGTTGAGCTGACCATGCAACAGAATGAGTACCTGTGAGTCATAGGCGCCCTTGCTGTTTGTCCATCATACACCCGCTTGTAATCCTACTTGGTCATAACCGTTCCCGACGATTATTGTGGCCTCTTGATGATGACTCCGATACTCTTGCGAACGATATCCAGCTGACAGTCGCACCCAGTGCCCTCGGTACCATTCTCTTGACTGGAGGTGGAGCATACGCCTACAAAGCGAGCCAGAGCTCTAAACCTGTCGTCCCTAAACCCGCTGCTGCTTCTTCCTCTTCCTCCTCCAACACGGATTCAGACCTTGGAATCACGACCGACTCCAAAGATGAATTAGACTTGTGGGTCTTGCGAGCTAGCTGAGGAGAAGCTTGCTGACGGTTGCCCTAGCATCCGCCAATTCGTTGCTGATGCTGAGAAGGAGGGGAAAAAGCACTAGGTGTATAGGCATTGAGAACCAGCGTTAGACCCCCCCTCTTCGGACATGCAGCATTGAGGACTAGACAGGAATGGTCAAATCCAGGATACACAAGGATCGGAGGATTCACGAGGGGGTTTTAAGAGTCTCGCTGAGCGCAGACTGCGATGATGAGGGAAGAAAAGCTGCATAAAGTGGTGATACAGTAGAGATCATGTTCCAGTGGTTTCTAATCGAGAACCGCTACCCTTGTGCCGCCCTTACTGATTGCTGTTATTCGCGGTCTGCACCGCATGAGGATCCTGTCCTTGAGCCTGAGCCTGTGCTTGTGCATTGGCGCCCGGAGCACCCGTCATGAAACCCCACAGTGACCCTTTCATCTCTGCCAATTGTCTTTGCTTATCCTCCTCAATCATCCTGCCGAGTATCACGTTAGTGATCCGATGACAACGCTGCGAAGCCTAATGACCCACTTGGCAAACTCTTCAGCGTGATCCCTCCAGTACTTTTGTTCTTCTTCGTACTGCCTCTGAGCGATCGCTCGCTTTTGCTCCAGATACGTCATGGGCTCTTTGGGCCGTTGCTGGCCGGGCTATCAAGTGGATTTAGCGTCTGTCTCCGGGCCATCAAATGGATCAATCACTCTCACCGCTGCGACGCTTCCAAACAACGAACTCAACATACCGGTCCCACCTCCATGCACATTTGTCGGGTGTTGCCGTCTCCATTCTTCCAAAACTTGTCGTTTGGACTCTGCCTCCTTTTTGGCGTATTCTACGGGGATATCTTTCCCGCGGTACAATTCGAGAATAGGTCGAACATCGGGCGGTTGGAAGATGCCAATAGCTGGGATGAGAAGAGGTCAATTGGGTCTAGATCTTGAGAGTTGAGAAGCGGACTTACATTCCAGGAACGGAATCATCTCTACCAAACCTCTGTCACCCATGTTCCCCTTCCACGGTTTGATGATGACCGAGTTTTCAGGTTGGAGTGCCGAATGCTCGGGGTCCGTGTCGAGGAGAATGACCTTGGATAGGTCTCGATTGAGGTAAGAAAGATCCTAGACAGAGTTGGCGGTCTCTCTTATTGCTGCGTACGTTGTCGTATCAGACTCACCTTGACAGTCTTGCCTCCTGCCGTTCGGGTCGATTCGCGGAATAGTTTGTAAGGGATGTAAGCTTGGTAAGGATCAAGCTTTTCAGCTACTGGCGCGGCAGTCTGAGACGCGGACACGAAACTTTTAGCGTGAATCACTAGAGGAGGTATCAGCTAGACTCACGTAGAGAGGTTGAGTGGTGAACAGGACAATTTCGTAAAACTGTGAGAGATAGGCCAAAAAGTAATCGGCTCCTGGCCTCTTGGCGGTCTTCCATCCATTCTGGCGCTGCGAGCACATCAGCACCCAAGTTGAGATCAGACAGACCGAGTAGTGGTGATCCACTTACATCCCACGTGGAAGACACCAGCATGCCCTCCAGATCGACGAGCAAGGTGTATGGTCTCTGATGAGGTGGTGGGAGAGGATCCGGTAAAAGAGTCTTGAAAGCGGGTTTGTTGAATACCTGCACGGGACACGATGAGCGATCATGAAGGGATTCCTGTTATCGTTGGCTGGCTGGCTCACATCAAACGTTTCCGACAGACTAGCTTTGAATCGTTTCCACTGACCATCGATGCCTCCGGATCCCTATGAAGCATCACGAACGATCAGTCCGACATACCTCCATGCCACGACCTTCTGTAAACCTTACTCACCCCATCATCCGTCGCACCCTGAAAGAGAGCATATGCTATCCCACTGACGACCAATCCTCCTGTTCCGTACCTCAACCACATTCTCCTCTGCCTCTCGATACTTGAGACGTATTGTTTCCTGCCCGCTCCCGTCCGCTTAGGTCCCTCGGACCCTTCCCCTTCTCGTTTACGTTCCTCTATCCTCGCAGACTCTGTCACCGTCTCAATGTTAAGCGATGGAAGATCTCTAAGGTCCAGTTCCTCTGGCGCATTGGTGTCAACAGCGGTATCAGAGGCAACTCCAGTACTGGGACCAGATGCTGAAGGTGAGGTTGAGGATGAGGATGACGAGGTGGGTTCTGCAGGCCGATTGACAATCGGGTCAGTCAAGGGAGCCCCAGATCCCGCGGTTATGGGAGCACCATTCAAGGACGGTGGTGGTGGAGGAGGGCGCTCAGATGGACTTGGGGAGGTCTTTGCCTGAGCAGAAGGCGGCGGCGGAGGAGGAGGAGGCGGCTGCCTTAAACTACCAGCTGCAAGGTCATCTCCCCTTTTCTTCTTGAGCAGAGTCGCAGTGGTGGATATGGGTCGATAAGGCCGAAGAACAGATGTCGACGTAGAGGCGAGTAACCTACTGCTCGCTGCTCTCAGCATCGTTGAGTGATGTGTCTATGAATGCGATACGAGGCGATATCGAGTCTCAAGTCCTAAGTTGAATTTTCGTCATTAGGATATTGCATCAGATTTTCGGTGGCGCGAAGAGCGAACTGTGGCGAGTGGCAGAAATGTCGATACATGGTTAGCTGTCCCGAGTGAGTCCAATACGTATGGTAGCTAAGGGGAGGTCTCATGGATGGTCAGTAGAGCACTGGAGCAAGCAGATGGAGAAAGGGGAAGGCTTCCTGCTCTTCAAACGGATCCATCCATCCCGTTTGGATCCACTGCTCGAATTGCTCCTGTCTGTTCTCAGCAACTTTTTCGATGGCCCACGGCCAGCTCGTCCCTTGAGGACCGAAGATCTGGATCTGGGTCTGATGAGATGGAACTTTCGGAGGAACTTGATCAAAACATGGAAGAAGACAGAGAAGCACATGGTCTACGATGCGATCACATACTGAATATCTTGGGAGGCTCTTGACGTGTACACACGGTTAGGACCCTGTAGGCCAGAAAGATCTCTTGTAGCAGCGAGACAGGCCCAAGTAGGTCAATCGTTCTTCTCAGGGACGAGCACAGCTCTCCGCAAAGTGATCGAGGTTGACATGCTTCCCTTCTCGGCATCATTGGAATGGATCATTTGCTGAATAGGTCTGAGATACACAGTACGCTGATACACGATCTTGATGCCCCCAGGTGCAGGTGATCCAACCAATCAGCCAGCCACCCATGCATCATGATATCCACTTCACTGGGTAGATAGACTGGGCTCCAACCATCTCGAGCCAAGATAGACACTTCCATGTTCACTCGGCATTCGCCGATGGCTACCTTTTCCCCCCCTCCCCACCCCGTCGGCCGATTCCTGCGACAATTGTGAATGCCACGTGGTTCAGGGTCTCCTCTCAGTTTAAAACTTCCGGCGAGATTAGGATCCCCTAAACTCCTCTGCTCCCCCGCCCTTCCTTGCCCCCTTTTTTACCCTGAATCTGTGTGTGTGTGTGTGTGTGTGTGTGTGTGTGTGTGTGTGTGTGTGTTCGCTTCGGCGTTGTTGAACCAGATCCCCGTCTCTCACTCGAATAATAATCTGATTATTTCCTCCCCCCTCGTACCACTTTTGCCATTCCATTCCATTCCTATCTCTATCTATCTACTCTTCGCCACCTAACACTCCATACACACAGTCAGTCAGTCGTTACATCGCACAAAAGGAGAATCAAGGAAGCTCGTACGAGAGGTAGAAAAATCTGCCATCCCACCACGCGTGTTGCTCCGAGGCGAGAGAGAAAAAAGGGAACGAGAAAATTTGGGGGGCAGGCCAAGAGACTCGTCTATAGATACATCGTTCGCGCGACTGGCTGCTGCTGCTATTGCTGCCAGCCAGTGTTCGCCACCTCAGCGCTATACAGGAATCATACAGTGGAGCTTGGATCTTGGCTCACTCACATCCCTCTCTACACTCACTTCCACCTCACATTCCAAACCCCCCGACCAGACCTCGGCTTGGAAAATCCGAGTTCTTGTTTCAGCTTCGGGCACGGTCAACAACAAATCAACGAGAGACTATAAGGGTGTCTTTGAACATCTTCTGGACGACATCAACTCTTGCATAGCTCTCTCACTCTCTCTCTCTCTCTGTCTCCACGCCAGGACCCATCTCACACCATGGATGTCATTCTGGAGTTCTGTGATGAATGGGCCTTGGACAAGGCCTATGCCTATTTCCTCCCATACCCTTCTCAACCCTCTACCATCATCGCTTCGACAAACGCCTCGGCATCCTCCCTGTCTTCCCTCTTCAACTCTTCCTCCTACGCTTCCTTCGCTTCTCATCTGCATACCCTCGATCCAAGCGTCAAATCTGGCTCACTCCTCCCTCGAGACAGCATCCTACGACAATGTATATCCATTTACACCATCGCGCTCGTAGGCGCTTTGATCCTGTACTACCTCTTCTGCTCCATCTCGTACTATTTCTTCTTTGACCGTCGGTTAGAACATCACCCGAGGTTCCTCAAGAATCAGATCAGGATGGAGATCAAGTCAAGCATGATTGCGGCGCCTTGGATTGACCTATTCACCCTCCCTTGGTTCCTCGGCGAAGTACGAGGTCATTCAAAGTTGTACAACAGGGTAGACGATTACGGTTGGGCCTATCTCGTGGCGTCAACGGTTGGATTCATGTTCTTCACCGATTTCAGCATCTACTGGATTCACAGGTTGGAGCACCACCCGAGGATCTACAAACACATTCACAAGCCACACCACAAGTGGATCAGTGAGTTTTCTGCTTGGGGAAGCATGCTGTGCTGTGCTGACTCGTGAAAGTGCCCACACCTTGGGCTGCTCTCGCTTTCCACCCAGTCGATGGATATGCTCAGTCCCTGCCTTATCAGTCAGTCAAACCTCTCCTTACTATATGGCGACGAGACAGGGTTGACGTTCCACAGCATCTTTGTCTACGTCTTCCCCATGCACCGATACCTCTACATGGTGCTCTTTGTCTTTGTCCAACTATGGACGATCCTCATTCACGACGGAGACATGATCACAGATCATTTCCTGGAGCGATACATCAACTCGCCAGCACATCACACCTTGCATCATCTGTACTTCACTTGTAACTATGGCCAGGTGAGTCAGAGAACGGCCTCTGGTTGATATCTCTTGCTAATTTCCCACCACAGTACTTTACCTGGGCAGACTCTTACTTTGACTCGTATCGTGCACCTGAGCCCGAGCTCGACCCTCTGATCGAGTCGTTGCGTATGATGAAGGAGAAGGGATTGATCGACGATGCTGGGAACGAGATCAAGCAGGAGAACAAGAAGACAAAGTAGATGGCGGGGGCGGTTTCTAGGCGAGATGTCTATTCGAGGAAGCGAGTCGGTCTGTGCGCAGACACCAGTCGCTGTGGTCATTGAGTGTCATCCGGCTCTCCGTCTACTCGCAGCCGCACTCCAACAACGACGACCTAATTTCTTTGCGCGGCACCGACGTGGGATACGACTCATTCATGGCGCATCGCATCGGCTTTCAACTGCATGACAGGGCTTGCCAACAATTCTTTCTTGGTTGAGTGTAATGTGATGTTGGGGAGAATAACCGTATAATACTAGAACAACTAGATGCATGGTTTGGTTTTTTTTTTTGGGAGATGACGAGGCACGGTCGACAGAGCGACTCGAAATGGGGCACCATGTCATCAGCCAAGCGCACTCTGAGGCAAGCTCTCGCTGGCTCGCTCGCTCAGTCTTCTACCACCTCGTACAACACTCTGACCCACTCGCCACATCCAGTACAACCGACCACTTCCACTGCGTCCTCCAGGTTTTTCGTGGTGATGACGAATTCTGAGGAACAGCGACATGGGAATGTGTAGTACAGTGGAGCGGTATCAATGTCCTCTTCCTCGTTCCTTTCGTGCTGGCCTGTCGTTGGTCCGTAATGCGGCGTAAATGCCTCCAGGGAGACTTCCAATGTGACATGAGGTTGACGAGGTAGAGCATGGCGGCCTGCAGCGCCTGGACCTCGAGACATCAGTTACGGGTCCTGAAGCACTGACCCCACCGTTTCCAGCAGCAGCATCGAACGCTGCCTCCCATTCTGCCCTTCGAATCGGATCACAAAGGACATACTTTGCCTCGTTGATCAGGCGAATATCAGGTGTCACAGGCGAGTCATCATCATCATTATCCACCGTTCTCGTTCTCGTCGTCGTCGTCGTCGTCGGCGAGATTGTCGATAATGATGTAATGTGAGTATCTGGTAGTGCTGCAGCACTCCTCCATCGAGATTGCTTATCTGGATGATGAACCAGGACCAACCGCCTCCAAGCCCTTATCACATCCTCCTGCGTTGCATCCTTGTCCAGTTCTAGGATCGCATAGTAGTCTACCGACCCGGTGGGTCGGAGAGACGTTATGATGGGCTGATAATCAGAGTGTTTGAATTCTCCACTTGACGATCCGTGGTCGCTGCTCAGGACTTTGCCTGCGAGATGCAGGTGAAGGCAGCTAGTGCAAACGCTACCTACAGCAAAGGGCAGGTTTGACCCTACTAGCTCTCCTCTTTTTAGTTGATCCTCCCGTTAAATCTTACCGTTCGCAAAAATTGATTCCACCCACCCATCATCATTGCACTCTCTCTCAGCATCTTATTCTTTCTTGTCATCGACTTTGAAATCCATAGCGGGGGGAAGTTTCTGCTTTCTGGCTTCTTGTACATCGCACACACACGCTTCCGATCTGGACAATTCTAGATACTTGAATCCCAACTTTCTTGGTTATAACATATAGAGACCGTGGATTTTTTTGGGAAAAAAGTGAGTGAATGAGTTGGTAGTAGAATTCGGTGCAATGGTGGCGAAAGAATCCATATCGATCATCGGGTCGATCACTGGACAAGAGCTATGGATTGCAGGCGTCGGATCCCTCTCTTGGAGGAGATCACGCATGCTCATCCTGCTGGACCGACCTCTGCGCTTGAGACCTGAATTCTACTCCATATGCTCGATCGTCATCTTGCTGATGGCCTTGTGCTGATGAAATCCCTTTCAAACAGAACAACGCAATCCACTCTCCATATTCATCGTGAGTTATTCAGGTCTACACCACCGCGACTCAACTCACACGTCTCTCGCCTTCATTAGATGACGGACGAAACGAAACATACCCCTTCAGAACAAGATACCCAAATGTCGAATGACATCGTGAACGAATCAGCAGCCTCAAAACCCGTCTCCAAAGACGATGTCTCAGGACCGGATTCATCAGCATCCAAAGCCTCAATCTTAGAGAATCCAACCAACGCTTTGCCTCTCCAACATCCAAACGCCAGCCCTGAACCGTCATCCTCCCATCCCGACCTCATCTCGTCATCATCCTCCGTTCCTAAATCCATCGAGTCTTCCATCGCCGCCGCCTCCGCCTCATCCAAACCACACTTTTCCAAAGCCAAATCCCAATCCAAATCCAAACCAAAAACCCGACGGGCTCGACCCAGACGGCGAGGCGCTGGAGAGTCAGATTCAGAGGATGAAACGTATCCGTCGGACGACGATTCGTTAACCAGTGCTTCGGACACCGCCGATTCTGACAATGAGGAGGAGAGTGGAGAAGACGAGATAGGGACAAAAGAAGTGACGGCCGGCAAGACCGCCAAAAGGGGCAGCGGCAAAGGCCCTGCGTTTGCCGATTCTCAGTCCACGAAACCCGCCGCTTGGGCAGACGACAAGACGGATGCCGAGGTGATCTCCTTTGATCAGTTTAATGGTGGCCCTGCGGATGGAGTCAAGTCTCAGCCGTCGGGGGCCAAGTCGAAAGGGCCAGAAAAGGTTTATACTGAGGAACAAACAAGGAGATACGAAGAAAGGAAAGCAAAGTTGAAGGAGAAGCAAAAGGCAAAGAGGGCAGAATTGAAAGAGGCGAAACGGAAAGAGAGGGAATCTGAATCTGCCAGTGCTGCTGCCAATCAGGCCAAGGGCAAAGGAAGACGCAGTGATCCGACGGAATCCAATCTCATCGCTTCGACCTCTGCTCTTGCCCTGGACGAGCCAGTGGTCTCATCTCGTGGTGTCGAGCTCTTACCTGACAAAGGGACCGATGCTCCGGCTCAGGCCGGGAGACGCAATTCCAAAGCCGCAAATGATCCGAAAGTCACTCCGAGGATCGGACAATTTTGGACACATGATCAACGGAATGAGACTTCTCACGGGGATGCATCCTCAGGTTTCGATCAAACCAGCGGATACGGACGGGGACGGGGGGGAAGCAGAGGTTTCAGAGGTGGACCAGGTGGCAGTGTGAGAGGTCGCGGTCGTGGGTTCCCGCCAGTTTTTGGCAGAGGTGGATTGGCGATGGCTGGAGGTGCTGCCGCTGGACAGAGAGGAGTGGAACTCGCACCTGAAGAGCCGACGCGAGGGAAGAAAAAGTCTGGAGAAGCTGGGGAATTGGAGATGGACAAGTTGTGGGCAGAAATGGAAGCAAAGGAGCGTGCGAGAGCGGAGCGGCAGGTGGAACAAAAACCGGCTGAGGACAACGAGGCGGATGCGAAAGAATCAGTTCCGGCAGAGTCAGCTTCCACGCCGGTTGAGGGAGCGGTTGCAAGCGCTGCTACCACGTCTAAACCTACCGTCAATGGCGCTAGCAAAGAAAGGGAGCAAAAGTGGGGACACGAGGGTTTCGAATCGATGAAAGCTGTGGATCAATTTCAAAGCAACAGAGGGTTCATGCGTGGTCGAGGAAGGGGAAGAGGCGCCTTTGCACCGGGTGAGTGAGCTCCTAGGCGTAGTTTTTGTTTCTTTTTTGACCGTAGCTGATTTCGGCCCTCCTACAGTACCTGGTCGAGGTGGCGTTCCAAATGTCTTTCGCCAACGATTCCCGCCTGCTTTTCGACCTCCTTTCGGTGCACCTACCGGGCCGAGGTCTGCAGCTGCTCAAATTATCCCTGCAGGTTCAGCCATTCAGTCCTCCTCGGTTTCTAAAACACCCGCCACTCCATCACGCTCCTCATCTGCCAAAGCTACGGAAGACTCCCTGACGCAATCTGGTCTTGACGATATGATTGCGCCAGTCTCTCAGACCGTCACTGTGCGTCTTCCAGGTGGTATAGAACAGATTGTCAAGCTTCCTCCGGCTACTACGCAAGCCCAATCTGTACCTATCCAGGCCGCTAGCCAAACTGCACCCTCTTCCTCTGCGCCGTCCCCAGTCCCACGACTCAATAGTTCAGGCGAGTTTGTCCCGCTCTCAAGTCGTACACCCAACTCCATACCCGAATTCATCCCCTCTACCAACCCTTCGCCGGCTCCTCAGGCGATTCCACAATTCACCGGAAGCGATCATGGGTCCATCTCATCCGCTGGCCCAGGTCCAGCCGTTCCGATCCCTACGCCCGGATACTTCCCTCAGGGCTTGGCATTGGGTCCGAATGGAGAATATTTCAACCTCGCTACTGGTCTACCTGCCGAATACTCCGCCTCCTCCGCGCCGCAACGTCAATTCTACCCTCAGCAACGATTTAACCATCAGTCGATGCAATCTCAGCAATTTTACCCACCCCCTCAATCCTACTCACCTGATCACTTTGGTGCAGGGGCACCTGCCGCTCCCCCCATGATGAACGGTCGATCCAACACTTCTACCGGTCCATCTAACCATCAACATCATCCTTCGATGCAAATGAGTGCGGGATCTTACCCTTCTCCGGCGGGTCAAGGCGTCTACTTTTCGCCTATCCCACAGGATGGAAGAGGATCACCATTCTCGCCTTATTCTCCTGGGCCTATGGGTTCAAGTGCTGCGAATGGCTTCTTCGCCCCTCCACAATCGAGAAAAGTGTCCATCAAAGCACCGACAACCAACTCGGAGGAGGTCCAGGGGAAAGATGCCCAGGGATCGAATCCAAGTGGAGTCAAGCCGAACAGCGATGCCGCCCAAGCTGCGCAGTCTGCTCAATATCTCGCAGCACAGGCGGCTGTAGCTCAAGGATACAATCCTTACGCATCGATCAATGGTGGTTATCCTGGGGAAATGATGAATGGCAATACTACGAACGGAATGATGAGCATGAACGGAGGAGGTGGTCAACATGGGATGTATTATAATCAATGGCAAGGTCAAGGTGGTGCTGGTATGGGCGGGGGTCAACCAGAGTATGGATATGCCGAGTATGGCTATTGAGTAGGACGGAGTTGCATGCTGTTACTAGTAGTGCTTTTGTGGCGTGTTGTTGCGCATGATAGGAAGAGATGTAAAAAGATGGAGAAAGAGTCAGTCCCCTTTGGCCGCCGCACCGGAATCTCCGCATGTCCGCGATCGAGGATCTCGGGACAATCCATCCTATGTGTGTTGCTTCATACGTTTGGCCGGCGTTGAGACAGCGGACCAAGGGTTGTTGAATCGCTTCGCTTTGCTTTCACGATGCTCGATAGAGCTCTTCGACCAGTGAGTCAGTCTATCACATAAGTTACCCAACCCTGACTGAGAATGTCAAGGTGAAAGAAGTAATTCTACAGCCATGTCTGGGCTTTATCCCGGCATCGTTGAGTCCTATGAGTATTACCTATCTTGGCTTTGCCATCGGACTGTCATCACCTCTGTTCGCCTGCTTGGGTAGTGACAGACTTGCGCTCATCGCTTGGCTTCTGAATCGCCTACTTGACGGTCTAGACGGGACAGTCGCAAGACTTCGGTCTCGACAGACATCATGGGGAGGATTCATGGATATTGTCTGTGATTTCACCGTACGTACAGTCACGAAAGCCACTTTCCTTAGATTCACCCTGTCTTCCTTTAGATATACACGCTACTTCCGATCGGAATCGCATACTCACCTTCCGCTCCTCTGCCAAACGAGACCATGTTACCGTTGGCCCTGCTCCTCGGCTCCTTCCATATCAACAATGTCATCTTGTTCTACCTCGCTTCTGCTGTCCCTCCGACAACGACAGTAAAGGAGATGACGTCTTTACAGATGATTCCTGCGCTCATCGAGGGCAGCGAGAGTTTTTGCTTCTTCACGATCATGATCTTGTGTCCGAGCTGGTTCAAGGAGATAGCGTATGGTATGAGTGTGTTGGTCGGCATTAATATACTCCAGAGGTCGTTGTTGGCAAGGGATGTCATGGGGAAAATGGTGGACAGGGAGAAGAAGAAGGAGACTTGACTTGACTTGAGCTGGAGTGGAGGAGGGGGGAAACAATAGACTGATAGAGTACGGAACGGTGTATGCAATGCGTGTGAGACCTTGCATTATCAATGTCCATACAACATGTTCATCATGACCCTCATCTCTCATATCTACAGACACCCTGTCTATACCTTATTAGATTCTCTTCCTCAAAGCCGCCTCAAACTTGTCTTGAACTCCTGCAAACTCGTCCAATTCTGCACGTGTGAACACGGTACTCATTGACTCGCCAGGTCTCTGAAGCAGAATACATGGCAATCGAAGTTTCTCCGCTTCCAAGTGTTGCTTCACCTGTTTCAGTTGGAAGCGTGTCAGAGCAAAGCAAAAGGGTCTTCCCGTTGTTCCCCCGCCACCTCAAAACTCAAAACTCACTGTGTTGTCTTGCTCCTCTGTATGCCACTGCTTCACGTTATACCTCTGTCCTGGGATGAACTCTCCACTCGTCAATTTCCCCTTGAGCTCTTTCCACTCTTTCCGCTCGCTCAATGATAATTTTGGCCCGTGAGTCAAGGTACAGGCTGAGCATGATTTATCGGTATCGCATCGCATATGAGCGTAGGCGTAAGCCGCGTGACCGAGAAGCGTTCCAGACGCATTGTACAGGATGTACAGGGTGGGATCAGTCATGCTGCTCCAGTGTGCTGTAAAAAGCTCTGTTTGTGGTCGTTGCTAGACGATGAGAGAGCGAGTGTGCAGGAAGAAATAGCAATTGCAATTGGAAACGGAACTCGGGCGGGATCTCGCTTAAAAGAATCGTCAGATCCCCTTTAAGCCGCCGATTGCCCAGTCATCTTGATCTCTCAAGTTGTAACACAGTCAGAGACTGGGATCATGGACATCTAACCCTCCTGACAGGTAGGAATATTGTCTACAGCCTGACTCTCTCACAAGCATGGATAACAAGAGGGACGTTTTCGAGGGAGAGTCGCCTCCGGTAGAGTACTCCGATACCTCTGGCGGCCCCGATTCAGATCCTCAACCCGTCTCATTGCTCTCTTGGACATTCTCATTCGCCAAGGTATTCCTGCTGCTTCTATCCTATTTCCTTTCACAGTATGATAAGTGAGTGGTCGATCTTTGGAGTCCAAAAGTGAGTCCTGATCGTCCCGGCCCACCCCCAGATTCATCATCTCGTACTTTCAGCAAGATGTCGTGGTGGACCTCAACATTTCCTCGGCAGGATATGGAGCGCTCACAGGCTACGGAACATCCGTCCTCTCCTCTTTCGCCGTCATACCCATTGCTATCTTCACAGATAGCTCTCAGGCCAGAGTATGGGCTTTGACCATCACGATTCTTTGGTGGTCCCTCATGGTGATATTTCAATCTTTATGTCATGAATTCTGGCAAGTCATCCTGGCGAGGTTGGCAATGTTCCTAGGTCAATCAGCCAGCGAAGCGGTGAGCAGGGATCGATTTCACCTTATTATATGTGTAGACTTACTCACTGGTTCAGCTCGCAGTATCTCTCATTGCCGATATACTACCCGCTCGATTCGTCGGTATCGGCGAGAGTGTCCTCTACGTCGGTGTATACATTGGCGAAGCCATCTCGTCCAGGATCTCGTCCGTCTTCATTGAACAGGATAAGAGCTGGAGATTGGCTTTTCGAGCTATCGGCATCACGGGCCTTGTATTGGCTGTAGCTACTCGATTGATCGTTCGGGAACCTCAAAACAAGCGGAGAATCATCCTTGGTCACGGTGAATACATCCCGGAATCCCTTCCAGCTGATCATTTTCCAAGCTCAGAGCCCTGGACGACACTTGATAGCTTCAATCTCGGAAGTATGGCAAACTGCGAGGTATATCATGGCGCTGGAGTCGTTCTGGATCATCACGTTCAGTTGCGCCTGGAGGCAGTTTGCAGGCAACATGTGAGTGTGGAGGGGTGGTAACTCTGTGAATACATGGCTGACGTGACGATTCAGCTTTGGGTACTATCTACCAAGTGAGTCCTGATTTTTACATCATCTGTACATGACTCACCGATGTAGCCCTTCTGCAGCTTCAGTATCCCGATCAAGTCGCCTACGAGGTCGCTACCTATGGCACGATTGTCGGTGAGGCTACAGCTGGGAACGACACATTGACCCACAGGCGCCGTCGGATCCACTGCCTGCATGACTGGCGGTATCCTTACCTCTTTCCTCAGTCCTCGTTACCCCAATATTGCTCTACACCTCACAGCATGGGGAGGAGCGATATCCTGGCCATTCGTAGTGACCTTGACTTTTAGTCGAACGCTCGCCTCGACACCTGAAGGCGGACTCAGGATTCTTTTTGGCTGTCTCTCTGCAGCTTACATCACGGCAGAGCTCTGGCTAGGCGCCATGGCTTCCTTGATCGTTTCACTCCTCCCTATACGGTACAAGACACTAGGGTATGCCATTTTCGCCCTTAGTCAACTCCTCATTTGGTCCGCTGGACCAGAAATCGTCAGTATCGCTCAGTATCGCGCGGGAGTCGATACGAGCGATATCCCGAGTTATATAGAGACGACACGGATCATTCTGTGCGTCCTGATACCCTTTGGATACTGCGCTTGTGCGTTTGGGCTAGGGATCGTCATCTTCACTGGCAAATTCAAGCGGGATCTCGCTCGTGTTCGGGCAGCAGCGAGCGAGCATGCCACGATTGAAGATGTGGCTTTGAGTAAGAAGAGGACAGGCGCATTTGGGATAGGTCTGGGCGTACTCGGAGCTATTGTCGTTGGTCTGACGGCTACGTCTTATGCTCTGGGTACTTGAGGGATAGAAATAGATTCATGTACAGTCATGAGGTTGGACGAATGCCACTTTCTTGTCACCATTCACAATCCGTTCATCTGCTAATAAGCGTTAGACTTTATCCATGCGGTAACGACGCGGTTCTGATGGGCAATCAAAGACCAAGGTATATGGTTCGATGACCTGCTTCCAGATCCTCAGGACGACTGCGACTGCGACTGCGACTGCGACTGCGACCACGCCATGAGCTGGTTTCGTCGCGCTCCTCCAGATCCAAAACTTCCACCTGGAGATCTTGGTCGATCCGTCGCTGGCAACACGTTTACATTTCATGACGATGCTCAGTCGTTGATCTTGGATAATATCGATCGATTCCCAGGTTCACCAGTCTACAGGGCCAAAGTCATCGGCAAGGATGTAGCGTTGGTCACAGATTATCGTTTAGCGGAGAAAGTGATGAGAACTCATGAGCCTACAGACGATGGACCTAGATTCAGTCAACGAGCAGCGTACTCTGACCTCATGGCTCCGTTCTTCATCGAGCCAAACGTTCTGCTAGAGGATCAGTGCGAAGAGACGGCTTATGCCAACAGGGATATCTGGAATCGACACGTTTCAACACTGCTGGACAGTCAAGATTGGGAGCCGATCAACGAGAGAATCAAGCAAATCATAGTGACCTATCGAGACAAATGGCTACAGATGGACGCTTTCGACGTCTATGAAGAATGCAAAGACATGGCGCATGAGCTTGTCCTGTATCTATTCCTTGGTATCGACAAGGCATCCGCCGATTGGGACAGCGTTGTTGAATTGAGCACCACCAGTCTCCGGGGCCAATTCTCCATGCCGGTCAAGGCAAACTTTGGCTCAATGTTCAGATCGAGCTATTCAAGGGGTCTCCAAGCTCAGGAAGAGCTCAGAATTGTTGCTGAAGACAAACTTCAAGCCGGGCAATGCCCTTTCATCCAATCTAGGACTCCATCATTGTTGAATTCGGCCATCACTCACACAGCCATGTTCGCCTCGTCACTCGTCATCAAAGCTGTGGCGTCTTATTTGACGTTTTCCCTCATCCAACTCTCGCGGACGGAAACGAGGCAAGCCGATCTCGACAAAGTGTTGAGAGAGACTGAGCGCCTATGCCCACCCGTTATTGGCGCTCTTCGAAGGGTCATGGATCATCCCTGGGTCCTCACTGGAGATAAAGAATACGAGATTCCAATTGGTTGGGAGGCTTGGGTCTACTTTCCACTCGCCAACAGGGATGCCAAGGTCTACGGGGAAGATGCTTGGGAGTTCAAGCCGGGTAGATGGACCGACTCAACACCACCTTCGTTGACATTTGGATACGGCGAGAAATCATGTTTGGGCATGGGCATGGTAAGACGGATCGCGAAGAGTGTGCTGGCTGTTCTGCTCGGCGACGATGACCGGAATCACGGCGAGTTGGAGCTAATAAGTACGCTTGATCCCAGCTTGAAGGACTTCTTGGGATGGGAGAGGCATGTCGGCGGGTGGCAGGGGATCAAACAGCTTCCTGTGCAGAAGCCGAGGGATAAGGTATCAATGAGATACAGGCGACAATGATCACGTATGCATGTCAGACATCTTGGGACAGGTATCGATGTAGGCAAGACGGGTCTGGGGGCGCGATCGAGTTGCAGGGGCGAGTCCACCACGTCAGACCTTCGCGCTCAGTGCTCATTCATCTCGTGCGCCCGTCTCTTGCCGCCGGCACCCAGAGCCCGCCTTTCCGGATCTCTGCCTATTAAACAGGTTGATTATCGTCTACTTTTCACAAGCTAGTCACCTATGATCAAGCATGGCACCGATAGCGTGCTCTCGCTACGTTGTGGCCGCAGCATGTCTCGAGTACCTCGCTCAGCAGAGCCTTCCCCGTATCCTTCGCAACACCAAAGCGGGAACCGACCGTGACATTCTCCTTCTCACCAATCGTATCGTAGGTGGTCTACACTCCCTCCTGATCGGTTTCGCAGCATGGCGAGAGACTTCAAAAGATCACTGGAAGCAGGACGATTTGATCAAGACGAATAGCGAGCTCGGTAATGTGATTATAGCGCTGGAATTGGGCTTCCTCTTACAAGGTGAGTCTATCAATTCACCACCACTTCACGAGCTTTTAACTCAAACACATTTCCTCAGATACGCTGTTCCTCATCCAACATCGCAAAGCTTGGAGCAACCGGTCATCACTCAGGAGAATCTTACTACATCATCTGGCCTATGGCTTCCTCAGTGCATGGTGGTTGAGAGCCATCGAGAAGAAGTATAGCAAGGGAGGAGCATATTTCGTCATAAGCTTTTTAGTGCGTCTCTTACAGAATGATTACGTCCTGATTCTGCTAGATGATGAACCTCTCCAACCCACCGAGGTACATCATGTGGTGTGTCAGAAAGTACATGCAAGGGTCAGATATCAAGCAACAGCTCCTTACCCTCACTCATCTCGTCTCGCTCCTGATTTACGCTTGGACGAGGCTCGGAGTGTGAGTTTTCCGGCGCATCAAACATGCTGATCAGACAGGCCATTCCGACTCATTCACGTTTACGGGCAGCGTAAAGGGCTCTCAACTTATGAAGCTTTCAGCTCGGTGAGTGAATGTAAAGGTGTTGGTTTTGAACCTAGTACAGCTTCCCTTTGTATGCCGATCAACGACCTCTGTGATCGCGCTTGTCAGTCTAAGTCAGCTGCTACAACTGTCATCCCGATGGCCTCGAAGCAACGGTAAATGATACAAACGATGGCATCTCTACAATGGACCTCACATGAATTCCAAACCCTCCCGATATAGTCTCTCATGTTCCGACCTGTATCTACCTTGCTTACCATCTGAGTATGTACCCATCAAGCGGTCCGCCCAGGTCACTTGATCGTCTCAGCTTCACCTCAGACTCGATCACTCACGATATGGCTGGAAATTGACATTTCCCTTTCGATGATGCTCGGCGTGTTCCTCGGGTCCGGCCGCCCAACCGCTGGGTAAGAGTCTGTGATACCCATATGGGAGATCCAAGCCGCAGTGGTTCTCGACCAGAAGGTACAAGAAGATCGGGACGAAGATGGTCCGGGTGAGAGGATGGGCAGACATGGCATGGAGGGCGATGTTGGCAGAGGCGAGGAGGGTCAGTCGTTCGGTCAAGCTCAGTCTGCGGTGTATCAGCGGATAGTCGACAGTCTTTGTACCTGACATACTGGTTGGTGACCTGAACATGTATCTCCGCTACACACGTCAGCCATGTCCCGATCCGCGCACCTCACCATGCTTGTGATGTGGCTTGTGGAAATGCCAAAGAAGTGAGAACTGATGACGTGAGATTGACTTTGCTCAGCGCAGACTCACTCGGTGCATCGCTATATGCGGCACATAGAAGAAGAAATCGTACAGTACCAGAGCACCAATGACCCCGATGACGATTTGCCTCGACGTGGGAGGAGCCTCTGGGAGAGCCCTGACCAGCTGGACCGGTGAACTCCAGGAGAAATTGTGCAATGTAGGGACTTTCCAAGTCTGCTGAATCTCCAACCTTGTCACACTGTCCATGGATGAATTTGTGGATGACAGAGAATATCCGCCACTTCTGATAATGTCTTCCTTCGATACTCCCACGAACTTCTTGACCATGATGAGGTCTAGGAAGATGACTGGTGCCGCGTATATGATGGCTTCTCTGAGTCTGCCTCGGGGTGACGGGATGTAGACAGTGCCATTGCGATGAAGATGTGAAGTCCCTGATACCTCAGTGTGATTCCTTACATCAACCGACTCACCTGGTCTTCGGTCGATCCTCGTACAAGGCTCTTTAGGGTTGATCGCTAAAAGTGTGTAGAAGATCTCGATAACGATAAGCGAGGGATTGGCAACTCTGACTCACTTCATAGATGATGTACGAGAACATGGTCAGAAATGACTCCCACATACTAGACTGTCATTGCTCGTGAGCAATTGTTGTCGGTCTTGGTAAGTGGTATTTGTGCTCACATTGTACAGCGATCTGTTCTTGAGAAAGCTCCACAGCTGTTGAAGGAAAGGATCATACCATGCTGGAAAGAGCAGCGCTGTTGAGACAATCGAGAACAGTCCACATCTTAGAAAAAATAGATTACGCTTTCGCGATTCCTCAAGACCGCTTGCGTCGACCATTGTGTTGAGCTGGCATGTGAAGACCAGGAATGGGTAGCAACAGATACAGTCATCGATGGACCACTAGATCTCCGACAGCCGGAGCGGCAAAATTTACCACGTGTTGTGGCCATTCACCCGCCAGTTTTGTGGCTCCGGACGATCCCATCAAGCAAGTACATCTCGTCAAGGATTTACGAAGACTACGCACAGTGACTGGGGGATATGGTCACTAAGAGCCTCATCCAGCTGCCTGACTGCTGACTCATGGGTGGCTTTCTATCACGAAGGTCAAGCTTGGCATGGCGCGTGCGGTATGGATTCGTACAACATCGTGAACATTGTAAATCATCGTGAATCATCACGACCCTTTAAGCAGTATCTTTGTAGATCCTGACCGACAATGCCTATCATCCACTTCAGACCTCCAGGTTCTCACACTACATCTCGTACACATCCTTTCGACATCATCCCTGTGCACTCCTATCTTTCAATACGAAACAACGCTTCAAAGGACATTGGCGTCGATCAGAGGGGACTCGACTCCAAGGAAGGAGGATGTGTGGATCGTTGGGAGCCCAAACTGACCCGAGAGATTCAGAATCCTATATTCACGATATGGTTGATGGTCTGATCTCACTTTGATCTCTACCACTCACATCAGACTTTACAAGTCATCTCATTCGTCCCACATTCCAGTTCAGTGCCCAACATCCATCATGTCGGACAGGTGAGATGACAATACATGCGTGGTACAGTAGCCTTATTGATATAGTGTGTACAGCAGCGACCTACCTGCAGCTCCTCCACCTACTCTTATCATGACAGATGGCTCGACTGCGAAGTCCTACAATCGCCATTTCTTACTCTCGCTCGCCACACCTCAAGCTCGTCCGCCCAATCCTGAACGGGTCAGATCGTTCTCCCAGCTGTTACGAAATGACTCTTGTCAGTGGGGGGTAGACGAGAACGTGTCTACTATTCTAGGGGGATGTATCTCCCCCGCTGAGTCCACAGGGTCCACCGTCGCCTCTCTGTCTGGCCCGAAAATTCAGAAAGCCGTCGGTGGTCCTGCGGAAATCTTGTTCAACTTCAAGTCTCCAGAGCAAACTCCGCCGGTCCTTGTCGATTTCACTGTACCTAACCCATTCGACAACAAGAGTCTTTCCACCAACGCTTCATCTGCAACACCTCGAATGGCACCTGAATTCAAAGCTTCCAACGTCTTCCAATCGTTCCCGGGATCCAAATGCCCATCACAAGGATCTCTTTCTGCCGCCGAAGATGGACCAGCACATGCCCAATCATTCGGTGACACCTTCAAGACTCTTCGTCTTGGAGCTCGATTGGATTCGATGGACTTTGCACGATCAAGATCATCGAGCATCACAATGAGCGACGATACCGGTCGAAGAGCTTCTCGATTATCCTCCATATCATCAAATGCGGGTCAGAGACCTTTGAACGCATTCGCTGCACCATGGCCTCTGCCCAAGACGACTCCGACAATCCATCTTTCGAAATCTCGCGGATCATCCATTGCGTCCTCGCCGATTGATGGACAGACTCTTCCCCTTCCCAAACCCTCTAGTCTTCCTTCGAGCCTTCCAGCGAAACCAAACACTGTCCTCCCACCCGTATTTGTCAAACGCGAGACGGCGGCACTGCCACAAAGTATGGCGTTACCTGACATTGCTCCACTGGGTAAAGATTGGGAAGGTGAAAACTCCCTCAGTGGCAATGACAAGAGACGAAGGGCGAGCGAGATGGGCTTTGCACCACTTCCTCTACCTAGAGACAGCTTGATCCAGGGCCTCGTTGGGAAGAAGAGCCTGGAAGTGAAACCGGCTCGTCCGGAAAGATTGGTGAAAATGGGTCAGAATTGGCGTGCGAGCGTTTCAGCTCAAGGCCAGGAAGTGAAATCGTAGAGCCTTGTAGGAGACAGTTAGATACCTAATAGCCTCGGCATGCTCTGTTTGAATCATCATGGAACATGCAATCTGATTCGCCTACTTGCGCCGCCCTCATGGCTCTATCTGCGCACCTGAAGGCTCCTGACCCTCAAAGCGACTCTTCGCGTAATGTGGATCAATCGCCTCGGTCTCTGCTTCTCTCCACCTATTCCTCCTTGTGACCTTTCCGATGATATAGCTCCCTTCCCAAATCCTGTCTGGGATGTCCTCCTTACCACTGCCTTTCTTGGCTTTCTTTCCAATTTTGAGATTACCGATACCTAGCATGAGCACCAATCCAAGCCACATGAACGCCGTAATGGCATAGTAGGCGACGATGATGCCACGCTTCGCGGTGTCCTTGAGCGTCTCTGCAGTGGCCGGATCGAGTGACCCGATGGACCCTAGATTTCCAAAGTTTGAGCTGTCAAGGTCGAATCCCGCTTTCGAGACTCGCGAATTGAAAATGTTGTCCATGATCGACAGTCCCAGCGCACCTCCCATGGAGCTAGCGAGCATGATGGAGGACATCATAGTGGCAATGTGACTCCTGTAGTAGCCGACAGCGTGCAGGCTCCCCGGCATCAATCGAATGCCAGTGCCGATACCCGTGAGACCGATCATACAGTAGATGTACGCTGGTATCTCGGTCGACAGAGCATGGGCAAGAAGGGTCATCCCGATAGGCTCGATCAAGGTGCCTATGGACAACGAGACAAAGGTCTCTCGTGGCCATACGTTGAGAATGAACATGGCCATGTACACTCCGACTGGAAGAGAGGTGAGTCATGAACGCCACTTTCAGGACTCACTTGCTAGACCTGGAATGTAGTAGATCACGCCGAGACCCGCTTGTCCAGGCTCAAAATTGAGCACGAGTGTGAAAAAGAGGACGGCAAAATACATTGTCGCATACATTGCTAGAGCGCATTTCAGCGTGAATGTTCATGAGGGTACATGGTGTACTCACCCATGCCAGTAATGAAGTTAATGTACAGCAGGATGCTCGCGTTTCTTGTCGCCAAAATCTTGAACGGGATCATGGCCCGTTGACGAGGTAGCTTGTTGGCCAGGGAACGTCCAGGAACCATGAAATACTCGTAAGTGAGAAAGCAGGTAAGGAGGATGAGGCCAATGACAAGAGGAGCGAGGACCTTGACGTCGGCCCAGCTATAGTAAGATCCTCCCCAGCTCAGCGCCAACAGGAGCAATCCCAGTCCAAAGAGGAACAGGAACTGTCCACCGAGGTCGATGGTCAAGAGCCTTCTAAAGAAGGTCGGGGATCGATCATCTTCAATTCCATCACTCCTGATAATTCGTTTAGGACCGACCAATTCATCCCGGAGCAAGAAATGGACAGTGAACAGGCCGATGACTCCCAGAGGACAGTTGATGATGAAGACCCATCGCCAGGAGACCTGAGTCAAGTATCCGCCAATGGTTGGACCCAGACCGTACCCTAATCCACCGACCATCTGAAAGATTGTAGTGTTCCTGGCATTTTCTTTTAGGGACACTTTGTCCGCCAAGATGGTCCTCGTGGAAATGTTCATCCCTGCACAGCCCATGCCAAGGATCGCACGACCAAATAGGAGCATGGGGAATGCAGAGGTCGGTGATCCTGCGCATAATGCACTTCCAAGTAACATGAGGATGATGGAAGCTTGGACTGAAGCATAGCGTCCATAGACGTCGGCGATTTGGCCCCAGGCAGGTATGAAGGTCGCCGACGTCAAATTGAAGGCGAGGACGATCCAATCGAGCTGAGCGAGTTCATCTGAAGCATTTGGTATCAGCGAAAGGCAATTGACGTGCGACTCACTGAAATCTGATGCGATGAACGGCAAGGCGCCCGCAACGATGGTGGTGTCCAACGCTTGGATGGTATAAGGAAAGAACAGACCACCGATGATCTTCCAGCGATACGCTCTCCTTGCCCGGGTCTCTATAGAGTTATCTCCGCTCACCGCGAGCGATCCTTCGACGTCCCGATGTTGTCCCTCTGTAAGCTGCTTTGTTGTCTGACCTGGTATGTTTTCGTCCCCCAAGTTTCGCAGTGTATGAGATTCGTCTGTCGGACTGGGACTTTCAGGTCTCGCTTCGAGCTCCATTGCCTGTGCAGCGCGCTCATCTCGCTTCTTCTTGAGATATCTATAGAGGAGGTATGCCATAGTTGCTAGTCGAGCCCTGATCTGACTGTGAAGGAAATGGTGCTTTGCATCAGTTATATAGTCATGATTGTGAGCAGCGGGCTAAGACGCCGCTCGACATAGCTGATCTTGTGTGAGACAGGAACCGTAAAAATCTCCTCGGCACCCATTTGGCTCTTTGATGAAAGCGCATGTTGCTTCTGATATGATGCTTCCCCCCTCCCGGAACTCCTCAGCAGCCGGCGGCATGTACATCCCCGTCTCAATCGTAGCCGTCATCTCCTGCGCCACGTAGAGCTGATAACCCACATACATCCCATACTCCGGTACTCTTCCAAGAAATCATTCACCTGAGCGGTAGCGAGCTGTGAACTTTTCGCTTGCAATTTCGGCACCGAACATGACCGAAGACTTGGCGTGGCTGCCGAAGGGAAGGGAGACATGCGAGGTCAATCAAAAGATAGATACATATCACGCTGAAGAATCCAACTACGACAGAGCCAGCATACTGCCTATGGACTGAGCTCCCTATTGTCCCTTCTCCTTGCTCTCCAAGTCCTGGAAATGACCTGGCACAGGGACGAGCTCCGATTGAGTCAATCCATCGACCTTTTCATCTCCTTTTCGAACGGCTTCGATATTGGTCACTGACGAATGACTCTCCCCGAACAGTGCGTCTATCTCTTCGAGAGTGAGACCTTTGGTTTCAACCCAGAAGACCACCTGAACCATCATTAGCGCATGCGTAGCTAAGGAAAGGAGAAAAATTAACTCACGATGAAGATGAGGAAGAGCCAGTCCCAAGACGCGTTGACAATGTACATCTTCCATCCGATGTTTGTACTTGAGTTTTGGTCAGCCCCCGGACACACAACAAGATTGGCATACACTCACATTCCGATGGGCATGACATATACCAGCACCAGGGCACAGCAATTGAGTAAGAACTGCATGAAAGCGAATCCATTGGCTCGCATCGAGTAGTTCATGACCTCGACAGGGTATAGATTGAGGATAGGCGTGTAAACGAGCCTGATGTGAAGATTAGGATTGTCATATACCTCACGTTCTGCACGCCTCCACTCACGAGTAGAATCCCTGGAAGAGGAAGATGCAAGCGACGTTCCCGTACACGACGGCATGAGTTGCTCCATTCGGATTTACAGCGGTCTGGTCTGCGTAGACTTTACTCAATCCTCCGATGATGTACAGTGTGACGATGAGCAGGGTCTGACAGACAATAGCGGATGGTTTTCGACCCCATCGAGCGATGAACTGGGTTCCAGCGACGGCGCACGCAAAACACCAGACATTGAGGACGACATTCTGTAAGGGTGGCATGAGCGACCATGTCCCGCCTGATGGATGGTTCAGACATACCGCTTTCAACTGAGCCAGCACACTGGTGATACCCGCTGTGTTTAGCTCGTCTCCCAGGTAGTACGATGCTGATGCAACATCAGAACAAGCCCCTTCTAACGCTCCACAAGGTCCACTCACCGATGATGTTACCGGTAGAGCTCGTCAAGACACCAGGCGAAGCTCCAATGAGCAATCGCCTTCGACTTGCCTTGTCCCTAAACATGTCGAGAGGAGACATGCTTCGACCGGCAGTCTTCTCCCAGTGAAGAGTGTCAACAATCTCTTTGTACACAGCAATTGAGACTGGGTCGTCCATGTCGCCGTTGGAGTTGGTCTGGGCGACGACGATTCGGGCTTCTTCGAGTCGCTCTTGGCCGACCAGCCATCGAGGTGATTCGGGACTGAGTAGGGTCAGTGGACACCCTCGAGGCCTGTATCAGGCTGCTCACACAAAAGGTAGGATCAGGATGCAGATGATGGAGAAGATCTGGAGTTGTCCGTCAATTTGGCAAAGCGCAATTTCTAGACACTCTACTCACACCCTGCAGCAATGAGGGGAGTCGCCAAGACCACGTCGAGTTGGGCCATTTGGAAGTTCCAAGCGTGATGCCAGCAGCGATAAGGGCTCCGATGCTGGGTGAAGCAGGGACGCATCAGGTCAAGGTCTCTCAGATCACGCAGAATGAACCTACTAGTAAAAGTTGTTGAGGGTTCCGGCACCCCAAGTTCTCCATCGACTGGCAAACGTCTCATTCAAATAGACGGCTGCAGCGATGCCATCGACACCGGAGCAGAACCCGAGAACAACACGGGCTACCACGAACATGGCGACATTTTGAGCTGCTCCTTGAAGGATGACTCCGACGAGCGTTCCGAGAGAAAACCAGAAAATGGTCAGTCGTCGTCCAAAGTAATCTGTGATCATGCCTCCAACTGATCGACTGGCGTCAACAAAGTACCCCAAAATGGGATGCATGTTGAAGTGACTCACCCAAGTTGGCAGGAATAGCGCCGAGGAAAATGGCAGCGGTGTTGAGACCCTCTGTAGCAGCATCCAAGACAAAGTAGTTTGCGTAGGCTAAGCAAGATGATGAGAAGGACTGTGTACCTCGTAAGCAGACTCCAGCTCACCAGGCAAGATATTGAGACCGTTGAGACACGATCCGTCATATCCTCCAGTGGCGGACTGGACCATTGAACAAAGCAGCAGGAGGACCATGAGGACCATGGTGTTCTGGGGCACCCAGGCGGGTAGCCATGTACCCGTAGGTGTCTTTACGAGCATGTTGTGAGTCGTTCGTTGGACTGTTGTCGTGAGATGTACAAGTGAGAGATGATACTTATTATTGTTTGGTTGGGAATGTACCAGATATGAAAGGGGTCCACCCCTCGTACGTCCCTCGCCTTTCCCCCCCTTGCCCTGCCCTCGCCTCGCCTGAGCCCCGACGTCGGATCTACGATCGGATACTATTTTTAGCCACCTTGAACGGTAGAAAACCCAAGGAATCAGGAGATGCCCGAAAATAGGAGCGGCGTATCCGTCGAGATCAGAGTGGGGGAAAGAGGTTGTCGAGATACGGAAGGCCGTGAACCAATTAGGGGTGGGCAAGCCGATGATGATTTGGGAGAAGAGATGCGTAACGACAGAGGAGATCCCTTCTATCCTCGTTGAGCGCGCCACAAAGTGCCTTCTCACCTGAGCTGCTGCACCGTAAGGTCGACTCATGTCACCGAGTCGTCTCCATTCCTCACTTCTCTCAGATAAGCGATACGGTAAAATGACCCGGACACCTCCGGATCTCTCAGAGATGGACGACGTAAGTATGCGCCAAAGAATAGGTAATCATATCTCTTGCGAACCGAGCAGGGCTGCTACGGGCGCGGCCAGAGACCACAAATCGTCCCTGGTAAGTGTTGGCTGGTAGGACGGGAGGATAATCCCCCGGGGGTCGATACGAGATTACCCGGGTTCTCACTCGACCTCTCAAGTGAGTCGGATATGCCGTATACAGGAATCCAAAATATAGGAGTATTTGCAACAGACGATCCTCGGGAGCTTCTGAGGGATTCCAGCTGGGATGTGGCAGCCGTTCTTTCGGCTGGTCTCAATGAGAGCGATTAAGTCATTCGAAGCCATATGAAGACCTCACGGACATGTGTCTCGAGACTCAAAGTCGAGGGTGGAGCTTAATCGGCACTGCTACGCCGTGTGTTCCGGAGCATACAAAGCCTCGTAGGAGCCGCAGTGCCACGAGCTCTAATCTCAGGCTCGCGATCGAGGCCTCAGTCGCAACCTCCAGTGCTAGGCTACTCACTCAGAGCACGACGTCCTGAGACGGGCTAGACTTGCCAGTGCGAAGGTCGGTGAGGCTGTACAGTATCACAGCTTGGAAACGACTGACATCTAGGTGGAAAATGCATTTGCATGGAACTGACTGATGGGGTCCTCATCGAACAGGACCCGTATTGCTGACTAAGGCACCCCACCCTCTAGTGGACTCAAACCTGGCCCCCACCTCCTCATCATGGCTTGACACCGTACCTCACTCTCTCTACGGCCAACCAAGCTTCCGTGCCACCCTCAAAACTCCAGCCCACAGGTCCAAGATCACAATCCGCACAGGATAACCACTTGACTTTCTTTCCACTTGCATTACCGGGTGCATTGAGGGATAATGATTTCAGTTCGGAGGGTTTGGAGAATCCTATATTGTCGAAGGACATGGGGGATCCGGTAATGTGCCAATAAGCTGATTGGTTATCTGGCGATGCGTTGGAGCCAGGGAAAGGTGAACCGTCTTCAGATGGTATCTACAATTTTGTCAACTTTCGACGTCCCCTTATCGGTCCGTTTTATAAAATGGAGCGCACCAAATTTGAGTCTGCTGAGATCCATTGTCCTACGCCCGGAGCGAGGATAACACAGCCACAACCTTGTCTGAAACAATGTATCTTCGTCACATTTGTGCCTTGCCCATTGGTCAAACTCGCTTTAGCATCTTCGCCTTCAGGAAGATCCGAGATGAGCTGAGTAGGAGGTCTCTTCCGTGAAGAGGATGATTGAGCTTGGAGAGCCGCGAAGATATCCGCTTGTGATGGTTGAGACATGGTTCACTTTGCTCTGTATCGCTGCAATGTGAGGATACCAGAACAGAATGTCGACCCTTTGGAATGATCGATGGATGCGCTCAGACGGCGGCGACCGCCGCTACGTTATGCGATGGTCAGAATTCTTCACAACAAATGTTCCGCCGCCAAGGTGATTGCCTGACCTGGCCTGCGTTCAGCATTCTTCGTATAGCCCTCTCGAAAACGACCCCGTGGACTCCTTCTGGACAGGTCGAAGAGACATCGGTATGCCAGGTATACCTGGTCCGCTGGGAATCCTCCCTGGATTGACCTATGACCCTGTGACAAATCGATACTATTCGACTCCAAAAGTCCGACCGGCGGTGGATCCAAATACGTCCTCTGTCCTCACGCCCAATCCGACGGCCTCTAGTTCGACAGCACGATTTACCAGAAGAAATGCTCCTCGATATCAGTCTGAAAGCTCTGCTTCCGGGTCTGCGTCTGTGCCGGCGCAGGAAACCTACGGAGCCGAAGGCAAAGGCAGAGTCTTGCCATCCACAGCATGTTTGGATGAACGCAGAGCCGATAAGAGATTGAAGCTCGATACTGAGCCTGAAAAGGAAAGGTCCGAAGGAGGGCGGTCGAGACGACGGCATCGTCTGGGCTTGATATCGACGGACTCAAGGCCTAGAATACAAGACCAGTCAGTCATCGATAGGAATCGCTCGCTCCACGATGCCCAAGCTGACTCAGCGAGCAGATTCAGCCACGATATGGCGTCTGGTCTACGTCTCACCAGCGCTAGATTCTGCAACTGCGGGCATACTGGAGAAAACATCAACGAGATCAAGGTGGGTGATCGAGCGCGAACCATCGCAGAATCGCGTTAAGCTCATACGGCACTTTTCAGGCATTCGGTGACTCTGCATATTACGCTACAACGGGTCATGGGAGAATCGTCTTCCATCGTGAGAATGGAGAGACATTTCGTGTGCAGGTCTGTGCCCAAAGTGTGAGTCCGAGACTGAATCTGAGGTGTCCGACCCTTTGCGCTGACAGGCTTCAGATCATCGCTTTGCACCAGGATCCCCCGCGTATGGTCACAATGTGAGTCGCAGTATCTAGCATGCATATCGGGCAATCTCCGATCTGGCACGACCTGTTCACTGATTCCCGACCCCTCAGGGCAATCTCTACTGGGACCGAAGCGCACATTCACCATTTTCGACGCACGCCTGAAAACCCGTCGGAAATTGAGCAATCAGAGATCAATCTTCCACCGGGAGAGATCTTCAGCTCGTCATCTTTTGACGATGCATGCACGCTCGGTGAGTAACGATTGGATGGTAGCTATTAGACGATTCCTAAACCATGCTTGGCAGGCGGTGAGAGAGGTCTGTCCATTGTCAAATACACGACAGAGCGCTACTATTCTCATCATCGGAAATTGAAATCGGATGTCCTGGCCGTAGAGCATTTGGACCGGAATCTGGTATTTGCGGGTCTGCGCAATTCGGCAATCTTACTGGAAGATCTGCGCGTCTCCCCTCGAGATAGCAACGTCATGGGTCACACTGTCAAAGGGAGATCAGTCGTAGGGATCAAAAAGCTGAAAGATTCAGTCGTACCGTGGGGAGTGGCAGTCAGCAGCATGTCCGATGAGGTGAGCCAAGCCAGTGCAGCGTGTGTGGCCGATGATGAGGAGCTGATCGATGGCTTAGCTATTGATCTTTGATGCTCGATTTGGCAAGTCTCCACTGCACAGTTTGCAAGGGCATGTGAACAATTATAGGATCCATCTGGTGAGTCTTCATCGCGCAGAAAGAGTCACGAAATGGTCTGTTGACTTGCCTCACCTCAGGGTATGAATACCACCCCGGACGACTCATATCTCTTTTCAGCCGGTTCAGACAATCGAATTCGGGCTTGGTCCACAAGGACCGGCACGAGATTGACGCCTCCAAAGGACGTGGACTGTTTCTTCGATTTCGCTTCTCCTGGTGTCTCAGGCTCTCATCCCTCCCGAATGCTTCGGAGGACGTCATTTGACGACACGCCCGGTCCTGGAGGTGATATGAGTGGGATATTGGACCAGGACGATACGCTGGAACTTGTTGAAGTGGATGAAGATGAGGGCGATATTCAGGAACAAGATTCCGTGAGCAGCAACGACGATGATCGCAATGAGGAGGAAGAAGACGACGACGACGACGACGACGAGGAAGATGAAGAAGACGAAGGAGACGAGGAAGATGACGACGACGAGGAGGACGAAGAAGACTCTGAAGAGTCTGAGAGCGATACCTCTGTCCAGGACGAGCTCTCACGACGGTTACTTCCAGGAAGAGGTAACACCGTTCGATACGTGCCTGGTCGATTTGGCACTGCACCTCACACTCCACCGACTTTCCGTCATCCGTCACATCAGACGGTCCCCTTCTTCCGAAGAGAAGGTACGACGTCCCCACATATACCTGGTCGCATAGCCAAAGACGAGACGAATGTCCTCCGACGAGTTTTCCTTAAGCGAGTCTCCAGTCTTTCTTTTCATCCTGGGTCTTGGGCTTTGACCGTTGCTTCAGGAGGAAGACTGGAACGTTTCGAGGTCAACTTGTTTGACAATGGAGAGGACGGCAGGTCTGATGGCTTCGGGGGCTAGTCTGAGGAATGAGCGCTCAGTGAATGTTGTATTGTGCCCAGACGTTGCACTTTTGTTATATATACATGAATGCATTCGTAGTGCATTGCAGAATGGGTCGGCGTTGCTATACATCCTCCTGATCTCGTCGTACGCGGTACGGATACACAGAATTTTATGAAGAAGCAATCACACCGTGAGCCAGCCGGGTCTATGAACGTTGTATCTACTATCACCCAGACTCAAGGGGTGATCTACTCGTCGGAACGCCACACCCCACTAAGCGGGATAGAAGCGGATCACCATGACACTCAGGTTATCAGTGGAAAGGTTGGTGATGGCGTGGTCGAGCAATCTTCGCGATGCTTCCTGAGGATCTTGAACAGATCGAATGATGTCCACAGCGTCTTGGTCTTCACATACATCCCAGAGCTGGGGGGGGGGGTTGCAAGTCAGAAACGGTTCAATCTCCGGGGAAAATGACCTACTCCATCGCACGCCACAATCAAAAACTCGTCTTGATCGTCGAGGGTCGTCTCAGTGGTATATGGCGCTCCGACGACAAATTCCTTCATCGAAGCGTCTCCAAGGGATCGGGTGACGGCCAGGACGCCTAGAAGAAGAGTAAGCTTCCGCAGAGGGCATAATGGTAGCCTCACCATTGACTCGGTTGTTCATGACAAAGCCTCCAGCATCTGTGATCCGCTTTGCCTCTTGCGTATCACTACCTTTATGGTCATATGTCAATCTGACAGCTTTACCTCCGCGGCTGATATTGCAGTCAGTCTCTGCTACCGGCGACCATCAGTCCGACGTACCAAAGGACTGCCCTCGCATCGCCTACATTGGCAGTGTACAACACCTTCCTCGTCTGTAGATCCGACTTTGGCTCGATGGCCTCGACTTGTGGTGGTGTACCAGGAACAGGAGCAGCGTGAACTTCTTCCGGTTCATCCTCATCCTTTTTATCGCTCGATCCACTCGTGAGACCCTTGACGAAATCTCTCAATCGTTTCCCCGAGGATTTTCGACCCAAATCAGGGCTGGAAGGACTTGCACTGGCACTAGTCCGCCGGGACGACGCGGCGGATGTCTGCAGTTCCAATTCTTCTTGACTTGCCGCCGAGCTCAACAGGCCCCGAGGTACGAACCCTGGATTGGTAAAGCCCTTTGGCTCATGGTCGGAGATCTGCTCGATTCTGAGGAATGCAGTGACGGCTGTACATCCTGATTGGGTATAACCAGCTTGAGAGAGCTGGGATAGACGAGTGTCGACGACGTTGAATGTTTTGTTGAGGAGATCAGGGATGGATTGGTCCGGATACGCGAGAAGACAATCGAGAAGGTACTTTGATAATGTTCAGAAGAGGCCAAGCATGCGGTCCGGTTGACTCACCTCGTGGAAGTTCTGACCGCACCACTCAGCCGCATGCTTGCCGGCATGGCCGCTGGAGCAAGTCAGCAGGATACAACTTCTGAGCTCTGCTTCTCTCACTCAAACACTGCAAAGTATCCCTGTCCCTTGATCCCAGCGTAATCGTACACAAACGAGTGAGCATCCTCCATGGTTCGTCTGCATCGTTTGTTCCGATCTTCGCTGACCCCGACGCGAAAGGATGGTTTGACAGTAGGAGATGAGGCAGTGGGCGATCCTTTGCGAGAGCTAGTTTTGGAAGGGGAAGCAACAGCAGGGTGACAGTTGAGGGCCTAGAAAGTGGGCGGGGATACGTTGAGCCAGAGCCCCGCAGCGCGGTATGCTGACCCTACTCACACCAAAGGTTTCATCCCCGTCAGCTACGGTGACGCTCTTGCTCCTTGCATTCGGTCCATCGCTCAATGAACCAGGTCTCTTCATCCCCAAGGAGGAGGACGGTGTATCAGTCGATCCACGCGGCGAAGCGAGTCCTTCGGAATCGCCAATGGATGACGGCGTGGCCGTCCGAACGGGTGACTGGCTGGATATGGTGGATGGTGGGCGGAGTGAGTAAAAGGTTGAAATGCGACGCAGGAGCGAGTAATGTGAGATTTCAACCAATGGTCAGCAACAATGATACGGGTTGTCAAGTAGAGGAATGAGAATGAGGGTCTGTGTGTTGAGTGTGTCGAAGGTGAAAAATACGTAGTCACATGTGGCGACCCCCTGGAGAGAAGATGGGATGGAAGACTTGAACTCACGATCCACCATGACTCATATGCGCAGCGTTGGCTAATCCAAGAAGTAAGACGTCAGATACCCTTCTTTTCGGAGGTTTCATGGCATGATAAGGGGGGTGGTCAAGTGAAGTGAGAATGTATAAGCATGTGGAGGGGTAAGGGGACCGCGTGGAGGGGTCGGCTTCGGGCATGAGGGCAAGCGAAGGGCAGGTAGGTGGCTTGGCCGGATTAAAGCTGTAGAGAGGCAGACGTGGAGGAGAGAGTAGAGATGACTGTCCGACTCACACTCATTCCCATCCAAGCTCATTCCTAGATCCGATAACTTTGGATGGTCTGGGTGTGCTTGAGATAGGGAAGATTGATTCGCTGGCGAGTTGAAAGGGTGATGCATAGTGGCGTGAAGTCGAGGATAGGGGCCCTGCAGCCGTCACGAACAGATGCGGTGGGACGTGGTATGGTCTTTGCCTTCGGGTGGAAGTCTCCAGTGCGAGGACGAATGGTAGGGGGCGGGGGGGGGATATGCAGGATACTACTATCTTTCAGGTGATTGAGTGCCCAAAAAAAACGGCCAGGGAGCAAGACGCAGTACGTTGGAGTAAAGGTGGGATGCGGGCCGATCGGTTATTAGTCCCTGGCGCGGCTCAGGGGCAAACTAGGGGGACGATAGTATATGACTGAATGGTGAGCAGCTAGACTAAGCAGAAGTGACCAAGAATTGGAATGAGATGGGTCTGAGCTACAGCAGCCTCTCTCCGCCAGATACGATTGATGGATGCTTTACGTTGTCGTCGTCGTCGTCGTCTGACCTTTGTGATCAACGAACGGGTAGAGGGGACCCGAATATTTCATTGTCGTCATCAGTGGCGCTATTCTCTAGATCGGTGGCGATCACTACTCGGGTTCGAGTGGTGATGGCGACGAATACATCTGCATCGTGGATCAGGCAGCAGTCAGTCGCCCATACGTACAGTGAGTCTACAGGCAGCCTTCCAGTACGATATGCATCAGGGTGCAGCGAGACAGGTGTCCTATCCCAGTTGCCCCCAAGCTGGACCTTGTGGCTGATGTCATCATCCCACTTTCCAACGCATCGTTCCAAACACTGTCTCAAGACTGGAGCCACTCGGGACACTTCTCGTCAACGGCCACAAATGCTGGTAGGACACTATACACTGCATGTCACTGTGTCTCTAGGGGGCCACAACATCCACGGCCACATATATGAAAAATATAGCGAAAAACGAACTATCCGCAAAAAGGGGTCTCTCTCTCTCTGTTCTCCTAGCAACCAGCTGATACAGATGCTTAAGCACCGAAACCGTAAAGGGTTCGTCCTTGTCTCTTGAGGGCGTAGACGACATCGAGCGAAGTGACAGTCTTTCGTTGAGCGTGTTCAGTGTAGGTGACTGAGTCTCGGATAACGTTCTCAAGGAAGATCTTGAGGACACCTCGGGTCTCTATGGAATGAAATAGTCAGCGAGATCCTCAATCATCTGATCATCGGGCTGCTGACTCACCCTCGTAGATCAATCCAGAGATACGCTTGACACCTCCTCGTCGAGCAAGACGTCGGATAGCAGGCTTGGTGATACCCCTGGGAGAGAGTCAGTCCTGGTGGGAGAAGGAGAAGGAGCTTGACCTTGACTCACTGAATGTTGTCTCGCAGAATCTTCCTGTGTCGCTTGGCACCTCCCTTTCCGAGTCCCTTTCCTCCTGTATCAGGCATGAGTAAATGACCTTCCTGTACGAAAAAGACAGCTAACGCACCTTTACCTCGTCCGGACATTGTGATTAGTTATGTGTGTGGGGGGGTGGTGGGGTGACACGAAACCTGTGGAAGGGGTGAGCTGAGTGAAGTTGAAAGATGAAGGCCGGCTCACGTACAAGTGATTGTTGAGATGAACTGAATGGATGGAAGAAAGAAGGGGAGACTGAGGTGACCCTCTATATATATACAAATGAACAGCTACGCGTCAGGATGGACGAATACCCCCGATTGGCTCATGCACCACGCAAACATCAAAACAAAAACGCTCTCGGGATTACAGAGAAAACGCCGCGAAATACCGATATAATCACGTGATGCAACCTGGATTTAGGTTTCTGCACGTGATCGGTGATAAGAAAGTTGAATTTCGAATCAATCCCACGTCATGACGACTGCCAACTTTCGGTAACCCTTCTCACCAATGTCCTACGGCGAGGCCATCTTGAGGCATTTGACTAGGGTTGATTCCTCAGCTTTGCGACCTGTTGTTGACCTCATCCACCCTCTCAGTATGAACGGTCATCTCTTTCGACCCCTGTGGTCCTCCTCCTCCATCAACAGCGTGGCTGGACCATCGAGGTTATCCCTCACTCCTGCTCGATTCCTCCTTCCTTCCTTCCAGTCGTCCACCTTCGCCTCATCAGCCTCACCGAGTATGGTCAGCCGGTTATTTTCAACTTCGACACAGATGCTGCATCGTGCAGGGATGAAGCGAGCCGCGATGCAGAGATTCAAATATACAAAGAGCACAGGCACGGTGAGTCACACTCTACGTGTGTCTGTGCCTTGTTCAATTTCGCTGACGTTCTTGCTCTCAGTGGAAACGAGTAAGTTCGTGCATCGAGCAAATCAAGGCGAACAAGCAGAACGAGGAATCTGCTGTCCTCAATCTCCATCTCCATCCGCATGCCTCTCTTGCATTCTGGCCCCCCTTGAACTGTCTTCACCAGCTGACCCCGACTCCTCTTCAGACTCGAGGTGGACACGCTCACTTTAACACCAAACGGCCAGCTAGATTCTTCCACGGTCTCACCCCAGAGGTAGAAGTGACGAGGCGGTCAGTGGTGAGTTGCATCTGAGTGTTCATCAAAGGGAGCCATATCACACTCCCGCATCGCCGCTTGTATTCGGGGACATGGGCTCTCTCTATCCATATGTCGAGACATCGCTGACCATTACTCTTATTTCTCTACGCTGCCTCGCTCACTTCAACCTCGCCATCGTCATCTCTAACCCGCTGCGCTACACATCAACTCCTCATTGCATCTTCTCTGGCGTTGTCGAACCCGGGGCGTGCTCATCTCTTGCCTGGGAATCATTTACATCTCCATAATATTCACCCTACGACTCGTCCCCATCATTTTTCACACCTCTCCCAGAAACGCTTGATACGGAGGATGATACCAGGAAGAGGATAGGAGCTGCCCTATTATAATTTGATGCATCTGCCCACGGATTACACTGCCACTGCTGCCACTTTTTTCCCTGTTGACGATGGTTGAGTAGTATGATGTGACACGTGGAAATGATCGAGGCGCGACTTATCTCTCGATCACCTTTTTAACCTTTTGGCTCATCATCATTCTAGACTATATTCTCAACTGCATCGACCTGCTCGAACAGCTTCTAGCACCCACAACGAGTGAGCTTGGGGGGATCACATCTTCGTATCTAAACTACACCTCGCATCAGCCTCACACGACCTCGCTTAGCATCACCCACAACTCCCGCTCTACCGATCGATCATGAGCCAGCCCAGCACGACCACCGCTACCGGTGCTGATCCGGCATCTCTCCCACCTTTACCCACAGACCATCTATCTCACCCTGATCAATGGGCGACGGGCGCTGAACCCGCTACAGACAAGCAAAAGGGTTTCATCAAGGTATTGGAAAAGCAGCATCCGGAGAACGTTCCGGAAGGAGGTGTGGATGTAGAGATCATGCAGAAAGGAGAAGCGAGTGAAGTCATTCAGAAGCTCAAAGAAGGACAGAGCTTGGGTGATGAGGAAGAGAAACCAGCAGGAGAAGTGGAGAAGAAGAATGGAGTCACACATGGTGAGGAGGTTCAGACAAAGCAGAATGGTGCGAGCTAGCCGTAGCGTCGTGTCGTGGAACGCTGATCTCATATTCTGCAGATTCTGCCGCCACAGGCGAGAGACCTGTCCCAGACGTCGTGGAACAGAAGCAGACCGATGCACACGTTGCGTCATCCCTTGAAGAGGCCGAAGCGGTCTCGCCAGCAGCGGACAAGAGTGCCAAATCGTTCGAGCAAGTAGTCTCTGAACAAGGAGCCAAGAAAGCCGAAGCGAACGCTCAGCCTCCATCGTCCTCACTGCCACCACCCTCGAGCTCCCAGACATCGTCCTCTGAGAAGGTCGATTTCAGTGGGGTCGACAAGAACCCTACGAAACAGGCTACTCTGGATGACATGATGGGTGGTAAGGCCAAGGCTGAAAGGGATGACAAGACCATAAAGTCAGAGGAGATCAAGGAAGCGGAAGCGAAGACTCACGAGGAGATCAAGGATGGTCAGGAGAAAGATGAGACCGTCTCCAACGGGCAGGGAGACAGTGTGAAGGGAACCAATGGGCATGTTGAGAAGCAGAATGGTCATTCCTCGACTGTATGGGAGAGTGACGGATCGGAGCCTCGAGCGAAGCGAAAGGAGCAGGACAAAGTATCTGGAGATGAAGATGTACAGTCGTCCAAAAAGGTCAAGACCTCGACATGAGGAAAGACTTAAAACCTTCTCTCATCCTCGAGTAAGAGCTCATCTTGACTTAGGTTGACATGGTCAGGAGGAGAACCTCGATTCACAGATCTGTATACACTAGTCGGACTCTCTTTCTTTCTCTGTAGCATACATTTCATGCATTTCCATCCATGTTCATACACCAGGGCATGCGGCCACAGGACAAGGAGTGAGCCTACATCTGTCCGAATTGGTTAGACAGCGTTACAGCTTTGACTTGGCTGCCTTATCACGCCACATGCATGATCGAAACAGCAGCACTTGACGCCTACCTATCTCGATATCGGTCATCTCTGCGTGATCTCTCCCTATCCCTGTCGTCCCTGTGCTTATCTTCCCGACGAGACGTGTGCCCATTTCGTCCGTCCCTGTAGTCTCTGTACCGGTCTCTATCACGATCTCTGTCTCTGTCCCGAGTCCTATCCTCGTCCTTGTACCTCCTCTCTCGCTCCCTCTCACGACTGGTGTCCCGCCTCCTCTTTGGACTGTAGCTCCTTTCTCGTTTACCCGAACGACCGCCATCATTAGTGTCACCAAAGACCATCCCGTAACCGTCTGTGCCTCCGTTTCCATTTCCGTGTCGAGAACTTCCGTAGGATGCAGCATTTGCATGGTTGTGGCCTCCTGCTCCGCCCCCACGTCCAGGGTAGCTTCCTCTTCCACCACCACCACCTCGACCTCTTCCTCTACCTCTCGGATTCGAAGTGACTTGAGCAATATTCATTTTCGCTACGGACTGAGAGAAGTCGACCCATATGCGGCTACTTTGATCAGTCTTTGCCCTTTGGGAGGGGTGGCTCACCGATCATCCACCAGGACGTTCTGCATTTTAAAGTATGCCTGATGAGGATATGGTCAGTCTTGGCCAGCTTGTATTCTGGGCGGTACGCACCTGTTCCGCCGCGGATCTCTCATCAAATTCGATAAAGGCGTATTGGAGACTATCCCCTGATCGTTTATCCCGAACGATTTCACAACTGAGGATCTTGCCGAATCGCGAAAAGATCAATTCGAGATCCTCATCCATCGTTACAGGGTTCAGCTTGCACACGAACAGGATGTTCTCGGGCGGTCTGACAGCCGCAAAGGGGATGTCACCTGGATGTGGTTTTGGTTCAGCTATCACCATGTCGAGCCGCCGCAGTCATTCCATCCCGATCCCACCCACCGATCATTTCCAATGTCAGAGCTGAGGATGCAGCTGCCGTTTGACGTCGTAGAGCTTCTGATTTCTCCTCTGAGACCTGCTCGAGTGGGTTCTCGTCATCGGCTATACGGACGACTGAACGTGATTGGGCATCTGGAGGTCGGAGAGGTGATGGAGGTTCAGGTATCATGTCCACCGGATCCGGGAAAGGGTCCTCTGAGGGAACGAAGCGAAACCCGACCGTATCAGCTAACACATATATTCCCCGTATCTGATGACGTGCCCACCTAAGATCTCCACATGCCGTATCCTTATATCCTGTAAAGGTCTACCATCCTTGTCCAGAAAAGCATCGTTGATTTTATCTAACGTTTCGAACCCTTCAATGACATGTCCAAAAACACCGTGCTTTCCATCCAGATACTCTATATTATCCGCCAGCGTGATGAAGAATTGACTGGCACAACCCGGAGGATCAGTCGGAGAAGCAGCCATGGAGACTGTGCCTTTGGACTTGTGTTTGAGTTTTGTCGAAATCTCCGCTGGGAAATATCGAGGTGGTTTGGCAGAGGTCGATTGAGTGATGGAATGAAGATAGGAGGCAAACGATTCACCACCTGTCCCTGTGGCGGTAGGATCTCCCGTCTGTGCGATAAAGTCTTTGGATACTGTAGGGTAGAAGCGTTTCAGTGAGATAGATTAGATCAGAGGGGGGGGGGGGGGAGGGCAACGGCCATAAATGCGACTCACCATTGAAAAAGGCATTCAAAGTGTAGTATTTGACTTTACAAAGTTTAAGAAAGTTCTCACATGTCCTAGGACTCTTTTCCACCTCCAAGTCGATCACCAGCTCCCCTAGGGAGGTTTCCAGCATGACCGACATGGTTGTTGGATGTTAGATGTAGACGAGTCAGTACAGGGGGAGGGCAGTTCGAGCACTGCAACTGTACCTGAGATGGCGGAACTCGCCGCCGAGCGGAGTTCAACCCCAACTCCGCGATCGATGTATGATGACGGTGACTGGGAACGGTTATGAAGTTTGAACCGGGTCGGTAGTTTGTGGTTTTACAAATAATAATAGGCAGAATACAATCCAGCATCATCTTTAACGTTTCGTATCTGACAGCGGTATCTTCGTCCCCTTTGACTGGCTCGTAGAACAAGGCTCCAGACTTCCGCTCCTCATGTCAGACGAATCGGCAGAGCTGGAAGCGACCAGCAAACAAGCTGCCAAGCAGACCGTTGATCCCATCAAGAGCTTCCTCAGTGGAGGGTTTGGAGGAATCGTGAGTCTGTGTGATCGAGGGTCCAGAGTCATGGATACCACAAATACCTGGTGGGATCAGGAGGGAGATTGTGACACGGTCAGATAGAAAGGTCAAGACAGGAGGACGTGCTGGACTCCGGATTGATTCATGGTTTCTGTATGGAACTCGCTGACGCTCGATTTGCTGCTAGTCTTGCGTGCTCGTTGGGCATCCGTTCGACTTGACCAAAACTCGATTACAGACGGCTGCTCCGGGGACGTACACCGGTGCTCTCAATGTGGTCAGAAAAACCGTCGCCGCAGATGGTATAAGGGGGTGAGTCCAGGCCCCTGCTTTCCGACTCTTGACCTTCGCGCCCGCGCCCGCTGACCCTCAAACACAGGATGTATCGCGGTATCACGCCTCCGCTTGTTGGAGTTACACCTATCTTCGCCATCTCTTTCTGGGTAAGTTTGAGACGACCAACATCGAATGACCCCCCCCCCCCCCCCCAAACTTCAGCCTCCGATGGATGTCTTGCTGATGAGGCCCCGGACCTCCTCAGGGATACGACCTGGGCAAACGACTCGTCTATGCCGCTACGCCGAATAGGACAGATCAACATCTCTCCCTCAGTGAATTGGCAGTCGCGGGGTTCTTCTCTGCCGTACCTGCTACACTGGTCGCTGCTCCAGCTGAGCGAGTCAAAGTATTGCTTCAGGTGAGAAGTGTCGAGTCTTAACAACCTTTGTATCACGGATCTGATCCCCGCCATAGGTCCAAGGTCAAGGCGGTCAATCTCAATACAATGGTCCGATAGATGTCATTCGAAAGCTTTATGCAGAAGGTGGATTCAGATCGTTGTTCCGTGGGACGTTTGCCACATTGGCGAGAGATGGTCCAGGAAGTGCAGTGTGGGTAATATTTTTTTGGCCGGCTTCCCCATACTACATATCCGAATACGCTCTGTCCTGACACGCTCTCTTTCTCCCCCAATAGGTACTTTGCAACCTACGAATTCCTCAAGCGTTCACTGTCCGCTCCTCCCGTCACTCTGCCATCTGGCGAAAAAGCCGCAGCCCCACCTCTATCCATAGGAGCAGTCATGCTCGCTGGAGGTTCAGCGGGAGTCGCCATGTGGACCTTGGCCATCCCTCCGGACGTAAGTGCCACTCTTTGATTCTGCACACTCAAAAGGTCCGTTGCTGAAAAGGTAGCGTAGACCATCAAATCTAGACTTCAATCGGCGCCTTCCGGGACGTACTCTGGTTTCTTAGATTGTGCTCGGAAACTCATTGCCGCGGATGGAGTGACGGCTCTCTGGAAAGGCTTCGGACCGGCCATGGCCAGGGCTTTCCCTGCAAATGTGAGACATCGCCTCGACCATCCATGCTCCTATTATGATACTGACTCGGCCCTATAGGCCGCTACGTTTGTCGGTGTGGAGCTCAGTTTGAAACTGATGGACTCGCTCTGGTAGAGGTGGCCAGCGAGGAATCTATCCTAGGCCTCGGTACACTTGGTGATAGGGGGCACGTGGGGTTTAGGACTGCGCGTCCCGGCCCTGCCGTGTCAGGTGCATTTCATGGAAATATGTAGAGATGGACATCGTCTAGATTATGCGCGTGAATAGAATGGGTTTGTCATTGTCCAAGGTTCAAGCAATCTAATCGATATGTACAAACAACAAGCTCTCCTCATCCATTATCAACACGCAGTAGACACTGACACTAAGCAAGAGCCACGATAGAATCCCGGACCTGCCCACGACTCGTCTCTTACGGTCCCGGTGGGCTCGAAGCGACTGGGGTACCGACTTGCCAGCTGGGAGTTGTAGACTTCTTCTCTTTCCGAGATGCAGATTTAGAGCCAGCATCTGTACCGCTCTTTCGGGGCTTCATCTTGGGCTTCTCGATATGGTTCCCCGTCGTGGGCCCTGCATCAACTTTTGCAGCTCCATCTGTCGATCCATCTGCCTCGTGCTGCGGTTGCTGCTGCTGTTTTTTCTTTTTCTTCTGCTTCTCCTCCGAGCCCTGAGAGGTGGTCTTTGACTTGCCCTTCTTTGTACTGGCCGTCGTCGGTGCATCATTGTGTCCACTCGCGTCCTTCTCGCCCAGCGTCGCATCTATCGGCTGATCGTCGGTCGACTTGCTCGACTTTTTCTTCTTTGTAGCAGGTGCAGATACCTCTGGCTCCATCGCCATGGCCACCGTCTCCCGGTTCGTGTTGTCTGCGTCGGCAGCCGGGGCCGTCGCACCATCGACCTTCCGTTTCCTTGCCGTCTTTTTCTTCTCCATCGCGTCTCCCTCTTTAGCCGCCTCTTTGGGTTCCGAGGGTGTGGGCAAAGCGACCTCGGCCTCTCTTTCCTTCGGGACCTCCTCGCTGACTTTGCTCTTCCGTGGCTTCTTCACTTTCGCCTCTGTCTCCACTGGCTCATCTGCCACTTTCTCTTGGCCGGTCTCACTCTTTCGTGACTTCTTGACTTTTGGCACCGCCTCCTGCACCATATCTCCCGTTGCAGCGGTCTTGTCAGAAGACTTGCTCTTTCTGGGCTTTTTGGCCTGTGTCTCGGTGGTACCATCCCCCTGTACCATCGCCGCATCGATTCTCTCGCTGGTCACTGGAGTATGGTGATTTGGCGGATGTTCAGCCTCCGCTTCAGACTGTCGTTTGCCCTTGCCAGGTGCAGTCGTCGTACCGGTTGAGGCCTTCGTATCGACATGGGCAAGGGTAGTGGCATCCATGGTCGTCTCCGCCACCTGAAGTTGGCTCCTTGCAGCCTTGATCTTGCGCTTCTTCGTCCCTTTTGACTTATCCCCCTCCTCCTGAGATGCCACCGAAGGCATCGACTCAGATACCGGTGCAGCTTTCACCTGGGCTGCACCTTTGGTCCTACGCTTCTCCTTCTCCTTCTCCGCCTGTTTCTCCTCGCCTCCGATCCGAACCTCTTCACTTTCTGCGTCAACAGACTTGGTTGATACGACCGTCTCCCCTGCAGATTTGCGTGCCCTCTTTTTGACTGGTTTCTTCCCCGTCGGCGTCGTTTGAGAATCCACTTGTCCAGCTTGACGACTCGCAGTTGGCGTCTCGTCCATACTTGTCATCCTCATCAAGGGGGAAAGACTCGGACGGATGGGTTGAGAGGAGGACAGTAGTTGATCATAGCCTTCGTCGTCGTCGCTTAGTTCAGGGATGATATCGGATGATTGACCTTCTGAGGATTTTGAATTCCCTCTAGGTCTCCTGGTAGATGTTCGAGGCGAAGGGATGGGTTGTTTTTTGGAGGTGGATACTCGTTTTCGCTTCTTCTCAGACGCGGACGATACCTTCTTTATCGACGTGGACGCATTCTCTGTGGAATCATGTTCCTGAAACGTCCCTGCTTTCTGTGATGGCTCTCCTGCACCTGCAACATTTTCGGTTTCTGGCAATGAACTCGAGTCCGCTAATGGTGATCGTTTCTTCAAAGACTGCGATAAGGCTCTAGAAGGGATCTTGGAAGGATGTTCCGAGCTCAACGAGATTCGAGTCAACGCGGCGAGATTGGAAAGGGACGGAAAGGATGAAGAGGAAGGTTGACTGATTCTCGTCTTTGGTTTAGAAGAAGAGCTCGCAGCGACGGGTTTGGAGCTCGAGGGCGTCGAGTGCGGTGTACTTCGTGAGAGATGAAACGCGATGACATCCGCTTCGGATACTGAGGGTCGAGATTGTTTCGGGGCTCGCGCATCAGGTGTGGAGAAAGATTCGTCATGGTCAGTAGTGACCTTCTTTGGTGGTCGTTTGGCTCGAGATTTGGGACGAGGTTTCGGTGTGAGGTTTGCGTCTGTCGGGGGTGCAATGGGAGGTACAGTCTGAGCCGTTGCCATGGTCGGGGGGCAATAAATGATGAGTGTAGTGACTGATCAGATTCCTCTTGCTGTGTCCATAGGTCCACCAATCTACACGGCAGTACAATGAAGGGATTAATGGAAAGAGACTGAAGACTGAGTGAGATCCAATGTTGATCCCATTTTCGAGAAATGCTCAATCTGCCCCGCGACTGACTTTTTTGGGCGAATCAAAAGCTTCTGTGAGAAATCGCCTTGAGACTGACTGATCCATTGAATGCATTACTCTCAGAGCAGAATACATCTACCAAAACAAGTCATATACTAGGTCGATCGCGTTCCCCGAGAAACGTATACGAAAAGTCCGTCGTGTATTTGGATGACATATCAAAAAGTTATAAGAAGGGCCGTCGGCAGCGGTATGAGAGCCGGCTGTATCCCAATAATAAGGTCGCCCTTTTGGGCCGTGTATACTTGAACAGTAAGAGGACAACATCCAGTCTTGAGCGCTACAAATCGTCGTTTGGTGAGTTTCGTATTTCGTTCCTCGTTCGTTTGGCGAAATGCAGATCATGGCGAGCACCAGCGTGTTACGTATGCGGGAAGAAAGAGGAAGCGTCGTATCCAAGAAAGATATTTGATACAGTGGGAAAAATCAGCAGAGTCGAACAGGTCGTGTATTGGAGTTGTACAGTCGGATCGTGAAAACCATTTGATACAGTGTAGGATGTGAGGTCGGCGGAAGAAGCGGAATGGATAGTGAAGGGCGAAGGAAGAGTGAGACAGAGAGAACCAACCAATATACTTTCTACATGGCGCAACGAGGAGATTCAATGGCCGTCCTGCCGCCAAGAGTGAGCAAGAGCACCACGCGGAGCAGACCACGTTGTCGAGGACTCTGTCCATGTCGGGTCAACCGGACGGACGAGTGTGCCAACATGCCCACGCCAAAGGGGGAGCAAAAAAAAGTTAATCCCAAAGAACCTGTTATGTGGCGCCAACCGGCACTAGGGCCGTCGATCGACCATGCTTCGTTCGCGTCGAAACCCTGATCTTGCAGATCACCCTCAACTGCCGTTCCGAAGACCCGGCCGACCCCTTTGACTCCTTAGACCAGCTTGGAAAACCATCGTCTCGCTGATGGTTCGTCCGCCCATTCCGGCATCGTCTTCAAAGGTGGATGGTGATTCCAGACCTAGCTGCGCGAGTCTGGCGACTTTCAACTCGTCAGAATCTTGCCTTGATCTGGCGAGGATAGTAGAAACGGGTGCGTTGCCTGAATTTTGACGTGATCGACTCGGTGTGGCAAGTTTGGATAATGGGATGGTGTCGGAATTCTGCCTCGAACGAGTCATCATCCCTGACGTGGACAGTGCATCGGCCCCGTGGCGTGGTCCTGATACTTTGCGCTGTCTTGGCTCCGGGCTCGCTGATCGATCCATGTCGACGTCTCTTGCGCGTATGCACTCTGAAAGAGGAGCGTAAGGGAATGCACGGGGTCGTGGTCGAAGCAATGACGGCCGTTTAGAAGGTCCAGAATGGATGGAAGATGGAGGCGATGATGGTGTAGCTGTGTCAATTGATCCAATGGTTGTCCTATTGCCAGCATAGGATTCCGTCATATCGCTTTCGCCCGAATACCGTTTCTCTTCTCGAGTTGTCGTCATTGTTGCTCGTTGGCTGTTGCCATACAAGCTGTACCAATCGTCCGCTCGGATGGCCTCGAAACTCGCTTCGCTCCATACGCTCCCTGGCGTGTCAACAGTGTGTACCCTTGGATCATCGTCATAACCAAAGGGAGTGGACGCAGACGAATCGGTTCGAGTGAAGGATGGCGCAGAGGCAGAAAGGGATGGGATAGATCCACGAGATGATCGATGAAAGTGAATCAGACCTGGTCGAAAAGGTCTAGCCAGTCCAGCAGGACCATCAGGTAGACTTGGCCGTCGACTGCGATCCTGGTCTCCATCGACTTCCTCCATATCCTCCATCATTTCTACATCTTCCTGCGCCTCCTCCACGTCACATTGAATTTCCGCCACCAGGCTTCTCTCTTGTTTTTCCGGTGTAAGGTACAACCTCACATGCCTCTCTATGGGATCTTCATCATCGTATCCATATCGTCGGTCGAATTGTCTCTCTTCTTCTCTGTTGTCATCTCGCAATTCGGCCATGGCGGCGTTCATCCCGACTCGTGTGAATGCTTTCAAAGCATTGGCATAGCGTCGAACTGATTCAGGCGGTGTGGTGACAGTGTACAAGCTTGGCGAAGAGGATGACGGAATGAAGGGAGTCTGAGGAGTCGGAGTAGACGGCACAGCGATCGACATGGTGGGCTAATGAGTTTTGGATGAATGATGTCGCTTCGAGAGAGAGAGCAAGAGCGATGGTAAGGGGAGGCTGATATACAATATCCCCTCTCCTTACCTTGACTTGACGAGTATCCGAGATGACGCTCCGTCGATGATATAATGATAATAATAAATAATAGATCCGCTGATGGTTGCTGTGTGGAGCGATAGACCGATGTGATGATCAAACAGAGAGAGAGAGAGAGAGAGCACGAACCTGCTGTCTCGAGTGTTAGTCACTGATGAACAACAAAGATGTAACGAGTCTCATGGATAGGATGGATGGATAGGGGTGTCGACGTCAATGACGATGTCAAGAGTATATCCCCTCCATCAAAGACGCCTTCAAAAAAGTATATGTATGGGTCAAAAGGGTGTGGCGGCGAGCGGCGAGCGGCGGCGGCGGCTGCGCGGGGGAAGGGGAGGGAGGCAGCAGCAGCAAGCAGCAGCGACGCGTCTTTTTTTATATCGAGACGCGTCGTGGAGAATGATGGCGTCCATGCAATGCAGCAGGCGGCAGGCAAGCAGACCAGCGCAGCGCAGCGCAACTGTGCATTGTTTCAAACCCATGCCCGAATGGCCCAGACGATGACGATGAGGCACACACACACACTGCTGTTCGATGCGGCAAAGCAGGCGAGAAGGAATTGACGAGACTCACCAGTTGGGACAGAGAGGGGGAGTTCCCAAGAAAAATTGATAATGTCACGCTCACTGCTTGTCAGGGTTACAGTGTGGCAGAGCTCTCTCTCAAAGGCTTTTGTTTTCTCGGCAGATGCTTGGATGGGCCACACGGGATGGCGTAGGTCTGTCAGACCCTCAATAGGATGCCGAGCTACGGACCAGAGTTTGGCGGGGCTGCGAGTGTCTTGGGTTGCTTGAGTTGGCGCTTGAGGAGACGACAAGGGGGAGCCCGGCGTCCTGATCGGATCCCGGTATTCAGCGATCGGACCGACGAGTGTCTCTGGCTAGGTCGAGGGACGTGGATGTTTTGGGCGGCAACTGAGTTCACGGTCGCCTCTGCTCCAGCGATGAGGAGACGCTCGAGGCGTTTTGTTAATGAATTGATATTTTGGGGGGCGCGACGATGTTACGATTGCAAAGAGAGAGAGATGATGATGAATGTGAAGAAGAAAACAGACAGAGAGAGAGAGAGACTGACTACTCTCTTAATCATATATTTGAGTTCAATTATCATCGCATAAACAGATGTCATTACCCATGGCCAACGATCGAGGAGGTCTAGCACGCACAGCGAGGTCAGATGATGATGATGATGACGACAACCTTGTTTTATTACTGTGAAAGAAAGGAGAAGAGATAGAACACAGAGTTGAACCAAAGTTCACCAAAAAAGGCACTGCAGGAAGAGACGGAAATGAATTGTGAACAACAAAACATAGGAACGTCTTGGGCCCGTGGACGTGGACGTGGGACAGCCGCTTAGCTGAGTGCAGGGAGAGAGAGAGAGAGGTCACGAGGGCAGGTCTTTTCCTTTTATCCGTCGAGAGGGAAAGAGGGGTGGTATCTCACTTTCACCTATTTGAGGGGGAGGGGGGTGGGGGGCGCCCGCCTGCCTGCCTGCCTTGACTAAATTCATCGCTCCTTTCTCTCGTACATGCGGCAAGTCAACCTAATGTTGTACAAACTGTCTGAGGAGGTCGGTCGCCCAGCTAGAGCTTGCATGACAGGCATCGCGGGATGAGCGGCCAACCAACCTTTTATGCTTGTGTGCTCGATCGTATATCCTCGCCCCGCCCCGCCTCACAAGGCACTGGCGCCAGTCCAGATATAGCTCTGCTTTTAGTTCAAAGTCTCACCAGGCAGCGGCGGAACAAAGAGCTGGCCCTCTTTTTTTCGGGTTGGGCATTTTTTATCCGCGACATTATCGACGTCACTATGAACGTGTATCTCAACAGAAGGCCTGTGTTGGCCCGTTGGCCTGGTCGGACACACAGTGTCGCGAAACTGGCCATAACAAGCATTTTTACGAGCATGTGCATGGTTTAACGTTCAAAGCAGCACAGCGGGGGGGCTGCGGCCTGCGAGTGTGCGTGTGCGTGCGAAGTGCCTAGATATGTGCGGAGTTTACCCGTCTCGTCGGCCCAGTTCAGTCGGGATACATCCTGATACATGACGCCTCTGTGGACACCCCCCCTTGATTGGCGTTTTTACGGCCTCTGTCCAGAGTCAAAGCTTTTTGGGGAGTCTCTGACAAGCTCGGTCTCTGTCGACATGGCACCGTTGTCTATCGCTTGGCTAGCGCCCTTTTGATCTCGTGCTTTGGCTGTGCTTTGCAGAAACACGAACGAGGTACGAAGAGGCAGAGGCACCTCATGCCAAGTGAGTCTCGTTTTCCTTTCCCTGCTCGGCCGAGCCATCCTGCCGAAAGGGGTGAAGAGATCTAGCGACAGCCACCCCTTGGTGGTGGTCTCTGCCTTGGTACGGACTCTGTTTCATATCTGACACCCTCTGGGTACTCACCACGGAGACTCAAGGGTTCGCGAACGATTTTTGGCTGAATGGATGGCTTGATGGACCCCCAGTTTGTCCAATCAAGAAAGAGAATCCAGCGGCAGTATCTCCGTCCTCTCGTCGTTTGAGGCCTCGTCGGTCACAACTTTGAGGCCTAGCCAGCCTAGCCATAGATAGGTTTGCGCACTTCCGCGATGCTTCGGACAACGTCTAGGTTTGTGATGTCATAATGCGATCGACTCTACATCCCCATGATTGATCGATACTGGGATCCAATGGACATTTCCGCTCGCCGAAACTTTCGATGCGTCTGGACTACAACGATAGACTGGTCATCTGATGGTGTTTCGGACAAAGTCTCTGTTTTATCTCCCTCCCCCCACTCACGTCGTCGTCACCGTTTGAGCGCAAGGTAGAATCTTAATCACACCTCCTGACTCATGTCCCATCGTCGCACGTCATCTGACACTCTTGCCCATTTCCGATGGATCAGCTTTCCCGGAACGAACCTCCTCACCATCGGCACTTCCAGTGGAAACGAGCGGGTCTCAATGAACAACAGCTACATGTGCCAGGCCCATCTCTTTCCACTAGGCTGCAATCGACTTGAAGGAGGATTCAGGGGTAGATTTCCAGAGCATATCCGCATATACGTATCTCTCCTTTGCGTCCGCAGCCAGCTGATATGATTCCCTGAGCTAGCTTGTGATGCTCGACGAAACACGCCATACTGAAATGAGGGCTCTTCTTGTTCTCATAATGATTCAATGGTAGGACATGATGACTCCATCCCTCCCGGACTCAAAAAGTCGCGGAATGGAAACCGAGACAGACATCTATCTAAGCGTTTACCCTTCAATCCTTCTTCTAGATCCTCGCAAGGATAGCATCAGTGTACTCTTTCGTTCCGGCCTTTCCACCCAAATCTCTCGTAATGTGTTTGCCCTCCGCAATGGTGCTCAATGCAGCCTTTTCAATCGTGTCGGCGTGAGAGTGGAGGTTCATGTGACTGGGAATCGTGAAAATCGTCAGCCAAAAGCAAAAAAGCTTTCTTCGTTCGGGGGTCCGACTCACCGCAGCATCATCAAACTACTGAGAAGGAGGGCTGTAGGGTTGGCCAATCCTTTACCAGCAATGTCTGGCGCAGATCCATGAACAGCTTCAAAGATACTAGCATCTTTTCCAATGTTTCCAGAGGGCGTAAGACCGAGACCTCCGATCAATCCTGCAGATAAGTCGGACAGAATGTCACCGTACCTGGCAAGGCGAGGCATGAGCACTGACAAGAAAACAAATTTGCCTCCGCTCACAAGTTGGGCATGACCATGACCCGTTCGGCGAATGGTGATGGGTCCGTGGCGATTCGCAAACATACTCGGTCCAAGAGATCTTCAGTGTACTTGACTTTGGGGTATTCCTTGGCGACGGCTCGGCAGGCGGTCAAGAACATGCCGTCGGACATTTTCCTGACCATTGTGAGCTACAAGATATCTGCTGGACGCACATGATGGGTGCCTTGTGCACCGCTGTGACTTCGCCACGTCCGTTCTCCTGAGCGTAGTGGAAAGCATATCGAGCTACTCGTTCAGAGGCCTCGTAGGTGATGAGTTTGATAGATTGGACGACACCGTCGACGATCTGAGCGGGACTATTAAGTGAAGCTCCGGATGGTCAGTCTGACACGTACCTCGTGCTCGATACCAGAGTATTCTCCCTCAGTGTTCTCTCGGATCAGAACCTGACAAGCGCGTTTCAGCTTTAAATCCCATATGGGTGTGTCGCTCAGACCCACCGTGTTGACGTTGTCATAGGCCGTCTTGTATCCCTTTATGGAGACACATGGTCTGACATTCGCAAACAGGCTAAAAGTCCTCCTGAGCGTCAAGTTGAGAGAAACGTGTCCTTTTCCAATGGGGGTAGCGAGTGGTCCTTTCAAAGCGACAGTGTTCTTCTTGATCGAGTCAATGGCATCTTGAGGGATCGCAGTCTTGCCGTTGACGAGGACCGGAGTGACGTCGACTTCCTCCCAGTCTATCGGTGCCTATGCGTTTTGGAATCAGTCGTCTGGCCTCTAGGGAGGCGAGCCAAGTTTTCATCCCACCTTTGCAGCTTTGAAAATGGATTTGACAGATTCGGCGATCTCAGGACCGATACCTGGCGACGAGTGAGCTACTTGGAGGCGATACGAGGCGGAGCAGCTCACCGTCTCCTGGAATCATCGTGACGGTGTAGTTGCCCTATGTGCAGGAGTGAGCGCGATGTGAAGGTTATTCACCCAAGGGCTTGTAATATTCCCCCAGAGCTGTATCCTGAAAGAGAGACTCACATTTGATCCCTTCTTAGCTGAGAAAGCAGAGGTAGGAGTGGAGGAGATGGCGGAGGTTGCAAATGTCCTGGGGAAGACCTGAGAAAGACAGGCAGACAGACCATGAGCACAAAACCTTCACGATATACGTCACTGGAAGACGGATGGAACCATTATTGAACTCACCGACGTGGACCTTAGGGGGTTAGACAGACTCTTGACAGCTGAGCGCATCATTTTGTTTGGAAGAGAAGAGGAGGAGGACAGGAGTTGCGGTGAGGGTGAAGTAGAGGACAGAGACGCAGAAGATGTGATGAGCAGCAACGATTTCCACTGGTATGTTGTGACCTTTGAGAACCTGATTTTTCGCAGGAGAAAGGTTCGTTCGGCTATTCTCGGCTTATACCGGACCAAAAGCACACACCTTGGGCTGATAATTTCCCACGTGGCAGCCTGACGTGGCAATCCTTCCGTCAGCGATTAAATTTTCCACCTCACGTGACTTGGTTTGATTTTTCCTCCCTCCACCTAGCTTCACTCAAAAAAAGTTTTGGAACGAAGACCGGTCTATTAAAATTTCCGGCAGCCCTTCCTTCTTGGTCCTCTCATTCAACCTTCTCTCCATCTCAACTCTTTTCTGTGAGTCAACGACTGGGGAACAACGACAGCAAAGCTGATAGGGTAAATCACTCAAGCCCATACTCCCTACCTCTACCATGGCGAAATCAGCTACCCCTGCCGCCGCTGCGAAGAAGAATGCAGATGCAAAGGCCATCAAGAAGAGCAAGAAGGAAGGCAAACCCGTCGTCACTGCTCCTGCGCCTGTAGCTGTCAAGGTGGGTCTGATTCTGTACTATTGGTGGATGTCTTTTTGCTGATCTTCTGTCTGTCTGTCTCCTCAGGAGGAAAAGAAATCCAAGAGCAAGAAGGAAAAGGTCGTCAAGCCCCCGACTCCACCAGAGACCGAATCAGAGTCTGAGGAAGAGTCTGAGGAGGAGTCTGAGGAGGAGGAAAGCAGCGAAGAGGACAGTGATTCTTCCGATGAGGAAGAGGAAGAGGCGGCTAAGCCAGCGGCCAAGACTAAGGCTGTGAGTTTTTACCCTCCCTGCATTTTGTTGGTCGCACGACCACTGACCGTGGACGTTTAGAACGGCACAAAGGGCAAGGTCGCGGTTGCTCCTGCCAAGAAGGACGAAAGCGAGTCCGAGGATGACTCTGATGAAGACGAGGAGGACTCGAGCGACGACGATGAGGATGAGGAGGAGGAGGCACCTGCCTCCAAAGCCCCTGCTAAGACTGCGGCCAAAGACGACTCATCTGATGAGGATGAAGACAGCGACGAGGAAAGCGACGACGAAGAGGATGAGGAGGCAGCCAAGCCTGCCGCCGCTGAGGAGGACGATGAAGATGACGACGACAGCGAGTCTGACTCTGACGACGACGATGATGATGAGGAAGAGGCAGATGAAGCTATGGAGGTCGACCAAAAGGCTAACGGTGAGTTTGCAGTTTAGCCTTGCTTTGCATTCCTTCACGCTGACCAATACCCTTTCTCCCAGGCAAGCGAAAGGCTGAGACTGAGGCCGCTCCTTCCAAGAAAGCCAAGACCGACGCTACTGCCAGTGCCAGTGCCAGTGCCGGTGGCAACGCTCTCGGAGCTCCTGGTGGCGAATCTGAGCCTACTCTCACTGTCTTTGTTGGACAGTTGTCCTGGAACGTTGACGACGATTGGCTCGCTTCCGAGTTCGAATCCTGCGGCACTATCGAATCGGCCAAGGTCATGCTCGACAGAGATTCCGGTCGATCAAAAGGAATGGGTTTCGTCACCTTTACCGACCTCGAGGCGTCTGCCAAGGCCGTCGAGCTCAATGGCAAGGAGTTGGATGGACGTACCATCCGAGTCAACTATGCTAAACCTCGTCAACCTCGTGAGGCCGCTGCGAAACGTGCAAACGCATACGGAGACCAGACTTCCCCTCCCAACGTCACCCTGTACGTCGGTGGACTGTCTTACTCCATGACGGAAGATCAAATCTATGAGGCTTTCGGCGAGTTTGGGGACATTGAACGTGTGCGGGTTCCCACAGATCGGGACACTGGGGCTCCGAAAGGATATGCCTACGTACAATATTCCAGCTTGGACGAATCCAAGGCTGCATTTGAGGGCATGCAGGGCAAGGAGCTGGCCGGACGGTACATCCGAGTCGATTACGATCGACCAAAGACTGAGGGCGGAGACAGGTCGTTCGGAGATGGCGGACGAGGTCGTGGTGGACGAGGAGGTGGAAGGGGAGGATTCGGAGGCGACCGTGGTGGACGTGGAGGTGGTTTCGGCGGTCGTGGAGGTGGTCGAGGTGGATTCGGTGGTGATCGAGGTGGTGGAAGAGGTCGAGGCTTTGGCGGTGGACGAGGTAGAGGCGCGCCGCGAGGGTGAGTAGTTCTTTATTTCAATTAAATCGCCTGCCTGTCGAAGTCGAAGTCTGGTATGCTGACTCGGGATTGTCTCTGCTTCAGTGGTGCTCGAACCGGCGGAATCGTCCCTGCTGAGAATCAAAAGATTTCTTTCGACTAGAGAGAGAAATTTCATCTCTGATCATGTTATCTTAAAACCCCTTCCTGTCTCCTCTCCCACCCTCTTTCATTTCACATTGTGTTGTCTTGAGCTCGTGTGAATCTCGAGACGCCATAGGAGAGATTTCAGGGGGTCTCTCATCGGTTCTACTTTTCATGTGTATGCATTGCGATTAGATGACGAGATGGTTGTCCCACAAACGGGGCGTCAAAAAGGGGGATTTGAAGGATCAAGAGATAATGCCGTCTGTGCAGACGTACGTCGGGCAAGATCCGTGACACTTTCTAGACATGACAAAATCATCCTATGGGTCTCCATGATGCGGACAAGCTTGCTCAGAGTAGAGCATAGGGCAGGGCGAGCTTTGCAAGACTTTCGATTTAGTGACCCGGAGCCAGAGACTTTGAGAATATTGAGGCAGTGCCACTTTGGCTCGCCTGCCCCTGGCAGTATGAAATGACACATAGGTATCTGTCAAGTGCTCACACGATACAGATCAGCTCATAATACACGAGACGGCGAATGGAATGTAAATGTGCTGTGCGCCCGACCTCTGACAGACCCTACCATATCGTACAATAGAGTACAGCTCGACCGCGAGCTCGCCTCACTCGCTGTGCATAGTCATCAAGTGATATTTCTCCTCCCGCCCCTGCCTCTTCCACTGCACAAAGTCACATTCCTCCTCATGAGCCCCCCGCAAGATGTCGTCCATCGTTTGTACAGAATTACTACATACCAATAAAAATCGTATCAGAAATGAGGTGGTTTCGTCGTCATGAACAAGAGACAGAATCTTCCTGCTACCTCGCAGTTTGTTTGTTTTTCCTTCTCCCCAGCCATCGCATCCTCTGTCTATCCCTCAATGTGCTCCGGAACAGCAGTATCAGGCAAGTTGCCCCAATCCGTTTCGTCTCCACCGCCACCAAAATTGGCCGAGCCCCACTGTCCCGCGAATCAATCAAGATTTCCCGAGATTCTAGGTCACACACTCACATCAAAATCAAACGTCATAAAGTTCTCTTGGGTAGTCGAGATTGGCTGTTCGGTACCTCCTGAAAACCCTTCAAAGGCTTTGAAAAAGTCTGCAGCGCTTTGATCTTCTGTTGGAAGCGACTGCTCGTCGGTTATGATAGGTATGGGTGCGGGCTGGTGCCCGTTGGGCTCAGTCTGAGGATTCATGAGGATGAGCGAGAATCATCGCGAGAATGATGGACTCACCTGGGATTTGAAAGAATCCCCCGCTCCCTCGGGGTATGTAAAGTCTCCTCCGAGTCCGAGCTGCACAGAGTCAGAATCTTCGCGACCCTGGTCAGAAAAGCCAGACAACGCTGTCAAGCCAGAGACCGGCACAGCAGTAGCAGATTCAGACGAGGCTGCCCAAACATCATTGTCTCGACCTCCGCCCAAAGTTTGATCGTCTGGATTGTGCTTGAGCCTAGCAGGCGCCTTCTTACGATTCGTCCCTCTAGCTCCTGCGGTCGGCTTACGGACCTGAGCACGTCGCTTTGTCGAACTTGCGGAACTGGGCGGAGGAATCTCCAAGTCACCGTCATTGACCGCTCCCACAGCATCGTCGGCGGTCATCCGTGTTGCGGATCTCTGGCCAAGAGCATTGCCAGTGCCGAGACCGTTGATACCGACGTTTGTGCTCAAATCAAGAGCCAGTCCTGGACTCGAAGCTGTGCGATTGACCGCTTGCGACGGCAGGTCCAGATTACTCGGCTCGACAGCACCGGGGGACTGCAAGAGGATCCCAGCGGCGGATGAAGAGGCTATCTGCTGTTGAGCGTAATGTGCAGCCTGCTGAGAATAACGGCGATGAGGGTCTGGTATGGGATGTCCCTGAGCCGAGGGGTTCTGGAAGGGTCAATGGGGCGGAGCGTAGGGGAGCTTACGACTGAGCCAGAGCGAGACACGGCGGGACTTTGAACTCCAGCTACCCGAGAAGCGATTTCCAATGCCTGTCGTTGATGATCCTCGGGTGCTGCATTCAATAAGCAATCATTACACGGCTTGCTCAATTACACTCACTCGGCTTTTTACCCGTGATTCTCGCCCTCTTCGTCTGTACATCGACAGCTGACGGATCAGCACCCCGCTTCGCACTCATGACGCTATCTGCTGAGGGCGAAGCTCCCACATCGATACCACTGGGAGGCCAGGTCTGTAAAGTCGTCCCGTTCACCATTCCCCTGGCGTGAGCAGGTGAAGGGTGCATAATGGCTCGTTGGGGCTGAGAGGTAGTCTGAAAGGCGCCAGACTGAGGCCAGGCGGGGACTTGTCTTTGGGATGTACTCTGCCCAGCCTGCGCCAGGAGGTGTTGTGAGATTTGCTCGTGAGTCATCTGGACGTGCTCCCCCGTTGGGAGGATGATCGTTTGAGACTGGCCTTGGCTTGTCTGACCAAATTCAGCTTTGATTTTCCCCATCCATGAGGCTTACATTGTGAGCTCCGAGCGATCCACCGGCCACGGACGGACGCCGCTTATTCGGGTCATTCTGAGCTTCGATGTGAGCTTGCTGAGCACGCCTCATCTCCTCGGCAGCTCTCAGCTTCGCTTGAACAGGATCTTCAGCAGCCTCGATACGCTGACTCTGAATGCCATTCGGAGGATGAATTGCGGTCATTGGCGGGAAAGTAGTTCTTGCAGCAGTCCGACCGGCCTCGACTGAGGTAGCCCGTACAGCTGCTGCAGGAGCTGATACTGCGATCTGAGCCGCAAGTGCCGAAGAAGGAGGGGGGTGAGCGCTGAGAGGAGGCCCAGTGACAGACTCCAAGTCGACTTCTACGCTCAGCTTTCTAGCTTTTGTGAGCCGCTGGGTCTCCTCAAAAATGGTCCACCACTGGAGCTGGTCAGAGAATGACTTCGTTTCGGTTACTCACGGAGTAGAGATAGCCTAGATCCCCATCAATCGAGGCGGCGTTGCCTGAAGATCTCTTAAAAGGCGAATGACTCTCCTCTTTGACTCTTGCGCTTCGTGCAGGTTCGTCGAGTGCCATTGGTGTCACGATTTGTTCCTGCGAACCGGAGTCATCGTGATCCTGTGTTTCATCGGACGTCAGGTCTGTGTCGCCGCGTTCATTGCTCGCATTCTCCTCGTGAGCCATTGCTGGATGCGAGGCTGAGAGATTGACACGTGTCGAGGATGATTCGGGCGCTTTCTGCTGATTCCAATGCTTTGTCGGGGAGAAGCTTTGAGTAGTGGGGCGTTGAGGCGTGACAGGGGTTTCAATTTGGTTCTCGAGGCGCCGCACCCTCGCAGAGTTGGACAGGAGACCCGTCTCTTCCTCAATTCCGACCGGGTCCCCTTTCCCTTCGTCGAGGTTCTGTTTCAAGACATTGGCGACGTCGGTGTATCCAGCGTTTTTAAGGCTGGAGTGAAGCATCAGCTCTGAATGCTTGAAGCAACTTCCAACTCACTACTCCAAGACATGATGATCGAATCGTTGCCTCATTTCGGACTCTGAAGGTCGACTGGATGCTTGCTGTCTGACGGCGGCCTCCTCCTTGATCACGCTTTCCAATTGATTCTGAGCCTGCTCGATGTGTCGTTGCAGTTTTGCCACGGTCTCTTCCTTGCGCCGCGCTCGAGTCTTCAGCGAAATGTGCTGAACAGACCGAGGCTGGACAGAGTTGAGTCCGGTTTTCTCAGCAGAGGCATTTGAGCCGCGAGGGCCACTGCCATCTGAGTCGTCTGACGCTGTTGGCCTGACGAGATCTTGTGCAGTGTCATGGTTCTCCTGACCAGCCAGAGATGGAGGTCGAACGGCGATTGAAGCGCTTGATGCTGGACCACTCACTGACCCCACACCAACTGGAGCTGGCTCGTGAGAAGGGTGAGGTGTCATTCGCTGAAGTGCGACAGGTGGAGGAGGGCGAAAGGACCTGATTGGCGGAGCAGGTGAGGGACCCCGAGAAGCCGCTCGACTGATCGATCGAGTGATGGAAGCAGGATGAGAAGCCAGTCCGGCTGCAGGAGATTGATTGGCAGGTGTCACTACAGGTCTAGGAGCTGGAGGTGTTTGAGCCATCCTGTAAGCCTGCTGCAACCTCAACGCTTCTTGTTTCTCCATTTCATGCCGTTGAACTCTCTGCTGATGTTGCACGAAATGTTCGTTCATTTGCTGTAGATCGATGGCTCGCTGGGCCTGCGCCATTTGAGCAGCTCGATATTGAGGAGTCTGGACGGGAAAAGACCCTTGAGTATGGTACGCAAAGTGCCCAGGTGGGCCTACTTGAATTGGCCGCCCTTGAGCTTCCACATAGTACTGACCTGCAACAGCTGCAGTTCCATTCGGATGGACGGAGGCTGTGCCGTTGGCTTGGGTCATAGACACATTGGTTTGCGGCCGGATGGATTGTTGGGACACCTGTCGAGGGGGATGAGCCTGAGGAATGTACTGGAGCCCTCCACTAGGGTACTGAGCCTGGATGCCAAGTTGTCATAGAGCCGCTGCTTTTGCATCCCTAGCCGCTCCCGGCCCATTGCCGGCGAAGGTAGATACTTGATTTCGAGCCTGATGTTCCAGGATTGCACGTGTCTGATCGTCCAGTGATGCTTGATTGTAGGTGATCTGGTGACCGTTGGCGTCCTGGTAAATTTGAGCCCCAGACGGATCGGGATGAACCTATAAGGAAAGCGGGTGTGCGAGGCATGAGGTGGCGAGGGATCACGAGATGGAATGTGCGCAGAGACAGAGAGCAAGGTCAGTCATAGTTGTTTTCTGGATATTTGAGCAGCAACTCACCCCTATGGATCGGGGTGGACTGGACTGCATCCTCACCACGTCTACCAGACGCTTCCCTGGGAAATGAAGATAGCAGATACCTACCGACCTCAGGGCCTCGCTCGAGATCAGTGACAAGAGTCAAGACACAATATGCTGAACCCTGAATGTAGTCAGCATACAAGACCGGATCAAAGGAAGTGAACTTTTCGAATCCGGGGCGAGAGACAAGCTTATGATAATATCCGAGGCCGATGAAGGGTTCAGATCAATCAATGACTCACCTGTCAGGACGTCGACGTTGATCAAGAGGCTACTAACCACCACGACACGGCTTCGTCGCGTCGGTTGAGCAATAGATAATGTCTTCACTGAATGTCTCGAGAGGACGATAGAAAGAGCCCAAGGGCATGAAAGGAAGTCACAATTGGCCGCAGTGAGTAGGTGGTGATGTGGGATTATGTTCGTTTGGGCCTGAAGCAGTCCGTGATAAGCACTTCGCTCATCTACTCTAAACGGAGTCCCTTTGGGGAATCCAAGGGGCCGAGGGGGGGCCCATAGACGTCTTGACCATCTCGACTGGACCGCTAAAGAGTAGAGAGAGATATAAGATGTTCCCAACGATGAGGTTCAGATGAATCCGAGGTGGGAAAGACGTTGAACTTGAAACTTCTCGCCTCTTCTCAACGTCATTGTTCGCCACTCTGGAGCCCCATTTGTTTCATCAGCGTGTGGCGGTCTAATCCTCTGGCTGTGGCTGTAGTTGTGGCAAGCAGCTGCTCTCATTCGTACCGTATCGCATCACGGCGGGAAAGAAAAGTACATGTGTTTCTTGTAGACTTTTATATGGATTCACTCTTCAACAATCTATGTACAATTCGAGGATTTCAAACTGAGACCTAAACCAGAGTACCCCTGATACTGCGACTTGTCCCTTGAAGGCCAGTCAAGCGGACCAACCGGTGCAGCTCTATCCCAGGGCGTCTTACTGTTCCATCCATACTTCTCTCCACTGACATTGTCTAGCGGTCCAATAGAATACCCTCTATCCGGAACAGAGGGTCCAAGAGGGGGAGTGACAACTTGACTGAATGATCCGTCCGATAATGAGTCTAGCGAAGATGGATCGCTATTCCTGTGCCAGGTGGAAGAGCTTGCAGAAAGGGAAGATTGACTTGTGTGCCATATATTAGGGACATCAAATGGAGTATGGGAGAACGAAGATGATGTTGAAGGAGCTGAGAGATGCTGAGACGGTATAGGCGGAGGTGATAATGAATGAGTGACACCCTTGATGGCGACGACTGTTCTGAGGCTGAGGGAGGGAGGAGGAGCATCAGTCCTCAATCTAAGGAAGAAGCCAAGCTGTCTTACATGTCTATGAAGGCCGCTCCATCGCCTTTGAATTTCTCATCGACGAGTCTGAGGTACTCCATGGCTACCTTGCTGTCGATCTGCTTGGCAACCTGGACGATCAAATTCGGATCGACCGTGGCAGGCGCTGAGCTTTCCGAGTATCCTTGGCCGAATGTTGAGACTCGATTTGCGTTGGTGTCTCCTCCTCCACTCTCCAGTCGCATCGAGCTCCCTCGGTAGACTTCACTAGTCTCTTCACCTGTTTATCAGTTGACACGTTGCTCGATCACGGCTGAAGACTTACGATGCCCTGTTGACCTTCCCCACGAGATCCTCAATCGGTGACCCATCATCTCGAAGCCCTGCATCACCTTGACCACGACTTCCGCGTCCGATCGATGTACATAGTGGACGAAACCACAGTATGACGTTCCACTCTTTGGCGGCAAGACTTTGACCTGAAAGTTATATCGTGTCAGCGTCCGATTGAGATCTAACAGCTCATTTCCACTCACACCAGTATATGGGCCGAACACTGCGAACACCGCTGCAAGGTAGTACTCTGTTACGTCGCCCGTCAATCCACCAATGAATACCGTCGCGTTTCCTTCGTCAGACGCAGCGACTCTTGCGGGCCAACATCCACCAGTTGAAGGTGGCGCAACTTTACCATCCCTCAATCTCTGAGCTACTCGGATCTCATCGTAGCCAGCGTCCCAGGCTTGGGAAATCTCCCGTATCAACGAGGTGGACGCGTTACCCAGATACCCTGATCGAGGGAAATGTATTTTGACAATGTGCGTGGCGAGGGATATAAGCGATTCATCGGGATCCAGAGACGACAAAGCAGCTGCCACTTGGACAGGATCAGCCTCTCCAATGGAAAGAAGTGTCTGGAGAGCGTAGAATCGCTTCTCGCTAGTGCCAGTGTCGGAGGAGGAGTCAGACGGTCCATTAAACGCATCGTACGGACTGAGGATGGAATCTGAGACTTCGGAGCAGGCTGAACAGTGATGCAGGGAGAGGGCAGCGGAGGAAGTGGTGCTAGAAGGGGTGGAAAGTCGATGAGGCATGATGCAAATGTCTGTCGACAAGTCTTTGAGAAGTCTGAGATATAGACCGACCGAAAGGCGTTGATTCGCCGCTGCAGTAGACGACCGGCGCCGATCACGCAATGAGAGGGGTCCTCAATAACGAGCTAGCCGTGGCAGATATCGCAATGAGGCGGTAATGAGATCGGGTCGAATGGGAGGTATAATATCCCGGTGAAGTTAGGCTGTATAGGTGGTGCTTTGTAGAGCACAGAAGACAAGACTAAAGCTGACGAGCACGACGACTAGAACCACACCATCTACCTCTCTTTATACTCGACCATATAGCGATCCATTTGTCAGTTGGGAGAAGTGGGATAATCTTCAATGACCGCAAAGGTACTCGTTTTGACCCAAAATTCCTGCTTCGAGCCGCCACCCGAAAAACTTTGGGAGATAACGTGCTTGGGACATGTCGGCGCGAGGTGGGGGGCCCAGTGGTGAGCTGATCGCAGATCTCACGCAAGGACACACGAGCGTACCCGTGTAGTACAAATGGCCTGATGCATGACCGTGATCATTCATGGAGACCCGCAGGAGAATAATTATAGGCTTGGATAGTCAGATGAACGCCTCTCCTCATCTCTTTGGGATTCCCAGCAGCGGCCGCAAAGGTTCCCATGAAAGTCTCGTCCGTTGCTAAGAGGTTGAACTTGGTCAGCCAAAAGCCCTGCCGATGTGTATTGCAGACGTCCTCCAAGCTCAGAGCACGAGGCGCGCAATGATCTGGCCCAAACCGAGGACCCGACGGGATCTCAAACTCTCACTCACATCTCCTGACAATTCCTTTACGTGACCAAATTTCAAACATGCCAGCAGCCTCCTTTGTGGACATGCCGTACGGCAAATGAATCTTCTTGATACCCGACGTGGCATGAGCATAGTGCGTAGGGTCGATCGTGTCATACGGGTCGAGATGACGGTCCGATTCGAGGCCTAGACCATGTTCGAGTGACAGACTGGGATAGAAGACAGTATCAGAGTAGGACAGGGCAGAGATAACCATTCCGCGATTCTGTCGGACATTAGTCAGTCAGCTCACAAAAGACCGGGCTCGACTTCGCTCACAAATGTCTTTCTCGCTGTGAGGTAATCCAACATGAGGAGAGGAGTAGACATGTGGTACGACCGCAACTTTTCGTAATCTGGTGAGCGGTATTTACTCGTGGCGAATAAGGTATGCGCGTCATCCATGGCCAAGAGGACAGGGACTTGAGTCTGAGATGCGAGCGCCGTCATGACCTGTTCCAGGCCTTTGACAGCGTGCTCTTCCTTCTTGATTTTACGGATGAAATCGGCCAGCGTCCCGTCCTTATTCGGTGAGGGAATCTTCGAGAGTTCAGAACCATTAACTGAGGCTATGGTTTGAAGGATGTGCAAAGCTAAGGACGGTTGATGGAAGGTCTGAGATTCTGCATTGTATTCGTAGGAAAAGGTGCTGTCGATCCATGCGCCGGCTAGGAGGAGGTCAGCCACGATCGCTAATCAACGGGGGCATGCTCTCACTTCTCGGGAAGTATAGTACGATCCAATTATTGACCAGGGCCTGACAGACTGTCTGAAGAAGTAAGAAGCTCTTGCCACTCCCACGGTGTCCGGCTGTGCAAGCGTGAGCTAGGTTGTGAGATGAAGAGGTATCTCACTGAGGAGGTATCGAGCTTCCTCGGAGGATTGCGATGCGCCGCTTTCTAAAATATGCTTCATACCCAGTGTCGCATATCTCACGACCGATGCAGGAGGACCATAGCTCGTCAACTGGAAGAAGTGAATTTAGTCCCCCGGTCATCTCTCTAGACACTCGGCTCACCTCCTTGTCCAGTTGCCTAGGCAGGCCGAACGGTTTGAGTTCTCCAAGTGTAGAGACGGGAAATAGAGTCGGCAGCCCGACATTGTCCTCCATCAGACGTTCCTGAGAGCGTCTCAGATACCAGCGATCGATATAGTCTGATCAATGGCTTACAGGACTGAATTCGACTACTCCTGCTAGGGTCGGAATCTCAGATGCCATAGAGTAATCCAGCTTCGCAGCTTTACCCGCCTAGGAGATATAGGTAAGCCATGGGACAGTATGACCGACACCATACATGCCTTTGTTCCGGAGCCTCCTCCTCCTCCACCACTCATAACCTCTCGCTCGGGTCTGTTCTTTGTTAGAACGGTCTTCTTTTTGACCTGTGGTTTGGCGGCGGCTGAAGAGGAAGCTTAGCTGAGAGCTCTGGACGTTACGAATGCCGAGGACGGGCAATACAGGCGACCCTGCCATATAGTGCTATGGGAAGAGATGCGATCATAAGAAGTAAAGGCCGTTGGGCCGGGGAACGACATCCAAGGCAAGTCTTCAAAACACCTTGTCCTGAACTCACCATTCGTTTTCTTCTGCCCAACGCTACCGGCGCCGGCATGCATGGCGTTTGTAGATGCGAAAGTCCTCGAGGACCCAGCTATAGGAGCCAGACTCCTGAATGCCAGAGATCTCGACGCCATGGTGGATGATGTGTGAGAACTGTCAGTCGAATGCAGCAGTATATGTGTGATACAGACAGCCTGGCAGTCTCGGATATTTTGGGAGAAAATGCCACCAGATAAATACACTGAACATAAATATTCATCGGCCGTTTTAAAAAAAAGTTGATCAGATTTCATGTCCACTCGAGTGCTGCAGTTGTACCAGTCACAAGCCCATACGATGGCACCCACAGCATCTTCGTCCAGAATCAAATCAAAGCCTTATGACAGGGCGGCATCCAGCAGCTCAAAGGGCAAGGCGAGAGCTGAGTCGGCTATCGTCGCTGGATCATTGTCAGCGGGTATCAACATTGGTGCACCGTCCACGAAGCAGAAGTCGAGAAAGGGAAAGAAGGCATGGAGGAAGAACGTGGATATCACAGCGGAGGAACAGGCATTAGAGCATGCCAGGGAAGAGGAGAGAGTGACGGGGTGGGTCAGATTCCCGGAAAAAAGCTGGGATAATGTTACTCATGGGCTCACAGAGGCAAGCTGTCGGAAGCGAAGAATGATGCTCTGTTCACGATCGATACGGTCGGTGATGTTCAGGGTGAGCACGAACAGCCCCTGAAGATTAGATGAATGGCTCACACTGCGCCGTTACAGTCGCTCAAAAGCTTCGTCGCATAGCCAAGCCCCTCCGATCTCTCGCTGTCCTCAATGAACGCTCCGCTGTCCCCTCCTTGACTTCCCGTTCCACCTCGGCTGGTTCGAGCAAGGCAGTCAAACTATCTTCGAGCGAGAAAGCTCGTCTGCGTCGTATAGCACGAAAGACTCAACCAGCAGATGGGGAAACAATTCACTCAGCAGACATCAAGTCTACGACGGTCACATTGACGGACGCATGGTCCACTGCATCAGACCATTTACCCGTCAAGGCTAAAGGCGGTTTCGGAGAAGAAGGGATGGTCAAACGGCTCCCGAAAGCTCCAGTGACCCTGGCTAGACGGCGCGAGATGTACCTCTCGACTCAGGTCGAAGGTCAAGGAGCGGTTGAGACGCCAGAGGGTGGAACGAGTTATAATCCATCCGTGGAGAGTCATTCGAGATTGATTGATATGGCATTGGAGGAGGAGCGAGCGTTGTTGGCTAGGGAGGAGGACGAGGCGAAGAGGGTCAAGGGTGGTGAAGAGATTCTCAGTGCGCGTCGAGCGCCGGTCGAGGGAGAATATGCGCCAGGCATGACGGTAGGGCCTGGAGAGATGGAGGAGGAGGATGAGGATGAGGATGAAGACGAAGAGGACGAGGAGCAGCATCGCATTAAAAAGAAAGCAACCAAGCGCAAGACACAAGCTCAGCGAAACAAGGCTCAGAGAGCTAAGGAATTGGCCCGGTTGGAAAAGATGGAAGCGCAAAAGAGAAGGTTGTTGAAATCAGTCGGCAACGTCTCGGCGTTAGGGAAAAGCGCAGAGGAGAAGAGGGCGGCGATGCTCGAAGCGGAGCGACTGGCCAAGTTCACAAAGCGTGAAAAGGAAAGATTGGGCTTGAAGGGGGGCGAAAAAATCGGAAAGCACAGGGTCGGAAAGCCTAAAGTGACTGTTCAACTAGGCGAGGACTTGGCCGAGTCTCTCAGACAGGTCAAGGTGAGCTGCTCAGATGTTGTCACGGTCAATGAGCTCATGTCATTTCTAGCCCGAGGGCAACCTTTTCAAAGACCGGTTCCTAGCTCTTCAGAAACGAGCTCTGGTTGAACCTCGCGTTCCTCAACTGCCAAAGAAGCGAGTACGAAAGATGAAAGAGTACGAAAAACATGCCTACAAGCAGTTTGTATGATCACAGCGGGTGTAGCAGCTGTATGCACATCCTCGCACGCAATGTGCTCTTTACTAGATACCGCATGCATATGTACAAAAACTAGAAATACAGAAATCGTCAAATCGTCAGCTTGGCTCCGGCCAATACCACGATGAACCGTTCGAATGACCTCTCCGTTGTCTTTCGGTACATCATGCTCGACACTACGCATGACCCTGCCGAGTGTCCGCGTGTCCCTGCTCTGGAACCTTGTCATCCCCCTCCAGCGAGTTGAACCATTCGACAAATTCGTCTGCTCCAGTCGCGCCGCCCAACAATGCTTCCAAGTTGATTCCCCCAGGCTGAGCAGAGATCTGAGCCAAGAGCGCTTCGATATCTACTTCGCCTACGTGGCCTCCCGCAGCCGCATCCGGCAAAGTTGCAAGCGTAGAATCCGTGCCAACAGCACTCACACTCGCTGTGCTGACATTCGCAGGCGATTCCGAAAAGATCGACGGGGAGAACAAGTTGTTCTCTTCCATCGCTTTGGCAAGGTTCAACCCCGTTATACCACTCGTGCTAGCGCCATCCAGCTTTGACGAAGCCCTCGTGGCCATCCTCGGACTGGGTTGAGGCGTCTTGTTGGCGCCTGATCTCCCCCGCTTCTTCGGTGACTCAAATGCGGTCGGAAGCACAGGCCCAGACATGGATCCATTCGGGCGATGTCGTCTCGGAGAGGATCGAATGGGGAATTCGGGCTCGAGCTTGTTCTTCTTCGCCGGTGGTGGATCTGAAGCAGCTTGACCGGACCATAGCTCTGGAGGTCGCATCCGTTTGAATTCATTGAAGTATAGTCCGCAGGCTGTGAAGGTGATCAGACGAAGGCTGACCTAATCAGACTCACCGTTACAGACCTTCTTCATACTGCCATCCTTGAGCTTCTTTGTCCGCCACAACTCTGACTCCATCGCTCCGCAATTGGAGCAGCCCATCGCTGTCGACACCCTCGCAGTAGAAGTACTGCTCGGTGTAGGCGTTTCGACCGCCGGAGATTGCTTATCATCTTCACCAGAATTGGCGTCATGAGACGCATTCAGTGATGCAAAGGCGCTGGCGTTGGCAGGTATGGCTTTGATGAGCTTCAACAGCATTGGATTGTGAGCTAATTGACTGGCAAGCTGGGGCGACATGGTCCCGTCATACCGGAGGAGGTCGTGTAGTTTCTTACGGGATGGAGTAGAAGGAGGAGGCGACCGGGGTCGAGGTGCTGGCGGAGGTGTAATATCGCGTGATTTCGAAGCTGATGAGCGGTCCGCCAGGGATGGTCCCGAAGGTGGCGGTGGTGGTCCAAGCGTCGATGTCTTTGAGTAATTCGTTCGGTCATGCGCTGGGGACTGCGTCTGACGTGGTGGTGGTGTCTCGGAAGGAGGGGGACCGTTAGACGATGTGAGCGCCATGGGAATGGATGATGAAGAGGGTTGTGAAGGAGGCAGGGAAAGGCGATTTGAAGATGATGATGCCTGGTTCGAGGACGATGGCAGCGAGGACTTGAGCTCGCCAGGTGAAGGACGGACTGTGGACGCTGAGCTGGATGAAGGTGGTAATGGCATTGCGGCAGATCCATTGGCTCGTACCGGCGCAGACGGAGCTGTTGAAGCGGCACGTCGTATAGGTTCTGTCCGTGATACCGAAGCGCCCTGTGGGGGAAGTGCGACCGAATTGGTACTGCTCGAACCAGGTGACGAAGCTGACCCCAGACCCGTCCCACGACTCAATAGCTCTTCAAATTCTCTTCTCCCTTTGAACTCGTCCTTGCCTTCAGGATTTAAGACCTTGAGAGAGATTTGAACTTCCAATCCCCATCCACGCTCCCCATTATTCTGCGAGGCTCGACTCGCGGCTGCCATCAAGCCTTCTAACCCTCCAAGACCCGAAGATTCATTCTGGGAGAATTCTTCATCTTGAATCAGTCGACCGCGGATCAATGTCGATCCTGAGCCATGTTCCGCTAATGCCCATGAAAGAAATCCTTTTCCAGTCCATGAGCCGTCCTCAGGAGCAGAGCGTCCAGATGAAGAAGAAGAAGGGGTAAATGCATGAGAGGATCGAGGACGGAGTGAGGGGTCGAGATTGTACACTGAGAAGTCGAGTTTGGACGTATTCGGGATGCACTCGGGGCTGAGAAGTGGGATTCAGAAAGGGCGTTTCTGGTGGCCAGTTCAAGACAAATGCTCACCTCGCATAGCATATACCTCGAATGGTTGGTTTGAGATAACAGCTGCCCATCGGTCCGGCGGCCACTGTTTGCTGAGCAGGCGAACTTGAGGTGGATGCAGTCGTAGAGGAAACCGCAGAGTGAACGAATACGTCTTGCCTTTCTTGTAAGACGGTCACATAGCTCTGATTAGACGTGTCGATCGTATACAAGACTTTGACTGAGCGGCAAGCAATAAGAGATCAGCATCGCGCGTAATGTCCAGTCAAAATGGAGGATATAGAGCTTCAGTCGAGGGAGGGATAGCCAGCCGGGCTGGCTCACCCCAATTTGACTCACTTGGAAGCAAATGAATCTTGCCCGGAGATGGAGGCATCTTGTCCTACGGCTTTTCTTGCCCACCGTTTATGACTGACTCGAGGTAGGCCTCGCCGGCTGTCGCTGCCCTCTCTCAGTTCAAGAGAAATAATGTAATGTTCGAAAAGACAAACGGCAGAAAAGTCGCGTCCCACACCGGGAAAAGGCTCCACCACGTGGCAAGCCATGTCATTTTGGATAGCCGGAATCTGGTGGTGAAATCTCTTGCCATACCATATCAGCGACTTGAACACCAGCGTAACGAGCTTTAGCGACCGATAAAGACGGCGGGAATGATGGCTGAGAGGTAGCGAAATCTGCATTGAATTGCCCTACCTCGGACACCGATCCTGAAATGAGCAATCCACCACCGAGCTCCGGAGCATCAGGACCCACGCTGCGGGTTAAGACCCCTCGATTCGCTCATCACAATGTGGCTTTCTCGCCATTCTTTGAGGATAAGATAGCAACGGCATCAGGCGCCAACTTTGGGCTCGTCGGGAATGGCAGGTTGCATATCTTGCAAATGGGTCCTGGGGGACTACAAGTGGTCAAGTGGTGAGGGAGACCAGGATATCAAGATCTCTCAGCTGAGGGCTTTGATCGTAGGTTCGATACACAGGATTGCGTGTATGATGTAGCATGGAATGAATGTCATGAGTGAGCGAGGGACACACTTCAATTCCCTCGGAGCTAATATTGTTGCAGGAATCAGGTCATCGCGGGGTGCGGGAATGGATCTCTCAAGCTATTCGACACCACCTTGAATGTGAGTCCTCTGAGGAGGGATGGAAGTCTCTTGCTGATGACATTTTCCCTGTGTCAGGACTTTCCCATCAAAGCGTGGCATGAGCATTCTGCTGAGATCATGTCGGTGGACTGGAGCAATATTCAGAAGGACACATTTGCGAGCTCATCGTGGGACCATACGGTCAAAATCGTCAGTCGGGAGGATGATGCGAAAAGCCCAGAAACCGAATCTTACTGTCTGTTTCTCCCAGTGGCGTCTCTCCCGAGTTACGTCGATGGCTACCATCCCGGCACATCAAGGCCAAGCATATGCTGCTCAATGGTCACCCCGTCAATCGGATACTATCGCGACATGTGGTCAAGATGGCTTTCTTCATGTGTTTGATCTGCGAGCTCAGGAGATGCGTCCAATGAGCTCTGTCAAAGTCAGGTGAGGAAAGCTCCCTGCCCCGTCAATGGAGTTGCTCGCCTAACCTGGGTGACTCCAGCGAGACGGATCTGTTATCTTGCGATTGGAACAAGTACGACTCACTGCTAGCCACTGGCGGGAAAGACTCTACTATCACCATCTGGGACACGAGACAGATGGCAAGACCGGTTGGACAACTTGGCGGACATGCATTGGCAGTGAGGAAAGTCGCGTGAGTCGATGAACAACAATTGCTACGAGACAAACGTTACTGACTATTGTTATCATAGCTGGTCACCCCACCATAGGGATGTCATTGCGTCCACTTCGTATGATATGACATGTCGAACGTGAGTTGAGCGTTCGTTTGAATATCCGTTCCAGCTCGAGCTGATCCATTGAATACCAGGTGGAACACTTCCACTCGTTCGGAGAGGCGGGTGCATCACGATCATACAGAATTCACCATGGGTTGTGCTTGGGCTTTATTTGAGCGTGACTTGATAGCGGACTGCTCATGGGACGAGGAAGTACATGTCTACAGAGCGTAGGGACGACCAACTGTTGTATCATGAGAGAAGACGCATATTGCATTCATGCCCGGTTCGCCATATCACGTGACGTGTTCCTAGCGTGCCGAATATTTCGGGGCCGCGCACACCCGTCGGCGAGTTTTCCTTCAGAGCTGCGTTTGCCGAACAGACTTGCAAGTCTCTTCCATCTCGGAGAACATCTCGGAGGGTAGAGTGGCTGATAGCATGGAGATATGGCTGATGCAAGCGGCGGACGACTCGGGCATGTGCTATCGTTATCGCGGCTGAGGCGACACTAATCATCGTCTCGGCTGAGGTGTTGATCTCCAGCTGATATATATACTGATTGAATACCGACTTTTGAACATACTGACATTCACTTCTACAACCTGAACACAACTACTAGCAACCCTCCAGACGTTACCTCAAGCTGCTTTCTCAGTTCAAGCAATGATTCCCTCACAACCACAACTCCACCATGGTCGATGGGGAGTACCCCCATATTTCGACTATCATTTCAAACATTCCTTCTCTGGACCACATGTACCTCCTTCGACAGGCGAAGCAGCGGCTCATCTGGCATCCAATGCTGGAGCTGAAGCCAACGCCGCAGCGTATGCAAGGAATCTGCAGTACCACCATTATTATGGCAGAGGTTGGGGAAGGCCCCGTTTAGGTTTTGGAAAACGAATGATCTGGGTGAGTGAGCGAGCACACACGAAGTGATCGGTTCGAGTTGGGAAGCTGACTTTGTTGACTCCAGTTTGGTCTCGGTGCTCTTGCCGCTACGTGGTATTACAAACATCAAGAACGTGAGAAACGCTGGAGAGATCGTTCCATAGCGTATCCTCAGACTGGGCCAAACGTCCAATTCAATGGAGCTGAACCGGCGCATGAGACTGGTCGATGGAGACACTTTGAATGGGTCTCGCCACAGAAACCCGCCTATTCATACCCTATTCCTCCCAACGCTCCGAGCTTGACCCCTGCGACCGCTGTTGATTCAACACCGGCCGCCTCCGCCGTCCTCACCGAGCTCAAGCAATCTCCCTTGGCGGCTACACCAGTTGTGGAGCCCAGTCCCGCTGCGGCTGAAGACCGATCCCATAGTTGGGGCTGGGGATCTCGACGACGTAGAAGAAGAGAAGAGCAGGAAGCTAGAGAAGCCGCGGAAGCTGCCAGAGGATCTGACGAGCAAGAGATGAAGAGGATCAAGGAGGCCGTACAGGCTGTCTGGGAAGACAAGAAGGCTTCTGTCCTTCAGAGCCAAGACCAGCTGAACGAGCAGGTGAGCGAGCCGACCAGCAAGCATAAGGGCTCTCCCACGAGGCATACACTGACCATTTTGCAGGCTCGACAATATGCTAAGCAAAAGGTGGAAAAGCTCAGTGTGGCGCTAGAAGCATTAAGAGAAGTGAGTCGTTCCTGCTCAGAAGTACTTGCGGCCCGCTGATGAATCGCAGTCGTTGGAGTCTGAGACAGACAAGAAGATTCGGAGAGCCAATGAGAAGCTTGTGTGATCCCAAATAGACCCCTCATAATAGGCAGACATGTGTGATGAGAAGTCTAGACAATGGATGCGTTGAGTGATATCGTGTCCCTTTGGTCAAAGGCAGCTTTTGAACTATTTGCCAAGGTCATAAGGGATAGGATAATGGGTGATAGTGTGCGTTGCTTTGTCACAAGTCAACTTCATCCTGTATACCATATCTGTCCTGGAGGCCGGTAAGGTATCGGACAGCAGCTCCTGTCTTTGAGCGAGCCCGCCGCCGGCTTCTTGAGTCCTCGTTTTGAACCGAACATTATTTTCATAGATCCCCTTGTTCTCGTCAAACGCTGTCTATCTCAAGTTATAGACTTCATCATGTTCAAGTTGAACAGAGGCAATAGACTCTCCCTTGTGCCTCCTCTCCTGTCCAAACGATCCCGCTCTAGATTGTCAAAACCACCTCCCTCCGCCAGAGGTCACAATACCGAGGTGCGACTCTCGAAGTCACGGATAACTGACTGCTTTTTGCTGACTCGACTTTTGTCTCGTCACATTATAGAGTCAATCGCGTCCTCAATCTGTCGTTGTGTCCGCCGACGACGATATCAATGGACTCGTCGACAAGTTCAAGGATCCCACTTCCCCATTCTACATCGCTCCAGGTACAGCCGGACCAGCTCATGAAAATGATCACTCAACGTCGAGGGATCCAGCAGGCCAGAGGCCGCTGAGTCCCGCCACACCCTTGACTCCCACCCAGGGCCCAGGACCCTCGGGTACTGCTCAGAAGATCGCTTCGTCTCCCACAGATCAAATCCCTCCCCTCCCGTCTCCGTCCGATACGCCGAAACCTCGTCGTTCCACATCGGCGGCCTCGTTAACCCATCGACCTGAACTTGAAGGTCGAGCTCGAGCACCATCCACTACTTCGCATTCCAGGACGGAGAGCACAATTGGTAGACAACGTGGCGCATCTATCACCTCCAAAGTCGAGCTTGTTCCCGGTATGCACTCTCGTAAAGCCTCCGCTAGCTCGCTGCATCAACGGACCATATCGGTAGGCTCGATGCGAAGTCAAGTGCGGACGCCAGTGGTCGACCCTTCTACTGAAGAGGTATTGACCTCGCGAGACAATGGTTCAGAGACCTTGGCCGGGCATGACAGTGCTGGTCATCCATCCCGAGGACCCCGGCCACCCGTCGCCGGCTCTGCAGCCCTCGCAGCGGCATCGACTGCACGCGAGACGTCATTCTCAAGTTCTTCAGCTGCTGCATTCGGTGTATCGCTCAGTGCTCAAGACAGTCTGGCTGCCAAGACTTCAGCTAAGCAAGCCAAATCTCGTGAAGCAGCATTCACCTATTTCAAAGAGAATGGGTACGATGATATCGGCGTGTTGGAATGGCCGGTCGCATGGGGAGATTGCGACATGTTCCAGTGGGTCGTCGTAGAATCATTTGAATCCTACTGAAGGCTTCTCAGGCACGCCAATAATGTCCAATACATTCGATGGTTTGAATCGTCCCGAATCAAATACGGCGAAGCGCTGGCTCCGCTTCTTCCAGAGGGTATGATGAAGAACATGCTGGTAAGCTGCGTCTGATGTAGGGACTGGAGACAAAGGACTGATGGTTGACAGCGAGGCACAGGCAACGGGATCATCTTGAAGGATGTATCGCTACGATACCGTATGCCGGTGACGTATCCGGATACAGTGGGTTAAGCGGCTGCTCAAGAGATTCGATGAGACTGATCCATTTTCAGCTGCTAATCGCTTCAAAACCCCATTCAATCAATCAAGAGCGTGGCAGCTACGGCCTAGCGGGTGCATTCTGGTCAATGAAGACGGGTGCCCTGGTGGCTACCGGTGACTCGTGAGCTCCCTGATCGTGTCAGGTCGCAAGCAGCTGACCGATATCCAGGACGATCGTATTCTACGACTATGACCATTTGAAAAAGGGCTTCATGCCCGATACGTTCCGCGATGTGCTCTTTCAGCGCGCGAAAGGAGAAGGCGACAGGTCGCCGTAGACGGATACGATTTGACGCGAATTTCATGCTGGACATGGTTCACGAGTCGGACGACGGCAGTGGCATTCTCAATCACGATGCATAGATGCTACATGGTTCTGACCCCAGTCAATTGGATGCCTGACGATGGCCGGCATATTTTCTTCGAAACAGAGAAAAGCGACTGAATGTTGGGTATCTGAACTCGAGACGTGGATTTTGGTGCTTTTGAAAGCATTCAACCGTGGCTCAAGCCTTCAACAATGCTCCCAGCCCGAGAGCGATGAGAGACAACGATACGCTGCCTAGAGGTATCGAGATTGGAACTTTGCGGCCCGCGGCGCTCGTGACAGTCACCATAGCCTGTTGCTCAGCTGCGTTGACGACGCCATGGCCACTCGAGATTGAGGGCGGAGCTAATGATCCCGTTGGTCCGAGCTCTTGTGATGCGGCGAGGGCTGACGAAGCAGCCGCAACGATTTCATAACCACTTGGTCCGGGCGAACCTGATGGTGCCTTGGTCGGTCGTTCTCGTCAGTTGGCTCCACAGATTCAGGGATCATGCCACTCACTAGTATGCCGACGCCTTCCGAGCAGTTACCCATGAAAGCCGCGTAGTTCGCTTGCACGGCCGGCGGACTCTGTCCGTTCGATCCTGATCCAATACAGGATGAACAGCTGGCTGCTGATGATACCCCAGCGGCGGTACATATACACTGATCTTGGGTGCATGTCTGATGCCCTCAAGAATGAGCATTTGACTGACTGACTGACCGACTGACTGAACATATATGGAAGGGACTCACATTGGACAGTCCTTTCCACACACTACACTGATTATCGCACCCTGGGACAGCGACGTTGGAGAAGAATGCAATGGCCGCATTCAGTGCGAGACTCCCTCCGAGTCCGTTACCTAGCATGGTGATTTCCTCCATTGGGGAGGGCAAGGCGGAAATGGAAGCTTGCCCCGAAGGCAGGGCGCCGAGATTGATACCGTTTAGAGCCGTCATCGGGACTCCGCCGGAAGACGTCTCGAGGATGGAGCTACTGACAGGTTCTGCTTCACTAGGGCTAGAGGCGGTGCTGGGGAATGAGCTGGCTGTTGAGCCTGGGAGGGAACTCGTGGAAGATGAGTCTAACCCGATTGCATTAAGGAAGATCTGGGGGCGGCTCGAAATTCCAATCGATGGTATGGCAGACGTCATGGTAGCGAGTGAGCTCTTGGAAGATGGTTGTGTCGGGTCAATCAGGGCTACTACGGCGGAGGGCGGAGGTGAACTCTCGTTATCTGCCCCCAGTCCGATGGCCATAACGCCTCCAAGAAGAGACGTCGTGCTACTGAAGCCCAGGCTGCTGACCCCAGAGGACCCGACCGATCCAAGCTGGGAACTAGCTTGTGAGGATCCTTGAGCCTGCGACTCGGATGCCGAGACAGTGAGAGTGACGACCGCCGTCGAGGTCGAGATGACAGTCTGCGCCGCTTGAATACCTGACATTATCCCGCTGCCTCCTCCACTCTGCCTCACACTGACGCTGAACGTATCCGTTGGATCTGCCACACCTTCAATGTCACACCAATTTAGGTACGTATTGTAAACCATGACTCCTTCCTGGGTCGCGATGCACTGTGTGCAGACCATAGCCGCGAGTGTGAGATCATCTTGACAGGCACAATCATCGGCAACGCACTCCGTGATGGCGTATTGGAAAACCGAGCATCCTCCTCCGTCAACTGTACAGTTGGTCGGGGCTAGCTCGTTAAGGTACTGAGCATATTGCAGAGCGGTAGTGTTCCGAGATGCGGCGTCGAGGGCTGAGGGGGCCGGCTCGAAGGCGGAAGCGGATGTCTTTGAAGAGGGAAGGGCCGAGAAGTCGATGGTCAGTGATGGCAAGGCAGAGGAAGGGGCTGATTCAGAAGTAGAAGCACTGTCGGATCCAGAGGAGGGTATTGGTGCAGATATGGAGGCGGAAGTGGATGATTCAGCTACTTGCCGACGTGCTGGGGTGAATTCGACTCCGATGATGACCTTAGTATCACCGGGACTAGGGCCAATGAGCCCGAGGGAGGTTGAGAAGAGGGTCAAATGGTAGAAGAGATTGAGTATACGGGTCATCCTGGCGCTGGTAGATTGTTGTTGATGTAGCGAAGGGCAACGTAAGGTATGATGCAGAATTTTGAGCTGAGCAAGTAAAGAAATTGAGCGAAATGAAAAGCTTGTAGGCGTAGTTGGAGTCGCTAGGTGATCATCTGATCGCTACTGTAAAGCTTTGAAGATGATCCACTAGAGATTTATGAGAGTCAAAGATTGACAAAACACTCCATCGTATTCTGCTTGCTCGAGGTAGAGGATAGCCATCGCCCAGAAACCCAAATGTGAATGATCTAGGACTCGTTCCTTTGACTGCCTGTGACAGTAAGGCGAGACGAGGAGGAGTGTCAGAAAGAAAGGACAGGATCTTCAGACACGTTTTGGTAGAGCAGATGATCTGAATTGTACGTCATTGTCGTTGATGGGGTTGCCCAGGAGGTTAACAGAAATCGGCGTATCAGGCCATGACCATGGTCGCCACTGGAAGGTGCCACAATGCCACACTTCAATGAAGACCGACGTGACGGAAATGTTCAACATCTTTGGTCCAAAGCGCATGAGAATTGTACATTTCTTGGACTATACTTTCACTTGTGCAGCTCATCGACATCATATTGTACGAGGAAAGACAGTCGGGACAGATCAGAGGTACCCTATTTGTGTTCTGTTCCTGGATCCTCTTCTTCCATCGGTCCAACATAATGACGTTTGCCCAATCGGTAGTCTTGGGTTCATGTGCCTTTATCCTAGGGATGGTCTTTGTGTGCCAAGTGGTGAGTGCGGTCTCGTACAGCTAGTGAAGATGGCTTAGGACTGGTATGCTGACCCGATCAGGTGGATATTCCGTTACTCTATATGCCAGTAACAAAGCAATCAATCGAGAATGGATACACCTTCTACGAAATGTGGTTCGAGTCTCCGGGAGCAGTCAAGGTGAGAGTGAATGTTTGCTCTCAAGCCGAATCATGCGGTCAAGACGAGTCTCTCGTCATGCCATGTCTCCCAATATGTCGGCGGCCCAAGTCCATCGAAACAATACTGACAGCTCTCTCAGGCTCTATTTCACGTCGCTCTTGGTTTACCTCTTATCGCCCTCATTGTTAAATTACATGGCTGGACCGAATCCGCAATGTTCTTTGACGGGTCATCGCTGGGTGAGTGCTCTGTGACCTAGGCGGCATGATCTGACACTGATCCTCGGACAAGCTTTACACGTCGCGGTGATCATTCTCTACCTGACAGTTCATATTCCCTCTCTGCGGACATTCCGTAAATCTGCGATTGCCCCCCTCTCAATCATCTGCTAACGTTGGTCTCAGTCCCTGAATCAAGCACCGTCACATCCTTCTCTATCCTCCCACCACCACCACCTCGCGATACACCCCCTACAGAGGCCGAGAGGATCGAAGCTCTTCGCGTGCTCTGTGCGGGCAATGCGCTCGTCGGAGTTGTCACGGTCGGAATCATCATCATGCAACTCGGGCAAGAGTACGCCAGGAGACAGGAGGAAAAGGAACAGAGGGAGATTGACCTAAGGAGCAAGAAGGATATCTAAAGTGTGAAAAGTGCAGATATGTGATGATCAATGGAGTCCAAAAGTTCCTACGAGCTTGCTTGATCCCCCAAAGCACAAGACCCACCCTCTGGGCTCTGATTCTAAGCGAGCATGTTTAGAGATGCCTGCCTCGTGCTCATGTCATGGCGTCAATGCACGTCGTTCCGATGCTTTGTATACAATTCTTGCGCCCCCCCAGTCTACTTTTTCTCCTTATCCTGCTGCCCTTCTTGTTGCTCCAGACTCATGGCAATGGCACGAGCGATGGCAGCCTCCTCGTCCTCGTCCTCCTCATCATCATCCCCTCCCTCTCCCATCATGACGTCTTCTCCCCGGGATAAAGCCATGGCTCTTCGCAGCATTTCATCCTCGTCCTCTTCATCTTCCTCCATGATAGCATCGGGATTGGTCCCTGTAGTCGGCCGGCTGGCAGGTGTACTGTCCACTTGGATCGGCGCTGAGGAGCTCGCTCCTGCGGGCGCACCTGCGGCTTGAGGGACTGGTTCGGGAGCTGAAGAGGTGGATGGACCGGCTTGCGCTTGCGCTTGACGTTGAGCATTCTGTTCGGCTTCCTGTAGAGACATGCGGAGAGCCTTTGTGGGAAAAAGGTCAGTGTGTGATGCAGGATGAGAGGGCAACAGACTCACCATTGCGAGCTCTGGATCCATGCTTGGGTCAAAGTCGTCTCCGTCCATCGCATCTCCGCCCGGCCTGTCCGCATCGTACAGTATCGGAGACTGCCTGACAATGTCCGATAACAGTCCAGGACCAGGTGGGACTGAGACAAGGTGACTAGTAACATGGTCAATGTCGCACCGCGATAACGGGGAGTCCGATTCTCGACCTACGACTCGTTGCCGCCAGCAGCTTCGACCATCGCCGCAATCTTCTCATCATTCTCCATCCCTTCCTCTCCGACAGTCACCACGTCAATCAACACATTGTTCTTCCTCAACCTCTTTCCAAGCTTGACCAGACTTTCCTGAGAGTCTTCTAACGGTGATCCGACAAACACCACTATTCTCTGCTTCTGATTCTTGTTCTCTCTATGCTTTAAAGCCAACTGAGCGATCTGAACGGCCGTTTGAAAATCGGACAATCCACCAATCGTCGATTTGTTCAAAGCTGATAAGAGCTTTCCCAAATCGTTTGTAGGCGTGACAAGCAGAGATGGGCTACATCAATGGTCAGAATGCCGACAACTGCAAAGGCTCAGCTGGCCAACTTACGCTTTGCCGGCCATGGTCATCAGCCCGACTGCTGATTCAGGATTGGATTCGGTTTTCGAGTTGAAGATGGTGCTAACTGCTTCGGCTTGAGCACGAAAACGTGTCGGTGGGTAGTCTCCATTGCTGGAGGATGGGCAGGATCAGTAAGACGAGCGGATCGATGATGCTGCTGATGCACTTACCGCATGTACTCTGAATTGTCCAAGCTGAAGCGAGTGAGTCAGCCATGTCACACAGCTAGAGCAGCAGATCCACGAACTCACACCAGCATACATGATTCTAAAGGCATCTTGTAGGACGTCTAAGCTGGATGGGAGCTGGGAGTGCTGACGATGAGCAGGGTAGGAGCTGCAATGAGTAAGAACTGCAATGAGCAGCAGCAACGCGTATAGCTGAATGACCGACTGAACCTTCGTGATGGGAAAAAAGTGCCACATGTGAGATAATCCCGCAGCGCAGTAAGTTACCCCCCCGGCGGGAATGACGTCTCTCTCTCTCTCTCAAAGGTGCAAGCCCATCTACGCCCCTTATCCCCCTCGTTCTTTCTTCTCTTTCTTCTTTCTACCTCATCTCTCTCTCTCTCTCTGTCTCAAGAGTCTCCATCCCGGACCTCAAAAGAGCCAAGCAACAGCGTCCCTCTGCCCCTTTACTACCAACTAATCAACTCGTGAGTTTCCGTTTCCACGCCCCGTTGGGGAAAAAGGGAGGCAGAGCGAGATCCGTGGTCGGGCTCGAACGATATCGTCAAATCTACTCATTTGATACGCTTATCAATCCTGATATATCGTCTGACGATGAGCATACATGTTGGGGTACCTGCCTTGTGGCGCGGGGCAGCATGAGGACACCAGCAGCGCTGCTTGGCCGGTTCCAGAGCAGCCCGAACGGGCCGAGGAATGGATTTGTCTGACAGTTGTCAGCAAGACCCCCCTGTTTGTGTCCTAGGTGCCTATACACTGGGGATACGGACTCATACTGGTGCCTCGGCATCGTTGGAGGAGGGTTTTACTTTGATGCGAGTCGCTTCGCCCTGTGCGATCGCACAATCAGCCGAGTCCGGGCCATCTTTACTGCGCTTTGGCAGGCGGTGCCTTTATACAGTCAGATCCCTGTCGTCCTCGGACGATAATTGTATAGCTCTTCTAGGACGCCCGTTCATTCGTTATCGACCATCCCTTCCCCATCTCCCTGTCTAGAACAACCTCCGCCTAGAGCTGTAGCTGACCATCGTCCGCCTACTCCCAGATAACAAACAAAAATGTGAGTTCTACCTGATCCTTCACCAGATCTCCCACTGACTTGAACCTTCTAGGGAGGACGAAGGTGTGTTAGAACGCCCAGCATCCTTGTGTGTCCACTGACGAGACCAATCTGCTCAGTCGCTGCTCTTGTGAGTCGCCTCCTCCATCGTTTGCACCGTACTGATCCCCACGAAGGTCATTGACAATGGTTCCGGTATGTGCAAGGCCGGTTTCGCCGGAGACGATGCTCCCCGAGCTGTCTTCCCGTAAGTTGGATATCTCACTTCAATCCGTATCTGACGCTTCCCAGATCCATCGTCGGTCGACCCCGTCACCAGGGTGTCATGGTCGGCATGGGACAGAAGGACTCTTACGTCGGGTAAGTCGGCGCTCAGACCTCTTTGATGCAAATGCTAACGTGTCTTCAGAGATGAGGCCCAGTCCAAGCGTGGTATTTTGACCCTGAAATACCCCATCGAGCACGGTATCGTCACCAACTGGGATGACATGGAGAAGATCTGGCACCACACCTTCTACAACGAGCTCCGAGTTGCTCCTGAAGAGCACCCCGTCTTGTTGACCGAAGCTCCCCTTAACCCCAAAGCCAACCGAGAGAAGATGACCCAGATCATGTTTGAGACCTTCAACGCTCCCGCCTTCTACGTCTCGATTCAGGCCGTTTTGTCCTTGTACGCCTCTGGTCGTACTACCGGTATCGTTCTCGACTCTGGAGATGGTGTCACCCACACTGTCCCCATCTACGAAGGTTTCTCTCTGCCTCACGCCATCCAACGTCTCGACTTGGCCGGACGAGACTTGACCGAATACCTCGTCAAGCTCTTGACCGAGCGTGGATACCTCTTCACCACCACTGCCGAGCGAGAAATCGTCCGAGACATCAAGGAGAAGCTCTGTTACGTCGCTCTCGACTTTGAGCAAGAGCTCCAGACCGCTGCCCAGTCCTCTCAACTCGAGAAATCCTACGAACTTCCCGATGGACAAGTCATCACCATCGGTAACGAACGATTCCGATGCCCTGAAGCCCTCTTCCAACCCTCGTTCTTGGGTCTGGAATCTGCTGGTATCGACGAGACCACTTACAACTCGATTATCAAGTGTGATTTGGATATTAGAAAAGACCTTTACGGAAACATTGTCATGTCTGGAGGAACGACCATGTACAACGGTATCGGTGCGTATCAAAAATTCGCATAGCAAGTTTGGTCCAGATTCTGACACCTGCTCGTAGCCGACCGAATGCAAAAGGAGATCACTGCGCTTGCTCCTTCTTCGATGAAGGTCAAGATTGTCAGCCCTCCCGAGAGAAGTAAGTGTACTGTGTGGTTTTGCGAGGTTGTTACTGACATTCACACAGAGTACTCTGTCTGGATCGGAGGATCTATCCTTGCCTCCCTTTCTACCTTCCAACAGATGTGGATCGCAAAGAGTGAGTGAACGTGTGCACAGGAAGGTTTCGCGCTTTGCTGACCCTGGCCGCAGGCGAGTACGACGAGTCTGGACCTTCCATTGTCCACCGAAAGTGTTTCTAGAGCGGTTCTCACGTCCTCTCGTTGGAACTTGGGTGATTCTTTGGTGGGATTTTCTTACTCTTATCTCTTTCCTTCCCTGTGAATTTCACGTCTCCCTCTCCTCCCTTGTTCACGCCTCCGTAGCCAATAGCCTTTTGAAATATGTGATGAAAGATGAATAAACCAAATGACGGGTCACAACGCGGCCGAGGCTGATTGATGAATGACTGACGCGGAATCGGCAAAAGTCACTACAAACTGACTGCCTCGCCAGACAGGTTGCACCCTCCAAAACGCATTGCATCAAGTGACCTATCTATCTCAGCCAAATACTCAGGATTGATCAGTTTCTCCCCTCGTTCATCCTATGTCCCCGATCAGGGAAGTCCTCCGGGGTCTGCGCATCATCAGCTTTGGTTGCCGTCTCGGTGTCTTCTGCCTCTTCAGTGTTGTGCATGGTGACTTCACCAGTCACACCGCCGTTGGCCTTGACGGCATCCTTGATCAGTCTTCGAAATTTACCGCCCACCGTGGACTGCGTACTGGCGGGAACGGACGACCCTTCGGACGCTGGCACCTCAGTGGCAGTCTTGTCAGATGCAGTTCCAGTAGTGGACATGATGACTTGGTATTTCAAGCTTGCAAGAATGAAAGCTAGCGTAAGAACGTGGCAAGTATAGAGTAATGTAAGTGCAAAGACTACGAAGGAAGAAGCGTGCAATTCCAAGGCTTATTATATACCCTCTGTCGCTGCTGGGGCAAGTCGGCAGCTGAAAGGAGAGTCACGTCTGATCTGTAAGAGAGAGGTACAGGGGAATTACACAAGGGATGGTAACTAGCCAGGCTTCTGAGGACAGTGAGTGAGGCCCAGACTCTAGAGAAGCACGCACGCACCTGCAGCAAGCCAGGATGAGGTGCCACCCCACCCACCCCTTGCCAGCGACTGTGATGCCTCGCCACGTGGCTTCTGTACCCCGAATGATTTTCCATATTGACCAAGGTCCGACCCGGTTCTGCCATTTTTCGTAGCCGAAATGCTTTGCTGCTCATGGATCCATACAGCTGTTGACAGATTTGGTGCTGTACAATAGTCGCAGGCGGGGAAGCCCATCGTGAGAGAGAAAGGAATTTAGTCGGCTCGATAGATCATCATCGATATGCTGCGATCCCTCAGGACTGTCAAGCACGTCCCAGCGAGCTCACGCGCAGCTCGCACGGCGCTCATTCGGCCAACGTCACTTGCTCGGCCTACTCACGCGGCGAGTCGACCCACCTTACAGAACTTGCAAAAGCTTCAGCGGTTTTCGAATTCGAGCTATACAGCGTGTCGGAACTTCAACACGTCCCCCGCTGGGATGGGTGTGATGCACTTCAAGCTACCGGATATTGGTGAAGGCATTGCCGAGGTTGAAATGCTAAAATGGCATGTCGAGGTTGGGCAAAAGGTCCAACATTTCGATGATCTCTGTGAGGTCCAGAGCGACAAGAGCACGTGAGTTGTTTCACCGACTCGAAAGCTTGGGGGGACCGTTGCTAATATTTTGATTCTGCCCGCCTTGTAGTGCCGAGATCAGCTCTCCGGTGGACGGAATCATCAAAGCCATCAACTTTACAGACGGACAAATGATACAGGTTGGACAGGTCTTGTGTGAGATCGAGACGGAAGGCGAGGGGACCGAGGAGTCGCACGTTTCGGACCCTGCGCCAGCGGAAGAACACGTCTCGGAAGCTGCTGGTACAGGTCTGAGCCACTCGCCATCCGACGCTGGGCATACCGTTCCTCCGCGGATGCAAGCGGAAGGAGGAGACAGAACTGTTGGAGCGGAGGTCAAACGATCAGAAGCACGATCAGAGGAACACATACAGGATATGGAGGGCGAAGCTAAGGGATCTTCCTCGTCCGAGCCATCTTATCAAATAGACGAAGCTGCCGAATACTCTGGAGGTGCTCGTTTCCAAGGCGAAGCATCCATACTCCCTTCCGCTCCATCACCTACAAGTCGCGCGGAGCACATCACGCCGGTGGCAAGACGCGAGCCAGAAAAGAGGATCGAGAGGAAGGTCGTCTTGTCGTCACCTGCCGTCCGAGCACTCGCGAGGAGATTAGACGTCGACCTGGAATACGTCAAAGGGTCAGGAGAGAAAGGCAGGATAAGAAAGGAAGATGTCGAGGCGTACATCAAGTCGAGAAATGCGAGCTCTTCTGTTGAGTCGTCGCAGCCGATACGGAGGTCTGTGTCGGATGCAGAGCGCCCCAAGGAGCCCGAGTCTACTAGAGTTGAGTTTGGAAGGACACGGAAAGTCATGTGGAAGGCTTTAGGAATGCAAGGCACTGTACCCCATTTCGGGTAAGTCATGCAGCTCCGAGGCGACCCGAGGTCTTCTAACGTGAGCTCTAGCTATTCCCACACGCTCAACTTGACACCCCTGTTACCACACCTCAAGGCTCTCAACCCCTCGCCTTCCGCTACGTCCTCAAAATCGTACCTCGCTTCCGACATGCCACCTTCCCTATCCCGAGATCCTCTGCCTGCTTCCCCGGCCAAGACAACACTATTAACGCTTTTCGTCAAGGCCTTGTTGATGGCGTTGGAGGAACATCCAATCATGAGATCAAGGGTAATGAGCAAGGAGGATCAGAGATGGCTGGAGGTTAGAAGAGATCCAATAGTTGGCATTGCCGTGTCAGGTGATTACTCATCCCATGAGACTCTTGGTTCATCGTTGACTGATAATCTGCAGACCCCAAACACGGCCTTCTGACTCCATCTCTTCCACCGCTTCCACCTTCCACCTCTGTCAATCAAATCACATCTCACCTCTCTGCCCTTCGTGCTAAACCTACTACGCCGAGTCCCCCATCCAGCGTCGTGATATCGTCCGTTGGAGGTCTGGGCGAATCTACGGGTGCTATGCCTGTCATCCCACCGGGAGGCCCAGTGGCCATCTGCGCGATCGGCAAGGCCGTTTGGGAGATCGAGTGGGCGCTCAAAGATGCCGGGACCAAGGTGGACCCACTGGATGTGGAAAGAGCGGGTACCAAGGCCGTCTTGAGATGCCCAGTCGGCTGGAGCGGAGATCATCGTGTGGTACGTGCATCAGACTCAGCGGACAGAATGTGTGTTGACGAGCGCTTCAGCTGGAAGGAGCGGAACTCATCGCATTCACGGAGAGTTGGAAGAGGTATATCGAAGAGCCCTGGCGTTGGCTTCGATTAGATGGCTAGACGAAGAGAAGGATGAGCATGTCATGGTCGCATGTGAAAGTACTTCGTCCACACGCACTTGATGGCCCTGGGCATTTCCTATCAACCTCTATCCCTCGCTCACACCTAACCCGTTTTACTTTTGACCAAGAATTGCCGCTCCCACGCGTCCTTTCTCGGCAGCCAGCTTGGACCCCTTGACTGACACCTTAAAGGTCTCACTCTGACCTGATCGTGACGATCCTTTGACATCAGTCATCCAGCTGGCTATTCCTGACAAGGCATCTGACACTTAAGAGCTAGCGAATGACTGTACTGACAGAGGCTCGCTTTCTCCAGTTGCGCCGTAAACGATGCTGGTCACGGTTTTGACGCTCTCTATGCTATGCTTCAGGTCCATTGGTGAGTCCGTCCCGTAGGTTCAGGCTCAATGTGTTCTGACATGTGTTCTCAGTCGGCAGGACCGTACTTGAACTTGGGACTGAAGACTCACACCTGAATCATTCATCTGTACCTTTCAAGGCGAGAGACGGCGCCTCGACGACCTTGGTCTGGCCGGAAGGCGGCCCCTCCATCGATCAAGTCATCGACTGGCAAGCTGAGCTTCCACCGGAAGTTGCAATCTCCTTGTACGCCATTTCCAAGTGTAATCATCGTTGGGTCGGTGATTTGCTCGCACGCGAATCAATGCCTGGATACCGATCATGGGGTCCGACTGTATCCATGTATGACGAGAAAACGTATCAACGAAACCTGATAACGGGGAGCTTCCGAGAGATAAACCCCGAGCGAGCAGCGTGAGTGAGGATTAACTAATTCAATCCATCACGCCGCTCTTCGCCCCTCTGACGTCTGTTCAGATGGCCAAAGGCCTATGTCAACGCTTTGAGTTCCCTCAAGGCGTACGACCCCACAAACATACTGGGAAGCGGGACCATGGAATATCAAGATTACCTCAGGCTTTTCACAGGAATGCCCGTAAGCCGTTGGACAGCGGCACAATATAGTCCAGCTCAATTGAGTGAGTATACGGTCAGGACTTTCATCTTGATGGGCTGACACCTTGGCGGACAAGCAGAATTTGCAATTGACCGAAGTAACGAATCGCCAGTACTTTTCGAAACGAGTGACAATGCATCGGTCCTACAGAAGAAGACGCTTTACGCGGTTGCTAATCCTGATCATGGACCTGACAAGACGTGAGTGTGACCGGAATCTGAATCCCAGAATGCCGGCGAGACTGATTCTGCCTCCACAGTATTCAAGTTTGGACACCTGGTGCTGAAGGATCACGGTACAACCCTCAAAACGTTACGCTCGCACAGCTCCAAGCTGATCTGAGCTCCCTGAGCTCGATAACTGACTTCAAACGGTGGACGCCTTCAGCTTTCTTGCCTTGCAATTGGTTGAATAATCAGCTCGTCTGTTGATCCGCCACGCAGCGTTTACAATCTTTGCGTATGGGGATGCGACGTCCTGTGTGGATGGATGGATGGATGGATGGATGAGCGGACGCAGTGGTCAGCATCGATTCGTACGACCTTCTGCTGTTTAGACCTGGATATCAATGTACCTCCTATACCCATCGTAAGACGCTCAAATTTGGTAGAGCCCGCCTCAACCCAGCAATGATCCTCTGCATCTACGTTATACATTGGGAGCTTCTTCTTCGGAAGGTCACCTATTCCTACCCGGGGGTGGAGGCGGAGGTAAGAGACCAAAGCCTCCGCCGCTACCGCTGCTGGGCCCAGAGGTGCTGGAGATGGGAGTCTTCTTTGCTGAACCCTCACGACCTGGTATTTTGATGGTGAATGTTTGACCATCTTTCAGTGAATAGTCCTTAGGCGGGGCGGCAGGCTTGGACGGTTGTGAGGGATCAGAAGAAGGTTCAGGTGCGGACGCGCGCTTGGCGACGGATTGTAGGGCGACCTGAGGGCAGCATGACCAGTGTCAGCACCTGTGACTTTTCCAGTGGCCCAGCCCGAGCTCGTGCAGCCACGATATCGGAAGGTTTCTTGGACACCGTGACTTACCTGGAAGTCAAATGCCTCGCCTCGTTCCTGGAAGCCCATGCCAATATACGCTCGCTGACCTCCATCACCCTCCACTCGAATGACAAAGTATCTCGACGAGTCCAGTACAGGCTCGACCTGTGTCCAAGGCGTGGCATATGTGGCCGAAGCAAAGAGTTCACCCGTCGAGGGGTCCTAACAGTAGGTCAAGGTCAGGGATGTGTGATCCGTCGCGAGTGACACCTCCGACCTCGACCTCCTCACCTCGAGTTTCAGCTCACACCGATTGCCTATCTCCACCACTCGTAATCTTCCTTTCCACATGAACTGCTCGACATCCCATTCGGCAGCTTTATATCCTGATGTCGACGTCCTCGGAGGAACCTGGTACACTTGAGGATGGCATCAGCCGACAAACTGAGAGTAACCGGTCGCTGGGATCCGACTCCAGTACTCACCCATCACCTCCCTCGCGATGAACAGAATGCTCTCAATCTCATCACTGAGCCCGTCCATGATGCTACAGTCGCCTCGACCAGTGCAAGCATCAACGCAGAGCTACATTCACTTGGCCTACATTCTCCCAATCACTTCGGCCATCGCCGCTTTGTATGCCACGTGATCTACCCTTAATGACGCAACATCGCCGCCGCCGCTTGTCGAGCGTTGAACTTGAACTTGAAGAGTGGCCAATTGAACATTTTTGACATCTCATCCTCACATACCAACCTCCTCAACTGTCTTGTCGAATACCTTGATACGAAATAGGAGCCATCATGTCTGACAACAACAAGAACGAAGAGCAGCGTGAGTGTGTTCAATTCTCTCCCTTTCTCATGTCGAGACACATTGTCACTCCTTCCATTCGGTGGCTGGCTGGCTGGCTAACCATTGGACTTACTCCAGAATTCAACATCCTCCCTCACCCAGCTAAAACCAACAATCCCGCCGACCTCGTCAGTGATCCGGCTGGACAAGGTGGACTGCAAGGATCTGGACCTAATGCTTTCAATGCCAAGGAGCCTCATATCCCTTCGCAAGCCGTTGCCCAGGGTCTCGAGCAGCCCAAGACCAGGGACGAAGTGAGTCTGTGTCTTGTGTCATGCGGCCTCTCACAACCCCAAACTGACGGACGTGTCCTTCTAGCTCAAGGCTGAGGCTGAGAAATTGAACCAATAGGTGCCTTTGTGTGAAATTCGAGAGAACACGCTTGGTTGATCGCATCTATGCTATATGTCATTATGCAAATGGTCTATGACGAAAGGCTCTATCTATGAAGACACATTGAGGACATTGGACCCTTCGTTATTCCTGTCGCTGCCGATCTCCTATTGTTGCGTGGCCTTTGCGACCGTTTCAGGTGTATAGACCATAATATTGGGGCGTCTCCTGTGGTAGTGGCGTATCACTTCTACCTCTGCACAGTGCCTCTTCCTCTTCGTCGTCTATTCTCGGATTGATGAGATCATCCGGGCCAGTGCCTATCATACATCTCGCCAGCTCGGCTTCACTAGGACTTTCTTCGAGGGAGTAGGCCGAATTGATGGGGAGGATCAAGCGAAACCTAGAAGGATGGTGTATCTATCAATTTTCTGGCATCTTACCACGGGCCTGTCTGAGTACTCACGCATCCTTGCAGTTTGTGTAGAATCTGAACAACCGCTTTTCTCTCATGAACCCAAGAGATTCGTACAGTGCCAAAGAAGACACGTTGTCGAATTCAGTTTCGAGAACGATCTATGCGCGTGGTCTCAGCGTGAAGCACGCATACAGTGCACATCATGCCTCGGCTCACCTCATCTGCGCCTCGCCCTATCATTTCGTCGACGACGAGCCCTACAATGGATGAGGCTGGAAGGCGCACATCAGTATGGCTTTTTCGGTCTCGCTGGTGTTTGCCTTGGTGTTGTCACATGAACTCACCTATGCCTCGCCTTCGCCAGGCCCGATCTACACTGAGCATGGCAATATACCCTCTATTTGTGGTTCGAAGTTTGCCTGCATGGTCTTCCTGCTTGGCGATGATGGTGGCGATAGCTCGTGTGGCGTCGCCGGTAGGGTACACCTGGACACAACAGTAAGCGCATTGACGTGCTCAAACGAGCAGATCATCGCACCATGATTGTCAAATGCGGCCTATCGGAGTGGTTAGCCGCAATAACTCAAAGGCTAAGATGTTGATGAATGGGTAAGCCTCACCATTCCTCCAAGAAGTACCGAAAGGTGTAGACTGTGGATCGTCCTTCAGCATTTCTCGACACGGTCTGCGCTGAAACGCTGTCAATAAAGGTATACTCACTATTGTACCTGCTTTCCCATTCAGCATGAACCTACGCGGTTGACCAGCACAACTCACGGCTCGCTAAGCTCCTGCTCAGTCAACCTCATGATATCCTCCATGTCCTCTCGCTCGGAACTAAAGGCTCGCCAGTACAGTGTCTGACCTCTTGAGTCGACAAAAGAAGCTCGGTTCTTCCCTTTGACATTGGATGAAGGCGGCGCAGTACGAGATGGAAGCGGAGGAAAAGCGTTCGAGGTGCCATTCAGTGAGCGTTCAGCCTCTGGGTCGATATGCAACCGCTCAATGCCTAAATCTTCTGAGATTTGAGGTAATCGACTCAGTGTATTGGAATGATGACCCAAGCCGGTCGTTGAGCTCGAAGCGTGACGCTGGTTAGCAGTATCGGAAGGATCATGGGGAGGCCCGCTGGACCAAGCGTTCGCGCCAGGCCTTGGTGGCAGAACAGGAGGAGCTTGAGCCGCTACGTCGTATTGCCTCATCGCAGAGGATGCAACAGAATCTCTTGACCAATTGGGTGAGGACCATGCCGATGAATAGTTCGCAGAACTTGACTCGCCTGCTCGCCACGAAGGCATCGGATGACCTTTAGATGAACGCTCCATCAGTGTTGGATGCAGAGCTCATAGTCCTATACCGAGATGTTCATTCGACCGACTAAATGAGGCAAGGGATTTCCCAAAATTCGCGTCGGCAAATAGGTGCGAAACGAGACGAGATGCCATTGGCTCATGTTGACGGCGGCAGCTGATTGCCCCCATAGCCCATCGTTGCGCGAAGTTATGATCTCTTCGTAGGCTGACAGTTTCCACAATGCCATGTAATGCACAGATAAAAGATACAGAATGTCCCCTTACTCCTCCTCCTATTCCTCCTCCCCCTTGATTTCTTTCATTTTAATCATTCTTTCGTTTCGTCACGCCAGCATCCACGATTTCTGCATTGCCCACGGCTCCCGAAGAGCCTAGGCTCATGGAAGGAGACTCCATACGAGCGCTGCTACTGGCCGATCGGCCGGGCGAAGATGTGCCGACATGTCCTATTCCCAGACCTCCCAATCCCAAGCGTTTCGAGACTCCATCAACAGTAATATCTTCACCTGCGATACCGGAATCAGGGAATACGGGCCGTCCATCTCTCGTCGCTATTCCTCTTGGATTCAGCCCTGTTCCATGAACGAACGCATCACTCTGAACACGTCTCGGGGGAGGCGGTGTCCGTGACATTGTGCGAGCGACGTCGGGGTTCAGAGAGCCCAATCGCGGGGAATTGGTCGAGGACAGATTAGGCGAATTGCCGTCCCAAGGGAAGTATGATTGTGGCATGGCTATTGGCGAATGGACGGGGGAGCCACGAATAGGGGTACGAGGCGCAATGAGTCCTTCGTCGTTCTTCCTCCGGGATCTCAAACGGGGAAGGAGAGAAACGAGAGGGACAAGCAGAGATTTGACGAGTGAGGTGGAACTTTGGGCTCGTATTTGGCGATGAGAGGGTCCAACAGGAGTACCGCCAGGGGTCGAGAGATCGATGTGGCGTCCAGAGGGTGATGGGGGAGCCGAGGCGTCTGAAGTAGCACGTAAGTATGGTTGTGAATATCGAGGACATCAGACCCACCACCAAACGACGGCAGGGCATTATCATTCGCGCTTAGGCTCAAAAACAGAAACAGAGGCACTGCCCAGACGCAGATCGCAAAGAAAGCAGCGACGTCAATGAAGACTGGTCCCTCATCATTCTTCCCATTGGACCCATATCGATACCTTGCGCCGCGGAATCTTTTGGCTTCTTGAGCCTTCGCTGCAAAGTGGAAGAACCAGGTAAAGTGGTCGGCCACGACGAGGATGCACGAAGCGATGAACTTGGGCGATGTCAAAGAGATGAATGGCCATGTGGGTGTAAAGTTGGTGAGGTAGACGAGGTGGGCCGTGATGGATAGGAGGGTGGGTAAGATTGGAAGGGAGTCAGTGAAGATGAGGATGACGTGGAGGACAATGATGACCTGAACGTAAGGGGTGGTGCATGAGCGTCGGCAGAGAATTCAATTGTGAAGATGAAGCTACTCACGTAGATTGCACGCATGCCAATCACCTTTGCAAACTTGGAGTGTTCCTCTATCAGCTCTGCGAGCCATAACAAGCCGGAAGCTGGAATGTACCGTACAGATCAGCAATATTCCGGACGAGATAGCCTTCACCCTCACCGAGTGACAGCGTCACAAACAGAAAAGCCGCAAGAGCCCCCGCGTAGGACATCACATGCAGTAGAGAGATCATCTTTCGCCCGAAATCGAGTGCTGTCCAAGTTGGTGCGGGAACTAATGTCAAGCCAGAGAACTATACGCAGGGCGTTACAGGATCCGAGCCCTGCTTTTTTGAGCCCGGTTTCTCTGAACAGTCCTACGAAGAGGGGCTCTTTGTCGCTTGAGCTCTACTCTACTGGGTCACTCTTCTTGCAAGCTGTGAGGAGCTATATCGCGAGTGAGAGCCTGTTAGTGGAAGAGGTTGGAAAGATTTGAACGCGGTGGACGGCGTCGGCGTGTCCGGTTTTGGTGAAAGCGGAATCAAATTGTGGGCTGTGGAATAGAGATTCGCTGGTGACAGTGACGCATTTCATACTATCCTACATATCTGATTGAGTAGCATCTACGGATATCCTGTAGGAGAAGCTCTCAGAGCACAGGGCTAGGAAAGTCTAATACCTCGACTTGGCTATCAAGATGAGCAACTTGGAAAGTAAGTGCTTTGATGGGTTACACGGTCGTTGATATGGTCCAAGAATCTCTCTTTCAGCTCAAGGTGAGGCGGCCTGAAGGTGTCTCGGGGCTATATCTCTGACGATCGCTCTTTGCTCATGGTCAATCTGACAGTTCACGGCCAAGACGCTGCAGCGTCAAGCGAAGAAAGCCAACAAGGATGAACAGACTGAGAAGAACAAGCTGAAGCAGGTGAGCAGGGTCTGATCTCAAGTCTGACTACCGATTCGCTGAAATATGTCGTGTGGTCTAGGCTTTACAGAAGGGAAACAACGAGGGGGCTCGAATCTACGCCCAGAATGCCATAAGGAAGAAGACTGAAGGTTTGAATCTCTTACGCTTAGCCTCGAGGATCGACGCGGTGGCTAGCAGGGTGGAGACCGCGGTGACGATGCGGTCAGTGACGAACAGTATGGGAGGTGTGGTGAAGGGTATGGACAAAGCCATGGAGAGTATGAATTTGGAAAAGGTGAGACGGGCGAACTGTCACCATCAAAGATAAGTCACTCACTGCTTTGCGATTTGATCTGCTCAGATCTCCCTCGTCATGGACAAGTTTGAATCCCAATTCGCAGATCTCGACGTCCAAACCAATTATATGGAATCTACAATGAGCGATACGACAGCCTTGGCAACACCACAAGATCAAGTTGATCAATTGATCGATCAAGTGGCTGATGAAGCTGGTCTAGAAGTCAGACAGGGTCTGGGCGAAGCAAAGGTGCCTGCGGCTGTACCGAAAGAGACGGAAAGCGAGACGAGAGTCGCAGTGGAGGAAGATGGAAGATTGGCAGAGAGATTAAGAGCTTTGAGAGTAAGTCGAGTTCATATACTTGAAAGTTTGAGCTGACGCTCGCGCCATCAGCCTGCAACTTGATATTGGAGATCTTGGACGGGGATGAGTTGCCTTCATGTGTTGTATACAGTATGATTATGAAGAGTGTGAAAGCGTGCTTTCCAGGCAGACCGAAGGGCAAGATTTGGCCTTCCAAGTCGATAACTGCATTTGACGTAGTCGTCGCCTTACACCAACCTTGGACCCTTGCTCGGCTTGCCATCTCCAATCCTCATATTCTGATCGATAGGAGGAGCTGCCCAAACGAGCACATTACCACTTTCTCTCTCTACCAGACCCGCCCGTCGTACCCATTCGATATCGCTCAATCGACGGGGCAAAAATGAGCTGTACCATCTCCCAGAGTGTCCCGGGCCCATATGGTCTGAACTGCCTCCCCAGTCTTTTTGACCAGGTGGAGGTGGTGACATGGCTGATCCTGTTGATAGTGATCCAGGTATACGTCTCAAATGAGAAGGACCACCCTTTTCTCTCTCTTCATCTTCTATCGATTTGAGCGAGCTACGTTCCTCCACCGGCGGTAAAAGATCTTCCACATCGGACTAAGCGAGGGCAACAAGATCAGCACAGTTTCTTCATCGAGTCCAGCTTAATTAAGCAGACCCACAAAGTCGTCCTGCTGGACAGCAGCGATGGAGTATGCGTAGATCCCGAGAGAAAAGCAGACTAAACCAAGACCATAGATTCGATTCGGCCAAATAAAAGGTCTGCGAGCCCGCTTCAGGGATTCTGACATTTGCTAAGAGCAGTTCGAAGTTAGCTACAGCACTGCAAGAGCTCCCATTTTTCGAGGTCACCCTCTGTCGATCGTCGCCAGTCGACCAGAACAGATGATCTCATGTACGGTATAACTCACCCCTGGTCTTGGAAAGTACGTCTCATCTATACTTCGCTGATTCCATCCTCGGTCTGACATTTTTGTTGGAGTCTTGAGGACGTATCGGAACGATGTGGATGTTCTATGCTTCGATAGTCTTGTTCAACAGGTGATGATGTTGCATACAGCCGACGATTCAATTCATGAGCGAATCTCAAACTTGGCTTGGGAAATGACTTTGCTTACGTAAGTGTGCCTCGACCTGGGCCGACCTCCAGCGAGACGAAGCTCGCAAGTCTTGAAATAGGTCGTTTGGTCTGCTCACGACAGTACAAAGAAGAGCGTGACAGCTCAGAGACATCGTCGCAGCGATAAAGAAGCTCAGATAGGACAAGACTTCGCCTGGCGTTCCGCCCGCGCCCGAAACCTCAGTCGTCGCCCATCGCTATCGCTCCACATCCCAGATCCTTTACCATGTCAAAATCATCGACCGCGGCCTCCAGCAGCGGCCCCAGCGTGGGCAGCAGCAATAGTAGCAGCTCGGTCAGCTCAAATACATCTGCTCAATTCCAAAATTCCATCTCGACCCTCGTAGCGAACTATTCCTCCTCGACTCCACCACGGCTCAAGTTGATTGACTCGTTCCTCTTGTTCTGTCTCCTGTCTGGAGGTCTACAGATGGCCTACCGGATACTCGTGACTAGCTATCCATACAACTCTTTTCTGGGAGGGTGCGCAAGACTGAGCACCGGAGTCAATTACGTTCACGCTAACAGGAGACGTTCACAGATTCGGCTCAACCGTCGGACAGTTCGTGCTCCTGGCTGGTCTCAGATCTCAAGTCGCCCCTGGTCGAGACGCAGAATTCAAAGAAGTGTCCAAAGAGAGGTCAGCTGCGTGCCGGATGTCAATCAGAAGTACTGACTCGCTTTGCCATCAGAGCGTTTGCAGACTTTTGCGCGGCGTCCATCATTTTGCACTTGTTCGCAGTCAACTTCCTGGGTTAGACAGCATTCACACAGAATTGCGCATTCCAGTGGATCTGTACAATAGAGAGAACAACCCGAAAAGTATCCAATGCAGGGTATACGTACAGAGATCTATGTCGTATCATGTCTAGTCATCATGCCTTTGCCTTGGTACCGTCCGGCTTAGTCTGCTTATCTCCGCCCGCATCCCGCTTGATCACCTTCTCCACCCGGCCTTCCAACGCATCGTAAATTGCTTTGGCATTGACCGGATCTTCCAGCGCCGGATGCGAGCTGAAGGATATGCGATCAGCGATGTTGAACACCAAGGCTATCTGACTCACTCAATGACCTGACAGTATCGAACAATGTCCCCATTGCCCACTCCTGCGGTTCGCGGGTTCCTCAGTTCCTTATTGTCAGATTTCGACTTTTCGATCGTTGATTTTGCTATGGGGGAAGGGGTCGACACGTCCAGAGGGCCGTAGCGAACAGGCGCCTGAAGAGCAAACAGCAGTGGTTGGATCGCTCGGCTTGGACTCGGGGTCACGATGAGCAAAATGGGGATAAGGACGAGCAATCGCCTCTGTGTGAGCGCAGTCGCCATGACTACACTCACAATAACTTTTTCAAGAATGGATCGCCAGGTTCCGAACCCCAGGTGAATTCTTCCCTAGTCCAAGGCATAATGACCCTCAAGACCATGATATTACTCCGGACACCTTCCTGTTTCTTCTTCAATGTCCCGTTACTGGAAGGCACCTCTTTGACTTTTTTCAATGCCGCAGCGGACAATGTGTCGAAAATGAGCTGAAAGTGCTTCATGAGGAGTAGCACAGTGATAGATTTGGCTCCAGCGATCTGAATACTCGACTCCAGAGGTTTTTTACTGCCTTCTAGGGCGGGTAGAGCAGCCGCAAAGGCTGGCGAGATGAGCGAGATGACTCGGATATTTCTTTCGGGAGGTTGACGGATCAAACTCGGCAGGAGAGATGTTAAGATGTGGAAGTGGTATTCGTGTAGTGTCCAGCGAGTCTCCTTCTTTCCACCCTGGGACTGATCCAAGAGTTCATCATCGTTCGACCAGATTGTACTTGGGACAGATTCCCATCCTGAGGCAAAGACAATAGCATCTATCCTCCTTCCACCTTCACCAGTCATACCAGTTGAGACTTTTCCCCATTTGGCGGTGAACTCTCTGACGCCTCGAGGCGTCTGAGGCAGAGGTTCGCAGTGAAGTTGAGCTTGCGGATTGCGTATACTCAGTCGAAGGGTATGCATGAGAGTCAAGAGAGATTCAGGGAGGGGCGAGTCGTAAGGCGGGAGGAAGAGGATTTGAGGCGGGGATGGAAGGTGGAGCAGGTGATCGAGCAATTGCAGTATGACCGGTGATGGAGGAGCCTGTTAAGCAGCAGTCAGCATCTATCTGTGATTAGATACCTATCCTCGTTGGGCCAACTCACAATCACCAGGATCATCTTCCCTGCCCAATCTCTCTCCCAAGTGGTCTTCGGCCCCGCTGACCACACTTTGACAACGTACAGCAGGGACATGGTCACGGCCCCAAGGATCAAGAATCTACCATCCACATTCTCCAAGAGAGACGCCACTGTGTTGACTGGCATCGTGTGTTGAGCTACCAAAGTGTCCAATGAACTGACATGAGATCAGCTCATAACCATTTCATCTGAACACGCGGAAAGTGCAGGGCTTCGGATCCGAACGCGCGAGGTATTAGGATTTTGATTAGGATTTCATTGCTTTAATGGACCCATGAGTCTGGCAGTTCGCGGGGTTGGATCCAGCGTGCTAGCTGTACCTGCTCTGTTGGTCGTACGAAGCTAAGTCTTTGATTCATATTCCCATGCATCGTAGAGCGTCTGCATTCTTGCCGTTTGCCGCTGCGAGGACAGGGACAGGTGAAGGGATAGTGTATAGGTGACAATATAGGCGGGGACATGTCGGCGCCTATTTTCCGCTACCTCGCCCCGGTTAATGAATGCTTGTTGCAACCGGAGAAAAGTGCTGAACCTCTTGGTGTGTCCTGTCTCATTCCTTCATCTTGCTCTCACACCAATCCCATCTCTATAGCTATCCGCGATAGCTCACTGCACTCTGTCAGCTCTCATATACAGATCTCGGGCCTCCTCCTTCCACAGCATGACTTCAGCGCTTCAAAGCTTGACTTCCGTCCTGCCCTCGATGGGCAGGGCGAGGTTGCTCATCAACTCAGCGGATGATGTGGTCATTGTCAGTGCGTGCAGGACGGCCATCACAAAGGTGAGCAAGATCTTTCTCGCACTGGGAGAACTCGTCACTTAGTGATATTGATGTCCGCTTTCTAGGCAAAGAAAGGAGGATTTAAAGACTGCCTCCCGGAAGACCTCCTCGCCGCTGTCTTCAAAGAGACTCTGAAACGCAGTAAGGTCGACCCGTCGAAAATCGAGTAAGCGGGTTATCTCTCTCTCTCTCTCTCTCTCTCCAGAATAAAGTAGCTGATGAAAGCAGGGATATCGTGGTTGGAAATGTGTTGCCCCCAGGCGGTGGAGCCAACGTTGCAAGAATGGCTCAATTGTACGCCGGCATTCCATACACGTAAGCCGATAGAAGAAATACATTTGTTGACGACTATAGTACCCCAATCAACACGGTCAACCGACAATGCTCTTCCGGTCTCACCGCCGTCGCTCAGATAGCCAATGAGATCAAGTCAGGAGAAATCGATATTGGTATTGGTCAGTCTAGCTCTTCTCGTTGCTTTGACGCGTTGCTGATCTTGGCAAAGGCGCTGGTGTTGAACACATGACTGCTCATTATGGTGCTGGAGTACTGCCCGAACGCATGTCAGATGCGGTCTTGTCAAATCCTGAATCTGCCGACTGTCTCCTACCCATGGGTATCACTTCTGAGAACGTGGCCAAGCAGTACAACATTACTCGAGATGCTCAAGACTCCTTTGCGGCTGACTCTTACGCCAAGGCCGCCGCTGCTCAAAAAGCTGGAAAGTTCCGGGAAGAGATTGTTCCTGTCAGAGTGAGCCAAGTCCACCTCAGTCAAATGATCCGCACGCTGACAACGCATCAAGGTCAAGTGGAGCGACCCAAAGAGCGAAGATGAGAAAGAGATCATCGTCGATTCTGACGATGGCATCCGAGAAGGAGTGACCAAGGAGTCCCTCTCCAAGCTCAAACCTGCATTCGCCAAGGACGGTGCCACGCACGCCGGAAATGCTTCTCAAGTCTCAGATGGAGCCGCTGCTGTCTTGCTGGCCCGTCGGTCCGTTGCTCAGAAGCTTGGTCTGCCCATCTTGGGCAAGTTCGTCGTCAGTGCCGTCGTCGGAGTCCCACCAAAGGTCATGGGGTGAGTCTGGATCATCTCTCCATCGGTCTCGCTGACGAATCGCAGTATTGGGCCGGCATTCGCCATTCCCAAAGTCCTGCAAAAGGCCGGCATCACCAAAGATGATGTGGATTTCTATGAGATCAACGAGGTGAGTACCTGAGTCACTCTTTGTCCGTCATCATCTGATCCGACCCTCTCAACCAGGCATTTGCATCTCAAGCTGTCATGTCGGTTCAGCACCTGCATATCCCCTTCGACAAGGTGAACCCCGTTGGAGGAGCTATCGCCATGGGGCACCCGCTCGGTTGCACTGGAGCACGACAGATTGCCACTGGATTCAGTGAAGCCAAGCGAGAGAAGAAGAAGGTGTTCGTCACTAGCATGTGTATCGGAAGCGGCATGGTGAGTCCACCTGTGTCACCAAGAGCTCAGCTGATCCATTTTGGTAGGGGATGGCAGCTGTCTTTGTCAATGAGCAGTGATGAGCCCTCGTATCTATCTGTGTCGGTGACCCCGTTCCTGTATAGATTGTGTGTTTGCCCTTGTTGCAGCTCCTTATTCGCCTCCAAGTGGTCTATGTATCGCATGAACCAGATGGGATGATGCATATGCATATGTATCGGATAAATAAGGACTAGCACGTGATTTCGTTGGAGCGATCTTCTCCGAGCGATCGTCCTCCACTCTCATTGAGCAATTTCCGTCGACCGAAGCGTCGATCGTCACACTGTGCCATCATGTCTGTATTGAGATCAAGAGCATTGACAGCAGCAGTGTGGTCGAGGCCACTGGCAGTCCGTCAACTACATATTACCGTCATCCGACGGGCAGACCCATATGTCTTACCTCTTGATCCTTCTTTGAATCAAGCCTCTTCCTCGTCATCTAGTACGGAGCCATTACCGGAGCATGGTGAATGGCCGCTTCCACAACCATTAGATCGAACTGGTGAGGATGAGAAGACTATCAGGGCTAGACTGGTGTATCAGAGTCGAAAAAGAGGCATGTTGGAAGGCGATCTGTTGATTAGTACGTTTGCGAGGGATCATTTGGGAAGTATGAGCCTGGAGCAGATGAGGGAGTTTGACAAGGTGAGTCGGGCGGTGGAAACCGTCGGTTCAAGTACAGTGAGGACGTGAGAGTCAGGCGAATCTATCAATACATGCGTTGGCAAAAGGGTTGTCCGCTATCAGACTCATCACAATGGTCTCGCTAGGTGGGGGCAAAGGCTGACCCATAAATCTTCAGCTTCTCGACGAACCGGATTGGGACATTTACTACTGGTCAATCGAAAAGCGAGAGCCTCCAACGCGGTGGAAGGATACTGAACTGCTTGCAAAGTGAGCTGGCAATCCAATACGCAGGGGTGAGGACTGACACGCCGCAGACTCAGGCAACACGCCCGAAACGAGGGCAAAGTCGTCAGAAAAATGCCTGATTTGATGCAGGAGGAGCCTCAGCTTTGAGACACATGCTTTCATCAGTGCATAGCAGGAGCGCAGACTTCTTGCATGATGGGAAGCGCTTGCTTTTCGTAACATGATTACAACGGATGCAGCAGATGCTCTTGCTTCTCTCCCTCATTTGCTTCCACCTGATCGATACGTTGATCTGCCTGTCTGGATCACGGAACAGGCTGATGATCACCAATTCACGGCATTATACTTTGCGCTAGCTCGATTTCATCACAAGAAATACTCGTGCATGAGTGGCCGTTTTTGAGGAATGGATTTGGCGTCTGGTGCGGCGCAGTCAAACACCTGATGGCATGGGCTGGCTTAGCTACGTTCCTGGGATGAGGTGAGAACTGCTCACCTTGTATTCCTGCCGTAAATCCTCATCCAGCTCCAATATGCTAGCCACATTTCCACATCGGTAGCAGTAATTAGGTGCAGACCAGACAGTCACGATTTTGCGATCGAACATCAACTGAGCGGAGGGTGAGCTAATCAAAGGCCGATGTATACATCCGAATCACCTTGTAACCCTCCATTACTAATTGATGGGCACGAGCTATCAATTCGATGTCATTGTTCCGGTTGAATTGATCCACTATATCTCCTCCGAATAAGAAGCCGGCGCCTCTCGGTGACATTCCCCAATTGACTATGTCTGGCAGGGTCAGCTTGGATCTCTCGTCATGACAGCTCACCATCAGGATCAGACCACAGCAGGTCACACATCGGTCCCTCATGGGGTACTTCCTGCCGCCGATCAATCACTCGGATCTGTATCAATCAGCATGATGCCCGAGACTTCCGGAACTGATGCAACTCACCTGATCTAACCTAGCAATGGAGGGGCTCAGACCTCCATGTACGCAGAACACCCTTCCGTCCACTACCGCTCCCAAACTCAGATAATCAAACACATCACAGCAATACCTCCACACGTTACTCGAACCATACTTGCGCATACACTCGTCGTAGAATCCATACACCTGGGTGATTTGTCGGGACTCGTGGTTTCCCCGGATGAGCGTTATACGATCAGGGTACCGAACTTTGAGGAGCAAAAGGATGAGAAAGGTTTCGACAGAGTAGAAGCCACGGTCAACAAAGTCGCCTGATGTCTGTATCAGCAAAACGTACACGACACAGCCTCGGTGGCAATGACGCCACGGTCCAGTGAACGATTACTCACCCATGAACACGTAGCTCGTCTCTGGGCAAGAGCCGCCGACTTTAAACAACTCCATGAGGTCGAAGAATTGCCCGTGTATGTCTCCGCATATCTGAAGAGGCGTCATAAGCCTGCACCAACTACCTGGTGATGAGCTAGCTCACTGTGACTGGTGAATCGACGTATTGGACATTGCCCTCCTCTATCAAGATCTCCTTGGCCTTTTGGCACAGGTCCTTGACCGCAGGTTCCGGAATTATCTCACAGCGCTTCAGCTGTTCTAATTGCCTAAACATCTCATCAGCGATGCTGTCGAGCTTGGTTATGTACGGCGCTTGATTGTCGAGATTAGGCCACAGTCGCAAGCTCACTTGTCTAGATCGGATGCCATGTTGATCAGGACGGTCCGAAGACTGCCGTGCGTAATGCTTGCACGTGTGTAGTACCTAAAGCGTGTGTCCACGCGAGTCAGGACGTCACGCTATGCCTCGCTGACGATCTTGACGCAGTGTCAACAATGTATTGAATGTCAAAGATTGTCCACAAAATCCAGTCCCGAAAACAAAACCCCACTCAGAACAGACACATTACGTAAAGTCTCCTGCCGAAGTCGCGAGAGAAGTTGAGGGACGAGCTGAATCTCTGCACCGTCTGTCGCAGGACTTGATAGCAAGCTCGTAAAGATGTCCTTCGGCGGGTGAGTAAGAGCCGGACCGAGAGCGAGGTAGTAGATCTGACCTCAAAGCAGATTCAGCTTCGGCAGCGGGTCCAACTCGGCACCGTCCTCTGCGACTCAACCAGCCGTTCCTCAGTTCTCTTTGACCGCGCCGACACCAACCGTGTCTGCCTCTTCGACCTTCTCCTTCGGCAACAACTCTGCCTCTCAGACTCAAGCAGGTCAACAGCAAGGCTCAACAGGGGCCCAAGCTCCATCCACGTCGAGCACTGGTCAAACTGGCTCCCTATTTGGCTTTGGACAGAACCAAAATCAATCTACGAGTCAGTCTGCCAATCCAGGTCAATCTGGCACCCAGACGCAGCAACAGCAGAGTAGTGGAAGCTTATTCGGTGGATCTTTGTTCGGTGCCAAGCCTGCTCAGAGTGCTCCTGCTGCAGGGACCAACACAGGCGGAGGTTTGTTTGGTGGTGGATCTTCACTGTTTGGTTCACAAACTACCCGACCCCAGCAAAATCAACAGTCTTCCACATCCCTCTTCGGCCAATCCAGTACCACTCAACAACCTGCAACTACCTCTCTCTTTGGTCAATCCACTGTCCAGCCCTCGAGCGGTCTCTTTGGATCGAGTAATCAAGCTCAGAAACCAGCAGGGTCTACTTTGTTTGGAAGTACAACCCAACCACAGCAGTCACTGCTCAGCTCCCAGAATCAGCAATCTGGCTTGGGACAGTCTAGCTCAGCAAGCTCTTCCGGACTGAATAAAACCACTCGATTCACCGACTTGCCCGAACAAGCTCAGCGAACCATCGAACAGTTGGAGTAGGTGACAGGAGGCGGACTTTTGATGTGTCTTGAGGCTGATGCACCCCTCCAGTGGCTTCTTCAAGCAACAGAAAGAAGCCGGGAAGGGTATAAATCCCGAACCGTTAGGCCAAGCCATCCAGCAGACGTCCCTCGACGTCAAAGCGGCTAGCGAGGCAAGTCGTATCGTATCCTGCCATCGTGTAAATGCCACTGACGTGACTGTCCCCAGGAAGCATCCGCGCTCACACAAGGCATCAATGCTCTACAATCATCTCTCAAACAGCTGAAAGACAAGTTTGACTCTGAAGAAACCGATCTGAGGAAAGTAGCGGAGATTTGGGAGACTTATCGATCAGTGGATGGTCGACCCGGAGCTGTGCGAGTCGCTGCTCACCGCGATTTTCCTCACGAGTGAGTATTATCGTTCGAGGTAATTCACGAGAGGCCGCTGATCTTCGCAGATTCTTCGCACGTACCGCTGCTGGAATGCAGGAGAGAGCAGCGAGGTATCGTAAATCCATTGCGGTGAGTAGAGAATAAGCAAATATAAACGTATGCTCAACGCCGTGTCAGCAATTGCAAAGGGTCATTCAATCCTTGTCCTCCAGGCAGGACACAGTCTCTCCCCATGGTGAGTGGTATTTTCTCGTCACATCTGTCATGGACGCTGACCTCCCTGTAGCCATCGCGCAGACTATTCAGAATCACCAAAATGCTATTCTCTCTTTGGCCGCCAGACTCGAACAGATGCAGATTCGGATGATCCATCTCAAAGGAGTATACACGTGAGTCGACAACTGTCCCTGCGAGTCTCTCTGACGCCGCACCCTTATAGCGATCAGTATAGGGAAGGGACAAACTCGATGAGGGATCCCTTCGAAGTCGCTCGGGAGGAGAAGGGTCTTCCTCCTATTCGAGCGGCATCTTGGTCGATATGACACAAGCGAATTATATCATACTACATTAATGATACATATCATGCTCATGCAGACATCTATCTGCGATCCGTGCCGGGGCAAAGGCTTCACCTCATCCTGCACACTCTGCACACTGACCACCGGACACCAGCGACGGACTTCGACCTCGATGGCTCTTGGCTTCACCCTTGGGTCGCTCAGGCTCTTTGGGTCGCAAGGAAGAGCGAATCAAGGGCGATTTGGCGTTCTTCCTAAGAACACTGCCGGGACTTCCTGCTTCTTTCAATTCACCCTCCCTACTTCTACTTCTGCTTCTCTCTAGCTTCGCGCCCTTGTCGCTGGAGGCAGATCCTGTTGAGCTGCCACAGCAGCCGCACCTCGAGCACTCAACGCATGAACCTGCGCCCGGATTTGTGGCCCTGTATTTCACCGATGGGATTCTCTTTGGGCGGGTCGCGTCTATCGGATGTCGTGCTCTTTCTCTGTCTAGCGATCCAGGTGCGAAGACTGGGTAGACAGGCGGAGGAGCCAGAATAGGCGTCAGTCTAGCGTGGTTCATGGGTGATATGGGTGATGAGGGACTTTGAAGCCAATGGGATGATTGAGCGATTCTAGGGATGGCGCCTGCTGTTGAGGTCAAGTCGGGTGAAAATCCAGCATGAACTCTGCCGACTGACCCATCCCATCCATCATCATTCCTCAATCCTCCTAAACCAATAGAAGGGACGCTTCGACCAGTTAGACCAGAGATACCAGTGACTACTGATCCTCCTCCACCGATTTGGACAGGATGAATCACTGATCCTCCTCCGCCAATAGTACGGCCGGTGACATTCGCGAGGCTTCCGTAAGCCGATGCGGCGCCAAGTCGTATGTTTTCCGCACCATCTGATGCAGGTGCATACGTCTCCCCGCTGTATGGTGCCCAGGGGTTTCTCAGTCCACCAGGCAGGATTCGGCCACCATTGTGATACGGATACTGACGTGGGAGACAGTCGATGGATCTCGCTGGGCCAGTAGCAGGCATGGAGGACCATCCGCCCATCATGGCTGGTAAGGGTGCAAAGCCAGCTGCTGAGGTATCATGGTACGGATCGTGGTGTGCCATCCTCGCAGGGTAAACTTCGGTAGGCATGGCGATGAAGTGAAGTTGAGGGGACGTGCTGCTTCAGAGGGGACAAATAGTAGATAGATTCGCCACTGCTAAAAGCTCATGAAATTCTGCTTAGAACTGGGCGAAAGAGCCCAGAAGCTGACAAGCTGCAGAGAGCCACTGATGGACCAATTACACCGAAGAGGTCGCCGTGAATCTTGCGACGCTGCTCAGAGGCAATGTCGATACGAACGTGAAGTCTAACGCTTTGACGCCACCTATATCGTCAGAATCTAAGCCCCCTCACACGGCAAGGACAAGCCGACTCGACCCCCTCTTCTTCTCATTCTTTGGTAGTGCTCCGTATGTCGACAGAGGAAGAGCATGGTCGGTGAGACAGCAAGTCAAAGGATAGCAACCTTTGGATTCGGGGGGAAGCCTAGTCAAAGGGTGTTGTGAGTGAGTGGTCATTTGGTCCAATTTGATTCGAGACGTGTTTTAGGTGGAGTGGCGGCCGAGCAAAGGCCAGCAGGATGCTGAGAAGGGTGACATAGGGGCCGGATCTAAGGAGGAGTCTTCTACCACTCCAAGTTGTCGACGGCAGCCCAATACTCGTCATGCATTGGAGATGACGTGAACCAGATTGTCGTCAGGTCTATCCGCTCATGACCCCCACTGCTGCTGCTTCCTCCTCGTCCGCCTCCTCCATCGCGCCCACCTCGAACTCTCCACCGACGTCCCATCGACTGCCTTCTGCCGCATTCCCGAGGTACTTGACGAATCGCATGACACCTGGATCCCTGAGGACAATGAGGAGCTTGTTGAACGAAACTGGCTGTACGAGCAGCGGCGCATCCGGATCGAATTCGTCTTCCGAATCAGAGTCAAAGTCGCCTTCGGACAACTGGTCAGACTGAGCCGGGTCGATTTCCAGCTCTATAGTATTGCTCGAGTCCTCTATCGCATCCTCACTCGCCGGATGGAACCCGTCGGATCTCGAGGGACCGGGCTCTGCTGATTCTGATTCTGGTGCGTGACCATTCGACTGTCGTGCCATTTTGCTCTGGTAGACCGCAGGATCTTCACCCTCCTCCGGACTGGCCAGATAACAATCCCATCCACCGTGATCAGCCAGATCATCCTCCTGATCACTGCCAACGGGGACATCGGCCCACCAAGTGGCCCCCAGCCACACGTCCAAACGAGCTTCTCCGGTCTTATCTTCCCCATTGGCCAAAGTGTAGTCGAGTCCCTTGCGGAAGCGTCTGGCTTCCGTACGATGTCCAACCGGTAGCAAGGACGATACAACAGACAACCAAGCTCTGAAGGCCTCAGATGGGATGAGCTGAGTTAAGAGCTTGGACATGGTCGGCGTGGATGACGATTCCGCTGAAGTCGATAGACTGAGATAGCGATGCTTTGAAGGGGGGCCCGATATCTCCCATTGCGAATCCTCGCCCGCACGTTGATCCGTTATCCTCGAAGGGTCAGAATAATCCCGTCGATCCGCCTCCTGCGTCTCCTGCTTGAGTGTTGCGGCCAATTCGGGTTTGAGAAAGTTGTGAAGTGCGATTTCGGATGCTTCCACGAATTGACCAGACAGTTTCTCGAGCGTTTGTGTTGTGAGGTATGAAGGGGATAGGTAATCTTTCAGGAAAGAGATATGGGACGGCTTCAAGCCAGGTGGAGGTGTTTCAGTAAAGGGGACGAAGGGCTTGCTGGGTGCGGCGGTCTTTGTAATGTGATTAGCTCAGGGCTCTCTAGTCAAACTCACGATTTGTGCAAGCGAGCTGAGATCGTCCTTGAGCTTGCCTTGATCCATTGGTTCGTAGCCCTCTTCGCCCTCTATCGGACGATGGAACCTGGCCATGTCTCAGCGACACCTCGATCTGAAGTGACAACGTACCATCCGCTGACGCCCAGTCTTTGCCTGTCCTCGCCGACAATGACCTCTTCCACAGCATGATAGCTTCTTCCAGGCTGGACCTCAAACAGGACCAGCTGGCCCCAAGTCGCCGGGATCTTCTTGCTTCGCGTTGATTCGGGTGGACCGACTTCTTTCGATTCCTCTACCGGATAGAGCTCGAGTGAACCTCCCCAAGAAGCATCCCAGCCTTTCGTGAAATTGCCGCTGGAGCTCAGGGTGCAGGCAGATGACGAGGGGGCAGACGAGGGAGAGTTGGGAAGATAGAGTATGTATGATACCAGCCGGGTGGAAATGGAATCATCGTGTAGCAGCAAATGAGAGCTTGAAAGGTGATAAGCCTCCCTAGCAAGATGCTGTACAAATGACAGTCTCCCTCACCCTTTGGTATACAAGCCGACCGATCCGTCCGTCTTCTTGCCTGACAAAGGTCCACATCCAGTGACCTCCCTGACAAAATTTCTGAAATCTTGGGAGTATAGAGCGTCCTTCAACCGCGTGAGTTCCGGTAGACGGTCGAGGGTCTCTTGCGGCAAGTGCTCAGGGTCTAATGAAGACAAATCTGGAGTCTGTTGGATCTGTCGAGACATCAGCCGGGCCCTGCGACTGATGCGTCCGCCCGTCATATCTACCTTGTAAATATCAGTCTCCTTCTGCTCCCATCCCCAGCCTTGTAACGAATCTTCCTCGCCTCGATTTCCATAAGTTCTCGATTCCTCGACCACAGCTTCCAGCTGGTCATTTGTCAGGACAATTAGAGGAAGGAGCTGACTCACAAGCTCGTCTGAGATCAAGCCATGCAAGACGGCGTGCTTATAAGGCTCAGCTTGCTCGTATTTGACCCGTTCTTGTTTCAGATCATCTTTCAGGGGCAGATTGATGACCTTGGATCCGATATCAACGCGCCTCTTCTTCGTGGCTCTCCCTTCGACCTCCGCTGTCATGCTCGTTCAACCAAGCTGGTGTAGACAACGTTGCTTGAATCAGCGGTCCAACAGAGTCCAAGAAGATATCTCATCAATCCCAAAAATTTATTTATGCATCAGAAAAAAGTGGCAGAGTGGCGAAACGCTGAAGAAATGCATGAATAGCTCGTACTTCATGCAGACTCAAACGATAGTTGAAGGCCGTGTTTCCCGTCTATACCGTCCTAGAACCTGTGACCTTACTCGTTGGATCATGTGATCAGATTTCGGATTGCTGGCGTTCGACTAGCAGACTCTGAATCTGAAGCTGGAAGGACCCGCGAACTTGCCTCGGATTCCGCCAAGTTCCTCACAATGCCTTCGTCCTTTTGTGACGCTGTGGGCTCTACTGCCCGGCTTGTGACACTTGAATACGCCTGCAGGGAATTCGACGGGATTCCTGAGGCTCCTTCCGGAGCGAACGCCAGACGCTTCGTGTCTTCACTCTGCCCCGCCATGTCCTCAGCATCAGAGGATCCTAAGAGAGATGCTGAACCCCTTTTACTACCCTTACTTTGAGAGCTTGGGTCATCGAGCGCGAGAACTCTGGGATCCCGGACAACCTCAAGCAATGAGACCGCCTCGAGGCCAAGAAGGGCCTTGATCTTCTCGTGAGCGGCGAAAGAGGCTCTTCCAGTGATTCGTAATGTGCTGGCATTGCTATCAGGCATCAACCGCCAGCTTGCTTTCCCGGACGCAAAACTTTTCAGAGCTTTCCTAATCGTGTCTTGCGATGCCTGAGGGAAAGCCTTGTATTTGGTTTCCAGCTCTTGTAATACGCCTTTACTTCCTCCCTGGAGCCACTTTACCCGGGGAATTGTTGCAGGTAGCTCCGTCTGGCGTATCATGAACAGATAATTATGGGTGGGACAGTTGATGCGAGTACGACTGCCATAGTACTCTGATAGAATAGTCCCCTCCTCCTCCGCGGACGTGGAGATAATGTCGTAAAAAGACTCGTCCAAGTCCTTACCTTTATCCCCATCTTGTTCATGATCCTGCTCTCGGTCAGAGATCTTCGGTTTGGGTTTGGTACAAGTGATCTGCAATATAGAAACAGGCTTCGTGTTGCCGACGCTGAAATACTCCTGCATTCTCAATGCGGCCTTTTGATTGATATTCCCCACGACCGCTGTGTGAAGATTGCCGTCCTCCGACGGCAGAATTTTGATGCAAATAGGGCCAACATTGCCTTGGGCAAAGTCTTTAAGAGCAAGTAGAACGCCATTGATCGAATCCGAGTCTTGCAAGCGAGACATATACTTCGCTGACAACTCCTGCAAGACCCTCCTTGCGTCGGATTGCTGCCCCATTGAAGCTTGCATTGTGGCGAGAGGCCGTACCTCAGACGGCCACATCGCAAAGGAGTGACCAGCAGACGAATGATACGACGCAAGGCAACGATTGGAAAGAATCAATTTCTTGTGGTCTGTATGTTTATCAATCTCATCCGACAAAAATGATTCAGACATCTTGCAATAGGCAACTGTGAAGTGAGGAGAAGAATGAGTGAACAATAGAGAGGTATAGCTCTCGATGGCCATTGCACTGGGCCGATCATATATTCTGCGACCTGGTACAGACGACGCTTGGCATCCTTTCAAGGTCCATTCATTGGAGAATTTTTCCCAATTCCGCTTGATTGACTGATTGACTGAAACGCAATCCAAGAACTGCGTACGATATGAATGGGTGGTTAATTGGCCACACTGAGATGTCCATCACAGAGGAAAGTATACGATTGAATCGCGATCTTCCTTTCGGACAATGTACAGAGATGTATCAATCACGGTCGAAAAGGGTTGAAACACGTCGGAAGACGTAGCAGCCAGGGGTTGACTGACCGTATCGGTCCGACCGGGACCGGATTGACCACAAGAGCGGAGTAGAACTTGGCTGAGCTGGTAGACTGGGCGGTACACGTTCAGAGCGCCACTGAGTATTAGGGTCTCTCCCTTAGACCTACGCCTCGTGTTCTTGATCCTAAACTCAGCAGACCGGTCCCTTGCATTTGTCCCTTGCCTTTCATGCTTGCCTGGCCGGCGCTCGCGATGTAGTACGAGGCGCATGGAGTAGGCGTCCGCCATAATGATATCGATGCCATGCGGATGACTCTATGCTACAGCTCGTCTCTGACTACGGAACCGGAAGTTGGCCCAAAGACATCAAGCAACTCTGGAGATGAGGATGTCAGGAGTGCTTCGAGATAAAAAGAGTGATAGCTCACTTTGACGCGACTCAGCGGATACTTCGACTGGCATGACGACAGAATACTCGATGAACATATCTCCTTGAGGCTTATCATGGTACGCCGGCATCTGTTAAAGGTCAACGCGAGGCGCTCATCACCGAGCTCCAACCGACTCACTCCTTCTCCCTCTACGACTTCTACTTCACCAGGCTGCGTTGTGCCTGCTCGGCCAATGTTGATGCTGCGACCGTCTAAGTGTGTCAATGTCCGCTTGAAGCCAAGCAGAGCCTATGAACAGAGAGACTTAGCCAAGTCAACGACGGACCAGGTCGACACACCTCTGCCACGCTCAGCGTGACTCGACCTATCAATCCTCCGTCCTTTCTAGACCACTGTCCCTGTCCTTCTGTGTGTCTGCTCCTGACTCTCACAACCACATCTCCCGCTTCCCATTCTGTACTCTCATCCGCCTCTCCATGATACACCTCCTCAAAGCCTTCTGGAGCTCCAGCGGGGATATGAACCGCGATGGTGTGATCTGTTTGTATGACTTTTTGGCCGCGACAGGTTCCACATAACCTTGTAATCGATTTTCCACGTCCACCACAGTGTTGGCACCTGTGGCCTGTGAGCTGTGGAAACGAAGCAGATACTGGGTCAACTCACGTCATTTGTACATTGGTGACCATACCCGGGAACACTTGATGCCGCTGAACGACCACCCCGTTACCTCCGCAGTTTTTACACTGTGATATATCGGAATCTGAATGAGCACCTGAGCCATGACAGTGGGTGCAGATGATTTTCCGAGGATAGGAGATCTAAACGAGGTGTTAGCCTACTCTCCAGGAAAGTGCTTGCTTGGCCCACCTCGACCGTCCGTCCATTGTACATGTCTGCCAGGTCCACCTCTGCCGTCAGAACTAACCCCTGACCCCTCTTCTCTTGTTGTCCGCCTCCACCGAAGAACCTCGCGAATAGGTCGTTCGGATTAGATCCTCCTTGTTTTCTTGCCTCATGCTGCTTCAATCCTTCCTCTCCATGTCTGTCGTAGATATCTCGAGTCTGCGACGTCAAGTCAGCTTCTGAGGAAGACCAAGAGGGGCAGACCGACCTCCTGCTCAGATAATATTTCATACGCTATGATACATCAGCCATCGTCATATTCCAGCTGCCAGTGGATAGCTTACCTTTTGACACCTCAATGAACTTCTCATGCGCACTCTCATCCGGACTGCGATGGTCAGATGTGCCGCACAAGCAATAAAAACGCACTTTATATCTGGATGATACTTCTTACTGAGTTTCTGTATGCATGTCAGCGGTGTCTGCGAATTCTCAGCTGCCGAAACACAGCTCACCCGATAAGCTTTCTTGATGTCTGCTTCTGAGGCATCTTTCCGGACTGTCGATATGTATATCAGCCATCATATTACAACGCCCTTTGTCGACGTGGAATGAACTCACGACCCAGTACCTGATAATAGGATTGTGCCGCAAGACATCCAGACAGGAAGATCAGAGACAGCACGCTGAGGATAGTTGATGGAAGCATTGCTAACAGAGCGAGCTCCCTGCGTCCTAGCTCTCCAGCTCTCCGAGTCTCTCAAGAAGGATGATACAAAGGCAATTGAATGGATAGACATTTGGACATATTTTTTGGAGACCCGCGTTTCGCCGTTTTCCGATGGAACACTACTACTCGACCTCTGATTTGTACAACGGCGTTGCTGGACCTGGCCTCTGTCTGCCATGGGATAGGTCAACCATCACCTTCGCAATGCAGCAACGACTGATTAGGCTGACTCTGGAACCAGGAGTCTTTGAATCCTCGATGACCACTCCGCCGATCAGATGCATCCGTTATCGCTCACGGATCTCAAGGCATGCTGATCCTGCAGTATCCACGTCTACATTGCAATAACTGATAGCGGTCAGCATGGCTGTCTTGTACCCTGAGAGAGCCATCGTAGGAGCCGATGCTCGAAATGTTGTTCACACTGTGGTGAGAGGTGCAAAGACGGGCCTCTACAGTATACAGATAGAGTTCTGAAGCACTCTGTCGAGGCGACTGGCGGATGAGACTTATCGGTCTTGTCCTCCTCCTGAACTCTCTCTGATGAGTCTGCTCGCCTACTATGGCAGCTTCTTGCCCAGCTACACGTTCAACCTGTTCTGTTCTCTCATGCTACACTCGCATATACAAGCCCTACGAGCGTGCTAAATGAGATCTGCTGCAACGACGCCCTGCCACGTGGTCTTCTAAATCCGGTGTTCCGGGAAGTCGCGGGTCGTACCCTTGTTTCTGGCGCTGTTCTTCTTGGTCATTTGTCTCGTTGTACGAAGAGTCGTATCGCTGCTCATATGCCAGGCGAGCTCGTCTAGGCATCCCTCTACTCTCTGTGTCTTGTTCCGCTCCGGGGTCTGTCCAGCATGACCACCGCTTCATCTTCGACGCTTCGGCCTTTTGAAAAACGGTTCAAGGCGAGCCAAAAACAATATACCGATCATTTGGAAACGACTGAACGTTTACAAGCTCAACTGCGGTTGGATGCCGACGAGCTCGGCGCACAGGCGGGCTGGGATCCAGCGACATTACAGGGCGTCAACGCCTGGCTAGATGATAAGGCTTGCATATTTAGGTTTCTCAAGGTGAGCAAAGTGTCACATTCGCCCTCGCGTGACTTGGCAAGGTGGCTGATGGTGGGAGTGTAGCGGAACGGGTATGATGAGAGAAAGGCTTACAGCGCAATATTGACTGCTCTGGCCAATCGGGCGACTCATTCTCTTCATCAACCACTCCCATCCATCCCACCGTACTCGACATCCCCGCTGTTTTACCTACTGCCCCTGCCACGTTTCACGGACAAAGTTGGTCGGCCAATAGTCATTCTTACTGCCAAGGAGGTGAAGAGAGATAGTCATGGATCGATGCAAGATCTATCACAGTGGATCTGGTGGGGTGCGGAAATGCTTAGACGGACATTGAGAGATCACTGGGTGAAAGGGAAATGGACTGATGGCAAAACGAAAGCCGAAGGCGGTGAAGGCTGTGTCCTCATCATCGATGCCGGAGGGTCTAGCTATCGTAATCTGGCAAGTCGATCGCCATATAAGCCAATGCTGCCCTGACCCTATCCATCAGGAAGTTGAGCTCGTCCCAATATTCAACGTCATTGGGTCTAAGAACTTTCCAGGAATGATTGAAAGTGCTTTCGTCATTAATGCTGGCTGGGTTCAGCGCAGTCTGTGGAGTATATTGAGACCGATTTTACCCAAACCAGCCGTGGAAAGGATCAGTTTAGTGGACAAGACTAAGGATATGGGCGAGGTTTTTGATCTTGATCGTTTACCTCAGAGTATGTCTCACGTTCATCGGTATGCTGACACTCTCACGAAGTCTTTGGCGGGAGAGATCCGTGGAAATGGGCGCCTGAAGACAATCCAGTCTTGGCATATTATCAATCCCATGCGTTGACTCCGGATAAAAAGGCATCACCATGCTTGCAACCAGGTTCGTTGGGTTCGTTTTCTTCGACCGCCGAAGTTTTCTATACCGCCAATAACACTCCTATCTCAAGCAGGCGAACCAGTCGACGTTCGAGTCGTGTGATCGATCGATCTTCCATTGTCATGACCAAGGCCGAGGAGGCTCAAGGAGACCGTATCGATATTGTCGCCGCCCTCCAGCAAGCAGGCCTTGTCGATAATGGCAAGCCACAACCCGTCTCTCAAGCGTCGACAACGACCGGACCGTCTCGTGCTATGTCTACATCATCTTTAATATTTCCTTCTGCAATCGAACGCGTCAAATCCCTAGCCGACTTCCACCTCTACCTCTCACCCTCTCGACTTGCGCAAATTGATGGTCTTTCCGATATCAGTGATGATGCGCCTCATCATCTGGAGCTGCCCGCTCCGATTCCCCATCGCATGCTCCGTCCCGCTTTTCTCAACCCTCAAATTCCGATCACCGTCAACTACGCTGCTGCTCGACCTCTTCGACCACCACTTCGCACCATGGGTATACCCGGTCATATCGCTCAGGACGATCATGTCCGGAGCTATTCCACCGACTTGATGAGACACCATGCCAAGAGTCTCGTCAAACTAGATACCGATGCTGCAATTGCGAGGACCAAGTCAACCCTGGGTAACGATGTGAACAAGTCCGCGCAAGAATCTCAGGAGACCGTCGGTGAAGACGAGCAGCCTAGTCCATCTGATCCTGCAGATCCCGAACTTGGTTCACAACCGAATGTGACACATCCCATATCTGCATTTTCCCGGTCCTCGAATCCCTTCTACGGATACCCAGCTGTTCGCGTCTCGGATATAAACCATCCAGGCCAGTCTGCCATCGTGCCTCAGTATCCCAGACGGCGGAAGCGAGATTTGGTTAGGACACTCTTATTCCTATTCCTCGTCCGACTTCAGTCTTGGCGAGTGTTTACCGAGCGATCTTTGGGACTTCACCGACTTATTCGATCGACTCCGGCTCAACGCCTAGCTTCCGTTACGAACCCTTCCCAGGGACTTATCATGGAGGCTCGGCAGAATAATTCCAGGGCTGTATCCTTGCGCAAAAAGTGGGACGCAGACTGGATCTGGATGGGTATCGTCTTTGTCATCATGCGAGGAGCTTGGGGCCGTCTGATATCTGGTCCGCTCGAGGCGGTCGGCCTGAGTGGATTCCGAGATTTCTTGGGATTGCACTGAATCTTTTAGCACTGTCACAGGTTTTCAACCTTTCACCCTCTCTAGACTCTTGTGATCGAATCTTGTTGACATACATATATGCGAGCATTATGAATCCTTCATTGCATCTTGAGGTCCAACCAGTATGCGCTGTACCGGACGCCGAAATCTGAAACGTGTCCCGGACTGTGGAAAATTCCTGGAAACCACCGAAATGCTTCACGCATCTCTCATCTCTACCTCTTTCGAACATTGACGGGATCAAGCACTTGTCATTCTCCCTCGCCCTATCTTCTCCCAATATCATGGGCTTGGTGAGACTGGTCCTATGCGTCTCAGGTGTATATGCGACATTCTTGCTGTGGGCTATAGCTCAAGAGCGCCGTGAGTTTCAGCGAGGCACATGTGTGGTGTGAATAACACCCTTCCTGTTGGGGGTTTTCCAGTCTCGACACCGTTTCCATCATCAGATCGCCGAACGGGGACTCCTCACTCCTATCACTACACCAGCCTTGATCAATTCCCATCGTCCGTCTTTCTCAACTATGCTCAAGCGGTAGCATCCAGTCTCTCTGCCTTGGTCTACCTTGTGGTTGGAAGTTGGCGTGATGGAAGCTGGAAACGCAAAGGGCTTGGCGGAGTGACAGGCTGGAAGCAGTTCTGGAGCTCTTCAGACTCGCTTGCGAAGTCAAAGGGAGACAGTGATAACGCAGGGATATCAAACGGGCACTCGAGAGAGAGAAAGCAGCCGAACGGCGGCTTCGTGGAGCAGAAGAATCCTGTTGTCAAGCAAACCCCTCAGGGCAAAGCTTTACCTTTTCTCTTGCTGCAAGTAGCAGCTTCTCAGACTTTTGCAGGACCGGTAGGATTCCTTTCTCTGCGGCATATTTCTTACCCTACCATGGTTCTCGGCAAGGTAGGACATCATCATCTTGTTAATCGTCTTCCTCGCACTGATCTGTGTCCAGTCTTGCAAGCTCATCCCCGTCATGCTCCTGAATCTCATCCTTTATCGTCGGCGCTTTGCGATGCACAAGTATGTAGTCGTTGGTCTGGTCACTCTCGGTATCAGCCTGTTCATGCTTTTCGGGAGCAAGAAGAAGAAGGGAGGCGCGGACAGTCTTTGGGGCCTCACTTTGTTGCTCGTCAAGTGAGTCTTGTCAGCTGTACGAGAATGCGTCCTGACTCGATTTGTAGTCTGATGCTTGACGGGATGACCAATTCCACTCAAGATCAAATCTTTACCCTCTTCCCCTCCTTCACTGGCCAGCAAATGATGCTTGCCATGGCGGTTTCCACCCAACTCATTCTCTTACCGCTACTCTTACTTCCTTTACCCTCAAACCTGTCTACCATCCTCAGCATACTACCATTCACCTCATCGTCTGTCCCGAACCATCCGATCACATTTTCTCAACCAGCATTCACGCAATCAATCCAGTTTCTCCTCTCACATCGATCTGCCATCCGACCACTTCTCGCATATGCCCTCCTTGGTGGCTTAGGGCAACTTTTCATCTTCGAGACCATTCAGCATTTTGGTAGTCTGACACTCGTCATGATCACAGTCACTCGCAAACTATTCACCATGCTTCTCAGTGTGATTATCTTCAATCATAGTCTGACAACAGGTCAATGGACAGGCATCGCCGTTGTGTTCAGTGGTATTGGACTCGAGGCAGGTATCAAACGACGCGACATGATGCGACGTGCTAGACGGGATAGAACGTAACATGCAGCAAACTTGTAACGTGTACAACGCAGGATGAGGCCCTAAAATACCTCATCAATACGTCCAAGTCGGATGGCTGGCAATTCTAACGCATTCTCATTCCATCTCACTTCTTGGTCTCCGCTGGTACCCTATGGTTCACGTAGGTTCCACCAAAGACATTGAGAAGGTATGAGACGATCATTTATCCCAAAGCGGCTGCTACACTAGCAAGAATCAGAGCTGGCGGAACAAGGGGCGCTCACAATGACGATCCCATGCCAAAATCGCCATCAAGGTCTGGATGTTTCACGTCAATGTCCGTCAATGCAGTTGAAACCACCACGAGAGTTGGCAATATCCATGCCAAGAGGAATACTAAAGATATCAAGGACCAACAGAGATTCCTCGACAACGTCGAGTAGTATGTGCCTGTCGACATCCCGGATGGCTTGATGGCGGAGACTGTCACGTCTCTCTCAAGATCTCGAAAAGGCGGATCAAATATCGCGATGAGAAGGATAGCGAAGCGGGAGAGGCACATGATCAAGGCTGAAAGAGCGTCAGGAGGGGAGTACGGTCAGTTCCTGCAGTCGGAAAATTGTGACGCACCGAAAACCAAGAAAAACGAGGCGATAGACAACGAGACTCGAAGCGAGCTTAAAAGTCTCATCAGAGGAAATCTGTCACTGAGCCTGAGCGAATCACTCACTAAGGCAGATCTAGACCTCTGACCGGATCATCTGGACTCGGGTCTTTCCCCAGGTTGTAAAATGGATGATCGATGCAACGCGCGTCTGAATTGTCATTGCGCGAGCTCTGATGCGTCCATTGACACCAGCCCCAAATACCAAATCCAAAGACTGTGCCATCGTCAGGGCTAGATGTTGGTCCAAACGGTCCTATGGGACCGTTGATCGGTCCATCGATCTGTCGGATCGGAACTCCCGCATCGACAGTGAGGAGCCATGCTCGATACCTCACCGCGTTGCTCGACGGAGTCTCCTCGAAGGGGAGGGGAATATTCATCAATACCGTCAGAAAGAGAAGGACCGTGGAGACGAAAACGAGGAGGAGGGCTGAGAGATGGAAGAATAGGCCAGACGTGGCTGACTTTGCCATGCTGAGCAGTTGTTCCCAAGAGTCAGGCTCTTTTGCTGATGGGGGCGGTCCCGTCTCAAGGTTTGACAAGGACGTTGACCATCCCTCTCTCTCGCAGTCAGGCGCGAGCTAACCGAGAGAAAGGTATGGCAACAGATCAGGGATGAAGCCAAAGGAGCGAGTTGCCCCGCTGTTTCTGCAGGCTGTGTGGCATGTATACTACAGTATCTGGCTTCCGTTACAACGCGTCTCATTGGAAGCAAACTGAAAGACCTTGATAGCTGAGTTCTGGTCGAGTCACAGCTCGCTAGAGCTTGTACTTTTTCTCATCCTTGACAACTTTGCCGTCCGCTTTGACCAGCCCCTTTCGTGGCCACAAACCTCCAGTGTAAATGGTGATTAGCCCCGCGAACGTGAGGAGTACGGATGCGAGCAGTCTGCCACGTTCATCAGCCACCCCAGCCAGTTCAATGACGTGATGCCAGAACGATCACTCACGCCCAGGCCCCTTGGCCTATCTCCGCCTTGTAGGTCGTGTCATCACCGTAGTGGTCTTTGGCGGACCACGAAACAGCCAAAGCCGGTACAGTACTGACCAGAAACAAGAGGTATAAAGTGACTCCGAGTACCCAGTTCCAACCGAGTATGAGAGCCAGCCTGGCTCGACGATTGGTGCTGTCTGAAAATTTGGGTTTTGGCTCATTGCTTCGCAGGAAGAATAGAGGTGGCGGTGTAACCTCTTCGTACCGCATCGTCAGGAAATGGACAACGAAAAAAATGAGGGAGATGATAGCGGCTGCATGAAAAGTAAGGATCGAGCGCCAGAGATGTTGGCGTGGACGCTCACCGATGATTACAATGACGCCACAGCCAAACATGGACGTCGCCACGGCTCTGATCGACAGTTCTTCAGCGTCTCAATGTAAAATTGCCGAACTGACACACCCAGGAAGGTCAAGATCGAGAACAGGATCACCGTCTGGTGCGGACCTCGGTATACTCCAAGATCCCTTACCGTGGCACTGCCCTACTCCATCCTGTCCACTATGCCACTCACACCAACCCCAAACGCCAAAACCAAATTTCCATCCTGGTCCGCCCTCTTCGAATCTGTCTTGGACCGTCAGAAGCCAACCAGCCTTATCGAGGTAGCCAACTCCTGGATCGTTGGAAGTCCAGACAGGCACATTGCCGACGTAGGCGTACCAGACGAGACCGACACTAAAGAGGAAGCAGAGTGAAGAGATAGCAAAATACAGGCCGGGTAGGCCTGGGCCGTCTCGAGCTGGCATGAGTGGCAGATAGATCCTAAAGTGATGGCAGTGAGGTCGCTATCTATCTTATCTTACGCCAAAGCACAGAGTGGAGAGTAAGTAGGAAGGGGATCCCATCTCTCCCGCAGGCGTCCGTTAGTTATGACAGGCGTCCGAAAGGACGACAGTGGAGAAAAGGATCAAAGGAAACAGCCCCGTGTTTCGTCCTTGCCATGTAAGGCGGTTACCGTAATTGATACATGTGGTCTATGAGGCAACATGAGGAGGACATTGTCAATAACGTCTTTGATAATGTGGCTGACCCATGCTCGCAGTCGTCGACATCGGTTGGGTGCGCACATCAGATGAATAAGGTGCGCCATCACGACTCCATGGAGAACCATTCTGGAACTCTTCTCCGGGGGTCCCCATGGGCGTGGCGTAGTGGCTCGTACCGCTGACCGTGCTTCCACCACCGACACTGTGGAAGGAGCGGGTAGAGCTCATGGGTGTAAAACCAGCGGTGTTCCTACTAGGGACGGGGGGCATCAAGCCAGAAGCAGCAGCGCTGGACGGCTGATGTTGTGAATATGGGTGTGGCTGAGGGAAACCACCAGAGGTCGCTGATGGATTCGCTGCTCGAGATTGCCTTTGCGGTCCGGCGTGAGAAAAAGATCCGCTGGCAGGGATTGTAGGGGCGGGGGTGGGATTCGCGAAGGGATGTCTAGGCTCCAGTCCTGAGGCTTCGTCTGTGGAGGGCCGCCAGCTGTTGCTCTGGACATCCAGTCTCTGGTAGCTGGCGGCTGCAGCAGAAGGTGATTGCACATTTGAAATCACGTTGCCGCTGCTTGTTCGCCCAGGAAATGGCCGATTAGTCGAGTCCATACTCTCCATAGGCATCTTTTCTCGAGGATTCATTGTGTGAGGCATGAATCTGCTCAATATTAGCGAAAGTCTTTCGAGCTGCGACTGAAGCTCTCACGTCTTTTGCATCTTTGTTTGGCGGCTGTGTGTTCCTGGCCGACCCAAAATGAAGGCCACGAAGAATTTCAAAGCAGCCCAAATCTCTGCCGCAAAGTCGGAAAGGTTGATCGTATCCCATATGGCAGAAAAATAAGTCCTCGCATTCGTCGGTCGCTGATTAGGGTTCATCTCCGGAGAAGTGCTAAGAGATACGGTCAGCATGGAAGTTCGTCCTATGGGACGAGTAGGACTCACTATTCTTTCCACGAATATGCCCAGCCCCTGAACATCAGCTGAGCCTCTCAGAGCGAGACTCACATGTAGGCGCTGAAGACTACCATCTCCAGTGTAGTGCACAGCGCAGACAGGCCGTCGGAGACATTTTCAGCAGTCCAGAATCTAGTAGCCTTGATGACATTGTAGTGTTGCAGAACTGTGAAGATAAAGCCTTGGTAGAAGACAAAGAAGACGATCAACTTGATGGCCAGGAACTGGAGGAGAGAGAAACATCAGTCGTTTGCGTGTAGCGGCACTCCATGGCATCAGGTCTCACCTTTGCGAGTGGCCGTCTACCCTTGAGCTCGTCCTTGCACAAGACGTAGAAGACGATGAGACCATACAGGGCGATTGAGATGGAAGCAAAGTCTATTGCGTCGAGGTAGACAGCTGCAAAGTGTACGGAATAATGACCGGTACAGAGCTGAGGCGATCAGCGTAGGGCACATCAATGAGTTCAGGGCACATACTACGTTGTAGTACAGACAGATGATTCCCGCGATCGTGATAGCCGGGCGTATGACTACATACTGCAGAACACTGAATGTGAGGACGTGCATGAAGTATGGCTTGGAAGCTCGAAAGCGCAGGAAGTTGAACTGAGAATGTCAGGTCAGATCATGCCAAGTCGCGAAACCCTCACCGGAAAACTAAGGTCCGAGTCAGCTCGTCCGATGAATCCGGTATGATAATGACATGACTCGACTCACGGTAGCTTCCGTTTGTCCTTCTCCTGCAGGATATCCTTGATATCGTTTCCTGATGTCCGCAGAGCGACCAGTTCCATCAAGAGCAGCAGAAAGGCAGACAACGTCACAGCCTCATACGCGGTCTATGACACGGTCAACAGCTGCCCGGTATGTTCTCGCTCACCTCAGCCAAGACGTAGTATTCGTATGACTGATAATATCGGTAGGAGAAGAAGGAGACGATGGCGTATCTGGATAGCCATAAGCGGAACCCGAAGCCTGTTGTTACATCCTGACTCACACAGCTGGCATCAACAGCACTCGCATGATCTGTCGCTGCGGTGCAGGCTGCTGATAATGTGTAGCGTGCATCGTCAAGGTGAAGAGAGTAATTAAGGTGGTCTGAGTCTGGTTCAGTGATCCCGTCTGCCAGGAACTACTGGTGACATACCACAGCAGCAGCAGCCCCGGACACGGCCCATCCTATCCTATGAGCATCCCAATGTATCCCATCCTGAAACGTTCATGTCAGTCTTTCAACTCGACAACAGGCGCGGCTCGATCACCCACGGGACAGAAGAAACAGTCGTCCGCCTATACTCGCGTCAGTGTGGTGTCACTCAATGGCTACACTACTGACCTGAGCTAGCTCAACGTTAGGGCACGTAACCATCGCGTCGAGCTGCCACCTGACCTGAGCGCCTGGCTATGGAACCGAAAAGGCTCAATGAAAATTTCGGTCGAGATGAAGGTGAGCGAGCTCTGGGACGGACCCGAATCTCAAGAGTCACCGGGACTGGGGACGGTTGCAGTCAAGACAGACACAAAGGAGAGCGACACACTGTGATCGGCACAGGATGATCAACTGCTTCAAAACCTCAAGTCGCCTGGAATTCCAGATCCCTATGTCAACGAACAGCGACCAAGGTCCAAAAAGCACGACACAGCAGCAGCAGCAGCAGCAGCAGCAGCAGCAACAGCAAGTCAGTGCTAGCCGCCGCCGCCGCTCTCCAATTGCACAGCTGCTCTTGATTAATTTCAGGAAAAAAAAAACAAGAAATCATCATCAACACTTTTGTTTTCCGCCTCTCGCGTCACTTTTACGGCAAATCAAAAGATCCCCATCTGTTAGTTAGTTAGGTCAGTCGTGACCAGCGGATGCATGGGAAACCTCGGGAGGTCACACTTTGGCGGCCACCGTGTCCAACCATGAGAACAGCGTCTTTCCAGTGTCGCTGTCAAAGTCCGATGCCGATTCAACGACAGCTGAATCCTCTGATAATGTGACGCGCAGTGCGTCGAATGTGGGAGACACGGAAACGCTGCGAGAAAAGTCAATACCTAACAATCGACGCTTGACCCACTGAATGGCCCGGTTCGCGGGCAGAACAACAGCACCTTCCAGGACGTCAAGGAAGACTGATGACCGATGCTCCGCGACTACTTTACGTCTCAAAGCTGATTCTATGAGAATGAGAAGCTGATGAACGAGATCTTCAGCTATCACGTCGGCCAGATCGTTGACATCGACGAGGGGGAATGTAGCTTGCGAAGTAGTGACCTGTAAAGGCGCGGTCGCTGACAAAGTGACGGACATGCCGAGACTGGTCGATATCAGTTGGCTTCCATAAGTGACTTCTTACCAGCCGGAAATATCCAACGTCAAGACATTCCCAATGCAAGAGTAATCCGAGTCGCCCTGCAACAACTGATTCACCCTCTGGCCACCATTCAGATGCGCCAAATCGTTTCTCTCGACCACCTTGGCCTCAGTGCCAGAACGATTTAACATCCTGCACGTGCGAGTTAGGACATTCCGAGCCTTTTGCTCAGTGTCCATGAATCGTACGACCTGCAATACGGAAGTGAGGACCGAAGATGGCCTAGAACCAGCCTGAGAGGTAAGCCGGCGTTTCCGCAATCGTAAGATATTGAGCAGCGAGATACGACATGACTGAAGTAGCAGATTTGCGATGGGATGACCCTCGGGGACATTATTGGTCTTTTTGGCTGGAACCTGGAAGACGTCAGTGATATATGCTAAGGTATGGCGCGGTCGGCGCGGCCCACCATTTCAAACGCGATTCTGAGATCCGAATATGACAATGTACAGCTCGAGGAATCAAGACTAGCTCCAGGTCGCCGACTGATATCGTCTCGGATCTGAACATGCGTCAATGCTCAAGCAGACGTAATGTACAGACCTCATTATACAGGTCTTCGTCGAAGGCTTCAATCTGTGCCTGCTGAATCTCGGCAAGACTTTCAGAGCTTTTGGTGGATGACCCGGCGGACGAAGTCCACATCGCGCCCGTGGAGTCGGTCACTTTGATTTGGAGCACACGTCCACCTCTAGCTCCGAACGTCATGGGTTCGGCGACCGATGGATCCAGATCAAAGGCTGCGAGACATCGAGCACGAGCACTCGCAGGCGCTGCGACCTGTCAGCGATCCTTCGCCAGTGAGTTCGCCTACCCTCGTCAATGGCATATGGAATCACCACATCCCTTGCTGACTCGGTGATACCCAGGATCTTTGAGAAGTCGGGTTTCGGGACGATCGCCCATTGACCTCTTCCGTCCGTACCATCTTTCAGCTGACGGATATCTCGCCAGAAAGTTTGACTGGCACTAGCTTGCTTGTTGAACTCGTCAACTGCGCTGTCAATCAACTTTTCGCATTGCTCCAAGGTGGATTGCTTGGCAGCCAGAGCCAGCTCCATATCTCGGATGATCTCGAGATGGGTTGGAAGAGATGGTCGGAATGGAGTCATGGACATTGTTCCTGGAGGGAATATGGGAGCATCGCCATTCCCCGGAACGGAGGGCGTGGTGGACTCCTCCGTCTTCGCTGCCTGCTTCACCTTTGTCGCCTTTTTACTACTTGACAGCGTCACAGTCGACTCTACTGGTGGCGCTGGCGGATTCGAGGGGAAACTTGAAGAGGCAGCTAAGGTTTTTGCAAGCTCCAGGATAAACCATAGCTCATTCCTTGCATTGCTATCTCCATCAGACCAGGGCAAAGATGAAGGTACTCACTTGAGCTGCATGCCCACAGATTCTCTAAGCTTGACCATGTCCTCCCATTTCATCAACCCTGCTGGGTCCTTCGAGTCTACGTCCATCCCATCTTCTGGCTCCTCATCTACAGCCGGCTCATCAAGCGGCTTCTTCTCAAGATTCGCTTCAGTGAGGTCGAGCAATCCCTCTGGGTACTCGGTCCATATCCGAGCCAGCGTCTCATTGAGATCATCAGCCTCAGTTCTCCTGTTTGAAAAAGTTAGGATTCAGGTGTCGATCCCAGCATCTGACAAGACATACTCTTCAGCAAAGGTGAATGAACCATCTTGTTCAATGTTTTTCAGCTTTTTGGCAGATTCCAGGGTTCGAGATTCGAGAGCCACCTTGAGCGGTCCGAACGGAGACTGAGTGGACTCTGGATCGCCGGTGAAATCCATGTCGACGACTGACTGGCGTCTGCAACGGCCACCTATATCAAGGACACCATCGAGAGCAATGATGTTGAAGGCCTTCAAATGTACCAGGCGACGCGCGGAATTAGTCCAAATCTCGGAATTGAGGCTTTCAGGTGGATTTGTTGATGATGATCATACGTTGACTTATTATAACTCTGCTCCTCGCAACTCGACAGCACCACTGTCGCTCGCATTCATGTCATGACGGGAGAGTGGACATGAACGTCTGAGTCCAATATGGGAGACGATCCGATCAACTTTCTCCTCCTGGTGGAGTTGATCGTAGTGACCATCGTCTGCTCTGCCTTCTTATTCTACTGGAATCGACTATTCGGATGGGTCTTCGCATGGTGTATTCGTCAGTACACCTGGAGGAGATACAATGCCTATATAGCGATAGAATCACTGCAGATATCTCCACTGGCAGGCCGGATTGCATTCCGGCAACTGGATTACCATTCCAGCAATATCTCGTTCCGTGCTCTTCACGGTCACGTCACGTTCCGGTACTGGAAGCTTCGCGTGAGGCAAGAGGCTGATTCGCAAAGTACCAATCGGAAGCGGAGTGAGTATTGAAGAGTATGAAGAGGAACGAATCCATGCTGAGGATACCCAGATCGCTTGCCATGTCGAATCAGGATCTACGCTGAGGGAGTGGAAGGATTCGTTTTCAACAGAACCCCAGCTTACGATGGGATCGTGGAGCGAATGAAACAGTACGAACATGCTCAGAAGGCAACGGACTCGAGCAAAGATGGGGATCCTCTGCATCAGAAGGATTCTCGAGGTTCTGGCTCAGGTGTTGATACCAGCAATGGTGACGCGAACTTAAAGGCTCGGTTGAGAAGGGCTGCGAAGGCAGCGACCAACGGCCAGACTAGTTCAGGGGACTCACGATCAAGTGACTCATCGAAAGGTGAGTGTCGATTGCGATCGGGTTGCTGATGCCTGATCCAGAATCTCCCGACAAGCCAAATGATACCAGACACGAGCTGCCGAAAGCGCCTAAACCTGTCCAGACACCTGTTATCGAGGGCGTAGATTGGTTTCGCGAGATGCTGCCAATTGATATTAGGATCGTCACTGGGTCAATCATTCTTGGAAACGATGCGACCCCCATGCTGCTGATTGGCGATTTCCAGTCTGCGACTGGCACCCTTGAAATCTCGGATGTGAGCTATTCAGTTGGACGGAATCTGATATCGTACAGTCTCGTTCTAGCTGCGACCTATACAAGATGAGCGTCAATTTGAGATTCGACGCTCCCAAAATCCTGATGCGAACCAATGTTGATTACTCTGGACCATTACTTGCACATGGAAAGAAGGCATATGACGAGCTTTACAAGAAAGAGTGAGTCCGACGCAGGACTCTATTTTGTACTCGCTCAATATGATTAGACCCGATGTCGCAAAACAGCCTCCATCGAAACTGTCATCTTCGTCCTACTTTCAGAGTCTCGCTCGGAAATTCTCTTTCCTTCAGAATCCGAGGTTCTCTTCACCGCCTGTCGTTGGCCTGCCACAGGATAGAGTCTGGAAGGGTTTAGCTCGATACAGGCTAGATGAAGGCTCGGCTCACAAGGCAGCTACAAAGGAGGAGCGAGAGTACGCCAAAGTGACCACGCTGCTGGACTCTCCTGCACTGGACCTTACATACTATGCGGATTCCCCCGGTCCTGTTCCGGACCCCTCCGAAGCTGAGACAATAGACCAACTAGACGAATTCGGAAACATCGAGCCCGCTCCGGAATACGGTATCGATATATCTGTCCATGGCGGGATCTTGCAATATGGTCCCTGGGCGGACAGGCAACGTGATGCTCTGCAAAAGGCCTTTGCACCTGCCATTTTCTTCCATTCACAGGCGAAGCCGACACTCAAGGTCGGCGAGACTCGGGTCCACACGAATCTCCTCCTGAATCTCTCGCTGACAGAGGAGACAACTCTTCGGATCCCGACGCGTGAGCCATCCAAAGACTGGTCATACGACAATGCTGGACCCGAACTCGAACGTCCTTATGGCTGGCTCGATGTTGTAGTTGGGCCGAACTCCTCTATCACGTACACTCAATCTCAGCTCGCCACAGAGCACGGCTATGATTCGATGTTGATCCTCAACTTGGACGCCTTGACTATCGCCTCAAGTGTCAACCTAGAGACGTTCGTCATGTCTCGGAGCTGCAGGGTTTCTGTGACCATGCCTACGCCCCTGCGTTGGGATGCTCAAAGAGATTGGGGCCTCGACATCGCTCTGGACAGCCCGGACGTGACGCTTCTGCGGGACCACATTCAGCTCATCTCTGACGTCGCTCGTGACTGGAGTTCAGGAGCACTTGGAGATTTCCACCACTTCGTGCCGAATCATTACAACTTTAGGATCACGCTCATCAATTACGCCTTTCACCTTTACATCAACGATTTCAATATTGTTAATCGCCCAAGATCCAGAGAGGACAACGGTGAGCTCTCTCAGCGGCAGGACCAGGTGTGACCGACTAACGTCAAATCCTATAGCTTTCATGGATGTGATCGGACCAGCAATGTCAGGTTATGTGGCCGTCTCTGCCACTCAATACCGACCAGAATTTTCCGTGGTTCCCTTCTCAGTCAAGGCTCATGATACACGTATCATGCTCTGCACGCCTGTATGGGACACACACAGGTCCTTTGGTACGGGTGAGAGCATAGAGATCGGCAAAATTGGCACGTTAGAGGCAAGCGGGAACTACAGATACTATGCTGTGCCGAAATCAGATCACCAAGAACTTCTCAATCTGCATTTGGAGGTGAGTGCTGCGGTTAGCAAGCGTCGCTGAAGGGAAAAGGCCAGCAAGGTAGTCTACAAAATGCTTGGATGGTCTTTGCGCCGGCTCTTCTGCGTTAAGGATAATTACTTTGGAGGATTCACCCAATTCACCACCATGCAGGAATATCTGGAGCGATTTGATCATGACCCGGACTCGGTGGGAGATCCTGTGGAGGAAAAATACAGACCCGGACGGGTGAGTCTCCTCAGTCCAACATTACGCTCACTCGGCGCGATCAGTCTGATTCCTTCGCCGCTCAAATCACGATGAACGTGGAGGATTCTCTCATCCTCTTGTCGGACCAAATATACGGCTGTCAGTCCGGACTTGCTATGCCGCTTCCTCAGCTTCAAATGGCCCTTCGGTCCACTGAACACTATCTTGACCTGTCCCTGGATGCCTCACCCACATACATTGTACCAATGCCGGACTTCGCCAAGACTTACACGACTGGCGCAGCTTTAGCTCCTGCGGAGAGGGACACCTTCTTCATTGAAGGTGAGTATCCTTACTGACTCGCGGTGATATGATATATTGATAGAGGACCAGGTATTGAGGTGAAAGCGCATAGATTATTTGGACCTCAACCTCGGGCGGAGACTTATGTCTGCATTTGGGAGATCAACGCGCCGCGTATCACGGCATTCAGCTCCCCGACCCTTCAGAGTACTTTACAGTCTGTCAGGAATGCGGTGATATACACTTTCTCAGACTTTGAGAACGCTCCGGCCGAAATATACATGCCGAAAACACCTCCTGACGGTGAGTGTCTGCCCAACACTTTACCTCATTCCGCTGACAAGATTCTTAAGTTACTTTCCTGAAGATGGCCTTAGGTGAGGTGGCTGTGACCGTATTCGACCATGATTCAGCTCTGTCCGTCCACATACCCGAAGGTGTCAACATCAATACCACAACTTGGGCTACACGTAGTTTCCAAGCGGCCATTGCGGTAGTGGTGCCTGACATCCAGGTCCTTCTGCTATCCCGCCAAGAAGACGATGAGTGGACCACGATGAGCTCCATACGATCTGATATCTGTATCAATGTCTTCAATGTGGGCTCTGGCTGGCGGGACAAAGTCGAACGACAGCAAGCCTTCCTTCAAAAGGAGGATAAGCCTACAGGTCGGATTGCATTCCTGTATTCTGACGAGCCGATGACGGTCAGAGCTCACGCCGGGATTCATCATCTGCCCAATCCATGGATATCTCCAGATGATTGGGAGACCGATACAGCCTCGCAAATGACTACAGAGTCCTCCTCGAGTGCTCTGTCATCATCTTCAATGGGCTCAGGCACGGATGAAGGAGATGCACAGAGGATGCTTAGACCACGAAATCGGGTGCGCTCGTGGGCGACTGCTCGAAATACACCTCATGTCAGCGATACAACATCTGACACATCGGAGGGCACCTCTGAGGGGACGTCAAGCCGGACTAGCAATTCTGATCTCAAACGCGGTCATCAACATGACTTGCCGACTGCCCTGGCAGCCACTCTGGATCAGTTGCGACAATTTCACAACGCTTTACCGGTCCCTGACGAGAAGGAAGAGTCAAAAGACGACGTCAGTGATCCATTTTCCACTGCGCGTCTCGGCATGCCACAAGGCAGACTGGTCAGAATTCTGGTGAACAAGATTCATTTCAACGTCGTGTTGAATGCCGCACCGGTCGCCTTCCGGCTCTTCACTGCGCTGCGAAGACTCAGTGATTCACCGGAACGACTATTCGACAATCTACTCATTCAACAGGTGAAGCCGATCTACGAGATTGTCAAGGCTGAATCGGTGGTCATCGATGCCACCGTCCCTCATATACTCGCTCGGTTCTCATTCGATAAATCCTCACCTCGAGCTGTCGGCGTCGATATCGGAATCACCGGCATTCGCGCCCGGACTTTCAAAGACGTCCAGTCGTTCACTGAGAAGGTGCCAATGAATGTTACTCTGGCCGCTCGCAGTATTCAACTCACCGTATCATCAGCTAGACGGCTAAATAAGCCATATTTGGACGATTCTGCACTGCCGAAACTCGCTTCGGCTCAACCGAATAAAGTCCTGTCTCTTATCATCGACAAGCCACAAGCTAGCATAACGCCATCCGAGAATCGGGTTGCCACTCATCAGCATTACGCTGATATCGACATCACTGTAGCCGATTCTGCTTTTGATGTGCTCACTGGTTGCATCGAATCTGTGAAATTGGTCAAGACAGAAATCACTGCCGACGGTGCTGGCCATCGACCATATGCCAACCTATTATACCACATTTATCGAGCTGCAGAGGAATCCGACATCACTCTCACCGCGCCGACCTTCATTAGCGAGACGGCTTATGGTCTTCACGTCCAGGATCAGCGATCCATACGACGAGACCTCGGCTGGATGTTGCTCGCGAAGCTGAGGCACTGGTATAGGCTGACTGGCCCTGCAAGTTTAGGTCCATCTGATGTATCCCCAGAAGACATGGCAAGGGAGGTTGTTCACGGCCTGGCATTAGTCGAAGAGCTTGCGGATGGCGAGAACGCGCTCATCCTCCGGCAATCCTTCATCCAGCATGCTTTCGGCACCATCCTCCCATCTCAAGTCAATGCTGAAGACAAGGTAGAGCTGAGAAGCTCAACTCACACCCTACACATCGGTGCCATGAGCCTTCGACACCTAGGTCACACTCTGAAAGGGCAAAATGCGGCTCCTAATTTGGTCAGAATAACATCTACATCTGTCGGGATTCACAGGACGAAACCTCGTCAGGAGAGCCGCTCCGCCCATACTCGATTGCTCGTAGCGGTCAAGAATTCACAGATCGATGTCTCTGACAGTCTTCTCTCTCTCGCAGATTCCGTCAAGCCGCTGTCCGAGCTGGCTGCGCAGTCAAAACCTTCAGAGGCTGATCGTCCAGATGCCAGCCGGAACCTCGTCTGTGATCTCCAAGTCGATGAAGCCCAGTTCCTGGCAGCAGCCGCCGGTTTGAAGACCAGGATAACCCTCAACAAGCATCAGTCTATTTTGACAAGTCGAATTGATTTTAACCCAGGAGAAGACGGTCCAGCTCGTCACGAACAGATGCTTCTCATTGTGGACACTTCTAAGGCAGAGATGGCAGTGTTACAGCCACAGACAGACTCGACAGACGGCAATGAAGAGCGGGATCGAATGGTGATCTCTCTCGGCGCTACCGACCATCGAGTGGTCGTGGAGAACCATATTCATTTCGATTCGTCTCGGCCCAAATCTGTCAAAGTAATGATGGGTTTGTCTCATTTCGAGGTAGACTCCAGGCCTCAATTGAGAGCGTTCCTCGCGTTCGCGAAGGATTGGAAATCAGAGCATGAGCCAACCTATGCGAAGTATTTCCGTCGCGGTTCCAAGGCTGTACCGAACGATGTCCGTACGAAATCAGGTCCCGACTGCAGTAAGACTTTGTCACCGAATACGGTCACACAGGTAGATTTGTCGGTTCGATCTGGACAAGTACAGGTACGGGCAGCGAAGTCGGTGTGGATCCGCTGGGATTTGGACAAGATCTTTCTCACTGGCAGATGCGCCGATGGGACGGTAAAGTTTGGCACCAGAATTGCTCCGCAGCACGTGGGCGCCTATGCCTCTATCAAGAAGACCAGACATCACTCTGGAGCGACATTGAGATTGCCTTCGGTTTCGGCAACCGGGACTTTCCGATTCCTGGAGCGGGAACCTCAGCTGTCGACGTCGGTCCAACTGGGGTTCTTTACCGGAATCATCAAACCGGCCATGCTGGATCGCTTGTTGTCGCTGCATCAGCGATTGGCTCGGGATATGGAGCAGTTGTTCAAAGAGTATTCCTCCCGATCGGAAGCGCCGCTGTCAACTCAACCCTCATCTCTTGCCTCACGGGGCTCGCCTGCTGATGTCCTAACCGATCCTCCCGAGAGTCGCTTGCCAATGAGATTGGATATACGCTGCGGGGTCGAGGGAATCCGGTTTGGTCTACGAGCCGACGATGTGGCAACGACACTGCTCTTCGAAGCTCTCGCTCTCACAGCGCAGGCCAGCAATATCCACGACGAAGAGGCATCGCTGTCGTGGCGTGCGAAAGTCAACCATTTTGGTCTGTCACTTGGGCATCTTGGCACCGGCGCCTTGTCCGTCGAAGCTGAGCCAATGCGGAAGCATCGATCAGCCTACATGGTGGTCGACGTCGACGTTCAGGAGATCCCCGGGACAGGTGCTTCAGCGACCCAGCTCAATATCTACCTCAACAGAGCCCACACAGTCATGCACGTAGCAGCTCTGAGCGAGCTCTCCGACCTCGTCAAGAGCTGGCAGTCTGATCTCCATATTCTCCGAGACAATAGGGCGAGCGAAATGGCCGAAATCAAGTCGACGACGTCCAAGTTCCTGAAGAAACTGGATCCTGGCGAAGGGCAAACCAAACCTGAAAACTCGTGGTTCGCAAGTCGGCTCCTGTCGGTGCATGTAGCTGGCCTCGGGTTAGCTATACCACTTACCGACGCTGCATCAATCGGTACCAACGGCAAGAATAGCATTCAGCATGATCTACCGGCCCTCTTGTTCTCGATTAGGACCATAGCCTTCATCAACCGGAAGAATGAGACGGCAAGATTCAAAGTCCAGCGCATAGCTCTGCAAATGGTCTCCAAGTGAGTCGGTGATCACGAGCAGCCACTAAAGTATCTAGATTCGATCAAGGCGTCTCTGAGCACTTTTCGGGAGACTTTCACACCTCGTCAAATCGGATGTCTCTGCCATCTTTGGAGAGCGAGGCGGAAATGGCTTCTACCGAAGACACCTGGATGTTGTCAGCTCATTGCGCAGCGACAGACTTCAAGCTATCCCTCGCACCAGACATTGCGGACGGTATTTTCAAACTCACAGATTTGTACAGCCAAGGTCGCGACCGCTTCTTTGATCTGGAAAGACACTACAGGACCGAGGTTGCGACCGCAGCTGAAAGATCAGACTCGGTAGCTGTCAAGTACGAGGAAGAAACTGTCCCTACATCTCCTCGGAAACGACAACGGATCTTTATCCGCATGTCTTACACTTTCAACAGTGGAATCGTGGAGCTTCATCACGCAGGGCATACCGAGCCGCAGAAAGCACCCAAACGACATCTCTGGCTTGATATCTTCCATCTGCCTGCGATATCGTTATGGGTAGACTATGCTGAGGCGCAAGCCGACACTTCCCCGCATTCGGAGCTCGAAGAGTCCGAGGCTAACGCATCCAATCTTGTGTTCAGTTTTGTATGTGCCTAAGCAAAGAGACGAGCTGATGCCCCAGGCTGTTCACGAAAGTAGGAATACTCTTCGACCCTCTATTCTACCTTTCTTTGTTGAGCTTGCAAATCGTGTACAGCGCCGAGTACAAGAGAAGAACGAAAGATCAGCAAGAGACACACCCAAAGAACCGAAAAAGCCCATCTCAGAACCGCTCGCCACTGCGATCAGCGAATCGACCCTGCAGAAGATAGCCCCGACCAGCAATGCTCTGAGGATCAAATTGTCTCTCCGCATAGACCGATCAGAGCTGCGGTTCTCATGCGCCCCGGATTCGAACGCTTATGCGGATCTGAAATGGGAGAGTGGCGGTTTTGTCGTCACCACGACTCTTGGCAAACCGGGCGTCAGCACGGTCTCAGGCTCCATCTCTGATATCACCTCGAGTCTGAGTAATGAATTCGCCGAACGCGGAAACAATTGCGTCGAGGCGGGAGCGAAGGACATGGCTTTCGCCATTACTCTATGTCCCGGCGAAGGAGCAAAACAATCTGCGCTTTCCGTCGTCTTCGATACTCAGTTGATGGGTCAGTTCAGACTGGACGCATTCAACTCTTGGCTCGTCTTTGTGGCTGTTTGGGTCAACGATGCTCCTAAGTTGGACTTGCTAGACAAGTTGGATGAGGCACAAGATAGTGTCATCGATCTGCCGACCACGCCGTTGCCAGAGTCACAGCCCGCCGGGCACAGACGTGCCCGGCCCAACAAAATGGCAGTTGCGATCTTGGCGAGGTTCAGATCGATTGATTTCGACGCCAACATCGGAGTCTCTCGGGCGCATCTGCTCATCTCACCAATTGTCATCCGGTCCATTTCGAACGGCGAGAGGACTGAGATCGACTTCGAGATTGGAACGACCAAGATATCAGCCCTGGGAGACATCTCTGGCGATTTGACTAGCGAGAGCCTGGTGTTCAGGACGATGCGTCGGTCCTCCAGGTCTGGAATTAGCCCCTCTTCGACTATCCTGTCAATGTCGATCGAGGGTGGCGATCTCGAAGGCAGTCTGTTCCTTGCCGATACCAATATTCTTCGCTTTCATTTGGAGCCAAGTCAAGTATCCCTCACGGACGATTGGCATGCGTATTCCCGTGACCCAGCATCCCAAGTGTTTCTCAGCTTCACCGTTCAAGCTGGTTTGTTCCAGGGCGTCTTGCGGCTTTTGTCGATCCCGAGACTTCTCGGGAACATGTACAGTGTTATTGACATGGCCGAATCGCAATCTGTTATCGCCGCCCAACGATCTGAAACTTTCAAAAAGGCTCGATCCCGTCGACAGACTGAATTGCAACCGATGGCAGCGGTCATCCTACAGACTGCGGCTAAGAAGGTCAACGACAAGATACCTTCATCAACAGTCAAGACTGCTCAAACGATGCGCTTCGATCTTGCAGGCATTGACATAGGCGTCTTCAACGAGGATTTCGAGAATGGACACGTATATGACTTTTATCGATTCATCGTTGGAAAAGTGGAGGCGGACTTGAAGCGGCAATTATCCAAGGAGAATCTGCCCATGAGAGATCTCGGTCTACTGGTAGCTGCTATCCGGTGGGATTACTGTGATGGAGCGAGGGTTGCGGCGTTGGAGACGGTCCATATGACCGCTGGCGATATGATTGAAGCTGCGACGAAGGTTGGCAAAAGCGAAGTCGCTTCGCTCCCTGTGATGGTAAGTGTCTTCAGACGGACTCTGCTCATTTTTGTTTTACAGACGCTTGTCATGAACTCTATCGAGTATAACATGCCCAGAATCCTCGATTTCGATTTCGACCTGACGTGGGGAGAGACGGATGGCGACATTCGCATCCTCCCAGACTTCTTTGAACAGGCCAAGCTTGCCGTCAACAAGCTCATCCAAGGTCTAGACGAGCAGGAAATCACAAGGTCAAGGAGTGCCACCGCCACTGATACAACGACATCCAACTCCGTGGCGGCAAAGAAGGGAAAAGAGGAGACGGCTGTGGAAGACAAAGTCAAGGAACGAGCCATCATTTACAAGGATCGAGATCCACTCAAGGCTGACCGCGTGCCTGTTCCTCGGCTCAAGATGCTCGGAGCAGGTACGAATGACGCTGCCAAGATGGTACCTGCCATTAGAGCTGCGTTACGAGCTCTCCCGAGCTATAGTCACCGATTCGTGACGACACCACTAGAAGAGGGAATGGATCTGTGAGTTGCGATGGCCTGGCGAAGCATGACAGGGGAGCTGACATCGTCTTGCCCAGATTACTCAAGTTGTACGAGAAGCAATTGCCTGAGACGACATGATATTTCTTGTTGTACGATGAATACTTCTTATCATGATGCATTTGCATGACGTGTTTTATGCTTGTAGACAAAATGTTTCAGATTGTTCGCCATGTTTCAGATTTCTGGGTTCCAACAGACTCCGACATCATATCCACTACTGTACATATATCCAGCACACAAAGGAGATTGACCTGTTGCCATTTTCAGTCGATTTGTATATCATCCTCCTTGACAGACATCTGGCTTACAGAGCAGACCTTCACCGGCTGTCACACTGTATGAGTGCATGGTATCATCGCCGCTATGGTCGAATTCGATGTCATACCCGTGAGTCACCGATTGCCGCCCCCGACCCGCTCTCAGCTCACAACTTCCTTCCGTCCATCAGTACAAGGACATTGTCTGGGGTCGCAAGCTAGGATCAGGGAGCTTCGGATCAGTGTATAAAGGTGATTGCTTAAGGCTAAGACCTGGTCGATGTCATTCTCACGCTCCGAAAGGGACATATCTTGGGATCGATATTGCCATCAAGGAGATCACTGCATCGACCGAATATGATGTGGGCCAAGCCTTGTGGAATCATGCTGAGTCATTTATAGGTCCACAAGTACTTTGAGCGTGAATGGAGAATCATGAGGGAATGTCGGCATCCCAACATTGTCTTATTCCTCGGTCTTTCGCAGGAGACGCCTGGCGATGGAAAGGTCTAGTGAGCAGAACAAACCGACAATTGAAATCTTTACTGACATGGGATCTCTCAGTATCGTATCCGAGTTTGTACCCAGTGGCAATCTTAGGCAATACATTCTCTCCGCTCGGCCTTTCCCTTGGCGGCTCAGACTGTCATTCTCGACAGACGTGGCGAGAGCCGTAGCATATCTTCACGCCAGGCAATGTATACATCGGGACCTCAAAGGGGAAAATCTGCTCCTCACATCCAACGAAAGGGTCAAGGTTACAGACTTTGGCTTCGCGAGGATAGCCTCGAGGAGCGCCGAGGAAATGAAGAGGATGACCTATTGTGGAACGGATGTGAGTCCTCGTGGTCGATATCCTGGATCTACACCTTCTGAGGGAAGCTCAGGGATACATGAGTCCAGAAATCATCAATGGGCTTGACTTTGACCTGCCGACAGACGTCTTCTCCCTCGGTATCATCTTCATGGAGATCATGTCTCGTAGACTGGTCGACTCACATACCTTTATTGTGAGCAAGGCTCCACAGCTCTGAGACACCCGCTGAAGATAATTCACCTGCTGCAGCGAGCAGCTCCTGCTTTCGTCCCCGATCCTGAGGAAGTCCGACGTCGAGCTTCACCAGGTTGTCCCAAAGCTTTCGTTCAGCTAGCTCTAGACTGTTGTGAAGAATTGCCTTCTAAGCGACCCAAAATGCCCGAGATCCTCGGTCGTCTACGGGACATCGAGCTGGAGGTTGTCAGCAGAACAGACGATCCATCATCGGCAGAGCATGTAGGATCCGTCAAACTCCTTCGACACACTGGGCCAAGGGCGATGCCGATCTTTCAGCCTCTCACGCCTGTTGCACCAGCTGTAGAGACTGGCGCGGGGCACAAGCGTGAAGTCGACATCGAGTCAGATCACGCCGATGAGGATGAAGACGAAGGCAAGATGGAGCAGGAGGCTCTGGCGACCTTGGCTGGGCTGGATATCGATGGAGGTGGCGCCACGCCTGCTTCGAGCATATACGGCACATTCCGAACAGCTCGATGGGAGGAGACTCCGTCGATCCTAGGAATGATTCCAGGTCATGGTAAGCTCAGCTGCATCTTTGGCGTGCTGACGGTTGACAGACGGGGACAGCGATGAGCGAGAGGTTCAACTCGCTTCAGCTATGCAATCCGATATTCAGGCTCCTGTCAAAGACGATCAGGTGCAGGAAGGAGCCGAGTCGAAGATGCTCGGGTCCGGTTTGGAGTCCGTAATGACTATCCGAGGTCAGCCGGCGCTTGTCAACATTCCGACCAAGGCTACAGTCAATGAGGAGGAGAAAGATCACGCTGCACTCCAGGCGATGATAGCCCAGAGCGAGATCGGCACGATACCTAGTCTGGCCTCAGAGATGGGCAAGCTACTTACAAAGCAACAGAAAGGTGAACAGGAAGACAAGGAGGATCTTGAGAGAGTTCGCAAATCGGCTGTAGGAACACATCGATTTACCTTGGTTGATAAGGATGCTGCTCCCTTGTGGAACGGCAAAAAGATATCCTCCTGTGAGCACTTTACATCTTGGACCAGAACCACCAAGACTAAAGCCAGTCAGTCTCGGCATTTGGGTTCTTGCAAAAAGGTCTGAATGCCTCTGCAAAATGTCCCGTGTGTCAGAAACGGCTAGGCCAGCGACCGGCTCTGCGATGTGATGACTGTGAGGGTGAGTGGCCAGCTGGTCTGACGGTCATGAGCTGCCTCTGACAGAACTCTAGTCCTAGTCCATGTGAAGTGCTCTCATGCCGCTCAGCGTGATTGCAATGGTGGTACGGGAACTGATGTCGAAGCAAAATGACGATCATGTTCCGAGTAATGACGAACCCTTTTAATTCTTGTATCATCATTAATGTCGTGCATATTGCCTTCGTGCTGAGCCCTAATAACTCGTACGTACTCAAACATTTCTCAGTCATTAGTGCGTCCGCAAGGGCCCCAAAGCCATGCTCAGAGCGCTTATCAAAAACAGCATGACCTCCATGTCCGCCCTGGTAGATGTTCGGTAGCCACTGCTTGGAAGCCTTCTGACATATCCTCCTGCACCAGTCTGATTGTTGGCAGTCAGTGCTTGCTCCGTGACTATAGGAGCTCCCTCCATCTGGAAAACCTTGATCGAGTTGATGAGCATAACAGTATTGTTGAGATTATGCTATGTAGAAGTCAAAACCTTTTTCCGGCATATTGACGGAACTCACTGGATTGGTGATGTAAGATGAACACGTGCCAGGGCAGTAGGGGTAGCCTATGGCTCTGTTCAATGACATTCTAGACCGTGGTAGAGCCCGTATCACTCACTACCATAATTGCCCCCTGCCCAATCGCCACATAGATTTACGTTCAGGACAATTTGCTGCGGATGGAAGAACGCATAAGGATCGCAAGTCGACGAAGACCAAGTTGCGACTGGTGTTTCCCCTGATCGATCTGTCAGTAGAGCTGTACCGTTTCTCCAGAGACCGACAACGTGACTCACAGCTGGTTGTATTGGGCTGTTCACTTTTGATGCTGAAGCAGTCAGTTGGAAATGAGTTTATACTCACTCTTGAGGGATGTCCGCTCTCATCCAGTTGTCTTTCACCAAGCGGTCACATCTTGACTCCTCTCGGCTCACTCACACATTCTGATCCCACTTTTATCCCAAAGACAAGCGAAGAGTCCACCTCCAAGGTCATTGAATGGCATACCGAAGGATGTGTTCGACGGGGATACAATAGAGCAACCGGAATTTCCCTCGGTGGAATCGCAGTTGGTATTCTGTACCCGTCAATTGAAATCCTTATCGAGGCAGAGCACCTGGACATACAGCTACGGTACCTGTAAATAGACCAGGGGTCTGGTCCAGTGCGCATCCGGCTGGAGTATGTCTGACAGGAAATTCTGTAGTCAGGAAAAGGCGACAGAGCATGAACGATCCTCACATTGTCATTTGGCTGGCAGGAGTGGAAATCAGTCGCGTCTGTGGATTTGCTGCTCACTTGCTTGTCATCGCTTGAATACCCTCCTATCGCCGGCATGAGCCCACGATGGCCTATTAGCCGTCAATCACTCACCACGATATCGATCTCTCCCTGAAGTGATAGAGTGAGCGGACAATCTTGACTGGTAGAGTTCGACTGACTGCGTACGGCCAAGGTGCATCATATCCAAGGAGCCACACTGTGGCAGCGCATGTTCAATCAGTTGAAGCTGAGAATGATCTAACTGCGAGACTGGTCTCACCTGCTGGCCAGACACCGCATCCCCAAGGGACCAGAGCCATATCAACAAGGATGAGTCCGCCTTGAAACAACGCCTTTGTGGAGATCCGAACGGATCTTCTCAGCTCTCCTTCATCAGTCTCGGCCCAATGCTCGGCCTGAAGCGAAGACTGATCAGTCAAAGACCTGCGAGTGGAATTGGCGCCCCCACCTGGATGCCTGGAACACCACTTTGAGTCCAAAATGCAAGACCTTCAGCAAAAGCTGTGTCGTGGTCCACGTAGCTGGAGTTTTCAGTTTCAATGTAAAATGGAAGCTCACTCCACCACTGTACTATTGTCAGTATCCTGTACGATCAAGAAAAAGTATCGCGCTGCGCTCACGGCCATGGGAGGGATCTTGCAGGAACGTCGTCAGTGATCGAAGGCCCAGGAGAGGAAGACTGACCGGTCTCTGAGAAAAAGTTGAATCTTCCTGCAAGTCAGCTAGCCACCCATATGAACGCCAATGGCGACGACAACTGACCCATCGAAGAATGTCTTTCCACTATACTCGATCTGCTTCACATACTTGGTTCCTCGCTTGTCCACCTGATGCTCAACTTCACGCTGAGAGTAGAACTCTCGGTCACCTAGTTCTTCCTTGCACTCTCCTCGTATAGGTTCTACTATTTCGTTCAATGATCTCGATTGGCAAGATTCGTCATTATCTCCTTGTGATGCTACGACGGCGGACACAATGCTGAGCGGCGCAAGAAGGAGCAATGCCAATACGACGAGAGAATGTCCAATTCCACCCATGTCAGAGCCTTGTCCAGTGTTCAACGGAAAAAAAGCGTTGCCGTGGGGTACCCTCTGTCGTTGTGAGATGGGACTTTCGCTGGAAACTGGTCCACTATGCCTAGATCACCCAGTACAGAAGACTCGATAGCAGGAGACATTCCTCGTAGTCTCATGACATCGGAATACAAAAAGCGCCGAGACAATGAGGACGAGGTGATCGTCAAAGGAAGGGTCCTTCAAAGTCACTCAACATGGTTCTCCACACTCCCAGCATCGCATGCAAATGAGCATCGTAGCAGATCTTTATGGCTATACGATCCTTATGATCACCACTTATCTTCATGGTGATCACCTTCTCAAGATTCTCAAGATACGATGCAGTGTGTTTAGATGCCAGACCCGTCCTCTACGCCATTGCCTTTTTCTTCTTCGCGCTTTTGTTTCCTGGACTTGGACTGGTCTCATCCTCGCCCGTTCTCTCTTGGCCAATCTTTTTATCAAATGCCCCAGTCTTCCTGAGCCAGCTGACCATGATCATCAGCGCGATCAAGGCAGGAAGAGGCCGCCTACTCACCGTTGTCGGACTTGATGATAGCTTCGGGTCGGAACGCCTTTGCTGACGAGATCCCACTTTTCACCGTGTAATGCCACAGCTCGGGCCAGCAGCTCATCCTGATCGAACGTCAGTGATACTTGGAAGGAAGGAAAGCAATCAGCTCACCTCTTCGACGGTCCACTTGAGATACGGCGATCTCATCCGTCGAGCAGGAATATTGCTCGTCAGATGGACATATTTACCCAGACCCGGGACCGTAGCTCCGGAGGGACTGGCGAACGCTCCAGGAGCCATGTCCAAGACACTTGGCGGAGCGCTGCGCAAGATGTCATCCTCATCATAGTCTCCGTCACCCTCGTCAAAGTCCGCACTTGGCTCGAGAAAGACAGGTTGACGTCTAGCTGGAGTATGGATTTGAGCCGCATCGGAATCTCGGCGCCGATTGGTTGGTGTGGCGGTGACTGCGGTGTCCAACAAGCTTGGGTCAATCTGCTGACTGCTGAAGTCGGCATTCGAGCCCTGTCCCTCAGTTCTGGCTCTTAGGTCGATCGCAGGGGCCAGAGCGCCATCCAGCCGGGCAAGTCTACCTCCAGGCTGCTTGGGACCCTCTAGCATGCCCTCGAATCGAGACGAGCTAGGTAGAGGGGCGGTTGCGGATTGAGGATTCGAACGGGAGTGGGAGACATCAAGCTGACTAGCTTGCAAAAGGAGATCGAGACCGGCGTCCTCCTGACTATCCTCATAGTCGTCACCGGAAGGTGAGGCTAGTCTGGGTCCACGATTGGCATTCTTGCCGGTCCGTCTCGGTATCCAATCGGTGGCAGGTGGTTCTCTCCGATGCCGTTTGGGAGAGATCGGTCTTTCACCGATACTATCGGCTCTTTTACGAGTGTTTGATCTGCTCGCAGGAGTTGGCGAAGTCGAACGGTCAGCGAGTTCCGCGGCACGCAATAGATCGTTGAAATTGCTTCCGCCGGGAGTAGTGGCGGGGGGTCGCTGAGCCTTATTACGGGACGGTGTTGAAGGGACAGCAGGTGCAGCTCGCTTGCCCTTTTTGTGCGCACTGCCGCTACCAGCACCCCTGCGATGATCGACAGCCGCCAAGTCATCGTCCGATTCGCTGAGCTCGTCCTCCGCATCATCTGCGTCCAGCATCAATCCGCCATATCCCTCAACGTAGCCGACGCCACCATCAGGACCGACAACGCCACCACGTTTCAACTCGTCCAAAGTGACTAGACCGACATGGTCATCCTGTTGTCTGAGCGTCCGTAGTTTCCTAGCGGCCAAGAGTAAGAGCTCGGTTCGAGCGTCGCCCATAGTGGTCTGATTCCGCATCTTCGTAGGAGAACCCGCGTGACGCCTTCTCGATGGCTCACCGGGCTGGCCCTGTCCACTTTGCTCCGGTCCGTGAGGCTCAGCTATCGGTGCTGTCGGCATGATCACGTAGGGACGTAGGTATCTCAACTCATTGACGAGCTTGTCAACCTGCTGGCTGGCGTCGGCGAGCTGCGTTGATTAGCACCCAGCCGTCGTTCTTATTATGTGGTACCTACACGAGGAGCCATTAGCCTGTTGTCCATTTCGAGCCGCTTGTTCGCTGCTTCGAGTTCTTGATGGTAGCCGACATCAAGGTCCAACAGCTTCTTCGGTCTAGCGCCAGATGCTATCTCCTCGTCTCTCACTTTGAGCAGAGCTTTGGTCTCGGCTCGCCAGCTGTCACGTTCAGCAGCATGTCTCTCCCTGCGTATTCGAAAGTCAGCAGGAATACACGCCGCAGCCTCGTGGGTCGCACCGTTCCACTTTCATTAACTGCTCAGATATGATTGATTGTCTTTGAAGAGTCAGAATTGTCTCCTTCTGAGCGGCGATCTGGCTCCGCATGAATGGTAGATGTTCCTTCATAGGTATCAGAAGCGATCGGACCTGTTCAGCGCTTCGTCAGCCAGGCAGACAGCCCATAAAGGACACCCACCATTCCCAAGAGTTCATGCTTTCCTTCCGCTCCGGCTGAATCCTTCTCTATCTGAAATCCTGACAGCTTCTCCTCCATTCTACGGAGCCTCTCGTCGTCTAGAAGCTCCTCAGAAGACTCGTTCGTCCCTTCGTCGATGGTCGAACGTCTCGACGAGGGAATCACGGGGGAAATCTGGCCAGATGAGGATGATCCAATGGCTATGTTGATAATCTCCTCATCTCTTCCTAGATCCCTCTGTTTCCCCTTTTGCGATCGCACGTCCCCATAACCGAGTCCAACGCTCTCGTCTGCATCCTCTGATGCGTGCTCGATCTCCATCACTAGCTTTCCCGACTCCCGCTTACTTGACTGAGATTGAGCTGGAGTGGCCAAATCTGCAGATGGAGTTTCGGGACTTGACAGGCTCGGCTCAAATGTGGGAGTAGTTGGCTGTATGCCGGAAAATGGAGTGGTTTTGGAGGTAGAGAATGTAATTGCTGAGGGATCCATATGGTGGATAAGCTTGAATAAGTGACTGTTATTTGACGGTTGACGATTCCTTTGTGTGCTAGATTTAGATGCAAGATCGTAGAACAGGTGACATGCGGATCACTGGAGGAAAGAGAAGCCAGTGAGACTCTGAGGGAATGCTTCACACTGTTGCGATCAACTTACCACAAGACGGATGCACATGGATCGACGTTGATAGCAGTGGCAAGTAAGTGATCACAGTGACACTTGGGGAGGAAGAAGAACAAGGTCATCGGTGCGAAGAAATCATCCACGAGCAAAAAGAAAAAAAGGGGGCGGAAGCAAAATTCACTCATCAGAGGCAGCTGACGAAAAAGGTAAAAAATCGCCACAATCACGTGGAAATATCTCAGGATGAATGTGGCACCCCCCTCTCCGTCATTGGATGTGCTGTATGTACCATGGAGCGAGCGCTATTGCTGAAACAGTCCTTCCATTGTCACTGCGCCTCCGTCTGTGGAGCTGTTTGTCAATATAGGTCAGACAGCGTCTCATTACTCGTCTGATAACCTCTCTTCGGCGTGCTTCATCATTCTGACGAGACCCCACTGCAGCTGTCCAGACGAAATGCCAATCCCAAAGTGAATCAAGCTCGGTGACGGTGTTGAGGTACCTATGCTCGCACTCGGTACTAGTACCGGTATGTCATGCACCTAGAGCAACGGGACTACGAAGCTAAATGATCAGCCATCCGATTCTGCAAGCAAGGAGGTTCTGACTTTATTCTTAACGCCTTCAGTCAAGGTGTGCGACATTTCGATACTGCCGAGGATTACTTCAACGAGGAGGTGCTTGCCGAACCCCTTGGCACAACGTCTGGCCGAAGGGAACAAGCATTCATCACCACGAAATGTGAGGCAAGCAATGTGAGCTCTCAGGAGCTGAGCTTTGGCATTACCAGTCGGTCGACATGACAAGACAGCTCAGAATGTCAGGGAAAGCCTCAACAAATCGTTGAAGAAGGTGAGTCCATCAGGACAACAATTCTAGACTGACCAGCTTTAGTTGCGCATGGATTATGTTGATCTCTGTATGTCGTAAGATAGCAGCGACACGCTGATTCCTGGCTTTAGACTTGGTGCACGACCCAGCAGTGAGCTCGGTAATGAGGAGCTCACTGTGTCAAGCTGATATCTGGTGCTCCTTCGCTTAGTGGTACAAAGAAGGAAGCCTGGGAGAAATCTGGGCAGCGATGGAAAAGTTGAAGGAGGAGGGCTTGTGTCGAGCCATCGGGGTCAGCAACTTTCAAGAACACCATATCGAAGAGCTCGCCAGGACTTGGAGGATCGTACCAAGCATCAATCAGGTAAGGGAGCATGAGACTTCGGGGCCAGTCCACTGAAGGGTTTGTTAGGTGGAGATGTCTCCTTTCTGTGCCCATGATGCGATGTTTCAAGGTATCCAGAGGGCCTGTGAGAAGCACGGGATAGTCATCTCTCCATACACTTCTCTCGCACCGTTGCATCACAAGCAACATCCCCCTCTCGACGAAGCGGTACAACGGATCGGACGCGCAAGAGGTATGTCTGACACTCAAGTCCTCCTCGCATGGGCATTGCAGACAGGGAAAGGACCCGTGGTCACGTGAGTCATTGAACCCAAAATCACGAAGTGTACTGCTTGCTGAAGTCAAGTCAAGGGCAACGGCTAAACTTGAAAGGGTGCAAGACTACCTCGGAACTTTCGCCTTTGTGCTCCAACCTGAGGAGCTGGAGGAGATCTCTCGAGTCGGAAAGCAGGTATCATACCGTCGCTGGACTTGAGGAGGGAGTCCTCTACCTACGGCGTCTCCGTCCGTCTCTTCTGCTTGATCAGTATCATGCTGGTAATCATACACGATGCAACGAGTCTGTTCGCCGATATCTGTCCGGGCGAACAACTTTCTGCAAAGGTATTGGTAGCTGGTGTGGAGGAAAAATGGTCTGGACCCCTAAAATTGAGTATTACCTTTGGTCAGACGCTCCTTTGACGACAACTTGCCACGTCCTTTGATTGACAGCTTAGTCTCGGTGCGAGAGAGACATACCCCTGAGTCTCCTCGCAATCCATCCTCCCTCGCTCGCCCGAGGATAGAGTTGCAACTGAGGAGATCTTAGAAGTCCTCTTCATTCTGCAAGCTGTCTTATAACCACACTCGTCGAGCAGAATGGGATCTACCACAGACCGGACAGGATCCTTCGTCAAATTGTAAATCATCAAGGAAAGGCGTTCACCTCGGGGCCCTCCGTCCATCGTGGAAGCTGAGAGACTCAGACATCCTTTTCGAGCTTCCTAAGATCAGCTAGACGCTGCTCACTGCCTGATTAGAGTCGTAACACAGAAACGTCAGCCGAAAGAGCCTGTGACCTACCACAACTGTGGCGGAATGTGGCACTTCATACTCTTTGCCACAATCGTTCTCTACACACTCTCATTTGCGAGCCCTCTCACTTCTTCAGCCGCCAAATCTTCCGCGCCAGCTCACAACCTTGCCAAGAGATGTCGACCTCGACCAACCCTATTGGAGCAGGTTGTCAGACCGTCCGGCTACGGTTCGGGCAATTTCACCGGAATGAAACAAGTCAATATGATTCATGCAGGTTCGGACCCAATCCAGCAATGGCGACAGGGCAAAGGAAAGGGCTCTGTAGATGGTGATTGGCAAGGACACCATCAGGGCTGGCAGGGGCAGGGAAAAGCGTATTGGGGAAGCCAGGGTCAGGCGCAAGGTGACGGTGAAGGTAACGGTGATGGCCATGGCGGCTCCACAACTCATCAAGTGACGGGACAGACAGCCGATGTGGTCAACCCAGAACCTGAGACATCCACCAATAGGAACCGTCCACAGCCAACGACTAGCGAAGTGATGGGAGGAGGGGCTGGGGGCGGCGGAACTAGTAGCGGAGGTGGAGGCAGCAGAAGTGGGATAGAACAGATGGTTCAACTGCACAACGATTTCCGAGCCAATCACGGTGAGACATGCCAGTCCAGTAACACGATGCTGCAGCTCATGTGCACGACTACAAACAGGTGCTGATCCTGTCGGGTGGAGTGATACACTTGCGACTTATGCAACGAATTATGCCAGCAAATGTGTCTGGGAGCATTCGTGAGTCGCTCATGCTCGAGAAAACACATTGACCGATACGACATGCTCAGAGGTGGACCCTACGGAGAGAATCTGTGAGTGTTGAACCATAGTGGAGGGAACACTGACCGTCGTGCAGAGCGGGAGGCGCAGACGTAGCGGGGGCTTTCGGCATGTGGGCAGATGAAGCGAGTAAGTTGAAATCTCTCTACAAGGCCTACAAATTGCTTATCGCTGGTACTACAGAGGACTACGATCCCAATAATCCCCAGTATTCGCATTTTACCCAAGTTGTATGGAAAGCGACAACCACGATCGGCTGCTGTGATTATACGTGTTCAGGCTCTGTGAGTTCGACCGAGTCGATGGTTCTGCACTGAATCCCTCTTCATTAGGTCGGAAGATACATCATCTGTAAGTGGCTTCTTCATTCCGATCTCATGACCATGCTGAACGGTCAAGGCGAATACGATCCTCCCGGGAATGTCATTGGACAGTTTGCGGAGAATGTGTCCTGAGACCGGCACATCAAAGACAGGGGCTGGTACCCGTCACGACTCCTGAGAAGTATGAGGCATATTCCTCCTGTCATGTAATATGGATCATACATAATAAACAAGTACATATGGGGAAATGTTTGCAGCCTTTACGTTGTTGAATGTTCGTTTCATCGCATTTGTCGCATCGTCTCGTCATTTTTTGGGAGTCGTCATTCGTTCTGAGTCATTTAGGAGGCCAAAGGTCGACCGGAACTGTATGTACATTGGAAAGGCATGGAGGGAACGGGAAACGTAGAGAGTCTGCAATCAGGCGACCCACTGTTCGGGTCTGAATTTCCCAGAGACAAAACCAGGCCCGCGTCGAAAATCTATACAGCCATGAACGAAAGGGGTACGTCGAGCTGTCGTAAATGGTCGAAGCCGGGCACACGAAACCTCAGGGCTTATACACTGTGTGGGCCGTATTGCAGTGGGAGCAGTCATCGTAATCCGTACGGCAGACGCAACCGCCCCCAAACCACCAAGAATTGCAATTGCACTTGGCATACTTGCACTTGTAAGTGCCGTTTGCCTTGGCTCTTTCCTCGCGGAGTGCTGCAGAGGTCCTGCGCCTTTGTCTGGTGGTGTGAGAGACAAAATGGCGAGGAAACGGCTCACAGAAGCTCCTTGTGACCCTTCACGCCGCCATGAGATCGGTATGCCAAGCCGAGAACAGCAGATTTGTTGAACCTATACAGTACTCAGTCTGGTCAGGGTTGGAGGGCTTCGAGACTCACAATTGGCAAGGACTAAGAAACGCCGTTAGATCAGCTTTGGGAAGAGAAGGGAGCCGTCATGATCCTACGCGGCATGATTCATAGCGTTATGCTGTAAGATCATCAGGAGATCTTAGAACCAGGGTGTCCGCTCACTGTCAGAACATGGCGAAGTCAAATCAACTCTGCCTCGGTAACCTTGAACTCTCGCATTGCGTCCTGGGAATAGTCAGCCTACTATAGAATCTGAACGCACTGATTTCGTAATCCACTCGGCATTTACAGACTCAGCCGCTCGATTACGCCATTTGCTCGGCCAGTAGTCGTGAGGCAATGCCTGACCGTCCTGGTTATAGCGAACAACGAAGGGATATTCCTGTTCTTCCACATCAGCGTCCGGATCGTCGAGGAGTGTCTTGGCGATTGCCATAAGCCGAGTATTGGGATCGGTGGCTTTCGCCCATAGCCTTTTGGCGGATTGTTCGATCTCGGTATGGAGAACCTCTTCAGCATACTTTTTGTTATCTGCAGGGTCAGTCGCGTGTGCCCAGAGTCGGGTAGCGGCTGCCTCAATATTCTCCTCTTCTTTCCCATCTTCCTACATCTGAGGGGGCTGAATAGCCAGTGGAAGTCCGTTGTAATCTTTGAGAACGCTAGGCTGACCAGCGATCCTTCCATCAATAATAGCCAGCGCCTTTGTGCCTCTGAACAGCACGGATGATGTAGTAGTCGAGCGATGGAACTGCCTCTTGAGTTGACAGACTCGTATGTTCAAAGCATTCTGTAGTGTGGTCAATTGCCATTGACGTCGCTCCATATCGTGCACTTCTACTTGAGCATCCGTCCAGGTCGATCTGTCTCCGCTAGGAGTGTAAAACGCATTGACTGGAGGCTGAGGCAGCTGAGGAAGGTCCATACGACCTGGAAGTTTCCGTCAATTTCTCAGCTCTCGCGTGAATGGTCGGCTGGCTACATTGGCTACAGAGACATTCCCAGATCTGTTCAGCCACTTTCTTTTGCGTCCTTGAAATCCACTGTGGTGGCATATCTCCTGATCAACCGAGTCAGCCACAGGGGAATGGAGGTCATATCAACGCACGAAGAAGAAGTCATCATCCAGGCAGTGTCGAAAGAACCTCGAACATCCGGCCAGAGCAACATAATCGGCGGTCTAGACAGATAAACAACCGCGGGCCTCCGCGCTACTCACCACCAAGTCAGTCTCTCCCTCGATGAACCCAAAACAGAGGTCAAGAATTTCGTTCGGAAGCTCCATGAGGTGACATCTTGTGCTGTCACCCCAGTCAGGGATATCGTCCCATTTCGGCACTCGAGCGTAAACTGTCTTCCTTGCGAGTGGGTCCCACTCTCTCTCCTTCTTCGCCTCAATAGCCTTCTTTTCCTCAAGTATAGCCATAGCTCTCTCTTGCGCTCTGCGCTCTTCATCTAGCCGTCTCTCCCAAGCTGCCATCCCCGCCTTATGATACTCCTCTCGATCAGCTTTCCTTTTGGCTTCGACCCTCTTTTGTCTTTCTTGCTCGGCAACGAGCGCATCTTCCGCTGCTCGCTTGGCGGCTAGCTCAGCTGTAGCTTTCTCAAGCGCTTTCTTCAACTCCTCCACCCCGGTGCTCGAATGGCCATCTTCAGCAGCCAGGGAAGCGGACTCGGCGCTCCCCTTGAGAGTAGAGAGAGCTTTTCCTTTCCCTTGTCACGGGTACTGCCAGCATTGTCCTTGGTGGCGGGGACGTCGACATCGAAGTCGCTTAGATCGGAAAGTTTAGATCGCTTCGGAGGGGGAGGGTTGATGAATTCGCTTGGCGGACATTCATTATTAGATACTAACGAACTCCGCGCACCTTCTTCAGGAGGCGAGAATCTCCTGCGCTTGTTGTTCGCTGAAGCTGTAATAAGCGGGACATTTCCACTGTCGATTTAGGATTCTGCTCACATTCCAGCGGATCATCTGCGCCTGGACTCTCGTGACTCTCCATAGCAGTAGCAAGATCCATGGCCGGGTTCGTTGAGCTTGAGACCATCTTTAAGTCGTTTCAGACTGGTTCTTGGATTAAAGCTAAACGGCAGAAATCCAAGCAATGATCACCGAGATGAAGGATACTGAAATGAGTGAACGCAAACTGGAGGCAAAAGTCATTCGCGGTATGTCAACCTTCCCACGGTTGTTGGGCCCATGTCGGCAGCAGTGGCAGTCTATTGCGGCCGTACAAGAGATGCATAGAGAGGAGCAGACTGATGTTGAACGTGCATAACGGTCGCAGTCCGGGCAGATTTCGCGTCAAGCCAATAAACGATCCTCAACAGCCTGCGTTGTCAAGCCTTCGGCGCCGTCTCTGACTTCCAGTACCTGAGAGATTGCGTTAGCTCCTGTCGCCCATTTTTGAAATGAATCAGTCGGCGGACGGCGCATAGCTTGGCCAGAGTGAGAAGCTCTGGAGAGACGCAGCAATAGTTCGACACCTAGATCCCTCACCTTTCCTACATCAGCTGCTTGCTGGAAATAGCTCAGAGCCGAGGCATGTAAAGTCATCAGGTCTATTGGAGATGACGGAGGAGCCCTGGGTGATTGTCAGATGATACGGATGATTCGCCATGTGTTTTGGTAGGACCAGTGAGGACTCACCAGTTGACCAATAAGAGTGGGTTTGAGATGCGTCCATCTTTGTGTTTCTGAGGGATTGTGAGCATACTCTATTTGTACTGGCACTGGCGAATCTCACCAGTTCATAAGAGATGAGGACGTAACGAGGCGCATTCTCAGGGAGCTCTTAGATAATTATCAGCTCAGCTCGGAGATCTCTGCGACTAGAGCGTTGTGACACACCATCGGCAACCTCTTCCACAGAGTCCACGTCTAATTCCTCGTCAACCGCCAACGCCAGGTCTTTCTTGACAATCTTGACTAAGTGTATCTCAGGATGACTGAGAGCAGACAGTGATAAGTTGGGACTCACCTGAGAGCGCCGAGAGCCCCTTGACTTTTTTGAACCTGAACTTCTTCAAGGCATCCTGCACATCCTGCGGAATATCAACGGTTCGGGAGGCCTGATGGGACATCGCGTTAGCGGACAAATGGTACGAGACGACGACCTAAGCAGCTCGTGCTCACCATGATGGAGATGACTGCTCTGTACTAGCGGCTGTGTCGACTCCTCTGAGTACTGGACGATCTCCCACGCAGCTTCTACAATGGAAGGGAGAAAGGGGACCTCCGTCAAGTCATGCTTTGAACGTCATGTCGCCGGGCCAATTACGGCATATAGCTTGATTGCCACGTGGGCTGCACATTTTCGGGTCAGAAAAAGTTGAGATTCAGACCTTGCTTTCTACCGTCAATAGACCTCTTGTTCATCGGTCTCTCTTCGCATCGAGAAGGACTGCAGAGGCTGAGCTGTTCTGCAAGCTCTGAGAAGATCAGTGAAAAATGTCTACAGTCTCGCGTCTGACGGCACGGGCGAGGCAGACGTGCATCGCATCGTCTTCGCGATCGGCATTGGCATTACCTCAATTTCGACCTCTCTCTGTTGTTCCTCAGATCCGCTCAAACTCGATTGCTGGACAACGTATCGCTTCGGCCTCAATTGTGAATCCCTCTAGACGATGGGCGAGTACCGCTACGCAGCTCAAGGAGGATGAAGGAGAGGAGGCGGAGGAAGCAGCAGAGGAAAAATGGCCAGTCCGAGTTTTACCCCAGCTAAAGGATGGCGATCGAGCGCGACTGAGGCGTCAGAGGAATGTGGGAATGTTAGTTCTTGTGCCAACTCCAAGTTCTGCAGCTGACTCGAATGCCAGCTCGGCTCACATTGACTCTGGAAAAACCACCTTAACGGAGCGTGTACGTCGTTTCAACATTAGTGAAAGATGATGTTAATTGGCTTGATGTCCAGGTTCTGTATTACACTGGTCGTGTCAGGGATATCCACGAGGTCCGCGGACGAGATGGTGTCGGAGCGAAGATGGACTCTATGGAATTGGAGAGGGAGAAGGGGATCACAATTCAATCCGCAGCCACATTCTGTGACTGGGTCTCTTCTCCGCCTCCCAATGAAACACCAGTTGGCGGTGAAATCAACGAGCAGAAGGAAAACTTTGCTATCAATATCATTGATACACCGGGTACGTCTGCTAACATTCGAGCCGAATATGAAGTACCTAACGAAATCCAGGTCACGTCGATTTCACGATCGAAGTGGAGCGCGCCCTGCGAGTCCTAGACGGTGCGGTCTTGGTGCTGTGTGCTGTTTCGGGAGTTCAGGTCAGTGAATACACCTGATTTTACTCTTCGAGCATCTGCTGACCCTGAGCAGAGTCAGACCATCACCGTAGATCGTCAGATGCGACGATACAACGTTCCAAGAGTGGCATTTATCAACAAAATGGATCGGTAAGCTACTCTGCTTTTGCCCGTCCCCTTTGCTGATTCCCTGTAGTGCCGGCGCGAATCCTTGGAGGGTCATTGGTCAGCTTCGATCCAAGCTGAGGCATAATGCTGCGGCTCTTCAAGTCCCCATTGGATCCGAGGACAAATTGCAAGGTGTTGTGGACATCATTAGAATGAAGGCCATCTACAATAAGGGCGAGAAAGGGTGGGTACACGCGATGATCGAAGCCTTCGCGGCTGAAAGCCCAATACAGCAACCAAGTGGTCGAGTCGGACGAAATTCCTGCAGATCTGCTAGATCTCGTCAAGGAGAAGCGAGCAGAGCTCATTGAAAATCTATCAGAGGCGGACGAGACACTCTGCGACAAATTCTTGAACGAGGAGCCAATCTCCAACCTGGACATTGCGCAAGCGGTACGACGAGCCACTGTGGCTCTGCGGTTCTGTCCTGTCCTCATGGGATCAGCTATCAAAAACACCGGTGTTCAGCCCGTCCTCGATGCTGTGTGCCAGTACCTGCCAGACCCCTCCGAGATCCACAATCAAGCGCTGGATGCGACCTTACCAGCTAATGCTCCACCTATCCCTCTTGTCCCGGCAGGAGATGCAGCTCTCGTTGGGTTGGCATTCAAACTGGAAGAAGGACGTTTCGGCCAATTGACGTACATGCGTGTATACCAGGGTACTCTGCGAAAAGGACATATGATTATCAATGCCAGGACCGGCAAGAGAGTCAAGGTGCCGAGATTGGTTAGGATGCATAGTAATGAAATGGAGGTAAGTACCACCAGGCGGCACCCTGCTGTGACAAGCTGATGTCTGCTCAGGATGTCGACTCCATCGGTGCTGGAGAGATCTGTGCCATCTTTGGAGTTGAGTGTTCATCTGGCGACACATTCACCGACGGCAAGACGACCTACACTATGGTGAGTCATGACCCAGCGCCATCTCAGCTCATCGTAACGATAGACCTCCATGTTTGTGCCGGACCCTGTCATCTCACTGTCAATCCGCCCCGAAGGAACTGAAACCCCAAACTTCTCCCGTGCTTTGAATCGTTTCCAGAAAGAAGACCCCACCTTCCGTGTACACGTTGATTCTGAGTCCAAGGAGGTGAGCCTACAATCTTCTCACGTAAGTCGTTAATCTGACACACGTCGCAGACGATCATCTCCGGTATGGGAGAACTGCACTTGGATATCTACGTCGAGCGTATAAGACGAGAGTACGGCGTCGCATGTGTGACTGGTAAACCTCGGGTCGCATTCCGTGAGACAATCACTCAGCCTGTCAACTTTGAGTACACCCACAAAAAACAGTCTGGTGGTGCTGGCCAATTTGGTCGAGTTATGGGCAGGATCGAACCCATGGAATTTGACCCGGACACAGGAAAAGACACTGAATTCTCAAACCAGATGATCGGAAATGCCGTGCCGCACCAGTATATCCCAGCTATCGAAAAAGTGAGTGAGGCGTGTTAGTGTTCTGTGTCCCAGCTAAAAGATGCTTCTGAAGGGATTCCAAGAGGCGTTGGACCGCGGACAACTCACTGGTCATCCCATCATTCAATGTCGATTCGTTCTTACCGATGGGCTCGCTCACGTTGTCGATTCGTCCGAATTGGCTTTCAGAATGGCCTCCTTGGGCGCTTTCAGAGAAGCGTTCCCGAAGGCCAAACCTGTCATCTTGGAACCAGTCATGACTGTCGAAGTGGTCGCTCCTGTCGAGTTCCAGGGGAACGTCATCGGAGCTATGAATCAGCGCAAGGGTACTATTGTGGACACTGAAGTCCGAGACGAAGAATTCACTTTGATCGCCGAGGTGGCTCTGAATGACATGTTCGGATACGCTTCGCAGCTTCGTGGATTGACTCAGGGTAAAGGTGAGCGACTCATCTTCAATCGAATCGGAACACATAATGACTGGATGCTCAGGCGAGTTCTCGATGGAGTACAAGAAGCATGCACAGGTCATGCCGTATCTCCAGAAGGAGATGATGGATGCATTCCAGAACAAGACTGTGAAATAATGGAGGGATGGCTACCTAGGAGATAGTTCCCCTTTCGTAATAGACATGCTCATCGACACATCACCATTGTATTGTAATGCTACAACCAGCCCTCTCGCTCTTTCTAGTCAACTTCGGAATCTCAGGTTGAATTCATGTCCGCAACCTCGGTCCACATCAGGCTCTCGCGACAGAGGCTCTCTGCTATTGTCGTTTGTTTGCTTGAGATATCAAGACGAGGTTCCCAAGGCAAAGCTAAACTCCCTATCCCAGCATCTCAGCGTCTGGCACTGTCTCCATCCATGCACACTGCAGGATGCAGATGATATTTCATCAAATGCCTCTGGTCACCATGTGCGGGGAGACAGCTGTCGCCGTCATAGGGTGTATACAAGTCTATCCTTTTCTTTTTGGCAAGGCGTCCGGAGACCTGTGGCGCATCGAAGCCAGGGCTAAGGGGATTCGGAACTAGTGAATGGCGCCTCTTGGTTGTTCCGCCCAGGATATGAGTCCTCAAAACCATCTTTTGAAAGCTTGAAAAGCTCCTGATAGCGTCCACCTAGGCGCATCAGCTCGTCATGCGTTCCGAGTTCAATGATAGTCTAGTCATGCTTGTAAGCGAGGCCAACTATGACGAGTAAGGACTGACCCCGTTTTCCACCACAGCAATCTTGTCTGCTCTGCGCACTAGGTCTCTTAGCTCGGAATAAAAGTGCATACTCACCGGTTGAGAAACGATGGGAGATATAGATTGTCGTAATCTTTCGTCCGCCTCGCATCGAGAGGGAGTGTATCTTTTGGAATAGTTCTGCCTCTGCTTTCGGATCGAGACTTGAGGAAGGTTCGCTGATGGAGAATGAACGGCAGATCGCCCACAGCAGCAGCCTGACTCACTCGAACACCACGAGATCAGCATCGTCAGATTTTAGAAACGCCCGGGCCAGTGCTACTCTTTGCCATTGACCTCCGCTCAGGGCTTGAGCTTTTTGTTTTCGCTCCGGTGAATGGACCTTCGGCGTACTGTACAAAGAAGCGAGCCAGCTACTCGCAAACCAGTTGCGTATAATACCAACATGTGTGTCGGTCGGCTGTGACTCGTGCAAGTCAGAACAGTACGATATAGTATCATCTTCAGTGTCAAGGTCCGAGCCACTGTAAGACTCGGGCCCCAACTCCTCATCATCGTCGGACTCGGGATCATGGTCTGCCATTTTGTCCCCAACATCCGGAGCATACCATGGGTCCAGAGGCCCGTCCAGACCGGTTTTCGTGACTACTTCGCTAGCGCCTCCACGTTCGAGCGCTAGCTCCAGCTTCGCGTCTTCCTCCAAGTATCTCAGGTCGCCGATGCCGACATTTTCCCGCAAAGTGAGCTCATATTGTCCAAAATCCTGGAATAAGCATGAGGTCCGCTTGTGGATTGACACTGGATCGTATGATTCGATGGGAAGATCATTGACAGACAAAGAGCCTTTGGCGTCGTATAGCCCCATGAGGACTTTGACCAATGTAGTCTTGCCTCCGCCATTCAGACCGACGATGGCGAGCTGCTCGCCAGGTTCAATGACGAGGTTTATCCCTCTAAGGGCTTTCTTGGTGGTACCAGGGTATGTGAAGCTGAGATTGTGTACCTCAAGTTTCATTCCACCCTCCCTTCGGTGTGCGTCGTAATCCAGCAGCTCTTTCGCGCCAGATTGATGGCACCTTCGGAGCTGTCTTTCCAGCTCTTCTGGATCTCGGGTAGCCTCACAGAAAGCGGCGAAAACGAAGATGCTTTGCAACACCTCCTCTAGACTACCAATAGTCGATTCGACGAGGGAGAATATGGAGCTCGCGCTTGTCTGATAAAGACGAATAGAACCTAAGGAGAGCTTGGTCGATAACATTTGCAAAGCAAGGAGTACCTTTGAACATTTGTCAGGGATGATCCCACCGAGAAACTTACGTGGAAGAGTTCGCCGACGGTGCGTTGCATCACATCGGTCAAAGCCCTCCATGCCTCACGGAAATCATCCGTCACAGCTTCTTCATGCGCGATAGCTTTCGTGGCGGCTTCCCATCCATCCAATACCCAATTCTTGAGTCCAAACAGAATAACCTCGTGCCTGGCTCTCGCTTTGACCATTCGACGGAAGCTCTCCAACCTGTCATAGTGCCGAGTCCACTTCCACTCAGGGTTTGCAGCATAATGACGCTCGGTAGTCCACTTGCTGATCAGTCTCAGGACGCTTGGAGCCAGGGCCAGTCCCATCAGTAGGAGGGTAGACATGCTGAAAATCGAATCGCCAGCGCTGGTAATTGTCCGAACTAGGAGAGCAACCTCTGTAGCAATCCCGGCCAGATTGCCGAGAACGGTGATCGCATTGTTCACGTTGTCAAACGGATCTGCACGGGTGCTGCCGGTTTTCGTTCTGCGGCTCTGGAAGCCAGCAAAGACTCCAGCTTCGTGCACAAGGGCAGACAGGTAAGGGTCAGAAAGAGAGGGAATGGAAAGGGCAAGGTTCGCGGACAGGTACAGCTTTCGCAGTCGAAGGTCAATCAGCGTCTGCAAAGAGATCAGCTATCGCTGAAGCTCAGTACGTACGGTGACGATACGCTCGTTGCGACTAGATAAGAACCGATAAATATCGTCCGACGACTGAAGAGCGATCATCATGATGGCGGTCATCATTACTTCTGGTCGATGGACGACTCCAGTCGTCAAGGCTGCCTGCACCAAGTCCAGCATTCGACTCTGTGCCCATAGTCTTGGACACATCAGACTTCTACGTATCTCTATGGGTCACATTTTGCTCACCGACAAGCAGGGAGAAAGCTCCTCACCATGCAACCAATGAGCCACTTCGTAATTACGGTTCGGTTGTCAGTCCAGAAGATAGTCAAGACATCGTGCCGAAGGAGAATTAGCAGTCTCAAAGCCAAGCGAATGTTGCGCAATGTCAACGGTCTGTTGTATCCTTTGTCGCGCAATTGATGCATTGTCGACAGTGACGCCAGGGACAAGTCGTGCTCATCGACTGGCGGGTTAAGAAGCCGGGTTCTGAGCCACAATCGAGCGATTTTGGAATTCTGAGCGTGATTTCTACGTCTGTCTTGGACACGACTTGAAAGCCGACTGTCTTCATTGTCGGATGGGTCTGAAGTGCCACTGCTATCGCCGTCATCAGACGGTGTGACATGTTTTGGCGGATTCAAGACAGTCTGCCTGTTTTGAGCTGCAGCTCCCGGACCAGGGACCGAAGTAGCATTTTGACGCTTGCGAATGGTTGACATGGTCAAGCAGACGGTGTTGGGGGATCTCCGCTTCCCAGAGCATCTTAAATAGCTTACATAGTGATCCTCTGGCGATAGCTATCCGAGACGACTCGTCGCTACTGTAGACTATGGACCCAAATGTTCGGATCCGAATCAAAATGTGGCGGCGACACGAACATGAGCTGTGCTAAGAAAATTGCATCGCCTCTCACTTCGGCCTCTTTGCTGACGTCGATCAGCAGGGTTAGGACCCCAGGAGGACCACGACCAATATAGATCGCTCGTATATGATCTCAGCTTGGCAGCGTCACCGCACATCATGGGTCTACGGAGCAACAAGCGAGTGACTATGAGGGCTTTTGCACAGCCGATATACTTTAGCCACTGATGTAGGCGAACCTCGTGGTAATGACTTTCATACCTCATCTTTGTTCTGTGTTAGAGTGACAATGTCGAGCGATTCAATGTGTTCCAGCATCATGCAAGAGGATCTCCTGGCTGTGAGCAACATAGGCGGATGCTTGCGAAGACGCGGAGCAGTCCGTAGTAATCAAGCTGGGCCTAGTCGGGCGCGTAGACTCTCGCATGCTGGGTCTGAGACCGGTGCCGCCCCATGTTCACCCTCTCCGGACCTGGATTCTGCTACCGTAAAACGGAACTCATTCGATTCATCCTGCACCAGAAAGTCTCGGGTGTCTTCTGTATCGTCCTTTGCTTCTCTCCCGATGACACCAGATTCTGTAATCATTGACCTCTTTGAGGATGACTCCGTCCTCCGCAGCGTCAATATGGGGAAGCCAACAGTCAGCACTCGGTCTGCATCTTCAGATCGCACAGCCATATTTGTGTCATTCGGAGAACAGAGTCTCAATCAAGGCTCCTCGACCTACGGTAAAGCGCACACCTTCTCAACACCACCGAACGCCTTGGTTTTGGACTACCCTGATGCCTCTCAGCGGAGCTCTCATGAGTCCGAACTCCAATCTACCACCGGAGGAGCATTTCATACGGGCTACCTGACTGCACCAAACGAACGATCTGAGCCAGCTGAAATGAGGTCATCGGCCTCAAAGACGCAGGTCGAATGGGCTGCTGTCCGAGGTCACCGAACCCAGACGGAACTCTCCTTTTCGACGAGGGCACAACTGAAGCATGAAAGTGGCCCACGCCTTGATGCTCTTCATGCTGGGTCATTTGAGACATGGACGGCGGCATGGTTGGGCGATGATGATGCAGAGCAGCGTGTCAAGGATTTCCGGGCATGGGAGGAGCGCGAGTCACAAAAGTGGGCAGCTCGGCGGATACTTGAAGCTGGAGGCGAAGCTGGCGGCTAGACAGGCTTTGGACCGAGACACTAGAGCATCAGCTTTCCCGAGGTCAAGCGTAGATGTGTCCCGGTAGTCACAAACATGCTGTGGCGCTGATAGAAGATGGAGGCTGACAGCCTGATATGCCAGTGATGATGTATGTTCATGTGACTGTCTCCTCTATTGAAGGTGTCTATAAACGGATCTGCGCTGGTGTGAAAGATGCGGCCGCTGGTGGATTTCCTAGATCAAGCCAGAAAGGTGTCGATTTCGTTGCCAACACAAGGCCTGGGACTCGGGCGGAAATCCTTTAAAGACAGAGCTGACCTTCCCTACAGGTACTTCTACTCTTATACATATTAGTCATCCTCTGTCAGTCCTTCGTGCCATGCATTGTGCAGCCTCGGATCGGAGACCAGCTAGTAAATAGATCTAAGCAAGCGAGCCACTCCTAAACTGGCCCAATTTCGACGCGACTGATTTTCCTTTTAAAGGGGGAAAAATGACCAGCTGAAAGTTCATCGGGCGGTGGTGTGAGAGGCACGGCGCGTGCTCATGGCTCATCGAGGTTTGAACCTGTATCATCAGGCACCGCAGTAGCTTCAACGTCCCCTACCAGATGAGCCTTTAGATAGGAACGAGAGGCTGGCCATTATTTGGTTATGTGGCAAGGCCAATGACGATTTCTAGAGAGAAGCAGTCAGTCTCATCCGTTTCATCTCTCTCTGGGTTCCGGTTGCTGTCTTCCATTGCCTCGTCCTCAAAAGACACTGAGTGTCACCCTTTTCATCATTGATCCATCTCCTAAATCGTCTCGTCCCCCATTTCTGCGTGTGACGGGTCTTCAAAACCCCTCTCTCGCCAATCGGGAGAGAGCCCTTTACCACTCCCTTAACATCTCAAAAAAGGAGCGACGATAGACTCTAAATCTCACCGGAATGGAGGCGTCAAGCTCGTTCTACATACCTCCTAGACCACATCCAACCCCTCTTCAGCGACGCCGAGCGGTCCGCTCATCTGGACAGGAATCCGATGAGGCAGAAGAGGAAGCCGGACCAGGAGTTTACGGTATGAGCCCCGTTCGCTCTAGCGGTCCAGTCTTTGCGACGGAAATCACTGGTTCACCACTTGAATCTTTCGGTCCGATGTCACCCACAGACAGAAAGCATGGATTGAAACGAGCGGCGACTGCCAAGCTGCTCGAATCTCCAGGCTCTCCCCCTATGCGACCAACGGTGGCAGCCACTCTGAGCGGTTTGAAGATCAGGACAGTCTCTCCTCCTACGAAGCCGATCACCTGCCCGCCGACTCTTCAAAAGAAGAAACATAGCCATCGAGATCGTGATGAGGTAGACCAGTCAGTCGATTTGGATGAGCACGGGCAGAGAGCCCAGAGCCCTCAGGTGAGTATTGGGCTTGCGCAGTCTCGACACTCTCATACTCTTCCCCAGCAAAGAAAGGTTTCCAGGTCCAAAAGCACGGCTGAGATAGCGCAGCATGAGCCGCGAGACAACAGTATAGAGGTCGGTAAAATAGCATGTGAAGTTATGAAGTATGCTGACAGAATGTGAGACTCCTCAGATCTCGCGTTCAAAATCCATTGCTCAAGCTTTTGACCCGGATCCCAGAGACAGATCTGCCGAAGTGAGATAGATGTAGCACAGACTCTCATCCCGATCTGACCCCTTCACAGCCAAGACAGGTTTCAAGATCGAAGTCTATCGTTCAGATGTTTGACCCAGATCCCAGAGCGGACTCTGCACCTGCAGTGAGTGATGTCACGTCATCCCGCTAACGCGAACGGCGCAGCCTCGACAAGTCTCTAGGTCCAAGTCCATCGCTCAGATGTTCGAAGCAGACGAGCGGCCTACGGCTTCAGAGGCGAAAGCTTCTGTAGCTATGCATACGACCGCCGACCCAAACCTTCAGAACGGCCACGTATCTCGCTCAAAGTCTCGCTCGCGAGCCGCTCAGCCCGAGGATGATGTCCCGAAGCATGAGGTGGGTTCACGTGCTCGGGGTATCTCGTGAGAAGGACTTTGGAACTGATCTATCAAGATTCGCAAGGTATCGCGATCCAAGACATACGCGGCTCCTGAGATGATCGAAAGGCGAAATACTCCTCCAGAGGTAAGCCGTAGCCTCGAATTTAATGTCGATGCTGAAGCTTGCAAAGCATCGTAAGCTGTCGAGAACCAACTCTCGGCTGTCTCGGAACGGATCTCGTCTGTCCAGGCACAACTCGAGATTATCCAGATCGAGCTCCCATGCTCGCAGACGACATCATGCTGAATATGCAGAGGTGCGCGGCATCATCAGGAGCTCTAACTGACTGCTATTCACAGCCTCGACGAGTGTCGCGCTCCAAGAGCGAAGTGCCTCATCGCAAGCCTTCCATCAGGAGAGCGGCGACAGAGCCCATCGAACACGTCTCACAGATGCCAATGCTCCCTCCTCTGACCTCTGCAATCCTTCCTTCTCACCCTCAACTCCCTCGGTCCCAAGTCTACCAGCAACGCCGACAAGTTATGTCGCCTGAAGAGCCCTTGCGCCGTCGAGAGACATCACATCAAAATCACGTCCGATATGCCACATCCCATCTCGCAGACGCCTCAGAGCTAGACTCTGAAGACTCGCTCTCGCAATTCATCGAATCGCCTGAACCCATGACCTCCTCTCAGCTCAGCCACTCCCAGTCTCATACTGAGCGTCGCCGTTCTTCTGGTCATCGACAACCCGCGCATCCAATGCTAAGCCAAGAAAAGCCAGAGCAAATTACCATTCTCAAAGGCAGTCAATCGGCATATCCACCACTCCGGAAGAACACTCGAGGATCTGTCTTGATATTACCTCCAGTTCCTCGTGAATCTCAGGGCGGTCGTAGATCGAATGCCGGCACGCCAGAACCGAGACGGATGCCAAGTGGTCATCTGAGATCCTCGGCCTCCCAGACCCTCCCAAATGGCTATACGTTCCCCACCTCCATCTCTCAAAGTATCCCCCGTGGCCCGATGCGACCTCTCTGTGCAGTGCCCACTTTGGGGTACACCAGCGAAGCGATCACACCGCTTCTGCGCTATGAGGCGGATCAGGATGACGGTGCCCCACAAGAGGAGCCCTTGCCCCTTCCTCAGACTTCGAGAAACCGCAATATTGCCTCGCCAGCTTCCGGGATTTCGATGAACGCCACTAGCTCTGAAGGCCATGGGATAATCATGATCAACGGAAGACCTTTCTCACCCGATGCTCGACCCTTCTCCCCTGACATGATCACCTCTGAATCATCTTTGCCTGCGACTCCCGAAGCATCCGACATGGGTCACGGCCACCTACTCCAGGTCTACGGCGATGAGAAGACGCCTACACTCGAGCAGTTGATCAATGAACAAATCACCATCCCACTCCGGCCTGTCGAGCTCGATGATGCTGGTTCAGCATATGTCGTGGACCTCAGCAAAGCCGCTCGGAAAGCAGCGCGACGAGCCGAGCGCTTGGCGGAGAAGGAGGCGAAAAAAGAAGCCAAGGCGGTCAGAAGAGCCACAAAGAAGGGCAAGGGGTCCATGTCATTCAACATTGGTACGATCAACCGATCTGAATCGCCTTTGGATGTAAACGAAAGCGAGATGAGGCGAGCCGCCGAGCTTGCAGCTCAGTACGAGGCTGAGCAGGTCAGATCTGAGGCTCGGAAGACGGTGCCAAATTCGACGGCCAAAGAAACCATTCAAGGTGGAGCTCAGATGGCGAGAACAGACGAGCCCACTTCACGGACGAAGGAGCCAAAAATCATGGCGGTGGAGGAGAATGTCACCAGTCAGGCGGACGGACAAGCTGCGCTGGAAGCAGAACAAAAGGAGATACGTCGCGCCGCCTTCCGAGCTGAGAAGAGGGAGGAAGAGCGTGCTGAACGAGCTGCATTCGAGAAGCGGCGAGCAGAGGAGAGAGTTGAGCGAGAGGCGAAAGAGGCTGCTGTGAAGGATGCGGCCGAACTCGCCGCTATAGCCGCAGAGGAAGACGCAAAGGCCAGGATACGGATAGCTCGAAGGAGCACGACCAGGACAGTGGCCACCCCAGAAACTGTCCGAACACACTCAGAAAGTCCCCGGACTCCGCAAAGGACCGAGGATGCTGCATCACCTGATGAGCCTCTCTCACCGCAAAAGTCCACTCGTCGGATTCAACCTCGACATGCCATGTCGGACTCGGTCGTCCCGAAAACTCCAGCGCAGCTTGAAAAGGAAGCCTATGAGACAGCCCGAGCTCAAGCTGAGATCGATGCCGTAGCGATGGAGGCTCAACGCCTCAAAGCCGAGATCCAAGACAAGGTCCGGGTAACTTCCCATCTCGAGCACATGGCCAACACGCTCGCAGCTGCCAGACGTGCTCGTCGAGAGTCCAAAATCCTCGACTATGGTTATCCTTCGGCAGAGCTTGACCCACCTCATCGGACAGAAGGTGTCGGGCTGAAATTGATATCCCCTGGAGGACCATCTTCGTCAGCTTCTACCCGACCTAGATCAAAGTCAAAATCCAAGGTTGTCGCGATGGTCGCTGCGGTCGTCCCGGGTCTACCGAAAACCGATACTTACCCGAGAGGTTTCCGTAGCATCTCTTATGCCGACTTGCGAGATGCTGCTGAGGAGCGTCAGATCCAAAACGAAGAGCGCGGTTGGGAGGCGGATACTCAGATGAAGACGCTCGAAAAGGAACAGAGCAGGAGCAAGGATTTCAAGGATTGGCTGAGAAAGAAAAAGTCAAATGAAGTTGCTAGGCGACTGTCAGGTGGTGCCGAGGACGATGAGACTCAGTCGAGGGGTACAGTTCCGAGAAGGCAAAGTGATGATCCCAGATTGTCACTCGCAGCTAGGAACAGGAGATATGAGCGGGGAGATTACGTCGATGAAGGTGAATGGGAGACGGACGATGAGGGATCAGATCGCTCTCTCAACCAAGACCAGCTCCATAATCGGCATCATCATCACTCTCGACACTCTACGCATCTGTCCGATGCCGAGGTATCCGAAGACCAATGGGAAGACTTGTCTAACGCATCGCGCTCCTTGTCTGACCAGGAGGTCAATTTTCGAACGTCGGATCTTGATGAACCCGGGAGACGACGGTCCAAATCAAAATCTTCCCCGAAAATACTCCGACCTCAGCCTTTGAAACGCGCGTCGACAGTCAAACTGCTGAAGCTCGAACGATCAGAAGCCAGTGTCCACTTTTTGCCAGAACCCAAGCCTCTAGATCCCGATGGACTGAGGTCAACACGGAATCCATCGAGACCTCCGAGCGTTGGTAGTGGGCCTTGGTTGTGGTAGTGTAGCCATTCCAACGAGACTTCGCCATGTTCATGGGTAGGAGCACAGGCCCTCAAAAAAGCCGGTCAGTTATGGTCATTAGCAGAGTTTCTGAAGAGTGTGTTATGAGCCGCCGGACATTATTTCTGCCAATCTTCTCTTGTCTGCGTGTTGAGAGATATGCCTGTATATGCATCCCATGTGACAACGCGGAGTCGGGAGGCCTAGGGCGTGTTGGTATATGGATCAGCGCGTCAGGATCGTTAAATGAGGTCGACAATGGGGCATGACACCACTGCGATCGTCTATGATTTGGAGACACAACTCGAGACAGATATCCTCAATGATCGACCAAGAATGTGCCGTTCGTTTGCACCTCAGCCTGAGCTTCGACATTTGTCCACCTGGGCTCATCAGCTGCAAAATAAGACCACGCTCACCCTTCTACGATTCTTCCTCCGACCCTTTCCAGGATAGTCGGACCCCGAACCCATAAAGATCCTCTGATCTTGCCACCTTCGTCGCCCTCCACGACATAGCTGTTAGGCCCCTTGAGGAGGACTTCGATGTTGGCTGCAGGTGGACCGGTGTGGCATTTCTCCTTGTCTTCTGAGACGCCTGAAGGCTTGTCAGGTTTGAGCAGAGCAGTATGGTGAACGCCGTTAGACTGAACGTCGTAGAAGTGAGAGGCGAAGATGGGCCCGGTCGAAAGGTGAGTTGCGTAAACTCGAGAGATGGGCAAGGAAAGTAGACTTTGCGCCGCTACCATTGTTGACATGAGAGGGAGATCTGATCTGTATCAGTTTCGTCCTCGCATGAAAAGATAAGCGGCGCACCTCCCACGATGACGATGCCTCGCATGGTGTCCAAGAACAAGCCATGAAAGAGCTTGCCACGGACAGGCTTCCACACAAGAGATTCTGCAACGCCAGATTTCGAAACGTCTCCAGCTCGTATAGCATGCAGTTTGTGCGCGGCCGCGACACTTGCGAGCGGGTGCGATGAAAAAGCGTATTTAAGGCGTCTAGTTACTACCTCGAGCTCTGCATGATTGCTTGAGCTGGTATTAGCCAAGTGTCAAAAGTCACAGTTCGCTAGGAAGGCTCACAGGAAAAGCAGAGTCGGTGCAGGCTGATCCGTGTCCATGAGCCGCCTCAGCTGATCCTGAATCTCCGATTCGGTGGGCTTAGACTCCGGCCAGATGGGGACAGGCGGGCCAATGAACCGAAAGCTCGCACCTGGAATGGTCAGGCCAGTCACTGAACATCTCTCACCACACCAGATAGACGCCAAGGCAATCGTCATTCCGAATGGTGTATCGAGTCGGACTGACGATGCTACTACATCTCGCAAAGCGGCCGAGGGACGCTTGTCAGGCGGAAAGATTGACAGCACACCGGCAACTCCAGCTGTGATATTCTAGAGCTCAAAATCAATGCGACTGCCTCTGTTCCTCGTAAAGCACTGGGTCACGACGTACCAGGTGGGTCACCTTTGCAATCTCTGGAGGCACTTCGTCCTCGTCATCTTCCTGGAGTTTATAGAAATAGCTGTGAACATCATTGAAGTGGGCAGCTAAGCAGAAGATCAACACCCCGGAGTTCACCCTTGACCAAGAAGCTCACTTGGAACAGTGATTTTATTCAAAGATATTTCTGCCGCCTCCCAAACGTCCTCCCACCAGTGGACTTTCATCCCTTTGCCAATGGCTCTTTCAACCAAAGGACCCTGCGACTTGTCGTTGTCACCGACGACCATGATGCCGAGGCTGTCTCCACAGTCTTCTACGGCTTGCTCTAGGACATCCTCCAGGAGGCTTTGGTGCACGATGAGAACACCTGGTACGGGATGCGAGTCGGCGGCTGGTGTCAGCGCCTTTGTCAGGAGTTTTGGCGACGGTAGGATCACGAGCGGCGAACTGGGAGTTGCGGCAAGCTGGAGGATGAGGAGAGGTAGAGCAGTGACGGGGGAAGGCGGGAGAAGAACAAGGATAGGTCGTGGGGAGACATTTGACGTTGGAAGGTTGAATAACGAGGTGAGACCGATAGGGAAACGGCGGATGAGCTCAGCAAGAGCTTCTTGTGATAGCTGAGCACCACGCATCAGCGACGATCTCGGCGTGTCGAGTGATGTCCACTCACAGAGACATCCAAAATGCACTTGGGCACGGCTCCTGCTTGCGATACGGTCGTCGGGACCAGATCGTTTGTGGTCTTAAGCGAGTTCGCCGGTCTGACCGTGAACTAGACAAAGCGTTAGCCAACGGCAAGCGCTAGACGCCAGCGGCAACAAGTTCACCGGAGTGCCCTGACCAGTGGCCCAATTTCTGTATATACCTGACTCTCCATCCTTCCTGACGGCAGAGACATCACTCTGCTTCCCTAGTAGGAGCGGATGGACCGTCGGAAGAGCAGTCGTAAAGAAGCGATGATATATAGCCAGAGCGGTGATGATGGCTAGCAGGGCCACGGTGAGGTTGTCGACGGTATAGTCGATCATTTCGTATGCTATCAAGGCTCAATGTCTCGTCAACAAGGTCACAGCTGGTCGAAGATCCTTTGTGGGCGAGCTGAGTCGTATGAGAAATTGGATCGACCCTCACTCAAAGGAGGGTGAGAATGAACACGAGGTGGTTGACGATAGCTGCTGACTCTGCTCTGAAAGCGCCTCCACAGGTTGAGACAGATCCTTCTATGATCCCATGATTGCTTCACTCTCGTGTGAAGGAGTCAGATAAGCCAAAAGAGTGTGTGAGAGAGAATATAGAGGCCGAGACGATGCCTCTGTATCGAAGTCATCCTCGCAATTATAGCGAAGCCGAAATATCGGGATCTTCTCTGATCGTCACTCTGCGAGGACGTGGTAGGACAACTACAGCAGCGCGATGGACGCTCCGGACGTGTACACCAATACGGATGAGGATTATCTCGCTGGCAGTCAGTCTTGCCTCACATGCTCTCGGTTTCTTCGCTCATGCAACGCTCATATAGCTAGAAAGCGATCTAGACCTGGTACCGATCCATCTGATAAACATTATGAGCAAGTAACCGATGGGTGAGGTATTCGAGTTACATGCCAACAAAGCACTGACCTCGTCACTGCAGTGCTGGTCGTAAAGTCTCCAATAAACCGCCGAACAAGCCATTCCTCAAAGCTAAGGCTCAACGTGAAGCTCATGCTGCACGAGTCGCAGATGACGCGAAGCGTCGAGCTGGACAAAATCCATCTAGCATCCCTTGGGGCACTATCATGCTCGTCTTCATGTTCCTCCCGCTACTTTCTCAGTTCTCGACCGGCTCTTGGACATTCAACCTCTCGCCTCATATCGTCCCTCCGATACAAAAGTACTGGAAGACGAGTCCCTTTAATCCGAACAAGATCAAGTTGAGGCAGTTCACGCCGGAGAGACTCGCAAGGTAAGCGGCTTGTCAAGGTCCTCCGCTATGGGAGTATGTTGATAAATGGAATGGTAGACATGATGGATCAAATCCGAACCTGCCTCTGTATCTCGCCATTGACGGACAAGTCTTTGACGTTTCGTCAAATCGGAGGGTTTACGGACCAGGTGGAAGCTATAATTTCATGTAGGTCGATTATTTCTCGATGACTTCGCGCTCATGTCTCTGATCTTCAGGACGGGCAAGGATGCCAGTAGGGCCTTTATAACAGGCTGCTTCGAAACGCATCAGACTCATGATCTGAGAGGCTTATCAGTAGAAGAGCTCAAGGTGAAGAAGCAATTCAGTGACTCCCCATGCTGAACGCCCTGTCAGGCTTTGGATCACTGGAAATCGTTCTTTGCGGACCACAAGTCATACGCGCTAGTCGGACACGTTCTCAACCCCGACATCGATCCCTCGACACCGATTCCACCACCTTGCGATCAAGACGAACAACCTGGAGGAACTGCACCAGGCTCATCCCATGCGGGTCCACATGGACCGCAGGTCCGACCGGCTCCAGCACAGTCACCTGTCGAGGCCAGACCACAGGCTAAAGGCAAGGCAAAGGGAGAGCTGTAAAGACTACGGGCCATGAATGCTATGCAATGCATGGATCTTGCGATGCGGCTCTATAACTCTGCCTTGACGGATACCTTGGCATCTGTGTCGAGGGGCCAACAGAGGGCTGGCGTGGTTGCGGTGAAGTAGTATTCACACTTCTCAGGCTCAGAAATGGACAAAAGGGCGTTCTGCGTTCCGCATGTGAGGGACACCTGCAAGGGATGAGCGGACGGGCCCGGACGGCAAGGAGACCTCGCTTACCCTGACGCTCCGCTGTGGACCATTCCAGCACTTGGCACTGGAAAGCAGGAAAGTCAGCAATCTATTGGTCGTCCCACATGGACGGACGCACCCGTGCTCATAGTATTGAGTGCTATAGTATTCAAACGAGCCGTGTGTCTCGCCTTGTTCCCACTTTGACCATGTTCTGGGAATCACAATCAGTAGGCGCCCCAAGGCTGAGGGTAGCTCACCCGAGGTGATTGGACGACGAGTCCTTGTTGCTCTTCTGTGACGCTCGTCCAAAGAAGCACAGCTCGTAAGTGTAGCTGGAACTGTAAGCTCCTTGTCGCACCGCATAGACTCACTCTCCAGCGACCTTGTCGATACACGTCCCATCCAACTTTTTCCACTCGCCATCAGGTCCAAATTTGCTCGCCATGTCACCGAGAGTCTGCTGGGCTCCAGAGATCTCATTTCGCCATTTGCTAAGCTCATTACTGAGATTCCTGTGCTTCTCTCTGGCGGCAGAAACGTCTGTGACGAACTCAGAATGCCTCTCGTTATTAAACATGATGAGACTTACGAGGTGCCTCGGCGGAGTTAGATGGGACAGCAGCTGGCTTTGAGGATTTGCGGATCAATCCGAGCTTGATCATCCAGTCAATGGTTAGATCCCTAATCGTTGCCCAATATTCGTATATCGAGTCAGGGATGTATTCGTCAAGCTTGTAGACTACTCTTGAATCAGCTGAGACTAGCTGCGGGGACGGAAATAACCCACGCAGACCTTCATCGCCCTCGTCATCGTCCATATCGAGATCGTCCATCAATAGCAGTCCGTCCAGATCTTTCCTCTCAAGCTCATCCAGCTCATTGTCCTGGATCTCCTCATATACCTCTACAGATGCCTCGGTGTCCCCTTCGATGTCTCCCTCCACGACGTCTGCAGCTTTGGAGAGCTCTTCGAATCCTTTCACTGCTGCCTTGACAGCCATATCCGAGTAATTTGGATTGTAGTTCTTGGATAGTTCGTCCAGGATGTTTCGAAGATCTTTGAGCTCGCTTTCTAGCCGAGCTGTCTTAGTCCTCAACCGACCTAGAGCGAGTCTCTGAGACAGGGTGAAGGCGTAGAGTGCTAGCTATTTAACCACAATCAGGCATGACAGACTTACGAGTACCCTTCTTCCTCTCCAGAGCTTCTCGACTGTTGGTCTCCATGCGTTCAAGATTGACTGAAGCAGTTCCAGCTGGGCCATAATCTTAAGCAGAGAAGCACTTACGCCTAGCGTTTTCGACCTCGACCTCTTTGGCGACAACCTCGGATGACTTGGTTTTGATCAGATCCTCCAGCCTCCTTCTCTCGTTCTGAGCGAATTTGACATAGGTTGAACGAATTTTTGAGCCCTGGGAGGTTGATCAACTTGCGACCAAAGATGCAGCTGAATCATTCTCACCGTCCTTCTTGTCTTATTCTCTGCTTCCAGCTTTTCCCTGTGAGCCCTGCCAATCTCCTCGCATTGGTTAGGGCATGCTCCTGTGGCATACTCGTCGGATCCATCACAGCATTCTGGATCTGCAGGAAGGTCAGAGATGGTCGTATTCCATGTGAGCTTACGTACCACAGAGTCCATCGTTTACCCTGCTCCTCCTGACCTTCCCTGGTACATGACCCTTGTTTTCACACCAAAACAACTGATCCCCTACACCTTCGCAAGCAGATGTGCCAGGTTCGTCTGAACCGTCAGGACAGTCACAATAGTCGTCGTCAAGCGCGGAATAAGGAATAGTCTTTGAGCCATCTAGACATTTGAACGTCCCGGAGGAGTTTGGCTCGTAGTGGCTACGAACTGAAGATCAACTATTAGTCAATGCACTCCAATGAACTGGAAGGAATGTGACGAGGTGGAGCTCACGAGCTGGTTCTAAGCCTCTTCTGATGCCGTTTTCATGCTTTATAGCATCCGCAGAGACTTGTGCTCCGATACAGGAGAGTACGAACAATATGGAAGAGGCTCGCATGATTGCTCTCTCACCACTGTCAGACACACTTGCTTCCTCAAGAACGTTGTAGCGTGGATCATCATGACACGTCCCAACTGACTAACGCCTATCAGGTTGAGCTGGGGGATAGGCGCGTCGGCAAACTATGGACCAAGATCCGAATCATGACTCAAAAATCGGACCGACCTACAATTGTTTTCAGCTTGATTGAACCAATCACAGTCTCTCCATACCAACCATCACATTAGCACTCGGCTGACTTGACTCATCGCTCATCTGGCACGAGTGATCTTCAAGCAACAGGGCGCTCGTCAACATGTCTTTCATGTCTGCTCCAAGGACGATCGCGTCATCTTCTCGATCCTTGCAGATCATCTTGCGTCCAAAGCGCGGCTCGATATACCGTGCACCGATCGACAGGTCTCAGCGGTTAAGCGTCAGCAGAACTTTTGCGACAGAGGCAAAATTTGATCCAGAGGCCATCGAGAGAGATACAGACGAAGTCGATGTGTGTATCGTCGGTGGTGGACCTGCGGGACTATGTGCTGCAATCAGACTGAAGCAGCTGGAGGCTGAGAAGGGAGGCGATGAGCTGAGAGTTGTCGTCTTAGAGAAGGGTGCAGAAGTCGGTCAGTAGGCGTCTGAGTCTTTTGCCAAATATCAAGCTAATCGTGTATCCAGGTGCTCACATTTTGTCTGGAGCCGTCATTCAAACAAAGGCACTGGATGAGCTCATACCCGATTGGAAAGAAAAGGGTGCTCCTCTCAATCAACCCTCCGACGAAGGGAGCATGAGATTTCTCACCGCCAAATCTTCATTCCCCATGCCTCATCCGCCTCAAATGAGCAACAAAGGCAACTACATTGTCTCTTTATCCCGACTCACAGCCTGGCTCGGTGAGCAGGCTGAAGCTCTAGGCGTCGAGGTCTACCCTGGATTCGCTGGCGCTCGTGTTCTTTATACGGAGGATGGTACAGGCGTCAAGGGGGTTTGCACTGGCGATGTCGGTCTTGGCAAAGATGGCCAACCTAAAGACTCTTTTGAACCTGGAATGGAGTTCCACGCCAAGGTCACCTTATTCGCTGAAGGAGCACACGGGAGCTTGTCAAAGCAGGTCCAACAGAAATTCAACTTACGTGATGGAAAAGACCCGCAGACGTATGGATTGGGCATCAAGGAAGTATGGAAAGTCAGAGATGAGGTGTACGAACCTGGAAAGGTTGTTCATACTTTGGGATGGCCACTCGATTTCAAGACATACGGTGGAAGTTGGCTGTATCACATGGAGGACAACATGGTCAGTTTAGGTTTGGTCGTCGGACTGGACTACCAGAACCCATACCTTTCACCATACCGAGAGTTCCAGGTGAGCTTGATATATGATTCCCGAACACTGGCTCATACCGTTCTAGCGCATGAAACACCATCCGTTCTTTGCCAACATACTCGAGGGAGGAGAACGTATAGCGTATGGCGCCAGGGCATTGAACGAAGGAGGGTTCCAGTCAATCCCGAAGCTGCATTTCCCAGGTGGAGCTCTGATCGGTTGCTCGGCCGGGTTCCTGAATGTCCCAAAGGTGAGCAAAGTGCCACGATGTTGCTGATTGCGTCACAGATCAAGGGCACACATAACGCCATGAAGTCGGGAATGCTTGCTGCCGAAGCAGCCTTCAAGCAATTAAGACCAGAGGAGGAAGCAGTGGCCGAATCCATCTCTGAGTCATCTGCCGTTAACATGTCAGGCTACGAAGATGCCATCAAAGATTCTTGGGTGTGGTCAGAGCTCAAAGAGGTCCGAAATCTTCGACCGTCGTTCCATAACCCTCTCGGACTCTGGGGAGGTATGGCTTATTCCGGCCTCGACAGCATGTTCCTCAAGGGTCGCGTCCCTTGGACCTTCCACCATCCTACTGAGGATTACGCCGCGACGAAGCGGGCAAGGTGAGTTGGCAGCACCCGGCCCTTAAGATAGCTGACAAACTGCCAGCGAATGCGAGCCGATTGACTATCCTGCACCTGATGGCAAGCTCTCTTTCGATATACTCACCAGTGTCTCTTTGACGGGAACGAACCACGCCGAAGGGCAGCCCTCACATCTGAAGCTTCCTGACGAGCAAGGCGCGAGAGAGAGGCACACCGCGGCCAACGTTGGAGGTGAGCGCACGTTTGCCTCGAGGTGGGACATCAGCTGATGACCCCTACCAGAATACGCCGGTCTTCTAGGGCGCGCATGTCCCGCTGCCGTATACGAATACACGGATGCGGAGGGTGCGGACGCAGATGCCGAGGGCAAGAAGTTTGTCATCAATTCACAGGTGAGCACTGTGCTATCGTGGAGTGACGTGTGCTGATCATATCGCTCAGAATTGTATCCATGTAGGTCCATGCCGGTTAAGCTTGAGGATAGTACTGATCATCTATTAGTGCAAGACATGTTCAATCAAGACACCAACGCAAGATATCACTTGGACCGTGCCAGAGGGCGGTGGAGGTCCCAAGTACAGTGAGTACAGCGCGACAAGACTTTAGCGAACGAACTGACTTGTTATCAGGCATCACTTAAGGGGTGCAATCCTCTTTGACGGCATATACTTGCCAGGCCGCTTCCATATGCATCGGCGATTGTCAAGATTGCCCATTGGCATGGACTGATGGATGTTGGCCTGCGAACTTACGAGAAGAAGACTCTCACTAACTGATATGTCCTTTCGATTCCTTTCATCTGCATCCGAGAGGCCGAGCGTCGGTACTCCTTCCAAGTGGACATGAAACGCTTGAGTCCACGGCCTTCCTTTGTCCAATGCGTGGATACGTTTGAACAAGGCAAGCCCAAGGTGTCAAGATGCTTCGACTTCACGCTTGTTTAATATGTCTCCTTGATCGACAGTACTGACTGCTAAGCCTCATCGGTCTGATTTTTGTCTTTGTCCATTGCTTACTCGGCAGATAGATCTTCATCTTCTCCTTTCATCATCATTTACCCCACAATCACCACCACGTCCAGCTCCCCAGCAAAGATAGCTGAGGAGAGGAGAGTTTCAGGATCTCCATGATCTACCTCGATCGTCCGTCTCCGCCTCCTCGAACAGACGAGGCATTCTTCCTTTCTTGGAGTCCTGAGCTGTGTCGGATCCGGTATCGCTGTATATGAGGAGGATCTTCTAGTTTCCTTCGCAAACTCTGGGACGCCCATTCCTTTCTTCATTGTCAATAACTTTGTTCCAATTTTGCTTGCTTTCGTTGTCCTGGCCCCGTGGCATCTCGCATTTGCATTCAAGAGCATCGCCAGGGCTGCAGGTCCAGCTCGCCGGCACTCAACCTTATATCCACTCTGGCTATCACCTCGGTACGCCTAAGTGGCCCTCCTTTCATCGCTTGAAAATCCGATTGCAGCAAGGTCTTCCCTCACCTCCCGGCTACCTCAATTCCCCTCCATCATCCCCGACACTTCCCTAGCTGCCGCCGCGTTGCCGACCATGTTCGCAGCTGCCCAACCCATGGGTCACTTCTCCCTCCAGCACATGAAGATGGCGGGCATGACTCTGGCGACGGTTCAAATGGAGCTGGAGAAACACAAAATGATGCCAGTGGTGCTGATCGAAGCGTATCTAGACGTCTTGAACAAGTGAGTTTATGCAATCATCTGAGAAACAGCTGCACTCCAGCTAATCATGAGGTCTAGATTAGTGGAACCACTCGCCATCGTCCAAGGAATGATGGGTCTCAGAACTTGGCTTGGTGAAGTCCAAGTACTCATCGCAAAGCTCAAGCAGAGGGTTTTCAGCGGTATGCCCCTGTGAGCAGCTTTTGCGTCTGAAATCTCAAGGCTACTACTGTGTAGCTTACGCAGCGTCTTGATAGGAATATGAGAGAACGCACAGTTATCACCTGGTATTCCGCTCGGTGGAGAGAGCTGAGAGGAGGAGCGGTGAGTGACGGCTCTCCATGCTAGCTCACCATTTGATCAGTGTGATATGGGCAGGCCAGAGGCACAGATTGTTCTGATGTCCCTTGGCGAGATTGCCATGTACTGAGGCGTACTGTGGTGTCACAAATCACCCCATTCCAATCCCACGGCACTGCATGATCTACACTCCTCAAGCCTGGAGCTACATACCTGGCAGCGCTTTCATAGCATAGCATCCAAGTCCCCTTGTTGTACGCATCTAGATGCATTGACTCTTGTTCACTCTACAGTATTGCTCTAACATCTTCCGCCACGCCACTTTCGAAGCAGCTGTTTTTGCCACTTGAAATTGAGGAAAGCACACTTCTTTCTCGCCATTCAACTCATTCCTCTTGACATTCAACGAGCTCTTCAAGACATGCTCCTCGCAAACTATGGTTCGGATTCCGGATCAGATTCTGAATCAGAAGCTGGTCCATCGAAAGTTGTCCGAAATTCTCAACCTGCGAAAGTTCCCGTGACTGTCAAAGCCTCCCCTGCTCCTTCGAAACCCGTTGTTAAAGGCAAGAGCAAAGGTCCGATCAAAATCACCTTGGATCTACCCAAGGCTAATGCGATAGGCGGGACAGATGTAGAGGATGAGGATGACGGTTTATCACGTCAACGCGGGAGAGTCAGTCCGGACGACGAGGGTAGAGAAGTGAAGAAGCCAAAGATTCAAGGAAAGGGAAGGTTAGCCGGATGCGCGCTGTCACATGGATATCAAGCTGACACGCTTTGTAGTTCTGCATTACTTGGAATGCTGCCCCCTCCGAAGAGAAAGATCTTACCGAAGGTAGAAGGCAAATCTAGTCTATCAGTCAACAAATCCATGGCCGTGAACAGGCCTCCGCCACCTCCTGGAATGGAGGATCTCGACTTGTCTGGCTTTGCAAAGGAAGATGACGGAGATGCTCATGGACCCGCGCCAAAGTCTGGATTCTTGTTACCTTCCTCTATTGCGAGAGGGAAAGCAAAGGCGGAGAAGGAGAAGGAGAAGGCCCCAGAACCAGTCGTGGATCTTTTCGGCCTGAGTGAGTCATGGCAGAAGGTATAATACATTGACTATACTTCCAGGCGAGCCCTCAGTCTCCTCTTCGACACCCTCCATAGCCACCACTTTCCTTATCACTTCAGCTCCGAGTGTCCCTGACTTTGTACCTCCTGAACCGACTCTTAACGATCCATATCCAGGATACTATCAACTTCCCTCTGGCCAATGGGCAGCGTACGACGAGGAATACTACACCTCATTCTTCTCCAAGGAGGGCGGAGAAAAACACAGACTACAAGGAGACAGAAGAGAGGACGATGGGCAAGTCGGAAAACACTGGGACGAATACAATTCCAGAGGTGCCGATGTTCTTGAGATCGATGTCGCTCAAGGTTTGGCGGAGGGCAGGGCAGAACAAGCCAGATTGGAGCAGCTCCAGAAACCCAAGACGGGCGATGATTTCGAGTACAAGGTCAGCTTCCTCCTTGAAGACGCATTGTTGACGTTCTTATAGGGATCGGTGGAAAAGACAAAGGGCCTCGCTGCGCAGCGTCATCAACTTACATCACTGCTCAGTACGGCTTACTCGCAGAGGCAGGAGGTGAGAGGCATCCTTGGCGGTCATCCCACTGACGCATGCTACAGCTGGAAGATCGGATCGCGGCGAATCAAAAGAGCATGCGGGCCGCGCGATCAAAGTATGGTGAGGGCATTTGTGATGGCTCTTGCTGACGCACTCGACAGGTTTCTAAACCTGTTGTCGCTTGAATCGTATACAATGTATTTCATTTTCCCCGTGATCCCGGATTGACACACTTTGACCCTTTTGGCTATCGCTACTACAAATTGATTGTGAAAAGAACTACATTCGATCCATTTCGAATCCTGCACGCTCCTTGACGACTCCCCATATCCTCTTTCTTGCCCTTGCCACATCCGCCACTCGATCCCTAGCCTCTTCTAATCGCTCCTTGTATTCCATACAATCGGCCAACAGCTCTGCAACTCGTTCCAGCGCATCGTCCACAGCTCGACATTGTGCAGCCATGTCAAGATTGTACTTGATAGTCCTCGGTCGACCAGGATGGGAGGCCGAAAAAGCCATACCTGGTGCGTTCGCAGCCGGTTCAGCCATGATGGTAATACCGTCAGGACAGGTGAATAGTCTTTGAACGGGCGTGGCAGTGACGATGGGTTCAGGCACTCCATTGACTGGCGCTGCGGTACCCGGTTTCGTCGCGGCGTATTTGATAGTCGGTGCAGGGACAGCCATGAGCAGTTCTTGTGTGACCCGCCAGAGATTGTCTACGTCTGTGACGTGAGGTAGAGGTGGGATCTGTTCGTTTCGATCCGGAGCAGCAACGCTCGCTGCTCTCGACGAGGATGAGGGTCCGGCGATAGCATTGTTGGACGTCTCGTCACTATCGACCTCTACCTCTGAATGACCATTCGGTTGTTCGTGATTGCTATTACTCTCTGCGACCTTGGCTACTTGAACATCTCTGTCTCTCAGGCGGAGGATCTCTCGTAGACGTCCACAAGCCTGCATGAGACCCTTTTCACCTTCGAGCAGCTCCTGAGTCGTTCCCTGTAGACCATTTTCGACCGTATCATCCTCGAGTGAATGGCGCATGGCCGGGCTGAGCATAATATCGACGTAGCTCTGAGGCAAAGCGAGCATCGGGGCGAGTTTCCCCGTTGATAATGGCGGACTTGGACTTTTGAGATGAGGCAGGACCCATTCAGAATCCTCCTCGCGTTTCCGTTTTCTCTTTTCTCTCCTGGTCTCCGCTCGCAGAATGTTTGCTGGCGGAGCTACGCCGACTTCGGCCGCTGCTTCTGGGAGGAAACACTCCATACACGCTTTCATCCGTTTCCGAACTCGATAGTCAACTTTGACGGCTTCGTAAGATGGTGCCCAGGCGTACATTTTCCCACGACGAGCGAATCTAGATGAGATGATCTTCTTTTTACCGGAATTTGATGGGACATTGTCGGCAAAAGGGAGGTCGGATGCTGAGCTGCTGGTAGATGATGAGGATGGAGATGCAGGGGAATCATAGTAGGTGTGCTGATCCATGGATGGGAGAGGTCTGGAGCAAGGATAAGCTGAGACCTGAAGGTCGTTGCGCGCTCACTCACAACAGCGTTTTCGGATCGACGGGCTTGTTCGCGTCTCTCGGACGACCCGAGGTTCGATAGTGGAAGGATTGAGGGTTTTGAGTTTGAGGGTACCATTTTGGAGTCGGCATGATGGACCAGGTGCAGCGCGGCGCGGGGTCTAGGCGCCTGGGGCTCTTGTTAGCTCGTGGAACGCGTTTTGGAGCCCGAAATGACACGCCAAATGAAGAGGGGGGGGGGGGGGGGGGGGCGAAATTTCAGTCACAAAGGGTTGTAGTCTGTCTCCTGCGAGCAGGAATCCTACATATGCTTGTCTATTGTGTTTTGATATAATCATTAAAGGGATTAAAGGGATGGGGGATAGAAGAGAATGGATGCGTATGAAGGCACAACACTCACTTGTTAGATCGGCTACGGATCGCTGGGAATGACGTTTGATTTGCCCTGTCTTAAAGGCATCAGTACAAATCAAGGCGGCACGGACATGTAGAGCGAATTGATAGTACTATCAGCAGCTATAGGCTATAGGTTGTCGTCTGCGTTGCGTGAATCCCTGAGGGCAGCAACTCCAACGAGCGATTCTGAAAATGGAAATCCTCTAGGTAGTGGAAAAGGAGGGGGTTTTGGCGAAGTGAAGAGGTGCAACACTCACACGATGTTCTACATGTGCCAGACAGAGCCAAGAGACGCCCTTTCTCAATTGCACCACTTGGGTTGCTGCGAGACCACTGGCGGGCTTGAGTTGACGCTTCAGTGAGAAGGTGCGAGTCAAGAGATAGAGTGACGAAGAAGCACAATGAACAACAGGCAGTTTGCCAAATGTGGGGTCTCCAGACTACTATTGATCCTTCTAATTGCCGATGACAATTCACCGAGTGTGGCACACGAGGCTATTGGGACATGCATGTGTGGCTCCCACTTTGTACCTGGTTTGACATGAACGGTATAGAAACAATATTGAAATATCCAGAGACGCTGACTCCCTCGTCCTTCTCTAACACGGCTTGGCCCAAGTCTTGGTGTTTTGCTGGCAAAACGTCAGCCAAACGTAGTCATCACTAGGCATAGCACCACTTACCGATGCGTGGTCTTTGTCGATACCATCTGACCTGTCCTCTGATCCAGGACCAGTGCTTCGCCTGACCTTGTTGGCAGTAGACATGGAGAGAGAAGGACCCTGGTCCGAGAGGAGCTGCTCAGTCCTAAGGCTGGCTCAGCAGAGTTCAACATGAGCCAAGACTTACACTTGCACAATGTCCTCGATCAGCTTTCGGGCCAAATCACCCGAGAGGGACTCTCGAACAACGACTCGGAGAATCTCCGTGTCATCGCACGAGGGCGGAAGAGGGTAGCTGACGGATTATGAGTATTAATGCGACCAATGTGACCCACTTTGGTACAATCCAGCCTAGACCTCGAAGTTGCAACTGGATCCAAGATTGCTTGATACCAGGGTTTTCAGCCTTGAACTGGTCGCTGAATCGGAACGACACGACGGGCAGACCCTCGAGGTAGTGTTCAGGCCCATCAATAGCTGGGGTCTTCTTTTCGACGTGACCAATGACTTGAGAAATCTTTTCTCCAACGCTCTGGCTAGGGGCGGCCTTGGGGATGTGAACGTTGGACACGCAAGTGTACCAGCCGGTACCTTCGAGAGCTCGAGAGATGAGACGAGCCTTGGACAAGTTGTTGACCATGATCCGGCGGTAACCATCGAAACCAAGGTTCAAGACTGTACGGTGGGATCAACGGAGTGATATGTATGGTACTTACAGTTGAACATTTGGGCGAGGATAGGGTGCGCAGGTCGACTGAAGTTGAGGTTGAATGAGTAGTCGGTCTGTCAAATATCAGCGTTGAATTTTGCCGAGTCTTTGGCTCACCGCTCCGAGGTAGTGAAGCTCAAAGATGAGCTCCTTGGGAAGGTAGTCGGCACCACGCCAGATGATCCAACCGACACCGACAGTGCTCATGCCGTACTTGTGTCCAGAGGTATTGATACTGGACAATGATCAGACTACAATCACTGCAAAGGTCTCACCTGTGAACCCTGGGGAGCTTAAAGTCCCAAGTCAAGTGGGGGTAAACGAATGGCCTGAAATTCTTTGTGTCAGGAGACCTTTTGTCGAGAGGTTAAAAAACACCTGCACTCACGCCACGAATCCACCGGAGGCAGCATCGACATGGATGGGCACATAGTTGCCCGTCTCGGCCTCGTACTTGTCCAACTCGTCAGACATCTCCTGGACAGATTCAAACGTTCCAGTGTAGGTGGATCCCATGATACTGACAGATAATTGAGTATGAGCGAGCTGGCTTCCGGAGTGCAGCAAACTTGTCACTCACACAAAGATACCGATGGTATTCTCATCCACGTACTTCATGGCGTCCTTGGCAGACATGGCATAGTTGCTTTCCTTGGTGACGGGGACGAGTCTAGCTTCGACTTCGAAGTACCTGGCGAACTTTTCAAGAGCGACTTGAGCTTCGGCACCCATGACGATGTTGGGACCAGGGTTGTGAATGTCTTTACCCTTGGCCTTCATTCTCTCTTGCCATTTTCGCTTGAGAGCCATTCCTCCAAGCATGATAGCTTCGGAAGATCCAGTGGTGGCCGTTCCCATGGCCTTGTTCTCGGGTGGAGCGTGCCACAAGTGAGAGATCATCGACTAGGCGGGGGCGGTCTTAGCGATACCTCGCTAAGCATGGCGTGGTTGGGCTCACAACGCATCTCTCGTGGATTTCTTGGGCAGCAGGGTACTCGTCTTGGTCGACAAGATTCTAAACAGGCATTAGGCGGACTAGAATCATCACAGATGTTCCCTCACCTTGTTGAGGTTTTCCATCATGAGTGTTCTAGCCTCATCAGGTGCCCACGTGTTGACGAATCTGTTTCATCAGAGATCTGAATGAAAATGTCATCGAAGAGGCTCACGAAGCAAGATTCATGCTGGGGTTCCCATCTAGATTTTTCGTATCGTCAGTCTCAACCCTCTCTATAAGCCTCTAGGGACTCTCACCCAACATCAACTCGTCATGGAGGATCTGGTAGACGACCTTTCCATCCGCACCCTTGTCAGGCAGGCGGTATTTGGGCAACTCGGTCTCCACATCGTACCTCGACAAGAATGGGTTGTCGTGGAGGTCGTGTCTGTCAAACATACGTCAGTCCACGTCTTCCCGCAGTTCCCCTTCTCGGTCGCATCTCCTCACTCACCTGGCGGAAGTGTGCTTGTGCGCAGGGTGATCCCTTGAAGCTGCAATGAGCTTGTCAGCGTCTACGTGTCGACCCAATGCCATGGTGCGGGTGGAGATGAGATGAGATATGTGCCGTGGGCGTGGAGAAGAAGAGAAGAGGACCGATGTGTGTATTCTTTATATAGCCAACCAATTCACCAAAAGTCATAAGGAGCCAACGTTTGCTTTCTGGCCCTCCTGGCCTGTGCTTCGTTACGTCACTGCAAATCCGCGGTTCCGTCCCTATTTTTAGAGACGACGTGGATTCAAATTCATCGGCCAGGCACATCACACACACACACCGGGAGGCCAACGTGGCAAGTTGGATTGGATGTGCGCATTGCATGGATGGGGCATATTTGCAGCTCACAGCTCGATGTATGAAAGTGGGCGGGGAGGACAGTGGTATGGGTCGGGCTACACCAACTCATCCCTCGCCTTTCGCAGTGTCACAGTCTCTGTCTGTCTGCTATTGAGATTTGGATCTGGTATCAAGCCACAAAGGACCCCTCCCGATGATGGCATAGACCACGAGGGCAGAAATAGCTACGGTGATGGTGGATCAGAATTCGGGGCTTTTTTTCCACCCAGCTCCCATCTGTGGTGGCGAGGGGGCGGGGTGAAGGCAGCGGGGAGCGAGGGCTGGGGATCAGCAGCAGCTGATGTGCCTGAGTCAACTCGCTCCGTTCACACACGAAAGAGAGGAGAGCCAGCTCTTGGAATCGATCACGATCCTCGTGGTTCCTGGGATAGGCGATTCCAGGTTGACTCGATCATGTGTCGGTGGTATGCAATGACCGATTTTGCAATACAGTGGCAGGTCACTCTCTCGATAGCAATAGGGTGATCCTCTCACTCTCGTCAGACCCATCGAGCTCTGAGAATCCCTTCGTTGAATTGTCGCCTGCGAGGCCAACAGCGAAACAGCTGTACCATGATGATGACGGAAGCAAAACGTCGTTTCGAAACCCGCACCTCCACAAGTGAGCCGGCCATGCAGGTTCAACCTAGCAAATGAGCGTGATGTCGGATCTATTCTGAGGTGACATTGTGCGCAACCTTGACAGACTCATTTCAAAGGACTACTTATCATGGCAGCCTTCCCTCAGACGTTCACCTCTACAGTGTCGCACTGGCAAGCCACAGTACGGTACAATCGCAATCTCGCAGCATCGCTGACTTGTCGTCTTCAGAATCGCGGTCCAGATGCACTATATGGGCACGGTAAGACAGATTCCCTTCCGACAGGGGTTGTGGACTATGTGATCATTGGCGCTGGACTTTCTGGTGAGCTGACAGTCTCACATTGAGATCCGGCTCACGCTGTCCAGGTGCCAGTCTCGCTTATCACCTCTCCAGACCTGGTGTATGTGACGACAAGCGGATCGTCGTTTTGGAGGGCAAAGATGTGGCATCAGGAGCCAGTGAGTTGTACCGTCCATCCTGAAGTTGACGTTAATGCAAGCTGGACGAAATGGAGGACACATTGCCCCTTATTCCTTCGCTTCTCTTTCCGGTTTTACCCGTCCATTGGAGGCTGGAGGAAGTGGACTAACGATGGACGATGCGCTCGATATAATGAAGATGGAAGTCAGAAATCTGGACCTAGTCACGGAGATTGTCATGCGCGAGAAATGGGACGTGGACCTGTGGAGAGGCGAAAAGCTAGAAGGTGCGTCCAATACCCACCATTGCGGCTCACATCACAGTGGTCGATACCCTTGAAGAGAAGGAGGTGATGGACACATCCTATGAAGTATGGATCGAGGCATTGAAAACACGGCGTGACGTCCCAGATTGGGACTGGGTGACGGATGAGGCAGAGGCAAATCGAGTGAGTTTGTCAGTCGGACACAGTAGGGGAAATTGATCGACACCAGGTATCCCGACATCCCAAGGCCATAGCATTCTCAAGGGGCAAAGCAGGGTCGGTCCATTCGCACAAGCTCTGTACGGCATTCATGAAGAGCGCCTTGGCTTCGGGCCGAGTGGACCTGTTCTCATGGTGTCCAGTGCAAAGTATCGACAAAGGACCTAACGAAGGTTGGAACGTCCAATGTCATGAACGAGGTGTCGTCCGTGCCAACGAGGTGATAGTATGCACCAACGGATACACTCGTAATCTATTCAAGAATCACCCAATCTCGGACCAGTGAGTTGATGCCCTCCTTCACCCTCTGGCATGTTCTTCTCACACACTCAGCTTATCACCGTACCGTGGACACGCAACGCAGGTCACTCCGACCCTGCCTTACTCTGGCCCAGGAGCTCTGAAACACACACTATGTATCGAGAACGGACCTTATCTCATCTTCACTCCCTCATCAGGATGGGTCTTTGGTGTCGGATACGCCGATATAATCCGACAGAAAGCGGGCACCCATGACGATGTCATGGGAGCAACGGATGATGGTATCGTACCGGAGGGGATCAAGCAGTGTACGTCAGCCTAAATGACCACGCTGATGCCCGATGGCAGGGCTCGCATCGTACTGTAAGGAGGAGTTCGAGGGCTGGGGCGAGGAGGCTCCCGGAGAAGGAGCCCAGCGGTTCTGGAGTGGCATCCAATGTGCGTCAAGAGATAGATTACCGCTTGTTGGGCAGGTTCCCGGCTCACCGGGCCTGTGGGTCAATGTGGGGCATCACGGTGAGTGGCCCGGCGCGACATTGACTGTCAGCGAAGAGGCAGTGGGCGTATGGGAGCCATCAGATCCGGTCATGACCTGACGTCCACTGACCCCACGTCACTCAGGTCACGGGATGGGCCGAATCACATTCATCAACAAGTGCTTGGCTCATACCTTGCTGACCGGCAAATGGCACTCAATGTTACCGAAGTGCTTGGAGATCACGGAGGAGAGGTTGGAGAGGGCGAAGGTGAGGTCCACATGTGCCGTGGCATTGTACGGAGCGGACTCGAGTTTGTGAGTCCATGCTTTGCGATGCATGGCTGTACGGGAGCATTTCAGCTACGTTTGCGGAACGATGTATTCTGGCTTCGATGGAGTATTCGCTGTCAGACCGATGCAGAATCATTTAATCGTCTAGGCATTCTTCTCCCGTCCAACAATGTCGCTCTGGGACGTTCATTGTTTCCAGCTCTTGGCGACATCCGCCAAAGATACCTTCTCAAAACCTTTGACATTGAATTCCGGCTCATAGTTCCATTTATCATTCGTCCAAGCTCGACGATAGGCAGCTGAACCGGGACCGATCGGAGGGTTGCTCTTGAGTGCACTCGCATCGGCGTCGGTATAGTCTTTGACGGTAGGTTTTGAGCCATTCACTTGAGTGAGGGCGTCGATCACTTCATCTCCCAATGGCCAATGATCGACCAGCGTGAACGCTTTGTCTTTGAGTGATTCCGGGGATTGCAATACGATCTGAGCGATACCTTCGGCGAGGTAGGGAATGGTACTGGGCGAGAAAAGGGGGTGCGTCAGTCAGGAAAGCACAGGACGTATTATTAACTCACGTTATGGGGATCTTGTGTTTGAGCTGAGCTTCGTTCGCTTGGACAGTGTTAGTGTTGACGTTTGTGCCTACAAATCTGCGAACGGGACGAAGAGAGTCAGTGGTGCGCTACGCTCCCTCGCACGCTCGCTCGCTCGCTCACTCACCCAAGGGCAAAGAACATTTGATCAAAGATTCCGGTGTTGACCATGGTCGTCGAGATGCCTAATTCCGTCGCTCGTGTCTTGGGAGCTATACGAGTTTCAAATATCTTAGCCTGGATAGGGTTATCGGCCAAGTCTTCAGGGATCCACGAATGACCATAATACGCTGGGATGAGGGTGACAAAGTCGGGAGATTTGGCAAGAGCATTGACGAGTGGGACTTGGAGTGGGACTTGCATAGGGCCGAGGGCAGAACTAACGGAAGAAGATGAGCTATGTCAGCTCGATCTAGCGTGAAGAGGTAAAAACAGCCAGACTCACACAATGACATTGAGACCTTTGATGGCCGGTGCGATATCGTCTACCTCTTTCTCCAATTCAATTTCCCTCACGTTGACAGAGTCTGGGACTTGAGCTTTGGGAGGTGATCCAGGTCGATGAAGGAGGACAAGAGCAATCTTGCCTTCATTGTGATACTTGAGAAGGGCAGATACGACAGCAGATCCCACACGTCCATTGGGAGCGAGGACTCCGACGGTATGAGTTGACATGGTTCGATAGTGGGCGAGATGAGTCAAGCGAGGTGGAGCAAGGAGAGATGATCTGATGTAGGCTGTTGACACGAGATGGTTCCTGAGAATGGACTGGGATGATGTGATGGAATGTTTCAAGATCATGTCCCGCAGGATGCCTCTTTATAATGATTTTCCATGCAGCTCCAATATATACATTTTTTTGCTGCCCTCCACCCGCCATCACGAGATCCATAATAGAGATAGATCTGTGTGTCACCTGATCAAATGCCGTTCCCTCGGCCGGCCATCTTCCCCCCCTCCCTCGGCACTCGGTACTCGGTCGTTGTTTGATTTAAGCCGGCGGGCAAGCATGCGAATGGCGATCATGGAATGGACGTATCGAAACGGTCGTGGCCTGTAAATGGTATCAAACTGAGTGTCCCAGGTCTTGTGGACCAGCCAGAACATGGGTGGTAGACTAATGCCATGTCCCCTCCGAGAGCGAAGACACATCTGATCGCTCTCAAGCCCTTTGTGAGGAAAATCCAGTCCACTTGAATTTAATCGGCACATCTCGGCCAATCTGCCAGCGAAGAAACGCAGCTGATTTCCCTGGCTGGTCAATCTACTCGGCTCCCTAGACCCTCTCCCAGGTCCGTCCCTACACTACCAGACGGCCTAGACCTAAACCGATCATGACTGGCCTCACACGTCAGTCATCTGGCCCGACATCGACAGGTCCCTGTAGGAACGCACCGATTCCAATGGCTACCGTGAATTGCGCACTTCTAGGAGCGCCCCTCGGGCGAACCTTGGCAAATGCACCTTGGTCATAGCCTTGGTAGATCGCGTAAGAACCTATCCCGGTGAACGTCGCTGCGCCTGTGAGACGACATGCGCTGAACGGTGCCAGTCAGATCAGAACGAATCGTATTCGCAGAGTACAGATGATTACTCACGTGCAGTCTTTCCATTCTGGTTGCTTCTGACCATGATCATCGGAGGTAGACATACTGGGGGACGTCTCATTGGAGGAGGTGGTCGCTGCTGAGCTGGATTGACTGATCGCTCCGGAGCTCATTATGAGCGGATAGCAATCTTTCAGGAGATGCGCCTTGCAAGGCAGCAAATCCTTTGGTCTCGCGAAATTTTGCTTCCGCTGTACGTCACTTGAAAATACCGGATGCAAATGTGGTCGTTGCCGCCCTCATGGCAGCCGTTGTTTGGTCCTGAATCGACGTTCAGCCTGAACATCTTTGCGATAATCAACACCTAGGGATGTGATCGCCACAGAACCGCCCTCGACGACTGCAATCTCGATGCAAACACTCGCCCGCCCGCGATGAAGCTCGATCGGCCCAACCTCTTCACCCTTGCCATCCTGTCGAATGTATCCGCCGCTCTGTTGACTGGTCGCCTCTCAGATTCTGACACAAGCTCTGGAAGATCTCCTTGGCCCTGGCCTGGTACGTCTGACCCTCAACCCGACCTTCCTGGCAGATACGTCTCCTTCCAGGACCTACACCGCTGTCCAAGTCTGACACCGAAAGATGATACTCCCTCATCGGCTAAAGACGTGTAAGCGGAGCGAATCGAAGCCCGGCTAGCTGGAGGCTGACTCCAGTTCTTAGACGCCCTGACGATATCAAAGTCATCATGGCCATTGGAGACTCCATTACCGTTGGATTTCTGGCCAGACCAACAAGTTCATCATCATCCATCCTGTCTATCAAAGAATGGAGAGGGTTGTCGTACCCTATAGGAGGAGACGAAGGGGCCATCACACTGCCTAATATCCTTTCAAGGTGGTCGTTAACGACCGGGCAATCGCACAGCTACATCTTTGACTCGAGACCAAAAGCGAACACACAGCATCCACTCGGTGTCCCGCCGGTCCCACCAAGTGTATCGGCCACATCCAACTGGCAGGACGACCTCTGGACATCGTACAAAGGGCTCAATGGGGCTGTCAGTGGCAGTACGAGCCTGTCACTCTACTCTCAAGTCAGGGGTGAGTCTTGGTCCCCGAGCCCACCGATATCCATATTTGTATTCTAACCCGCTCAGGGCAGACTACATCCTTCCTCGATTATCGAAAATGAATGTTTCAGACACAGAGTGGAAGTTTGTCAATGTGGGCATTGGAGCCAATGATATCGTAGGTTGAAGGACTCAGCGGCTCATCAGGATGAACTGATCACCATCCAGTGCGCTTTCTGCCTCGCCCGTGAGTCCTTAAAAGCTCCGTTTGCCTAACACGTCCTAGCCAATTCCACTTTACCGCTAGTCGGTTCACCGGAAGAATTTGCAGAGGGGATTAAAGATGCAGTGGATCTGCTACGGAAACATGTTCGTGAGTTGTCGATCTCAACTCTTCGTCTCATCGTCTGACCGTATCCTCCTAGCTCGCCTGATCGTCAACATCAGTACGTATATTTCCGCCGTCGTGTCCCTGTCACCATCTCGCTGACTGCTCCCAGTTGGCCTATTCAAAGTATCGTCGCTGTACGCATTGACTCTGAAGAACCCTTACTGGCGAGTTGCATTCTTGACCCGATCGCACAGGGGACCTGCAGCTGATAATCTTTCTAGCAAATCCATATTTCTCCCCCCGGCACTACCTCATCTCCCGTTGGAATGCAACTGTGCGCTCTTACCTGGCCCCGTCGGTGACTATACCCGACGCAGGATGGACGATATGAGTGAAGCATACGATTCAGCCGTCCTACAAGTCATCAAGGATTGGCAACAGGAAAGTGATAGAGAATTTGGAGTCATGTGGTGAGAGCCGTTGCCTGTGTCCTTTCCGTTTTACCCTAAGACTTGCTCTCTAGGCAACCGGGCTCCTTTATCGACCTTGAATCTTGGCCAATCGAGGCTCTATCACCTATCGACTGTTTTCATCCTTCTGAAGCGGCTCATCAACGTGTCGCAGCAGGTCTATGGAACAGGCTGACAATGGGTCTGGTGAGCTGAACTCGGTGGGTAAGTCCTCATGCTGACTCGTTGTGCAGGAGACTAAATCACGTCCTATACGATGGACGGAAGAGGTGTCTGTGAGATGTTTAGAAGATGACGATCGGTTTGGACTGGGCATTTAGCACTCTGTAGTTGTAATATTCTGTCATTGTTGTATGTAAATGTCGTACCATTGAATGAATCACAAAGACGACGGCGTAAACGCTGGATCACTGGCGATCGTTGACGAACAGACGCAACTCCTCTGGCGCGTACATCCTCTGTTCATCGATCACCCATCCACGTCATGCGCAGCGGCGTCACATCGATACTGGGTACACCCGCTGCCCGATCGCATCATCCTACTATCACGTCCCCACACCCAAGGTTTCGGCCGAAAGGCTGACTCCTTCTGCTCCTCCTCCTCTTCCTCCTCCTCCTCCCCGGCCTCCTCCACCTCCTCTTCTCTCTCCTCTGAGTCCGAGAATGCTCGAGGGGCCGCCTCCAGTCTGCTCTGCGTTGTCACAGCGTCTTATTTGCTCGACCGGCGCACAAACTGCTCGAATGAGAATGCATCTTTGTATATAGGACCATTCGAGAAGGATTCAACTGGCATGCATCATACCCGGAGGACACCATTGCCCCGGAAGCAACCCTATTGCTGCTGCTGCTGCGAGTCACACTTTACTCATCCGCTGCACAGCACCCCGCCGCAGCGCAAGCAACGAACGCATACGTGAGTGTAAAAATAATCGAGAAATTACAAAAAACATTGGAGGAGTGAAGAGTGGCAGGCACCACGAGAGAGAGTGGTGTCGCTCCACTCACGGGAAGGCCTCTCATTTTCTGGCTGGCTGGCCATTCCTCGTTGATCTTTTGCACTTCAATCACACACACACACTTCGTGACAAGATGAAAGGACTCGACGATGGAGATTCGTCGACTGACTCTCTGTTACCAAAGTACACGGATGAGAAAAAACTAGAAGACGTCGAGAGTCGACCTGCTAGCCCTCTGCTCGCTCCCGCCGCTGCGCAGGCGAATGGAGCTCTCGGTGGTCCCGCGACGACCCCTAGACGAAAAAATGCTCCATGGATGTTCAAAGCCATCATGTTCTGGTTCAGTCTCTGGGCAGGACTTCACGTCCTACGACGATTATCTGGTCCCAAGCACGAAGAACATGCCCATGGTTTTTGGCCATCCCCAGGTGATTTTTTGATCGTCGAACCCCAGGAAATGGAGTTCGATGTCGAGTTCTCGGAAATCCCTCGATTGGCTTATAAGGCTGACTTGGTGAGTCTCAATGTTCGAAAAGAACAATCCCTTGATGACTGACCCTCCATGTCCCTCTCGCAGATCGAAAGCCATGAATCGCCTTACTTCCGGATGGAGGAGGAGTTTGAAGTCGGGTACCACGCCCGAAGTGTGATGGTCTTCAAGGATTTGTCGAATCATGTCGGTCGTCGACACGCCCAAGGCAAGGCACTCGTCTTTGACATGCCTTCGGAGATTCCTGCTCAATTAGTCATCTCCAAGGACGACGTGGCATTCCCCACGGTCGTCATTGAGACTGATCAGGAAGAAGAGACGTTTGATGCTATCAAGTTTGATGAGGGATTCTCGACGTACACCATTCATGTGCCGGTGAGTTCCCCTCCAGCCCCTCGTCCTCGTCGTCGTGGTCTAGTTTCTCTTGCTTATTTCCGGCTCCGGGCCCCTTCCAGGAAGAAGCATTCGCCCACCTCATCAAGCTGAAACTCCCTCTCGAATTCGACCGGATCCCTCGCCTCGTGATCGATGACGAATCCTACGTGCCTATTCTGCTTGATGAGTCCGCGGCGGGTCTCCCCTTCTCTTCCTTGTCCATTCAATCGAGCGAGATCGACGAAGATGCTGTCCGAGGGCTCAACGCTGAGATCATCGACATTCACGTCACGAACGGTGATATCAAAGGTACCTTCAACATCACTAGAGGTATCAACCTCCATACCGTGACGGGAAACATTGATGCCGAGGTGATCGTATCGAGACATGCGAGATGTCACGGCAATCATTCAGAAGAGCACGAGAGGCCTCACCGTCCTCACCGTCGACATCACGACGACAACGACGTCGATGAGGAGGAGGAGGACCACCACAAGGACAAATCTCGATGGAGTTGGCTCTCGTTCTTTGACTCTGAGGAGAAGGCTGAGCATCACAAGCATAAACACGGCCACAAGCACAAGCACAAGCATGGTGATAAGCATGAACACAAGCACAAGCACCATGGAAAGCATGATCACAACAAGGAGCCACATGGACCTCACCCGCCTCACGGTCCTCCTCACGGTCCTCCTCATGACCCACCTCATGGCCCTCCCCATGGACCTCCCCATGGACCTCCCCATGGACCTCCCCATGGCCCACCTCGCGGCCCACATGGTCCACACCCTCATGGTCCCCCTCCTCCCTTTATCCGCGCTGAATCTTCCACTGGTGACGTCAAGCTCAAGATTTCTCAACCTTACGGACTCGGCACCTTTACCACCGCTTCGACCCACCGTGGCAATGTGGACATCGACGGTGCCGACAATTTCCGTGGATTGTTCAAGGCTGGTACCCATGTGGGTGACATCAAGATCACTGCGGATACAACACGTAACAAGACCCTCGAAGTAATCAAGAAAGTTGAAGAGGGACCTGGCGGATGGACCGTTGGTCTCGTCAAGAATTTCCACGAGGGTAACGAGACGGTCAAATATCCTCGCCAAGCCCACTTAGAGGAGATGTGAGTGAAGGGCGGTAGGCATCAGAGGCAGCTTTCAGACTGACCCTGCGTGCCAGGTACCGGTCAATGTACGCCGATGATGAGCCAAAGGAGCCCAAGGAGCCCAAGGAGCCTAAGGAGCCTAAGGAGCCTAAGGAGCCTAAGGAGCCAAAGGAGCCCAAAGAACCCAAGGGTCCAGATGGCCCTCGACCTCCTCACCGTGGACCCGAGCACCCTCACCCTCCGCCTCACGGGCCACATGGCCCTCACGGTCCACATGGTCCTCACGGTCCCCATGGACCTGAGAGACCTCACGGGCCTCCTCATTGGTTCAGTAAGCTCATCGCGAGGACTGATGTTGGCGATGTGACAGTTGCGTTCTAGGTCTCTCAGGGATAGGACATGAAACAATCTGTTTCTGGAGACGTTGATAGCAGTTACATAGCCGTACACCCGGAAGGTCCGGATGATGTTCAGCAGGTGTTTTTTTAGTTTGTAGACTGCCTTTTGCTGTGGGCAGGAGTTGTGTTGTTGAGTGAGAGAGAGATATGTATGCTGTTGAGGATGAATTGTCCTGCGCCTCTTTCCCCCCCACTCGTCGATGAGTCCCCACTGTTCCATGATTGGCTGATTGGCTGGTAATGTGTTCGGAGCGCGGACCGGGCAAAATGAGAAACGCAAGAGGGGCTGCTTTTACCCGAGGGAGGGCGCTGTATTCCGAATTCTCCCGGAGTCCCGCAAAAGGGTTAGCTGCTGCTGAAATGATGAAATGGACCAATAGGATTGCAGGATTTTGATTCCGTGCCCCCTCTACTAAAGGCTGATTGCGGCGGGATTTTCAGCAAAAAAGAAAATTGTGATGGGGGCACTGCGCGGCGCGCTTCATTTTTGTTATCTCTCGCTTGACTCGAAAGGGACATATAGATATCTGAGGTAGCTGCTGTGTTGTTCTCTCTCACTCTCTCTCCATTCCACAACTCACTCACACGACTTTCCCCTCAGATTCAAGACTCATCTCATTCTGTGAGTCAACACAAAGAGCAGCAACTATATATCAGACACTGACACGCCATCCTCCCTCCCCTGCTGCTACGCTACCTACTTGCTCTTATTTTCCCTCAAATCGTCATTTTTCGTCCGAAAAAAAATATAACCCCTCCTCCTCGCCCCCCTCACACCGCTCCACGCATCCCCGATCCTATAACACCTCGTTCTGGACACCCATCCGTCATATCGACTCTGACCAAATCAAACCTCTCATCAACTCATTCCCATCCCACTCACACACAGTCACCATGTCCGAGCTCATTGCCACCAAACGAGTCGACTTGCTCGCTCCTTATCTCGCTCTCCCTCAGGGCTCAAAAGTCCAGGCTGAATGTGAGTGTCCGAAATTTTGCCTCAGTTGGCAAGAGAGCCTCCAAGGGGGCGACGTCACTGGCGAGAGGGCGAGCGATATCCTGCGTCGCTCTGCGTTCTGAGGGGTCTGAGGAGGGCAGACATGCAGATATCGCATCGGTCGATATGCTTGGCCGTCCTTCCTTTCTTCCGTTTCGGACTCTCTCCTTATCACACAGGATTGCGCCTCCGCGCAATATCTCTGTTATCGCTCTGTTCTCGTGATAACGCGCCCTCTTGCGCAAACCACTCTGATGCCTCTGCCCCCAACTCTCTCTCGATCCCTCCACTAGCCACTTCTGTGTCCGCTGCCTCACCTTGTCTTGTCTCTCCTCGCAGTATCTGACACCCCATCTCAGACATCTGGATTGACGGCGATGGTGGTCTCCGATGCAAGACCATGACCCTGGACCAGAAGCCATCAGCTGTTTCAGAATTGAAAGAATGGAACTTTGATGGATCTTCCACCAACCAGGCGCCAGGAAACAACTCTGATGTCTACCTGGTGAGTCCGTGCAGCGACACGAAAGAAAAAAAAAATGGGTCATGCTGATCCGTGACATTAGCGCCCAGTCGCCATGTTCAAAGACCCTTTCCGTGGAGGTGACAACATCCTCGTCCTCTGTGAATGTTACGACAATGACGGAACGGTCAACGCATCCAACTACCGAGCTCACTGCAAGAAAGTCATGGACGCTGCCAAGGAGCACGAGCCATGGTTCGGTCTCGAGCAAGAATACACCTTGTTCGACGCCGATGGCCAAGTCTTTGGATGGCCCAAAATGGGTTTCCCAGGACCTCAGGGACCTTACTACTGTGGTGTCGGAGCTGGACGTGTCTTTGCCCGTGATTTCATCGAGGCCCACTACGTGAGTGAAAGCCAACGATCAGCCGCCGCACGGGGACTGACAAAGTTCACGCCCAGCGCGCTTGCCTCTACGCCGGTGTCAAAATCTCTGGTATCAACGCCGAGGTCATGCCATCTCAATGGGAATTCCAAGTCGGACCATGTGAGGGTATCGAGATGGGAGACCACCTCTGGATGGCTCGATTCTTGTTGTTGAGAATCGGTGAGGAGTGGGGTATCAAGGTGAGCCTAGACTGTCCTCCACGCCTCGGCAACGTGCTCACTGCCTTTCTTTAGCCCTCCCTCCACCCCAAGCCTCTCAAGGGAGACTGGAACGGTGCCGGCTGCCACTCCAACTTCTCAACTGTCGAGATGCGAACACCTGGAAAGGGTATGGCCGCTATCGAGGCTGCTATCAAGAAGCTGGAGGCCAAGCACTTGGAACACATTGCCGTTTACGGAGAGGACAACGAGCAACGTCTGACTGGAAAGCACGAGACTGCCAGTATCGGTCAATTTTCAGCTGGTGTTGCCAACCGTGGTGCCTCCATCCGAATTCCCCGTCATGTTGGTGCTCAGGGATACGGATACCTGGAAGACCGACGACCAGCTTCCAACGTTGACCCATACCGAGTTACCGCCATCCTGGTCGAGACTACTCTGCTTTAAGCGGGTCCTAGTGGGGTAGTACGAGCAAGGGAGCAACGGTGCAGCAGGCGAGACACGAGGGAGAGCGAGAGGGAGCGAGAGCAGACGAGCGCAGAGAAAAACACACGACATAGCAGAGTCGATCATTGTTCCATAAGCCAATTTTTCTCCAATACCTTGTTTATTTCTAGTATTCTGGATTCTAACCCATATCAAGATATGCTGGTCAGCAAGAACCGCGTACAGAGTTCGACCTCATCATGCATACCGAGCATAGACTGTAACAGATGTGTTAAAATACATTCCATTTACAATAGATGCGGTGTTTCGAGCCGCGATTCGTATGAGTCGTCGCCGGCGGAAAAGAGCGTAGACACGTCAGATCTGATGTTAAATGGCCTTGCGACCCCCTCTGTCATCATGACCACATTGAGTCAGGCGGTCCGTTTGCTGGAGGGCAAGCTATAGATTGTGCCCATCGCACAACCTGCTGAATCTACGTATCCCATGGCGAGCCCTACCGAGCTCCACCCTCACAGCCCTCAAAGCTTGCTCCCTCTCTTAGCTCTCTACCTCCCTTACAGTCTCCCAATATACAGCAGCATCACATGTGGGCCTCTAGTCTCTCCGACAGCTGCATCACCGGATGATCAAGATTCGGCGCATGACAGCCCATGGGATTGGGCATGGGCGACGTTCTCACCTTCCCAACTCGAGTGCACCGATGTGAAGAAAGGTCGACCCGGAGCTGAGGAGACCTTGGGGATCTTTGCATGTCTTGTTCAATGTGCTGGACACGGTAAAATTCAGACTAGGGCCTTCTGTAATGTGGAGGCGGATGTCGAGGATCCAAATGTGTCTGAGGGACAACGTGAATCAAGGAAGGACAAGGGTTTGAGCGTGTCGCAAGATCTTGCACAGAGGTATGTCGAGATCTGCCCTGATCTGCTCTTGTTGGGTGCGACGCACGAATGGTGGACTCGGGGCGTCCATGAAGCTCTCGGTAAAGAGGTCGTCAATGGCATGGCGGATCTATGGATCGAACCGGAGCAGAATCCTCAAGCGTCATCCTCGTCCGCGGAGTCGTCAATGGTCGAACTGCAAAGGGAGAGATTGCTGGACGACGGCAGTCAGTATATCGTTGAGGAGGCCACGGATGAAGATTGTCAATTGGTACGTTTGAGGGGTGACTCTGTGACGCATGATTCCTGAATTAGATCGGCTTGACTGATGCGATGCGGATCGATTGCAGATTCAAGAGAAGAGGGATATACAAGTACCTCTACCGTATTACCTTGAGCGTAAACGGTGTATCACAGCCATCAGGCATGTTCTGTGCTCCAGTCCCAAGGGCACAGACTTGGCCGGCACGGCATCCACGGCCGATCCAGCCGAAACCACTGGAGGAAGAGACGGTAAGACTGCCAGCTCGTTGGTGTCTAAGGCGAACAAGGCGGAAACCGTTGCACTCATCATGACTCACGCGGCTGGCGACCAGGGAGCCCTATACGTTCATCCAGAGCATCGTCGACGGGGATTGGCGAAATGGATCGTTCAGGCTAATCTGGCCAGAGAACGGAAGCGAAGCGGCGGCCAAGTCAGAGGTCATGTTTGGGTCATGAGGGGAAACGAGGCGTCTGAAGCATTATGGAGATCGATGGGATGGAAAAAGTACTGGGCGGGTCAGTGGATCGTTTTGAGGGCGGAGGGTATTGAATGAGTAAGAGGACGATTAGAGATATATGACTGGGGAGGCTATGGCATGGTATCACATTGCACGAGAATTGCTTAATCGATAATGCATAGGGCGACACATGGCTATCGGGATCGGTTTCAGACGAATGAGTCTAGATCCGCCAGGTCGGAGGCATCGTGATTTAACCTAATCGGCGCAGAAGGACTGACAAGAGATTTATGTCGTCTAGTAGGATTAGTCAACCAATGTGTCTTGCCAAGCAGACTGGTCGGTCGCTCACCTTTCGCCGGCCGCTTGACTAGGGAACGAAGGGAATAGATCCGAATGTTTCGGTAATGGGTTCTCACTGCACATCAAGGTTTCAGCGTGAATGCGCAAAGAGATTCTGTTTGGGACCCACGTGAAGTAAGCATGCTTTCCCGCCTCTTCTGCGCTGACACGGCGATCCGGGTCATACAACAGAAGCCGTGTTAAGAGGTTGTGTCCTTCAGAAGAGAGGTGTTTAAACTTCTGCCTCAAGGATGAGAACCTGCAGAAGTGTCGTGAGCTTTTGACCCTTAGTGTGGGAGACATTTTAGCTCACGCTGGTCCGACGGGGTTGATCTTCCTTGTCAAGGGAAGAGACGAGTACCCCGGCCAGACATCGTCATTCGGTTGACCTAGCAGGGTGAATATCTGCTCCATAGTGTAAGTCTCACAACGCCACGTGGAAGGTAATGAGAAGCACGAGTGGACACCTGACTCGCCTTGCTGATCTGATCAATCTCGCCTTTCCCCGGAAACAAGGCTTGACCCTGCATCAACTCTGCAAAGATGCACCCGCATGACCAAATATCCACGGCAGTCGTGTACTCTTTCGCACCTAGCAACAGCTCAGGAGATCTATCCAAGTCAGAGAGAGACAAGAAATGGCAGTCAGATGGGTGTGCCTCACCTATACCATAACGTCACGACTAATTGAGTCATTTCTCCAAGTGGGTCTCCAAATTTTCGAGCGAGCCCGAAATCGGCTACTTTGATTTGACCTCGGTTGTTCATCAACAGGTTGGAGGTTTTCAGATCACGGTGAAGCTAAACAAAGAGGCATCTGCGTAAGGCAACACCAAAAAAATTGTATGATGTTGATGATGATGATCGATAGTGGTAATCATGACTCACGATCCAATTGGCGTGACAATGGGCGACCGCGGACAACAGCTGCATCATGATGGTTTTAACTTCCGATTGGAGAAATGGATGAGGCATATCGGCGAGGAGGGTTTTGAGATCGTGTTCGATGAAAGGCATGACAATGAATATTCTAGGAGAAAGAGTAAACCCGTGTCCATTAGAACAAGTCGTTCAAGCACCATTGACAGCATCACTCACTGATTTAGCGTATCGCCCACGACGATTTCCCTGATCCCCACCACATTCTCATGACTGCCAGCCACCATCAACGCCATGACTTCTCTCAAACTCGTGATTGGGAAACCCTGTTTCTCTTCTTCCAGTTTGAGCTTTTTCAAAGCGTAGATCTCTCCAGTATCATTACATTTGGCCCGGAAGACCACTCCATACGTGCCTTCTTCAATGTGATTCAAGCGGGTGTAGTTGTACACTGATCGGCAAGAGATCAGAGGTGGATGTTCGGAGCGAAGGGGGATGAGCGTCGAACGTGGCGGTTTGCCACGATGTCGAGGTCCTGAAGGCGGAGCTTTGATCTGACTCGGGGAAGATGAGCGCGAACGGATGAACGAGGGAGAGGGGGGAGAGGTTGGTGAATTAGAATGAGGTGACGAGGGGCTTCGGGGAAGGCGTTGAGGCGAGCTAGAACGAGTGCGTAAACCTTGAGGTGAGAGACCACGGAGAGGTGGAGAAACTCTGGAGGAATCGGCTGGTTCTCTAAACCGCATATCCTCTCCTCCTTCTACAGCGCGCCGGATCCCTTTCGGTCGAACCAGTCGTCTTTTGATAGAGGAGGGTGGACCAGCTGCTATTGGAGTATCGGCTGCCTCATCAGCTCTGTCCACCACTCGTCTCGAAGGACCCGCTTGATACGTGGCTCCAGAAGACTCGTCTGAACTCCAGGCTTGCATCTTGCCGTTCTGATCTGCAGTAGTAGACCTTGACAACGGTTGACGATCCAGCAAAGTCAAAAGTATTTCAGCTCGTCAAAATCCCAGCTTCGATCCACCACGTGGCATATGTTATTAAGGGTTCGGCATTCGGCAATGAATCGAAATGTCTGGTGAGAGCGATTGGATTTCAAGAACTGTCCAACCAAACGTCATCCAAGCCAAGACTGACTGATCAGAGTCTTGAGCATAGGGGTCAGAACGGTCAGAGCGGCTTTGTTGGACGATGACTTGATCACAGACGACTAGAACACTTCACGATGGGCACCTTTATCGCTCAATTCTCTGCTTTGTGTCGGAAGAACTGGTAGGTCATGCCCCTATTTCCGATCGAGATGATGATGATGATGAATTAACTTGACACTCGTACACAGGATCATTCTGTGGAGACACAAGTGGATCAACTTGATACGATGCCTCATTCTACCCGTTGCGTATGCCATATTCTTTGCAAAGGCCCAGGTGAGTGATTCCCCGAATGCCCCGCCGCCGCACTGTCACTGAAACCTCTGTGGCACAGGATTTCTTCACGACCCGAGCAGTTGTACGTTGCGTTTTCTGCCCAACAAACTCTTGGTGAGGCCCTTACTGAGACAGTTCTCCTTTTCATAGCTCGGCCCCGGCCATATTTCGAATCTCCAGCCTATCCCATCCTCATTCCTGAACCACAAATTCGTCTGGGTCCCACCGTCCGATTCCGCAACCAATGAGACAGTGTCAACCTTCATCGATCAGCTCATGAACAAGGTGCTAGGTGGTCACACAGGGGATATAGTCAAGCTTGATAATGCTTCGAATCTTGCGAGAGAGTGCCCGGAAAACTTCAACCTCCTCAGCGAGTGCTTTGGAGCGTTAGTCTTTGACAATGTGGACCCAGATTCGAGGACATTGGTGAGATGGAATTTCCCCCTTTGCGGACCCCGTGTGTACTCGCTGAAATTGGCAACATCGGCAGAACTATACTCTCCGAGGCGATTTTGGTCTCGTCATGACAAATGTCGATCAAACGTCGAAAGATGATGTTCAGGTCAGGTATCTCCCACTTCAATGGGCGATCGACAGTGTGAGTGCCGACGCGAACCAAATGACCACCATCCTGATGATTCGGGGGAAGAATTTTATCGAAATGACCACTGGTACCAAACCCCCTTCACCATTAACATGGGAATACACGAACCGTTCTGCGGGAGAGCAATCTGAACGTAATCGATTGTGTGCGTGGCTCAGCTCAACTTGCTACCTTCACGACGACACGACTGATCATCATAGCCTATCTGCGAGGTATCCGATCGTTGATCGTTCTCGCCTTTTTCCTCGTCTTCTTGGGCGTGGTCTATCAGGTAGGTCGTGCTGTGTTGATGTCCCGAGCTGGGAAGTTGGCTGATCATCATGTGCAGCTCCCTGGAGGTATGGCAGAGGAGAGAGCTTCATCGCTCACATCTCATCTCGACGCCATGGGCTGTAAGAAATCCGCCAGGGTCATGTGAGCACACTAGATCAGTCAACAATGATGCCGGCTCATATGCCTCACCTCCCGCAGCTCATGGCATCTCAGCATAAGTTCAGTCTACGTCGTAGCTTGGTTAGCAGTAGGGGCCATCTTCCAGCACTTCATCTTCAAGCGAACCAACACGGGATTATTCATCATCTTGTACCTACTCACTGGTCTAAGTTTGGCCAGTTGGACATTCATTGTCGCTGTACCATTTGCCAATGCCCCCACACTGGCAGCCATCACTGGTGGGTATAGTCAACGCTTCTGACATGTTGAATGTGGGGACTGATTCCCGCTCAGCCACATTTGTCGCCATCATCCTGGCTATAGGGGCATTGCTCACTCCCAGCTCTGCGGGCATTCAATTGATCTTCACATTGATTTTCCCACCGATGTTTTACACGTTCTTCACGAAGAATCTTGCTTCTTTTGAATCGCACTCCATCGTCCCAAACATCCTTCGTCGGAGTCCTCAAGGCGATGCACCGGTCTTGGGTCTGCTCATCATTGCCATAGTCAGTGCTCAAATCGTCCGGAAAGAGCTTAGTTTTGCTTAAAACTGCGTCGCAGATTGACATCGTCCTCTATCCTCTCCTCGCGACATGGCTCGAGACGAAAGTGTACGGCGTTCCTGCTCCAGACTATGTCTCATGGTGGCGTCGTCGACGATCAGACCACCAGACGGACAGCACTGCGCTACCAGAGGACGTCGCCATCGCCGTGGTGAACCTGAGGAAAGCATACTCTACCAAGCGATTCGGCGTGTTTGGCCGTGGTAAACCTTTCGTCGCCATCGAAGACCTGTCTTTCAACGTTCCAAAAGTGAGCGCGAAACACCTGCCCACGGGCTGACTGTTCCAGGGAGAGATATTCACGCTTTTGGGACGGAATGGCGCGGCCAAGTCGACAACCTTGTCCGCCATCGCCCGACTCACGACTACGTCTGGAGGGAACATTCGTTATGGTCCAGATTTGCACCTCGGCATCGCCTCGCAGAAAGACGTCTTGTGGGATGAGCTGACCTGCAAACAGGTATGTCCCGTTCATTCATTGGCTTGAAGACCAGACACTGACACTAACACTAACAATCCATCAGCATGTTCAGCTCTGGCGAGCGATCAAGTCGAGTGCACAACATCGACAGGACGAATCTAATCTCGACCTCTTGGCTCGCTGTGATCTCGCTCCGAAAGTATCGTTTCTAGCAAAGAACCTATCTGGTGGTCAAAAGCGTAAACTGCAATTGGCTTGCGCTCTTGCTGGAGGCTCCAATCTCTTGCTCTTGGACGAGATCAGCTCCGGGTTAGATCCTTTGAGTCGTAGAGCTATCTGGAAACTGATCACTGCGAATCGAGGTCGAACAACCATTATCCTCACCACGCATTGTGAGTGATGTCGCTCGTCACTCGGGGTCCGTTGCTCACTCGCAGCAGTCCTGGATGAAGCGGACTACCTGGCGGATACAGTTGCCATCCTCCACGCGCCAGGTCGACTACTTGCGATCGATAATCCCGTGACGTTGAAGCATCGATTCGGGAAAGGCTACACCATCAGCTTTAGTGGCCCGAGCTCGGAGAATCGGACTGTCGCTGAACGTATCTGTCGACATCTGTCTGGATCTCGTTTGCAGGAGACAAAAGGTGGCTTATCCGTATCGGCACGAACCACAGACTTGCAGATGATTCAGGACGCTTTCAAGCAAGCTCGACAGGACAGTCATACCACAGGGGAAGCGAGGTTCCAGTTGAACGGTGCGAGTTTGGAAGAGGTATTCCTCGATCTCAATCGGAATTCCGGAGATGGATCTAGCGAGACCTCGGAGGAGGACCTGGATATCACGGCCGTGCTCGCCCCTAGTCACGACAAGATGGATACTATCGAGGGGGAGAAAGGCATCGCGCTCGCCGGACAGGATGTGGACGGTCAGCATCCGATGATGTTGACACTGGGCCACAAGCCCTCCTATATCCTTGCCATCCCTATGGACGCATGGACCATCTTCCGCAAGAGACTTGTCATCTTTCGTCGAGCATGGCTGTTGCCCATCGTCGCCATCATCATCGCGATCACGGCGACTTGTATCCCACTGTTCTTCATCAAGAACAGGAATCAAACTTGCGCGCTCGTCTTGGACGAAGCGACTCCGCAGACATTGACATATCCTCGGAGCTACTTTCCCATCATTGAAACACCGCCAATGTTGTCCCCAGCAAGTACGTTTGGTCCCTTTGATCAATTCTTCTTCTCTGTCCGCCAACCTCAACTCTTACCGGATAATCAAACATTCGTCGACGAGCTCAAAGCCAACATTACCAATAATACCTTTGGAGGTCTCTCCTTATCCAGTGATCCAAAAACCGAACAATCCTTATTCGCCTGGGAGGGTTCTCCACTGGAGAACAAAGGCCCCTCGTTGCTCAATTTCTTGAACAATGTCCTGCTTGACAGCATCTCGCCTCCTTCTGGCGTGCTCCAAGCTTTCCGCATCAACCTCAACTTTCAGTATTTTGCCAGTCCAGATTTCTCCAGTACAGCGCAGGCGATGAAATGGATAGGATTCGCGTGAGTCCTCTTCCACCACCATGTTGAAAGGCTAATAATCGTCCCAGTGGTCTCGGTCTGGCAGTTTGGCCCGCGTTTGCAGTCATTTACCCGACGGTAGAACGGGCCTCGAATGTGCGATCCAATCAATACAGTAATGGCGCTGCTCCTGTCTCCTTATGGCTAGGACATCTTCTTTTCGAACTGCCTGGCATTTTGTTCGTCTCGTCAGTCATCACCATTGTATATTTCGTGGCGAGCTCGCAATTTAGCGGTCCTGGTGATCTTTGGATATGTCTCGTCTTGTACGGTATCGCCTCGACGTTGTACGCGTATCTGTTCGCTTTGTTCCTCGACTCTGCACTAGCTGCTTGGGCCCTGGTCGCCGGCACCAATGTCATCTTGTTTTTGTTGTATTTGTGAGTCGCTCTGTCGATGTCGAGCGCCACCTCGCTGATTTGAATCTCTAGAGCCGCTTATCTCCTCATCCTCACGTACGATCGATCTTCCGCCGCAGTGGATCATATTACCATCTCACACTTTACTATCGGTCTCGTCAACCCTGTCCCCAATGTCATACGTGCCGTCTTGGTATCCGTGAATCTCTTTGGACTCCTGTGTGATGGTCTGGGCCACCGCAAATCCGCACCGTATTCTAACATTTTACAATTTGGTGGTCCGATCGTCTATCTTGTCGCTCAAGCTCTATTCGCTTTCGGCGTCTTGGTCTACGTCGACTCTGGCTCACCCATCCCTGCTTTCCTCCGACGGCGACGGCTCAAGCATGCAAGCACAGCCTCCGAGGAGGAGACTTCAACCGATGTCATTGACGAAAAGGCTCGCATTGATTCAGGACCCACCGACGACCTCATTGTCCAGAGTTTGAGTAAACGATACAGCGGATCCAAAGCCCTTGCAGTCAACGACGTCACATTTGGGGTGGCTGCTGGAGAAAGCTTCGCTCTCATCGGTCCGAACGGTGCAGGAAAGTCTACGACATTGGCCTGCATCAGAGGTGTCGAGGTACCCACGGCTGGGGATGTCCGCGTGGCAGGATCGTCCATCAAGAAGAGGCGAAACGTCGCTCGGTCATACCTTGGCGTCTGTCCTCAAGTGAACGCGATCGATGTCAACCTCACCGTACGACAGCATCTATGGGTTTATGGTCGACTCAAAGGCGTCCCTTCATCGCTTTTGTCCAAGGATATTGACGTCCTACTCGCTCACGCGGGACTATCGGCAAAGGCGAACGAGCTGGCGACGAGTCTTAGTGGTGGGAACCAACGCAAATTGAGTCTGGCGATTGCGTTGATTGGTGATCGACCTGTCGTCCTCATCGACGAGTTCTCCAGTGGTGTAGATCCATTTAGCAAGCGAGAGGCATGGCAGACTGTGAGCTCTCACTCATTGTCATGCATCCCGGCTCACGTCCGTAGCTCGCCAGCTTGACAAAAGATCGAGCGGTCGTCATGACGACGCACAGTATGGAAGAGGTCGATGCTCTGGCATCAAGAGTAGGTATCATCGCGAGCAAGATGCTAGGTGAGCTGTCTGGCACCGGATCAAAAAAAATGCATTTACTCATGTTATGCCAGCCGTGGGCACACCTGCAAGTCTCAAGAGCCGGTTTGCGACGTACGAAATACACTTGACCTCGTCAGACCACTTGCAGGATCTCGTCAGTCGTCTACAGTCTGAAGGATTCGAAAATACACATCAAAGTCGGGACACAGCGACGAGGGTGTCTGTTCCCGGAGTGACTGATAAAGACCTCGGAGGATTATTGGACGCCTTGGTCGTTGCCAAGCAAGACCTCGGTTTGGAAGAAATGACCATACACGAGTAGGTTATAGATGCCAGCCAGCCTTTCTTGGGCACTCACTGACGTGCCTGACTAGGGCATCGACCGAGACGGCGTTCCTGGAGATTGTAAGGAAGCACAATGTACAGGAAGAGGAGGGCAAGGTGGCATCCAAAAAGTCGAGACTTCGGTGTTGGCCATAGTTTTATGTACAAAAAACATGTCAACGCCTGATCGTACAGTAAAACGCTTGAACGCATGTGGCACTTGTCCCATTCGAACAATAGGGAAACCACAAAGCACATCGAGACCAACGTTTCAGAGCTCTCATCGTGACCTCCCTCGCCTTGGCAGTCCCTTGGTCTGACCTGTATATAAACTGAACCCCAACCCTTCTCTTGGCCTTCTTATCTCGTCATTTGAGGTCTAAAGCCCTCTGACATTCTGAGACACTGTCGACGATGAGAACCGCCACGTCCGGTCTCGTTGACTCCAAGCTCTTGGATAAGATTGACAAGCTTTTCGTCTGTGGAGTAGGTGCAGAAGTCGAGCTCCCCCAACTGGTTGTAGTTGGGAATCAATCAAGTGGGAAAAGCTCAGTCCTAGAAGCTCTCACCGGTATCCCCTTCCCTCGAGATGATGGTCTGTGTACACGGTTCGCTACCCGAATCACATTCCGACGGGCTTTGGAGACCAGATACCAGGCCAAGATTGTGCCGGACAAACTCAGCTCGAAGGAACATCAAGACAAGTGTCAGCAATGGGGTCAAGAGCTGGAGAGTTTTGACCTGTTTCAAATAGCTGATCTCATGAAGAAGGTCAGCCATGTGTTGTCGGTCGCATCGGTCCGGTCCAGTATCTGATGCTGACCCATTGATCAGGTCAGAACAGTCATGGGCGTCAGTGATAAAACGTCTGATTCCACTTATCCGGCTGGTAGCGCATTCTCCAATGATGTATTGTCGCTCGAGATCACTGGTCCCGGCGAAGAACACTTCAGTATCGTTGATGTTCCCGGTACATTTAAAGTGGAAGCCGAAGGCGTGACGACGAAAGAGGATATCAAGCTTGTTGACGACATGGTCAAACGATACATGACGAATTCAAGATCGATCATGCTCACTGTCGTCAATTGCAATGACGATATCTCAAGCCACGATATCATTCAAAAAGCTCGAGATATCGACCCTCACGGCGAACGGACTCTTGGAATCCTTACCAAACCTGATTTGGCGGATGAGGGTGCGGAGCAGAAAATCATCGATATCCTCGATGGGAAACAGCATAGGCTCTTCCATGGCTGGCATATCTTACGGAATCGAGGGCAAAAGGACTTGAGAGATGCTACTTCCCTCTCGGATCGACACGCCACGGAAAGAAAATTCTTCACCGACAAGGATCCTTGGAATAAACTCGACAAGTCGCTCGTCGGCATCGATGCTTTGAATCACAGGCTCCATGCGGTTCTCGCCACTCAACTCAACAAGGAGTTTCCAAATGTGAGTCAGTGGCAGGCATGAGCGGCGAGCGAGCGAGCGAGCGAGCGAGCCGTGCTGATTCCGTTCATCACTCGAAAAGGTCAAAAAGGAGATCAAGGACAAGCTCGCAAAGGCCCAGAAAGAATGGGTCACCCTCGGAGTCAGGCGACAAACTCAAGCGGAACAGAATCAATTCTTGGTTGGAATCGCCGAAAAGTATCGCTCCTTGGCGGACTCTGCTGTTCGAGGCGATTACTCTCGTCAGCTCCTGAAGGAAAATGAGACTCTGAAACTGGCTAGAGCCATTCGTCAGCGCAGCGACAGATTTGCTCGGGATGTGGAGATTTTCGGACATCAGTTCGACATGCGGTCCCAAGCGAGTAAGAGCCCGGGGAAAGCGAATGGAACCAAAGTTTCATCTTCCACCGAGAATGAGGATGGTCCTGACGAAGAAAGCCAGAGTAGTGATGACGACGACGAAGAAAGCGAGGAAGAGAACATCAAAAGCGAGGAAGCCGAATTTAAGGCTCACCTACCTGCTGCGAAAACAATCGGCTGTCGTATGGAACAGACGCCAGACGACTTGCTCATCATTCTTCCCGATGATGTGACACTTGAGCGACCAAGCTTCAAGCGTAAATGGCTCAAGGAGATGTATTTCCGATCTCAAGGCACCGAGCTCATCGCCATCCCTCCCGGACTTCTTGGATCTCTTATGGCAGAACAAGCTAAAAGATGGACATCCTTGGCCCAGGGCTACACGGCGGATATCATCTGTCTCATTCACAAGTTCATCTTTGAAGCTATCAGTCAGCACGCCACCAAAGAGGTCTATACGGAGCTGCACTCGGCGTTAATGGAGGATCTCGAAGACTCTTACAAGCTTGCACTCAATCACACGAGCTTTATTCTCAAGTGTGAACTCCAGCTTGAGCCTGTGACGCATAATCACTACTTCAATGACGAGATTCAAAAGAAGTGAGTGGTCACGTCAGCAGTATCTTGTCCACAGCTGACGGCTTCTCCAGGAGACAACGACGACAGATGAAGGCATTGGAGACCAAGAGTTCGCAAAGCTCCGAGGGTAGAAAATTTCTCTTTCTCGATCAGCTCGGTACCGTCAAAGATGGCAGCAACAATGATTACACCGTTCGAGAGCTCAAAGACATACTTCAAGCTTATTACAAAGTGGCACGAAAACGATTTGTTGATGTAGTGCGTCAACAATCTGTCGATTGGTTCCTTGTTCGCGGTGACGAGTCTCCTCTCCGAAAATTCTCTCCAAACTTTGTGCTCAATCTGTCGCCTGCGGAACTTGAAAGCATCGCTGGCGAACCTTCGTACATCAAAGCTTATCGAGCCGAACTTGAGGATCTGATCAAGCGTATGGAAGAAGGTATGAGGATCCTCAGATGAAGATCTTGGTAACAGATCAGGCCGCAACGGCGCGTATGAAGATAGATGTCTTACGAAACAAAGTATGCATGACAGAGCCAGACACTCGAGATACGTTGTGCACGATTCCAGTGCAGGTGGTGAGTGCGCATCTCCTGATGAGGCCTCCTTCCTGTCTGTGGCATCGATCATTGAATTGCCCCCACAAGGTAGAAGCTACAGCTCATGGCGGGATAGCCACAATCAAGTCGTGAGCTGCAGCTGCATTATCCATGCTTCCGGACTCTTTCCTGCGATCCTGTCCGACGCGTCGCTCTCGCAAACTCTTGCATGCATTCAATAAGCCGCCCCATCGAAGAGCTGAGTGCGAATTTTAAGCTTAATCCACGAAGGGCGGCGCAAAATCCCGCCTTGTCGTCCTACCTTGTCAGGCTGTTCATTTTGTGCAACTGATCAGCGCATATATGACAAAAGGTCTCTCATTGGACATGCTGTGAGCTCGACTATCCCTTCAATGAACGGTGCTACAATCCCCATGAAGGTTGCGTCTATTGCTGATGGGCGGCGTGCTCGGATCGCTACGGCGGAAACAAAGCCGAACCAGGGAGCCCCCCCTCTTTTGTTTCATCATGACACTGAAGTCTCAGATGTCCGATTCACTTCTCATTGATCAGCCTGACACATCTCACCAATCCACAGAGATCATATTCAATCCAACTCATAGTCGATGGCATCGGCTGTCATCTCATCGTTTTGTCGTCAGCGCACATGAAGCCGGAGTCGACAGCCCAAGCTTCCGATGTGCTCGACCGTCCTGCAAGAGTGCTCCGTCACCATCTTGCATCCTTTCCATAGCCATGAGCCACCCATTCAGCTCTACCTCCCCACCGAAGCGACCTCTGAGGATGGTCTGAACCGTCTGAGAGCAGTCCAAGGGGACGGATGGACCGTGGACAGCTTTGATTCAGAAGACAACTCTGCATGGACGGGTAGAAGAAGTGCCAGTGACTGGAGATTGCTGAGGCTGCCCGATGATACTTCATATGGGAAAGAGGGGAGCCATAGATCTGGGACTCTGAGATACCTAGGTGGGTCATCAAAGCGACGTCTGTCAGATCACTACGCTCATACAGAGATGTCAGATGCGGCGGATCTGCTCAGTCCGGGTGGCCGCTACCTTGTCGTTCCGCCTGATTGGCCAGTGGTCAATCTCGCAATCGGTGCCAAAGGTATCATACCAATCCCGGTGTCCTCACGGCAGACTCTCAAATCGCTTGCGGCTCACCTGGCAATTCAGCTCTGCCTGCCATCTGAATCCGTTCTCAGTTTAGAAAGTCGGGCTACGGACCTCGATCGTGAGAGAGCCGCTTACCGAGAAGGGTTGCATGCTACAAGGACACTCGACCAAGATCTGCCACTCAGTGATCTTCCTATCCATCATGATTCAGATTTGGTCTTGGAGCTAAGACTCGAGGAAGTCGGCGGAGGGAGAATAGATCTTGCAGCCGCTGCATCTGATCACAGCAATCCGGAACTGTCCACGGATCTGGACGCGGTTTCCCATGAACCACTTGGGGATTCCTCACCGCACTCAGATACATCCCGACCGGCCCTACCCAAGGGAAAGTCAAAACAGCGCTCCAGATTACCCAACCAGCCGCCTATCTTGCAGCCCTCCCACAGCCCTTCATCGTCCATATCTCTAGCCAACGTCAACGCGTCTGCTTCTATGTCCCTCAATCCGTCTACGTGCCTCATGGGAGTGAACCCGATAAATGGTTTGTTAGAGGAATCACCTGAAAGGTCTGCCGTGCTGCCGGACGATGGCTCTCGGACCACGGTCGGGACAAGCAAGCCTCTTCTCCCTTCGTCTTCGTCCTCTTCGTCCTCTTCGTTCTTCTCCTTATCCAGTGGAACATCCCTCGGTCTTGCAAACTACCTACCTCAGCTAGCGAGTGGTACACCAGCTACCGCAGGACCTTCGACTTCCGGATCAGGGTGGATGGAGAGGCTAGGCCTCGGTACAATCACCGCGTGGCAGAGCGCGGAAGACGCACCTGGAGAGGATAAGCAAGCTGCAGACATATCTTTCCCTTCCACTCTCAGAGGGACGAACAAAGCATCCGTTCGAGGCTCAACGAGCGGCAGTCTTTGGGCCTGGTGGAATGGTGATGCCCAGCTAGATGATCAGTCCGTGGCGTCGCACATAGAGAGGCTTCAGAAGCAGTGAGCACCGATATATTCATGGGCACGGCCCGCACTGACAAAATTGTATCAGTCACGGGGCTTCTTTAGCACAAGATTTGACATCGCTCCGGATCACGTTGTCAACGACCAGAATTCATTTTCTCCTGGATTTTGTAGACAGCTCAGGTGTTGACCGCTTAAGCTCTATCCTCGAGAGCAGCCTCAAGCTAAAGGACAATGACTCGCAGGCCCAAAGACTGATCATCAAAGACGTCCTGAAGTGTCTGAAGGTCATCATGAATACCGAAGTGAGTCCGCTGTTGCTGATAGGAGGCCCCTGACCCCTTAAGGCCGGCTTCACGAGCGCCACAGAGCATCCAACCTTACTCCAAGTTCTGACAAAGGTTCTATTGCACCCGCATCTCAAGCTTCGGAGTCTGGCTGCAGAGACACTATCCGGTATTTGCGTGCTCTCTCCTCCTCTGGGAGAATTGATCATACTTCCTGCTGTATCTGATCTCGCACCTCCCGGTCGCCCTTCTCGTCGATTTCAAGCCTTGATCGACGATTTTTATGCCTCGAGCCCAGCACCGCTTACAAGCTCTGAGAATGACCTCTGGGCGTGGCGAAGCTCCCTGCTTGGCTTATTCGAAGCTGTCATGGACTCGATCGATGACTTAGAGAGCCGCTGCGAGCTTCGCAGCGAGCTGAATAGGCGAGGTCTGAGTACAGCTCTGGAGGTGACTTAAAACTTAATGTAGTCGAGAATCGCACTGTCGCTGACACACGGTTCAGCTGCTGTGGGACCAGGAGGCAACCGTCGAATTTCTCAATCGGGTCGACAATTTCCGAGTTCATCAAGAGGTCGACATGCAAGAATTGCGACAGTCACGTCTCGATGATTTCTTGCCCCGGTCAGAGGAGGCTCAACTCAGTTCCGCTCATAGCGCCCCAGAGGTGAGATCCCTTCGTTGCAGCTTACTACTGGACAAAGACTGACATTCGCCGAGAATGAGGTCAGCTTGGCCGATATAGAACGCCAGAACGTATTCGCGGTGATCACTCAGAACAATGAACTGAAAGCGGAGGTGAGGAGGCTACATAGGGACTCACTAGCTGATCAGAATAGCTCGAAAGATGCCAGAGCCTGCTCGACCTGAAAACGAAAGATGATGACTATCTCTATCGCGCGCTTGAGACAGTGCGGTCGAGATTGAACCGGCACACAATTGGTGACAATGCTGATGAGAGGACTGCTCAGTCCTCGGACCCGCACCTGGTCGCGACTCAGGTCGTCGCTCGATTGGAGGAGCAGGAGGAGCAGCTGATGGAACTGCGGAGACAAGTTCAAGCTTTGTCTTCGGCCCCGCCGCTATCCTCGAACACAGGCCGGGGGTCAGATACGTCCTCCGCCTTGAGAGAGGACAGGGAATCGAAACAGGAGAAACACGCGGATGCTGAAATGTCCCTTTTCGTTGACGAGGAAGGAGCTCCCGCAGGAAGAGTGCTCCCAACTACATATGACTCGGCAGCATCACCACCATCAATATCTTCTTCTTTTTCTCCTGCCCCACCACCACCACCTCCCCCTCCCCCGCCTCCCCCTCCTCCTCCCCCTCCTCCTCCCCCTCCTGCTGCTGCTGCTGCTGCTGCTCCTCCTCCTCCTGCTGCTGCTCCTCCTCCTCCTCCTCCTCCTCCTCCTCCTCCCCCTCCTCCCCCTCCTCCTGCTCCGCCGCCGCCACGGCCTACAACCAGCTCCCTTCTGTCCATGCCTCTTGCTCCAGCCCTGATCCCGCCCCCACCGCCACCTCCACCATTGCTCGCTCGTCTTCCGCTTGCTAGCCCCATTGCTACCACCAGGTCAACCAACTCTGCTAAAGTCAAGGTGAGGAGGCGAAATAAATCGAATGTGGCATCTGACGTACGAAGCCCTTCTTCTGGACCAAATTGAATCCTGTCCAAGGTGCTGGTACCATTTGGGATACCCTTGGATCAGCTCTGCCCGAGCATGGGCTGTTCGACGATCTGTCCAGAGCGTTCGCATTCGAAGATCAGAAACCCAAAACCGTTACGACGGATCGAACCCCAAAGAATGTCTTCTTGTTGGATATCAGTGAGAGACACTGCTGATCTCCAGCTCATCCCAGCTCGCTCTAACAACGTCGCAATTCTTCTTGTTAGGCTAAGGCTTGAACCGCAGCAGATAAGGCGAGCAATCCTTCAAGTCGACAACGACGTCTTGGGCACAGATGATGTGGAAGCGTTGAGCCGTTTGATCCCGACTGCGGATGAGATTGTTCGACTCAAGGCGTACAAAGGGGATTCCGAAAAGCTGGGCAAAGCTGAGAGATATTTCTTAGAGGTGTGCTGCTAATCTCCCCATTTTGAGCTGACTCCCTGTAGATCAGCCCGATTCCCGAACTCAAGTCTCGGTTCGAGACTATGATATTCGTCCGTCGATTCCTGTCGCTCTTATCAGAGGTCGTTTCAGACTTGGAGATTCTCTCAAGAGCTGCCACACAGCTGCAGGCATCGCAAAAGCTCAAAGGAGTTCTGAGCACGGTTCTAGATATCGGGAACAGAATGAATGCCGGGTCCTTCCGTGGGAACGCCAAGGGTTTCAAGCTTGAGGACCTTCGCAAGGTGCGAGAGTCGCCCCACTACCTTGGGTGGCGCAGCGTGCTGACAGTGAACAATAGCTAGGTGATGTCAAGAGTATCAAGGGTTGTCCATTTCCCACCATGCTACACTACCTTGCAGCGGTTCTGCTGCGATCTCAGCCCGAGTCGACGACGACATTTGGAGAGGAAATCCCGGCCCTTCAGTCTGCTGCTCAGCGTGAGTGGATCTTCCGCGGCCCAGATAGGCTAATGCGGCGGAGTACTCCCGGCGGAGATCTGCAGAAATGTGGAGAGCATCATTCAGCAATTCAAAAAGGCAAAAATCGCAGCATCTCGATCAACAGTGGCTCCCGACGATCGACTCCCAGAGATTGCCAGGTCCTTCATAGCTTCCGCCGGGTCCGATGTTAATCGACTTCAAGGGCGATACTCGGCTGTTGATTCCCAGCTGACTTGCCTCGTTGATTTCTTCGGAGATAAAGAAGTAAAAGTAGAGGATCTCTTTGTGGCCATACTAGAGTTCTCTGTGGCACTGGAGAAAGCTGCAGCGGAAATGGCGCTGGACGCTTCCCCATCGACACGACTACTTCCAGATATCAAAGGAGACGGTGGTCTTCGGCGACAAGGTACTAACGACACCATCATCTCTCGCATGTCGGACATAGTGGACCAGCATCAACGGCTGGGTTCCACCGAAACCATCAAAACTTTGAACCAAGGTCAATGGACCCTCAAATCAACATTCCCTCGTGGCGATCTGGACGCTGCAATACGATCTGTCAGGAGGGGCGGAAGCGTTTTCAAACGACATGAGCGGGAACGATCAACCGTCAGTCGACAGCCTGGCGGGACGGTCAGAACCAACAAGTTGAGCCGGATGTTCTTGGATGCGCCAATGCCGCCAACGGTCGACCGACGATCCTTAAATCGAGTGCCTCATTCGCAAGACAGATAGCACGCAGGTGTAGCTTTTGTGGAGTCACAACATTTACGACCGCATCTTGATATCAGAATCTTGGTAGGCACATACATTCTGTCTTGTCGTTTACAATTTACTGCGTTGTTTCCGGTGATTTCCTAATTCAGTCTCTGGCAAGGATGACTTCTGACGCTCCTATCGTACACTCTTACAATATTCAACTTTCCTCTCGCGTAGACAACAATGGGGGTTCGGTGGCGTCGTTACTCAAAATGGTGAGGTGATGTGGTCCCGTCTAGGGATTGAGGGAAGGGAAGGGGAATGTATATCTTGGGAATTGGACTCGGCGTATGGCGCGCATTACCGGATCCAATATTTCTAGTATCTCTGTCCAACACGTCAACCCCTAGCATAATTTGCATGGCGACTGCTCACCTTCGCCTTAGTGGGCGAAGTGCCGAGGTAGCTGACGCTGGGAGGTGACTGCGCAATACCGTACGAGGTCCTTGCGATATTGGCGAGATCAATGGCTGAAGATTTAGCGTCAGCTGAGTTGCAACAGTACATGGCGCGACTGACATCCAGAGGGTTTGTGCATCACGCCCTCTCGATAGACCCTTGCTCTCTCTCTTTCCTGGTCACTGACGTTACTGAGTCGTCTTCCAGGCCGCTTGACAGCTTCGAACGAATCAAAGCTGGACATCGAGTCGGATGGCGAAGCAGCAATGGCCTCCTTCATGAGGTCCTTGTTTTCACCTCCCTCCTGGTGATTCTGCTTGTTGGCGTTGTTGTTGTTGTCAGAAGGAAGAGGCCCAAGGGTATCATCATGTCGGTCCATGAAGGCTCCTTGGGCTCCATCGTCCAGCTCGAGAGCTTGCAAGTCATCCTCCTCGTGACCGTTTGCCAAGGCGTCGGCATCCGTTTCAAGTCGAACGTCTTGATCCGCTTCGAGCTCATACTCTCCTTCTTGCTGGTACGAGCCCCAATTGTGCGCGCCAGCTCCGTTCTTTCGCATAGTCTCAGACTTGCTTGCGAGTCCAGATCGTGAGTGACGATCCTTGAGCAGTGCAAGGGTGGATTGGTTTCGCTGTGCGCAGTGAATGTGAGACCCGCAGGTCATGCCCGGGCGATTAGCCGGAGATAAGGAACGGGGCAGGGTTTGTGAGATGGCCGTGGAGCGAGAGTGATGGGTGAGATTGGCGGGTCATACAATAGTGACAAGGAGGAATCGTGGAAATATGATAAAGTCGACATGGAATCAAGCTATCGTCAGCTATATGCACCGTGGGACTATGTAGGCCGCGTGGGGCACGACCGTCACACGAGCCAAGAACATGAATACCCACCTCGGTACGGGTCATCGTGTGCGACTGTGCGGCGTCAGCGACTATGCGAGACCTAGACCACGCTCAATGCTCACTCTAGTAAACTGTGCTGATGGTGTATTGTAAGATGAGGTCGACGTGTATAGAGTGGGTGGGTTCAAGATAGAAGAAACACACCATAAAGGGAGAGGCGAGCTAATGGCCCTTTCCCCAGCTTTTCCCCAAGGTGGAGTCCCCAGGCGTCGCAATTCCAGGGCCACGTGGCCCTGGCCTTTAGGTAAGCAAATACTTAACCTGCGGCCGGCGTTGAACCGGAGCTGCTCGAAACGCTTCGTTTCAACTTCTTTTCGCGTCATCGTGAAGCGGGCGCATCGAGCGAAGGGGCTTTGCTGGTGACGGACTCTGAGCTCCAAATCCAGCTTGGGTTTTAGCTCCGATCTGCCTTACCATGTTCGGCTGGCTCGCCAAACCTGTCACGCTCATTTCCACCATCGCACTATCCTCACTTTCGCTGTTGTCAAAGAGGTACCAGCGAGTGAGGTATGGCTACCATTTGTTGATATACGTGTCAACCTTGGGAGCTCTGAGTATATGGGGGGTTGTCGTCAGTGTACTAGCGTCCGTCACAGGACAGGTGAGCTTTATCTCGGGTCGAGCGATTTATACTCGCGCCACTTAGATGGCGAATGGCTAGCTGATATGCCGATGGTGCAGAGGCTCAACATCAATTACTATGTCGCTCGATCATTCTACAACGTCTGCAGCCCTTTGATCAACATTCGATTCATTGTCGAAGGTGAAGAGCACTTGACCGGTCTGCTGAGAGGAGGTACCGATGGACAAGGTCAAAGCGCTGTCCTCGTCGGAAATCACCAGAGGTGAGGGAGAATTACTGCTCCGACACTTCACTCGGGTGGCTCGCTGACATGCGTGTCTTTCATATAGTTTCCTTGACATCCTCTACCTTGGTCGAATCTTCCCGCGTCATGCTTCCATCATGGCCAAGAAGGAGCTGAAATGGGCACCCCTTTTAGGACAATATTGTGAGCATGCTGTCGGACTCGGCTTCATGCTTGATTGCTGACGTCGGGGATCAGTGGCTCTGTCAGGGGCAGTCTTTGTTGACAGGAAAAACCGAGATGCTGCGAGATTGGCATTAGAACAAGCGGGCGACAACATGAAGAAGCGTCAGGTGAGTTGTTCGGGTATGCCAGTACGCCGTAGCTGAATCTCCTTAGATATCTCTGTGGGTCTTCCCGGAAGGCACACGGACTCTGTCGGCAGAACCGACCCTCAAGACGTTCAAGAAGGGCGCATTTCATCTGGCTATCCAGGCCAAAGTGCCGGTCGTACCTGTCGTTTGCGAGAATTATCATCGCTTATTCGATGGCAAATCGCGGTTAGACGAGGGAGTGCTGCGGATACGAGGTGAGCTTCGATCTCAGAATGGATTGCGGGAACTCACTCCGTTCTAGTCCTTCCTGCCATTACCACCGAGGGCATGGGACCGGACGACGTGTCCGCTCTGACCCAATCCACCCGTGAAAAGATGGTTGCCACTCTTCGCGAAATTTCAGCACCCGGACCTCTGGGACGGGGACCAGCCCGTGACGTGCCACCGCTGGAAAAGCTTCCTTCGGAGCAGCAGTTGGGTCAACCGACAGAGGGGAGGAGGCGGTCATCAGACGACGGCAGTGTGGCAGACAGTCAAAATGGTGATAGTCGGAATCGGGAAGAGGGACAATGGGATTCCACTACCGAGGACGAGATGGACGATGATGCGGTGTTATTGAAGAAACCGACTGGCTCAGTGAATGTATAGGATTGCACGTATGTAGCGGTGTCTGAATTCCTCGCAGCTTCCATGCAGGCTACCGCTCAGCTGCCACGTGGTCGGCGGACTTTGGATACTCGCGCGTAACGTATCATCTTCAATCGATTTCGAAGTCTTTGCAGTCCACTTGCAATACACGGTCCTGATTCTTGTCTTCTCGAGCCACTGGTGATCTTCAAGTAAAGGTATCTGAGATCCCTTCGAGCTTGACGAAGATGTCGCTCGCTCCTCCGCGGAAAGGTATGTCCCATAGACTCAAGGGACGTCTGTGAGAGCACATGTCTACTTGCTTCGCCTATCCCCTGCCGCTCGCCTGCTGTCTGAATGCATGGCTGACACTAGGCTCTTATCTCAGGCGAAAATTGGGAGCTCAGGCAACAACTCAACTCGGAGTATCGAGACAAAAGGGCAGATGCAATCAAGAGAGTCATTGCGAATCACACGATTGGAAAGGATTGTAGTGGATTGTTCCCAGATGTCGTCAAAAACATGGTGAGTGGAGATGAGCCAGATGAATCCTGGCGTCCGGTCGAGACACGTAACTTCTTTCCTTGGCTGATATACCTGTACACAGCAAACAGACGATCTGGAGCAGAAAAAGCTGGTGTACTTGTATCTGATGAATTATGCCAAAACTCAGCCAGAGTTGGTCATTCTCGCAGTCAACACCTTTGTCAAGGTACGTTGGGCTTCCGTTGCAAGAACGGTCTTCGTCATGACAAGTCCTGGGTGACTCCTGACTTCCTTGATCGTAGGACACTGCCGATCCGAATCCCCTTGTTAGAGCTCTCGCTATCCGAACAATGGCTGTCCTGCGGACAGAGAAGACTCTCGATTACCTCGCTTCCCCACTCTCCACATGTCTGAAAGACGAGAACCCTTATGTCCGAAAGACTGCAGCGCTATGTGTCGCCAAAGTATTCGACCTGAAACCTGAACTGTGTATCGAATATGGATTCATCGAGACGTTGAGGGATCTCATTGGAGACGGTAATCCAATGGTGAGTTGCTCTGTTATTCAATGAACTAAGCTGGCATCTCTAGGTCGTCGCCAACGCCGTGACCGCCCTCGGAGACATTCACGAAACTTCACTCACACTCCCTACCTCCCGTCCAGCATCACCTGGTGGCTCTACACCTCCTCCTTCTGCTCGTCCATCCCAGTCTTTGTTCATTATCGACGGTCCGACACTCACCAAACTCCTCGTCGCCCTTGGAGAGTGCTCGGAATGGGGCAGGATAGCGATCTTGGGTACGCTTGCGCGGTACAAAGCTCAGGATGAGAAGGAGAGCGAGCACATCTGTGAGCGAGTCATGCCGCAGTTCCAACACAACAATGCTGCGGTGGTCCTCGGCGCGGTGAAGGTGAGTGGTTATGACAAAAGCTCGAGAACGAAACTGACAAATGTCTGCCAGGTCATCATGATACATATGAAGAATGTGACTCGAGAGGATTTGATCAAGTCTTTGACGAGAAAGATGGCTCCGCCTCTAGGTTGGTTCGCTGCCGACAGTTGAAGACTTTGCTGATCTCATTCGTAGTAACCCTCATATCCTCAGCTCCAGAAATTCAATGGGTTGCCTTACGAAACATCAACTTGTTATTACAAAAGCGTCCGGACATATTGGCCAACGAGATGCGTGTGTTTTTCTGCAAATACAATGATCCACCGTATGTCAAGGTGGAGAAATTGGATATCATGGTCAGACTAGCGAGCGAGAAGAACGTCGATACGCTCCTGGGCGAGTTGAGAGAGTAAGCTGACAGACATTTGGTGATTTGATACTCACGCGTGTCATCAGATACGCCTCTGAAGTCGATGTGGACTTTGTTCGTAAGGCCGTTAGGGCCGTGGGTCAGGTCGCAATCAAGATCGAGGCCGCTGCAGAGAGATGTGTGACTGTCTTGATGGATTTGATTGAGACGCGGGTCAGCTATGTTGTTCAGGAAGCCGTCATCGTCATCAAGGTGGGTCGCCGGGAAGTGCTAAAGAGCATCTCTGACGATCGCTCAGGACATCTTCCGGAAGTATCCTCATAGTTACGAGGGGATCATACCAGCACTCTGTGCGAACCTCGATGAGTTGGACGAACCCGAGGCCAAAGCGTCTTTGATCTGGATCATCGGAGAATACGCAGAGAAAATTGAGAACGCGGCAGAGCTGCTGGGTACATTCCTCGACGCGTTCAAGGAGGAGTCTTATCCCGTGAGCTGTGGTTTCTTCTTCATGGTCATCCTGAGGCTCACGGAGACTTCCAGGTCCAATTACAAACACTCACGGCCATCGTCAAATTGTACTTGAAGAAACCAGAAGAATCACAGGTCGTCGTTGAGCGGGTGTTAAAAGCAGCTACCAAAGACTGTGACAGTGCAGATGTGAGGGATCGAGCCTTTATCTACTGGCGTCTACTTTCAACCGATGCTTCAGTGGCCAAGGTAAGCTTCTCGCCCCCCACCGCAGAGGCAGCGCCAGTGCTAATTGTGCAGTCCGTGGTGCTGTCTGTCCGCCCGCCGATCAGTCTACCGCAGACTACTGTGGCGCCTGCCATTCTGGAGGAACTGATCGGCGAGATATCATCCCTGGCCAGTGTGTACCACAAGCCCGCCGCGACATTCATCGGCAAGGGCCGCTTTGGAGCCGACGAGATGCAGAAGCGCGCCATCGAGTAAGCCTCTCTGCCTCCGATGGACCTCGCATACTATGCTGACTTTTGTCCTCAGTCCTGAGGAGGAATTATCTCGCGAGAAAGCACTGCAGACCGTTGTGCAAGGCCAACAAGCAGAGAACTTGCTCGACTTTGATGCCGATGAGCCTTCGTCTGCTCCATCAAACAGAGACGAAGACTTTTTAGCCGCTGCTGCCCCTGGCGGGATCTCCCAAGCCGCCATTGCATCCGCCGCTAAGTCCAGTAATCCACTGGACGAGCTCATGGATCTGTTCTCCAGTGCAAGTATGGCCGCTCCCGTTTCCGCACCTACCGGTATGCCTCAGGCTTCAGCATCGGCGTCGAATGGCTTAGGTGGACTTGGAGGCATGTCGGGTGGACTGGAGGATTTAATGAGCCCGCATAGTGCTAGTCCTGTATCGAACGTGCAGGCACCGAGCAAGCCTCAGGCTCAACAAAGTCATACCGGCGGGGCAGAAGAAGATCTGTTGGGCCTACTGTAGGGTTTGGGCACAGATCCCTCTTGCATAGAACATGTTGAGCGAACATGCATCGTGGTGGTGCTCAGTCATCCCCGCAGCGCTGTTTCCGATGAATGCATATTCCATGCTGATGCTTTTGCTTGAATGTGTGATCCTCGCATGATTAAGATGCCATGATGATGGCTAGAAAGGTGAACATAACATTCTGGCAAAGACCCGTTAGACCCGTTATCCCTGTAGCCTGCCACACCCCGCCGCCTTCCTCATGATCTAGCTCGACCTGCGACAATGTCCCCGAAACTGGCCCTTCGTTCACTGTTATCCCATACACCGAGAGGTCTTCGTTCTTCCATACTCATTCGTCCGTTCCCTTTCCCATTGACGTTGAGTAGTTCGGCATTTGACGTGACGGGAGTCTTGTTAGGGTCTACTTCATCGTCTTCTTCGGGGGTCGACGTAGACATTGGAGGATCATCCATGGTCAACATGGATGTCTGATGTGCTAGCTTTTCATCTTCTATCGGCTCGTTTGCATCACTGGGCGAAGATGGGCTGCTGGAAGCAAGTCTGTCCCTTGCGTTGAGAGGAGACGGCGAGAGCGCAGCGCGAGAGGATAGAGGGGACAAGGTTGAGATGGGTGATCCGGCATCAAATGTTGAGCCGATGGATCCAATAGGCGGGAAATAGTCCCCTCCATTACGTCGTGATGCACCTTGACCACCTGGCGGTCCGAACCCTTGAGAATGATTCAGAGGGAAAGCCTGAGTCGTCGGTGTACCTAGAGCCGCTGATCCACTTTGCCCAGAAGGATTTTGAGGATACCTGTTGACCGGAGCACCGGGCGCAGGGTTGAGATTCGGATTGAATTGAAATGACGACACTGGCGAAGAGACGGGAAGACCAGGTGAGAAGGGTCCTGCCCCTGGCGAGAGGAAGTGAGGGTGAAGAGGCGGTGTCTCAGGATAAGCATTGAATACGAATCCAGGCATGGAAGGTGTCATGGGCGGGAGACCACGAGGAGTGGCCAAGGGAGGTGAAAGGGGACCGAGACCAGGTGAATCAAGAGGCGCAAACGGTGGCATGCTCAAAGGACCGGGAATGTGTGAAAGGCGATAAGATGATCCATGAACTGGCGTGGACTCTCGCGACCGTAACTGGTTATCGATGTTGGCTTGAGTGTCAGTCATAAAGGTGTTGAGCGACCAGGGGACTTTGGACGATGGTGACTCTCTGGATGGTGATGGATTACTCGCGGCGTGAGATGAAGGTACATTCGGTGGAGACTGCGATTCGACTGCATGTCGCTCGTGGTCCATGGCTTTGTCGTGGCGAATATCTCGCTCCAGACTGACTCGTATGACGTGACCGGCGATCTCGCGACTGAACATCACTGTTAGCATATGATCGCCACCAGCATATCGACCACTCTCACTTGTTGTACAGCTGCACGGCCTTCGCAGCATCCTTTTCAGTCGCAAAGAGCGCAGTGCCAAATCCACGCGGCCTTCCGTCGACGTCCGTAGCAACGTCGGCGCGTATGATGACACCAGCTGGGCGTAGAAGATCCTTCAATTCTTGCCATTGCATGTGTAAGGGTAGGTTGGAGACGAACACGACACGGTCGTGTAGGGTCTGTGGTGGGCCCATATGTGCCCCTTGATGCGTCAAACCTTCCATTGCGATGGGCAGTGGTGCGATGACTGGTTTGACGTGGCCAGGGCCAGAATCATAGTGACCATTGGTGTTTACGATACCTTCCCCCGGCGAGCCGGCAGTCTTGACCCCGGCAAACATGGTGGGTGGTAGAGGTCCCAGATGACCAGGAGGCGGCGCACGGGATGGATGAGCGCCCGAATCGGCTCGAGAGGGTGATGATGACCCATTCTTGCCAATACTACCAGCTCCTGTACTTGGACGAGAGGGACCACTGGTCGTATATCCTGGAGCCATGGCAGGAGAACTTGATCGTGGGAGGGATCCAGATTCCGAGGGCAGCGAATGCGCGAACGGTGTGATGGAGGAACGTCGCCGAGCATCAAGAGCATTCAGACTGCCAGGATGGCCCTCTACGCCCATGGTGAGAGACCCAGCGAGAGGGGAAGCCCCGTATTGATGCGTGCCAGTGCTATGACCATCGCTTGGATTCGGGCTGGCCCCTGACAAGGCTGGCGAAGATGATGAAAGGCCCATGGCGGACGGTTGGGGACTGAGATTGATGGGGTGAGCACCTGGCGGGAGTCCCATGATGCCAGACGACAAGTGTGAACCAAAGGGAGGATGCGGACTTTGGGACAAGTGAGAGGGAGGACGAACGGCGCCATGGCCGTGATTTGGCATTTGACCACCTGGTGGCCAAGGTGGACCATGGGAAGGTGTCAGATTGCCGGCGAGGGCGAAGGGAGCATGTCCAGCGCCAGACATGTTGTGATAGGTATACATTTGACCTCCTCTTGGTCCTCCATTGCCGAGATGAAGAGGATGGGGTTGAGCCTCATACTCGGGTGGCAAGCGGTCAGGACGGACTTCTAGAGTCCTTGTTTGCCAAGTGAAGCCGTTGAATCGGTCTAGGTAGAGTCAGCAAGAGCCTTGGCATAAATTGTGCGTGACCATCTCACCTATAGCTCGAGCGGCGTCCTCTCTGCTACCCATAAGGACCGTCCCGTATCCTCTACTCCGGTTGTCTGGGCCTAGACTGACGTCTGCGCGTAATACGGTTCCAGCTTTACGGAACAGATCCTTCAAGTCTTGCCAACGAACACGATATGGCAGCTGCGGTGGGTCAGCTGTGCCTTTTGTCAATTCCATGTCAGCTCACATTACCGACGAAGAGGTTCACACGGCCGTCTGATCCGACAGAAGCAGGTAGAAAGTTTGTCATAAGAGGAGTGATGGACCGGTTGATGCCTGTCATATGTCAGAATCCTTGATATGGGCAGACTTACCCTCTGGTATCGGGTCATTGGAAGGTGGAGGGGCAGGAGGAGCGTTGGCAATGGCAGCGGCGATAACAGCGTCAATTTCTGCTGACGTTGGTGGTCTCGAAGGCGAGTATGACCTCGGGCCGGGATGCGCAGGGATTGGCGGAGGATGTGCATTGTCATTGAAGCTCTGTGAGATGTGGAATAAGAAGGGAAATGTAGGCGGCGGGACGAGGAGAGTGGGCGAAGTGGTGGTAGATTGACGTGGCAGGGAGATATCTTCGTCAGCGTTCATGGTAGGAAGGTTGATGGTTCAGAGACAGTGGGGAGAGACTCGCAGGGCGGTGCCGGATAGCCCCTCAGCATCAGGGAGCAGATAGTGTCAAAAATGGCGAGAGATGATATCAAAGAGATATAGAGTAGCGTGATGAAAAGAACAGAGAAGGACACTTCAACTCACACTCGACGGAATATCTCCACCTGTTGGAATTTCATCATTGTTCCTGGAATCGTTGACGACAGATATCGAACCGATGGCCGCACGACCCAAGTCCATGCTTGAGGTGGTCTTGCTCCCTCGAGCTAGCCACTGATCTCTCTGTGATCAATCCGCTTCAGATCGTGACCCCCTAGTCCAGCTCTGGCTAGTCAAAGGAGGATCACAACGAACGAGCGCCGAGTCCGCCCTGCGAAGCGGACTAGTCGTCACACGCGGTTGCCGCGTGAGCTCGGCCGGAGAGCTTGAAAATCGTGAAAGGGAGTGTAAGCGGGGGCGAATGGTCTTGGTGCTGTGTATGTGAGAAGGATCGTGTATTATACAGGTCTTGACGATGATTGAACGCGCCGTTGAAGCTCTTGGTGGTGAGATCAGGTTCTCGGGATGGGAAAAAAGCGGTCGTTTGGCGGTGATGTCAGATGCGAACAAAGAAGAACCCGGATGATTATCGAATACCAGTCTAGCCAACGAGTTTCCCTGAGAGCCACAGCGGCCAGTGAAGCCAGACGAAGACCTCGGGCAGGCTGGATCAAGCCTGTTGGATGATGAGCCCAGGTATCGATGAGCGATGTGAAGAGAGAGAGAGAGATGATACACAATAGACAGGTGAGACCTGCGCAGCTGTCACGATCTCTCTCTCTTCAAATTGAATTTTGACGCTAATGTAATAATGGGAAAAACGGATTGATTGATACCCGGAAGCAGCGTAGTACATCTGTCGTCATGCCCAATGGGGCACGTGGGTTCACATGTAGAGTCAGTCATGGCAGCCATGGCAGGCAGGCCAGCCAGCCAGCGGTTGGGCATGCATGACAGATCATGGATGCATAGGTAAGATGCAGTTGAAGTTTGATCATGCTATTGACGGTCTAAATCTCCCAGCACGTTCCTTTGATTCGTCTTGTACTGTGGCAGCCAGCAACTTATTAGCCACAGTCACTCTGGGTGGTGTGTATCCTGCGCACTTACATTTCCACGCTGGTTCCCACTGATCAGCACCTCGTTTCAGCTCGGGATTCGCTACGGTATTCTTCGTTGACCCTAGCGACGTATAGCCTTGATCATAGAGAGAACACCAATGAACATCGAGTTCACGTAGAAAGGTCCAAATATCACCATAGGACCAAAAGAGGATCGGATGAATGCGTAGGAATTGAGGCCAGGAAGGATCAGTAGGTGCCAGCTCACTGACGTCTGTGATGCTCATCAGCATGGAGCTCGAGATTTAAGGGGGGGAAGACAAGACGACGAGCTCACCTCCATTCGGATCCCCTCGCCGAGTACCGACCAGAACACCTTTGACCCCTCGACCTCCTCCACAATTCAGATACTCCTCGAGAGCCGCTTTCATGCCCCCGCCAAAACGATACAGGTCCATACCATATCGCTCAGCAGAATCAAGGACGAACGTCTCGAGTTCAGGGAACGGATCTGGAGCAGTGATGTAAATGGATCGGATGGGAGGATAAGGCAGTTTTGATGATGACGATGGCGCAGAGTAAGAGGACGCTGTCGATTGGTCGAGCCGTCCATGACGAGTGGCTGATGTGGAAGACTCAACTTGATCAGATGAAGTGGTACATTGTGGTGGTAATGGCGGAGGCGGACGACTAGGCCCATCTATCGGTACGTTCCCGGTCGAGACGTCAGAACCCGATCCAGTCCGCGGAGATGAGTGTGATATCGCTCGGATCTCTTGGGAGAGCCGTCCATTCGACCGCTCTTGCCCAGCATCTGAATGTTCCGCCGTCTGATCATCGGTTGGTCTCGGCCAGGCATCAGGTGCCGATACACGCTCGTGGCGGCTGTATAGAGCCGCAGCGTACAGATGTAGAAGTACAGTACCTGTAGCACATAAGCTAGGTCTTAAGACACAGGCTTTGCCATGTACGTACAGTCTTTGCCTCCGTTGAATGATATGGCCACAGCTTCCTCTCTGGGACACGGGAATCAGCGCCATTTCTCGCTGGTCACGGACGAGAATCAATGAGCTAGAAGGGGCAGACGATGTGCGAGCTGCCTCAGATACTATCTCTAGAAGCTCTTGGGCCTATCGCGATCCCTGGTCGGTCACTCACCCAAGGCTCTGAAGCTGCTGATCTATCAAATCGAGCGCATTCGCGATTTTATGACCGAGATCGTCTTTCCGTTTTGCACGCTGTAAGACTCGATCGAGCTCTGTCGCCGATATCGGTGAGACTGTCATCTGTTTCAGGGTGCTTGAGGATCACCGCTGGAGGCTCCAATATCGAGTCACTCGTCGTTGTTGACCAGTACTACCTCTAATAACAACGATCTAGTCTGTTCGCTGAGTGAACGTCATAAGGTATATGTCGCGTGTAGATTCGCATCACGTGACTTTACTCTCCCGGCCGTCACTTCGGAACTTCCTACGCATCAAAACGGGGAATAAACGGCACCCACATCATTCTCATTCTTTCAATTTCATCTGGCAGCAGCAGCGATCACAATTGGAGCACACCGGACACGCTCATTGAGACCATTTCGACACCATGTCTGGATAGAACTTGGCTGAACTCGCGTCAACAGAGAGATCTGCGACGTCAGACAGACAGGCGAAGCAAGGAAACAGAGTGTCGCATCGGAGAGAGAGGCCTTTGTGCTCTTCCAAACATGTCGAACCCGAATGTCACGATGGAACCAACGTACCAAAATGGCAGTATGGTCGCATCGACCTCAAAGGTCAACACGGTGGAGTCCAATGGTCACATCGATTTGTCCGAGCCCATGATGGACGGTCCTAAACCGACAACGGTACATCCGCATAACCCGCAATTGGGACCTGAGCCATGGTTCACATATCCCACTCCGACCCCGTCGCAGCTAGAGCAGGACCTACCGCCTTACGATGAGATTGAAGGGGTACCTCTTGGTCTGGTGTTGGACAGAGTGGTCCGAAAGGGATACGGGGACATGAAGACCTTGTTGGGGCAAACGTGAGTCACGACGCATTTTGTTTTCTGTTTCTCCGAGATTGTAAGGCCATGACCGTAAATGACACCTGCATCCTGCTTAGACTGCCTTCGGCGACTACCAAGAATCGACCTAGACATGTCATCGAGTATGCCAAATCCCAGCGTCAAGCCGTCTTGAAATACTTGGCTGTGTTACGATGGAAAATGGCAGTGGACATTGACATCCCCGGTCCATCTACAGCGTCTCACCCGCATCCTCTGGCACAGCATGCCTACAATGCCAATTCTCATCCGACACCTTCTTTCCCGACTCCTCATTCTATCGGCGAATCTAGCAATACTAGCCCTTCTGCAGAGGTCATTTCCGGCAAAGGCAAAGGACGAGCGACAGAAGACGATGGAGCTGTTATGCCCCGAGGCAAAGTCACGGATGCAAAGAGGATCACGCACTTCATGGAACATCAGAACAGACAGCATGAGCAGGCCATAGGTCACGTCCAGCATGTGGCAAAGATGATTGAGGCGCTAAGGTAAGTGCGGAGGTAACTCGAATGTTGGACAGTACTGAAATGTCACCTTAGGGAGCGCAATCCGGACCTTCTCACCGCCATCGCCTTATTGGAAACGGGCACATACTCGCGTCTGCCGACGGCCCTCACCGAATCATTTGCTCCTCTCGTACCATTGACAAACCGCAAAATTCTCCGAACCCTCCGGAAACTGAATAGAAGTTTGTTGTATCGGCTCAAATGTGTCGACTATGTTCCGCCAGAGCTCATTATCCGAGCTGTCAGGGATGGAAAAGTATACGTAGCTGGAGGAGGCAATCACGGCTGGAGAGCGAGTCTGACAATGGTTGCAAATGGAGATGGCGGGGAGGATTCACGATGGTGGTTGACAGGAATAGAGTGGGGTTGGAGATACAAAGGTAGAGGTGTTCACGATCCCGGTGGGGTGGGTGGGTTTCGTAAAGTAACGGGAGAAGCTAGGCAGGGGATACTAGAGGTTGTCAATGAGGAAATCCTCAGGCCTCGGGAGGAGCATGGGGATATAGGCGACAATGAGGATCCGGCTGTGGCTACAGATCATTCGGCCGACCGGAAGGTAGACGCTCCATTCGTCCGTCTCGTCAATTTTATTGGTAAGTTCCCCTTCTCCCTACGACATCTATCCGTTCGCTGACTGCTGCCATCCAGAACATCTCAATCTGACTCAGCAGCTGGAGGCACTCTACTTAGAGGCCATGCGATTGAATCAAGGCAGATGGAGAAGCTCTCTGCAGGTGGAGATGAAGAGGGACGAGAGTGTCCTCATTGTCAGATACTGGATGTGCGTTGGTGACGAAATGCTAAGTGGTAGTGACTGACATCCTGGCAATAGTCGGCCGCGCCCGACAGCCCCTCCGAATGCCGCTCAACCCAAACGTGGTCAAGATTCCCGATACATTTTCGGGGGAACACTTTCTATCGCCGTCGCGGAAACTGGCAAGCCGTCTATGCTAAACGATCTGTTTTGTGGGATCCAGACGGGAGGCGTGATACCTTCCGAGCGAGTGTTGAATTTACGTCTGGATGTCAAATGGGAGATTGGCGAAGCTGGGAGCGCGGGAACGTTGAAGGCTGGCGAAGTGATGGACTCGTCCAGCCTGAGAATAGTGGGTCCAGCAGCTCTGACACTATTGCTGACTTTGGTGCAGGATTCTAGCAATCTCAGTCTGGAAGATGCGCTCAACACTGCCGCTCGGGCCCACGCCACCCATCTTCTACAAGCATATACCTCGTCTCTTGACATTTCTCGACTTACCTTGCTGCCGCTCAAACCACCAAACCTCATAACACATCCTGCATCACAAGGGTTAAACGACGAACCCATAGACCACTATGCCATCCCTCTACCGTCAAAGCAGGGCGACTCTGCACTGAAAATTACTGTTTCGCCTTTTAATGGCTACATCGAAATCGCTGATGAGACTGGAAACGAAGGACGAACATTACGCGCACGGATGGCTACGATCAGTGTGAATGAATCCAAGCTGAGAATGACGGATGATCTTGTACGGCTTATCACCGCGGTGAGTCAAGTCGAGCTTTGAATATATCGCAAGGCTGAAGATACCTCTCCAAGATCATCACGGAGAACCTAGAGAACCAAATGCGGCAGCTTGGCTGGATACCCGTTCGCAGGCTGCCAATACGGTACCAAGGTTAGCTGATCATCTTGCTGCCGTGACGCTAGCTAATCAGGTGATAGATTTGCCCAAAAACGACCTGTTTCCCGCATCGTCTGTCTTCGTCCCTTTACCCACTTCTACACTGCACCATCTTGTTGCAAAAGTCACTCCGGCTGGAATCGTGTTTGAGCTCCTTCGGCTCGTCCGAACACCGTCAGATGGTGGCGTGATGAAGTTTGCCATAGGAGATCGGAGTGTGCTTGATATGGCGCGACTCAAGGCAAGGCGACCGAGAGGGTCTGTGGATCGCGGTGTGGAAGCCGCCGGGGCAACCGTGGCCGATCCCACTGGTGTCAACGCTTTGCTCTCTGCAGTAGGGCAGGACACGCCTGCCAGTCCGAGGTGAGCTGCCCTCTGCCACAAGGAGATGTACTAAGCTGACACGATGTAGCGAGAGCTCGTTCGAAATCGCGAACCGGGATCTCATGGATATGTACATTTTCTCAAAGTATGTCGAACCAGATTTCGACGAGTTGCCCTCGCTGACAGAGGTTTCCAGCGCGCTGGTAGCCCAGACCATCATTGAGCAGCAGCTCAAAGACCGCTCGATTCCCTACACCCTGCAGTATCCTCCTATTACAGGGAAGGGCGCGCCGAAATCCTCGTCGGCGGTGGCGGGAATGATCCCAGCTCTATGTGTCAACACTCGAGATCTGTTAAAGGACGCAAGAGTCGCCGAGGTGGCCATGCCGAGAGTGTATATCCAGATCCGAGACTGGTGGAAAGGCCATCAGTGTCAGGTGTGTCTGCTTGCGAAAGCGGCGATCTATGGCTGATACAGTGTGACTCTCAGGTCGTCACAGTCGTTCAACTGCGGCATCGGCCGTCTCTCGCGTCAGCAGCGACATCTCCGTTACCGCCGACCGTGTCTGTTCCGTCCACAGCTTCCAATTCCGACAGCATCACCCTCGACCCTTCATCTTCCATCGTCAGGTTCCGAGAGAATGACATTTCACGATGCGTCCCTTCGTTCCTCGAAGAATGGGAGAGGTTGTCCAAGGTTTTAGTGGTGGCTGGAGAGGGTGAGTGATGCTGGAGCCTGACGGAAAAGCAGGACTGACTCATCGGTTTCTCTCAGTGAATCGTCTCAACAAGTCGGCTCCATTTAAGCATCTTAAAATGCTAGCTTTTGACCTGTGTACGGCTACTCTATCCTACGCTCCGGGATACAGCTGTTCCATTACCTACACTCCTTCGGACGATTCGTACGAAGTGTCTTTCTCGACCACCACTGGGACAGACGGAGAAGTTCTCTCGGAATCTGCCAAGAACCCACATGAAATGTTGCAAGACTTGTTCTCGCACAAGTTGAATGAGCTGTCCAAAGCTAGAAATGTCAAGATCAGTCTGGCAAAGGCTTTCTGCGAGGTGAGGCGACAGCGTCCTGAGATCCACCAATGCAGCTCAGCTAACCGTTTTTTTTGCTTGTCTTCCTCTCTTTATAGCTTCTCTGCAACACTCTACCCATACTCCTGACCATCAACAATCTGCGATCAACCAGTCGCGATTTCCCAAAACTCGTCGTCCGATCCATCTCGGCTTATCGGCTCGTCTGGGATGTGGACGCCAAGCGATACGCTCTGGATGTTTCCTTGGCTCGTTCAAACAGGTGCATTGTATCTGACGGATCAATCGATACACTGGACACGTCTTGTGGTCCCTTGACCCCGATTCCAGGGTTCGAGCAACACACCATGGGGATCAAGACAGAGTTTGAAGGCGGAATAGCAGCGGAAGGAGCAGGAGAAGGAGAAGGAGAGGGAGAGGGAGAGGAAGGAGGTCAAGAGAAGCGGAAAGAATCCGAGAGGCTCGTGCTTCTCGATGAGGGAAGAGCAATACTTTGTCCAGTACATCTGGTCAGCCAAGTGATGACCAGTCTGGCAGCAGCAATAGAAACGTCTGTGGGATACAGGGGATAGATCATCGTTCTGGGCCGTACGTAGTAGTGTCGCGCTTCAAATCAAAATCAACGCATGATGTAGCGCATATGTTCAGGAACCATAGGTTGAATTGCGCGAAAGTGCCGGACAATGCTTGCGACGCCGGACAAACACACCCCGGTTGCCGCAGTGAGGACCATGCATCCTCCTCGTACGTAATGGAAATGATACAAGCCCTCGCCCATCGTCTCGTCACTGATTCGCTTACTCCTTCTCCTTTCCAGTGGTACCACGCTAGGAGGAGATGCAAATGTCAGCACGTTGCGTTCTGAATTCACAACAGTCAGGAGGAAGAAACTCACGAGGAGACCAGTTCTGCGAGCAGCAATGAGACCGGCTTTTTGACCAGCAGGAGCATCTCTGGCCATGGTGGAGGCGTGACCAATGTGTTGATGGTTACCACCACCATGAGGATGGTCGACAGGGTTCATAGCCACACCACGAGTTCGTGGCCAAGAGTTTCGCTTGGCTTTCATGGCAAAGTATTTCCTTCCAGCCTTGAGGAAAGGTTTGTCAATACGTCCACCACCAGCGACGATTCCGACGACAGCTCGGCAACGAGAGTTGATGACCTCTGAGAGAATATACTGGTCAGCAACACAGACTCTCCTCTCGGAACTTTTGGTGCCTTCGAACTCACTCTTGGTTCCGGAAGGCAATCTGACACGGGTCTTTCCATCCTCTCCGTGTCCAATGACAGTAGCATAGTTTCCAGATGTCCTGGCGAGCGCACCTCGGTCTCCGACCTTCTCCTCAACATTGCAGACAATGGTACCTTCGGGGCACTGAGAGATGGGGAGAACGTTTCCGACGTGAAGGGTGGCCTTCTTTCCACAGTAGATGAAGGATCCAGTGGAGACTCCCTCAGGGGCGATAAAAGTCTCCTTTCGAACCTTGTAGCGGTAAGGGTCTCGGAAGTGAACGACAGCGAGAGGAGCACCTCTGAAGGGTCTATGTCAGCAGCTTGTCCAGCTGATAAAATGTCGACAGGGGCAAAGAAGCGTGAGGAACCATTTAGGGGAAAAGTCTCTCTCTCTCTATCCTCCTTTGCTCAACAGCACACTCATTCGTCTCCAGCGCCGACCTCCCTTCCCAATCTGCCCTCCTCCCTCTCTGGCAACAAGACGGACCATCACACGCGCAAGAAAGAACAAAACTCACCGTCCAGCATCGTGAATAATGTCCTTTACGACACCTCGAATGTATCCATTCTTCTCGGCAAAGTCGAGGTTCCTCAGTCTAGCAGGAGACTTGTTGTGGTGAGTGTGGGACTTGAAGATCCCTCCAGATTTCCTCTGGGCACGGATAACTCGCTAGAGAAGGGGAGGAGCAAAACGTCAGCGAATGATGTTCCATCATGGGAAGGACGGAGCAAGCATAGGCGACAAGCAGCCCAATGGAGATTTGATCATCGCTGATTCAGCTGCTTATGTACTGCTATGCCCCCCTCTGCTGCTCTCGCCATGTACGATTATGACTTACACCCATGTTGACAAGTCGAGACGGTTGAAAGATGTAATCGTCAAACACTGAAGTCTTCCAACCGTTCAAGCTTTCTCCTACTACTACCAACCAAAAATCCCATGTGTGAGGGGGCTACGAAGCTACCGGACCGGAGAGATTCGGCGTTAATTTTTCAACTGAAGCGTGTGGCACCCAACATAGAATGCTTAAAGCCGATGGCAACGATTTATTCAAAATTGACTCGCCATTCCTCCACTCCAAACACCATCCGAGTGGCGACACATTTTGATGGCAGACTCATACAACGGGGATGCATGTGATCAAGGGCAGCATGCTTTCAGCTTTCATTTCTAACTCTCGATGTCACATGAAGGAGAGCCCAGTTTAAAACCCCTTCCGAATATAAGACCCTCACTTGTCCCCACCTCCACCCGCAGCTTTCCTACCAAAAGGACCAAAACTCAATCTAATCTTGCTCTTCTTTCCACCATTCGGAGACTCCTTGTCGGTGGCAGCGGCGGTAGATGACCCGTTGACTTTCATGTCATCTGATCCTCCCTTGGCGTTTGGCGAAGCTGATCGAGAGCGAGATCTTGATGCTGGCCCATTCCCAACGGATTGATTATCACTAGTCTTTTTCGATTGCTTGACGAGTAACCCTGCAAAACCCTCTTCCTCTTCCTCTTCACGTAATCGCTTGGCTCGCATCTTCATGGCCACATCTCCCAGATCTTCAGCGAGTTCCTCCGGTGGCGTACTACCACGTTCAGTCGATGACGATGTCTCGCTCGAGTTCCATGATGCGGAAGAAGCAGAAGGTTTGATGACGGGAGACTGAGCACCAGATGATCCGTCAGAATCACTCCCATCATCATAGTCTAGTCCTAGAGCTGAAGAGCCGTTGTTCCCACTGGCCATTCGGCCAGGACTCGGAGCAGACGGACGTTTTGGAGGTGGTGGGGTAGGTGCACCGGATTGAGCTCGTTTCCGTTTCTGTGGCGAGACCAAGGAAGACGACATGGGAGCTTTTGGTCCAATCTCCTCATCATCACTGGACGCCTGGAAGTAATTCTCCTCGTCCGCCTCGGCAGACATGGACCAAGTCTTGCTGCTGGACATGTTTGGATCAGGCTGAGGTGGGGGCGGAGGTGCTGGCTCATTGTTGGCTTCCCAACGTTGTGTCAGACCACGAATTATTAGACGAAGGTATGGTCGAGAAGCGAGCACGTCTAGACGAGCTTTGTGATTCTCAAACAGGTGATTTATGATGGGTTTGATGTTCTCCTAAGCATCACGTATCAGACATGCCTCACAATTGGCCACGAATGGCGAGACGCACCTTTCGAACCAGCTCCAGTACTTCCATATACGAAGAGCTCAACATGTTGTCCCGTCCATTCTGCGAATTTATGAGGTCCAACAGGGGCAACAGCAGGTCATTCTTGACGAAATATCGATGGATGAAATGATTTTGAATCTTGAAACATGTCCTCATGTATCGTAATGCGGCGTGACGGAGTGACTTGTCCTTGAAGTAGAGCAAAGTCAACACCTTGCGGGACAGCGGGTGTGAGAGGAGGAAATAGGCGGCGCGATGTGCTTGATTCTGATTGGACAAGGTGAAGGAGAATAGCTCAATGAGGCCTTGCAATAAGGATCTGCGTTCGCGTGAGAGGGAAGGGAGATGGGCAGGGGGTTCTGTTTAACACAGATAAGCGATGATAGTACTGGTGAACAACAATCTCACATACCGTTAAAATTGACATCTGGAAGGTCGAGCAATGGCTGATACAGTATCACTGAACAGTGGTCGTAAAAGTACGTCATAAACGATTCGGCACTCTCGCTCTCCTTTCGGACCGCAAAAGCCTGAGCGGCGTGAGCTCAATCACCCTTTGTCTCCGAAGATTCTCAACTTACCGCCTCGTCCATCCCGACATCCAGTATCGACCGGAGCGTGTCCATGGTCTGACTGAGCAGGCCGATATTCTGCGTCGCGTTCATGAGGCCAATCATATCCGCCAATAGCGTCCTACGTCGAGCTTGATGGGCCTGGAGGCAATGTCGTCGAAAGACGTTGACGTCGTGCTCTACTGCTAAGCTCAAAAGCTCTGCACCGGCATGCAGAATTTGAGCTTCGTGTCGGGTGTAAGCCCACTCGCAGACATAAAGCAAGCCCTTCTCCAACAAGTTGCGATACAGGGCTACCCGATTCGGTAATTGAACGCTCTTGCCCATGATCATGAGTTGATGTAGGAACAGAACGATATCGCGTTTCCGGTCATCGAGAGGTTCATCTGTTGATTCTGAACCGCCTTTAAATCCTGCGAACAATTCATTCAATACTCCAGCAGTCGAGTGCATGTACGAGACGATGTCACTTTGATTGAAAAAGATGAAGCCGTTCAGTATTCCAAATGTTGGGTCTTCCAGGACTCGAGCGAGGACGACGTCCTTGAGGAACATGAGCCGATAGGTTTGGTGTATTTTGCTTTCGATCACCGGATTCCGTATCTCGACGACTTGGCGGAATTTGGCAGTCTCCTCGAAGAATGAACGGTAAGAGGCTTTAAGGGTAGGGAATTCGGGGTCATCTGAGGGTCCGACTTATCAGCGACACATTCGTTGTTGGGATCAACGAGAACGTACATTCGAGTAGACCCAGGACACCGACAAACATGTCGTCCTGAAGGATGTATTCGAAAACTGTATTGTCGTTCAGAAGTACTGCAGGGAAAGAGATCAGAATCCGTGTTCAACCACTGGACTGATGAGACCCACGTATAGTCTGCATCAACGAGCACAGGGCGTGTAGATCATCCAGACTTTCCAAGTCCTCCGCTTGCTCATGTACCGCAATGCATTCCTTGATGTAGTCCTATAGCCAGTCAGTACGGATCCCAAAAGCTGGGCTCACCTCGCTGATTATATGTCGTACTGCCCTCTCACGCCCAGCTGGAGACTTTGTCTGCATCCGTAACCATATCTCTTGACTCCTTTGGTGGGGCCTTGTCAGCGGGATCTTGTGAGAATGGTGATTTGGACTCACTTAATATTAGCCAACGATGGTTTCTCCCACGTCATGCGAGCTTCGGTGAGTGTGCCTTGACCTGTACCTGAACCGAGTACCGGCGAGCCAGAAAGAGGTGATGATGATGAGGGATGTTGCGATGCGTCAAGTTCATCTGCGGATGACATGAGCTCAGAAGCGATGAGTGTTGATCTGAGCTCACTAGGTAAGCCATTGAGATGCCGCCTGACTTCCGACATGAACTGCCAGATGTCCTCACACCCTTCTGCATCCTGAAACGAAAGTGCAATATCGAGGTTGGTCCCCGGTTCAGTCCAAACGATGAGCGTGTCTAGTAAGGAGATTTCAGCTGGAATGCAAGATTGTGCAGGCTGGCTCACCCTGCTGCCGAGAGTAAATGTCATCTTTCTCCACCCTCGCGCTCAATAACAGCTCATCCTTCAGAAAGCCACCTTCGCCTTCATCCTCGCCAGGCTTTTCAGGAACCTCGGCCTCGACGATCAACATGGCGAGATCTTGAGCATCGTCATAAACTCCTCTGCAATGTCCAGTCCCTCGATCATACCACGAGTTCTCGCGTAGCTCGTAGACCTGGCCGAGGCGAGATGACGATAAGGATCAGTCACGCGACAGCGAGGTTAGAGAATGGCGCGGTGATAGACGAAGGCAAGAGAGGGACAAGAGGAGAGCAAAAGGTCAGCTCATGGTTTCCGATCGTCTCCGTGCTGCTCAAGCCCGCGCGCCGGCGCCCACCTTGACTCGCTTGCCATTTGACGGCCCAGCCTCTGAATCGCTCATGATGACTTCTTGGCTACTGTTCCCTTCATCACTCTCGCCCTCGCTTCCCATGTCCATGACTGAATCCATCTGGATCATCATCCCATCCTCATCATGACGCAGACCGTTGACCTCCTGATCAGATCCAGAGTCCTCCTGTCCTTCCAGTGATTCTTCAAGACTGGAGGCTCCGACTTGACCAGATGATTCGGATGAACCGCTTTCAAGGCTTTCCATCCTCTCCAATGGTTCTGATCGATTCTCTCCGTGCGTGGCCAGAATCTCCTCTGACGATTCGTCCAGACCTAAGCTGAGTCCATTGGCGAGCTGTCCATCGTCCGTCGATTTGGAGGAGGAAGCTGGAAATAGATCCGCAGACGAGGTGGTCGGTCGTAGACTGGCCATACCTCTTAACTAGTAGGGGCGTCAAGAGGGGAACGGCTTCGAGAAAGCTCAATTCCCTGATACACCCCCTATTTTACCTCCTATCTTGACCACTCTGCTCTGCGCGAGTGTCAGAGCATTCAGTCCTCGACAGCAAAGAGACAGGTCTAGCGGTGAGTGATATGTATATTGACAAAGAACTGTGACCTTCTCACCCCCAGAGCGGCGAATCACGAGGTTTTTTTTTTGTTTTTCTATTTTTTTGAGGTTTTAGCGGCAGAACCCATTAGGAAAATTCGTCATTAGAAATATTTTGTAATGAAAGCTAATCAATAATCCTCACTGTCTTCAGCTCGACCGTCGCGTTCACATTTATTGACATTAGATTGATCTCTTGAACCGTGGATTACACGATCACATTGAGAAGGGGCACCTTGGAGAGACTGAGGCATCGGGGCAGAATCTACAAGAAGGGATCACCGCTCGACGTATCTGGGCGTGCATTTCCCTGCTGTGCCACACCTTGCCGTGGAATCTCTCTCGTCATCCTCCAAAGGCTTAGGTTGCCAACCAGAGGCGACCCTCCGTAGCATCAATGGTAGACAGGAAACGCTCGAGGAGAGCTTCATTCTTGGAAGATACAGATCCAGACGATCTCATCCTGGCTCAACGAACGAAGACACCCCGACGGACTGTGGAACATTCAGCCGCACCACTCGTATTGAGATCAGAGAGTTCACCAAGCAAGAGTTTGACGAGTATCGCGGAATCATTCGGCCAGAAGACTTCTGCCATCCTCTCGCGTATGGGCTTGGTGCTCCGCGTAGGAGGTGAGTCTGCAGCTCATCATCCTTTGTATCAGGTCCAAGTGTAGCCTCACAAGTCTCAGGTTACGTTTCGTTAGAGGAGACGACACTGATACCTGATTTGAATAGGTCGGTCGAAGCGACGTGCACACCAGGTACAATTGGACGGAGACTCTTCACCGCCGCTCATGAGAGAGGTCTCGGAACCGAGTTCGAAGCTTCTCAGCAGTGAGAATGGTTCGTATCCCGCAGGAGATACAGGAGAGATCGGTCAAGCTGGACCCAGCACTCGATCACGCACAAGATCCCGTTCACCGAAACCAATGACCCCATCCACCTCATCCACACCCGCGCAGAAGTCTCAGCCATTACCATCCTCCTCTCTGTATCCCATATTACCTTCTTCAACTGTGTCTCATGATGCTTTATCACCCTCCCTCAACAGCAACCAGGTAGACTCACGATCCTCGCCTGGTATTTCGCCAGACGACCCCTTTGGAGATGCATCCGATCCATCTGCCCGGTCCCTATCTCCAGGATCCCAATCCCAGCCCCAATCTACATCTGGCGGTGATGCGCATGAACCACCTTTCGAATCAAGCGGCAGTCCGCCTGAGGACCTGGAAGACGGGACGGAAGACCAACCTATAGATCTGGCAGATACGGACGATGAAGCTGAGGAAGACTCTCATGATGCTGCAGAAGCATCGACAGAACCGATGGGACCGATTTCATTGACACCTGAGGCTGGTCCTTCGACCCGTATGAGGCGCCCACCACCAGCCAGACCGGATCTTTTGGGTCAATCCGTTCAGAGGAAGTACGACTGGCTTACAAGCACCGATTCACAATCCGGCATTCAAGCGTCGTCACGAGCCACCGGCTCATCACAGCCCTTGTCGCCTAGCCAAAAATCTGGGGTCCGTTCATCCCGAAGTCGGAGGAAGGGCCAGCGGGATAGGCAAGGTACATTCAAGAGGTACCTCAAGTCATTTGCGAGAAATCAGCATAAAGCCGGGATATTCGACGGAAACACGAAGCGGGCTTTCTACAGATTAGTACATAAGCCAGAGCCGAGGGACGAGACGCAGGGGAGAGTGCTGGAATGGCGATTCCAACGAGGTGCGCGAGCTCAGCTCACGTCGATCAGAACTTGTGTGCTAAATCATGGTAGATTCAAAGCTTTTCAGCACGTCCAAAGAGGAGAAAGATGCGTATACCGATTTGCTCTTGAAAAACAATCTCAAGACTGTAGAGGATATCACTCAGAAGCCAATAGAGGTGAGGAGTCGTCATATCGTTCTGCGACTCACGGTCTACAGCCCACCTTTTCACCTGGTCGGTCCAGGAGAATTGCGAACCGTGCACAGCTAGATGCTGCACAGCGTCGGTGAGTTGCGCGTGACGACGACCTGAGAGAATGAACCTCCTGATGAATCTCTCAGTAACCCTGCCATTGACGAGATCCTCGAGTCATTCCAGAAACAGCGGCTCGAAGATGAACAAGCGATTCAAAAGCGCCTGCGGCCTCGCGTACCTACTCAAATGGCCCCGGGAAGGTTGGAAACGGTGCGTAGGGTCGAAAGTCGGTAGCAATTTGTTAACCAACCTGCTCAGGTCAACTCGCATTGGAAGAATCCTGCCTTCAAAGTGGAACATTTGAATGCCGAAGTCCGCTCGGCTTCTCTGCAGCGCCTAAAAGACAGGCAGTGGCTAGACGATGAGATCATCAATTACTATGGATCTTTGATTCAAGCTCGATCCGATCGCTCGCCTAAATCGGACGAGAAGGCCGCTTTGCCCAACATCCACTTCTTCAATTCCTTCTTCTATCAGAAATTGAGCGAGCAAGGCTACGCAGCATCAAGGTTGAAACGATGGACCAAAAAGGTGTGGTCACATCATGCTCTTCAGAGACTCGCAAACTGATGGGGGATCTAGTTTGACCTTTTCTCGAAAGACCTCGTCATCTTCCCCATCAACCAGGGCAACATGCATTGGACGGCGGGAGCTATCAACTTTCAGAAGAAGAGGTTGGAGTATTTTGATTCTCTGTCACAGTATCCAGGTCAAGGCGAGCCAGTGTTCGAGGTTAGCAGTCGATTTGACCGCACAGGCAGTTGCTGATCTGCTCACGGCATAGAACCTGTTCCAATACCTCCAAGAAGAGCACAAGGATAAGAAAGGCACCGACTTTGATGATTCAGACTGGAAAAAGGTGTTCAACATTGTGAGTCACATGACGAGTCTATCCATCGCACATCAGCCTCGGCGCCAGGGCTGACGCATTTTAACTCAAGAACACACCGCAGCAAAACAATGGATCAGATTGCGGTGTCTTTTCCTCCCAGACGCTCGAGCTACTGTCTCGAGGGAAAGACCTGTCGAAACCTGAAGAGTTTGACTTTACTTGCGAGCATATGCCATACCTTCGACGACTGATGGTTTGGGAGATTGCGGAGGGAAAGCTGGAGCCGAGATGGCCGAAAGAAGGGTAGAGGGAGGCGTAGGGTCAAGTCCCGAAAGATCAGCAATCAGCCGCGATAGGCAGATAGCCAGTCGCCTTCAGTGTTATAATCTCTATCGAAGAAAAGAAATGTATCATTTTCTTGGTTACGTGGTAACCTGGCGTACAGGTTGGATGCATGACAATAAGCAAAATTGATGGTCTACGTCGCACACTGCGTAGCAACGGAATCAAGATGTACCAAACCCCCACTTCTCTCCTACTGCCCTCAACAAGTAACTACTTTCGCTTCTTGTTTTCCTTTTTTGAACCCGACGCAGCAGAGGAACCCGACGCTGCCTCCTCTGCTGCTCGCTTCGCTCTCAGTTCCTTCAAAGCCGCTTCCATCTTTTCTCTACTCTTCTTGTTGTCCGTGGGTTTAGGAGCAGCTGCCCGACGAGCTTCTCGGTTGTTGAACCATTGGGTGGTGATAGTTGTCAATTCTCTGGTCATCCATCCAAAGACGAGCATCCAAACGATAGGTGGAATGTTTCCAAATCGCTCAGCGAGTCGTTCCTGTGGTTTAATGTACAGGTCAACGAAGAACGACCTGGGTGAAGGCAATATTGGGTCAGCGAGGCAGAGCGGTGGGCAACGGAGTCTAGCTCACAGTCTACCGCCTGGTCCGAACATGCCCTTCCACGGAGGTATCTCCTTCCATTGGCCCGATTTGATGTAGTTGAGAATGACTTCACCCTTGGCTGGGAATTGACGAGCCGAGAAGAATCGAAGGTTTTCACCCCCGTCGGTTATAATGACGAGGTATGGTGGTCTGTCCGAAAAGTGTCAGCCAGAATTCATGTGGTTGCTGCTCTCACTTTGACTCACCTGAAGATCTGCCATCTGGCACACAGTTTCCATTCGTCAACATAGTCGATTCGAGCCCATTTCACATGTTTAAGCAATGCTTTTTCGTCCTTGGTCAATTCTGTCGCTTTGTCCTCGGCGTCGGCGGCTTTAAATTCCTTCTTCTCCTTTATAGCTTCTGTGTAGAGCTTGACGGCGTCGTGGTGCGCATCAAAGTATTTGGGCGAGTTTCGGTGAGTCATGTCGCCGTGCCTGATCATCCCATGATCAACGGGTCGTTTTACAGTGTGAGGAGGTGGCTGATACGTACAAGATGGCAACGTAAATGTCCTCTTTATCGCCATCCTCCACGATCTCCTTGTAGTTGCTATCAGTCAGTCTGACGACTCCAGCTTCTTCATCGTCCATTCTCCGTTGGACATAGTCGACGGTGATTCGCTTTCCAGTCAAGTACGACTTGCCCACGTTTAGCAGTCGGTTAGGTAATGTCTGGTTCAAGATAGGAATGCCTGGAGTTTCCACAGGTGCAGCGGGCCTAGACAAGGATACAAGCGTGAGATTGGACCCAAAAGAAAGCCTGCCATGGATGGCCGGGGGTAGGTGGTCGGGAGCAGAGAGGGGGTAGGGGAGGGGTGACTCACTCTTCTGCCAATACGGGCAAGATCAAGCCCACGAGGAGCAGCAACAACATCCAAGCTCGAGCCATTCTCAGCATTGTCGGAGGAGAAAGGCTTTGTGGCCTGTTGGATGAAAGTATTTGTTGTGATACAAAATATAGATAGGATTGGATGCCGGTTGTAAATGGAAGGATCTAGCAGGAAAGAGGAACCGCAACTCCACACTCTCCCACAAAAATTGCCCCGTGGTAACCGTGCCACGTGGCTCTGGGTCTCGGTACAAGCGCCGGAACTCACCGCTTGTAGGAATTTCCGGTTACCGGTAATAGTATGCGAGCAGGGAGTGGCAGAGTGATTGATTGGCCCATCCACTTTGTCAAACACGCCCAGTTGCCAAGCATCGGGATTGCACTCCCAAGCGGGTATGCGACCTGAGCCACACTATGCAGAAAGCAGCGCCAATCTAGGTACCATTCGTGCGTAAAGAGGTAATATCGTATCTCGGCACGGACAATCGGCACAAAACTATATCTCATCGCCTTTTGGCAGACCTGATCAAATACCTCATCGTCTACTCCTATCTACCAAGTGCGGAGACAGGTACCATGGTTCGATTACCCCCACCAGCTGTATGTATCTGTTGTACCGAGGTGAGATCTGGAATAAGCTTGTTGCCGGAGTGCGGAGCACCATTTGAGGATGTGTATGACCTAATGGTCAAGGATGAAGACGCCAAGGCTCTTGAGTCGTCCTTGCTGAATCCTTGGCATCTCACAGTTAGAAAGCTTCGATGCAGTACGTTGTATGACCAGCTGCATGGCAGGCTCCAGCTGCCTGCAGTTGGGACTTGATGCAAGGGTATAATCCCTCAAAGCTTGCCGCCTTCCTCCTCCTCCTCCTCTACGCAACAGCAGCCAAAGCAGCCAGTGTGTCTCCATGACAGATTTCCACTGAAGCGCAATTTATTAGAGTTTCCAGGGAAATTTTGATTCCGTCGGAGTAAAGAGGGAATTAAGGGTGGCCAAAAATGATGAGAGAGACTCTATTTATGGGTCCCATACCTCGATCATATCCCATCCATTGTTCTTCTCACTTCATTCTCACACATAGTCTCAACCCAAGGTCAATCATCCACTCCCCCCCACCACGTCTTCCTACGCCCTCAACGATATGTCAACTCCATCAGCTGGAGGAACCACCGTCAATGGAAATGGTAAAGCTCCGGCTCTCCCGCCCATCGGAGGTGGAGGCGGATCGAACGACATTTCATACCCACCCACTACGCCAAATGGTAAAGGTGGGGCAGGTACAACCGGCGGACGTCCTCAAGATTTGGAAGAATTGCATCGATTCGTAACGGACGATGCGCCAAACTATGCTCCCAGTGGTGCGAGGAAGCCCGATAACATGGGATTGATCGTGAGGAGGCTTGACGAAATGAATTGTCGAACATGGAACACTGATCAATGTATGATTTTCGATAGACCGTCCAACCGCTCAGGCGAAATGAGTGAGCGTTTCTGCATCATGTCAAGGGGCTACCTACTGATACGTTCCGGCAGGATGCAACCATCCTATGCTCAAGATCTTGGAACCGGAGCCATCGAGGTCAGTTGCTCATTTTTCCGATCCGGGCGTGATCCGATGCCCGGCGTCGGATCCTTCGTGACGTGTTGCAATTCTGACGGCCCCCCCTTTGCAGCACGGATTCTACGGGTCCATGATTCAAGGTCTCGGCCAATGCGTCGGAACCATTGGAATGATTCCCTGCTGCCCATTGCCCAATCCATTCAAGAATGTCGGTGAGTCAGGCGGGAATCTATGCGCTGTGGCACTTGCTCAGTTTCACCCTCCAGACCAAGGTTCCGTCGGTCTAGTCAGTCGATTCGGACAATTCTACAAGGTGAGACGGGTCTATGTGTGGCGTGATCTGGCCTCATCTTCGCAGTCCGTCGACCCAGGTTTGGTCAGGGTCAACGTTTGCTCGGAAAGCATCCGAGTCGTTGGTGAGTTGGGCAGCGCCCCGGGAACGGACCTTGAGTGACACCTTTGCAGATGTCAAAATCCAACTGACTACCGTCCCTCGACAAACGGTCCAGACCAAAGACAACGTTTCTGTGGAAATTGACAGGTGAGCACCAAGTGTCGTCTCTCCGCCTCGTTCAGTCATTAATGAGTGGCTCAGTGTTATTTGTTGGCACGGTGAGCTAGAACTCTGCAGCCTTCTCATCTAGTCAAGCTGACTCGTGCAGTCGTTTCACCCTACCGAGCAGCCTTTGGTATCAACAACGTCACCACAGCTCTTATGGAGCGATCCCGTCAGTCGTGTCTCTTTCCTTATGACGCCTGGCTTACTATCGCTATCAGAAACTACCTTGCGACAGGTCGTTGGAGGTCGAGTCCTGCAAAGTGTCATCTCCGACCGAGAAGGTCTCGCCGCTGAAGTTGCAGAGATTGTGAGTGTTGAAGGTCCTTATCACAGTCAATACCACTTATACACATGCGCGCGAAGATTGAAGCCACCGCTGAAAAGTGGGGTGTGGCAATCGAGTCCATATTGCTCAAAGATATCAATTTCTCTGTCGAACTTCAACAATCTCTCTCTTCCGCCGCAACCCAGAAACGTATCGGAGAGTCCAAGGTCATCGCGGCCAGAGCTGAAGTCGATGCAGCCAAGTTGATGCGACAAGGTGAGTTTCCTGAAAAGAAAACAAGGGGAAGAAGATAGGTGCTCACCACTCATTCTCCAGCCGCCGACATTCTTGCTTCACCTGCTGCCATGCAAATCAGACAGCTAGAGGCGTTGCAAAATATGTCAAGGTCTTCAGGCAGCAAGGTTATTTTTGGTGAGCTTCCATGCCTGCTGCACGTTGTCTGGTGACGCTTCGCTAATTCATAAACAGTCCCCATGAACCTCGGAGGTATGGGTGCCGCTGGAATGGAAAACATGGCTCAGCAACTCGCTTCTTCTAACGGCGAACAGAACGCCACTGGAGGTCCTGGACCTGCCACGAATGCTGGTATCATCGCTTCCATGGCGAGTGTGTAGGCGTACGCAGGAAGACAATGTGGTGATGAAAGAAGGGAAAAGAGCTGTAGGAATATAAAGTCGAAGGAGATGATTTTTAATTTTCGTGTTGATTCGGTCACTCCTCTGAAGCCGCTATGCAATGTCTTCTTGTGATCTATAGGGAGCTGAACTCTGCGATAACATTATTCCCCCTTCGCACTGTGCTTGCCCTTGTGACTCCATCAACAGTCAGTAGATCGCTTCTTGCGTCCCGGTGATCGGAGTCGTCCGCCACTTTCACCTTGGCTCGCGCCGTTTTTAGAGTTTTTGCAGAAATCCCAAAGTGATTTCCATTGTGCATCGCTCGACCCGTTCCACCTTGTTGATCCTTTGATCGTTCCGACAAAGCTAACGATGGCCCGTCATCATCAGTGGTAATTGGAAGCTCGCCATTGCTTCCCTGACTGGTGGACGTCCGCTTTGAGCTGCGTCATGTCCCGTGATTCGCCACGGGACAATGTGTGGGATCGGAGACGCACAACCGGTACTCATGGTCAGCGAGAGCATACACCATCGAGCTCAATTAAGTCTGCAGCGGATATCGATCGGTCAGTGAGAGGAAGCTGGGAGCTACCTGTACAGATAGTGCTGAACATTCCCCGCTTTAGTCAAGCTCGAGAATGCTTTGGCAAGCTGAAAGATGTGCTCGGTGTACAACCTCCTTGGTCTAAAGATGTCGAGCTGTATCGTCAGCGGTGAGTCATTTCGGGTCATGGCTGAGAAGGAACATGAGCACGGAGCTTCATGGGGGTGAACTGGTCTTTACTGACACAGCGACGTCTTCTCAGCGTGCGGGAGTGCTTTCTTTCGTTGTTCTTCGGACACCCCCTAAGCACCTATTCACAATCTCTCGAACCAATGTGGCAGCAGACATCCTACCTGCTCATCTCATCCTATCGATCAATGACTGCTCGACTCGAGGCAGACCTACCACCGACCATGTCAGGAGGAGGTGGTGGTGGTGGTGGTGGTGGTGGAGGAGGAACAGGCGGTACCGGCGCCGGTAGTCGTAAACGTCAAGGAGGAGGACAGCATAGTCATTCGTCCCAGCTCGTTGAATTGAAAAAAGTCTTGACGCGATTCAGACAATGCCTAGTCTCTGAAGAATCTTTCTATCGATCTCTGATTTCCCGCCTTGTCAATTTCTATCAACTGCAACCTCTCGCCAGAGAGTACCTCAAGATCGTGACGATACCCATGAGCGAAGAGGTGGAGGATGGAGGTCAAGATCAAGGATTGGCTCCGGATATGGGACCAGAGGAGAAGAGGGAAAAGCTAGCGCTGGTTTATAAAGCTTTGATCTGTTTAGGAGATCTGGAACGGTATCGAGAGCAGTACGAAGATAAAACGAGGAGGGAAGTGAGAGAAGGACGGGTGCAATTGAGCAAACTCCAAGAGAGGTATAGCAAAGCGTGGACCTATTATGAAGTTGCGAGAGCTTTAGCGCCTGAGGATGGTAAGTGGCATCTTTCTGTGTTCTTGAGCTGAAGTAAATCAGGGTCCGCATTCAATCAACTTGCCGTCATCTCTTCATACCTTTCTGACGGATTTCTCTGCACGTATTTCTATCTCAGAGCTCTGGCTGTCAAGCATGCCTTCAAGAACATTCACGAGATCATGGAGAAATTTTTTCGCAAGACATATGAACGAGGAGCAGCCGAAGAGCTTGAAAGGCGCAAAAACCCTGAAGCAGAGGACCAAGCTGCTACAAAGACATCGGTCGAGGGCTTCCGATCGGATCTGTTACTGGTCACGGCGATTCTGTATCGTCGTGTCGGGTGAGTCCGACTTCACCTTGGTAGTATGTCTGACCCTTCACCAGGCTCTCTGCCTTGACAAAGATTCAGTCTCGTACGCTCTCGACTCTGCCTGAACTACTCCGCGAGCTTCAGCTACCCTCGGAAGCTATTGTAAAAGTTGTTGTCATCACCATTGGGGTCCACTGGCACGCCCGACAGAGCGCTTCGATGGGCGCCAATGAATCCGCCGAGCTACGTCAGAGACGTCAAATCACTGAAATGCTCGCTTTGACGTTCCTGCTCGAGCTCGCTTCGACCATGTTCTCGGTGGCTGCGGCAGAGGTCGACGAGGCGCTTTCCAGTCGAGCGAAAGAGAGTGCACTTGCGGATTCGCGGGATGAGGCTGAACTTCATCAATTCATCTCTGCCCCTCTCCGAAGGATGCTCCCGTCGTTCCGGATCATCTCGAAGTGGCTTAAATTGCACCTTGACTATGTCAACAGGTATCAATCATCGGCCAACACACCTTCGCCCGTTCATAGAGCCATTGGCCATTTCTGGGAATCATACAAGCGGATGATGTTGAATATAGCAACTTTTTTCCCTATCGATCACTTGCCAAGCCTCCTTGACCCACTAGAGGAGGACGTGGACATGCGAGGCTTTATCCCTCTCGCCAGGGGTATGGCTAGCAAGGCGCTTGGACCATCAGGAGCATCACTCGATGATGATCAAGCACATCCCGTTCACCCGAACGAAGAGCAATTGATGCGTATTGCAGATCTTCAGGTCGACGCAAAGCTCATCGCTCAGACTTCTTCTGGCACCGCAATGATGCGTGCTTCTGCCGCCTCTATGCGGGACACAGATCTCGCTTCTGTCACTACCGAGACGGAGGATGATCCTGTGAATATGGCCATGCGGGCAACTCTGGGTCAGTCAGGCGCCAGCGGTTTATCCGAGTTCTCCGACGACGAAGAAGAGGTCATCCTTTGGGGAGGAAGGTGAGCAAACTGGACCGTCAAGACATATTCTGTCATTGATACAAAGTTAGATCGCAAAATGTTCGGTCCGCTGGTGCTCAATCATCTGTTCAGCCGCAGGCTCCAGGTCGGCCTACAGCCCATGATCTGCTGCAGAATCTCATGCTGGACTCGACTTCCTCAGCCGACATTCCTCCGGCAGGAGTGACTCGAGGTTCCGTACCACCACCTGTCCGTACAGGGAGTCACTCGTATGCTCCCCCTCCGACCGCCTCTGGTCAAGGCTCACCTGGACTATTGTTTGGTGGCGATACAACGACCAGCAGTATCTGGTCCATGGGCAGACAACCCTCTGACATGGGTACTTTACGATCCACGTCGGGATCGGGCCAACCACGCATTGATCTATCGAGTATTTGGGCCAAGGATTCGGGCCATCCTCGACCTGTAGGAGATCCTGCCTGGGGAGGTCCAGGACACGTCGTCGGGTTGTCTCAGCTCCCTGGTACCGTTGCTGGTGGAGCACAGCAGTATCCCGGTTCGATCGGTCAACATCGACCTGCTTCGGATCCGCCAGCACCCGCACCAGGTGGATTTGGAGCGATAGGCTCCGGACAGCCACAGCCCTGGAAAGGTCCTGTCACCAATCATTCTTCCGCCTCGCCCCGGGGAAGTCTCGTTGCTGGTCATCCGACCCAGAATGAACCCTGGAAGTACGACAGTAGTTGGCCGTATACTGGCGGCGTTTCACAAGGTCCAATCAAGAGCGATCCAGCGATCGGGGCAACTGTTCGTGCTGGAAATCAGGGGCAACAGCAGTGGAATTCTGGCTCTCAATTCCCTCGATGATTGATAAGTCGTTATGGAGTAACGGAGCATTTCCTGCACCATGCCCATCCGGCAAGCTTTCTGACGGCTTGTGAGGGCTGCGCCAGCGATGTCGACTCTTGGTGAAACCGAAGTCCTCTCGCACGACCTGACATCTCGATCAGCTTTGATCAAAGGTCTCACGCAGTCTTAGACTCGGGGCAACGCCAAGATCTCAAATAGCTTCCATGTCCACTTCGCTCAATGATTCACCGTAAACATGACATTTGTTCTCCATTTGTATTTGACAGTATATCAAATGCATCGAAGCAGATAGTCAATACAGAAGGACCATTGTTATCATGGTGCCGCCACTTGTTTCTACACCTCGTGTGGAATAGCGTCGTTCAGATCCTGAGGCCTATCTGGAACCCATCCCGCTGGCAATTCGTACACTTTTAACCATCCGTCAAAACGCTCATCCCATGCTACTGGTGTGTCAGGCTTGACAATGTCGTATCCCTCCTCGGAGCCCATCCATCGCAATTCCTTCTTCTTCCTTTCATCCTTCAAATCTTGGATGGTAGTGAGTGATTTTGTCGATTTCATCTCGGCATCTGTCAATTGTCTCTTGCCATCCTCGAGATCATACACGTCTTGGACCCTTTCTGCCAATTTCGCATTATAATCCTTTCGAGCGGTGGCCATGCGTTCGGGCAGATCTTTGAAAGCTTTCTTGTACCATGATTCGGAGGCGGTCTCAAAGTCCGTGTCGGGTTCTCTGCTTGGTTCTGAGAAGGATGATGACGAGCTGACAGCCCCTGTGGGTCCTCTGAAGTCCCTGGTCTGCGCTTCGATCAGAGCAAGAGCAGCTTCTGCACCAGATTTGACCCTGTGTCTTTCGGTGAAGAAATCGTAAATCATCCATGGGACTTGTTTGAACCCTAGACGAGAGACGAACGGCACGAACAAGATGGGGGGTTGAGGTGGGAGAGGATATGGAGGAGTGTGCATCGACTCAGGAATAGGCGGAGGAGAGGCCGAGGAACCGGCGCCAGGGGAAGATCCATATGGCATAGGAGATTGAGGTCGGGGTTGTGGAGGTCGAGAGAGGAAGGAGAGACTGCTGGAAAGTCCAGTACTGGATGGTGGAGGAGGGTAAAGCGGTGAAGAGGGTGAGGGTGAAGTTGAGGTTGAGGTCGAAGCTGGCGGTGGAGGTTGATCCGAAGGAGTAGGAGCGTCTGCCTCGGGTTCTGGAAACACATCAACCTTCTTTTCAAACATTCCATCTTTTTCCAAAGTCTCGCCTATACTCTTCTCCCAATCCCAATCATCAACGCGACCCAGCCAACCACGCTTCAGTCCTTCCATATACTCCTTCAGGGACGCTCGCCCGACGATCACCGTCCCACCTTCCATCTCGCGTTGCTCGGCTTCTTTCGGATCAACCTGGACAGGGAGAGGTAGTGCAGATTCAAAGGCCGCCTCGAGACCTAAAGCTCTTCGACGGCGTTGTAGAATCTGTTTCTGAAGCTGTCGGGTGATGGATCCATGTAGCGGTGCACTCATTTGCTCATAGTCGATCGCAGCGGCCATGAGGTAAGGCTGAAAGGACAAGTCAACATCAAGCTTTCGCCCAATGGAGATGGTGATATCGAACACATGACCTCGTAGCAACTCACCTTGACGTATTTCCTGAAATACCTCAATGCCCTATCATCATCATCGTCCTCTGGCCATTTGGCACCGATCACTTTGACTTTTCGAGGAAGTTCCAAGCTATACTTCGTAGGTTCCATGGACCTATACCTCACTTTTTCGAGATATTCCTCCTTGATCCTCTTACATTGTTTCCTATCATCGTAGTAGAGATACGAGATGGTTCCGACGACAGTGAGAAAGATGGTCCAATTCCGAGATGGGAGGCGCGGTTTCCAGAGAAGGACAGAACGGGGTATACCGGTATGTTCGAGCGATGCTCGGAAACCCGTAAGAGGTTCTTTGGATGAAGGCTTCGGAAGAGGGTCAGATGCGAGGGTGGGAGGCGCTGCGGGGGATGGAGCAGACGAAGACGAAGGAACAGCCGGACTTGCGGGTGAAGCGGATGATGAGGGGATACCCGCAGCGTTGGAGGGCGAAGGGGTCGATGTTGGAGGAGGCTCTGCCATGGTGTCAGTAATCGGATCTTTTTGTAAGAGGTGAGAGGTCAATGGAATTGAAGTTTTCCAACTTTTTTTTTCGAAGACCCGACGGACGCATGTACAGTTCCGAGATCGACCACGTGAAGATGAACATCCAAAGCTTCGTGTTTTCACTGATTCTTGGGGAATTTTTGCGAATGTTGCAGACATCCGCGAAACCAGAGACGCATCTCTTACACATTTATATACAAGTAGGTCTAAGTCTCGATGCAAGATGCAATTGGGCTCATGCACAGCGTACTCGCTCGCTTCCGCCACACTGGTAGTTCACTTCGTTACCCATCGTTGCTGTTGAGAATGATTCGCGTTTGCCATTGCATTGAAGTGCTGAATCTGCTGCGGATTCCACTGAGGATTGATAGGTTGTTGAGAGCCTCCGTTGGTGTATGGATTAGTAGGTTGCTGGAGAGTATAAGTCAGCTTCGCCACCTCGTCTATCGATTTGCAACGTACGATGGGAGAGGCATATGGGTTGACAGGGACATTCTGCTGGAGTTGACCAAAGCTTGCGTTCATGTGAGGTGGGGCAGCCCTGTCCATGGCGAGTGGAGGGGGACGAACTGGAGCAGCAGGAGCGACGGGCGGTCGCGTGATACGCGGAGGTCCAGTCGAGGAAGATGCAGTGGAAGGACCAGCTGTAAATGTCGGTGCTGCAACAGAATTGGGTATTGCCTTTGGTACCCCTCGAGTGGGTAAACCAGTATCGCGTTGAATTACCGTTCCGCGATACGTGGGGTCGGAGTCTTCCGATGCACGCTGTCGCTTCGCAGCTCGGGCGTCTCGAGGATCGACGTCGTCACCTTCATACGCTTGGGCCGCTGGGATGGCATGGGGCAACTTCTTTTTCGGGACTTGGTCTCGTAGGAAAGCGAAAAGGTCCTTGACAGTAGCTGTGTTGGTCCGGATATCGCGGTGAATACTTCTTATCCACGTTCGCATCGCACCAATGTATTGGGCCAGAGATTCGACAGACATGATGCCCATACGGGTGTAAATCAGGAGACCAGTAAACCAGAATTCTGAGACCAGATTCTCAGCGCGAAACAGATGGAGGAGAGACATAACAACGTACCGGACGGAGCCACTCGAGCAGTGACGACACCAAAAGCTTTTGCAAAATGATTCGTTGCAATGTCCACCATGAGAGCCAAGGTCATTTCGATCTTCTTCTTGAAAGGTTTGTCAGGCTAGAAGGTCAAGTTTCAATGGCCAAGCTGACAGGACACCAAAGCTAGCTCACCTGATCTGCCCGACTTAAAAAGACAGTCTGTTGCACGTAGCTAATCGTCGATTGACGGTCGGGATAGTAGTATGCCAGTTGAACGAATGCGGACAATGCTTGATAGGCTCGACCACGAGTCTGGTCGATCTTGATCATATCTCCCAGAGTACCTTCGTGTGATATATATTTCTTCTGCAATTCAAGGATCCAGTTCGTCCAAGGTGAGGAGATGGCCTGCATCTTCTCAGCAGTTGTGAGAGGCATACCCATTTGCACCCGCTCTAAAGGCAAGGGAAAGCGTCAGCAAAAGCAGTCTCCATGACAGGCATAGAAAAGCCAACTCACGAAAGATATCTCGCATCTGCTCCTGTGACAGATCTTTGTACTCGACAATCGGTATCTGAATCATTTCGAACCTCCTCCGCAGAGCCTCGGGCAGCTGCTTCCCTTGTTTACGATCGCCGTATTTGGTGTACCAAAACCTTTCTTTGGTTTTCGGTGACTGGAAAGGGATCGTCCCGTCCATGAATTCTCGAATAGAAGTACAACGTTGCTTGCCGTCAATGCAAATCATCTGAACGTCGGCTTCGGGATCAGCTTGAGAGACTGCGTTGAGGAGGATCGGGGGAATGTGATAATTCTACAGGGAGGCGCTCAGCTGGAGACGCAATGCGAAGCCGACAGAATGCTTACAAGAAAGAGAGATTGTATCAATCCCATCATTTTGGTCGTACTCCACACAACGTCACGCTGGAAGGGCGGGTCGAGGTCGACATTTCCAAGGTGGATCATTTCTGTGCGCACCCATACTCAGCGATTCATTGCTCGACACGCACGACACAAAATCTCACCATGGATACTCTTTGTACTCAGGCTGAAATGCCTAGGCGGCTGAAGAGCACCTTTGAGTATTTGAGGCCCTCCAATATTAGGCTTCACATCTTCCTCCGAGTCATCAGTCAACTCGTCCAAGTAATCGTCGTCCTGGTCATCTGGGACGAAATCGTCCTCTGGTCCAGCTCGTTTGGGTCCCATCTCGATTCGCGCTCTGGTGTCCAGGCGAAAGCGAAGGACGAAGCGCGTGTGAGGGAGAAAGGTCGAAGGTTCTCGCAGATGGAAAGGCGACTACCCTGCGCAGTGCCGTCTGGCCTCGCAGGAGCAGGCGTCGCGTCGAACAGGTCGAGAGCTGAAAGACGGGTGGACGTGTCGGGTGGAGGTGGTGAAAATATTTCGCCTGCAACTGAAAACCAAGAAAATCAGTCCGGAGGGCGGACCTTTGAGTTACTCACCAAGGTCAGGAGCTCAGTATCTGTGACCTCGAAGGTGTGGGAATATGAGTTGGAAGAGACAGTTCAGTGTGGGTCTAAGATGTTGTATCCAGCAAGATGTAGAGAATGTAGAAAACAGCAGAGGGGAGAAAGTGGGAGGAAGGCCAAAAAGAATAGGAAAAGGGTAAAGAGGCAGGGTTTATAAATTTCCCAACTGGAGACTGATGATTCCCAATTTCAGCTCCACCATTTCACAGAATTGGCAATCCATTCACACCAGATTCCTCTCTGAGTATCTCAATCTAGCTTCTTTGGGTGTGTATAGCTTACATATAAACTCCCTCAAACAGAGGCTATGACCTCATTAATCCCCTGAATTCTGGCTTCTGTGCCCTATACAAGCTTCAATGCTGTTCTTTGAAGGATACACTGAACTTGGATGGGAGGAGATTGAAGTATATGACGTCATCAGATAAAGGGGTTATATTTCGTCCTAGATTGGCCTGAGGGCCTCAACCTGTACCAGAAGTTGTCATATGCATGACAAGTCACGTGCTTTGGCTCCATGGACGGTTGACAGCCCTAGTATCTCGCCGTCAGGTCGGTGAAACGCTCAATCATCACAGATACGTAAACTGCACACAATTTTCGGAGCGCGTAGCGTTTCACTTAATTCACAGAACTGGACAATTCTCGGGAAGCCGGGAACATAGTTCAACTGCGATAGCATGCTCCTTACGGCGAGGCCTCCGAACTTGCAGCGTACCCTGGGCATCGCCAATGGTCGATTTGCTACATGCGTCCCCTGTATGCTTTCGATGAAAATATATACTTGCACCACTATATCGTTGCCAAGTCTGCCCGTGTTTACACCGACGCGCGCTTACTCCTCGTCCTCTTCCTCGTCCGACATGGTCTCCTTCAACATCTCCAAGAGTTCATGCGCTTCGCTAAGTTGAGCGACGAGGATCGCCTGACCTTCAGGTATACTGCCATCGTCGGCGTAAAATTTGTCGTCTTTTCTCAGACTGTCAATCTGATGTAGGGCAAGATGGTATGGATAGAGATCGCGTGGAGTGTATGGTCCACCGTATTTCAGAACCTCGTTCAGGCATTTCTTGATCGTCGACAGCTTGTTGGCCTGGAGGGGTGAAGTGTCAGCGTGAGACATGGGAGTGATTGTCGTCCGACTGACGATCGGCATGAGCTCTTCTGAGATTGGCTCAGACTCCGAGATGAGGCGGTAGATCAGTTGATGGGAGCGCCGGAGGAGGAACAAAAGGGCCTGTGAAAAAAATCAGCAATTGAGACGGAGATCTCAACTCACATATTGTCCGTCTGCTTTGTTGCCTTCTGCATCCACAAATTTCCCGTCCACCCGCATGGCGTCGATTTCACGTAGTGACATGGCGTAGCTGGGACTCAGTCAGCTCAAGTTTTCGCAGAGGAGAGCATGACTCACTTGTAGAGGTCCGTCTCCCGCAGTGTCCATCGATGAGTCAACACTGTCCCATGTGTGAGCTCTAGGATACTGGACATCGAAACTGAGAGCTCACGCAATCTCTCCAGCTGAGCTTTGATTTCTGACAACCTGTCATAGATCGGCTTCAGAGTCGGTGATACATCTTCCTCCGCCTCTCTGGCTTTCAAATCATGTGCCATCTCAAAGCATTGATCAAGGATACCAGTGAGAAGTGCTTGTCCTTCGGGGACAGAGGATCCTCCAGGTCCGAGGAATTTCCCATCCACGCGTTTGCTGATGGCATCAGCTCCTGAACGAGGTATGCGAGCTCACGAGTCGATTCTCCGTAATTCTTCCAAGACTGCTTTGTATTCTGCTCGCTGTGGACGTTCCTCTGCTGAGAGGATGGCCAATTGTTTCCGTAGTCCGACGAGTTTCTGATGTAATGGGACCAGTTCGACGGATATGACAGAGACAGATTCGAACATGTCATTCAGTTGTCGCTCTGGTATGGTGTGTCAGCAATGCACTGCGTTGAGTGACGAAGCAGTACGACTCACCAACGCCATCCAGTTTCTTCCTCATCAGCCTGACGATAGGTTCGGGATGTTTTCCATCCCTCGAGTCCTGCTCAAGAATCTCTCTCAATGCATCCAGTCGATGTCTAAATGGCTCGAGATACGCCTCGGTATATGCACCCGTTTCATTCATGTGAAGGAGGATTTGCTAGAGCGGTGTGTGTGTGTGAGCTGGAGTAAAGCTGAGACGACGCTGCTCACCCTCATGGACGCGATCTGACTATACGTCGCTGGCGTCTCCCTACTCTTGCCTATAGTTAAGAAGAACAAGCTGAGCAATCCAAAGACATCCGCAATGATGGTATCGACACGATTCGGTTCTGGAGGCGCAGGACCCGAACCATTCGCACCGTTTGCCGATGTCGAGGAGGAAGAAGACGCATTGTTCGTAGCGAGAGATGTATGACTAGCTTGCTCATCTCGAATGTCGTTCAAGCGAGTCACTGTTGATTCAAAAGGGGGTCGACAAAGTCAGTCAAAGAAAACACGTGTGGCGGACCTGTACACCACCAACCTTGCTTCACGACCGAATTATATATCGACATGACATCTTGGGCTCGGATGAATCGGGTGGTATCCTGGGGGACGTGTCAGTGGGTTGATGCAGCTTTGACGGTGTTAGCAGGCCGACTGACCTTTTTCAGAGCTGTCAACCTGTTACGGATGTTGATGAATGCCTCGAGGACGGGCAGCTCCTCCTGTGAGGAAGCCGCCGGGTGTCAACATAATGCCTCAGTCCAAGGTCAAAGCAGAGCCTCTCACCTGCGGTACCATATTGGCCATGTTGGCTGTCGTACGAAAGTATGGGCTGGACGTTACTCGCTAAATCAATCGTAACTTGAATGGCATTCATCCACTGATCACTCAAGTGTCGGACTGGACCGGTTGAGTCGTCCTCGTGTCAGTTACCGTGAATAAAGCATCCGCGCCACATGTTGATATATCGCCGCGTCAGAGCCCACCGTTCATCGAAGATAGAGTGCCACATAAATGTATAATGCCGATATAGACAGAGCCTGTGATTTATAACGCCGCCCCCGCCCACAGCGTCACGGCACCGAGAGGAGAGAGGGGCGTAATCAACTGGGCTGGGCCAATACGCTCCCACCGAGTTTTAGCCCACGCTTCCCCCCTTCCTTCCTTCCTTCTCCCTCTTCCTCCCCCCTATCTTTCTATTTCATTCTATCACACTCACAACAACCTCTTTAGATTGTTGCAACCGACAGTTTCATCGCCTACCAGGTGAGTCCAAGAGCTACAGCGCTGCGAGGGGATATGGAAAGATAAGGATCATAACCGGGGCGCAACAAAAGAAAGCGGGAGAAACAAGAATTGGGGGAGGCGCGCGACAACCGTGACCTACGTGTAGTTGGTGGAGTCATCCATTAATCCTCCCCTCGCGCAACCTTTGGGATACTCCTACCAGAGTCTCCAACCCGTCTATCCTATCGTGCCCTTCCCACGTTGCCCTACTACCCATCCATCCATCTACAGCGTGCGTTGCACAACAAAGTCATTGGCCTCTTTTTCTTTTCCCTCGCTCCTCCTCCCCCCTTGCACCCTCCTTTGTCCCCTGCGTTTCCGACGTGAACCCATTTTTATACCATTCCGCATCCTTCTATTTGACATCGACAGAGCGATAGAACATTCACTGACGCTCCTGCTTGCTTGCTTCTTCTTGCTCGTCTGGCCACCCTCTTGCTCAATCACTCGTCTCGCCTCTGTCACACCGCTCACTTTATAAATCAATTCGTTTGATTCAACAGTTGACTCTCGTTTACACCGCTTTCAACAGTGAGTCGCGTCTCGTCTCCTTCAACGCGTTCGAAGACCATCGGGCCGCATATCATTGGGTTGTGGGCCTTCCCCGCAGGTATCACAACTTCGTGACATGCCGTTGCAAACTCCCCCTAATCTCTGCAAACGGGGCGATCCGGGCGTATCTAGGATCGCGATCCTTGACAACAATATCGTGCGAATGCTGACGAGTGCGTTCCTTTTCAATCTTCGCCGACCTCTCGCCACTGTTCTCTTCGCTCGTCTCTCGTCATCGCAACTATCATTCTTCGCCTGCGTTCGCAGATGTCTAATCGAGAAGACTCCGTTTACCTCGCGAAGCTCGCTGAGCAGGCTGAGCGATATGAGGGTGAGTCTGTGCCCTACTTTTTCCTCCTGCTAGCCGCTCACCCTTGCCGCATAGAAATGGTTGAGAACATGAAGACCGTCGCCTCTGCCGACCAAGAGCTCACCGTTGAAGAGCGAAACCTCCTTTCCGTCGCCTACAAGAACGTCATTGGTGCTCGTCGTGCCTCTTGGCGAATCGTCTCTTCCATCGAACAGAAGGAAGAGTCCAAGGGTAACGCCGACCAGGTCTCCATGATCAAGGCCTACAGGGAAAAGATTGAGGGCGAACTCGCCAAGATCTGCGAGGACATTCTGCAAGTCTTGGAGAAGCACCTCATTCCCTCCGCCGCCAGCGGAGAGAGCAAAGTCTTCTACCACAAAATGTGAGTGAAGCTGCTTTCGACGATTTGATGAATGACTGATGTCTTGGACAGGATGGGAGACTACCACCGTTACCTCGCTGAATTCGCTACTGGCGACAAGAGAAAGGACTCTGCCGACAAATCGCTCGAGGCCTACAAGGCCGCTTCGGACGTCGCCGTCACTGAGCTTCCACCAACACACCCCATCCGTCTGGGTCTTGCCCTCAACTTCTCGGTCTTCTAGTGAGTGGCCTTTCGAATACTCCGAGGCGTTTGTCTGATTCCCTGTGCCCAGCTACGAGATCCTCAACAGCCCCGACCGTGCGTGCCACCTCGCTAAGCAGGCTTTCGACGATGCCATTGCCGAGCTCGACACCCTGTCCGAGGAGTCTTACAAGTGAGTAGACCGGAAAAGCCGTGTCAGGGCTCGGCTAAGTTGTTATCAGGGACTCTACCCTCATCATGCAACTCTTGCGTGACAACTTGACCCTCTGGACCTCCGACATGACTGAGGGTGAGCATTCTGATCTGTGTCTGGTCTCTCCCACGCTGACATGACAGGCACTGGAGACGACGCGCCAAAGCGGGAAGAGGAATCCAAAGCTGAAGAGGCCCCTGCTGCGGCAGCTTAGAGAGAGTGTGCCATTACCATACCGAAGAGACAAAGAGTTTGACTTGCATTTCTCGGGTTCCGTACGGCGCTACCACCCCCTCGATCCACCTCTTACTACCCGTCATCCTCTCTACTCTCGCTCTCGCCATAGCTGTTATTCCGTCCTCTCCACTCTTTCTCCTCCTTTCCAAACCCCTTGTTTACGCCATAGCGTCGATATTTTCAGATGAACCAAAGTATTCGTTACACTGGGCAGCATTGCGAGCGAAGCAGTTGGTCATGCGCTCACTGTCCGTGTTAAGCCCCACCCCGGACAGACGTGACGCGCTGCATTTCTACAATCCATCGACGCGTCTGAGAGTTTGGGTCAGGCACCACCATGAGACGGACAGCTGAAATCTCAAAGTGGTCGTAATTTTTTGGGCAAATTCTGGTCTGGTTGGCTGATGAAATGATCGAGACATTCATCACCAAGCCGACCACATCCCCAAGCAGCATTTGACGTTCTCCATGACAGCCTTTAGAAGATAGCATAGGGTTGAGCGTGACGCATAGCAGCCCTAAGCAAGCTCAGCCCAGTCATATCATGTCCAGCTCGGACCAACCAGAATCGGATCCATCCACACCCCCTGCTCCTCCTCCTCAATCCAATGGGTTTCATGCATTTCAACCCGTTTACGATGAGGCTCCATCAGCTCTATCGACGGAATTGAGACCCCGGACCAACGCAACGCTGACAGTTCGGATCGTCAAGTCTTTCGAGTACAGGACGTTCAAAGCTATGGTCTTGCCGGATCTCAACTTGGAAACATTGACCGTGGGGCAATTGATGGATTTAGTGAGGGAGAGTGAGTCTGCTCTGTAGGGAGACAAAAGCCCTGGCCAAAGATAATGTGTTGCGGAAAGGGGTCCTAACTGAAGAGCACAGGACTCAAGACGGCACCTGGTTTCAAGCCGTTCCGGGCACTCCAATTAGGTGAGATTGAAGCACGCCACCTAGAGATAGTTTGTACGGTTCCTTGACTGACGCCATCTGCACATCTGCAGACACTATGAAAGTCTACACTGTAGCACACGGGCACAAGGTGATCCTCATGGTATCGTGCTGCCGTGCGCCAGGGGCATAAGCTGAATTATGGACTCTAGACCACCAATCTCATCATCAACCTCGAGAATGATGAATGGATCTTGGACGATCCCTCCAAGACCCTAGCAGAGATAGGTGCAGGTGAGGGCTGATTTCCCTTTCGCAACACTGGACACTTGAATTGACGCATGGCCCACAGAGAACGAGACGGAACTATCAATGTTCAACCGGGCAGCCTACGAGGCTTTTAAAGCGAATCCAGAGATCAAGTGGGAGTGAACAGATCTCAGTGTACATCGCCTCTCTCTAGGGTCGCTAGGTCCAAACTCGCCACAGCGATAGCAGCAATAAAAGTCAGGCAATGACCTGGAGGACATTCTAGAGGAGATTTGTAGGGATACGACGAGATAGACCTGTCAATCATATGCATTTTCTTTCCCTTCGTACCTAAGATCTCCCAAACCATCCTCCAAGCCATCCCTTTGGCTTCTCTCCAGCCTTCGGCCCATCTTCTTCCAGTGCAGGTGTAGTCTCTCGCGTGGTGCGGTTCGAAGCCGCCTTAACCTTTTCGACCGGGGCGTTGGGTTTTGCAGCAGGCGCTGAAGGGTGAACGCTATGCGCAGCTGGTTGAGAAGATGCTTTGGATGGAGTAGGTGGTTCAGATTTCTTCTTGATACCTGCCAAGACCTCGAGGTCGTCCATGGGCAGATCGATATAGTTGAAGGCTGTGTCGAAGAATACAGGTTTCGGGATACGTTCGGCGAAAAGGGCTTCTTTGGCTGCTGATTCAAGTGCTTGGATATTGGCTGCGAGCTTGTCGATCTCTTCCGATTTGATCGTGAGGATTTCTTCCTGTAGAGGGACGTCGGGTTTCGTGAGCGCTCTCTTGGCTTTTTGAGCCAGGGTATCTGCTCGAGACACGAGCTGCACGGCTGAAGCGTAGGACGGAGCAGGGTGAATACAGTGCAGACGAGCAAGTTGATAGCATCTACGTCGTGTGAGGATAATGCCCCGTACTTCAGAGCTCACCTTTTGGAGTGGAAGAAGGCTTCCAAACCTTCCGCCATAATCCTGACCCCGTCCTTCTCCTCAACAATCGCCAAAGATCTCACTTGAGACAGACTTTGCAAAATGGTATCGTAGAGCTTTATGATCGCAGCGAGACTCTTGACCGCTTCTTCGACTTTGACCCGACCTCCGGGGATCTTGAATATCTTCGGCTCGGAAGGGACAACCGAGGCGTTTTGTAACGTCTCGACTAGGACGAGATCTCGTTTGACCCGGTAAGAAAGGAGAAGGAAGACGATGTATTGATGAGCCAAGGAAAGGGTTTCAGCCGTTCGAGTGGATTTGAGAGAGGTCGATGATCCAGATGCCTGTCATCATTCATATTCAGCGAGAATGACGAGGTAGAATACTGTCTCTAGGCCTCACCTCGTGATCATCCAGTAGCCTCTTAGCGACTCCTTCAGCGTCGCCAAGGACGCTCAAGACACTATCCCAGCCTTTCATCGCTCTTCCCTTTCCACCTTCCGCCTTGTGCTGGAGCCGTCCAAGCGTTTCCTGCACTTTCAACATGACCTGAACGAACTCGGCATTTCTCAGGTCAATCTTGTCACCTGCAAATGAGACGTCTTGCAGCTCTTTCCGTCCCTTCTCCAAGTCCGCCGCGCCAACGGCTTCCCTGAGACTACTGACGAGGTTCAGAAATTCAGGGACGGCCTCTCCCATCATCTCGTCGTCGATGTCCGAGACTACCCCTTCGATATCGTGACTGTCTTTTCTTCCCAATTTGTATGCGCAGAATCGGATGAGTGGGTCGTACGAGTCAATGAACTCATTGGCAAGCGCATGGTCGTACGAGTTCTTGGCGGCGTCACCCATAGTCATCAGCAGTCGGCGTCGTGCGCAGAGATCCGTGAGACTCTCGGCCCAGTTGGATCGTTCAAACGAAAGTTCCGATCTGATTGACAAATGGTAGATTGTAATTTCCGCCAGTGTCCGAGTGTCCAGTTGAGAAGAGCTAGATAAAGACGTGGCAATAGTGTAAAGGCTTGTCGAGCTTTTCAGAGCAGCTCGAAGCCAGGATATCTGTTCTTTCCGTAGTGTCCTTTTGGGGATTTCGACATTAGGCTTGGATGAGAGCGATTTCAAGCGATGTGAGTGCGCCAGGGATCGTTCAGACGAGAAAAGTAGAAGTTGCAGTTGGCTAAGAAGTGGGCGCCGCGTGGTGCTTGTCAGTTGTACGGCAGTTGTTGGTAATGGCCGTTTTAACCCACCGGACATCTTTAACGGTATCCTTGGTGATAGCCACGGGTTTCTTGTAGACTTTCCCTTTGCCACACGTCAGACCCGACACCTGTCTCAACCTGTGTATCTTGTTGGAGCAATGACGCTGATATCGTTCATGGTCACCATTACGGATCCCGTAGACACCCCGCTCTTTGGACAGGAGACTGAGGACTGAAACGAGGAGGATCAGCTCGTGCATTATGTACCGTGGATGCTGTGACTCACCGCCAAAGGACAGATCGTTCTTCTGAGCAGTCATGAGTCAGTGCAGAGCCGCTGCTGACGCTTGAACTCGGGTCTTGTAGCACGGTATAAGGACGAGCAAGCTCTATTAGCAGCTCATTTGGACTTCACTGCTGCTTGCCGGGCGGCGCGATTATTTTCGGATTCAGTTGGCTAATTTACATGTCAGACTTTATCCCAAGGGACACACCCGCTTGTAGGTGACCTTTTGGGCCTACACTGGAACTCTTGTCCATTTCAACCTATACAAGCCACAGAATGTCTGGCAGAGTGAGTCATGGCGCTACTTGGTACAAGCCAGATTGACTCATGATCATTAGGGAGGTGGACGCGGCGGTGGCCCTTCTCGTGGAGGTGCTCCTTCCGGTGGTCACGCTGGCGACAAGAAGAAGCGAGAGAGTATATTGAACTTGCAGACTTACGTGGATCAGAGTATAAGAGTCAAGTTCATGGGTGGTAGAGAGGGTGAGTGATATATACGATGGTGGGCGGTGGCTCGGTGTATACGCTGTCTGGTTACTGGAGGAAAGGCACTGATATTGACCGGCCAGTCACTGGGATATTGAAAGGATACGACCAATTGATGAACCTCGTCATGGATGAAGTGGTCGAAGAGTACGAGAGTAAGTTGGAAGTTCAAGGACGCTGTCGCTGTAGGCTAATATGTTGCCTTTTATTCTTTTGTTTCTCCCCCACAGACGGATCCATGCCTTCGAGAGAGCTTGGGTTAGTAGTGCTTCGTGGTCCTAATGTGGTCCTGATCAGTCCCACGGACGGTTCAGCGGGTGAGCTCTACACTTTTCACAATCCGGACTCTTGGCTCACGTCGCAACGCAGAGATTGAAAATCCATTCAACTGATTGGATTCATGCATCCTTGTACTATACTCTAACGGCTCCACAGGCGACGACCTTGAGCTGATGCAACATAGATTGATTTCGTCCTGTGCTGCAGTACTCCCTCTATTCAGCAAATCTCCGACTCGATTACAACTTCTGAGACTATCGCCCATTCTCAAGAGGCACATGTTCTAGTTCTCTCTCAGGCCGCTATTTTATCTCCTGTCCAGTCCCACTTTTGCCGCTTCCCATACTTGGCTCGCAGCACTGCCAGTTTATCCCAAACCGCATCCCCATCGATGTAACAGCCCTTCAACCACCTGTTGACCTCCCCATCCACAATTCCCATCTCCTTTTTCTTCTCTGCTGAATACTCTGTGAACGCCTGTCGAGCATGCAAGATTCGCCTATTATCAAACAAGACCAGATCACCAGCCTTCATCGTGAATTGGTATCGTGCCGCACTGTCATTGATCAGTTCCTCGAATTTGGCGACTCCTTCGAGGAAGTCCTGGTTGCGATCCGACCACTTTGCCGAGATATCCCTCTGGACTCGTTCGTTGGGCGATCCAGTGACGCCCTGAAATGGAGGGGACCAAGCGACCGTCGTCCAGCCCCCGTGGGTACTCCTTTCGAATATGGCTCGATTAGTCAATAGCGAATGCCCGTCATTCTTGTATTTGAAAGGTATCCGATTCTTGCTTAATGCCTGATGTAACGTGGGGAACTCCTTGTGCATTCTAGATCGAACAGCGAACGAGTCAACGAAATAGGATGCTCCGCCCTCGACCTGATTCCGTAGACAATGCAGAAGCTGGAAGCGCGGAGGATTCTCAAAGTACCTAATAAGGATTTCAGCTCTGATTCCCTCCTCTCTCTTCCGCTGATGGACTTACATGAGATCCATGTGCAACCCTAGATTATGGTTCGTGTACGCCACGTTCTTGCTATCCTTGCCGAGATTGATGACGTCCCATGTTTCTCCGTAAAAAGTATGTCGTATGGGCCCGATCCAAGAAGCCACTTCCTTGATAGCTTTTGCGCTCTTTTCTCCGGTGGTCGTATCTATTGGGACGCCCTTGATCAGGGCTATACCGGCGGTTTGTAGTTGAGATAGTAAACAACCTAATCTGTCTTCCACCACTTGACTATTTGCGTCTGTCAGCTGAGCGTAGTCGAACTCGAAATCGCGCTTGCCGCCCGTCAGTCTTTGAGCTAAGCGAAGAAGATCTTGTGGGGTTCTCCATATTCTAGTAGGAGCCAAAGAAGAATTTCTGACCATTTCTCGATTCAATCTGGAGAGCTTGGCGATATCGTAATGAGAGATATGTGAATCTTTCTCTTCCCCCCACAATATCTCCAGTCTGGGAGATCTCCTGCCCTGTTCATCAGGGTGCGAGAACCGTACGAGGGGCCTCGCGAGCGGTTTATCGATCCATCCTGCGTTTCTGACTTCTCTATAAACTTGTCCCAGCGTTATATGTTTTTGACTCGTATTTTGGTCGAGGCATCGAGTGCAAGAACATGCTTCGCGCAGTTGAATATAGCTGATTTCATGGCTTGGAGCAGTGTCTGAGTCCGAAATGCCGGTGGGTGGATTGACACGGTTCAGGCGCTTGAAGATGAGATGACCGGGATGGAATTGTACCTCATAATTTGACCTTGTTCCCGGCTCTGAAGTGAGGACCGACCAGCTGTGGTCAGAAATCTGCTTGAATGAGTGGCCATGGTGGCTATTTGAAAAGTCCTCGAGTCCCTTTGGGCTCGTGTGTTGGGGTTGCGGCGGCTCCTTGGTACCACGCGACGCTTTGGTGGCCAATTCACGTCTGAGGATGAGTCTCGCAGACGTTGATGCCGGAGCCGAGAGAGTCCGAGAGGTCGGTAATGTGAGAGCAGTGGTCGAGATGGATCGGCTGACGAGTCGTATAGCCGATGTGTCGGCGCCTGTACTAGCAAAGACTCGCGTAATGTCTGACCCGAGTCCAGCTACGCGCCCACGCATGCTGGCGAATACCGATGTTGTACAATGATAATAAGCTGGGCTCGGGATGAGCTGAGACGGTTTCGGATTGGAATCGGATGCCGTAAAGCCGCTTCGAACATTTGAGTCTCCAATGATGGACCATCTGCTCTACAACGAGTCCGCGAGAGGATGGACAAGGGGCAGGAGGAAGAGGATGAGAATCCAGTGCGGAGCTCGTCGTCAACTTCTTCGGCCTTGGCCTTGGCCAGTCTCAACAATGGTCAAGTGCCGCTGACTTCCGCTGCCAGCACTTCATCTTCGGCGGGAGCAGCTCTGACCCGGTCACTGTTCTTGTACCTTGGCAAGTGGCCGAATTGTTGGATATCAGTCGACGCAGACTGACTTTTGGTCTAGGATTCATGTTCCGAAGACCTTCGAAACTGTTCCGACCGTCCAGAGGTGAGGTCTATCGGCCTTATTTTCAAGGGCGGGCTGACTCCATGACCAGTGGACACTTTCGGAGGTCTGAAGCACCTCGCCTTGTCGACTGATCAGAATCTGTCGGCCTCCTTCATTCGCTCATTGATGAGCAGCAAGCAGGGAGTGAGTGACCGGCCAACATGAGGGACTCACCTCATTGATAGCTTATCGCTGTGACACTGACCATCCTTCCGCCCTTACTCATCAATACCACCCTTGGATTTCTCCTGTTCACTTCTCATTCCTTCTTCTCCCTGTCGCTTGCCAAATTGCCTTTCTTTCATCACCCCCATGATCCGACCTCCTCATCATCAAATTATCACCCTTCCCACCTCGACCTATCTGAGACAGATGGGACGGATCGCATCAATCTCCATACGCTCATGACTGGACCGAGTGTCATCCCTTATCACCCAACGCTTTTATCCGCCATCGCCGGTGCGGGAGCTGGTCTCCTCCAAGGCGCAGCTTTTACACCCATCGAAAATGTCGTCAAGTGAGTTTCTCGTCTTCAAGTCGCTCTTTCATCAGCGTTTGACACTGTCCAGACTTTTGCGCGACTCCGCCAGCTCCATAACATCTATCCTACTCCGCGTACTTCAGCTACCCCTTCCAAAGCCTGCTACGACTGTGAATACGCCTGCATCTCCTCTTCAAGCCCTAAAGCAGTTTTTATCAAGCGAAAGCTGGGTCAAGAGTCCATCTTGGTGGACAGGATGGAGGTGGGCGATGGCTCGAGACGCGTGAGTCGTAATATACGTACATACCTTTGGATATGCTATCTGACAATCACACCATCCAGCATCAGCTACAGTGTATTCTTCGCTGCCTTCGATGTGACTCGTCGTGTCGCTCTGCGTGTCAGAGGGTTCATGACCGGAACCTATGAGCAATCATGGTCAAATTTTATCCTCTTTTCACCTCGACAGCCCACTCCTAACGATGAAGACAGCTCAGGGCACGCTCCGACTTCCGCTCGAGTTGCTCAAGCAGTGACTATCGTCACGGGCGGTGTAATGGCTTCAGTAGCTGCAGAAGTCGTCTCAAGACCAATACGGGCCAGTCAAAAGATCCTCTCCGGTCCAGAAGCACTGTCGAGTCGGTATCCACTCCTGCACACGTACAAGACTCAGGGGATCAAGCCCTTCATCCGATCAGAGACTTCCCTTGCTCGGATAGCTTCAGAAAGTCCATTGCGTCGAGCGGTCAAACGGCTAGGGTGGAGAATGGCAGCTGTTGGCCCTTGGGGATTTGGTTTTCTCGTTTGGGCGTGGGTAGGAGGAGAAGTATAAACTGCAATCCAGCGGCATCCCTGTAGCATAGTTTTCTTGATTCACATCGTTATCACCATAAACCTATGAATGAACCTATAGACCAAGCTAAAGTGATGCTTCCGACTGGCAAGATCCCGACGTAGACGATAAGATCCTGCCATAATCTTCTGCCTAATCTTCTCTTCTGTAATTGCCTCTCCTTCCTGGCCAGCAAGACATCTGTTGACGGGTCGTTCAGACTGTCTGAACGAGAATGAGCTCTAGGTAAATCCAGCGTAGGTGTAGGATCGTTGGCGCTGACTGCCGAAGGCTTGTGTGTAAAAATGATCGCTAGGGGAGATCGGACGTGGAAAGTAATGATGAAGAAGAGGGCTAGTTAAAACCCATCAGCGAGGGTTACTGCCTCTTCAGTACGGGACCAAAAAGGCTCACATGGAAGGAACCATGCGACTCCAAGGGTCAAGATGATGCCGATCATTTCAATCTTTTGACCAACCCATCCTCTTACACAAGCTAAAGCAGTGATGATGACCCAAAGTCCCAGACCGACCCAACGGCCAGCTTTGACACGTTCACCCGACTCTACTCCCATCGTTGAGAGCACAGTATCTCGACATCTCAAGATCCACACATTGCAAGTACCAAGAGATAGGAAACATTGGAAAAGTCGAGCCAAATTGACCCAACCGTCGTCGAGTGGTAGGCGAGAAAAGACCGATCGATCGATAGAATTGTCATCGTAAGGTAAGAGGTAATATGGGACGAGAGCGAATGGGAGTGTGAGAGCTAGGACGATTCCGGAGGAGATTAGGCATGGGAGAGGGAATGATGAGCGTTTGTTACGGGTCAATGTCCGATGAATGGGAATAGTGTTGATATGTGGGGACAGGAAGATCGCAAGCGTAGCTGAAGAGACTTTTGTCAGCTTGGAATATACTCCGCTGACCCGCTGTGGACCCACTGATACCAGCTCCTGCAGAGCTCTTTCCCTCAATGCCAAATGCTCTATGAAAGATATCTCGACTGCGCAGATCCTCTTGAGCTGCCTTGTTCAGTTCTGACGTGCGTCCGATGACAAGGAACACGACCAAGGGCAGTAAGAGGGCAAGATATGGAGACGAACGGCGGATGGACCGAGTCATACGGGAAGGAAACAATGACGGTAGCAGCTATGGTCTTTTGTCAGCGACGGGCCGAATGCTCGGGATGAAGACATACACATGCTGACGGGATGATTGTCCATAAGATGGAATGCCGCAGAGCAGGGTGATTCGGTAGGAAAGTATCGACGACCGGCGACAGCAGAGAATGCAAAGCTGTGTCGTTCAGTCAGCCAATGCCTCGCTGATTCTGATTCCGATGAAACTCACATCCTAGCCAGGGGACTACGAGACCCGTTGTGGATAGCATGACGATCCCCCTACCAGCCCAGCGACCATAGCGTCCGAATCTGCCAGTGACTCGACCAAAGACCTCTTCAAAGCTCCCGACCTTGAGATACCTGCGGGGATTTAATATCAACTTTTCATAATGAGTGACTCACCAAGCAAGGTATACGATGACAATATGAGCGCACGATGACAGCGCTATCAAGACACAGTAGATCGGGATGAAGAACACGACACCAGCGGGGAGGAAGTCAGACGGTATAGCGGAGAGGAAGGGAAGGAGAGGCAGAGGATGAGCGAGGACAAGAGGAGCGACGAGCTTGAACCCCCAAGTCAGCATGTTTTTGCTGTATTCAGTGCTCCTCCTTGGCTCACCTCGAACAGTGACTTGTCGCTCTTCTCATCACCTTCATCCCATCGTTTACGTCTTCTTCTCCTTCTTCCACTCGTACCGACTAACGGATCACCTTCCGCCAGCTCGTCTTCTAACATTCCCTCCTCCTCATCCAAACCAAGGTCATTATTTTCTTCTTCTTCTTCATCGTCCAATATCTCTAGTATAGAATCCGAATTGAAAGATGTTGATCCAGACCCACTTGCGGCACTCGCGCCGCTCTCTCCTTCTCCACCTCTGCTCTCAACGCTATCTGTCCGATGGGATTGACGGAGCTTGGCGGTGAGGTCATAATGACTACCGTGGCCGTCCAACTCGTCGTCGTCCAGACCGTCATCGTCGTCCGCCTCCCTCTCCTCCTGACCCTCTTCCTCTTCGTTAGAGGCTTCGCCCATATCTTCTGAGATTCTGCTCTGTTTTGTCGTCGTCGTCGCCGTCGTCGGGGTTCTCCCATAATGTAATGTACGGTCCACCAAGTCTATACGCGTCGGAATAGGAGTCTGGTCATCGTCCTCGTCCTCTTCATTCCCAATCTTTCTTCCATGAGCGAGTACATCATCTTGGCTCGAGCGTTGCTTGCCCTTGATGGTGCCTCCTTGTCCGCCTTGGCGATTGAGTAAAGGGGAAAAGGACGGAGTGTCTGGATGATCGGTCCGCGTGGGAGTCTCCTCTTGGGCAGACACGTAGCCTCCAGGAGAGGTCGCTATGGAGATGGAAGATGCGCCTCGTCGATGTCCCTTGACTGGAGTGATGGGAGCCATCCTCGAAACGACCGTCAGAATAGCCCCAAGCTACGAGAAAGATGGAGAGTGACTGCTGTTGGGACCTACCCCATCCGGATCATTGACAACAACAAAAAATGTTAATAAATGGTAATAATTCCGTGGAACGGTTCACAAACGGAAGAAGCCTCCTGAAATCATTCATGCATTCATTGTAATTTTGTCGAGTCCCCCTTCTGCCCTCTGTCACTTGGCTCCAAAGCCTCCTGTAGATCCAAAGCCTCCAGCTCCTCGACTCGTAGCTTCGAGATCCTGGTCTCGATCAGCACCGCAGCTAGATCGACTTGACTCACGTCTACTTCTTGCAATGAAACCATAGCGACGCGTTCAAGAATCAATTGAGCGATGCGATCTCCAGTTTTAACTAGGTATCAGCATACCTTGCACATGGACGGCTCACTTTCGAAATCCGTATCTGAGTGGTTATACAATAGAACCTTGACGGGTCCGCGATAGTCAGCGTCAATGACTCCTGCACCCGTATCGATAGAGTGTTTTGAGGCTAAGCAATTAGCCTCTCGGGATAGTCATTGGTACCCACCGAGACCACTACGAGGCGCGACACGACCATAAGTTCCCTCTGGACAAGCAATAGAGATCTGCAGGTCTACCAAAGCTTTGCCTCGACCGGGCACTTGAATATCCTCGGCGGAGTACAGGTCGTAGCCGGCCGAAAGAGGGGATCCACGAGTGGGGACAGTCGCCTTGTCAGATAATCGTTTGACGAGGAGCGTATCGGTTGGCTGAAGGCGGGTCAGCAGAAAGATGAAACGCTCAGACTCACCGCTGTGACCTTGGCACCGGATGAAGGAGCAGAAGTAGAAGCGGCAGGTTTCTGTTCCACGGGAGACTTCGCAGGAGCTTCGTCTTCACTGTCAGGCTGTTCGATTTCCAAATCTTTGGCAGCCTCTACAGGTTGGTCTTTAGGTTTCTCAGCTTCAGCCACTGTAGCTGCAGCGGTCAGTCCCGCGGTCCCAGCAGCTGCGACTCCAGCAGCCGCTGTTTCCGTCTTGTTAACCGGAGAAGGTGAAGGTTCTCGGGCAGGGGTCGGCGTTTTGGGGATCGGCTCAGACTGTGTCTTTGTTGGTGCTGCTTTTTTGGGTGTCGAAGCGATAGGTGTCGAATTCGTCGATACAGCTTTAGTCTGAAGATCCACAACTTTGGGTCTGGCGTCTTTGCCTCCGAACCAGTCGGACCCAGAAAGTGCGGCTTCGGAAGAAGTAGCTGGCGGGAAGATATCCGACTGGAAGTTTTCTGCTTTCCTAGGGACGATGAACGAGAGGGGCTCCACGCCACCACCCGCGAGCTTGAAAGCTCTTCCAATCTCGTGTTGACCTACGTCGAGAGCTCGACGAGGCAAGAACGTCATACCGCGCTGAGGGTCGGAAGATTTGTATTCGTTCAGGTAGTGGAGGGTGTCATTTTCGTATTCGTAGTATCGGATATTTCCATCACCTTTACCCGCGAGGAAAAGAATGTCGTTACCTTCGAGGAAGAACGGCATCAAGACTCCAGATGAAGTGTCGATAGAATCAGTCTTGAGGTTGTTCAGAGAACCAGTATCCCAGACGGAGACTTCCCGGTCGGACATTCGACTGAATCCAGTCGTCGCAATTCGATCCCTGTCGCCCAACCATACCACTCGGGAACCCTTCACGCCAGAATGTCCATCTGTGATTCGGACAGGGTCTCCCCCAGATCTTGGGTCAAAAAGACGAAGTTTGCGGTCTCGACAGGTCTTGGGAGAGTGGTCAGCAGATTGCATCGACTTTGTGCTCACAGTAGCTAGCAATGTACCCGTAGGATTCCAGCAGAGTCCTTGGATACTGTCCTTGTGAGGTTCGAGCTGAATGGTCGCGGAGTCTGAGCCTTTCTCGATGTCCCACAGTCTGACGATGTGATCTCCAGATGCTGAGGTCAAGACGTTGGAGGCAGTAGGATGGAAAAGGACCTGCCCTACTTTCCTTCGAAGAAAATAAGTCCTGGAATTCCTGTCGGAAGCTCACCTTCCAGCAACATCAAGTTTGGCTTTTGGCTCCAGGTCCTGAGGTTCCCAACCTTCCTCGCCCCAGCCATCGAACAAACCGTTCTCGACCTTCCAAATGAAGACTATTGTGAGATTCTGTCACCCCTAGGGTTGGCTCACTCTTTCCATCATCTCCCGCAGATACGACGAGATCATCATCAAAAGGGGACCAAGCAGTGTCCAGAACCGGAGCGGTATGTCCTCGCGCTAAGGGCAAGATATCGGGTAGCTTGGTTGGAAATCCGGCAGGCGCTGGCGAGGAGAAGGCTGAGAACGTAGGGAGGATCACGAATGCCTTGAATTGCGATTCAGCTTGGACAGCATCATGAAAATTGGGGTGTCGAGACTCACACCTCCTCCGGCAGCTTGCCAGTTGATGGCTAAATGGGTCGCACTTGCAGAGACCAAGTCAGTGTCCCATGCTGATCCTGTAATCTTGACATTGTCGTATCTTTCCTTGGCTTTCTCGCCATAGACGTGTCGGTATTTGGACTGCCAGAGAGGGGGACGTCAGTTCATGTTCTTGAAACCAAGGAGTTAGGTTGTGCTCACCGCTCGGATGAATCTGGACATGGTGGTCTTGGGGCTCTTGAGTGTAGCTTAATGAGCAGCAGAGATCCTCTTCAAATCCGGCTCTCTCACTGCGACGAGCAACTCGTGGGTTGATAGTATAGTTAGAATCAGCACCAGGACAGATAAATCGCTCTTTCCCCACGGGAGGGGGACGTCATTTCTCGCAGCGAGCCACTGACGCGCCTATCTTTTATTTATAGCGGTAGCAGAGGTTGATTCGGGGGTTGGGGTAAGGGGTTCATTGTTAGCGTGAAGCATGCAGACCATGGAGGTGTATGGGAGGCATATGCAGGGAGCCATGTGCTGTAGAACAGCAGCTACATGCTGCTGCACTAGAGGACGAGGAGACGGACTCTGGCACTGCGTTCGGTTCATGTTACGGATGTGCCACACAGACCTCGAAGCCTCGGTCAAGTAGCTCGGCCGATGCGCTGGTGTCGGGCCAGCCAAGGAACATGCTGACATGTCAAATTACATACATGAGTGCAGCAGATGAGAACGGCTCGGAGAGCAAGGAAGAGACACAGGCGACAGGATAATCTGATTAGTGGCAGTTGGTGTTTGGTGGCGGCGGACGCTGAACGATGACCTTGGCGGATGTAGATGAGGAAGTCATTGCTGCACCCGTCTGTCGACTACCGATGGACTTTCCTGAGCGCGAGCTTCTGCCTGAGGAGACTCTCGGGATGGTCGCGGATCGTGAGGCTTGGTAGGCTTCTGTGCTATATGGTACAGCCTGTTCGTCTCCCGTTGTCAGCATGAGTAAAGTAGGAGAAGATTTCCTACGCCCCATACTCACGGTGGCATTGGATTGTAGTGGGGCGGAAAAGTTCATACTATGGGGTTGAACGTATGGGGTAGACATGGGGTAGTAGTGATTCCAGTGAATAAGTCGAGGGTAGAAATAGGCGGGATGAAGGTGGGGATTGTACATGCCAAATGGAAAGAACGGGTAGATCATGTATCGGCGGGAGGTAGTGTAAAGGGAGCTCAAGGAGGAGAGAGAGGTGTCCGGGAAGGTGTAGAGAATGAAAGTGACTTGGGACGTTGTCTTGTTGTGAGATCGTTATGAACGAGGACTTGTATAGGACCTGGGTTCCGATCACTCAGTCTTATACATCTTTCTCGGCTTCAAGCAAGTGACGGATGCCTTGTCTCTGGAGCGGTGCGAGTGAAAGGAGGTATTCCGGATCAATCAGCCAAGGAGATTGTAATGGGATGTTTTGCACTGAGACGCGTTTGACAGTTGTTGGGCGAGTCCGATCCTTTGTATCAGTTGCGCACGCAAAGGGTTCGAATCGATCCTTGTCGTAAAGATCGATTCCAAGCGTAAGAGAATGTGGGAAGAAATTCCCCTGCTATGTATGAGATGGAAGCATATGTGCTCTGATGGAGTCAGAGGCATAAGAGCACAACGCCAGTCAGCTCTGGTCGTCGGCATGTCGAATAGGACAACAATCAGATGACATCCTCAGTGAACGCTACATGCTATGTGTACGAATTCTCATCAAATTAAAGCTGGGGAGCCTAATCGCCTATTCGCATGTCTTGACGGTGTAGTCGACCGTCTTGTTGCCCTGACCAGCGATCTTGGGCTTGAAGTCGAGGTAGACGAGCTTTAGAGGAGCTTTGTCAGTACATGATCGAATTGTTGGTCGTGTGACCCACCTCTCCCTTTTCAGGGGTCCATTGACCATCTGTGTCTCGGTAGTAGACGATCTCGTTGGATCCAGCATCTCGGACCTCAGCAGTGGTATGAGAAAGAATTCCATCGGTTGACCATTTGATCTCGTAGCAGGTGGATTTAGAGACGAGGAATGGCTTGGAGCATCGAGTGGTGCCATCGTCATCGAGACATTTCTCAACGGCGTAGTCCGTCACGCTACCAGAGACGACCTTGGAGGCTGTGGTGACGAGGGAAGTGAAGCGAATGAGAGAGCGTTTGGAGACGTACGGAGAAGGGAGCAACGGCGAGAGAAAGACACATGACAAGATCAGCCCACGTTCATGATCTGGTGGCGCAAACTCACGCTTCATCATTGAACCAGTCATGGCGAGCGCCGAGACGAGAAGAGACTGAGGCGTAGGGATGTACATTGTGATCTGCGGGATGCGCTGGTGATATCTGTCTTTGACGAGAGGTTGCAAAATAGTACAGTGAGGTAGAAATGCAAACGGACGAAGATCAGGTCACAACAGTTGTACTACATTATTGTCAAGAACACCTAAGCGTCTACAAAGGGAAAGTTTAAGAGGCCGCGGGTGAATGACGTCACAAGAGGCACGTGTCTCATCCCGGTCCCGGATGGATCTACCAAATGGGGGGTGGGGGCAATTAAAGAAAACCGAACTAGATGCATGGAGAGATACGATTCAATCACCGGCCGTACTCTACTAAGCCTAAGCCTTGTTGGCATACTGAGCCTCTATGTACTCTTCTAGAGACTTGTTCTTATGTCCGAGGATCTCCTCCACAAGTCCACTGGTCTTACTCCAATCTCCATCATGAGCACAGGTCGCGATGGCAGTGGTGAGCCTTGCCCACATCTCCGGTACTCCCGCCGCGATGGCCCCGTCGGTGAACGCTTGGGGCTCGACTTCTTGACGTTTGATCTCCTTTCCAGTGACTTTTGATAAGATGTCCGCTGCGTCCTTAAGTGTCCAGCTCTTGGATCCGACCAAGTCTACATACTTTCCATTCGTCTTGTACTTTCCAGTGATGATGTGAGCGGCGGCCTGACCCAATTCATCCCTGTCAATCCACGCGATCTGACCATCGGGAGGAGCGGTCAACGTCCCGGATTTCAGAGCGTTTCCAAGGAATGTATCGACGACGGAGAGGTAGAATCCATTTCGAAGCGAGACGAAATCGTAACCTTTCTTCTCCAAATGCTGTTCGACCTCATAGTGAATTTCGGCCGGGCTAAAGTCCGACTTGGCCTTGGCAGCGACGTTCGATACGAGATAGAACTTGGATACTCCAGCTTCATGGGCGGCTTCGATGGCGTCGATCTGGTACTTGACACCGTGCGGACCAGCGTGGTGACCGGGAGCCATGATCAAAAGCGAGTCGACGCCTTTGAAGGCTGAGCCTAGCGTAGAAACATCTCCGAAATCTCCTTTGCGGACCTGAGCTCCTTTGGCGGCGTATTCTTTGGCTTTGGCGGACGATTCGTCTCGAGTGATCAGGATGAGGTCTGAGGTAGGGACCAGAGAACGGTTAAGAATCTCGTCGACAATGGCAGATCCGAGTCCTCCGGTGGGTCCTGTGATTCCGACAGTCATGGTTGAGGATAGGGGGGTTGGGGTTGGTGGAAGCGGTGCGATGGGATGGGCTGAGGTTGGTTTGAAACTGGTGTTGTGAGATGAGAGCTGTTCAGGATGCGATGGAGAATTCTGATCAGTTGGACGATAATGGCCCTTTTTATACCACAATGCACCCAGCTCAGACCGACGGTCTACCTTTTGGCGGTTTTCTCAGATCTTGGTCATCTATTGATCAACCCTTCGGCTGATCTGAATCTAATCTGATTAATCATTAGCCAGAGGGGGGATCAACAACGGGAAAATTGTAATTCAAGCCAGTACATTTGTAATCGGGCACGTGACACCATTACAAATGTGGGATCCTAATAGTCCTTTTTTTCCCCTTCTCATTGATTACTCAGACTACCAATTCCAAGCAGCGCCTCGTCATGGGTTTCTCAAGGCTTAGACATCCGCCAAACGCGGTCTTAGATCACCCTCGGTGTGGCTCATAGTCAGCAATGATTCATTGTCCCAAAACTTGGAGAGAATGTGCTGAGGGCGATGCAGAACAGTATGCGGACTCGGTCCCGAGGATAGCCCGTACCGAGATGAATCCGCGGAAGAGACCTCGTCGTTGTCAAGTAAGCAGGTAGGAGGATAAGCAGCCCTTCCCCCCCTTCCAGCAGCAGACCTGCCACGTCAGAAGGCCAAAGAAGCGAGGCGAATCTGGCCGTTTGGGTACTTTAGGCGATAGGGATAGTCTTGCCACGCCACGACATGGGCTGGTCGGCGATGACCGAGAATTGGGGTGGGGAAGAGTTTGGCTGTCACAGCTCAATACAATCTCGTAAACCGAAGAGGCTCTGCCCAGGGCAGGTGCATCAGTTCAAATGCATGCTTGCCCATAGATGCGGCTCATAGCAAGTCCTGAGTGTGTTGCGGCTAGCATGATACACCTTCCACTCGCATGCACGCGACCACCTACCCTTTCCCTTCTCGGCCACCGCCATCGCAGGACAGCTGATTTTCGTTAAATTGCCGGAAACGCGCGTTTCGATCTGAGCAAAAGTGGGGGTAACCGCCTGCCCCTCTAGTTGCGCCGCCCCCCTTCTTTCCCTTATCCAGCCATATCGCACGGGTCCATCTATCCTTCCCATACCTACCTCTTCATCGATCTCACATCTACGCTTGTATCGTCACTCACACGCCATGGGCAGTCAACCTTCCAAGCCGGTGCAATCCACTTCAACCCCAATCACGATGTACGATGAGAAGAAGGCTGCCACTTTGTCGTTTCAGACCAAGGGAGACGATACCGTCGGCTGGGCCTCTGTTCCCGTCGATTCCCTCGCGGAATGGTCCTCTGAATTCGATTCGTCGCCTACACTCCAGCTCTCGCGGTTGATCTTGACGAACGCCGATCCCGTGACTAGCCTCACGTCTCGAAAGGCCCTTATCCACGATAACAAGGTTTTCAATCTCCAGCTCAAGGGGCTTGGAGCGAAGAATGAGTATCCTGGACCCAGAGTTAACCAGGGATCGAGCGGTCGATGCTGGCTCTTTGCGACTTGCAATGTGCTGCGATACAATGTCATGGAGCAGCTCAAAATCGAAGACTTTGAACTCGCTCAGGCTTATCTGTTCTTTTACGATAAGCTCGAGAAGGCTAATCACTACCTCGAGTGAGTCATGATCGCCGATCATGCATGCTGACGGCCAAAAGGAACATGATTGAGCTGGCCGATGAGCCCAACGACAGCCGAACGGTCAGTTTCCTCAACCGTGAACCTCTTGGCGATGGTGGTCAATGGGACATGGCAGTCAACATCTTGGGTGAGCGTCATCTCCCTTGGACATGGTGCTGATGAAGCCAAGAAAAATACGGTTGTGTTCCCAAGACCATCTACCCCGAGTCTTTCTCCTCCATGGCTTCCGGCAAACTCAACAACATGATCCTCTCCAAGCTTCGAGAATTTGCCATTGTTCTTCGTGAACAAGCCAAGACTCAATCCGTCTCGTCCCTGAGAAAGACCAAGAGCGAAATGATGACCCAGATTTACACCACTTTGTCCATCACTCTGGGCGCACCACCTCACCCCGATGAGCCATTCACTTGGGACTACTATGACAGCGAGAACAAATTCCACCACTGGAGAGGATCTCCCAAGGAGTTCTATGCTCAATTCTGTCAGCGCAAGAACATGGCTCCTAAGGATAGCTTCAGTTTGATCAACGACCCTCGAAACAAGTACGAGCACTTGTACACTGTCGAGAGACTCGGCAATGTCTGGGGAGGTCGACCCGTCCGATACGTCAATGCCCCTATCGAAGCGCTGGAAGACGCCGTCGTTGCTGGAATTAAAGCCAACACCCCTCTCTTCTTCGGTTGCGATTCAGGCAAAACCGGTGACAGGGTCTCTGGCGTTTGGGACACCGAGCTCTATGACACCAAGTTGGCGTATGGATGGTCCCTTCAAGCCAACAAGACTCAGCGTCTTGAAACGGGTGACAGTTCGATGACACACGCCATGGTGATCACCGCCGTGCATCTCGATGAGTCAGGCCGACCACTCAAGTACAAGATTGAAAACTCTTGGTCCGATCAAAATGGAGAGAAGGTGGGATAGAGGCACTCGCCAGCGGGCTTAGTCACTGACATTTTTAATCCAGGGATGGTTCATGATGACCGCTTCGTGGTTCAGAGAATACGTCTACCAGGTGAGTACATCCGTTGCTTTGCCTTTTTCTGAACCTTGTCCTCTAGGTCGTCATCCCCCGAAGTGTCGCCGATAAGAGATGGACTGCAGTGTATGACGCCGGGAATCCGACAGTGCTAAAGCCTTGGGACCCCATGGTAAGTCCAATTTGATTTCCATCACCCGTTTACACGACTGACGATCCATGCAGGGTACCTTGGCCTAGACTGTTTTCGGGCGTTTGGACCTAGTTTGTTCGCCAGTCTCTCAGGGGAGAGATATAGTGTCAGGTTTTGTTTTGTATGAAGGGCAGAGACGAGAACAAAAGATATGACAAAGAATGCAATCTTTTTGGTCAATGGTCCGAGGTATATCCTCCATCCAACCAATTTCCCTTGGGCTTTTCGGACTATTCAATCGTGCCGGTCGGTCTGAGATCCGATCGATCTCTCGGCATGTCCCTATACGGCCGTGAACTTTTTTTTTACCCACTGCTTCGGCCGACTCCGAGGATGAACTGCACAGAGCTAGTCACCTGTATGATCTCTACTCGGAAAATGGAACACAGTCTAGATCGTTACCATACCTCTCACCAGTCTCGTGTCTCATATGTCGACTCCCGAAGCGTCAACTTCAACTCTTCATGGCAATGAGCCAGTTGAACCCGCTTTCCATAGAGTCTCCGTAGGAGATCTACCACCGGGATGCAGTATCGGCCCCGAACTATACGACACGCCAAGAGGCATAGTATCCGGTATACCGAAATCAAATGGAACAGTCGAACGATCATCAGGTCTCACGGATGGCGTCGAGGCCCCTGGACAACCTGTCAAGGTCATTTGGGTCGAGTTCCCTCCTGGGTCACCGGATAATCCATTCTCATATACTCGTCGGAGAAAAATTGCCATCATGTTTTGCGCGTTATTCTTTGCGTTCTGTACAGCTCTACAAGGAGCAGCGTATGCGCAAGGGATTCCATCCATGACGCGTGATCTAGGTACCACGGAGATAGAAGCGTTGGCTGGAGTGTCGCTGTACCCCTGGGTGGGTTTTCATCGATGCGATACAATGCATACAATGCTGACGTCTTCAGGGTTTTGCTCTGGGACCTCTAGTATTGGCACCGATAACTGAAGAGTACGGTCGCTACTGGGCCTACGTCGGGGCAGTAGCTGTATATACACTTCTACACTTGACTCAGTCATTGTGAGCCCGCTCTTGACTGTCCAAATGCTGAAAGTCAGAGCACAGAACACCGCCACCGTTCTCGTTGGCCGGTTTCTGATGGGCTTGGCAGGATGTATAGGTTCGACAGTGGTCGCGGGAACAGTATCTGACCTCTACATGCCAGAAGAGTGAGTTAAGCTGCACGTTCGTGTGACTGACGCCCGAAGGCGTGGAGCGCCCATGGCCTTATTCACCTTATGCGTTGTCTCAGGAACGGGCTTTGCAGCACTTTTCGCCTATGTGGAAGCGAATCCACATTTACAATGGAGGTGGATCGGTTGGATCCAGCTTATAATCCTCTGCATCTACTTTGTCGTCTGTATCTTGATCATCGGAGAGACTCGCGCGCCGATCTTACTCCGACGAAGGGCGAAGAAGCTACGGGAATCTCGTGGCGAGCAGGATGGTGGAAGATATACTGCTCGGAGTGAAGTCGACAAGCCGGCTCTGGTCACTGCATTGAAGACGAGCCTGAAGCGCCCCATCAGTGAGTGGGTCTAGTTAAACTCTTGCCTGACCGGCCCAAGTGTTCCTGTTGCTCGAGCCCGTGGTGACGTTTTTTGGCATTTGGCTTGCATTGGTGGTGCGTACGCGCTTGACAACACAAAACTCCGAGCTTATTAGAGAATCACCACCACAGTGGGGCGTCTTCTTCATTGAGATTGCGGGGATCAGCTACGTCTTCGAAAATGTCTTTGGCTTTGGCACTTCTGCCCAAGGCTCTGTCTTCTGGTGTTTCACGTGAGTTTCTCTGCGTCTAGTCGGAGGCTAACCTTCTCATCAGTATTGGAGGATTGCTTGGTTACCTGGGTAACTTTTATCAAGACTCTCTGTATCGCAAATACTATCCTACACGTGGAGTCGAAGCGCGACTATACGCTCCCATGGCCTCTGGTATCTTGTTCGCCGTTGGGTCCATGATCTTTGGTCTAACCTCGGTACCTACTGCTCATTGGATAGGACCTTGTATAGGGATCACTCTATTGATGAGTTGAGTCATCTCGCTGACTGAGGACTGACAATGTTCAGCTGGAGCATTTGCAATCTATCAAACTGGTTTCTTATAGTGAGCGGACTGTCCTTTTCTTTTGGGAAACAGAGACTAATCGGCCAGTCTGTCCCAATGTTATGGTACAAACGCTTCATCTGCCATTGCCGGCATGTCATTCTTGCGGATCATTGTAGGATCATCCTTTGCCATGTTTACGAATAAAGTGGGTCAATACTGAGGGAGATGCAATACTTACGTCTCAGCTGTTTGAAAGTATGACTCCTCGATGGGGTCTATTCCTCATGGGCTGTATTGGTCTCCTTCTCGCTCCTATCCCTTTCGTGGCGTATTATTATGGACCATGGATCAGAGAACGATCACCGTACTCTAAAATACTCATTGCGGAGGAGAAACAACGAGTAGAAGCAGAGATGCTACTACAGCAAAAGACCGAAGCTGAAGTTGCGCGAGTCATCTCTGGTCAGAGTATGCGCCGCAATCTATCTAGAGGCATGAGCAGGGCGAAATCAAGACCTGACCCTGTTCGGAACGAATCGGTGGAAAAGGCGCCGGAAACTGCATAGATATCCCAACTGTATTATATCACATACATATCATAGATGTATCGTCAATCATCACAGGTCTAGTTTCGCTGCCCATGTACCTCACGGAGCCTGTCTAGGCGTTCTGTTGTGATTTCAAAGGACTCGGGCAAGCGAGTCTCTTCCCAAGTGGCGCCATTGACGAGTTTGACGAGACCAGGTGCACAGGTGAAGATACGTGCCTAAGACCTCAGAATGGTGTGACGCGCCACGGACATACCATGCCATGACCATTGTGTCCCGCGCAGATCCACTGACCGGGTTTTCCAGGCAAAGCGCCGATGAAAGGGAGGTTATCGGCACTCTTCAGGGCTCAACTGTGAGCGTGCTGTAGGGATTTCCAATACCACTCACCCGACCAATGATACCGCTCCAGGCGTAGTCATATCTCGCTCGGCTTCCTTGGCCACGGTCAACCCTATTAGAAGACGTGGCGTCAGTCGTGCATCTCTATCGAGGTCGAGGGATCCCCGGTTCGCCACTCACCAGCCAAAGTTGTCCCTTGTCAAGGTCTTGACTGCATCCGTGACCGGTTCGAAATCCATCAGACTGTCATCCGCACGTCGATTGACAGGATCCTCAGCGACGTAGTCCATCAACTTTTGCTGATTCGGCGCTGAACCTCCAAAGAGGATTACTCCATCTCCTTCCAATCTTGGATTTATCGAGTATAGGCCATTGGGCATGATCACTGCATATGAATTCTGAAGGGCTCTTGAACCAGAGAACGAGGATGGCGGTATAACACGATTACACCTGCGCGAGATTGAGTGTCCCGGACACAAGGCAGCCTCACATATGCGGGGTTGGCCGTATAACATGCTTCGTCTCTGGCAACAAGGCTCCGGCGTACGCGTTGGTAGCGTGTATGATGACCGGAGCTGTGATTGCACCTCTGTCAGTATACACCCTCCAGGACTTGCGGTCGGATTCTGATGGTTGTATTTCTCTCGCCAAAGTCCAGGTCTGCACATTGAGACCGAGGTCCAATGCGGCTTCGACGATATGTGCCACTGAGAGGTCAGCTTTGAGTCTTTCCTCCTCACCCCAACGACGTGACCCACCTAATTTCCACGGATACAAAGTCGAAGCGTCCCACGCATAAACCGCTTTCGCACCTTTCAGCCGGGATAGCTGTGGATCAACATGAGTCTTGAAAGCACGGTGAACGAACTCTCTCAGCCTCGAATGCTTCCGTTACGACTTCGATCTTGCTAGCATCTCCTCCAGCAGCTTTGAAGGCGGCCATGGTCTTTGCTGCATCGGCCGCACAATCCTCCGTCATCATCACGTCGAGCTACACCTCAGTCATGCCCTCTCCCATATATCTCACAGTCTTGCCGACCCAAAGTTCGCAATCTACTTTGTGCTCTCGGACATAAGCGACCAGTTTCTCCCACGTCTCTTGCTCATTTGCCAAGATCTAGCGCTGGTTCAGTGACCAAACAAGGGAGCCAGAAGTCAGTCACCTTGAGAGATTGGTCCATGCCATGTTCCTCCGCATATTTTGTGAAACCTCGCCATTGATCAGGTTTACAGTGCCCAGCGTTTCGCCCCGTTGCACCCGAACATAGTTCCCTCGCTTCGAGCAGGACCACTGATTTGCCCGGGTTGGTTTTGAGAAGCTCCAATGCACACAAGGAGCCAGTGATCTGATTGTGAGGCTTGTTCAGACCTAAGAGCTCACCCCTGCACCTATAATCACGTAGTCTGCTGTCGAGGGTAAGGCGTCAGTCGTCCGATGATCCAGTAATGGATTGTGCCGGACGCCTTCTAGCCAGCCTGACAAGCACATTCCTTCCGTGAGTGGAAAGTCATGGCTGTCGGAAGCGAGTGACTTCTCAGCTTCACTGACGCCTTCAGCTCCGACTGGAGGCGCGCTGTGCCCCGCATCGTCAGGCATTACGCTCAAAGTGCGATTGATAAATGTTCGAGCGGATAGCGGAACATGATTCCGAAGGCAGCATTTCGCGGACAAAAATATCATTGCCTATCAGGGTGTCGTCCTACACCACCATTTACAGACGGCGAAGAGACCTGAGCCGCTTCGCAGAAGGCTAGGTATGAGCTATCACGATGAAACTGGACTGGAAGAGCAACGACTCGAGTCGCTCGAAGATCATTTCCGGCGGCCTGATGCAAATCTCCTCGGCCGGGTCGCAACTCTTGGTGGGCACTGACTGGCTATCGCGCGCAACGCTACTAAGACGAGTTGACCCTACAGGCATGTTCATCATTGACCAGTTTGAAGTCCACGACGAGACCGGTGAAGCCGTCATATTAGAAGAGGAGACCGTGAGGAGATTCCCCTTTCGAAGACCACTGATGAGATACCAGATGGGAGGCGGAGGTGTGTACGCCATGACTGCTGCTCGAATGTTCCTACCACCTTCGAAATGCGCACTCGTCGTCGATCAAGGCCAAGACTTCCCTCTCGATTTCAAGGATCAGCTCATGTCTATGGGCGAGGACATGTTCTGGTTTAGGGAATGTCAAGGTGCCAGTACTCGAGCACTTAACATGTATTCAGGGCGGCGCATAGGGTGAGGAATGACTGACTAGCGTGGAAGACTGAATGTCTTGCAGCGACGGGCATCAATCATTTAAGTATCTCTCAAGACAGGCTCAGATCCAGCTTCAAGATCTGGTCTGCGCACCTTCACCGTTCGTCAACACTCTACCAGATTACATCCATCTGGTGTGCCTTTTGGACCGGGCATCAGCTGTCTGCGATGAGCTCGAGCATTTGCGCCGCAAATTCCCTCATCTAGCGTCCTGGGAACCCAAAATCATCTGGGAGCCTCTAGGAGTGGGTATCTTGAGAGCCGCACCCACCTGACATTCAGCAAGCCTGCGTACATGCGAATCTAGACAAAGTCGCCTCCATCGCCTCGCAATTCGCCGTGTTCTCGCCAAACGTACTAGAGATTCAGTCTCTCTTATCAATTCCTCAAATCGTGTCTCCTGAAGCCGTAGAGTCGGCTGCTCGAGAATTTGGGAACCTGATACCAGATACCACCGTCATTGTTCGAGCTGGTCCACTGGGATCGTTCACGGTCTCAAAGACCTGGTCAGGATGGGTCCCCGCTTACTGGAAGCCGAAGGAGCAGGATCGAGTGATCGACCCGACTGGCGGCGGCAATGCCTGGCTTGGGGGTCTCTGTGCTGGTTTGCTCCTCAGTAAGGGTGATATAAAGCTGGGCAAGTCTATGGTGAAGATTCCACGCTGATGCCACTCAGGCTGTTTCTTTGGCTCTGCCGCTGCGTCATTCGCGATAGAACAAAGAGGCCTTCCACACTTAGACAAGGGCTATTGGAATTCTGACGACCCGTGGAGACGTCTACGCGAAGTAGCGGCTCGAATGGACATTCTCACGAGGACGTAAATTCATCTCTTTATTTGAGACGGGGACAAAAATGTCAACCAACAGAGGGTCTCTCGTGTAAAGTATCGGTCAAGCAAGCTGGGGCGAAAGAAGAGGTCGAAGAGATAGATTACAAGGAACAACACGAGCCGATAACCCAAGAGCCGATCTCCATTTCTGCCTTCCTTTACTTGGTGGGGACCTTCTTAGGAGCGATAGCGCTTCCCTTGGTGATGAGGTTCTGTAGCATGGTCAGCCGTGATGTCGGAAGGCTCGGCTCACCTTGTGGATATGGGGCAAGACACCACCACCAGCAATGGTCGCTCGGATCAGCAAATCAAGTTCTTCGTCTCCTCGGATAGCGAGTTGAAGATGACGAGGGGTGATACGCTTGACGCGGAGATCCTTGGCGGCGTTACCTAGAAGATGTCAGGAGTTGCCAGTACATTCTAGACTCACCAGCCAGTTCGAGAACTTCTGCGGTCAGGTACTCCATGATAGCAGCGACGTAGACAGCCGCCTTTGCACCGACACGGACATTGTTGGCATTCTTGCTCCTCAAGAATCTGAAGGCAATATCAGATCGACTCCCAGCACGTATATACACTGTGCGTACCTGTGAATACGACCGACAGGGAACTGGAAGACGTGTGATTAGTCCGACTGGCATATGAAACATGGCATGAAAGATGGTGAATTATAGGAGAAGACTCACTTGAAGACCAGCCTTGGATGACCTAGTCGTCAAGACCTTGGTCTCGGATGAAGTCTTCGCCTTTCCACCCTTTCCACCGGTTGTTTTGGATGACATGATGAGGTATCGAGGATCAGATGAGGTACTTTGTCGATGACAAGAGGATGAAAGATGGTGAACAATGTAGGGTATGAATAGAGACAATCGAGGAGAGAGAAAGACGAGCGGCGGCGTTGTTTACACACACCATGAACATTTGATTCCGTCGTACGCGCGCAGCCCCCGCCAATGTTTTGGGATTAAATCAGAAAATAAATGAGGGATAGGAAATTGATGCCTCGTCGCGTGGGATTTTTCAATCGATGCTCGTAGCTTATGAGGAGGAGCTTCCCGAGCAGCTTTAGAGCCCGGACATACATCGTAGTCTGGCTGGCAGGGTCGTCTTTTGAAGTATTGAGACCCGTCTCGAGATGTCGCTTGCCGCTCCTCAGTTTGAGCATGACCTCTTCGAGAAGCTCGAGAACCTGCTCACTCGGATATCGACACAACCGACCACTTCGACCATTCGTCGGTTCTCGGCTCAACTGGAGGATGCGGCACCGTGGATCTCCAGCCTGACTCGACTGCCCGAGCCAAGTGAGGAAGACAGGCAATCTTTGAAAAAGGGTAAGCTGTGGGAGACATGATAGTCGCCCGCAAGCTGACTCGTCGGTGCAGAGGGCCTGACATTACAAGATGGATCCAATCTCAAAATCAACGGCGAGTTACTCGCACTCACCAACAACGCCTCTTCGCTCCTATCCGTCTCACACACTTTGGCAGCTTCGCTCGTCAGTCAGGCATTACAGCTACGCAATCACTATGTCTCTCGCTCCATTCTTGAAATTTCGACTTACATCCTGCACAACTTCCTCACAAGCATGCTCTCTTTCCTTCACGAGCTATTTCGCCTGACTATCGGACCTGGAGCCGAGGATAGTCCCCCGTTCGATACCTTCAGGGAACGTATACAACAGCTCTTAACCAGTCGTGTGGCTCTCAAGTCGGGAGAAGGGTCGCTTGTCGATTTGATACTGGAGCAAGTGGATGCTCTGCAGAGGAATTTAGAGACTTTGACTCAACAGCGAGCAACGGGACAAGAATACGACTTGCTGGTCTACAGAGTCAATGCCACTCGAGTCGAGCAGAATAAGCTTGCCGGTCTCCTGAGCGTCATTGCGCAAGGTGGAATGCTGGGCAGAGGTCACGTCATCAAAATCCTCAAGTGGTTGAAGAACTGCAATCGGATGGATAGCGTCGCAGGTACAATTTTTGCAGTCTTTCTTTGCGCCTCTACACCTATCGATCATATCCCAGATAATGATCCACGGTACGATATGATTCTAGACCGATGTCGAGATATCAAATTTCTCAAGATTGCCTCGAATTTGGTCTTTGTCGAGAACTGGACATTACCTCGGTTGCGCGAAGCTGCCAAACTCCCATGGGCACTGTTCATCCTATCCACTCTGAGGCAGGACCCAATGGCAGCTCAAGTTGGAATCGATCCTCCGACTGCTGATCAATTCCTGTACGACGGAGTCAACGGAGAAGCCTTTCAAGGTCTGCGTGCGAGGATTCTCGACATTCGCAGGGACCGGAATCTAGACGTGGAGGATCCAGTCACCAGTGTGGACGTTCTCGCTCATATGGCTAGCAAGAGCGACAGCGAGAATGATGAATTTTACCTCGAACAGGTTCAGATCCTGATTCAACTCCTTGCCGCGAAGAAAAATCTTGTCAGAAATCTTCGGAATCGCGAGGAGGACCTCGCCATCAGACGGTCAGGTACAGCTCCAGCAAATTATCAATCCTTCCTCTCACTCGTCGCATCAGTGTACGGTACCCTTCCACCGGATAGCGCAGTGACACTATGGGACGATCTTTCTTTCATCGGCACGGTTCTCGATCAGCGTGGCAATTCTACACCTGCATTCTGGGACATGCTAGCTGCCATCTCTCGTGGCAAGGCATGTTCAGGTCGGGCACATGATCGCATGAGCGATAGCAGATGGTCTTGGGCTGGTCTGTCCAAGTTTTATCAATACTATTGGGATCTATTACCGCACATCTTCGAACCTATCAAGACCAACCGGACGCCATCCCTCGAGCTCATGGGTCACGATGACATTGCGCTCTGTGAGGGCTGGACGAAACTCATCATTGTCATTGTCCAGTGGTCTCCTCTAGCTCGCACAACTCTTCTACAGTCAAAGCCAAATCCTTTGTCCATTCTGTTCGACTTTATGAACTGTGAATTACCGCTGGATGTCAAAACAGCCATCCTCAAGGCTATCACCGCGTTCATCACTCCTGGTGAAGCAGAGGACGCTGGCAAAGCCGTCGAATTCTATGAGCGAATCACCTACGCCGACCCAGGCCTCGACACGAAGCATCTCGAACCCAACAAGATTCCTGCGCCCATCGGCTGGCTCGCAAAGATGGAATATGCCGAAATCGAGGTCGGGATATATCCTCTGACAACGGCGTATCTCGACTTCTTGACGACCTTGTTATCTGCCGGTTCGAGTCCGAGGCTCCGTGCGACCCTGCGGCGGAGCATATACTATGTCATTGACAGGGTGCTCTTGCAGGCACGGCCGCTGAGTCGAGAGAGTGAACGATGGGACATCCTGGATTCCGCTATAGCCCTGCTGGAGAAGGCCGTGCTGAGATTTGATATGAGCAGTCTGTCTGGACGACAACTCGGCCCAGCCGCTGAAGCCTTATGGGAAGAGCCGGGCTTTGTGGTCATGCTGCGTCTTCTCAGCGAACCTGGACCTTCCAATGTGCTCTCGCATATCGTTGACACGGCGTCCATCACTCCCCGATCTCCAATCATGACCTCGGTCTTGCTCCGCACTCTTCGGATGTACCATCGGATCCTGGACACTCAGCTGGTCTTCTCGGAGGTGCTCATCCGGACACTATCCGACCGCCATGCTTTCCGTCGACCACTCAACCTCGTCTCATTCGATCACATCCTCCTTACCCACCTTTCCAATGTCAATGCCATTGCGCTGCTCGTGGGCGACGATGGCTCCTCCGTCTCTTTCATCGCTACGAAGCTCATGCTTGCTTTGGCGTCATCCCGCCTGTTTGGAGAATCCGATCGATTCCTAGGAGAATACGCTCATCCGATCAACCGTCTTGCTGGAATTGTGGATGCTTCAGACGATTCCATCAGGATCAGTCAAGGATTCTGTAATCGCTTGGACGCGGATGGTTCAGAAGTCTCCCCTGAGGAGCTGCAATCCACTTCGGATGCCGCGCTTCGAGGTGACATTTCTCCAGAATCCATCGCCCACTTACCTTTAGCAATTCGGTCGACCATTCTCGACCTCCTCCTCGAAAACACGTCCCTGGACATCACAGGACCGAACGTCGCCCACTTCCTCCTAGGTTACGAGTTCAAAGGACATGATTTCGTCCTTCAGGATCCGAGCGATCCCAATTCTCGCCTCTCTTGTCTTCAGGTGATACTTGATCAAATGAGTGGTGATCCACTGGTCTCTATCCACCCGGTCCTCGCAGCCAAGTCGGCACGTCTGATGCATCAGCTCTTCTCCCATCCAATCACTTCTCAAACAACCATCTCCTTCGCATCTCTGAAGGGCTACTCGACTATTCAGCTCGCCTCCCTTCCACGAAAGTGTCCATCTGCTCTGTCCCTGGATGAGCATGGCGCGGGAACCGTCAACGGGGAAGCCACTACTTCAAGTACATTGGAAGCCTTCCTCGAGTTGCAGCGAGACGTCCTGTCTTGTGTTGCGCTTGAAACACATACCTTTGGAGGGCGTGGGTCTTCTTCCTCGGCTATCGCCAATCTCCTATTCAATTTCATCGACGATGACTACGGTCAGCGTCCGCCTCTGATCATTGACTTACTGGGCAATATTGATATCGAATGGGAGGAGGCCGGGTCCAACGAGGATCGGCCTCTGGAATTCTATGGCTCATTCGACTTTCAACCGTATAAACGGACTGATGCGGACTGGTGGGACCTCGAAGCTTTGAGGCCTGCTCTCGTGGCTCATCGTCGCAATTTGGAGAAACGAGGTGCTATCGGTGGCTCCAAGGGAATGGAAGAAGAGGCAGATCATCTGCTCTCTCGTCTCGCTGCTCTGAATCGCAAGACGGATATCAATCTCGCGAAAGGATCTTTCCTCACCGCTTGGAGCGAAACACTAAAAGTGGCTCTCGGTCAACTCTTCTCCCACATTTCAGACGACCGTCAGGAAGTCGTACTCATCGAGCTACTGGATGCGCTTCTGGATCGCTTGAGCGGGGACGTCTCGCCTGGCGTTTTGGACATCTTGGCAGAGTCCCTCCTGATCAGCATGAGCCGGCTCGTAGAGGTCATGGCGGAATACGAAGGTGTCAACCTACCCGTCAAGCAACTGTCACCGAGCTTTGCACGACTCGTCCAGGTCGTTTCCAGACCTGGCATGACTGAGTCTTGTCGGGGCAATCTGTATGCCGCGATGAACCAGTATCTCTCCCTTCAACTTCCCTCGACTAGCGATGACGGCGCATCTGTCGTCTCCTCCGCCACGACCTTGCTTCCTGGAACCGAATTCCATCAGACAAATCTTGTTATCATCACGGCGCACCGCGAGAGATTGTTCCCAGTCCTATGCAGGGACGCGATGGACGTAAGAGACGTGTGGAAGACGGAGTGCTTTGCTTTGCTTGGCGTTATCGTCGCTGCGTGCAGGAACGATAGAGAGAGACAGGCCATCTCTCCTCTGTCACAGAACGGTTTCCTCTCTTCGTTTGTCAGGAGTCTGAAGGATCAAGAGATCCCTCTGCAAGAGTGTCTGAACAAGGACGCAGGTGAGACGACGAGCATAGTATGGACCTTTACTGATCTGCAAAGACTCCCTACACGCTTACTGGGTCTATGAATCTAAGATCACTTTCCTCTTGGCTTACGCTTCGACTCGTAAAGGTGCCGAGGACTTACTCGACGCTGGTCTGTTCGAAGTGCTAGCCATGTGCAACTTTTTCGCCGTGGAGATGATCAATGAGGAGACAACTGCGAAGGACTCAGAGGCCATCACGCGTCAGCATCGAGTGGTGATTGCTGCTTTGCAGCTGGTGGCTCGGACTCTCTCAAGTCTACACCGTTCAGCGAGGTCTGGAGCAGGACATGTGAGGGGGTCATGGGAATCAACGCTAACGGTACAAGGCCATCAGCTTCCTCTACGCTCATCGGAACGCCATCCTGTTCCTGCTTCGGGAGAATCAACAGAATATTCACTTGCTGGGGATTGAAGAGTGCCGATTGATTATTTCGCTCCTAGCTTTGGTGTATCACAAAGTCCCCGAGGACGCCAAGGTGAGAACGAGTCGAGAGTTTGCACGCTGATTCAGGAGCGCTCTGACACAGGATTTGGTCTATTCCACTCTGCTACTCTGGCAGTTGCTGCAAGGTTCTTTAATCCCGAGTCGTGGCAGAAGAACCTGGCCGATGATAGTGATCAAGGCGTGCAGGAAGGTGCGCCAAAGAGCTTGAAGCGGACCGTTGATGCCATAGCCCAACCTCAAGTCTTAAATCTCAATCAAGTGATACTCTCATACCTCGTCACTGCTACGGGTGGTCTGAAAGGGCAATCCGGATATCCTGTGCTCGTCAACGCTGGGATCAGAACGGATCAAAACAAGTACACAGGTGGGGACGCCCGACTCATTCGGTCACTGATGATGGAACAGCATCTGCGCCTTCGATGGACACGCTCATTGAGATGCTTTCGGATCTCGCTGAAGCTACTGAGGATATCTCTGCCGAGTATCAAACCATTATCGAGTTGCTCGATGATGGCGGATCGTTGGATGATCGCGTAATTGAGGTGAGCAGCGATGGCGCACCACGTGTCGCAGGGCTGAGATCTAGCAGCGACTATCGGGTGCAGGTTTGCTCAATGGACCTTGGACAGAGGACTCACTGCCGCTAGCTCTGACGAGTCAGACTCGGATCCTATTCAGTGGGTTGATTCCGCTCAGAAACGCGATTGACAGGACTCAGATATGATCGAGTCCATCCTCCTTCTCCTGTGGCGTCACCTTTTATTCTACGCCAATGACGCGAGATCGACAACGGACGCAGTCAGAGCTGATAACCTTGCAATTTCGCTGAGCGGTTCCCTGACTAGCGGACTAGAGGGATCAAGGTTGGCTCAAGGGATGATACAGAGTCTCGTTAGATCCGCAGCGTCCCTAAGGGGAGTTCTAGATAGGTTATCAGAGATAGACGTGGTGAGTGCGCTCGAACTTTACATCAACGGGGTCTTGCTGAAACGACTATACATCAGCAACCAGAACTTCGTAAGGGTAAAAGCGAGGATGCCTACTTTGGCATGTTGATGAGACGGCTGAAGGAGTTGACGTCGGGTTTGATGGCTGCTTGAGCGGAGAGCAGGAAAGCGGAACGCGGCGATAGGAGCAGACAGATGTAATATGTATTATCATGCATGCGACGAAGCACAAGAACCCTGTCAAGACTCCATGAGACAGAAAGGTCCAAAGTACGGGTTAGAGAGTGGGTCAGAACTTTCGGTCCGAATTCAACAAATCCCAAATCCAAATATTGACATCTCACTGACATTCGTACTTGCGTGACTTACAACGCCTAAGGGGGAGCGCCATGCAGCAAGAGAAGGATGTGGAGGGATCCGAAAAGGCCAGACAAGATGTGAGATGGAGGCAGGAGTGTGATGATCGAGATCTGGCTCATGTTGTCCCAGGGGAACACGAGTTTCAAGAAGGGTAAATGGTCCGAAGCGATCGGTAAGGCTGATTTGAGATTTGTGTCGTGTACGAATTTGAGGCGCAAGAGCTGATCCCGCCGATGCCATAGGTCATTATACCAATGCTATCTTGAAGAATCCCACAGACCCAGTAGGGTATACGAATCGAGCGGCCGCGTACCTCAAGCTTGACAAGTGAGTTGGTGGGACGTTCAACACCTCGTCCAAAACATTGAAAGGAGGGGAAGTAGTAGAGGTCAAGTCGGGATCGATACAGGGAGAGAAAGGGGGGAAAGACAGAAGTCGTGACTGACGTTCTGAACATAGATACGAAGATGCGAATCGCGATTGTACTTCTGCTATCGAGATCCAACCTGAGAATTTGAAAGCGTTATATAGACGATCATTGGCTTTGAAAAGTCTAGGAAGACTGGATGAAGCTTTGAGAGGTGAGTTGTGCTTAAGCAGAGTGTCTTGAGGGGGGAACATCGTGCTGATACCATTGCCATTGCCATTGCCACGTCCAGATATCTCCCTGGTGTGCAAGCTTGATCGTGGGAATGCAGTTGCAAAGGAAGAACGCAAAGAGATACGCGAGCTCGTGGAAGCACTTGAAAAGGTTGGTGGAGAAATCTTTGAACAGCCTCCAGAACGACCAGAGGGTAGGATCAACCCTCAAATCGTCCTTGGTGATCACTAGGTACGTGTGACCTGGTATGATCCCGCCGAGTGTGGGTGTGGGTGGGTGCGTGCAAAATCAGGAGAGGGAGCCCTCAATGAGCATTGCAGACTTGTGCAAACAGTCTGGATGAGGTTCCCGGGATGGAGGTAGCGGAGGCAACAAAAGGGGTCTCTACCAAACCGACAATAATGGAGGGAATGGCCTGACCATCTGATGCATAGAAATCTCAGCAATTCAAACCCCCGCAAAAGACTCCCCCGATATCACCAGAATCTCGGCCCATCGCCGCCTCGATAGAGGAGATCGTGGAGGAGACATCTCAACCCACTGTACCCTCCCACGAATCATCTCAGACGACACCAATACAATCGATACCCAAACCATCCTTTTCCGACCTCAAGAGATCTCGAGCAGCCAAACCTGCCTTCACAACGGCAAAATTACCAGCTCACACGCCGGATGCATCAAAACCACCTATCACCACGCCACTTCATCACGACATCTTACCAATCGCTTCCTCTCCCGCACCGAGACTTTTCGTTCCACCGGCAGATCCACATTCAACATCTCCAGGCTCCGGTCTGACCCTCTTACGACACCTCAGCCCCCCTCAGCTCGGCTGGACAGCTATCCAACACTATCCTGCACAGAACGTCCCCATCATTCTCGGACCTTTACTGGAACCGGATACGCTTGCACAGCTGTTCTCGGCTTTGAAACATGGACTGGATGGATCGTCAGATTCAGCAGTAGCACTGGACGAAGCCAGAGCCCGTATTTTGATCGTGATGAAAGGACTGCTCGACTTGCCGAGATGGAGAGTGAATGCGAGTATGCTGAGTAGATCGGAGCGGGAGCTCGGACGTCAAGTGTGGGCGCAGGCCGGTGGTCAAGGTCAGTGGCCATGAGGGAATCCCCATTTGTTGTAGTATACATCTCTGCATCGTTCATTCAATCTGTAGAGGAGCATCCTCTGCACCCTACACCTACATCAGCTCTGATCAAGGACTGGAGATGTATGCCAGATTTCGGCTCACCGCAATGTGGACATTCGACGACGATGCCCTTTTTCAAGCTGGCTTTTGGAACTCGACAGATACAGGTCGAGCCTTGAAAATTCATATCCCTCGTTTGGATACACCTGACGCAGCAGAGTTTCTCGTAACCTTGCCTGGAGTTCTTGAGTATTAGCGCCGCCATGACAAGGCAACATGCGATCGATAAGATGTCACTCACTTCTTCCACTTTGCTATCAAACTGGACCCCAGTGAATCAGCCTCCTGTGATCTCTGAGAAGGTCGATTCACTCACTCGGCATCCGCGTACTTCTGCTTCAACAGCCAATCATACAGCTCTCTCGATATCAGCTCTCGCTTATAGTACAGGTCGTATATGTATCTTGACCGAGCGTGCGTTATCCGCATGACTGGCCTGGGAATAGAATGGGAGTCAGATTATTACCGTGGTGAAGGTTTCAACAAAACAGGCCGCTGCTAACTCACCACACTGATTCTACTTTCCGCTTTCCCTCATGACTCTCAGATTCTGCATCTCTCATCTTTTTGTCGTAGTCTTCAAGAACATCTCTGAAACGTGGATTAACAATCTGAACAGACAGACAGACACCAAGGTCAGACGAGCTGTAAGAGCTGTTTTCTACAAGTCCACCACCCTTCGTTGCTTTATATGCTCCTCGTGACTCAGGCTAAGCAACTCACTGAATATCCTCGAAACCCTCTGGGGGAGGTTTGGTCCTCTGCGTACGTATCTTAGGCATACTGACAGACCTCCGCCGACAGGTTTCAGATGTGCGTGATGGAGAGAGAGTGAGAGAGCACTATAGTCAAGAGTATTTCAGCTCTGGACATCCTGCAGACATTTGGTCTTCCACGTGGTTTTGCCACCGTCATTTCTTTGATTTTTTCGCGTTCCGCATTCCCTTTCTCATTTCACCCCCGTCTGAACCTCTTGCATAACCCAACCTGTTGTCAACATTACATAGCGATTCAAACAGAGCTTCTTCGTACAGCACGAGGGCTGCTGATCGGCCACTATCTCTCTCAGTTGCTATTTCTTCTTCCTCGAATCTCGCTCGTTCTACTGGTCTGTTGACATTTGGGAAGAGGCCCCCTCTGTGGAGCCCAACGCGAGGTCTTTCTCGGCAACACGGCATACATTTTGGCCATCAGAGGATACTCTGGCTGAGCATTACGGTCGTCGATTGGGCGTAGTGTCGCTCTGAAAGTTCAGGATGGGACGATGGGGGCGAGAAAAGTACGAGAGGGTGTTATTCGACAAAACTGTCAAGCTCTAGTCAGTCGATGTTCTCACCCATAGGAGGAACATAGTATGCTGATGATGAGGCCTTTCGTTCTCCCTGTACACCTCCTGTTCATGCACTCAACGATACTTTGCCTTTCATCCGCGCAGTGACAAGGTCATCGAGGATATCTTTGGCAAATCAGGTAGCGATACGGATTTAAGGCTGGCAACGTTCATCAGACGCCTGGATCCAGAGAGTAAAGCCGCGCAAGCTTGTTTCACAACGCTCGTCCAAGTGAGTCTTCATGCTGAGAGACGTTTCGGCTCATCCCCACTTCCAGTCAGTCCTCTGGGAGCACATAGGGCGCTCCACTTCTAGCGGACCTCGCGTCACCTTGGATACCACTACCGAACCTGATGCGTATCCTCCTGAACCTGTTAACAGAATACGACGTCTCTCATCTCGAGTTACAAGAAGCCCATTCCCAGCTACCCGAACGGCTCAAACGGGGCCACTTTGGACGTCGTTGCTTGACGATGCTGTCCCAGAGACTTCGTCTACTAGCCGTGCTCCGAGAGCACCTCTCGTTACCAGATCATCCGCCACGTCAAGAGCTCATTCGCCCAGTGCGAGACGACGTGCGATCAGTCCACCACTTGGTATCGATACCGTTGCTGCTGCGGATGGCGCGGCGATGCGAAGGATCAATTCCATTCTCAGGTCGCCCACACCTCCAAGTGCGACTCGTTCCACATGGGAAATGGTCAATTTTCACGATGCGGTCGGAGGCGGAGCGGCTCATCTAGCCGGGGATGCCGAAACCGCTGATGCGATCAGTCCTCCTCGTTCGCCCAGTCAAGCATGGCTCAACGAGTACACTGCTTCTCGACCCATTGCCCCTCGGCCTAGACGACCTCCACATCTTCAGCGGGCTAGGCGCTCTCGTCCAATAGAGACGCCTCCGGAATTTCCCATGCCTCGCATAAGGCAAAGAGAGGATGAGAACGATGATGATGGGGATGACAACACTGGAAGCACGCGGGGTCTTGAAGCGGACCACCGGGCACGGACCCGACGCAGGACAGACGTAATTGTGGAGTTGGATCGTCTCCGAAGTGCCATGCGGGACTCGCCTGAACCAACTCTACGGCGCTCTCGTTCAAGTTGGCGTGATTCAGTTTCCAGAGATGCTCTTCAAAATACCTCTGAACCCTCTCGTGCTGCCTCTGGCGATGATACGCGTCGCTATGGAGTCGTGTTTGAGCCATTCTCACCTGCTCTACCGTCATCGGCCCTCTCAGCTGGACAGGAGGCCGACTCAGGACTGGCCGAGCTTCTACGGGATCGGGATGCAGGCGGTGCTGATGCAGTGGATCCTCTCGCTATGCTCGCTGATAATGATGAGAATGATGATGCGCGCTACAACAGCCTCGTCGCCGAGTTTATCGCTCGACGCCGGGGCAGGAGTAGAAACTTTGGTCTTGGCGTGCGAGGCGTAGATGGAGTGGAAGATCTGATGGGGGTGGATAATCGATGGCTCACTCCAGCAGCCATAGATGGCATGGTTGATGGAGATTCGACCTTTGCTCATGACATGTTACTTGGGAATCTCATGGGTGACGAGTACGGAGAGGAGCAGGAAGGCGATACACTGTAAAGTAATGATGAGCTGGCCAGATTGGTTGTATTCCTTTAAGCAGATGATTTTGTAGGATATGTCACTAAAAACCCAAAGCAGAGATGCAGGGAGACGGAGACTCTGCAGCTTAGAGTGATTCATTCATTGTACAGGAATGTAATCGAAATGTGACCCAGGATGCTGTCCCATTTTTGGCCGGCTCCAATATCTTATTAGATCCAACCTTGGCTTAAATTCCGCCACGGGATGATGTAAGCCCTGCTCCGTTATCGGCGATGCCGCCGGGTCACCGCCGAGAGTGGGCCGCGCCGGAGCAGATGCATTGCACTTGGAAGTTATGCAATACAAAGGTCAAGCCAAGTCTCACCTAAGACAGACCCCATGGCCCATCCACCCCCCCCCCTCCCCCTCCCTAGCGGGGCTTCACATGGCCGAATGTCCTCGACCTCATCTTCCAATGCCGCCGAACCCAGAGACAGACACACAGACACACCCACACTCACCCCTCGCAACGGAAGCTAAAAGGAAAGATTCGTCATCCCCCCTCTGCCTGGTTCCCAAACGTCTGTGCGCCGCCGCCACATAAAACTCAAAAAACTCGTGGCGCTGCGTGTCGGATTAGCGAACGAAACTCCCCTCAAACTGCGATGCGAGTTTTCTTTTTTTGGTGTCTACGTGTTCGTGGCTATCTATTGCTGTTGTTGCTGTCGCTGCTGCTGTTGTCGCTGTTGTTGCTGAGTCCGGGGGCTTCAGCAGCTCTTGAGGGCGACTGAATGGCTTACCAAGGACGCGAACTGTGAATGTCGGTGTCATGCTATTCGGCTGGAGATCCCATGACCATCCCTGAAGGGAAAACGGAAAGGCAGTTTGGGAGGGCGATCATTCACGTAGGGAAAAACACCTGTTACCAAAGTTCTTTTCACTCAGCGAGAATGGAAACGTCCATGATCATTTTAACGGGTCACACACTTGTTCGCACTTGCCCGCTGGGAGGCTTGAACCCCTTGCTGGCTAACAGCTGCTGTTGCTGCCTGCCCCTCTCGCACCTTTTACCCGTCGATTTTTCTCCATTGAACCTGCGAGTGCCCAATAATAGAATCCGACATACAAAAAATATGACGGGTACACCCGATAGAAAACATCTGGGGAAGAATGTACGGCAGACAGTGAAAGCACCACAGAGAGGGAGAGAGGGGAACCTGCTATGTAATCATCGTATATTCTTGTAGCACTCTACCACTAATAGGCTCTCTCGGTCCGAGTGAAAGAGAGAGTGGTGTGTGAAGACACCGATGCTTTAGACTGTGTTCATACTTCTGCCAAGAAGAGGCATTAGACGCACAGGGGCCAGTCCGCAGCCATTGGGAGATTCCATCGTCCCTGGTCACCAGCACCAGTAGCAGCAGCTAGTAGCACGAGCACCAGCAGGAACAGGCTGCTCAACTACCCGCCCATAAAAAATTCTTAGAAAACGAGGTCCAATCTCGGTCGCGTTCTCGGGTCTTTTTTCTTTCTTTTCAGCGTCCTCCCAAAAGACGAGGAAGGGGAGCGTCATTTTACGGTGAGTTTAGAGATTGGCGTGGTGGGCGAAAGTGCCTTTCCTGCACATCGTCCTCGAAGGCAAGCAGCAGCAGCAGCAGCAGCAGCAGCAGGAGCAGGCGCAGCAGTAGCAGTAGCAGTAGCAGACCTTGGCAACTCTTCGGCCATCCTTGTCTCGACGAACCATCCCATTTCGGATCCACCCGGCGGCAGGACTTCCGTCTACCAATTTTTCTCAACCCACACACTCCTACCAATATTCTCTCTGTCATTCACCGAGTGGACGACCACATCGACGATCTACAAGTGCTGGCAGACGCCTAGTCACGAATCGCTCTGCTAGCTCCTCTGCCTCGACTCGCCTGTCCCTCGTCAACCTCGACACTCTCATCACTGCTGCTGCACCCGAGACTCAGGCCATAGCTCCGCTTGGAACTTTTGGTGGTGCAACCCTGCTTCCTAAGGAGTTCGACCTCTTTGGAAGGGTTTCAATCTTTGCTCTGCAGCCCTACTGCCCAGGCATCTTGGACAAGGTCTCGCTACCCTCTCCATCGCCGAGTCTCATTCCCAGCTCCTCGATTCTACGCAGTTTCCAATCCCCCAATTCCGGTCCTCATTCGCTCCGAAAATTCGAAAGGCAATTTCGCTGACGCTATAGTCTCTCGTCTTCAACCTACCTTTCGTCTTACGACCTCGCATCCTTGTCTTCACGCCCCTCCTGGTCCTGATTCTATCACCCTCACTCTACTCCTTGCTTGCATTCCTTTGCATCTCACCACGCATACACATCCACTCTACGCGATACGCCGCAACTTTATCTGTCCACTCTTGGCACCCGGATACTATCTCTACTGCCGATCCATGGCAATGCTCATTGGTCGGATGGACTACGTCGAACGAACATTAGAAACATTAGCATAGACTCCTCTCACGATTCCCTGGCACATATCCAAAGAACACTCATCATCCCTTGCGTCACGCAGAAGCCTGTCACGTTCATCCACGATCAAAACGAAATTTTGGGAGACATCACACATTTTTTTTGTCCCGACTCCAAAGGATCCATCCGCCATTGATTTTGCAGCAGTCCAAGGCGTCCAACTCTGCAGATCAATAGTACAGCTGGACTATCAAAGGGCTAACAACCACATCGCCGACCTCCGCGACTGATATAATCCTTTGGACAAATTTCGAGTCTGAGACCGGGAACGAAAAAAAAGCCGTTTCGAGACCGTGTTTCAAACTGCAATTTGGACAACAGCGAGAAGCAGGTCTTTGGTCAACTCGCTCCTTGGATTTGACGACGGTGTGTTCCTGATAATAACGAGAGAGACACGTCGAGACCGCTGGGATAGGGGTCGCAGGCAAGATGTCTGGCGATCTCAAACCACCACTCACTAATCATCCTATGCCTCCGACTTCATATCATCATCAACCTCCGCCCTTGACTTCAGCTCCAGCACCGCATCTCCATTCGTCGGCATCTTCGAATTATCATCATCCTTCACAACACCATCATCAACCACACCAACCTCCTCCTCCACAAACTTCTTTGGACCCGTCGACTAGCTATGGTCCAGGCTCAGCTCACTCTTACAGCTCGAACACGCTCGTCAAGCAGCAGCAAATGAGCCCCGTCAGTCTCTCCCATTCTCATCCTTCACATCATTCCCATTCACTTTCTCATTCATCGCATCATTCTTCCATGCCATTGACCACAATACAACCTCAACCCACAATGAATGACAACATGGGAAATATGACCCCAATCTCGAAGAGCAAACCTGGTTCAACTGGATCTGGAGAAGGTAAAGCGAAACCTCATCTGTGTACCATTTGCAATCGTGGATTCACCACTGGAGGTCATCTCCAACGTCATCAACGGATACATACGGGAGTCAAGGCGTTCAAATGTCCTTTCCCGGGATGTGAGACCAGGACGTCGAGGCAGGACAATCTTCAGCAGCAGTGAGTAACTTCATTGCGGCCATGGTCCTGTCGATTGTTTAACTAATGTCACGGTTCCAGCTATCGGACGCATCTCTCACCAAGTCTGCGTAGAGGTTCTGGCTCTGAAGCTCGAGCTGCTGTCAATCAAGCCATGGAAGCGGCTGGACTGAAATCCATGAGCACCAGGGCTCCTCGTAAATCGAAGAGTTCTACCAATACTCCTTCTTCGAATACTTCCGCCGGCACGTCTCAACACATTCCATCCCCTTACGCGACTCCCACTTCTCAAAACGGACACTATGGCTATCATCAAATGTACGAACCTCAACCATACGCCTATCCACTACATCACCCTCCTCCTCCTTCCATGAGCTTGGGCAACACGGCTCAGACGTCTGCGACTTCTTCTCGTGGACCTTCTCCTACTAACGGCCACTCGTCAGGCCAGTCCAGTGTCAGCTCGATCCCTAACGCTCATCACCCTCATGGATCATACTATCCTCAACCGTTCACTCCCAACTACCCTTACTACCCCGCTGCATATCGCTATTCTGCTCCTGGACAAGGACACATGATGCCATACGGCGCTGGACATCCTCCTCCAGCTCCCCCTCCACACATCTATTCACCTGGCATAGCCAGCGAGCATCCTGGAACTGTACCCGGAGGACACATGTATTCTCCGATGGGGAGTAGCTTTCAAGCACACTCGAGAGAATCATCCTATGGAGGCATGATGCCTGGATATCCCGCACCGGGCCCATCGCCCGTCGCGAATGGATATCCTCGCCACGGCTCCGCAAGTTCACTCCTGCATCAAGCTCCAGGAGCAGGGAGTGGCATCGGGGCGGGCGGTCCCGCTGGACCTTCTTCCGATAGAGGTCGATATTCTCCCACTCGACGTCGATCGCCTCCCGACCTACTTAGTCAGGGTGTAGTTGATCCGAATAACATGAGTGGGAGACCGCCTATGCAAATGGGTTATGCACCGCCACCTCATTCCAACGGTAACGGAATGCCAGGGCCAGAGTCGGGCAGTGCAGGAGGAAATAGTGTAGGGGGAATGGCCAATGGCTATGGGCCTCCGTCTCATCTGAGCGCTTATGCCTATGGTCCAGGACCTGCGGCCGGTGGATCAGAAACGCTTGCGAGACTGCAAGGGAGGAACAGTGCATCGAGTTCGTCGGAGGACGGCTCAGCGGGTGGACAGGAAGAAGGAGGCTTGAAGCGTGAGTCCAAGTCATTTCTTGCCTGCGGAGCTGGATGTTGATCGTTTAACCCTTTTACAGCGCCCATTTGAGATCATGAAACCGAGATACAATGTCAACACACATCAAAATACAGTTTCTGTCTTTGCATTGGTCGTCGCAACGGTCGCAAAAGAGACTCTAGCGTGCCCTGGCATTTTACACACATTTGGAAGGACGACCAAATAGAAAGATCCAGCATGTCGTCTTGCCAGCATACTTTAAAAGCATACATTATTCGGACAATGAAGGGGAAGAAAACAGGGGGGGGGGGGGGGGGAAGGAAAAAAGGCCGCATGGACGGATGTACAATATGGGCATTTGGAAATCGAGCACTGATTGGCAGAACCTGATGGATTCAGAAGCAAACGAAACATCGGAGAGTCATTCATGCAGACGATATCCATCAAAGAGAGGTCAAGCGGGCGGATCCGATGTGGAAACTCAGCGTACTGATCGAGTACCACTGATCTCTCTCAGTGCCTCATCACTCACCGTTTAGGATACCTTGAGTTGAAAGGTTTGGTCAGACATGTTGAATACAGTGAAGACGAGCTTCGTGTTCACTAGGTTTGGAGACGAGGACAGGACTCTCACTTTGACCAAAGGTGCTCGGTGGATGCCTGCCGCCCTTAACTGCACGGAGCTGTTGCGCCGCCTGATCCAACGCCAACAACCTTGACGGATATAAATAGTCCTGTTATCCATAGTCTGCTAACGCGCGGAAGAGGCTAGAGAATTAGAGGACCTCTCTGCATCACTAAGGTCCGGCGTGAATTTGCTTCTGTCAACCTCTACGCGCCAGTCAAATTATGGAGATCATGGATGATTGCAAATGACTCGGGATCTGGCTGTGGACGCTGTCTGCCAGATCAGATCGTCGGCGATTGGGGGAGGGAAAAAAAGCTACTACGCCCCTCCGGTGAGTCTTCAGAGGCAGAGATATACCGATAGGGGAAGCCATCGAGGACATAAGCCGTATAAAGCTGGGCATGTGGTTGAAAAGAGGTGAGCTGTATTTGTGAGTTGAGACGTATCGCAGGCTGCGAAATGCTTGAAATTCTCTTGCGAGAGGCCTCTCGCTTGACTTTGACCGTCATCTAAATTTTGGGCTATGCTCGATGATTATGAGCCATGCTGCAGGCCCTTGAAGACATGCTAAGCATCTAGAGCAGATAGTGCGTCCTTGTATGGTGTAGTTTGGTGAAACATACCCGGTTGACGGGTTTGATCGATGGAAAGCGGGTCGAGGATGATGATACAACATGCCTTGGCGTGCGTGTCGTTTCTGGCTGGTCTGAAACGTCCGAAAGAGTAGAAATATGAGCGAAGAAGGGAAATCAAGTTCGACGGTTCGTCGCGAACCCTCGATTGGACTCGCATGATCATCAGAAGGTAGAATGTGGTTCAATAGAACAGAAAGAAAGTTGCCACACTGCCACAATAGGCCATCATTTCCTTGAGAGACCCCCTTTGGTCGTTCGTCATTACATCCTTACCACCACTGTTCAGACTTACTGGCTCAGCTGATGAGACGAGGCCTGAGTAGTCTCTACAACCTATCATCACAACGCTTTACCAGCACCAGCACAAAGGTCACTAGTTTGAGGACTTCCAGAATGGCATACCCGAGCACGTCCTCCTCGCCGTCTGAGATCTTGTCGATTCTACCGGACAAGTTTGAATCGGCTCGCATGTCTGGCGAGTTGTTCTACTTCCCAAGCACAGCCAAGAATGTTCAGTCATCCGGAAGAAGGGTACGTTTGCCCGAACTCCTTGCCAGACGCCAGTGAGAGGTGATTGAGCTGATCAAGATATCAGTTCAACATTTGTTGTTCTCCCGCTTTGCTGAACAAGGAGAAAGCTAAAGCGGACATCCTGGCCTCTGTGGCTTCGGAGTCTTCACCCGATCACAAGCGGCAACGGATAGAGAAGCAGAACAATGATGGAGGGGCAGATCAATCTAGCGGTCACAAGAGCTTGCAGAACCCTACGGAACCGTTCAAACCGCCGTACTCGCCGGATCTGTATGTCGGTCATCTCGAAGGGATAGATGGAGAGCCTGGCATGTCAATACTGGTGAGTTAGATGTCATGTCGTCCTGATGATGGCAGAATCGGCTTATTCGCTGACACGAGATATGTCCTTAGCTCAACAAGGCAAGACTTCGCTCATCATCTTTCACGAGTGTGAAGTTGGCTAACCATACACACAGTACGCTGTCCTACGTGATCATATCCTCCTCTGTCCAACATCCTACGAGCCTCAGAACCTACCGCCTTCTCCGTCTCAGCTTGCTCTGGCTTATCTCTTCCTCTTGGCCGCTTCTAGGCATACAAAGCCGAGACGCATGATGGGTTTCTATAATGGCGGTCCAGTCGCTGGAGCAAGTCAGAAATGGAGGCATATCCAGCTCATCGAAGTACCAGATGGGAGAGCGCCAGTGGAAGATTGGGTTCAGAGCATGCGGTTCGAGTCTGATGGTGCGTCATGCTTTGGCCGTCTGCCTCCATAGTAAATCCGTTGACAAAAAGGGACCAGACGAACCGCTCATCCTCCCTCATGTCCCTTATCTTCACATTGTCCATTCCTTGAGCAAGCTCAGGCATTTACCTTTCAGTCTCTCGGCGAATGACTTGGAGCAAGTCGTAGAAATCTTAGCACCGGCTTTGATGAGGTGCTTGGACCTGGTCTTCCAGGCCCTGCGAGTCGGCAAGGTGGAAGGCGAGACGGGCTGGAATCTGCTACTTACTTTGCAAGTCAATCTCAGAAATCGTTGCCTTTAAAGCTCATGCAATTCTTCCAGGGATCATCTTCATCTGATACCTCGGACCAAGGCAGACTATCAACTCTCAGCACCTCACACCACGCATGTCGATCTCAATGCTTGTGCTTATGCCGGGCTGTTTCTTGTTCGATCAGAGGAAGAAGATCAGACGCTATTGCAGGCTGTCGAGCCTCAAGGGGGTCTCGACGTCGTCCTGAGGCATTGTGGTGTGTCGCGAGAACACGGTGAACAGGCGATAGAAGCGATGAATGCGCACAAGGGCATGCTGGAGGATATGCAACAGTTGGCGAGGTAAAAAGCAAGATATGAACAGCATTCTATTCCAAGCTCTGCATTGATGCATTACAAGCATATGCCGCTATTTATCTCAAGGGCTCGCTACCAAGTATGACCTGAAACGACGGGTCAGCCATGTTCTGATGTCGAGAGACGGAGCGGACTGCTAGAAGAGGGGAGACTGGTCAGACAACGGAAGTCCCTCTTGCGAGGGTAGGTTCGATTCCAAAGGGTTTATCGACATGCAAAGAATGCGTAGAGGGAGACCCACATTCATCAGGGTGTGGGGGACGATGGCGGAGACGAGGTGGATCAGGTGAACTTGTGGTATGGGGGGGTCTATCTATCATGGGGCAATAAACTCACCTTGGTGAACGGGAACTCTTTGGACAAACAGCTGACCGCTTAGCGGGACTTGAAGTAGTCGAGGAGGACCTGAAGTGCGGGCGAGTCTTGACCGTAGTTGGTGATGACGACACAGGAGCATCCGACAACCTTTCGGGGTTTGCCCTCTCGGTCAATTTTCTAGCGATGAGATCAGCAAGACGGCCGATGACATCGAGAGGGCCCGGCCCAGCCCTATCACTCACAGCGAGCCCAGCCCATTGTCCGAGGACCTTGGCGTCAGAGACCTTGATAAGCTGGATGTTGTGCTCGGTACAGAGAGCTTCGATGAGCTTGAGGTATTCGGCTGAATGCGAGTGTCAGAATCAAACCTTTTAAAAGAAGGTCCCAAAGTGAACCCACCCTCAGTCACAGTCTCGACCAAGACACAAAGGTGAGCCTCTCGCTTGTCAAGAGCCTTGGCACATTCCCTCAATCCTCTAGCCAATCCATCGTGGACCAAAGCGGTCTTGATGACCTCTTGCAAGGCATCTTCGACCGACATAGGTCCAGATTTCTCAGTGGTAGTCTCGACCACCTCGACTTCAGCCGCGGCGGGAGCGTTGGAAGCGGTTTCAGATCCAGCGTCAGACATTTTGGAATAGCCTTCGTCCACTGGAGAGTTTTTCGAAGAAAGTATATGAAAGTGTTTAGGATGTCGAGCTTCCTCTCGAAATTTCAACTGACTGTCACCATGGCCGAGTCCCGAAATTGAGTGACGGCGTTTATCGGCATTATGGACAGATATTGATATGTGGCACTCTGTCTAATGCACCGGTGTGTGGCAGTCGTCTAAGCATGTCCCCATATACGAACACCTCCTCGTCGCTTGGCATCATCCTGTGCCATGTCAAACCCGTTCCACATACTCCAAACTTGTTCATATCCCATGTCTCTCAAGATATGCTCGACTGTTCCGCTGGAGTGGGGGTCGGTCTGATGCAGGAGATCTCCAAAGAGGATCAGATGCGACGGAGTCGCTTCCGTCGCCGACCTAGGTGTCTTCTGCGATGCGTGGGCGAATGTACTCTTGATGAAGGTGACTGGTGAGGCATAAAACAGATCTTGCTGCGTCCTATGTTGAGACTCCGAAGCTTCACTGAAGTACAATCAGTATCGCCACCGTGGCATTGCACCCAGACAGAGCTTACAGTGGCGGTTCACATGTCAAGAACCACGCATCAATATCTCTGTGCAGATGGCTCTGCCACGGTGTAGGGTGGCACGGCATCAATGCTGCCAGTCTCGAGACGTGACCAGCTTCTCCTCGGCGAAGGACATTGATTACCTCGACTTGAGCTCGTCCGTGGAACATATTGAGATATAGCCACGGAATCAACGGGAGGCAGAGGCATGAATAGAAGGCAGATTGTGGTAGCCGAGTATATGCCCGAATGGATTGATGTAGTCGCCACATGCCCATGTGATGAGGCATGTATTGACGAAACATGGGAGGTAAGGCGAATAAGATAAGAGCAGGTAGGAAGGGGTGCAGAAACCGCCATTCACTATGCGGAGACAGAGAAAGCACCGTGATCCCAAAAGTTAGGCCTCGAGATAAAATGCGCAAACTTTCTGGTCGATCCGACTTGACGAGTCCAAGCTTTGCAGACATAGACTCTGGTAGGATGCACGCGGAAAATCCTGGGATCCACCAAGCCCAGATAGGGAAGAGTAAGATGGGAAGGCTCTGGACCAGGTGATAGGTCCAGTCCGTGGATCCGTAGAACGAAGAGATTTGAGCAAAGACATTGCGGTGGACGAATGTGAACGTGGGGAAAAAGACTCGACCGGTGATATAGTAGTCGAGCAAAGTCGAGCACACGAACGTCGCACAGCTGTAAGAAGATGCTCAGATGACTCTTGCAACGAGGCAACAGGATCCAGAGCTTACAATGGAAGCACGCATCTCGCAGCCGTATTCGAGGCGGCTACGATCCCTAGAGAACTCCAGGTATGCAGTAGAAGCTCGCCGCCCATATAAGCCCAGAAAGGCAGTGTCGTTGGTCGGAGACATATAGCAAGTGAGGCGAAAACAACCGATAGCTCGAGGCTATGGCCATCTCAGAAACGTCTCAAACATAGTCCGGCACCTCACTCACCTATCTCGACCATCGTCCACTTCGGACATCCTGTCCATGAGCGCGAAGTCGATCTCTGATACGTCTCCAAGCTTGATCACCTCGCCCTGCTCCGATCTGACCTGCTTCTCCTCATGTTTGTCATTCGGAGGTCTCATCAGCGTGCTGATTGGCACTCCTTCCATATCGACTATGACCTCCTTTACTGGGGGAGGACGAGGGAGGGGGAAGTAGAGGAGAGCCAGTGTTGTAAGAAGGGTTTCGGGTGATGTGGAAAGTGAGCGGGGCAACAGATGGGCGTTGAACAGTGATGTAAGCGATAAGAACAACTGAAGGAATTTGGACGTGTCAACCTTGGTTACCTGATTACCTTAAGCCATACCCAAACTCACTGCTGCCGCCGTCGATCCAGGACCCAAGAGCTTGCGGGACAGGCAGTAGGTTGCGTAGTCAGTGGATGCTGCGACTAGCACGCCAACAAGCCTCGGCATAATGATCTGAGACGATTTGAGCGTTCGAACCTTCCTCGAGATTTTGTAGACTGACTAGAAGCTCTGAGCTGTCCATGCTAGTCAACTGAAGCACTTTATACAATCCAGCGAATACTCCGGGCCAAAGCCATCCTCTCATCCGACCACCGACAACTGCTTCATTCCAGAGGCTCTGTACAGTTGATATTCCAGCGCTTTTTGATCCTGGCAGGTCTCGCCATTCCCAAGTCAGGTAGCCGTACCCGAAGACGAGGTGATGAGCCGGTTCGAGAGCCTGATAGAACTCATCGGGTTGGAAGAATGTCTGTGGCAAGAGAAGTGAGATGGATCGAACGGTCAGTGCCAGCACGAAAGGATGCACGACCATAGTCGACTGAAGAGCTGTGATATGCTGTTTGCGAGCAGCATACACCCTCCAGAAGGTGAGTATAGATTCAAGCAGAGACCACGAGCTATGCGTATCGAAGCCGTCGCGACCGACGAACGGCGTTGACGTATTACGGACATGGGAAGCATCTCCGTGTCCAAAGGTTCAGGCAATACACGGTCTCTTGCAGCGTTCTATTATCACTTCGGAGCTCTACAGCAGCATGGTGAGCTAGTACATCTGGCTCAGGGGATCAAATTGATGATCGATTCTGCAGTCTCTGTCTTATCTACAACACGAGTCCACGCCTGGTGAGTTTGGCGCCCCTTCCATCTCCAGCCACTCGCTTACACCTCATCAGTCCTGCCCGAAAGTGTTTGGGCTCTGGCATGGACACCTCTAGATCACATTATATCTGGCTCAGCAGACGGTCATATACGTGTGCATAGTGCCACGGATCTTTCTGTGCCCCTGCAGGATGCTGGGTCCCATCCATTGGCAATCACTTCGTTATCTGTCACCGAGGATGGACGGAGGAGTCTGAGTACGAGTCTAGATGGGACTGTGGTATTGTTTGATCCCCTGGAAGGTCGAGATTTAGATCGCCTGGACACGTCGAGGGAAAAGGTAGATGGTGATCGAGGTGAGTCTGCGAGTTGGGGAGACCATTTCGGGACACTGATTAAATACGATATAGAACTACCGGCATTTTCGTGTGCAGTACATCCTAGCATGAAGTGCTGGGCTTGGTCTGGTCGGTCATCCAAGATTGCCATGCGGAGTATTTCTCAAGCGGATCATGCAGAATCTTCAACGAATGGAGACGGAGTAGGAAGAAGTCTGTTGTCTGGAGAGACGAAATTGGTAGAGACAGGGAAAGGGAAGTTTGGGATGGATCTAAAGTTTGTGAGGGAGGACTCGATTAAGCGTGGCGTTGTGATCTTGGTCCTGACACTTATCGCGCAGTCTCCAGACGGCCAGATGCTAGCGCTGGCAACGGAATCAGGGCACGTCATTGTCCTTGATACAGAGACTCAGGCAATCATTGCGACGTATCAATCCCATGCCATGGCCACACGGACTATATCCTGGTCACCGGATTCTCAGGTGAGTCAAGACTCGGCAGCAGGCTCAAAGTTGAGGCGATACTGACGACACTCTGCTTAGTGGCTCTTGAGCGGATCAGATGATCACCTCATAGTGATACACGATGTGCGAGCAGGTTCAAAGTCTGGGGCTGGAGGTCGAGGTGAAGGCGCAGTGGGGATGATGCAAGGCCATCAGAGCTGGGTGTTGAGTGTCGCCGCCAGTCCGGATGGTAAATTACTGGGAAGCGGGTGAGTAGGACTTCCGCAGGATGGAGCGGCCCGCTCCAAGGTCAAGATGTTGACATCGTTTTCTTCCAGCGGAGCAGACGGCGTCATCAAACTTTGGGACATAGGACAACGTACAGCCGTTTACTCAAATTCTTCATCTGCCGAAGTGTGGGGCTTTGACTGGCAGCCTGTCAGCGCCAACTCAAATGCTTCCGGCAAGCAATTTGCCATAGGGGAGGATAACACAGTATCCCTGTACAGAGCTGCCGGCTCCGTGTGAAAAAGCACCTCTTTGCAGAATAGGTTTCAGCGGCCGCTGAGGTCCATGCACGTCGCATCGACATACATCATGCATTCGTATTTTCACGTCAATGACAAGATCGCATAAATCACCAAGTTGGACAAGTTGGACAGAGTCACACAAAACACGTCTACCCCGCATGCTCGACAATTTCTGTGACCAGTTTGCCTTTGACCAACTTGGATCTCATTTGCTCAGGCACCGGCCTCTCTTCAAAGTCTCCATCTTGACCAGTTGGGACCGAGATGTTGATGCCACTCGTCTTGGACGTGATGATCTCTACTGTCTCCATGCACTTTTCAGAAAGGTAGACGGATCCGGAGTCTGTGGTGTCAATTGTGATGGTTGGGACGGAGCCGGTGATCTGCGCTTCGAAAGATGGCGAGGAGGTGATGGAGAGCGATGAAACTGCCGAGTCGAGGACAATGGCGGTCTTGCGACAGCCGACTGAAGAAGTACTGCCGTCAGGGTAATGATGCGTCACTGACATTGATCACTCACCCATCGTTACTGCGTTGATCTTGCCTGAGATTTGTACAACAGATCCTTTGCAGTTGAAGATGTGAACAGTGTGAGACAGTTCAGTGTCCTCAATGACAATGTTTTTGTTGTCCTCGTGGTACTCCTATGCAACGAGTGAGATGATTGGCACAGTGCAACGGTTGTCGTACTCACAACAATCCACTTGTTGCCCTCCTCGAGCTCTGTCCTCGCTGGTTTCTTAGGCGTACTCAATGATCTGGTCAGAGCACCTGGCTTGGCCTTGACTGCGGGCGGAGCCTTCTTGTCCGGAACGGTGCCAGAAGCTCTTAGGCCAGGGTTCTTATGCGTCATTTGCGATGCGTCGACCTTCTTCAGTCCCGATGTGATGGCTCCTCCTCGATTCAGGTCTGCAAGGAGTGCCGAGTGACCTGCGGCTGCACCACCGGAAGAAGTCGGTGCAGATGCGGCGGAGTCTGATGGCGGTGGAGGCGGTGGTGGAGGAGGAGGTCCACCAGCGGGCGGCGGCGGAGGAGGAGCAGGAGCACCGCCGGAAGTAGCTGGCATTGAGGTGGGAGGTGGTTGACCCTGGTTATTGCTCAGCGTGTCTCCCGCTGTTCACAGTCTGATTCTTACTCGAGGGTTCCAAGACACACCGGTTGTGTGCCACTGCTTCACGTACTTCTGCAGGCCGTCGACAAGCTCAATGAATGCCTTCGCCCAGGCTAGAGCCGTAGGATTGCTAAGCAGCATCAGACGATTGCCCACTCATCACACTGTGGTCACCTCACCTCTCTTTGAACTGCTTTTGTACTCGATTCGCCCAGAACTGCGAAGCATTCTTCATCTCCTCAACGTACGGAGCCGGCGCGGGCTCCTGTGTGCGACATCAGATGATGGATAGAAACGAGGAATTCAAAGCATCTCACCACTTGAACCCATCCCCATGCGCCAATACCTTCGCCGATGACACTGAGGCATGCACCCCATTCACGGCCGTCCTTTGTTCGACCGAGTTTATCTTTGGCTTCCATGACTGCCTGTATGGCATCGGCCTGAGGCTTGAGCAGAGGCCCGAGGGCATTCATAGATGGTTTTGTGTGGCCGGAGGCCATCTGCAGAAACGCCAATTGGCTTGAGCAGACCGGGTCAAGCAGAGCAGTCTATAGAGAAGTGGCATCAGCCTGAGTGCTATTGGTCACCCATGCGATCTCACGTGCTCCTCGACAAGACCACCGATGGAGTTTGCCTGAGTCTTCACGGCTGCTAGTAGGTTATTGATAATCTCATCCTCGTACGCCTTTGTAGCTGGACTAGATCCGGTCGAAGCATTTCCGGAAGACGTTGATTGAGCAGGAGCAGGCGGTGTGGTGAGATTGGCGACTGCAGGACTTCTGGCAGAAGCAGCACTTTGAGGAGGTTGAAGACTAGCCACGTCTTCCAACCGAGACGTCACGGCTACATGCGTGTCAGCTTGCGTCACTCGCGCGAGATCTGAGCATACCCTCAAGCCGCTTTCTAGGTGAGTTGCCATCAGCTTTGTGGTTTTCCGCGCAGCATGGCCGGTCAAGCTCACAAGATTGTTGTCAGATTGACGTTCGACTGATTGGACATGATGAATGTCGCGTTCCACTCTGTCAACAGATCTGATCTATACTCTAAACAAGCACAAGGAAGGCAGAAAGCGACACCGAGAGAGAGAGAGAGACAAGAACGGAACGCTGAGGTCGAGATGCGTCATTATGCCATTGCCCACACGCTACTTTACGTAAAGTAGCCCTTTCCGCCGCGTCCACGCAGCGAGTGACACACGAAGGAACCATCACCGACCTCTTGACATCGTGCGACCTCTGTCGCTCAGAATCAACATGGACAAACTGCGAGTGAGTACGGTGGATAATGTCATTCTGGAGCGATATGTTCCGCCACCGATCGATGCTCTTGACGATAAACCGAAGAAACAGCGCTTGACTGGTCAACTTCATCTAGTTCAACATCACCTATTCTTCTCGCCACGGGCTAGCAGCTCGACTTCTCAGCCTGAGGAGATTTGGATACCATATCCAGCCATTAACCTCTTAACTCGATTGCCTCAGAGTATAGAAGGGCTCTACCCTCTCAAATTACGGACGAGGACATTTGAGACTTTTTTGTTCTTGTTCGAGAAAGATAGAGAAGGAGGGGCGGAGGACGTGTGGACCAGTATCAAGGACTGCGCCGTCGCATGTGGGTAGCTCAATTGCTTAGCTTCATGCTTTACTGATACGGGCGCTAGCATCCGTTGAGCAGCTTTACGCCTTCTTTTATAGACTTCCGTCACACCCCGCGCTGAATCCACAATCTGAGCCCTCCCGTCCGACCTCCCTCAACCCTTCGTCACCATTATCTTTATCATCCAAGGAGCCGGATGTGCCGTTTTTGTCGAGCAAATCGCAGCCCTCCACTGGCTGGGACACTTTCAACCCTCGAACAGAGTTCGCTCGGCAGGGCGTAGGAGTGAGGACGAAAGCTTGGCGGTTCACAGATATCAACAAGGACTATTCATTCTGTCCTACTTATCCGGCCAAGCTGGTCGTCCCGAGTCGGATCTCTGATAATGTCCTGTCGCATGCCGGCAAATACAGAAGCAAAGCGAGGATACCAGCTCTGTCATACCTTCATTGGGCAAATCATGTTGGTCAACTGTCCTCAACCTGAAGTCCCGTACTGACTTAAATTCCAGGCATCCATCACGCGATCGTCTCAACCTATGGTGGGATTGAAGAACTCACGTTCGGCGCAGGACGAGAAGCTGGTGGAATGTATATTCACCACTCACACCGCTGCCGAGTCTGCATACGCACCGTCGACTCAGTCAGCAGACCCCCTCTCTCCATCGCCTTCCTCTTCAGCCAAATCATTACCTCATGTCTACGGAGCCACCGCCACCAATCTCATCATTGACGCTCGACCCACTACAAATGCCATGGCGAACGTCGCTATGGGTGCCGGCACTGAGAACATGGACAATTATCGGTCAGGCAAGAAGGCATACCTCGGTATCGACAACATTCACGTTATGCGAAACTCGCTCAAGACGATCGATGATGCTGTGAGAGAGGCGGAGGAGACTGGAGATCCAATCGATAGGATATCCTTACGGAAAAGCAATTGGCTTCGCCACATTTCGACTATCCTCGACGGAGCTTTGATGATTATACGAAATATTCACCTCAATGCGTCACACGTCTTGATTCACTGTTCTGATGGATGGGATCGAACAGCTCAACTCAGTGCGATGGCACAAATCTGTCTCGACCCTTACTATAGAACGATCGAGGGATTCAAAGTGTTGATTGAGAAGGACTTTCTGGCTTTCGGTCACAAATTTCTCGATAGATCAGGCCACCTGTCCTCGGAAAAGCTCTTCACTGTGGCAGATCAGCCAGACGACGAAAGTGACGACGAACTCGGAGGTGCTCAGAAAGCTGCGCAAGCATTCTTCGCGTCGATGCAGAAGCAATTCACGTCCTCCAATTCGCATTTGAAAGAGGTTTCTCCGGTCTTTCATCAATTCCTGGATTGCGTCTGGCAAATTCAGCGACAGTATCCCTCACGTTTCGAATTCAACGAGCAGTTCCTCATCGACCTACACTATCACTTGTATGCTTGTCAATTAGGGACATTCCTATTCAACAACGAACATCAACGTCGCGTTGCTCGACCGCCTCAAGGCGACGACGAGGGTGGCGCATACGTGGACAGGACTGTCTCAGCATGGGATTACCTTAAACAGCCAAATTACAAAACAACATATCTCAACGAGGCGTATGACCCATCTTTGGACGCCAGAGATTCGCGAGATGATAAGGCGGACCAAGGGGTTCTACTCTTCGAGCCGAAGGACGTCAAGTTCTGGTGGAGGCTGTTCAGGCGTGGTGACGAGGAGATGAATGGGTCAAAACTCGCTTTACAGCACGCACAAACTGTGGCTTTGCCGCTAGTCGGTGCAGGACAGGTTGACCCAGTGTCCATTGAAGGCGCCGTCCAGTCCGTGGAGCGGGCAGCTTCGCTCGACGTGCCGTACTCCGTTCGTCGGACACCGTCTCCAGCCCATCTGTCAACCTCCGCTTCCGCTCGCGATCTGGACGTCCGCTCATCTCACACCCCTTCAAGCCTCGAATCGGGTTACACCACTATTCAACCCATGCCCTCTAAAGTCGGCGTTGGCAACCGTGCAAGTGGCTGGAACTGGGGACAGTTGTCCTCTGGTGCCCTTAATGCACTCCAGAAAGGAGCGAGAGACATCCGTTCCATCGGACAAGAAGCAATGCAGCAACTACGGGCGGAGGCTGGCAGTGCTGATGGAGAAATGTGGAGTCGATCAGATCAAGAGAGACAGAAAGACTACGCTCCTCCAGGAACAGGTATAGGAGAAGGTAGACTGGGACGAGAAGTCAATGACTACAGGCAAAGTCCACGACCTACTGTGAGATTACCGTCGGAGAATAATCCCTGGGCATCGGGAAACTCGAGCGCTAAGGCCATACCCAAAGTCATGGTTGATCACGAACCTATCGAGACCAAGATGGACATCACTGGCCAGGATGATCGCAATGGAGAAAGCAACAAGAGAAAAGAAAGCGTGACGCTGAATCCATGGGGTGAAAGTCGAGCCTCACCGTCCTTGGCCGACTTATTCTTACGCGATGTTAAACCCGTGACCAGAGATCAAATGCCTAGTCGTCACCCCACCAATGGCAAGCCGCATTCCTCGGCCAGTAGACAAGAGGAGGACGAAGTGGCTGCCGCTCTCGGAGGGGATTCCAAAGCATGGGACCCTCTAGGTGCCGTATGATGTGCGGTTGTACGCCAGGAGCTCAAATATCGAGGAGTAACACGTCCTTGATACATGCAACAAGGTATGAGGAAGAACAAAAGTGTGGTCGTGATTAAGTCGTCTCTGTATAAAATGGTCCCTTGACACGGCGATGACCCCCGGATCATGATGTCCTCACTCTGCCTTGAGGTGTCCTACGATGGAATTTTGAGGATGCTGGGTTGAGTGTGACCACGCATCCTTGAATCCATCTGGCTGCTTGGTCGATGCATCTCTGTCGACTCCATTTGCTCCGTTGGTGCCATTGACTCCGTTGATGGATGGATTGTCGTGGCTAAACCCGGTCGAGTAGAAATTATCCGCTTGCCGATCAGATTCGCGAATCACACCTTCGTGCTGGAGCCGCGGGACGCCGCTATCCATCCCGTTCGATGACGGACTCGTAGGGCTCTGCGCGCCGAGCATCGTCCCGTGACCCGACGCTGCCACAGTCTGAGGAGTTCTCTGCTCGGTTCCAACGGCCGGTTCCGGTATTATAGGGTCCGATGGCAGGAGGCCAGATGGACGAAGGTTTATATCGCCATTACGCATAACTGAAAGCAGGAAATTCAGGAACCTCCTTCCATAAGCTGAAGGATCGATACAGGAGATGGTATTCTGTTAGCGCGTCAGCGATAGAACCCAGAATGTTTGACCGAGATGCTTTACTTACTCTGTCCTCCGTCATTGCCTTCCAGAAGTGCTCGAGCTTCTTCACACTATTGTAAGGTGTGCAGATGTCGATGATACCGAGATAGTAGATCACGTCCATATCTTGATTCGCTTCATCGGTCGCTCGAAGACCGCCTTCATCTTGGTAAAACAAGAAATGTCTTCGATCAGCCGAACCATCGGCGGGTAATTGGGAAGAAACGTCGAGCATCTTAGGATCTGATCGACGGACGGCTTTTCGCATATTGGAGGCTTCTGAAGGGGGTTTGACAGATGGTTTCCGACGAACAGGTCGAACCTCGGGCTGGAGGGCAAGTCAGTCGAGGCCGGGCTACGATCTCTTCAGTCAACTCACATGGAAGACGTGCAGAGAATTTTCTCGCAGATTGTCCCGGTTTCCTCGCTCCATATTGTGGATGCCTACCAGGAGCGAATAGTCCATGACATGAACGTGCTTTAGGAACTCCATATCTCGTCGCAGCTGTTCCGAGAACAATGCCCTTTTCTCTGGGCCAAGCTCCAGCGTGCGGCCTCGATTTACCCAGTTTTTATCCTTGAGGACAGCCCGAGGATTGATTTTTGCCTTCTCTTCTGGGTATTCTCGACCATACGCTGACCCTTTGAGGTCATAAGTCTCGTGGATATCTCGGTGTGGCGGGAAGAGATTGTTCATGATCACAAAGTGGATCTTTCGGCCCCTGGGCAATTTGACACGATGCAAACCGTAGAAGCGGGACAAGAGGGTATGCGGGTTATTCTTGACGTGCTCGTGGTAATCTTTGAGAATGGATCGAAGGAATTTGTGCTCAGAGTGTGAAATGGTCTTGATAATGAATCGATAATCGCGGGAGAAGTAGAAGAAGGACCCAGATTTACCGGGGGATCCTAGCTCGGAGAGAATATATTTGGCAGTGAGGGAAAGCAAATAGTCGGCTGGATCGAGGTGGAAATGCTCGTCTCGCAGATCCCGGAAGACCCAGGGCGCGTAATCCTTGAACTTGAAGTCGTACTTTGCTGAGGGGGTCAACTCGTTTCCGACGCTAGACAAGATCAGCTATTATACATTGCGGACGCTCACATGTCGAATGAGAATTTATGCCGAGCAGTGTAGTCGTCATCTGTCAGTGGCCGTGCAGGTTTGGCTTGACAACGAGACACCTGTGAGTGACTTAGCAAAGACTCCAGAGGCGGTTGTCAACATCGACTTACGCCTATCCGGATGCCCGTCAACATATTGTACATCAACACATAGTTGACATGGTCTTCTCCGATCAGGTTCCCGACCAGGACTTTGGCCGCCTCTTTATTCGCCTCCTCCCTCTCCTTCTCCTTTCTGACTTCCGACCTGTCCCTGACAGGCTCGAACACAGGCTCTGGAAGCGCCGGAGTCGAAGCAGCGCCGGCAGCAGTAGCAGTAGCAGCAGCAGCAGCAGCCGCCTCGGCCTCAGCCTTTCTCCGTCGCCTCTCCAGTCTTTCACGCCTGATGACCTCCGTTTGAGCCAGAATATCAGGATCAAGAGCTGTATTATCAAAGACCGGGACGTTGGGGTTGGAAGAGTCTGAAAAGGTCGAGTGGGAATGAACGAGGGGTGAGCGGTTAGGGAACTGAGTTTGGATGACGGGTGATGGATTTGTCATGCGACGGTTGATTCGAGGCACCGGTGCCCGAGACGAAGAAGGAGTGGTACGGCCGCCAAGGCTGTCCGTTGGATCATCGTCATCCGCTGGTACTTCAGGAGCAAGTTGACCGTCAGCACGTTGTTGTGCCAAGCGACTGGCCCGAACGACGGCAAGCGAGCCTGGTCGGGAGGACGTAGTGGAAGAGGCGTTAGAGACTCGGCGATGAGACGAGAATGGAACGGGTAGATGCTGACCTCCAAAGTCCGATGAACCAGGTCTGGAAGTTGGCGAAAGCTCGAGCATGGAGAAATAATCTGTTCTGTTGTTAGGGGACGGGGTCCTTTGAGATGGAAAAGAGGCTCCGAGGTCCGAGGGCTCAGCAGTGAGCATGGGCGTGAAAGACGGGAGATGGTGCGCCTCGTTGGTTTCGGTCGTGTGCGAGAGTATGGAGACTTCCCGCGCGCCGTCCTCCACGCTGCCCACCACATCAGTGTCCTCCGCAGTCTCTGTCGTCACTGTCTCTGCTCCCTCCTCGTTCACATCAACGTCGCTGATGGGGGGGCTTGGCGGCGCCTGTTGTAGAGCTGGACGACGAGAATTGGCAAAATCCGACTCTCCAGGCTGTCGCTGTGAACTGGTGTCGGCCATTCGATGCTCCTCAACAAGAGCGTGCTGGCCCGTTGAGTCCTTCCTAAGGACCTTGTTCACCTTTTGAACGAGCTTCCTCCTATTTCCATCGGCCGGGGTGGGGCCAGAAGTCACTTGGACCCCTTTTCTACTGACTTTGGTGATGTGGATCGGAGGGTCACCATGAGAGATCTGGTCCGGGGAGGAATGGAACTCAGATACGATTCGGGGTCCCTGGCTGGTGATCATCGTAAGATCCTCCAGGTTGTTGGGGAGCGGCTCTTCAGCGGAAGGTGAATGAGGATGGGACAGGAAATGGAATGGATTGACTTTCGGCGAGGCTGTATCTGGCATTTGGGAGGGAGGGGAAGCTGTCAGCAACTATGTGAAAACATACGAGGGGTCTGTCCGAGACATGAGGAGAAAAGGTCGAGAACAAGGTGATGGAGAGGAACTCGATACTCACTCATTTGAAATGGTCCAGGTCCGTCGAGCTCGCCGTGTACGTTATACTGGGACTCCTGTTCGTACTCATCCTGATCAATTGGCGACTGATGACGGGCATGGCCATTTACGGAGGAATCAGTGAATACTGAGTCATGTCGTGTGGCTGTCTCGGTTATAGCCATGATTGGAAGGAAAAGGTAGACAGACGACGGGGTGATGTGTTTTGGTCGAGCGAGCGCAACAGTCGTTGTCGTCGCAAACAGTCAAGAACGAAGACCTCAATACAACATGTTCAAGTCTCTCTCAGAGGCTGTGAGAGGCGTGTGTTGATGACCGAATGATACAGAAGAAGAAGAAGTGACAGGTACTGTTTGAATAGAAAGTAGTTGTTTGAATATGAAAGTGGTCCAGAATAGCTTGGCTTGAACCTGCATCATCTCGAAGGAAATTTGATTCCGTTCGACATTTAAATGACTCATAGCAAGGATTCAAGAGGATGATGATGATGATAATGGTTGTTAGCATAATCACACGGTGTCAAGACAGGCAGCAAGCATGTCGATAGCTGGACCTAGTCGGCTGAAGCCTCTGCGATCACTTCTAGAAGCCTCATCTTCTAAGCCTCGGATAGCTCATTTGAAGCGAAGACGAGTCGTGGAGATCGCAGGTCCAGATGCCAAAAAATTCATCAAGGGGTTGTTCTGCAACGAAGTGGATGATGTAGGTGGTGGTTACAGCGGGTTCCTCAATGCTTCAGTGGGTCTTCGTCATCACCCTGTGGGTGTGGAATGACTGACAATTCAGGGCCGGGTCGTTCACACCACGTTCATTATACCTGCCAAAAGCTCTACACCGACCTATCTCATCACCCACAATCCCGCCTCCTCCGACACTATACCACCGCTTGCCCAAGTCTTGGCACCATTCAAGCTTCGCTCAAAAGTCAGAATCAAAGATGTGACTGATCGATATGACGTTTATCAAGCTTGGGGAGGTCCACTCAGCGGCGATTCCTCAAGAGAACCTGTCAGAAGCTGGAAGTTTGGAAGTGGAGGTGCAGCCGAAGCTTCGTGGAATTGGCCGCATGGTCTCCCAGTGATGGGCCTTGATGACGCAGAGTCTGGATGTTGGGATCTGAGAGCTGGCTTCCATGGTGGGATGGGAAGGCACATCGTCGTACCTAAAGGCTCAAGTCGTAAGTAGCTACAGACCCGAGTTGACACGCTCACACGAACCTGATAGCGAGTTCGTCCTCCAATCACGAGAAGAGCGCCGAAGATGACTTTGACCTGCATCGTATGCTGCTCGGCGTGCCCGAGGATCAAGTGGAGATCCATCCTGGGAATTCCCTCCCCTTAGAGAGCTGTATGGACATTCATGCAGGAGGTGTGTCTCGCGTCGCCATGCCTGTTCAGACATTGACTTCATTCATAGTCGACTTTAGGAAAGGTTGCTACCTAGGTCAGGAGTTGACTGTCAGAACTTATCATACCGGGGCCACTCGAAAGCGCATATTGCCAATCTCCTTATTCCCCATCCCTGTCAATGAGGCGGGAGGCGACCTTTCGGATCTGATCCCGAGGCCGCTGGACAAAACGCTCGCCAGGGCGATATCTCCAGATGCCGAGATCACATACCACCCACCGCCCGATGCCCCGTCTCAAAAGCCCAGACCAGCAGGCAAGATTCTTTCAGTCCATCCGACAATTTCACAGGTCGGGCTCGGAATGGTTCGTCTAGAATTTGCGGAACGAGCCTGGTGGAGTCGGGATGTGGCGCATCTTGGTCAATGGCTGGCAGGTGGGAGATTGACCACGACCGTCAACGGCACAGAGCTAGGGGTCTACGTCGACACTGGAGAAGCCTATGACTCCGCTGTATCTCGGTTGCAACTCGCGGAGCAATAGTCCTAACGGTCTTTACCCAATCGATGAGTATGTCTACATCTGAGATCGCCAACTCTACGGGACCAATGTTTGATAGACCTTCAACTCATTCGTCGTCCCTCACATTGCCATCCGCCTGTAATGTGATTCCCGCTTTCGCTCTCGAGTTCCCGGCATGCGAGTCACCTATAGTCTCGTCCATCTGACAGACACAAGCGTCTATAAAGATATAGATGAACCCAGGGATATTCTCCCTCGCTCCAGGATGCCTAGCTCGCCATTTGGCTTCTTGTCGCTTCCTCGCATCGGCCATGTCAGCTTCGCGGAGGTGTAAGCTTGCAGCACCATCTGTCCACAAGTCGGCTGTATCGGAAAGATTGAGACCAGACCCCTTCTCTGGGACATTCGCTGTCCCTTCGTAGAAACACATGCAGTACGTGTTTGTCTCGAGTTGATGCTCTCGCACAAGTGAAGCTATCTGCTTTGCAGAGTGTACCCTAGATTTCCCTTCTTGCTGTTCGTTCACCATGATAGTGGTCACGCGAGGGATGTAGAAGCTCTCAGGGATGTTGTCCTCAGCGTACGGTTTCAAATCTCTCCTCGGATCGGCCTGATTGACATCCATGTACTGGTCGTATGTTGGAGCTTGGGTATTGGACCGCGACAAAGAACAGTCCTCCAGTATCACATTCCGTCTGATTGACGAGATCTTCCTGGTTCCTTCGCTCCAATCTCCTTTTCCCGGCGTCTCTTCACTGTACAAGGAGTGTGTGACTTCAAGCACGAGTTGATGGTTCACCGAGGACGCGATGCGATGATGTAGAACGTTTGTGGAAGCTCTTGCACCTAGTGCTGCGGATGGCAGTCGATGCACATTGTTAAGATGAAGAGAGTCCAAAGTGGTTGCTGAGTGGCCTTGCTGCTCGATATCCTGCTCAGATTGGATTTTGGCTTCTGGGCCCCGCCAAAGATAACCAAGAGCGTCTTTCTGAGAATCGCTACATTGCCAGTTCCCAATAAGGTACCTGTCAATATGCGTCTCCTGTCCATCCACAGAAGTGACGCGTTGCTCGAGATATATCTTGACCTCGTAGATTGTCGCGCAGGGATCGATTTCTTCCAGCCTTATGCAGATGAAAGTCATACTGCCGACGGTCATCTGAAAGCCAAAAAAGATGGTGAGCGGCGCAGCTTCACCCCCTTTTCACTACTCACATATCCCGTAGACGAGATGAATCTGATGTTCCCGATGCCAGGTAACACCCGCGTCTGATCACTCTCTTGACCAGGTTGAACATCTCTCGCTGAGAGAGGGGTGACCACTCGCACCTCTTTGCGAACTATTCCGACGTTGGGAGAGAATGTTGGAGGTAGGTCTGCGAGCTTCGAATTTTGCGCTGCGAGCTTTCCGGATTGAGGAGGAGTCGGGGAAACGGATCTGTGCGTCTTGGACTTGGATCTGAAGCCTAAGAACGATGGCTTGTTTTGTGAATGACTTCCACTATCCCGTGTCAGATCCTCTGAGTAGTCCGGAGCCGGCGTGATGGCCGATACAATGAGCGTATGGGAGACCCGCTCGAAATCAGTGGAAGTGGTAGGTGGAAGATCTGTAGGTAGTGTGAGAGTGAAAGATGATCTATGTGCTTGGGTGAGCATCTTGCAATACTTCGGAGATGAGTCTCACGTCTGTGTCTGACCTGGCACCAAGAGGATCTCCTCATCCCGAACGACCACAACAATAGTTTCCAGCACCTCTGCTTTGCCCCATTCCATGATCTTTTGAATGCTTCGTCCAGCAAGTGGTTTTTGTAAGGTTATTTGCCATGCTGCTCTCAGTCCACCAGCTTTGAGAGGATGTTTCCCTTCATTGATCAAGGTCACATTGATCGGGATGGTCGTTGGGTTTGCGGCGTGTGGTTGACCGACACCGTAGACGAACACTGGTGGGCGTGGATGATCTACTTCGATTCGAAGCATATTGAACGTTAGATCAAGCCGGAGCGGAAACCGATCGCTTCAATAGAGCTCCACCTGGCGCAAGCTATATCGAGGTCAACTCTAAATGCGTTGTGCAGCGAGCAGCCGTCCCTTGTAAGTGATCAATGACTGTCCAAGATCAAATATGGATGCACTGGATCTGCGTCTTTTTGATTTCTCCTTGACCACGCGTGGTTCACTTGCACGTGACAAGCCCGGAAGACCGGAGATCGAATACCGGAGACCGGCGTTCACAGCCTGTTCAAAATAATCTTTTACTCTTCTCATATGCCATGGATTGAGAGGATATGGTACCGTAGGGGACGGATGGATGTCAGCCGTCCGAATCCAGAGCACGGCGTATCGCGTCAGCTCAATTAGGGATGCTCAGCCTCCCCAGGATGGTTGTCACCGCATAGCGACAGAGGTCCATGATACGGAGGACTGTGGTGACAAGCGATACATACATCATGATATTTAACGATCGGATCATACTGTAGGCTCTGCAGGCTCCTAATCTCATCCAGCTGGCTTCGTCGATCCCCGAATGTCCTTCACCGTCTCTACTCCTCTGCATTTGATCGATATGTGATTCCAGCCTTGAGTCTATCCTTAGGCTGGGGACCAGCGGACGTCGAATAATTACATGCGCAACCCCAAGCGAACATGTACATAAAACCTGGAATATGCGATCTTCGTTGCAAATGCCGTTCTTTCCAATCTTGTTCTTGTCTGACCCGTTGTTTGGCGAGCCATTCCGGCGACTCCCACAGCGATTCGGCGGTTTCTTTAGGGAAAAGCTGAAGCGTGTCCATGAGGTTGAGTCCTGATCCCTGTTCGGGGAGTCTCGGTGCCAGCTCAAAGAAGCACACGCAGAATGTCCCAGTTTCCAGCTGATGAGCTCGAACTTGAGCAGGCGAATATTTACCGGGGTACAATCGGCCTTTCCCTTCTTGGACCCCATTGATGAAAATTGTACTTGTTCGAGGGATGAAGAAACTAGGTGGCAGGGTACTCTCTGTATATGGCTCGAGATACTCCTCAGGATTAATCTTTGGAATGTCCATCGATTGGACATAACTTGGCGTCTGTACTGTCGGTCGTGAGAGGGAACAATCGCCTACAGTGGTTTTGCGCTTGAGCGTCTGTTTCATCCTCGGACCCTCTTTCCACGATCCATCTTCAGTCTCTTGGAATGTCGTGTACGAGAATTCGAGCAAGAGATGATGCGTTATGGTCGAGACAATAGGCTGAAGTAGCGGTCCTGTGGAGGGTTTGCAGTTTAAAGTTGCTGAAGGGGTTCGAGGAAGGCCATTGAGATGTATTTCGTCTCTGGTACAGCCTGAGTGGCCTTGCTCTTCAAAGTCTTGCCCCGCATAAGCTTTTGCCTCTGGCCCTCGCCACAGATATGCCATCCTTTCCTTCTTATCTGCGGCGCACTCCCATCCGCCCATAGTCCACTTGTCCACATGGGTCTCTTGCTCGTCTACCGACGTGACCCGTTGCTCGAGGCAAACGTTGACAGAGTAAATCGTGACGAGTGGGTTCAGATCGTTCAGACGACAACAGAGGAATGAGGCGGTGCCGACAGTGCACTGACAATCCAATGTCAATGTACAGGGAGATGACAAACTAGCGATGAAGACTCACGATACCGGTGGCAAACATGTATCGAAAGGTACCGATGCCGGGCAACAGCTTTTCGGAATCGTATTCCTCTGTCGGCGGTACGTCTTTCGGACAAAGGGGAGTGACTACCCTGATGTCTTTGCGGAATATGGCTAGATTTGGTGACAAAGTCGGAGGCAACGATGCTTCCTTGGGATTTGAGGCTGCGTCGTTGGAAGGCAGACGCACGGGTGAAGGAGAGACGGCTCGCTTGCCTTTCGACCTAAAACTGAAGAAAGATCCTCTTGACTCGCCGTTGATCGAAGACGGAGGAGAGACGTAAGTCGCAGAGTCTGTGTACTCGGGCGCTGGTGGTAATGCAGAGATAAAGAGAGTATGAGTGACTTTTTCAAAGTCGGTCGTGCAGCTGGGTGGGAGAGAATGGGGAATAGACAGGGTGAAGGTGCAACTGAAGGATACCGGTCTCAGCGCCTTGATCTGCGCGATTCCTAAGGCCCTCCTTGCTCACGTTTTCTTGACTCCCGGTTCAAGTTGCAGATTGCCATCCAAAACAGAAGTGATAATTGTCTCGAGGACTTCTGCCTTTCCCCACTCCATGACATAGTGAAAGCTTCTTCCCGATAATGGATGTTGGATGGTCGTCTGCCATGCTGCCCTGACACCTCCAATCTTGGTTCGCTCCTTGCTGCTCAAGGTCACAGTGATAGGAAAGATTGTCGGACTAACATCCTGAAATCGACCGACACTGTACAGGAACACGGGGTGCCGTGGATGATCCACTTCAATTTGCACCATGGTGGACTGGGAAGATATCAGAGATCGGGTATTCACTGTTCAGCCTAGTGCTATATGTGCGCGAATTCGATGTCCATCGTCACCAGGACAGATGCCCAGAGTCGACAGCACGTCAGTGCCAAGGGATGCCAATCAATGGAAGTGCATCCAACAACTCAGATCTCGTCTTATTGAAAATTTATCAAGATCATGAAAAAGTCAACGATTACCCAGCGATGGAATCTCCGGCCCGCTCCGGGGACGAGACCGGTATCCCGCATCGCATAGGTCGTGGATCGCTATAGATCATCAAAGAAGGTGTCGTCCTTATCACGTTTAGCAGCATTGAGATCTCCCATCCCAGCCTTGCCATTCTTCTTCTTCTTCTTCCTCTCTTTCGGAATCGGAGCGGGCTCATCTGAATCCGAATCCCCACCTCCCATCGCCACATCTCCGTCATTATCTTCGTCCGCCTCTGCGGGCTCATCCTCCTGGCCTTCACCTTCTTCTTCACTGTCCTCAAACAAGTCCTCCACATCGGTCAATTTGATGCACTCGTCGTGACTGACGCTGCCCAACCACTTTTTCCGCCTGTCCAACTCCATCCGCTCGATGGGATAGTCATCGTGTGTGGCGATGACACCGACTTGACGGTCAGCTGAGAGCCAGCTGAGCCAGACTCACGGAATTTATGGGGAAGCACTTGAATGACACGGATCATACCATCTTCTGAGCCAGTCGCGACGATGTCCGGAGTCAGAGCTACCATTGCATCAACAGAATCTGGGTGACCAGGTATACGATCCACGCCTGTGGGTCTTCAGTCTGCATATTTCAGGCTGCGATTGGATGACTCACAATCACCCCATCCTCTCGACCTGTCCCAAATAGTCAAAATACCCGTAGTCGACCCAACGATGGCCTTTGAATCCCCTTTGATCGCAACGACTGATAGTAATTCATCCTCCTGATCATCCGAAACTTGTAATGGAGTAGCCTTGTTGGACCGTATGTCAATGACAGAAATGTGACCATCACCTCTGTCATGTGTTATTTGAAGCTCGACAAATGCAGACGGGTCTCCTCACGAGGTCGTCACAAGCTGCTTCTTATCGCCAAAGAAGCAAAAATCGGAAATGTAATCAAAGTGTTGAGAGTAACTTCGTATGCTTTCTTCCTGTCTGGGATCCCAGAACTGTGAGACTCGAGTCAATGAGTGACTTCACGTGGAGTAGTATCGCCATGACTAACCTTGATCACGCCGTCATCGTCGCCCGTTGCAAGCAGCTGCTCGTTTATGGAATATACTCGATTTATTGGTGATCTGGGCGGCGGATACATCAAATCCAGCACAACCTAGAATTCAAGCTATATCTTACTCGTGAGCCTCTAAGCGCTCGCTTTTGAGAGCGCCATCCTTTGGGTCAAGCTCACTACGGGCAATTGTAAGCAGAGATATCGGCAATTGACCATCGACAGACTCACAACAGACCGCCAGCTTTTCCACCCATCCATAGCCGGGTACCATCTTCGGAGCAGTCTACAGCTCTAGCCGTCCTCTTTGTCGGTCGAACACTCCATGAAGCACTTCCGCTTGATTCGCCTGTCGTGTCATCGTACTGGAAGGCTTTGACTTCCCCAGTCAGCAAGGAGGCGTAGAGGACCGGCTCGGTCGGGTGAAATGAGAGATCAAACGGCTAAGAGCGGGTGTCAAAACAGATGCTCGGGCAGCGCTGAAGCGTTCGAAGGACTGACCTGATTCTTCAGCTTGATGTCTGGCATGATGAGCGAGGTCTGGAAAGCTAAATGCGATGAGCGGGGGATGTTGAAATTTACCAACTTTTCCAGACCTCTCGGATCCGAGATTGTGGCATGGTCAAGGATTGGGGAGCCGACTTGGTCTATGTGGGGCGATCGTATCGTGCTATGCATGCGAATCGCCTCAGCATCTGATGCAAGATCACCACAAGGAGCTCGCAATCAATCGCTCTAGACCTGAGATCGGTTGTATCTCTCATGCGAGTTTCCCTTATACCTGTATAAGACCGCCACAGCCCCACCGCGCCCTAGTCCAATCATTTGACCTTGACCTGATAGTCTTACAGTGTGAATAGAAGGACGAGATGGTGCAGGCTTTGGCTTGAGTGCTCAGGGTTCTGAAAGAAGATGAGAGGTGTGTTGTCGAATTTCTGAAGCTCGGTGACCAGGTGCAAGGCCGACGACCAGCTCACCCGGTGACAGACGTGCCAAACTCCACGCAAGCTCATCAGATCCTGAGCCACCACAATTCGTCATCGTCGATTGTTGGTAAGCCAATCCGCGGCAAAAGTGACAGCGTCGCGGACTGAGAATACTCTGCTCGTCGCAGCGCCAACTCGTCCCTTTACCACTTTGTAGGCCGCTTCGAATGGCTCTCCCAACTCTGCGAAATCTCCGTCGATCCTCGTATCTTTAACTGTGACCCATTGTCTTCGCCCATCTATGACCGCAGCGAACCAATTCTCAACCATCGGTCGACCGATTCTGTACTCTGCTAGGTGAGAAGCTGTGCAGCTCCCGTAATCCACACCCAGTAGAACCACCTTTGCATTGCACTCCTCCAGTTTTGCCAATGGACTCTGCTCCCCCAAACGACAGTCTAAAGCGTGATTTGCGGTGATCCGAGATGCCAGACGACCGATAGCAGCGAATGAGGTCTGAGGATGATCGCTCCGGACGGAACCCGGCCACGTCCTGGCCATCTCTGGGATCGCTCCCATCTGTCTCGTCTTGCTTTTTGTTGGATCGAACGCTGGCGTGTGATCGCGAATTTCCTGCCACCATGATTCAGGGACTGGGGGCTCTTGCCATTCGGAGGGCTCAGAGTTCTCACTCGTGTGGGTTGGAACGACCAATGTGCCTTGTTCTCCAAGTACTTGTAGGAATGCAGTGACGATCGCCTCGGCACCTCCCACCACGTACCCCATACTTCTGAGAGAGGAATGCAGGAGAACGGTATCACCTGGACAGATCCCAAGATCGTGTAGGTCTTTCATGACTGACTGCGTTGTACATAGCTGTGCGCTCAGTGGCTGCATGCTATCTCAGAGGGTGTGCGATACGGCAGTGTCGGTCTGTGGTGCGGTCGATCAAGGTCCGGGCTCGGATCCGGGGATGCCGGCACCTATGAGCGTCGTGAAGCCCCTGGAGACAGCGTCCGAGCGAGCTACATGCTGAGGCGAATACTCTGGCAAAGGTGAGCCTACTGACACTGACCAGCCGCCGATCAGACGTCGTCCCTAGGTCGGATAGTCCGTCATGCTCACTGTCCACATTTGGTAGCCGCGAAACAGGATTCCCCTGTAAGGACAGGGTTGTTGCATGGCTATGCTCGATCTAGTGGCACATATCCAGACCGCGTTGAAGCATTGTCTCTCGATAGACCTCTCTTGACTACAGTAGTATCTGACAATTTGTACCTCTGAATCTCAAGTACAAGTGCGACTCCGATCTTTCCTCACAGTTTCAGTTCCGCCCTAAAGTCTCCCGGTCGATCAGTCAACCTCAAGGCTGCCATTCACATATCCTTCTCGGGCCGGAGCCAAACTACTCTGTAGCTTCGCGAGCTGGATATAGAGCGCTTGCAGATGGTCTTCAGTGGATTCCTCGAGGTGCTGTGTTCTTTCTCAGTTACCGATCGCCTTGGGAGAGGATAAGCTTACTAAGATGTGCATGTCTCGCTCGGAGATCGTCTTGAAAGCTTCATCGAGTCTACCCTGCAGCACTTGCTTTTCTTCCACGAGTTCTGTGATCCTGCTGCTAGCTTGTGCCAGTAGTCCGGTATCATCTCCCTGACTCTGCTCTCGATCATCCACGTTACATGGCTCCTGATGGTAGTCCGGCTGCCGCTGCGTCGTGACTGCTAGAACCTCCATCATTCTCCCCTTATCCCTTTCCAGCTGCTTCAGATTGGCGCATAATATGAACAGCTCCCCAAGGTCTTCGAACTCTCCATCTTCCTCCTCCTCTTCAGTCTCAAAGGCGTTGTTCGTCTTTTCAATGTCGTCCTCTCCTGTGTCTTGACGAGTCTGACCAATCCAATTCCCTTGCTTCCAAGCCGCAGATCGCGCTTGCCAGGCTTGCTCCTTCTCAGCCCAGACGGCTCTCTCTTGTGTAAGTAGACTCGTTACTTCCTCCAGCCTTCGTTCAGCATCTGCCAGAGCTGCATGAAGAGCAGTAGGATCATGTGGCGCCAGGAGCGGTGCCCACCTGATCAAATGGCGAGTGAGGCGATGCCGACCCAAAGCTGTCTGCAACAAGAGACGGGATAAGAAGTCTGTCGAAGGAGTCAATGGGGTCCAATACCATCGGATGGTCCTCTTCATTTCGTTGGCTCGACGTGTTCAACTTCTCCGGGCCTCGCGGAGGAGAGCGCCATGTGTTTGATTTCGGGTCAGACCCGCAGGTCAATCTCCTGCCTTCGTGGAGGGGTGCGGGAGATCTCTCAGCACAGCCAGTGGTGTGGGGTGATCCAGTCAGGCCATTTTCCATCTTTGCAGCACCAAGTCCTGCGGTTGAAGAGAGGCAGTTCGGTTGAGAACGCGATCGGGTTGTTTGAGCACCTAGCGATGGACCTCCAGGGTGACGTCGTCCGTGATGGTGTTTTGCACATCCTTCATCTTGGCAGCGTCGAGCATGGTGAGGAGGTCTGTGGTCTGGCTCAGTTAGAGGATTGTATGGAGAGTGAACATTGCGGTGGGGTCTGCGATGTCGATGGGAGAGCTTCGCCAGCCTTGAGGTATCTGGGGCATGTCGCGTGAGCGTCATGAATATCTTGGAGTTCGAGATCAAGTGGTAAGGATCGCATCTTGACCATTCAGGACAGCGTTGAGCGATAAGCGAGGACCTACCTTTGGTCGTCATCACTCCCAACGCGTCCAAGGCATTGGCTATCGCGTCCACGATCTCCAATGAGGCGGCGCCGGACGGCGCTGGGGATGAGAAGCATACTATACACACAACATCGACATGTACGCCTACGTACACCTCCCATATGAAATTCTAAGCCCAGTCGACAAATAGTATCCCAAATCCACATGAGCCATCTACTCCCAGTCTGAATCTTCGTCATCGTCCTGCTGTGAAGGAGCCGCAGGTTTGGAAGCACCTTTGCCACCCTTTCCTCCCTGATCCGAGACGAGGTCATAACTCTCCTCGGAATCGCGAGGACTAGTGGATGTCGATGCGCCTGTGACGCCCGCATGTTTGGGGACCTGAGTCTCAGAGGGCGCTTTGGGAGTCGTCAGAGCCTGATCGGCTTCCTTATTCTGTTCAGATTCGTTCGACGCGGGCGGTCTCAGTGTGGTGGTCGATGATCGAGGATTGGCTTCTCCAGCCGATGCTCCTACTGGACTCGATGGGGACGCATCGTCTTCGTCGTCCCAGTTGAAATCTTCCTGCTGAGCTTCCTGAGACGCTGTCGAGGTGTAAGTGCAATCTTACCAAAGACCAAGAATCAACCCACCCTCGAGGACCTTTTTCCTCTTCTCATCCTCTGCTTCGATCATCGACTTGTGGAACAGATATCGTTGCCAGAATTGCTCGTCCGACAGGCTCTCGGGAACTAGGGTTGTGTCAGCTCGACATGCTTTGCAAAGTCATCATTGACATTGACGCACCCAATTCCATGCGAATCGTCCCCACATGGGCCTCCTCCTTCTCCTTGCCTTGCTTGCTCAATTCAGGCCATTGTTTTTCGATGAACTGTTTGAACTCGGCCTTTCTCTCCTCGCTCTCCCCTTCACCCTCTGGGTCGACCAGTAGCAAATCCTTGTCTTCCCTCAATCTCCTCAACAAAGACTCCTTTCTCGATGCCGCTACGACAGCCCCGGGTACGCCCGAACGTGAGCTGCGCCCGGCGACATCGAACAAGACATCGCCCTTCTGCACTTTTGATCTCGCGGATGAAGAAGTCGAGAACGAGTAGAAGTCCCCAGCGTCCCAGGTCGTAGCGACATATCGAGCTTCATCATCGTCATCAGGCGGTAAGACTTTGACCGCTTCCTCCATCCATTTCTCTGCTCCTTTGATCCATTGGTCTCCCTTTTTCATGTACTCCTCAGCGAGCTTTTCAGCCTGCTTCATGGATAATTGCAGATTCTCTTTGGCTGAGGAAAGCCTGAGGTTCTCCGCGATCTGAGCCCTAAGCTGATTGGGATTCGAAAGTGCAGGATTGGATTGAGCGGAAGCGATGGTAGATTGGATCGTGGATTGTAGCGATTGTTGGATTTGGTTAGTAGACGACGTGATTCGGTTGAGGAGTGTGGTCCCTGGTGTTTGGTCTTCGGATGACTTTTCGCCTATTGGACTCGATGACTCTTCCTTCGCTTTTCCCTTTCCTTTGATATCGTCTGCAGGTTGCTCCTCCCCGGTCAGCGCACGGGTGAGACTAGTGTCCTTGACGCCAACTTCAATCTTGGCGGTTCGAAGGTGTTCGAGATCTGCCTGAGCCTGACTGACGGTCTTGTCCACCTCAGCTTTGAGACTGGTATACGCAGTGGCGGACTGAGGAATCATCAGACACGCTCTAGGGGAATGACTCGCCTGCTTCTTCAGTCCTCCCCACCAGGAGTTGAAAGTTCCCATGACTTGGTTCACCTCCTGCTCCAGATTTTCCCTCGACAGCCCATTCTGAAAGGCTCTTTGAGCGGTAGTTTGCAGCGACGTGGCGTCTGACTTGGGCTCATCTTGACTTCTCGTCTCAACTCCTACAGCGTCCTCGTTATTCTCAGAGATTTCTGTCGACGGTTTGACAGCAGGCATTCCACTCTCTGCGGTAGGGTCCCTGGTGGCGGCAGTCTCGTTCGTCGAACCCTGTCTATTCTCGCTTGGAACTGGCGTTTGAGATCTCGGTGTAGCAGTAGCCATGGTCAATGCTGGTCCTTGCTCCATGATCAACGCCGGGATCTGTGACAATGCTCGTCAGTGAGCGCTGTAAGTCATGGACATCCCCTTTGGTCTAGCCTGTGTAAGAGGCCCATCTTCCACCGTGGGAATGCACTCTTCGCGTGGATAAAGCATTTTGCTTCCGTCGCCTGCTTTGCCTCCGCGTCCACTCATTGCCGAACACACATTCAGACACACCACCAACTGGATTCATGTTGGTAGCTGGGATAGATTGAGGGAGAGACGTTCTTCATCTTGCTTGTAAACCTTGTCTGGAGGGCAGGATCATCGCAGTGGAGCCTGCAAGAGGCACAGGCCGGCTGGGGCGACTTGCCAGAGCCCTCGTCTTCTCAACACTACCACTATCGCAACCGTACTGTCCTCATCTACACACGCCGGTCTGAACGTGGACTACCGGCACACATACACAAGGTACATCTGTGTACAATAGCTCGCCCGCGAGAGAAACTTTTGGCCTAGGTACAGGCATTCGAACCCCATCCCGAATCTCTTCTGGACCCCGCGTGGACCTCGTTCACCGTTCACCTCATCCTGTATCCCACCTGCCCACCAATTTACCCTGTCAACTCGCCTCCTCTCTCACGACTGACTCGACTGTCATCATCTGTCATTCCCGCATCATGGCTCAAATTTACGTCCCAGATTCTCTCCCTGATGATTCTGAACCTCTGTCTCAACGCTATAACGATTATGCATTCGAAGCGACGCAGCTGTCTCAGCCTGTCTACAGCCAAACCCAGAACACTCAAGGCACAGCGTTTGCTAATTCTCAAGTAGAGCCGAGGAAAAAGTACTGTGAGTGGGACACGAATGATTCGAATTCTGACATCATCTTTGCTATCAGGGGCCACATTCATTCCTACCAACCCTGCTCACTCCATTCTCAAAATACCGTGGACCAAATCTCAATTGCAGATTGGACGAGGTCCAGTGGGTCATTCACACAATGATGTGGTCTTGGCCGAGAAACGAGTCTCCAACAGACATTGCAGGATCACACTTGGCATACAAGAAGAGGGCAGCAGTGATCTATCGAGGTACACAATGCAGGCTTGGAAAGATGGAGAATCTGAACCGGATGTATGGATAGAAGATCTCAAGTCATCCAACGGGACTTATGTGAACGGCGCCAGGATAACGCATCGGGTGCTACTGCGTCACGGGGATGAGATCTCCTTGGGACACGCTGCGACACTGGACAATCACGATGTCCGGTATATATTTCGGTCGGTCGGGAGCAAAGGCACCAAGATGGGCCAAACTGCTAGCAAAGGCGGGTTGGATGTCGTAGGTCAGGTGTATGAACGATATCAGCTCCTGGAGACGTGAGCTGCTCGCTGAGGATTTTCGCTCATGCCCCAGGCTTGGCTCTGGGACTTTTGCAGATGTGCGCAAAGCAGTCGACGTGGAGACGGGTAATATGAGAGCAGTCAAGGTGGGTCATTACTGCAGCTGGCGGAGTCATGACTCATGGACCTCAAGCAAATCGTCAAACATCGCTTCGCTGCAGACAAGAACACACTCGCATTGTTTCAGAGAGAAATTGCAATTTGCAGTGCACTGCAGCATGTGAGTTGACACCAAGGTCTGGCCTCAGCAACTCATATTCGTACAGGAAAACATATGCCGTTTGATAGAATACTTTGAAGATCCGCAGCATATATGCTTGATATTGGAGTACATAGATGGAGGAGACCTGCTCGACTATATACAGGGTTACCCCAACAGTTCTGGAGGTGGACTACGTGAGCGCAGTCATCGTGAAGTTTTCTGGCTGAGATTTTGTTAGCCGAAGATCATGCGGCGAAGTTGAGCTTGCAGATCTGCCGAGCGATGGCTTACACGGTGGGTAATGATGCTGCAGGATCTGAACCTGACTGATGTAAAGAAGCACGAGATGGGTGTCACGCATCGAGACCTGAAGCCAGAAGTGAGCTTTCCCGGAAGGCTTTCAAGCTGATCAGGCAGAATATTCTCGTGACAAGAGAAACGCCAGACTCACCTCAGACTATCAAGATTGCCGATTTTGGCCTGGCGAAGATGGGTGAGTCTCCGCATATCTTGTGTGAGAAGCTCAGGCCGACCCCCTCCCAGTCCATGCCGGCACCATGCTCACATCCATGGTTGGCACTCCGCAATATCTCGCCCCGGAGGTCGTAATGCAAGACAAGCAGAGTCCAGGGTACGAGAATGTTGTCGACTCTTGGTCGGTTGGGATTATCGTGTACAGGTGGGTCGCAAAGCCCCTAGTCGGAACTGACGGCCAGCATGTTGACAAAGGCGCTACCGTTTGATGAGGATGCAGCGCTGCCGGTTGACGTGGGTTGGCTGAAAATTGCATCGCAAGATGCTGATAGACTCAGAAACGAATCAAGTCTCGATTCACTCAGGCATTCGACGAGGGCCTGCTACGTCAACTGAATGTCAGTGAAGCAGGTGAGACCAGCCACAGAATCGGAGGGTTTTCGCTTAGCTGTCTCAGCCATTGATTTCATAAGTCGACTCCTCGCCAAGCTGCCTGCCGACCGCATGACCATGGCGGAGGCCTTAGAACACGAATGGTTGGCTGGACCGTCTTCACAGCACTCTGAGTCTCAACCTTTGGCTCTCGGCGGTGACTCTGTCTGGGATATTCTCTCATTCGATGAGGATCCGGAGCCGGAAGATGACCTTTTCACAAACGATGGCGACGCTTTGTCCGACGATGAAGGAAGGTGGACGCGTCCCGCCACGGTGTCAGGGACCAACATGGAGTCTGCCGTCGGTGGATTGTCCGACGAGAGCTTTTCACAGCCCATGAACAATCTTCGATTGACGACCCCTGGATTATTACCTCGAAGCAATCTCTCCCCTTTACCGCTATCCGTTGGAGACAGTGCTCGTCCGGCAGAGCCGTCTCCACCCTCTCCTCCTCTCACTGAGGAACCGATGCTGGTCGACATCGTCCTTCCTGCCGTCACAACGCCCGAAACCCATCGACCTCCATTGCTTACTCCTGGTGGCTCAGACTTTGGTCACAGTGACATGACATCAACGGGGGCTGTTAAACGAAAGTATGATGCGGGGATAAGCGCTTTCAGTTCAAGCAGTCTATCACCGCCGCCTCCGTCCAGTAACGATTCACAATCACAGGCCAAGGGGTCTCAAGAGAAGAAGGGATCTCGGCAGCTACTGCCTACTCCGCCAGATAACGAGCGAATTTCCAATCCGGTTGACGTATCGTCGATAGATGAAACAACGCCTGTGAAGCCCCGTATGAAGGCTGCCAAAATCATCGCGCCTAACGGCGAGAGCAAAGTCGCAAATGGCAAGAGTGAAGCGAATGTGCCAAGAAGTTCGCCGAGACGCTCGACTCGACCTCGAAAATCGATGCGGCTCTCATGAAGATGCACGCTATTCTGCGACGAAAACCCGCAATTAGCGTCTGGAGGTCGACGATATGGAGTCTGTTATCGTGTCACGTCGCGCGAGCTTTACACATTCAGAATTCGCTCGAGAATCCCGTCATCGGTTGTACGTTTGGGGATACTGTGCATGTAATCCTTTGAACGGTCCGAAAGGGCTCGCCACGGGAACCGAATGGCCTTTCCTCACGGGAGGATGAGTTGGAGGCTTGCTCACCATCGTATATCAACTCTGTCCTCACAGGTCTCCCCCTCGTTCACGCCGCAGAGGTAGAAGGCCAATTCTGGACTGGCCTTGACTAGCCTTTCATTGATAAGCCTCGATGTTACATCTAGATGGCTTGCGTCTCCTAATGACCACACTGAAGATACAAATGGTCATAGAACAGAGAGAGAGTGCTTTGGAATGGCTTGCACTGACGCCTCGCCGAACTCTTTAAGGCTCTATAAGTAGTGCTACGGCGTTAATGCCTACTTTCAAGATTAAATCTCCATCTCCATTCCCATTGCAACATTCTGCAGATGTCCTGTGCCAGTTTCCAGACCAACGAATACTTCTCTCACAAAATTGACGAGTGTCGTGTTATGTTCGAGATCGAATCAAGGGCGTTCCGTTGCCGAACCTCCGCCCTACTGTTTCCCCCACTTTATTGCATAAAGGATCACCTCCACTTTATATCACGGATGGGTATGGGCATGACGCACAGTGGTCCCGCTGTTCAGCCAGTATCGCAACCAGCACAGACTTTCAACAGTCACATTTGAGAAGGACAAGGATGCTAGGGCTGCAGTCGATCTTCTTGGCCTGTCTACGATACCTATCGTTGGTCGCGAACAATGCGGGGGTATCCGAGCATCATGATGACCCAGTGGTCCACCTTCCATATGGATCGTATCAGGGCTATTACAACGCTTCGAACGATATTGAAGTTTGGCGATCAGTGAGATATGCAGCTCCGCCTCTTGGTGCGAATCGCTGGAAACCACCTCAGAGGCCTGAGAATGAGACTGGGGCAGGGGTGATCGATGCGAGGGACTGGCCGAAACAGTGTCCTCAAGCCACGGCAGGAGTGAGGGTGCCAAGTCGGGTCAGGTCAGGTTCAGGACGCTGACGGTGTGGTAATAGGACTACGAGCGTCAGATCGGGTCTTACAATCCCTTGCAGGCGATTGACGATGAGGATTGCCTCTTCTTGTCGGTGTACAAACCGAGAGATGCGGAAAATCTACCAGTCTACGTATGGTTCCACGGCGGAGGCTGGGCCTGTGAGTGGACCAAGCAGCACTTGCAAAAATGATGTTGACCTAGCTCTAGTCAACTCTGCCAGGGAGTTTGATGGCCAGCCCATGGTTGCTCTGTCCAATAACTCCATCATCCACATTACGGTCCAATATCGACTGGGGATATTTGGATTCCTCCAGTCTTCTCAAATGGGAGACGGCCTCAATGCAGGGCTGAAAGATGCCCTGGGCTCCCTACAATGGGTTCAAGAGTACATCCACTTGTTCGGTGGAGACCCCCATCGCGTGACGATAGGCGGTGAATCCGCAGGTGCAGGATTCGTTTATACCATGTTGGCCGGCGAAGCGGGTCGAGAACGAAAGTTGTTCCACGCGGCGTTTGCTTCTTCTGGTGGTGGAAATGGTGCGGAATGTACCTCAGGGCTACACAAGGAGAACTGGGAGACAGTCTCGATGGCAGCGGGGTGCAGTGATGACCTCGCTTGTTTGAGAAATGTATCGACGACGACGCTGAGGGTGTTGAATGGATTGGTAAGTCAGGCCCGGAAGATCGTTGGGGCTGAATGTGGCAGTATGGTGCCAGAGGCATGTGTGTAGAAGGACCAGATGGCTATGTGAAGCAGCCGGTGACGCCTCAATTGGTAGCGGGAAACGTTGCTCCGGTATGGCCTGCCATCGAGATTCCTCACTAACCTTCGCCCAAAGGTCCCCGTGATGGCCGGGAACACATTCAGAGACACGTATGCGGGCACACCGCCATTCCTTCAACCATCGAGAGATTCCTCTACGTTTGAAACCGACGCCGATGCCCTGTTTCTCGGTCATATCATCCAGCGGTATCCAATCGATCCGAAAGATGATCAGACATTGAAGACGCTGTTAGAGCTGTACAAGCTGGAAGATTTCGAAAAAGACAATGTGTGGAGAATCTCGCAGTGTATGCAGGATAACTGGGTGGCATGGTGAGTCTGGGATAGTGTGGTTGATCTGATCAGCCTCAGCTCGGCGACGTATGCGGCCGACGCTGCAGCGGCGAACAACGTCGGTGGATATAAATTCCTATACGCAGTCCCTCCTGGTGTACACGCGCAAGGTGCGTCCCCTTGAAGGAAGTGGCATCACTGAAGCTTCTGATTAGACAACGCCCAAGAGTACCCGTATTTCTGTATGTTCTCTTTCCCTGCAACACACACACACACACTCTGACAACCCTTAGACTACAGGAAGGAAGGATCGCCCGACTCTGCATCCCTCTTCGCTTCATTCACTGGATCCCTCATCAGCCTGATCAAGACTGGCGATCCGACGAGTCTGGCAGATATCCGTCCCAGCGATGATCCCGCGTGGCCTGCCTGGGCGGATCGACACCAGTTCAAAGTGTTCAACGTGACGAGTGCCAATATCAGTGATGCTTATATCGCTGGACCGGGACATCGATGGGAGCATAGGGTGGGGACGAAAGAGAGGTGTGAGTTCTGGGCAAAGTTACGCTCCCGGGACCAGTGGTGAGGAGGGACTGTGCGTCTTGTACATGTCGACTCTGCATACATGTACTGTACAATCATCAAGAGCAAGCACTATATGCGCAAAGGCTTTCACTTTCACTGAAGGAAAAGAAGGGCAGGATTCGAGACGGACGGGATGGACAATCACAGGGCTCAAAAACAGCTTGTCTACTGCGTCACCACATTCTGACCCTTCTCGCGCACGCCAGCATCCTCCCGAACGGTGACATTCCCCTTCGTAGGGTGGCCTTTTTCGCCGCTGACGGGCGAAGGTCCTCGAATGTCGAGGAACTCGAGCAAGCCCACATCTCGTTGAGCTTGGAGCATCTCCTTGGCTTCCCAAGTCGATCGGCCACTCTTGTCGCCAAAGATCTCGTCCAATTCGTCCAAAGTTCGGCCTTTCGTTTCGGGCACCAGGAAAAATACGTAAGCCGCCGCAAGGACACACATCAGTCCCAGGAAGATGTAGGCGCCATAGGGAGCAGCCGCTACGAAGTCTGGCGTGCTCATGGCCACAGCAAAGTTGTTGAGCCAGTTGCTGGTATATCCATATGAGTTCTGAGACCTCTAAACAGGCTTCAAAATACTCACCTGGAAGCACCGATCGACACTCCCTTGGCTCTGAGGCCAAGTGGGTAGACTTCTGCCACGATGACCCAAGCACTGCGATTCCACTCAGCTTCTCGCGCCCCAGTAGCATGCTTGAGTCACTTACGTTGGTCCCCAAGAGTATCCAAAGCCAATGGCAAAGAGCCAGATGAACACCACTGCGGCCCAGCCGGCACTTTTTGCGCTGGATGGAATGGGGTCAAGTTGCCAGTCACTGTTGAATTGTCCGATGATACCCGCCACAACGAAATGACAGATCCCCATCCAGATGGCGCCTGAGATCAGAACCGGTTTTCTTCCCCAGCTGTCGAGATAGAGTACCGCAGGGATAGTGGCGAGGAACATGACGATACCAACGACACCGGATGCGAGCAGCGAGGTGGTGTTGCCGCCGAGACTCAAGCCCTACAAAGTGGTCAGTATGGTCATGGACGTGTGGTATGCAGCGTCGAGCGAGACCAGGGACGAAGAATCCGGGTTGACTCACCTCGAAGATGAACGGAGCGTAGTAAAGGATGAAGTTGACCCCTCTGAATGGTGTATTGTTAGCATCAGGCGAATGTCAATTTATCTGCTCCACGTACGTCCACTGTTGAAATACCATAATCAATACAGCTACGGCTGTGCGCTTCAAATTGGTACGATTCGTGATCAGGCTCTTGTACTGATTGACGCCGAGCAAAAAGTTGCTCTTGCTGGATCCATCTTGCAGGTGAGGGAAGTCGTGTTCCGAGATGCGCTTTTCGAACAATTTCTGAGCCTTGATCTCTAAATACTCTAGCTGGACTATGGGAGCGTCCACGGGCTGTCGTCTGAGGTTTGCAAGGACAGCCAGACATTCATCGTCTCTACCTTGGTCCATCAACCATCGAGGGGATTGGGGAAGGAACATGATGCCGACGCCGAGGATGATGGCGGGCAATATCTGGATGGTGATCGGTACGAGCCATGCTGCACGGCTCTGGGAGTCACCGGTACCTCCAATGTAGTTGGTACCTAATGAATAAGTGGTCAGTTCATCGTTGGTATGTCACAGCGCCAAGATGAGGCAAGGCAAAAAATATCCGACATTTGGCCGCACCCCACACCGGGACCTGTTCTTGGGTGCCACTTACCGTACGTGATCCAATAACTGATCATGATTCCAAAAGTGATAGCCAGCTGTTGGAGGGCCACAAGAGCTCCTCGAATCTCGGCAGGGGCTACCTCTGCATTGTAAAGCGGTACGATCATGGAGAGAGATCCGACACCGAGACCAGTGACGAATCTTCCGCCGAGGATGTAGTCATAGTTGCCACCTCGGACACAGGCTTGGACGATGACACCGATGATGAACAAGAAGCATGCCAAGACTACCGAGAGTTTTCGACCGAGGCGATCGGCAGAGTATCCATTGAACAGTACACCGACCCAAGCTCCAAGCTCGAGAATAGAGGTGAGGAGTCCAGCAAGTGTAGGGTTGCTAATACCGTTGGTTCCGGAAGCGCGTCCAAACGAGTTCATCGAAAGGACCTGACCAAACATGCCTTGATCTGTGGCGAGCGAGGAAAATTGGTCAGCGGTCAACACATGGCGAGGGGGCGTGTCGAGTGCTGGACAGAGGGGGATGCTCACTGTATCCGTAAATCAATCCTCCCATACTGGCGAAGACGGCGATGGCAGTCGTTCGGCCATTACGGACTAGACCCGCCGCTCCGGGTTTAGCCGTTGCCAAAGCAGCTCGTCTCTGTTGAAGTTCACTTTCCACGCCACTCCCGGCGTTCCCACTCATAAAGGCGGGCATGATGCAGCTGGTCTCGAGAGAGAATGAGGAAGGTCAGATGGATGTTGACTAAAGTGGCGAGAGAGGTGTCGAAAGACGTTCAACAAAGGTGTGAACACATTCCTTCGCCCCCTTATAATAATACATGACTAAAGCCAAGCCAAAGTGAGACTGACGTCGTTCGGTGAATTCACGGTGAATCTCGCCAAGAAATCAAATTCCCCCGCAATCGGGCCCTTTCGATCCCCCGCTCCTCTCTCTCCTTCATATGCTCCGTGCCGAGACTGGGCCATCGTTCACGCTCCATATGGTGTACATACATATCATGTCAGCCAAAGCTGTACCACAGACCATTGACGGACCACCTTTTGCATAAGACTGGGCCTTTGGAATGGGGCTCCGGTTATGCTTAATTATGGCTTTTAACCGGGTGGCGCCGTCTGCGTGGGGTGATCGGGATAAAATGGAGCAGAAAATATTCAATAATTCCTCACCAGCACCTCGTCCTATTGCTCCCTTGGTCCTTCAGCTGGAGGCAGTCAGTCCACCATGAAGACCATGCCGTGATGCACTGCTCACAGCATACCCATCATGTCTATCCCTACTCCCTACATCGGACATCTGACTGAAGACGACTACGAGCATGTCTATGAGCCAGCCGGTGTGTGTCTGTCCCTCTCTCTCTACTCGACCTCCTCTCACTGTTGAGACGGCTACTAACCACTTCACCTTGACCACCAGAGGACTCTTTCATTCTCCTTGACGCTTTAGAGCAAGACGCCGAGGAACTCAAGAGCCTAAGAGCGACCCTTTGTCTCGAGATTGGGTATGCTCTCTACACATTAGTCTACGGATGCGGAGCTGACCCATTGAAAAGGTCTGGTTCGGGTATCGTTTCAACATTCCTCGCTAGAATTCTCGGCGACTCGGCCCGTCAGTCAACCTTTAAGCGTCAAGGTATTGATTGTTTCCTTTGACTGACGGTGGTTTTCAGTGTACATATGTACCGATATCAATCCGCATGCCAACAACGCAACGAGGCGGACAGCGGGACACAATGATGTGAATGAGCCGCTGCGCCCCGCATTATGCTGAAGAATCGTTCACGCTGACACCTCGTGACCAGGTCTCGCTTGAAATTCTTCTCAGCAACCTGGTGGACCCCCTCGAACGACGAGCAGAGAGCAGGATAGATATCCTACTCTTCAATCCGCCTTACGTGCCGACATCCGCAGAAGAGTGAGCTCTGGGTTTTTCGGACATGACTCAGTGTGTGACCTTGCGCGGCTAATGTGTCTCTGCTTCCTTCCGACTAGGATGGCGGGTTCACAAGTCGAGCGGGACGTAGCAGGCGCATGGGCAGGGGGGTCCACGGGCATGCAAGTGACCAACGTCGTCCTGGATATGATACCAAGACTCCTCAGTCCTGTTGGTCGATTCTATCTTGTTGCCGTCGAGCAGAATGACCCTGCAAGTATCGTACGTCAAATGAAAGCCGTAGGCTTAGATGCAGAGGTGAGTCCTGCGCTCTTCCTAGCTCATCTCGACTGACTGTCCCAAGGTCTGCCTGAGACGTCGAGCAGGCCGAGAACTGCTCTCAGTGATTAGAGTCAAAAGATGATCCCCTCTCATATGGAGTATCTGCATTCATGTTTGGGGCACTGAGCCGGCTTGGATCTAGCCTCGTGTCCGTTCTCCCGACTCCTTTCAGGATCCACGTGCTGAAGTTCATATACACAGTTAAACTCTCTTGCGAGGTATCCTTTCGCTGGATGCAACATTCTTCGGTATTTGAGGGCCCTCCGTTCGTCTCAACTCCTGTGCAGGGGTTTCAAGGTCGCTGCGGAAGGTTCTACTGCCCTTGTCCCACGCGTGCACTGAGTTTTGGGACTGCGCCTCGTTTCGTACTCGTTTCTCCAATCTGTCATCGTCCGTTTCGACGGATTTCCTCTTGCCCCTGAATCTGCACCTGAGCTCTGCCTCCGCCTTTTCCGCCCTATCAATTGCCCTTTGAATGGCCGAGTCTCTATCGTCCAAATACCGAGCTGTTCTCTTCCTGAGAGAGTCCAGAGATGCCTCGAGATCACAGACTTTTTCACTTTCCACCGCCAGCTCTTTCTCCTTGGACCTGAGCGCTCCCTCTAACTCGGTATACTGCGCTCTGACGGCTTCGATAATCTCGTCCGTCCATTTCGCTGTGGCTTTTTCGAGATTCACTCTAAGAACAGCTTTCAGGCTCTGGTCAGAAGCTGTAGCCTGTTCCATGCCCCGTTGTCGCGCAAGCTCCATCCGCCAATGAACCTCGTACTGCTGCGCAGACTCAGAATTCACAAGAAGGTTGAAGTGCTTCTGCAAGATTTCAGAGGACTCCTCGGCTTGTCGCAACAGAGACTGGCAGCGGAACAGGTCGTGTGACCGTGTGACGATGTCGTTCTCCAGAGAAGATATTCGAGATGTGAGGTCGGCGCAGGTGACAGAGTGATGATTCCGAAGGAGGTCCAATTCCCCGTTAGTCTTGTCCAATGATCTGCCGAGGCCGATGACTTGCTTCTTGGTGTTCGCCAAGGCTTCGGAAGTCGTTTCGAGTTGCTCAGACTGGGACGCCAATTTCTCGTTCGCTGCCTTGAGCTAAGAAGGTTAAAGGGCGCTTGTCAGTTTTTGGCCTGTCAACTACCTTTGATGCCCACCTTCTCAGCCCACACCGCAATTTCCCGTCCTCTAGCCAGGCGAACTTTCTCCGCCTCCTCGAGATGACCTTCCAAGGCCCCTTGAGCCTTTTCTTCTAGAGTCAAGAGTCTGACATGCTCTCCTCGCGCAAGCCGTAATGCTGTCCAGAGAGATTCAATCTCGACTCTTGCCTGGGCCAGCTGCTTGCTTTTCTCTTCTAGATCGGCGCAGTATCTCCGCTGTGCGCACAGGACTGCGTCCGCCTTTGATTGCATCTCAAGACATTCTTCCTCATGAACGTGAATGGCCTCGACCAGGTGACTGTTTCGGCGCTTCAACGTCTCATTGGCCTTAGACATAGATCTGTATGCGATCTTGACCAGTTCCCAGCACCGTTGAGCCTGAGACCAGCGCAGATCGGCGGTCCGAATTCGATCGGCCTGAGTTCCAAGCGAGAGCTGAGCTTTCTTGAGCTCCTCGGCGAGAGACTGATGCTGAGTTTCTCGCTGTCCCGCATCGACCTTGAGATTTGCCATCTCCTCACCAAGGCCGTCCCTTTCTGCGCGCAGTTCTGCAATTACCGCTTCCAATTCCCTCCGCGACGCTGCCCAATCCGCGTGATCCTGCTCTCGCCTCCTTAATTCCGTAGCTTTGTCATCCTTATACGTCTTCACTTCGGCGTACTTCTCTTTGAGTACCAGACGAGTGGACTCGAGCTGATTTTGCAGCTCAATTTTCTCCCTTTGAAGAACTTCGATCGAGGATTCAGCAGCTGACGTCGCTACTTGTTCCACGAGTATTGATCGTAGGTCATCGACATCGGCGAGCGCCCAGGCTAGCTCTCCCTCGACCTCCTGTTGAGATCGTTGCGCTTGATTCCTCGAAGCTAAGTAGCAGCGCCGCTGGCGATCGTACAACTTGGCAGCCTCCGCCTCGTGCTGAGTCTGCAGCTTCTGATCGTCGAGTTTGTCCTCAAGTTGTTGAAGCTGATACCTCAGCTGGGCAATCTCGGCGCGGTTATCCACTCCATCGTCTCTGAGAGACCTGACAAGACCATTGAGCCGGCTGTTCTCTGTATCATGGGCCTCTTTCTCTTGCTCTCTGAATTGTACCACATCCGAGAGGTCGTTTTCGGCTCTTTGCTGAAGTGTCTTTGCAGAGTCGAGATCCCGGGCAAGCTCTTCATTCCTCGCCTCTGCCGCTTTGAGTTGATCCTGTATCTGAAGCCGCTCTGCATCGTGTCGCAAAAGTCCCGCTTGGAGGACTCCAATCTCGTGGTCTCTTGCGCTCAGTCGCTCGGTCAACTGTCGAACCTCAAAAGACCGGACATTGGAGGACTTCAAGAGGGCATTGACTTGCTCTGATTGCCGTAGCTTCCTCCGCTCGCTCTCCAACTCCTCAGATAGCCTCTTCCTGACCTGCCTGTATTGACTGACGCAGGTCCTCAATTCGTGTATCTCGACCGCTTGATCATGACTTGACATGAATGGTCGTGCAGGAAAAGAGGAGGGACCTGCAGTCCGATGTGAAGTCTGTCGAGGGAGGGGATCGGAATGAGGAGGCGAGTGACCTCGATGCTGGGGCGGGCTCATGGGTGAATCACACGTAGGCTGAGCGAAGCGTAGATTTTGCTTCTGCTCGACATCGGTCCGTACTCCACTGTGAGGTAACCGTGATGTGAAGTCCCCCGTCTGGGACTTCCGAACTCGAGGGTCAGAAGGGATGACAATATTTGCCGTGGGTTTGGCCGGCATGGGTGGGGCTTGAGAAGAGAGTGAAGAGACTTGGTTCTTGGAGGTAAGCTGAGGGACGACGTCCATGAGAGGTCGTCGCTGGGAATCCATTTTCGTCAGCCCTGAACACTTCGATGACCTGGTGCAGAATCTGGATCCAAATCAGCTACATGTCGTTTCAAGAGACTCGACTCACTAACAATCACAAGACATCCAAAGAGCCTGGTCGTCACCGCTTAGAATCATCTTCTTGCGTGGAAATCATAGTGAGGAAGAAAGAAGTGAGAACGATGGATGGTTGTTGATCTTATAAGAGTGACCATTGACGTGATTCCCAAACTTTTTCTGAGGAAGGGGACAGAGGGTCCTTTGAGTGTTTGTATTGGTGATCCAAGCGTTGTGGCAGGGGTGTGGTGGCATCTCCCTCATGGCGAGTCAGTTCAGCTAGTAGGATCAGCAAGCATATGAAGTTTGTGAGTACAGAGATCAGCCAACAATCAGTGGATGAGGGATCTGGATGATGAGCAGGAGCCCTTAATCTCACACAGGGCGGCTTCCCAACAACAACCCGGGAGCTCAGGCGAAGGGATCGCACGAAATGTACACAAACAACGGGTGGTTCGATACTATTGAGCTTCCATGCAAGCCCGTTACCAAGTGTGTTGATTCCACAATGGGCTGGAATGAAGATAGAACGGAAGTGCGGGCGTAGGAAAGGGTCTCATTGAGTTTCTTCCGCTGCAGATGGGTGGGCGGTCAGATCCGATTGATTAACGATTTCGGAAGGCAGAGAGGCTATGGAGTACATGCATTACATTACAACTGATACTTGCTCAAGAGCCTATTTTGACCTCTTCTTGTGTCCCGCAAGATCCTTTTCGAATCGAGCCTTCTTCTTCTTTCTTGACGACGACGGTCCAATATCGACGATACCACCAGCTTTTCTTCCTCTCTCAACGGCGTCTCCCCTCTTGCCGAAATCCTTGACTCCATCCCATACGCCTCTTGATCCTCTGGATCCGAGAACTCCCTCGAGTTCAGCTTCGAGACCGTTGACTTTGCCTCTTCTCCCACGCGCCTTTTCACTGATCCCGTGTCCTAGGGCTAGAGCCTCTTCATCTTCTCTACGTCTCTTGGCCTCTCGTTTGGTAGTTGACAATCGAGTCATATTCGCCTCCTCATACTCTTTGATTTCCTTCAACTCTTTGGCTCGCTTCGCAGATAGAGAATTGGTGTGCCTGTCCAATCGAACAGGTCGAGTAGCCAGACCGGATGTCGATTCGAGAATAGGTGCGCCATCCATCGTATCGGCGAATTCAGACAAGAGAGCAGGCGCACGTCGATCTTTTCGAGCAGCTTTTCCAGGCTCATTATACGGCATAGCTGCGACTCGAGGTGGACGATAGATCTTATCCTCCTTGTCGTCGTCGTCGACATTGTCATTTGTTGACCTTTGCTTTCTGGAAGATGAAGCGTGAGAGTCGCCATTCGACAGGACCATTGCGTTGATGTTGGGTCGGAAAGCGAGCGGATCTGACATAGGAGGTCAGCTCGAAATCACGAATCGTTTAAAAGGTCCTACTCACCCTCCTCTACATCCTCGATCACCTGCTTTCCCCTCGCCTCTTCGGCCTCTGCGAGCCCCGACAGCTTCTTGATCTGGTACGCCAACTTGCTCTCCATGCCTCGGATCTTATCCATGACCTCTTGATTGACTCGCAGAGATTGCGCCAAGCGATCCATAGCAATTTGAGAAGTCTCGACCTCTTCCAGAGGCGCAGCGTCGTCAAAAGACAACGTTGATGCGATCGGCACGTGAGACGGATCAATGAGGCGTAAAGCCGTCAAGAGGACCAGATCGTGCAAGGATGCAAGGAGGAGCTGAGGTCGCAGCAGAAGGATGTTGAGCCCGGAAGACATGTCGAGGGATTCATCAGATCGCCTCGCCCTGAGATCAAACTTGTTAACCGGAGAAAGTCATGACCACCATGATCACAGGACCCACTTCTCCAGCCATGGCTTGAGGGATGAAGACGTCGCTTCCGTTGCCAATTCCAAGTCGTCGAATAGTTTCGAAGCTCCCTCACTCGAGCTATCGGCCATCTGTGAACCTTGTCAGCCTCAGGTCCCCGATACGATGATTCAAAGTAGTGAGGTAGCCCTTCAGTAGCGAGTTTTCTAGGCTCGCTCCGCTCTTCTAAAGCGAATAATTGCACTTAATCACAATTGATTGTTTCGTTTCAGTGCCCAGTGCGGTTCATCATGAGGGATTAGGAGATAATAGTGACAGGGACGTACTGGGCTGCTGCTCACTCACCTTGGATGTCCAGACTGGCTGCTACGCGGGCTGCTCGTCACGAACCTTCTGTGAGAATGTCTTGAGTTGAAGGTAAGAACCGTCGAGGAACGGCGGCAGTTCAAATTTTTTTGGGCCGTATTCGATTTGCGGGGCTCCGAGATCTATCTCTCTTGTGCGTTCAAGCCTATACAGTCAGCTCGAGATCTACCCAACATCGACGTCTTCTCACTCCATCTTAGTCTTTCAGTCTTGATCAGAGGCGCTGCAGCTTTCCTTCGAGCCTATACTTCACAATGCCAACGACTTTGTACGACGGGACGATCCGAAATATCATCTGTAGCTTGAAAAGCTTGAGAAATTGCTTGCAGATCGCCCAAGCCAAACACTCTGATCCTCAGTCTCTGGTCACTGCTCGTCTGATTAGCGACATGCAACCACTATCATACCAGATATACGTGGCGACTCGAACGTCTGATAGACTCGCTGCCGTCATGCTCAACAAGGATAGTTTGCCGAATCATGAGAACGATCTCAAGAGTTTTGACGATTTCCTCCAACGAATCGATCAGGTCTTGTCGAATCTCGAGCAAGTCAGACCAGAAGAAATCAACGCGTTGGACGGAGTACCTTCTGTGGCCAACATGTCCCGGAATGAACGAGAAAATCACGTCCCTACCAGCGCTTCCAATGCCTTTGGCGCCGCAATGCCACATCTTCATTTCCACTGCGACATGGCGTATGCTATCCTGCGCAAAGAGGGCGTTCCACTTGGAAAAGCCGATTACATCCAAGCATTTGCGGATGGATGGGACATGTGAGATACAGGAGCGTGGTGGCAGCAGAGGACTCGCGATTCCCAGAGCAAAACGTCTTGAAAGATGGGGATCATGCAGAAGAAATATTAACCTCGGCATCTTTTTGTTTTGCCCCTGAATGTTTCAGCTGGGGCCGGCGGCGGGGGGCAGAACATTGAGATTGAAATGCCACTGCCGACGAACATTATGCTATATTCTGATATTGCATTCCTTGGCCGGATAGTCTCAGCTCTGGGCATTGACGAGTGATCCTGCTGGTTAACCAGCACCCACTCGAAAAGGGCACAGCAGACTCAAGAACCGTTCAGGCACTCGCTGTTGGCAAGGTCGCACGTCCCGTTACCCCACCCAGACCCCAATCCGACTGTGACGCTCATCGTCTAGCACGTCCAAGTGGTGACGGCCTTTCGAGCGTGCTCGTCGAAAGACCGAGAGAAGTATGCAGCATTTCCACTGATCTCGAGTCATATCGACTGACTCGACTGCAAGGGATAGATAGATCACACCAAGTCGTCGAAACGCCGCGGCCACCACCTTCGCTTAGAAGATCGGATCATCAGCAGTAGTAATCCGACCAAATCACAGTCATCAAGATCTCTCAGTATAATGTCCTCCTTGGAGACCTATGGAGCGTCTCTCAAGACCACTGTGCGGTCCGCCTTCATGCTTTACGCCGGGGGACCTCATCGCGAAACCCGCCCCCGACCTGTCTGAGTCGACAAATTCTACCCCTCGTCGATCGCAAGCCAGCCTTGGGCGCGACCAGATGCCCGAGACAGACAGCGCAGCAGACTCAAAAGTCGCCCTGACCCCTTCATCGCTCTCTCTCCCGTCCAGTCGTCCACCTCTGAAGAGATCCCGGCGGTCTGGGTCGGGCGAGGACGTGTCGAAGCATAACGACAACATTCGTCCAGAACTGGACCACCACGCCCTTCCTTTTGCTCCACACTCCGAACGACGAGCAATCTGGGCCGATCTGTTGCGGATGGAAATTGTGGAACTGCGTATACAGCTGGACGAGAGTAATGAGGAGTGCAAGAGGGTCATGGAATCGCGGGACAGCTTGCGAGCTCTTTTGGAGAGCTCAAACACCATGGCTGATCGCTGGAAAGCTGAGACCTTCAGACAGGCGGAAGAAACAGAAAGACTCAAAGTGCAAGCCGAAGTTGCGTCTACGAGGTGGAGAGGAGAAGAGGGTAGATTGACCAAGGAGCTCGCTCTTGTCACCTCGGAGGCCAGAACCTTGAAAGCGTCTCGGAACGACAGAGAGGTGAGGATCTCGTCGCTGACCAGGGCATTAAAGGTGGAGAAAGAGGCAAGGTTGGTATTGGAGGCAAAAATAGAAGAGGGGATGAAGCTTGAGAGACTAAAGGCCGAGGACCTGTCTCGAGAACGGCAAGTATACGAAGCTCGACCAAAGGAAGTCAGATCACGCTTGGATACGGATTGGACTCTCTTGCGAACGGAGAGACAGAACTTGGCCAAGGCGGAACTCCGATTCGTCGACCAGATCCATATTCATCAACTCCAAATGGAAGTACAGAGACTGCGTGAGCTGTCGCACGCGAAAGGCAAAGAGGATAGTATGGGAGCCGAAGAGTTGGCAAATCTCAGGAGGAGAATGACGAGCACCAGAGGCCTTGTGTTCGATCTGAAGAAAGAAGCCCGAGATCAGTCACGATACGTTGTTCAGCTGGAGCGGGTCATCGATGAAAAGCTCAAGGATTGCGAGCACTGGAAAGCGCTGAATGACACGAAGATCTCAGAGATAGAGAGGGCGGCAATGGAAGGACGATGCAAGGTCATGCAACAGAACTTTTCAAGAGTACAAAGACATTTACAAGGCTTGCAGGATTATCATGATGTGGCGTGGAGGGAAAAGAGAGATACAGACATTATTCAAATGGAGGAGGACATGATACGACGCTTTGAGGACAAAGCGACGGAGAATTTGCGAATCAACGAAACGATGTGCGAGATCACCATTGGCGAGAGGATGACTTGGGATAGGAATCTCCGAAAGACATCCCAAATGGAGGAGATGAGGAGGCTGGAGTACTGGTTGGATGAACCAGAAATTGTAGACGGCGAGATGAGACTCACGTCCACGGACCCAGAGGAAAATGAGGACAACGCTGTGTGAGTTTCCACGACGCAGAGCCGAGATCAAGTCGGCCACAAGCGAGGCAGTTCGAGTCTAGCAGATCAGTCACGCCTCCGACATGCACCGTGATGAACCCCAAATGATCATTCTCGCGATATGCATGGAAAATCGTCAGACGAGCTTAAGGTAAAAAGGCCGGGCATCGTTGGAGTGTACAAAATGTCTAAATACGATGAAAGATCGTCCGGACTGAAGAAGGAACGGAACAAAGGAAAGATCATCGACCTTCAAGCGAGGCGAGAAAGTCGGAGAGCTACGCGATCCAGTCAGCCCATCCGGTTCACCATTTTGAAGCCGTTCTCGTCCAACTCACTTTGAGCGCTCCTGCTCTCACTTGATCCGTCAAATTTTGGACCTCTTGACTGCCCATCACTCTTCCAGCCATATCTCTGATACCCCTTTCGAGGCCCGCAATGGTTTCATTGTCTCCTAGACCCAGCATGCCCTCTCCACTCAGAGGTGATTGAGGCTCGTCCTCATCTTCTTCCGGACGACCAAAGTAGGCGTTTGACGAGATAGCCGTGGCTCCTGAGAACTGTTGCAGCCTCTGTTGTGCTTCGCTGCCCGCAACGGGGTCATAAGACCCTCGGCCAAAGTATTGATCGGAAGAGATGGCTGAGAGAGGAAAGGGTGTCGTTCAGCGACTTTCATCGTATACTAGTATCTGGCATACCTTTTTGACCTCCAAACTTGTCTCTAGCTGTCCTCACATCGTCCACCTCTTGTACTCGTCTACAGTGTCGAATCAGCATGTGCTGCAAGGGAAAAGATTGACTCACGCTTTAGCTGGTGCAGCCGCAGCGGGTCCACCGACAGTCTGACCGAAACCCAATCTCGCCACAGCAGGTTTGTCCACCTCCTTCCTGGCGGAGCTGGGCAATGGGGTGCTCCCTCGACTGATCTGATCTCCTCTCGCTTTCCTCTCTGCAGCTTCACGTTCCCTGACTGCCTTTGCTTCCTCTTCTTCCTTTTGCTTGTCATAGCCTAACCGCTTGATTCTCTCTTCTTCCTGCATAGCTTTCCGTTGAGCCTCCTCAAAATTGATACCCGTCGCTGCCTTTTTGGCACCCAGCTTGCTTGCTTTTGGTCCGCCGGCCGGACGCGCGGCACTGGCCGCTGCGGATGATGTGGTGGTGCGGGAAGTGGGTTGAGCCCCTCGGAGAGAGGAGGAAGTGACCGTACGTGAAGCTGATGAGGCGGTGGATGCAGTTGGCCTAGTGGCTCCGATGGAAGGAGGAGCAGTCGCAGTGGGTTTCGCAGCAGGAGCAGCTGCTTTCGGAGCCTTCTCCTTATCCCATGTCGAGAAGAAATCATCGCCTTCAGCCTGGGGAGTGGATGAAGCGAGTGGTGTGAGCTCCAGACCATCGATGTGGATTCCATGGGGGTTTCTTGTCCTGTCAGTGAAGTTTTTGACAGGTAGCCTACCTCTGAGCATCCTGGTCTACCTTGCGTGCCAATTCCTCCTTGTACAATCCAGCCTGACGTGACGTGTATCTCGCTCGCGCATCCGAGCTGTTAGGCGGGATCAATGATCCTCCTCCATGCTTGGTGAAGAATTCGGCGATCGCAGCATTTCCTCCACATTTCATCGTCCGCAACTGGGCAAGAGACCAGGAATCGAGGTTGGTAGATCTGACACAGATTGAGCTTTTTAACACCGGGAGAAAGAAAGAAAGAAAGCGCGACTAGCAAGCTCACCTGACGAAGGAGATGTGTACTCCCAAATTCCGGTGGACTGATGAGCAGTCCAGACACAGGTAAATACCAAAAGTCACGGAGGACCACGTCGGATTCTTTGCCCCACAGTCAAAACATGTCTGTGAGTAGCAGTGCCGGTGTCAGCAAGGGACCTCCTGAATGCACCGAAAAGGGCAACGAGCGCACCTTGTTTGCTTTTTGACCTTTAAGATGAGCAAAGGTCGCTGTCGTCTGCGCTTTTGTTGGGTCCATGATGGCAGAACGATGAGCCGTCGATGAACGATTAAAGTAGATAGATGCTTGACTCCCAATGCGCTGGCTTTTGCTTTCGTGGATTCTCTGCAAAAGAGGCGGAATGCACGGAATTATAATTCACACTCACCCTTTTTCTTTCTTTGATTATTTCACCATTTTATCCCAACAAACCGTAGTAGAGCGTTGTCGATCACACGTGGATGTACATGGCAGTGGTCATGCAATGATGTCGGGAAGCTCAGAGCGTTGTGAATTGGAGAGTAGTAGGCTTCAGCACTCGCGCCTTCTCGAATCATGCCAAACAGGAAGAGGATGGCTTTTGGATCGCTATCAAGAGCCCTGTTTGGATGTATCGAGGCGGGGCCTGTCCGAAGCTACTTGGTGAGGCAGATTCGGGCCTCTTGAGCCTCGACCTCATCGATTGCTCTGCGACGTGTGATCGGTAACCAGGCGATACTGACCACAGCTCTCTCTCTCCCTCTCTCCCTCCCTCCCTCGAAAGGGAGTCGGTCAGTCTAGACCCTATCCCGTCGGGAGAAGGCTAGCCAAGGTACAAATTCCAGCCAATCACCGACCCGGTACCTTTCGGGGGGGAAGACTCATGCTCTGGACGAGTGGGAAGCATCTGAGCGGCGGATGGATATTCACTGCAGCCCACTGTTGCTTGTCGATCAAATCCTTGTCCACATGACCTGTTACTATTGCATTGCATTCCAGAGGTAGTTTGGGACGTCATCCAGTGCCACGCTGCCACACTCACTCACACTTAAATTAGAGTTGTTTCGGCCCGTGGGGTGTGTGTGTGTGTGCGTGCCGCTTGGAGACACCCCCTCCCATTCACACAGACATCCCTTTGGTGTTGGTGTTGCTTCTTTTGACCATCAACGTCCCTCGACTAGAAGTTTTCCATTTCAAAGGGGCAGTCTACTGATAGCAGGTCTCACTGATCGAGCAGCAACAGCAGCAACAGCAACAGCAGCCGCGGCGGAGACAAATCTGGATTTACGGGTCAGCCTCCTGCTGCTGCATCACACATCTCACACACATCGGCAGCCAGCGAATCGGAATCGGATCGTGGACCTGAAAACAATTTGAATACACGCGCACGCACAGTGACCTCTGTCCTCGGCGTCGTATCGACCTCCTGCATTGTTCAGCTGGGACATCGCCGCTGGGCATACGTCTCGACGAGATCTGCTTGATCAGCACGTCATTTGGACTATCCCGCGCCGTCTAGCCCGTTCACAGATGAATCACTCAGCATGGTCTCACCGACCCCCTTCGCCCCCTTCGTCCACTCACTCTGATCCGTTCTCCCGTGCGTTCTCATCCTTATCCATGGCTTCTGGGTCGACAACTCCGTATGATGACGCTTCGGAGCCCTCACATCGCCCATCCCCACTTGATATCCCTTCGTCATCATCGTCCATGTCCCGACCGACGACACCGAGACCTGTACAGATCCCCATGGGACCAGGTGGTGGTGTCTTGTCGCCACCTACACCTGCGCCAAGTCCCAACCCGAGAGACCGGAACTGGGGAGGGTTCGCCTATGCAGGTGATCATGACAAGCTCAGTGACGAGACTCAGGAAACGCGATCAGACCCAGGCCAGCATGATTGGAAAGGCAAAAGTAAGGCAGATGAGGACGTTTCAATGGGTAAGTCCGCTTTTGCCCCCCTGTGGAAACCATTTTTGACATGGTTTAGATGCCTCGGATCTCATTGAGCGTTTCAAACATCTCTCGACTTCCCAGCGATTCGCTTTTTTGTCCTCGCTGGTTGACAACCTAGCCCTACCAGAGGCATTGGTGCTGTCTCGGAATATCGAACCGAAGCTCAGACGGGATTTCTTGCGAGAGCTCCCCATCGAGCTAGCTCTGCATGTCCTGTCATTCGCGAGTCAACCTGCTGCTTTCCACATAGTATTCACCCTGCTGATCTTTCCCGCAGATCGATGATGCCAAATCATTAGCTAGAGCATCTCAGGTGTCTCGATACTGGTCTCAGCTACTCGCAGACGAAGGTACATGGAAGGAAATGTGTCAACGGCAGTACGGAGGCAGATCGTCCTCCAATCAGAGAAGGATCAAGAATCTTCCGGGTGGATACCCCAACCGGTCTACGAACCTCTTCCGTGGTGTTGATGTCAGGACTCCGATCCAGTTGTCGGATATGTGGGCAAAAGACCAGCCAGCGTGGGGCATGCCACCGGAGATATCGTATCGACAACAATACAAGACGGCTTATCAAACGGGCAAGTCACATCTTTTGTCGAGTTGTCGGCTGACCTGATGCAGAGTCCAATTGGCTACAGGGTGGACGAGTCTTGGCAAGACGTTCGACCGGCGAGGACAGTGTCGTCACCACACTCTCGTTTGATGAAAATCTCATTGTCATCGGTATGGCAAAAGCAAAGGTTATCATCTTCGACTCGAACACTGGGCAATACTGCCGGACTCTTAAGGGTCACGACGGAGGCGTCTGGGCTTCAGTGTTGGTTTCGCCAATGCCCAAGTCTCGAATTCCAGCAGGTCCACCCTCTGATATCTCGCCACGTTTCAAGAGGCAACAGACCAGCACCAACACCCGGTCGTCCTCTGGGGCTCAGTTCCGGAGATCAACTTCTTTTAGTGCTGCGCAAGACAGCACGGGTCCTTCAGCATCGCAAAGCTACCAGTCGTTCTTCGGTCAGGCGACCTCGTCGTTCTTAGCGGCTCCAAAGACCGAAGAAGCGTCGGGTAACGACCCATGCAATTCTGCACGTGGATGGTGGGGACTCAATCGACCCATAGTCGTCAGTGGGGGATGCGACCGCGAGGTCAAGGTCTGGGATGCTTCTACCGGGTGAGTGTTGATGCCATTGCAGCAGCTTACACCTAGCGCCTGTATCTACGCTCTCAGAGGACATACCTCTACCGTGCGATGTCTCAAAGTCATTGACGGAAAGCCGTTGGCTGTATCGGGATCGCGAGATAGCACAGTCCGAGTGTGGGACATCGAGAAGGGTCAATTGGTTCATACGATGACTGGACACTTGGCCAGCGTCCGCTGCCTGGACGTGTCGGGCAGTCTGGCGGTATCTGGAAGTTACGACTACACGTGCAGGGTGGGTCCAGAGACGTGTATTGGACATCCGCTGACCTTCTCAGGTGTGGAACGTTGAGACCGGTCGATGCCTGCATACTTTGAGGGGCCACTACCATCAAATATACGCGGTGGCGTTCCAGGGAGATCGGATCGTGACTGGATCTTTGGACTCGACCGTCCGTATCTGGTCGGCAGCCACAGGGTGAGCATGGGCAGCCATAACTTGTCATAAATGTCCCCTGATGAGACCCAGACAATGTACCGCTCTCTTACAAGGGCACACTTCGCTCGTTGGTCAACTCCAGCTCTGCGATGACCGCCTAGTAACTGGAGGCTCGGATGGACGTGTCATCAGCTTTGACTTGGCCTCTCAAAAGGGCCTACATCGATTATGCGCGCACGATAATTCAGTCACTTGCCTTCAATTCGACCATCGGTTCATCGTCTCGGGCGGCAACGATGGACGAGTCAAGCTCTGGAACATGCAAACTGGAAAATTCATTCGTGAACTGACGAAACCGTGTGATGCGGTATGGCGAGTCGCCTTTAGGGACGACAAGTGTGCAATCTTGCTACAGAGGGAAGGGGAGACAGTGCTAGAAGTCATCACGTTTAGACCAGATGAAGTGAGAGGACAGAAATTGGTGCCGCGGATCAAACAGGGGTTGCAGGCAAGATGAGAATCTATCGCTGGTCAGAATTTTGATGACAATTTTAACGCTCATTGTAGTCTTGTATGCTGAATATCATGTTCATGTAGTCTTGTATGCTGAATATGCCCATGTCTGAGCGCCTACGACTGGGAAGACCCCTTATACACAGGCCGAGACGACAGCCCGTTCACTCGTGCAATCACTCTCCTTTCATCATTGGCGAAACACATGCCATAGAGGAGAAATCTGCACCTCAGCGCCTACGATCCCATTAGGGTCTTAGAGCTTCATTTGAAGTGCGCGGTCCTCAGTTCCAAGCCTGCTGAGCCGACCACGATGCTCGCCATTGGGATCGTCGGGGTGATGTTTCTCGTAGATCCCCACAAAGCTCTTGTTAAAAACCGAAATCGTCGTCGAGGAGGGGGATAACCATGTATTCCCAGTCTTTGGATCGACAACGCCCTCAGTTCTTGAAAATCACCAGTCATCATTGATTTCGGAACATTGAGCCAAGATATTGGACGCCTCGTCACCAGTCTGCATCGGGCGAAACCCAGACTGTGTTGTCGAACGTATCGCGTGAGCAGAAGATCCGTGAGTTCACGGGGGCTGGAGGATGATGGTCGTGGTGATCACGAATGCCCACGCGGTCACGATGGGCTATGATTGCAAGACCAGATAATGCTGAGCAGAGTGATTGGCTTTCACCGTCCCAGAAGGTGTTGGTGTGCCCTTCTACAGTGGCACTGATCGGAGTGGGAGACTACTGTCAGTTGTCATCTGACCCGCCGCCGTAAATCGGATCCGTTTCGAACCATCCAAGGTCGGCAATCTTTCGAATGCTTTCCTCCTCAGTCTCTATCCCATAGCACATATCCGGACGCTTTTCGTGAGGATAACTTCCGACCATCATGAATGGCTTTTCGAGTTCTTCCAATAATCGATGACATACCCCAGCAGGCAAAAGTATGACATCTCCTTTTTGAGCATTGATCAGGACACGATCTGGATTCGTTTCGCCTCCAAAACATAACTTGGCTTGTCCAGAGTATACACATAGCACTTCGTGAGTCGTCGCGTGAAAATGATCAAAAGAGTACATGGTGTATCGCCATGCGGGAACGACAACGTCGATGTGACGAAGGTGAGATTCGATATCGGTTGCTGTCACCGTTGGAGGGAATGCCGAGTGGTATATCACTAAAGGGTGGCAGCTCGAGGTATTGGGGATCAAACCATGAGCCTGAATATGTCTTCTAGTGGTGTTGAGCTGGGATAGAGGTGTCAGTCGCATCACGAGCGTACAGCTAGCTATGGTTGACGCATCGATCATTGAATGATCTTCGTAAAACCCCGTTGGAACGGCAAGCTTACGTAATGATCCTTCGATCTCGCTTCTCTGCTTGAACCGGAAGTACTAGTAGGTGATCGACGAAGGCTCTCTCTTCATGGCACCTTTTCTACGTATGGCCCCTTGAAGCTCGCGCAGTGTCTCAAGATGGAGCCCAGTAAACGCAAAGGCAAAGCCCGAGCGGCTCAGCCATCTGAGACGGACTCATTGCTCGGCTCGTCTTACCAGGCGGACTCACCAGTCGAGTATTCGCCACGCACACCGACAGCTGCTAGACTCCCCCGACAAACCTGTTCTTTTCTTCTGACAGCTGGACTTGTCATTTTCTCCTTCATTTTCACAGCGATGCTGTTTGTCCTTCTCCTTGGATACTCGTTTAAACCTTCGGAATCTGAAATGGCCACACTACCGAACACTGCATTCGTGTACAGTCATCCGGATAGCGTACAGGTGCTCAATATCACTGATCATGGAGTCTGCGTGAATGTCACTGTGCGCATGGGAATAGATGCAGATTTGGCTCTGGGGACCAAGCGATATGATGGAGATTCTGATGGCGATCCGACAAGCAGAGGAGATCGAGGACAAGGTGTCGGATGGTGGGAATGGATCCGACGATGGACAGCCAGACAAGCCCTCGCCCAGTTGCCTCAACAGGCCATCAATGTGGTATTTCCTCACCATATCGCTGTCCATCGTGTAGAGCACAGCTCAGCAGCACCGTTACTATCTGTTCGTGTCAATCAATCGATACCGGTCCCACTGGTCCTGGACGCGGACGATTCCAAAGATTGGCTGAAACCAGTCAGCTTCTTGGCATTTGTTGAACCGACTTTTCAAGGCTCAGACATGCTGCATTACCTACAGTCTTGGTGGATGCAAGGACAAGTCAACGTCTTGGTATCTGTGCAGTCCGTTGCTGTCAGTCTTCCAGAAGGAGTGTGGTGGTCAAAATATGGTCAATTGGAGAAACAGGATCTAAGCCTAAACGTGAAGATGGACAGTGAGTTTACCATTTCCATATCTCCCCTCGCGTTACTTTTGTCTCATGATTCAGTCCCGCATCCATTCAAAGTGTACTCACACTGAGTCTCTTCTATAGTCCCCCATTTGAATGGACTGCCTCGACCAGGTCATCAATTGAACTTGTCGGAGCTGGTGCACCTCGACTCGTATCACCTTCAGACAATTGGCACATCAGCACTCGGTATCAATGCATCAGCAACTCTGCCAAATCCGTTCGCCGAGTACGATCTCGGTCTGGATATTCCGTTCGCTCTACCTTTTCTCATTTCGCTATCTGACGGATCGGCGATGGCCCGGGTGACCACCTCTCCCTTACGGCTAGACTCGGCCAAGGCGCTCCATCTCTCACTCGAGGGCGAGATAATAGCGAATCTCATGCATCGCAACACCTCCTCGCTCTCTACCTTTCTCCAGCGATTCCTGCATGGACAAGATAATCCAATCATCGTATCGGGGCTCAAGGTCCCAGCGGCCAATCCTCCCCCTCAATGGATTCTCGAAGTGCTGCCCGATGTTGCCGTTTCACTCACCTTTCCCGGACCGCAGCCGCCTCCCAAAGTCATCAAAAGCGTCTCAATCGAACACATGCGGATCTCGGAACGTGCAGGACAGTTCCTCGCTTCTGGTACCGTCGTCGCGAGAGTCGAATTGCCCGAAACGATGCAGAAGATCCAATTGGATGTCAAGGGCGTCGCGCCCGATGTGTTGGTCTACAATGGTCCGGCAGGCGATGAGGATGCTGATCCAGACGAACCTCCTCCAAATGCGTTTGGAAGGATCAATCCTGAAGATTTCTTAAATTCCACAACTGCGCCATCCGACGACCCTCTCCACCCGTACGCTATCATCGTCACTGCGCCCATGACCAATGTGCCATTACAAGTTTTGGAAGGTCGGGATGGGGTGTTTCGCAACTTTGCAAGCAAAGTGGTGTTCAAGGGTGGGGCGGAAGCCGGCATAAAAGGCATGGCCAGCGTCAAGGTTGATCTGAAGGGTGTGCCGGGAAGGGCCACGCTAGAGGATCTGCCAGTCACAGGCGAGACGTGGGTCGGAAGGCAGCGGTTGAGTTCCGCAGAGGACCACTGAGAGGCCAAGGGCAAGGGAAGCAAGTTACATTTGTATTCGCATTCATAGCATCCTTACTTGTAAATTATATTTCATGCAGGGTATTTCAGAGCCTTGATCCGGCTGATTTCTCCTCTTAACCATTTAGCGCTCTCCTCACTGACATTCCAGGTCGGTACCAGCGATTTGAGGCCCAGAGCATGCTCTTTAGCTGCGGGTTCGTGCATCGACAAAGCTGCCAAGGCAAGGTAAGAATGATACGGGTCCGGTGGGTCCTCTGGCTCTTTGCCGAATCCGCCAAAGGGGTATTGTGCGCTGAGGAGAAAAGTCCGATCTGACTGAGCATCCAAAAGGTCTGATCGACCGAGTATCTGACCACAGTGAGTGAACGCGGTATCAACTTCTGTGGACTCACAGACAATGCTCCTCCACACCAGAACGAATAGCAAACATCTTCTAGCTTGCCGGGACGGCCTTGAAATCCGCCAATTTGGCGTTGAAGCAACCATCTGAGAGTTTCTTCATGGTCCTCGGTACTGTCTGCCTTGCCATCCGCCTCCAAGAGCTTGAGCGAAGCCATAGCGCAGTACGTCGTTCCTCCTGCCCTTGAATCAGTCATGAGGAAAATCTTGGCATGTCATCACTCTCGCCCACCCTGTGCCTCGATGATTCCTGGACGAGCTGCATACCCTCCCTCCCATGTCTTGAGATGGAGTCAGCGCAGATCTCGTTCACCTGACTTACTCTGCATTGCCGGATCATGGCCCTTGCTGCGTCCACATTGATCCCTGAGAAATCCGAGATAATACTGGATACCGCACAAGCACAGTAAGTCATGCGCAGGTCGCTCTGGAAATCGCCCTCAGACTGAGATCGAGGAAGGGGAGAAAAGCTGAGGGGATGTATACGTCAGCTTTCGTGCAATCATACTCTTGTGATCCTCACGAGCCGTCTTGACCTTGACAGGAGCGTAGGAAGGACACTAGTCCAGGCACGTCTAACCTGTCGAGAGGTGCTCGTAAAATCGCCAAGCAAAGCAGGGCTGTATAGGTCGATGGTAGATGTCCAGGCGAGGTGTTGGCATTCTGAGTTGTTGACATTTCTTTCAGTGAAGCTCCGAACCACTTTCTAGTCTCACTTACAGAGGTGGTGATCATGAACGTTGAACCTCCGAATCCTCCATTTGCTATGATTTGATCACCTTTTGCGCGGCCTCGTAACAACCTACGAGACCGCAAACTCCAAATCCACTCTATCCATGCATCCCTCTGCTGAGCCGTGGTCTTGTCCTCCAGTGCTCCTAGAAGTTCTAGACCAGAGAGACAAAAGTAGGCAATAGTGATTCTTGCAGCGGTGTCAGTCAGTCAGACAGTTACTGGCTCGCCGTGTCGTTTTCAAATTCAACTCACCTATTGGCATCCTGTGAGGTCCCACTGGCTGGTAATGCCTGTAGACATCTCAGGAAGAAATTGACATGTCCATTTCGCTTGAAAGTCGTCTGCCTCACGGGTCCATCGCTGCTCATCTCCTTGTGAGCATCACTGTGGGCTCTAGGACGTTGCAAAAGACAAACGGGACGCCCCGCCCGACGCGAGAGGAACATTATTATTATTATTCATTGACTTTTCGCTGGAATTCGATATTCCCCTGTGAAATGATGTCACGTCGATCGATGGCCCATACAAAGGAAACGAGCGAGCATCCAAGGCCGGGAGGGGCGAGGAGGCGATTTAGAATCATCGCATCGACAGGATCTTGGTGTTGTACATCTCATAAATCGTATCGTGATCAAATACAGTGAGAGTGTCACGCTGCCATCGTTTGATCTCATCCACTGACATCAGCACGCCACAGCAGTACGTCCCCAACTTCTTCAACCATGCTGTCTCGATCCATGCGTCCTGTCCTCCTTCGAGCTATCGAAGCTTGTACTTGTTCTCATCCGTTCATACCCTTGCAATCCGCTGGCATGAGTCTGACAAGCATTCGTGCAGCTTCATCGTTACCTTCACCTTCATCATCTAAGAAAATGTCTGGAACACCACCTCCACCAGAGAACAAGATGAAGCATTTCAAAGCTATCAATGCATTGCCTTCTCAGTATCCCGATTTCAGAACGGTTCTATGGACCGGTAGGGACAGTCAACTGGTCGTGATGACTGTGCCTGTGGGAGGAGACATTGGTGAAGAGGTGAGTAGGGGCGTTTCAAGTGGCAGAGGGGAGTGGCTATTCTGCCACTGACCATCGTTCACCACCACCACTCTCTAGGTCCACGAAGTCGACCAACACCTCATCTTCACTTCTGGAAAATGCAAAGCGATTGTCGCTGGGGAAGAAGCAGAAGTCCAAGCGGGAGACATGGTGGTCGTCCCTCAGGGAACCAAGCACAATTGTGAGAAGATAGATCCCGTGGTCTGGTTCAGTTCCTCTTCTAAACCGCCGCCTCAGTCATTAACACCGGACCCACGCCGTTATGTCTCTTCACTGTATACGCTCCGGCAGAACATGATCCCCGATCGGTGCACAAGACAAAGGAGGAGGGAGACAAGCTCGAAGACGACGGAAAGGATGAACCTCCCAAGTGGGCCAAGCGAAAGTAGTCTATAGACATTATCCCCTGATACATGAGTCATGTATAAATGTGTGTGGTTGTGTCATTTGAACCTCATTCGAGGTCCTTCTCTGCGTCGTCCGCAATTTCAATCAGGTGCTCTTGGACCCATTCGAGGCATTCCTGCACGACCGCTGTGCGATCCCAGTCGGCTCGTCGACGCCATAGTCTGTCGAAACATCCAGCTCGGACCTGCTCCAATTGGTCGATACTGAGAGCCGACGTAGATTCTACCAGTATCGATCGGAATCGCGACCACAGATCAGATGGAAGGACGAAGGGTGGATAAGACACAGGGCGAGGTTCAGGGACAGTCGCGATCTCGGCCAGCACTTCTTGCTCTGGTTCGAGAGGCGGAGCTTGAACCACAGGCTCTGGCGCCGGATCATTGTCCATTTCTTCTCGTAATCTCTTGCTGCTCTCCCTGTCTCCACCTTCTTCGTCCTCTCTCTGGCGTTTCAATGTACTTTCCACCCCGTTCTCTCCATCGACAGTCACTTCGGCCGTACCGTTGACCTCGTTGCCCCCCTCGACATCCGACAATTTGGCCTGCTTTTCTTTCTCCCTCTGCGCCTTCCTTTGCAGCATTCTCACTTTAAGTCGTTCGAACTCCGGCGTCCACTTTGGATCGAAGTGGGAAACGTGGAGTCTTGCATTGGCAGCCATTTCTCCAATCCGAGCTTGACGATCTGGATCTCCAAGGTGAGCCGCGTTGTCTGCTATCTTGTCGATGTCCTCCAGAAAGTCGGCTGGAGTGTAGTACTTGTGTCGAGAGAGTTTGCGGTGAATCGTATCAATATCGACATCGTGCGCTTGCCATGTGGCTACTGGTGAATGAGATGGAGGCTCAGGCGCAACCGGCGGGACAGTCTCGAGCACGGCAGGCGCAGAGGCAGATGGCTCGGCTGATATTGTCGTCCCAAGTGCGTCCGTATCATGTCCATTGGGAACAGATTCCGCTTCGAGCGAGACGGGAATGACAGCTTCCGGAGGTGACGCGTTGGCCTGAGCAGCCAGCATCTGACTGACAATGAAGGCATCGTTCTAATCATTTAGCTGAGACAAGCACAAGTTGGCTCACCCTGACACCGGCGACAACTTTACGGAATTTCTTTGAGATCTCTTGAACCAGGTGTATGAAACTGACATACAGCATGTCTCGAGCCCGCTGATCTTTTTCGAGTTCGCGCTGGATCTCCGCTTCTGTCGGCTCCCTGGGTGGCAATGGCGGGGCAGGAGGCAGGATCTCCAAAACTCGCTTCTGCCTTGGTAGGGCATCTGGGAAATCGGACGGTGGCCTTTGGAATGCTTCGAATAATGAGGCGAGGTACTCGGATCGTTCCGACTAGACATCAGCGTGATCTTGTGATAGCACACTCACGTTTGATGGAGACACCAGCTCCGCTTTGGCTTCTCCACTGGACCCGAACCAGGCTCGAATCTCTTGAGGAATTTGATTGAAAGGCTGATCGGACAGGGCCAGTAGAAGGACTGGATCGGATGAAGGTATGCCGTGAAGGAGAGATTGAAACAGTATTCTCGTAGACTCCGTCAGAGCGTAGGTCCAAGGCAGGAGGGAAGGTATGAACAGGATCGAGGGCTGGTGCCGCTTCGCCTCGACGAACAGCTGGACCAGGGTCGCTTCGGGTGTGCGCGTAGAGTCCGCCATGAGCGTGCCAATGTCCAAGCTTTGCACATGGAAGCCTTCCAAATGATGCAAGATAGCTGGACCTAAATAATTCTGGCCCATTCCTGAAGGGCCATGAATCAAGAGGCGCGGACGGAAAGTGCGCAACTTGTCCAACGACTGCACCATCATGTGCTTCTCGAGATCGTCACCGATATCGTCAACAAACTCGGCTTCCTCGAGCGCGGTCAGGGGTTTGTGTCGTGGCAGAACTCGATCGACAGCTCCCTTGAGGCGATCCAAAGGTCGACTTAGGAGTGGCAATAGATGAGCAGGAAGTTGCGATGCAGCTGAAGAAGTGGATCGAGCGGAGGATGGAGTGATTTCTGATTCGTCAGCAACATGGCCGGTGAGTTGAACCTACTCTGAATTGACATCATAAAGTCTTTTGCGCCGACAGAGATGCTTCCATGGTCCAATAGGAGCCGGTCTGAGGACTTGTAGATCTGAGGATACCTCCGCTGAATGGCATTGAGGGCTGCTTCGGTGCATAGGGCCTATACTATCAGCTGTCGAGCTGCAAAGTAACTCACTCTCAGATCTGCTCCACCATATCCCTTTGTCATGACAGACAGTCTATCCAATAGAGTTCCAGACAAAGGCGGTGACCACTCCCGTGTGTTGATCTGGATGATCTTTCGTCGAGCGTCTCGGTTGGGAAGTGGGAAATAGAATTCGCGGTCGAATCGACCCGGACGTCGCAGGGCAGAATCGACGGCATCAGGCCGGTTCGTAGCGCCGATGACGATGACTTGACCTGCACCTTCAGCCAAAGATACAATGTTGTACTCACCTCGGCCATCCATCCCATCCATGAGCGCCAGGAGTGTCGAGACCAGACTGGCATGGATCTGATCCTGCTTCGAGCTCCTGACGGGGGCGAGACCATCAATCTCGTCGAAAAAGATGATACTGGGTTGGCACGCCCTAGCCTCCTCAAACAACATTCTCAGCTGTCGTTCCGCTTCACCGACCCATTTCGATAAAACATCGGCACCTTTTCGCATGAAGAATGCAATTTTGGTATTTCCTGTACTGCACGATGCTGCAAGCGCACGAGCTAGAAGCGTTTTTCCGGTCCCCGGAGGACCATGGAAGAGGACGCCGCGAGGTGGAGTCAGGCCAAATTTCTGGAATAGCTCGGGATACAGTAATGGTAAAGCGACCATCTCCTTCAACTGATTGATGTGATTGTCGAGACCTCCAACATTGTCAAAGGTTACATTCATATCGACGCCGAGTGGATCTGCGTCGGCCAGATTAGATTTGGGATTGATTCGGCCATAATTCGGTACGTCGGAAGGACCACCAGTACGCACATTCTGAGAGCCTTGGCCTTGACCAAGTTTTGGGATAGCAAATTCCATGTCAGAGTCGCTGGTATCCATGTCGCCCATGGCTTGAGGGAGAGCGCCTCGTCCAGCCCACGTTCCCTTTGCGGAAGGAAATTGAGACCCAGAGCCATTGGCAAAGCCCATACCACCACGACGTCGACTCGCGCCAGCAGCATTGGCAATCGTCTCCTGAACCAATTCGGCCGAGATATCCAGAGGTGGAAGCTCATAGTTGACTTTACTTGTTCTCTGTCGGAGCTGCCGTTTGGGTGCTCCAAAATCGTCGTCTGAATCAGCTCGACGGTTGGAATTTCGGGTCGATCGACGAGGTGGTTGCGCCCGACGACGGGTAGCACGGCGAGGTGGTGGCCGATCGTCGTATTCGATGAAAGACCCCTCATCATCGTCAGATGGCGTTCCGAAGCCACCTAGCTGATCATCAGATCCGTCGTCCTCCGTTGCGGAAGGTTCGAATGACTCTGCATCGGCGGAAGAGTGTCTAGACTTGGGTGTCGGGACGGGCGCCGATTGCTCAACAGCAGCAGCATGTCCATTTGAGAGTCGGGTAGATCGAGTAGGGAAAGCATTTCTGGCTGGCTGAACGACATGTCCCTCGTCCTCATCGTCCTCGTCGGGATCGACCCTTCGTTTCCTCCCTCTGCTGTTCCTCGTTGTCGGTATCGGCGCGGCCTCATGATCGTCATCAGAGAACCTCACAGCGGTCTTCCCCGCGTTGTTCCGCTCAGTCCTCCTGGGCTGAGGTACTGCCTCCTCTTCGTATTCCTCCTCTCCCTCCCCGTCTTCCTCTGAGTCTGCTTCGGCATACGACGTAAACTTGCGCTCTGCAGCGACGCGTGCTCCTCGAACCGGGCGACCAGAGGATGAGAAAGACTCCTCGGTCTTGACCGTACCCGAGTTTCGTCGACTCATATCTGGTGCTGGATCCAGAGGTGCTACCGGCCGACGGATACGCAATTTGAGAGATGTCGAGGGCGCGGTCGGCTCCTGCTGAAGTACTGCTGGATCCAGAGTTATCGACTTGGGCAGCGGCAGTGCAGCTGGGGTTACGGGCGAGACGTGAGATGGGTCTGCGGGAAAGTCCGATGGATAGCCGACGAGCTCGGGCTGCGCTTGAGGCTGCAATTGTCCCCAATGTCCGGATGGGCCTGAAGCTTGAGGGTGAGGAGGAGGATAGTAGCTAGGATTGGGGTAATACTGCGCGTTCGATGCCAAGGATTGTGGGGTTTGCAAATAGCCTTGGTGCGAAGGATATCCGTTGTAGTCTGGAGCAGGGAACGGGACAGCAGTTTGCGGTTGGTAATGCTGAGGGTATGCGTGTGGATGCGGTCCTGAAGGTGGATGTTGCCGATATTGATACTCTCCTTGATGACCGTAGTATTGAATGGGAGGGTAACCGGGACCGGACATTACACCATGGGTGCGGAGGTCACTGGATGGAACGAGGCGATGACGAGAATATGAAAGCCCTGACACACCTTCACTTGTTGTTTGCCCGTCTTGAAGTGACCATGGACGTGGATGCTACCATGGATCCGACTTTCAAGTGAACCCAAGCCAGACGCGCGAATGGGTTTTATTGGCTGAAGAAATAGGTTCCGGCGAGTGTGGCACATGCCAGCTCTAGCAGGAGGTGGTGGGAAGGGACAAGCTGCAAGCTGGATTCCGAGACTCTCTCGTGAGGATTCAGAGTATCCTTGTAGTCAGGCTGGGGCCGCGATGACAGTCTGACCTTCTTCTCATGTACATTTGATATCTGCGACGCTTCGTCCACCAGGTGGGTGATAAACGGTCGCTTGTCACGTGCCACTGATTATCAACCGCACGGTTGTACGTAATGGCCGTTGCGGAGACGATGCGTCAATCTAATCTCTCGGGTCTCCATTGTCTAACGTTCTCTAAACGTGTACTTGCGTTGACGACACCACAACAACCAACCACGCTGCTCTTCCCCTATCAGACGACCTATGCCACCGCCGGTCCAGTCGGGTGGTGCTTCTTCCTCTAACGAGTCTCGGCCCATCTTTGCATTTGCCGCTTCGTCCGCTCAACCCTCAACGGAGTCGCCGACTTATGCGTCGATACTCCGAAGGCAGTGGACGACGGAAGATGTGGATCGACAAGAGAGTCTAGATGAATTGAATCCCATCACTGCAGGCTCAAGCTCGAGCATCCACGCTCCTCCTTGGCGGGCTAGCGAAGGGGACGCTGAGGCGTCTGGATCTAGAATATCCATGTCGGATTTATTGGCTGGGAGATCGAGAGACAGTTGGGCAGGAGCGATAGACGCGGCTAGACGTCAAGGGTATCCGAACCGAGCACCGAGGATGATGCGAACCGTCTTTGGTGGGAGGTCAATGGAGTCCGACAGCGATGAAGAGGATCAAGCGGAGGAACCTCAAAACCGATCACGGCTGTACAGACAAGGGCAGAATAGGACAAGTGATGATCTCAGGGTACTCGGAGGCAGCGGAGGTGCTTTGACATTGAGCCGAGGGTCTAACAATCGACGCAGGCGGAGCTTGATAGATCGATTGGCAGCTCAAATAGGGGACGAGCTCAGACGGCCAAGGGTGGAGGGTATCTACGCATCACACGGCATGAAACCTACGAATGAGGATCTTCAGAATCAGCATACGCCTCTAGTCGTCCAGAGTCAGGGCAAGAAGCGATCGTTGGAGGAGAATGAAAGCCGGTCCAAGAGGCGGAAGCTTGATACCAAACCGGATCCTGTGCTCTCGCCTTCTCGCCCAAGCTATCTGGAGTACACCACGCTAGACCCATCAACGCCCATCCCGTTGGAGTTTGAACCGCCAACGTCTACTTCGAATGTCGGTCTGGAGCAGCGTGTCAGACATGCTTCGCTCGGACCTCAAAGCCACATCACTTTCACCTACCTCTCGCCCTCACGAGAGACCAATTCCGATCAAAATGCCTCGGCCTTGCGGACCACTAAGCCGATACCTCTGGCCTGTGGCATTCACTACTACGAAGTCGAAGTGGTCGATGCAGGTGAAGAGGGGCATATGAGTGTTGGTTGGATGCGCGAGAAGACAAAGCTTAGCCGTTTGGTTGGGTGGGAGCCAGGAAGCTGGGGATGGCATGGAGATGACGGCAAGACGTTTGAGGGTAAAGGTCAGGGTCAGGACTTTGGCGAGAAATGGGGAGGTGAGACGAAAGGTCATAAAACGAAAGGCCTGTCGCTGAAATGATCGGGTTCGTATCAGCTGGGGACATTGTAGGCTGTGGAATTGATTACACTCAAAAGAGAGCATTCTTCACCAAGAACGGGAGACTCTTAGGCAGGTCTCAACCATGTCCGGCCCCGCTCGTGCTAACTTATCTTCAGCCTATCGATTCAAGAACCTTGGACCAGGTCTCTTCCCTGCAGTCGGTCTCAAGACCTTCCGAGAGACTGTTGCTGTCAATTTCACCGGACCTTTCAAGTACGACATTGACACACATGTCAAAGGCGTCCGAGATCGAATATGGTTTGAAGCGCATCATGCTTCTGTCCGTCAAGTCCCAAGACTGGTCGATCAAGTCACACCACCGAATGGGAATGCACCAGTCAGCACACTTGAACCTATCGATAAGACTTCGGCAGCTCTGGTGCTGGATTATCTGGCTCATGCGGGATTGACAGCGACTCTGGCAGCCACGGAGAAGGAAATGGCTCGGCGAAAATGGATCCCTCGGACCACGGTCTCTGGTAATGCGACCAAGGAGCCCGAACTTGATTCTGATCCTACCATCGAGTCTTTTGCCTCCATTTCCAAAGCTATCGATTGGCTACAACTACGCTTGACATCTCGGGACGACTTGCGACTGCCGTGGTCTTTCTTAGACCAACTGTACATCAACATGCCGAGTCGGATCGAACGAAGACTACGGATCTACGATCTTGAACTGCTCTGCTTCTTATCATTGGCTCAACCCATCGAGAACCCTTCAACTGATGTCGATCCAATTGAAGAAGGCAGAGCGCTAATGCAAAGGTGTATGGACGAGCACTGGGAGGAGGACCTCGAGCAATCTCTTCGATCGACGTTTACCATTTTAAGTGGCAGGCTCAAATCAGTGAATGAGGTGCGGAAACAGCCATTGGTGGCAGACTTGATAGCCGGAATCAGAGGTGAACTTCACGTTTAGCTTCCACCTAGAATGTTTCCTGATAATCATCGCACAGATTCCCGAGGAATCGCACCTCGAAGTCATTTGGAGCAGGCAATCGTTCAGACCAGCTTGGTGGGCCGGACACTGGCGATGGATGATCCTGCTGGAGCATTTGTCAATGTCAAAAGACTGTTGCAGGGCGAATCTAATACCGTTTCTGTGAAGGTTGAGCCAGAGTGAATTGGCTGTATCTTGAAACTTGTATGTGAGTAACAAACAGATGTAGATATGATGGGTGCATGTTGAGGATACATGACGTATCTGTCAGACTGAGAAATCGAAGGTTCATGCAGTATGTATGCACAATGAATGCATGGATGTACATGTATGACTTTCGTCTTCGCATAATATCCGCTATCTTATCCTTAACATCGACTTGCGTGCACCAAGTACGGATTAGTCGTCTTCTTCAGCTATTAGTCATTCTCGCCCATTGATATTCATTCCTCCCCAATAGGAGTGACACTCATGCTCCTTGTGGTTCGTGCCGCAGCGTTTGTCTTGCGTTTCTGTGATGGTACTGGCATATTGGCTTGAGGAACGCTTGAGGATTCTTGTGGTACAGGTTCGGGTTCGGGAGCAATGATTTCAGGCGTTGCACTTGCGAATCTAGTCTAGATCAGGCGTCAAGGCCGATATACAGCGCATTGTGCTCTGAACGCGTACGAATTTGGGAGTCTTTGCTTTTGACCGAGAGGGTTCAGCTCGAGACCGCTCGGGGTCTTCGTAGGATCTAATGTCTTCAGAATCCGTCGGTCCGCGCTTAGCAGGAACGATCTGGCAGTCAGTCTCAAGAAGGCCTTGATACGCATACTTGGCTGAAATCTTGTATCTCATCGTCTGGCGTGATGTCGCGGTCACCCACTCTTGCTGCCTTGCTTGAACCCTCTGTTGCTGATTGCGAGGCGTTTGAACATTTCTTGGTCGTCGGCTTCTTCTTGTTTGCTTGCTTGACTGGTTTCGCCGGATGGCTTTTCCCTTCTTCCTCCAATTGGTGCTCTGCTCGTTTGGCGGCAATCAGTTGGACGCGGAGCTTGTCAGCTCGGCTGTTGGCACTGTCTTTGGCCTCCGTTTCCTACGGATGTCAGTGATTATTGCTCTAAGCTGGACTCACAATCTTGAGCTCTTTTCGGCATTCTTCCAGCTCTTGCTTGGCTCTATTGGCCTCTTCTCGGATTTTCTGACTTTGGGCAGTGATTCTCTTGATCTCTTCTGTCATCTGCAAGAGGTCACTCTCCTTCTGCTGTTGAACACCCCCGAGATTCTTGACGGTCCTGGACAAAGTACCAATCTCATTCTGGTATTTGGCTTTTTCTATCGTCCAGGCAGCTTGACATCATTCGACCTGTAAGCGTTGATGCGACACTGCCTGTGATATAGGCTCACTCTGGACGTCGATCTGGATCTGCTTGTAGAACGCTGCGGGCAATCAGCCTCGTCTCCCACCAAGCCACACCGATATCATCATCCGTCTATTTTGTGGTGAGCGTCACCTGGATGGCATCACTGACCATCTCGTCTGCCTTGTATCTTTCAAAGACACTCGAGTCACGTGCTTGAGCTTCAGAGCGTTGAGCATGTTCGAGCTGCTCCTTGAGGGAGGCAATCTCCAACTTCAAAGGCTCGACCGCAGAATTGTCAACTGTGGCATTAATCTTCTGTACGTCAGTCAGGTGCCACACGCAGAAGACCTGCCTTGAGGCGCAATTCGTCTGCCAATTGTTCGTTCCGTTTCGTGGACTCCTCGAGCTGTCTTTTAACCCGTTCGGCCTCTGCTTCGACATCGATCTTAACCTTTTGTATACTCGATATAAGCAATGGCACTGCTTCCTGCTCACTCTGCAAATTTCTCAGCCACAGATTTAAGTCGAAAGTCTGCCTCCACGACCTCGGTCGCTCGGGTTTCTGCCTCTCGTCGCAGTCGTGCGAGCTCATTCTCTAACTCAGTACTGATCGTCAGATACGTGCCGAACTGTGGAAGCTAACCATTTGAACTTATGGTTGGAGAGGTCAACTGTCAGAGCTTGAGTCTGATCGTCCAGGGCAGACGACTTGACTTTAACTTGGTATCTTGTGAGCCAAGATATATGTACCTTGCGAATGTCACCTACCCGCTTCGAGGTCGAGAAGAAGACTCTTGTTCTCGTTCTGTACTTCATGAAAAGCCTGTCGCAGCTCGCGAAGGGTCTTGTGTTGTTCCATCGCAGTTTCTAGCTCTGCCTGTAGGTACGACGCCTTGCAGCCACTCACTCTCTCGTAGCTGCTCTCGATCAGCTTTACTCCTCTCAGCCTCTGCAAGCAGAGATTCCGATCTGGCCTTGAGCTCGGTGCATTGCATTTTGTGGGCCAATTCAAGGTCACTGACAGCTTGGGTGGACCTGACCCTCAGCTCAGCCACCAGGCTGCCACTCACTTGAGCTGCATCTTTTGAGCGTAAAGTTTGGCTTTGTACTGCATATCCTGACGAGTCGCTTTTTCGACGCCTACAACTTGCTCGAGCTCGGCGTTCTTCGTCGTGAGAGAGTCGATAGTGATTTGGAGCTTCACACTCTTGGCCTCGAGCTCCTGACAAACTTTGGAGAGCCGATCTTTATCGGCAGCCTGACAATCAGAATGGCACTCGGGTGTTCGCTCACCAGAGTTCTATTCTGTTCCATCCTGTCTCGCACCAGGATTGACATCTCCTCGATGCGAGCCTCAAGATCAGGTTCAGCTTGCTGATGAGCTGCAGAGATCAGGTGTTTGGAGATGGCGACCTTCTCAGAGACAACTCGTCTGTTTTGATAACCCTCGGACTGCATGGTCGCATTCTCCCTTCGCATTGTCTCTTCATTGTCAGTCTCATCGGTCAGTGACGCTACATTCCGGTCCTCAGAGTCTTGCGGAAGCGACATGAGAAGATAAGGGGCGTTGTATCGTTGCTCAACCATCGGCTGGTCGCGAAGTGAGCCGAAGTCAAGTTCTGGATCGACCTCGTCTGTGATGACAGTCAAAATGCGGTGGTCTCAGCAAGACTCACGCTGGATCTCATTCATCCGGGATACTGAATGAAGCTCAATGGGTGCGTCGTACCCAACGACTTTGGGACGTTTGCTCGCTGAGCTGAGGAAGGGGTTATTTTTGTGGTTCGTACGAGCAGCTGCCATTGAGCCGACTACGAGATTTGGTAATGATGTCTTCGAAGTGATGACCTTGCTTCCGAACCCATGCGACACCTGAGATTGAGCTCTATTGTCTGCGTTTGCTTCCTGGTGGCGTTCCGCTTGTGACATAGATCGGCTCCTGCGGTCGGATGGTGATGGCTTTGGAACGCCCCCTTTATGGAAGTGATCAGATGGGTCCTTGGACGTCGTTGATCCATGCTTTTCAGAGGGCGTTGGATGGTCGTCTGAGGTTGCAATGTGGGAACTGGACTTGGCGTGTTGAAGAGTGGGCGGCTTGGAGTCAAGTGTACGAATGTTGGGTAGGAACCCTGGCCTCAGGGGTCGGGACACAAATCGGTGTGGTTCGACTTTGGTGAACATACCGTTGGAGACAGGTGTCTTCGCTCGATTTTGCGTCGAGCTGTGCCTGTTGGCTACTATCGGTCCTGTTGCAGTGGGCACCCCGGTAGCGATAGCAGCATAGGTCCTGGTGGATGCTTGTGGGAGGAAGGGATTTTGAATGGGCTGTACAGTGCTGGCGTGGTCATTCCTGGAGCCAAAGGCGTTGACCATGGTACTGAGGTTGCGATCGACGACCTCCACCTAGTGAGCTAGCCAGATACAAACTTACGCGACTCCTGTAGGTGAGGTCGAGAAGAGGAGCGGATCTCGCTAAGAGGCCTGGCTGGCTCGCTGTCGAGCGGCCGGGGGTACGAGGTGTCAGCGCAGCCCGAGGCCGATGTCTGACGGTGGGGAGGACTGATCGTAAGTCTGCTGCAGCGATGAAGCTGTGATCGTGGTGTGAAGTAGAACACTGAAAAGGAGATCGATGGATTGGAATAATATATCTGTTCAAAAACGGTGCGGACGCTCGGATCGCTGCAAAGTCCAGTCAACCGATCATCTGAAACGAGGGTGGCGGTAGAAAATCCGAAACTTCGGATTTCATGAAGTATCTATCTTGACATTCCATCTATGCACCATCGACCAATTCACCATGGCACCTTCGATCTCGACGACCTGGGAGCAAGGCGAAGTGCACAAAAGGATCGGAAAGTCTCCTATTTCCATTCCTCTCGATGTCTTCACTCGAGTCCTCCAGATCCTGAACCCGATGAGCAATGATGAAGATCGTGCCTCGCTTGCAGTATGCATGCGTCTCTGCAAGCAATCCAAGGAGGTTGACCGCCAGATGCCTCTATACTTATATCGATACTCAATGGATGGATACGGGAAAGGCCAAGAAACCCTTCGACGTATGTCCAGAGAACGATCCTGAGTTGTTCCTACGCATCGCCATTCAGAAGAACCGACCGGCAGCAGAGATCGAACGATTGCGGCCACTCATCGGCACTGTTCGTGGTCCACTTCCTCGTCCACTCGATAAATATATTGGATTTTGTCGTTGACTCGTGGTAACTGACGTCCCCGAGTCGGTCCTGTTCGTCATTTGCAAGAAAGTTCAGCAACTCGATACGCTTCACATCCCCCTTGCCACACCTGTGGTAGATCGTCATCGCAGAGCTCTGATAGAGTACGAGCTTGGGCTCAGGAGGGTTCCACCCACCCTAAAATGCCTCGAATACGCCAAGGACCTCAAAGCTCGGCGACTCGTGGTGGACGTCAATTGGCCTTGCCAAATGGCTATGCACGTCAAGACGATTCTTCCGAAAGACTCTAACCTCTATAAATCTCTTAAAAACTCTGGTCGTCCGAGTCGAATCCTGGGAGACTGTGATCAGCGACACAACTCCCTTCGCCATGCCAGTCATCAAGTTCGCTACGTCCAAGTCTTTTGAACAGCTCATCATCCTGCACCTTCCACCAGACCCAAGTGTCCTAAGGAGTGAAATCATCTTCGAGACAGACTTTAATCCCCTGGTCGAATACTCGGATGGCTTCTTTGCCGCCTACATAGCGCAGCAATTGAAACGAAAATCTCACAAGAAGGATTTTGCTTGCCTCATTGTTGGACTCGAATATGGCTCGAGCTTCTCGGAAAGAGGCAGGGATCCCGGCATCTCGCGACGGGTTGAGGCCATGTTCAAGACCGAGGTTCTGGCTAATGTCAAGCCCACGCAGAAGGTGGAGGACGTCAAGATTAGGATGGATATGTGGAAGTTTCAAAGTCTCAGGGAGTACGCAAAGGAGCTCGAAGGACTCGACAGGCATCTTCTACCTGACTACGTCTGGACTTTGCTTGAGAAGGAGGATGAGATCGAAGGGTCTGACTCCGAGTCAGCTGTCTTGCGATCGGATGACGAGCTGTCGGACTTTTGAAGGGTTGAGTGCAAGAGCCGAGGTGACGAGTGTGACGTGCTTGGTAGACGTTTCACGGGCTGGATTGGTAGTGGTCCCCCGCCTGAATTGGATAGGCCAGGTCGAGAGATGAAATATCTCTCTGTACATACATCAGCTCTGGGAGGTCTGTGGATAGACAGGTGAGCTATCCAACGACAGGCTGTTTCAAGACGGGAGGCTAGAATTGGTAGTATGCTGCCGAGGAGTCAGATTGAGAAGAGATCTTGGGCCAAAGGCCGAAAGAGGCGAGATGGTGGAGACCGTAAAGACCAGATAAAGCTTTATGCATTCCATACCCATGCCCAGAGGTCTGCCCGGGCCTCATGCGGCGACCCTTCCACCACAGATGGTATTGTACAGTATCAGCCTTGCTCTCGTATTGACTATCTCAGTGGACTCCAGTCACACGGTAGCAAGATGGTAGACTTCATGCTCTTTGTCAAGCGGACAGTCTGCGAGAGCAGTCAGCGCTAGGAGGGCAACAACCATTCCCACTGACCTCTCGAACGGTATCACTCCACCCGCCGACGCTCCAAGCCTTTTCTCTCGTGGATTTTCGGGTTTCCATGTCACTGTTTCCGTCAGGCTTGTCATGCAAGCGAGACTTACGGGTATTGCCAAAGATGATGTACTTCGTGTAATTGTCCCACTTGGGAAAAGAACGCTCCGACAGGTTGCTATGAATCAGAGGGTGGTCCTTAGGTCTAGAAGACTCACGACGAATCTACGTCTAGCTTCTAGCCCTCTTCTCCACGCTCCTTCCCATTCCAAGAGCTTTCCAGGAACCAACTGGTAGCTTCTCATCTCGAATATGCCTCCTCCAGGGTATCCGGAATCTCGAGGAGGTGACGAAGGCCAGAAGCTGAACTCAGACATCATCTGATGCTCCCGCGAGACGATATGTGGAAGTATGTCCTTTTGTAGTTTCGCCATATCCTATGATATGTAAGTGACATTCCCTGGCAATGGACCCTCACCTTGTCCTCTCTTAAGGTCCTGATAGTCGTATCGAATGCTTTGTAGCCGTCAAACTCGATGATATGGTTGAATGTTCCGACGCTCCCGACGATAGCTTCCCAGCTCCCCGTCAATCGCATCCCTCCAAGCTCGTCTCCACGATTCATAATGGCTCGATAGTACTTGTCCGCCGCTGCAACGTACTCGTCCCGGTGTGAAGGTATCACGAGATCCGTGACCATCTGATGAACGTACTTGTTCCGTCCGATGAGCTTGGAATGTTGGGTCGCAGAGTTGGCCACGAGCCCCTCGGCTTTGGCAGTCTTGGACCCGTACATCAGAGCCTAAGCGTCAGCACTGGTCTGATCATACATGCGACTCACTCCTAGGAAGCCGGTGCCCCCGGTCTGTTCATTCTCGACTGGCGCTTCAGGCTTGGGTTTATCCGCTAGAGAGCTTTGACTGGCATGAAAAGTACGGACGAAGGCTGCATTTGGGCTTCGGAGACTCTTGTTGCCCTGTACTGCTCTGGACAGCTGAGTTGCGAGTCGGCGTGACATGCCGCTAGTGCAAGGAATGGGATGGAGTATCAAACTGTCGAGAACGGCTTGAACCTACCACCACTGTACTCTCTGCCCAATCGTCATTTGCCACACTAAAGAATCGCGTGTCAAAACGCCGGGAACCTCCGCCTTTTGGTGCAATGCCATGCATATGAGCTAGTCAACTGGCTCTCAAGTCTCACACAAGCTCGTACCATCTTGATAGGGAGCCTGAGGCGTAGAGCTTGCAAAGGTAGATTGTGTTCCACTGTTTACTGTAGATCGCTCGCTTATCATGTTTTCTTCCTCCCGTCACGCTCAACAGGTCCCACACAACAAAGTGATTCAAGCAGCCGCAAATACTCATAGCCGAAGGACGAGTGAGCTTAGAGATCCCAACTTGCCGAAGATATCGTGTACTTCTATCTCGGAGCGTTCACGGCAATGTCTCGAGAACATCCGCTACCGAGTAATCCAATGAGTGGGCGGTCTCCCAGTCCAGCAAAGGACGACCGACCCGGCTTTTCCAGAAGCGGATTCGCACCCATCCCTCATCGACATCAAGATTTCGCTCCTCCGCCGCCCATTCCTTCCGGTATCCCGCCTTCTCGTGATGACGAGCTTAGACGGGACTCCATGTCAAAGCGCGAGCCAATGGAACGCTGGGACCCCAGGGATGATTATGATAGAAGACCACCTTGGGAGGATCATGGTGAATTTGCCCAGGACTCTGAAGTTCTATATTGATCGTATGTTGTAGATCGAAAAAGGCGCCGCTCCTCATCACCTCCTCCTCATCCTTCTCGTCGAATGCGACGCTCACCCTCACCTCCACGGCATGGGTTACCGGATCCAGCTGATATTGACACGCTACTTTCCTTCAAGCAATTTGCGGACTGGTTCAGGGCGAGTCATCCTCAAACCGCCAGAGCGGACGAGGAAGAAGTTCGTCGGGCAGTAGAGAGCGCTGAAGGTCTGGGCAAGGAGAAGAAGGGCATGGCGAAGAGGTATGAGAGGTACAGGAAGGAATACACGTCGCGACAGCTTTACGCTCTCTATTTGACGCATCGAGAATCCCCTTGGTTCGTCGAACGGTATTCGCCAGATCAGATCTATGCGACGCAGCGTAGGCGTGTCAATCGACAGGGAAGAGTGCCGACGGCTGAAAAGTATCTGGATGCCCTCAAGGCTGGCGAATACGACAGTGTCAATTTTGATCTGGAGCCTGGTCTTTCCGGGGACGATTTACGCCTGGAGATTCCACCATCAGAACGACAAGTCTTCGTCAAGACTGTTCCTCCGTCCACAAGCAGAAAGGAGCTCGAAGATTTATTTGGAAAAGTCGAGGGATTTCAATATCTTGCGTTAACAGAGCCTTTCATGAAGAAGCAATTTCATCGTGTAGCTTGGGCTCAATTTGCAGACGGTGTGGATCCGCAGGATGTTGTCAATAAGCTCGATGGGTCAAAGGTGAGCAGCCGAGTGATCGGGGTCGACTGAAGTCAATTAGATCGACACGTTCACGTTCCACATGGGCGTCAACGCGAGCCCTGTCATAGGCAGGACACGTATCACTGCTCCTGCTGCCAACACGTTGGAACGTCTCGTGATCGATGGAGAAAAAGCCCATGATTTGGCGTACAAACTTGAAGAGGAATTGATCGATGAGGACACTACATATCCTGGCTTGCGAGAGAAAGGAACGACGGTCGTGCAAAACAAGATTGACCAGCTGCTGGAGGATCAAGGTCTTGTTGGTGATGATCTCGCCGATGATATGAAACTCAAACGCGCAAAACTCATTGCAGACCATTGGATCTCCTATCTGCGGCATGGACTCTCGACTTGCTACTACTGCGTAGCTCCAAGTGCTTTCCAAGAGGAATTACACCGAAAATGTGTCTCTCATAAGCGTCCGGATTCAAACGCTGACGTTGAAGATGGCAAAGAGGATGACCATGAGGAGGACGAGGAGGAACGGCATGATAGAAGACAGTCAAAAGAGTCCGAAAGATGGGAAGAGACTTTGGACAAAAAACTCCGGCCGTTGTTGCAGCAGGTGGACGTGCAAGAGTATGGCGGGAGAGATCCAGAAGAGTGAGCAGTCTTGAGCAGAGACGCGAGAAGTGTCTGACACCCTGAAAGGGAAACGCGAAAGCTCGCTGCGCCCTTGATCAAGCAGGAGGAAGCGTCAAAGTATCGCTGCAAGGAATGCAACAAGCTTTTCCGGGCACCCGAATTTGTGGTCAAGCACATCACCGTCAAGCATCTCGACCTCGTCGATGTCAAGACGGACGAGGTGAGTTGATCTCATTGGGCTCAGTCTGACGATATAGCTCGCCATGCTCAACGCGTTTGTCCTGGATCCTCAGCGGATTCAACCGACGGCTCAGACTCCAGCAGCGGTCAATGATCGCTTGCCGCTCCCTCCTCAACCTCAATTCAATGGCGGCGGAGGAGGCAACGGGGGCGGAATGAACATGATGCAACAGCAAATGATGATGATGATGCAGATGCAGCAAGCGATGATGATGGGAATGGGTCGCCAGGGCCAAGGTCTGGCCCAGCGTATGGGTGGTTTCGCCGAGCCCATAACTCCTCTCCCTACCGTACCGCCTGGTGCTGAAGATCCTCGAGCGAAGAGAGGTAGAGTCAGTTACCAGGACCTGGACGCCCCGGGTGGAGGTGGCGATGGGGGATTGCCATACTAGCTGCATACAAGTGAATCAAAAGGCCAGTAGGCCAGTCGCATGCAATTTTCACATGTTGTGGTCGTAAAGAGATTCATGTCATCTAAAGGAGCTAGAGAATGAACAATTTGGATAATGTCCTTGAATCAACAGGGATATTTAAAGGTGTATCTACAGGGGGAACCTGCCATCTGGTGGAGGAAGGATATCATTCTTCTAGAATAAAAGGTCGGGGGATCGGTCAAACCAGTACAACGAGCTTGTGTCGTTTAAGAATTACAACAATCCGCCCAATCCACCGAGCAAGTGATTGACAACGGGGAGATTGACACCCACGTCAGCATCTGCCTTTGCGCAGAGTCCTAGACCAAGCGCATCGACACAAATGTCCACGCAGATTTGTAACTCGATATCGTACTTTTGACCCTGGGGACACGAAGGAGCCGAAGGGGATGGAGAAGCCGCCGGGATGAAGACGTTGCTAGTTGCGGAAGGAGGGCAAGGTGACGTCGTCGTGGCGGGTGCAGGAGGGGGTGTGCTGGTGGTAGCGGGGGCCGGAGGAGGAGTACTGGTCGAAGCAGGTGGAGGTGGAGGGGGCGAGGCAGGAGACGACACAACGGCTGCGGCATTGACTGTACTGGAAGAAGCGCAATCGGCCGTCTCGGTGACTGTGGCGGTGGAAACCGAGGTCGTGGTGACGGTGTCAGTGACTGTGTTGGTGACTGTGTCCGTGACGGTATTGGTGATAGTCGTCTCGACAACGTAAACAGTGGACAAAGTGATAGTTGTATCTGCGACCACGACGGCGTTGGTGACGATGGGATCGTCGTCCTCACAATCATCACCGTCGTCGCTCGGCTCCTCGGTGTCAACGTAGGAGCTGGTAGGTGCTGCCGAGGCGACGTTGAAGGTTTGAGGCTGAGTCGGCGCCGGGGTGATGGTAGGAGTAGGAGGAGGCGAGAAAGAGGGCTCCATGGAGCTTGCAGGTGGCTGAGGGGAAGGCTCTGCAGAGGAGACGACGGCTGCCTCAAAAGTGGTAGTGGTAGTTGTGGAGACGGGTGCAGAAGTTGGGGTGTCAGAAGGGCAAGGGGTGGAAGACGCGGGAGCCTGAGATGAAGACACCGCGGCGCAGTTCTGAACCACAGTCAGTCTCGGAACGTGAATATCATGAAGGACACTTACTCCTCCTGGGCAAGTATATCCACCATTGCCGTCACAGTTTGGCATAGCTCCAGCCGGGTAATCAAAGTTGAGACCTAGATCCACCTGAGCCATGACCCAAGCTTCCAAGCCGGCGACATTGACAATGGCGTCGACGTCAACTTCCAACAGGAGTCCGCCGGCTGAATTGGCACAAGTACATCCAAGACTGTAATTTCGTCCACCAAAAGGTCCATCTACATTATTACAGGTCAAAGATTGACCGATAGTGAGATCCAAGTTGATTCCTAACATCGCAGTGATAGGATCCAAGAGGCTAGTGACGGGTGACAAGAGACCCGTGACTTCGCCAAGAACTCCTCCGAGGAGTCCTCCAAGCTGTCGTTCTTGGACTGGCAAAGCAGTGATGATTGGCGTTAAAGCCAGAAGAGCAGTAATAGCGAGCATGATCAAATGCGAGATCTGGGGTCGAGGTCGAAGTTGAAGCCTAGCGTCAATGTCGAAATGAGTAGAACAGTGTCCGTATAACTAAAGATCTTGCTGCCTGCTCGCTCAGCGAAAAGAAGAAAGTAGTCCGAAGAGATACAAACGAGTGACTAGGATGGGGATGGGATCTGGCGAGCTGGGCCACACAAAAAGAGGGAAGCGAATGGATCAATCCAGACGAGAATAGAAGCGAATGGTTGTGGTTGAAATGCAAAGGATGATTAACCAGAGTCCGTCCAGGACGATTGTACCACTTGTTGACAGATCGAAAGCGAGACGAAAGAGGCTGTCCGAGAGCAAAGTCGGGAAACAAGAGATGAGCTTTGCGCCGAGTGCTTCGTACCCGGGGCAAGGAAAGGGTCAAGGTTGGATGTCGAAAAATCCGCAACAAAGGGTATTGCTTTTCCAGAAGACTACCGCCAGGGGTGGGTTTGAGATGGTCGAGACCGAGTGAGAATTCAGTCAGGGATAGGAGGAGAAGCAGTGAATCGAGAGATGTGCTGTGCAAGCGAAATGTCAGTGTGTGGGATTGGTGCCAGTACCTGCGGGACCAACGGTTGAATTAGAACAAGGTAAGTGCGCAAACACGAAAGATGACAAGGCGGGAGACCCAAGACGAAAGCTTCATGTTAACTTGCCACGACACTTGGTCAGTAAGAGTCCAGAATCTTCATGACATTCCGATAAACAAACAAACATGGTAGTGGATGGTTGGGACAGCTTGGTCCGAGGGTTTAAAAAAACAAGTCCCTGCTGATCAAGTGACCGTCTCCCTCTTCGATGCCTCAGTGATCACCCTTCTCAAGCCATGCCGAGGAGGTTAAGCGTGAAGCGGACCAAACAGCGGGTACCTTGGCATCTTCTTCACGGATGATGTAGGAGGATTCCACCAGTCTCTGGCATGACAAGAGATGAATGTTGAAGTGTAAACAAACGAGTTCGGGTGAAGCGGAAAATACAATCTAAAGAAAAAGATAGAAACTAATAAAATCAGTTCCGCACCGGCCAGCCTGGCCCGACATGATTTGCGATGTCACCACGCAAGATCACTCGGCGCCTGCTTGGACGACATCCATATGCAGAGGTCACGAGCAGTCAGCTGCATTCCATTACAAGGGTATGATCATATGTATGTGTTAAATTCTTCTGTTTCAGTCAATGGCAGCGAGAGCAAAGGACAAGATGAGGAAGGATGGATAGAGGCAAGGAAATCACACGAAAGAGTCCATGTATGCTCGACCCGTCTACCCGAGGATCTCAAGACGACAAACAAGAGACTATGCGGAAAGGGTTGATTGAACCTAGGTGATGGTGATGAGATTGCCTTGTGGATCCTTGAGCACGACGAGATCGCATGGAATGACCTCTCCGCTGTCCATGTAGGTCAAGGATGTCTGATCCAGCGGGTCGACTCTGCGGCGGTTAAGTCAGCAGACATATGGATTCTGGTGAATCTCAACCCACTTGACGGCCATCTTTTCGACCCACAAACGACCGAGGACCACATCAAAGTGTTGCTCTTCATTGATCATGGCTTGGTGTTCGGCGGTTCGAGATCCAACGGTGATCGAGATGGGACCGAGGATCTTGATGCCGGTGTATCCAGCTGCTCCCATGGAGTACTACGAGGACGTCAGCTACGAGTCCTTTTCATACAGGTTGATCTCCTCACCTTGTCGTGGACCAATCCGTGCTTGATGGCGAAAGATCTAGACACGTAGACTTTGCTGTAACCGGGTTTGAGCAGCATTCGGACTATTCGAATCAGCCTCAAGTCGTCAAATTCTGCTCTCACCATTGTCTACGCCGCCAGCCTTGCCCACGACTGTGCGGACGCCATTGTTGGCATGAAACTGAGCCAGTGTTAGCCTCTACTTTCCAGCTCTGCGGATGCCGACTCACGTCCATCCACCTCTGCCTGTGAATATCCCACCAAGGCTCTGGGTCTTCCTCTCCCCACTTGCTCTTTCTGCTCCTGGTGCTCATGATACTCTTTGGTTTCGAGATAACAGCTCCGTCGGCGGTATGTCCAATGGTCTTTTCATACTTTGCGAATTCGTGTTCGTAATCTGGAAGCTCGGGAGCGATACTCGCAATGTTCCTTGGACGTGGCATGATATCCCCAGTAGCGTCTACCTCAGGCAGCAATTTGCCTCCCGAAGGTCCATGTGTATGAGTCGGTGTGACGCCATTGAACTTTTTCTTGTTGGGCCGAACAGATGGAGGCGCCGGAGGTGGAGCTTGAGCCAACGTCGTGATCGCCATGCCGGAGGTATCTCTAGCTCTGGGGACAAAGTTTCCGTGAATGGTATGGACGAATTGACCGTTGGAAGTAGCCCGAGATTGCTGCTGCTGTTGCTGTTGAGACTTTTCTGGTGAGGTGCCAGATTTCGATTGGACCTTCTTTTTGAGTGCAGAAGAGGCAGTAGGTCTCTTGGTCTCGACGGGAGGTTCAAGGGCAAAGTGAGCTCTGGGATGTGGTCCGGTCAAGTGGAGTGTAGCACTCTGGGTAGAGCTCGCTGGGAATCGAGATTGAAAGATGGCCAGGTCTCCATCTGGTCGAGCAAAGAGCCACAGTCAGGGATGAAGAGACTTCGCTGCTCCGGTTCACTCACCGTCCTCCAGAGCCCATCTGCTACCTTCATGTTCGTACACTAGACCAGCGCCATCTTTTCTGGCCTTGACGGCAGCGACATCGTCTTGTCCAATCCCGCCCTTGGAACAGACTCGATCGATCAATTGGTCGTACCCTTCTCCATCTGGACCCCCACAGTCAGCGAAAACGTGTACATATAAATGACACAGACGCACCTTTGCTAGCCAGAGCGAATGTCTTGCTCGGGGTATGAACGTTGTACACGAGCATTGTGCTTTGTATCAGTGATCGGTAGGGTTGAGAGTGACACTTGTGTGAACCAACCACCAATGGCTGCTCCCCGCCCATTCGAGGGTACTTGGGAGTGGTAGAGAGCCTGATGGGATCTCCTCCAATTGCCTCATTCGGCGAGTCCCGCTCCGTGTGTCTCGCTGGAAAAATAATGACGTAAAATTCAAAATTACCGGGACCGGCTGGGGTCAAAAAGACACGTGACTGATCAGCGATCAACCATCGATAATAAGGCGCGTTCCATGGTCTGATTTGGCCATGCATTCGACTGTCCAGAGATGCCCAAGAAGAGACTACATCACAGATAACCTCATACCACACTACCCGGACTACCTGCTCTACTCGTCTCATCCATCCTGACATCGACGACTTCAAGTTCTGCCGCAGGTGGCACCGAGACGACGGCATTGACCCCATTCCCATTGACAATGCCCGTGCTGAGTCCCATTGCCTTCTTCTTCGCGGCGACAGTATCCTCGTATGATCTGAAAAAGGTTCGTTTCCGTCTGACACCACATGGGTCGTCGTCGATGCTCGAGGGAGTATCTTGACGCATAGACCGTTTAGGAATCCGGATGGGAAGTCGACGAGTGCCACCTTGACGAGCAGCTCGTCGAGCATAGGCATCATCCTCATCTTCATCTTCTGAAGTCGGCGGAGAATAGGCCCCGTTGGCGCGTTTCTGAACCAATTCTGAAACCAATTAGCCCATCAAACCCTGTCGCATCACCGCTCACTCCTCAACCTGATCTCCACCTCGTCCTCTGGGTCAAGAGCTTCTCCGTTCTTCAGTCCCAGCTCCTTGCCAAGAGGCTGAGGTGCGCGTTGCATGCCCGCGCTGGGCGCATGTGGGAGATTCTTTAGATTGTGCAAGACTGATCGTTTGATCGCATCGAGATATTCAGGATGATTATGGTCGTCCGTATTATTGCTGAGAACTTCGAGTTTGTATCGAGGCCCATAATATTCCATGCTAGGATTTGTCAGTCATGGACATTTGAACACCAGCCCACTATTGATTATAAGGAAGGTTCTCGTCCAGTTCCTTGCCACACATGACTGCAGTCTCATATGTCCACGCGCGAGCGACGTTTTTACTGCAGAGGAAGATTTCCGTCAGGGCCAACCCTATTCGCCTGCTAGACACATACGTAGTGTATCCTCCACCACCGAGCATCATCACTGGAAGACCGAAAGCCTTAACAAACCGCGCACATTCGGCGTGACCTGTCATGCGTCAGTCGCGGCATGCTAGAGCCTTTTGACCCACCCTGCAGGGTCAAATTGAAGCCTCCAAGCTTGTCGCCTGCTAACGAGTCTGCACCCATCTGAAGCACGATAGCACCCGGTTGATAATGCTCAATGATACTGTTGATGATCTGATTACCAATTTAGCCATGACTCTCGCTGGCGCCACTCACGGGTTTAAAGATTGAGTGGAAAGAGTCGTCTCGGATTCCATCGCGCAACGGTACGTTGATGGAGTACCCTTTGCCCCGCTTCATGCCGATGTCCTCCTTGATCAGATCTGTTTTCACTGATCGTGACTCACCCTGACGTCTCCGGTGCCGGGGAAAAACTCTCCGAAGCGGTGGAAACTCGCCGTCATGACTCTATCGGTAGTATAGAAAGCCTCTTCCACACCGTCTCCGTGATGGACGTCTACATCGATATAGAGGACTCGAGGATGGATTCTAGATGTTAGCGCACGCTCCTCCACTCATCATCTTACCTCAAAAGCTCGAGGATGCCCAGGACACTGGAATTCAGCGCTGAGACCCTGTAGACCGCACTCACATATCGTTGACGTAGCAGAAACCACTAGCCTCTGTCTTTTTAGCATGATGAAGACCTCCCGCCCAATTGATGGTGATATCAGCGGCTCCAGAATTGAGCGTCTCTGCTGCCGCTGAAAGCGTTAGAAAAGGCGCCTTCATCGATCCACTCACCAATGGTGCCTCCCGCCGAAATGGAGCAGAATTCGAAAAGTCCTTCAAATGCGGGACAATCTTCTCCTATCAGACCTGAGTGGTGTCAGCGACGGCACGATGATACTCATCGCGCTCACATCTTACACCACCTCCGGTGAGATATTCAGCCGTCTCCGGAGTGACCTTTTCCAACAACTCGATATATTCGTCCGAATGGAACTTTGTCATATCTCCTCTATCTGCACGTCGAGGTCTAAACACCTGCATGCTCTTCCCACGACTTCCCGTCAATCGTTCCGTCTTGGCTCGCTCGCCATCGCCTTCCGCGTATTCTTGAACGATGGGATCATTTACAGACCGAGATCCCTCAGATTCTCCGGTCTCGTCTATATCGTCGCAGAGACCATAGTTCACGATGAGATTATGCGCCATTCTGATACGATGCGGTTTCATGGGATGACCGAGGTAGTAGACATAGTTGCCGACATCCGGGTCGTAAAAGTAGGCGACTCGGCGGGGATTTGATGAGGAGGCAGTGGGCGTCGGGGTGAAAGGCTCGACTACGGACGTCATGGTGACACAGTCGAATGCAAGATGAGAGGGGAAGAAATTGGTCTTGTTCTTGGTCCTTTTGGAACTGCCTGTGTCCTCGCTGATCACCTACCTCCCCTCAGCCGTAAAGCACAACGCTGCTGAATGGGATTGGACAACATAATCCCCCTCAACCTTTGGTTTGAGATTGAACACGGTGGACGATACCGCCTTGGTCCGACACGTGGATTTGATTCCGCAATTCTCCGTGACTTCGGCTATCAGCTTTCGTGGCCACCGGGGCCTCCAAAGGCGCTGGCTGACTCGATAGCGACTGCAACGTCCATAGAGCATCGGACAGCCAATATGAAGCTGCGTCAAGCGCGCCTGTATCTCGTACTGCGAGAACGTCAAGTGATTCAGGGCAGACGGCTGTCATCGATGCGAGCATCCGTTCAGTCACCTCGAGAAGTAAGTCACTCGTCCTCCCTCCCTTTGTCCCGGAGACGCCTTGACTGATACCGAGTCTGAAAGCTGTATGACCACCTATCGCAATATGTTGTAGGGCAAGATCAGCCAAAGAAGACCTTATCTGTTGCGTGAGTCTTTCTCTTTCCCGACTCATACTCATCCAGTTCAGCGTGTACAATCACTATCAACGGGTTAAACCTCGCCTAGAACGACCTCCACCCGTACAACCCGATCCACCTATCCCATCTGCTGGTCCATCTAGACCCGGTCCATCACGCGATAGAGACCCCTCCGACTATCGAACCACCTACTATGATCCAACACTCGCATCTTCCCGTAGCATGGACCAAGATCCTACCATCACGCACGAGCTTACATCGAGATCACGAGAACGGGATTGGGGTGAGGCAACATGGAACAAGAATGTCGGACTGACAAGCTGTAGCTCGAGGAGATCATTTCTTCACCTCTGGAACGCTTTTGAATAAAGATATCAAACGTTCTCAAGTTGCAGACGAAGATGCCATACCATATGCTCATGGCTTCGGGAAGCGATCATACCGAGACCGAGAGGATGAATTCGACAGGCGATCCCGAAATCGACTCTCAGAATCTAGCTTTGATGCAAGCCGGAAGATGAAGATGCGAGCGCCAAATGTTGAAGAAGTACCTCCTGCATCACCGGTCACACCGCCCGTGGCTCAAGCTCAGACGGACACGGGCGATTCGGCCAGGGATGCAGACATGAAGGACAAAGGGATAGAGATTGAGAAGAGCAACGTCTTGATGATGCAAGTCTGATCCTCTTCAACTCTGCTGACGATAGTGGTCCAACGGGTACGGGCAAAACCCTGCTCACAAAGACGTTGGCGAGGTTCCTGGATGTCCCTTTTGCGTGAGTGTTAGTGGCTTGACTGTAGCTCACAGCAGTTCATGTGACGCCACGACATACACCTCTGCAGGATGTGAGTTCACTCATAGACCCAGCGCTGATGATAGATGTTGGGGACGACGTTGAGAGCTGTGTGCTTCGTCTGCTCCAAGCAGCAGACTACGACGTAGCACGGGCAGAGTAGGTCAACAAGCATCCCTCCGCTCACTTCCAAAGGGTCGGCATCATCCACATTGATGAAATTGACAAGCTCGCTCGACGAAGTGCCGGAGATGGATTTGCCACGTGGGGAGGTGGTCGTGACGTTGGTGGAGAAGGTGTACAACAGGCATTCCTGAGGTTGCTCGAAGGCACAATGGTCACTGTATCCGCCAAGCACCCTCAAATATCGTCGAGCGGTCTACCGCCTGGACCTTCGCGAGATCCTCTGGGCGAAATGGATCAAAATCGCCCGCAGAATCAGAAAAAGGGTGTTAGGGACGGATTGCCAGGTTTCGGATCGAGCAGTGCGTCACGGTTCACTCCCACCCAGCTGATGTCTTTAGGCAAAGGCGAGACATTCATAGTGGATACGACCAACATTCTGTTCATCTGCTCTGGAGCTTTCGTAGGGCTGGACCACCTAGTCACCTCCAGACAGGGCAAAGGGGTGAGCTCATTTCGCTATAGAATCTCGCTGAAGACCAGTCGATCGGTTTCGGAGCCAAACTTCCCACAAAGAGATCCGAGGGGTCTACCACAGCTTCGCTCAAAGGCCTGTTGACAAGTGATCTGACCTCATACGGTCTGATACCTGAATTTCTCGGACGTCTACCCATCATTTCGACGCTTCACCCGTTATCCAATTCTGATCTCGTTCGAATCTTGACGGAACCGAAGAATGCCCTTCTCAAGCAGTACCAAGCGATCTTTGAATCTTACGGTGCGGAGTTGAAATTCACACGCAAGGGCATAGAGGCGGTCGCTGCGGAGGGATCGAAACGAGGAGGTGGCGCTCGAGGTTTGAGAGGCGTGCTAGAAGAGATCCTAGGTGACGCAATGTTCGAGGTACCCGGGACTGTGAGTCGAGCGCTTTCGATCTGTGCTGATCTGTGCACAGAGCGTGAGATACTGCCTCGTCACTGAGAGCGTGGTTCAGAAACGTGAAGACGTGCTGTATTTCTCGAGAGGTCAAAAGTTTGTCATGGAGCGCAGGATGGACGAGGATGATGGATCGACAGTCACTGCAGAGGACTTTGATGATGACGCAGTCGGTATCAGGGCCACGGGATAGAGCGAAGTGAGGTGAGATAAGGTTTATTGCATGTCATTTGAATGATAGTTGTAGAGTTGTATGCATTTTTCAACGAGGCTCGAGAGCTCTGACGCGAGCCTGAACAGATCAGCCTCGAACTCATGGATGGAGCTCACCTCGAGGTCAAACAAATAGTCGTCCTTGACGTGAGGGTAGAGCTCCCTGACTGCGTGGGCGAGATTGAAGAGGTATTCCTGCATATATCAGAACGGCAGACACCAATTCCGACCCACCTTATTGGGACCGGAAGGACCAGATCGTCGAGCTATCATAGACGCGACGGTCTGAGGATCTTCATAGCCGACTGCAAGTCAGATACGGTGAACTCCTCGGTCTCACCAAAAGCGGGATTCGATAATTGACCGATCCAAATGACCGCCTGAATGTCAGTCCACGTATGCTGAGTATCTCACTTGATCGACCACGACAGTCTCTCTGTCGTCTGTCACAGAATAGACCTTGACATCGTGAGGTGTGTATCCGTTCTGACTCATCAGCTGGAAACTCGGTCCATCCTAACCTGTTCTCTATGCTCTGTTTCATCAGCTGTGATGGCTTACTTTGATCGCTCACCTAAGTATGCTCTGACTTCCACTTCTTTCTCTGGGTCTATTCTGTATGCTACTCCCCAAACAAAATCCTCATCCTGGACATCTGAACTCTAAACAGGAAAAGATTTGAGCATGAGTTCGCCGACGCTACAAAGCAAAGCAAATCAACTCACTGTTCCTGCTAGCGTGTGCCAATCTGCAGCTTGAATGACCGTGACCACTCGACCAGGAGCCTCGGGTGTCCCTCTGTGATCTATTGAGGACTGAGCGAACCGCCTCACAACCCCTTTGACATAGCCACTTTCTACGTGATCGGCGTCAGAACAAGTTGAGAAACAGGTAGCATGTGCTCACTCTGCTCAATCGCGTGCGGTCTGCGTATGTGTGTTTCAGCGATATCACATCGCGCTGGCCACTTACGGTGGCTTCCAGATCAATGATCCGTACCCGAACACCCAGTACGGACGACTCATCGGCCGTATGGTGTCTAAAGATACAGGCCACAGAAAGGGTGGGTTGGAAATGTGCTTTTGATCATTCGAATTAGCCAATAAATTGTCTGATCTCGGCACGTCCGAGTGGAGGTGGCGCAGCGTGGCGGTCAGTACAGTGAGTGACAAGTCAATGCATGGCGGAGGCAGCTTTGGGACGTTTGGACATCGATGCATCCACTTGAAAGCTGTTACGACCCGACCAGAGAGCTGGCGATGCACGACCAACTCGAGATCTATCCTCGATCCCCGATCTTCTCACGATCTTGGAACTTTGAGAGCCTAGAGAACCCAGCTAAAGCGGAATATAGTTCCTGACATCATGTGCCGCTCTCTCGGCACGAAATCTACGGAACAACTTCTTCCGATCACAATCATACATCATGCCCCCCTTCGCCTGACTCGAGGGCCCCACATTCCCCGTCACTTGCAGCCACCAGATGCCTGCAAGTACCAAGCCACTTGTGCGTGCAATTCCCGACCTCCTCGTTTGAGCTGGCTGTTCTGTCAAATGCTGGGCAGGTGACATACTTTTGTCGACAAGAAACGACGTCATTTGGCCGAAAGCAAGAGCAAAAGTTTTATTTCAAAAAATAATATACCTGTTTTCGGGCTGAAATGCCTGGTCTCGCTGCTGCTTGGGCTCATCTGTTGGAGCCACAGCGGCGGACCTGCACAAGCTCTAAGCTCACGGCTGACAAAAGCAGCTTGCAGCTTAATAGAACCCACGTAGTCTGCGTCTTCATCCCTTGGCTTAACCACAGGGACATGACGCACATGTTACATGGGAAGGCTGGAAAGAAACGAGCGGAGTGGCAGAGACTCAGACAGGGTCTTGAGATCCCATGAGGTAGAACTAAGGGATCACCCTCTCTCCCTCTCTCTCTTCCTCTCTCTCTCTCGCCCAGCCTGTCCTGCTTCATAATCCCTCGGACTCGGACTTGAAAAGATTCCCAGAGGTTTGTAGGGCGTCATCAATCTCACATCATTCCGAGAAGAAAAAAATCCAACGGGGGTTGGTGAATAGCTGAATATAACTCGGCCAAGAGAAGCAAAACGGGTTGGTTTGACTGGCCAAACCGGAAGGGAAAAAAGTACATAATACCACCCCTTCTGTTGTCTCTGTCGGGCTGCTTCTCCTTCAGTTCTTCGTTCCCACCACACCTCACACGACCACCACATCTGATTCAGTACCATTATGGGAGGAGGAGCCGTCGCGGGCGGCGATTTCGAAGCCGTATTGGCTGAGAAGCAGAATCTAGGATGGCGAGGATTGTTCAAGAATGGCAAAATTATCGCCATCACTTGCTTTGCAAGTTTGGGAGGTGTCCTCTATGGATACAACCAGGTGCGTGATGAAAAATACAGACGTGGCTCACACGGCAAAGGGTGTCTTCTCTCAAGTCCAAGTCATGTACAGTTTCGAACACCGATACGCCGATACCGTGAGTTTAGCCACCCGGCGAGTGTCGCTTACCTGTTTTAGTTCCTCAAAGGATCTGAACACTCTGTCACAAGAGGACTGGTAACCTCTATTCTTGAACTCGGCGCATTCTTCGGATCTCTCATAGCTGGACCCCTTGCTGATTCATTCTCCCGAAAGGTGACCAGCTTTTCCATCCCGTCTAGGATTTCTCAGCTGATTCAAAACTATCAGTACTCTATTGCTGGCTGGTGTATCGTGTTCATGACCGGTACAGCTGTGCAAGCTGGAGCCAATTACTCAATTGCCTGCATTTATGCTGGACGATTTGTCGGTGGTCTTGGAGTCGGAGCTTTATCCATGCTCGTCCCAATGTTCAACGCAGAATTGGCACCACCAGGTATCAGAGGATCATTGGTGGCACTTCAGCAACTCGCAATCACCTGTGAGTTCTCATTGCGCTCAAAAAAAATGAGATGATTCCTGATTGTCGTAGTCGGTATTCTGGTCAGCTACTGGATCGCCTACGGAACCAACTACATCGGCGGAACCGGCGCTGGACAGTCTTCCACTGCATGGCGTCTCCCTTTGAGTCTACAATTAATTGTACGTCTCGGGAAGATACCGTTGTAAAAGTGTCCAGCTCATGAAACCCTCAGCCTGCCTTCATCCTTGCCGTCGGGATCTGCTTCTTGCCATTCTCACCAAGATGGCTGATGCTTCGAGGTAAGCCCCAATGCCGCCACGCCAAGCTGACAATTACCAGGACGTGAGGAGGAATGCTTGTCCACTCTGGCATACCTTCGGAATCACCCTGAGGATCATGTAGAAGTTCAGTACGAATTCCGCGCGCTGCAAGCCGAGCGATTGGTCGAGCGAGAGGCGGCCAAGGAGCGATACAGCACTGACGACACCAACTGGAGAACCAGCTTGAAAGATTACAAACGACTCTTCACCACAAAGCCATTGCTTCACAGACTTATGCTTGGTGCTTCTGCGCAAGGTCTTCAACAGGTGGGTTGTCCGGAACTGCAGACGTCTTGACGGGCTGACGAGTTGTACGCAGTGGACGGGCATCAATGCTATCATCTACTATGCTCCGATCATTTTCCAGCAAGTTGGATTGGAAGGCAACACCATCTCGCTTCTAGCTACTGGGGTCGTCGGTATTGTCAACTTTGTCTTCACATTGCCGGCGGTTCTCTTCGTCGACAATTTCGGACGTAAGCCAATGTTGGCTCTTGGAGAAGCCAACATGGCTATCGCGCATGCCACTGTGGGAGCCATCATAGCTGTCTATGGCGGTGACTTCCCCAATCACAAATCGGCCGGAAATGGTGCAGTCTTTATGATCTATTGGTTCATCGTGTGGTTCGCCATGACCTGGTGAGCACAGAACAGGAGGATAAATCATAAAGCTCGGCTGATCAAACGATCTCAGGGGACCTCTTGCCTGGGTCGTCTCTGCTGAGGTCTTCCCGCTCGACATGCGAGCAAAGGTGAATGCCGCAGCGCCTTGATTCTGATCCATATGGCTGACTCTTCTCAAACCAGGGAATGTCCGTGTCAAGCGCAGTCAACTGGATCATGAACTTCACCGTGGCTATGACGACTCCAGTCATGATTGACAACATTGGTTACAAGACATACATGGTATTCATGACTTTCTGCATTGTCGGCTTTATCTACTCAGTCGTCATCTTGCCCGAAGTACGTCTGCTGTATCATGTCTTATGTTTGACCGACTGACGAATCTTGTTTTTGCAGCTTCGCGGTCTATCTCTTGAAGAGGTGAGATTACTAGAGAACGAAGACAAAAAGACCGCTGACAATTATTAAGGTTGACAGAATCTTCAACGACCAGTCTGGAGCTGAAGACCGAGCTCGAAGAGAGCGTGTGGCGAAGCAGATTGGACTCGACAAGGTCGCCCAAAATGTCCAGCACAAGGAAGGGACCAACACCGTCGGCGATGCTGAAAAGGGTAACCGACCTGTCCGCAGTCGACTTCGTGAAGAGCCCGAGTCGCCTACGTCCACTGTCATCTAAGTCAGTGAGGCCACATGTCGTCGCGTGAGATAGTGGCAGAACCGGCGGCGGATGTGGCGCGTGCGGTGAGAGGAGGATGCTGCAACGGCTCGTAGTCTGTACTGTATCTCTTTGTGTTCCCAACAAACCCTAAAGTATATTGCTTTCTCATCCCCTCGCGTCTCTTTGACTTGCCCGTAGCATTCATGTAGCCAAGCTCGTTTATTTCAAATTTTGTCTAGACGGGGATTATTATAAGACTCTATGATACCCCTTCACTACGGAGCTTCATCACCTAGAGTGGGACGTTGGTGTAGTCTAGCAATTTAGTTCGTGCTCTCGGGGCCGCGCACTCACTGTTGTAGCAGTTGGAAAAGTTGGCTCCGTTCAGGGCAAACGTCTGACTTTCAAGGAACAAAGGCAGCTCGCATAGACCCTGGTTTGCGCCCCAGGAGTGGTTGCACTCAGTCAGGGTATACAAAGGCACGACCGCTGAATTCAGCAGCATCCTGACGAATGGGTAGGTAGATTGCTGCCGGAAAGCTTCAGCTACATATGTCCAATGTCTCCTGACTCACGTTGCCGGTGGATTGACATTGGAGACGCTCGACGAATAGTCGGCCTCCCATGGGCGAAATCAAAGCAGACTGCCAAGCTCGGTTGGGGTCGATCTGATCCAATGTGACGTTGCCATTGTAGTCTGCTTTGAAGAGCCCCATGGCGGTGAGCGAGCTCTCCAGGGACGTGTCATGTGTGAAATCAAGGTAGACCGATGAGTTGAGAGGGAACGTAGCCGGGTTACTGTCCAAGGTGGTGTTGACTGATCCGACGGGGATGACAGCAGAGTCATTCAATCGAGCGATCATTTCTGCTACCCATCCTACGCCCCAGGCGGTACCAATGGGTCCACCGTACCCTGCGTTGTCTGCCCATGTTAGGGAGTATCCTCACAGCTAGAACTTACCAAACTGATTCAGATCGTAGGCATAATTGTACCCTAGCCATTCTTCCGGAGTGAAGATGGAACATATGGGAGAAGGACTCAAACGATTGAACGAGTCAAATGGACAAGCGTTCATAAGGGATCCCACATCGTTCGTGGTGAGGTTGAAACCAGGCATCAAAGGTGCCAATCTGTCTCTGACCAGCGGCTGAAAGTAACTGTTGAAAATCCCATTGGCAGTCGAGTCGATGGTGTTCACAGCTGGACAGTTGTTAGATGCGAGGGTCGAGTTGAATGTGGTCGACGAATCAGGGGTTACTAGCCAATTTGAGAACGCAGAATAGTTGAATCCCATCATGCCAGCCGCAAAGGCATTAGCAGTCGCATTGACTCGCTCTTGATCGGTCGATCGGATGGGGATCTTTGGGCCAGTGTTGTTGAAGTAAAAGCTTGCGCCAAGGAGAGGGCTATAGGCATGCTGGAAAGCTACGCCGGCGGCCGTGGCATCAGAGTATCCGAGAGGTGAGAGGTATTCAGCGGGATAGGAGTAATTCCACGTCTGGAGGTACTGGATGTTCGGATCAGACCTGGACGGTTCGGTCAGCTAGCTGATCAGTTCACATGATGGACAGACTCACGATTGGAAAGTCGAATTCGCCAACTTCTTCACCAGAGCAGCTATACCTCTGGCTGTGCCACCACTGGCCTCCCTCTCAGCGTGGCGCATGTACACTTGGACTTGATCGACTGAACATCCATCAGGTACCTGACCAGGATACCCAGGTACACCGTACACCCCTGTAGAAGGGAACCAAGGTGAGAAGCCCCCTAGCTTGTGGAACACCTTGGGGTCCCAAGAAGCAGTCTGGTATTGAAACGGGGGAGGACCGTCGTATGACCAAGAGGCGATGGGCAGTTCATCACAGGCAATGGCTAACGTGCCACTTGCCAGGAGCAGGGCTAGGTTGGAGAGCATGATGAGGATGATGATGATCTTGTTGCTGGGGAAGAATCAACTTTGAAGAAGTTGAGAGAGAGGGAACAAAAGTTTCGCATGGCCATCCCTTCTTAAGTACCCTTCGTGCGCTCCTGTCCCTCATTCTGTATCTATTCCAAATATTTTGGCAGCCACGGACCGGTCAAACCATAAACGTGCGGTATCTCGGGTCACGACTCCCGGTCGAACTCCGCTGTCGGACTCAAAATTATTGCCACAAAATTTCCACCCGGCTCGGACAGGGGCGGTCATCGCCGTCACCTGGCCCATGCCATCCCCTCTCGCGCTTTCTAGTTGACAGACTCGCTGCTGGCTCGCCTGGACAAGATGTCCCAGGTAGTCTGCCGAGAATTCGTTAGCAATGGGTGAGTTAAGATTGATATGATCAGATCAGATCTGAAGCCCCTCTCCAGCTTTTGCCGTTACGGTGACCGATGCAAATTCTATCATCCGCCAAAGAATGGAGGTGGTGGTCGGTCGTTTTCGAGCGCAAACTCGACGCCTCTTGGTGGAGGAAAGCAGAGTTTGAAATACTGCTTCAAGTGAGCTGAGTCGATTCAGGCCTATCTATTCGGAGCGATACTGAACTTGTCTGTGTCTGTCAGCGAAGAGACTCTGCGGACCGAGCTGAAGAATGACGTCCCCAACTGGCCCATTTCAGTCTTTGGAGCAGGCAAGCACGAGCCCAATCTATTCAGTGGATGTGACACTTCGCCAGAAGAGTTGAGATGGAAAAGCGTCCAAGCTATCGCAGCGAATAACCCTCAGAGCTACGTAAGGTGTCTCCACGTGGGATCGCGCTGACGAGATACAAAGATCAACGAGGAGAACGAACTCGTAGGGCAAGCCACTAAGACCATCTCGACCGCTTTGCAGAACCTATCAGCTGCCGTAAAGCTCGCTGAGAAACTACATGATGCCCGGTATCCGCCAGGGACGAGCTTGGGCGATCCGAGACCAGCAGGATTCAATGAAGATGCCGTTTTGGCCGGTGGACCTAGCACTACCTCTACTGGAGGATTTGGACAAAAAGCTGGATTTGGACAATCGTCGCCAGGTGGTAGTGCGTTTGGTCAATCGTCGCCTGGTACTGGTGCCTTCGGGCAACAGGCCTCCTCTGGTAGTGCGTTTGGCCAGTCTGCCTTCGGATCAGGGACAGGTGCTTTCGGCGCGCCAACGGGTCCCAAAGCCATGGGTAGTGGCTCGGCTTTTGGCGGATCCTCTAGTCCTAGCGCTTTTGGAACCTCGGCTTTCGGTCAGAAACCGACGGCGAGTGGTTCTGCATTTGGATCATCAGCTTTCGGAGCATCAACGTCCAAGTCTGCGTTCGGTGCGTCTAGTCAGCCAGCCTCTGGCTTTGGAACCTCTGCCCAGCCCACCTCGGCGTTTGGCGCATCGTCGACGCCTCAATCCGCCTTCGGGACCTCGACATCTGCGTTTGGAAGCCCAGCGACACAGTCCGCCTTTGGTACTTCAGCCTTTGGTTCTTCATCCACTCCTCAATCAGCTTTTGGCTCGTCTTCCTCGGCACCTTCGGCATTTGCCTCTTCATCCACACCCACTGCATCTGCTTTCGGTAGCACCCCTACTCCTCATTCAGCATTCGGTGCATCTGCTTTTGGTGCCAAACCCTCAGGCTCAGCTTTCGGTGCGTCGGCATTTGGATCCTCCTCTACTGCACCCTCGGCATTTGGAGCATCCAGTGCACCGTCAGCCTTTGGTTCTGCGGCATCCCCATCTGCCTTTAGCTCGACCTCGTCGCCATCGGCTCCAGCCACAACGTCCGCTTTTGGCACGACGTCAACCCCGTCCACTTTTGGCCAGTCATCCACGCCAGCCTTTGGATCGACATCGACCACGACACCTGCGCCCGGGTCTGGATTCGGCCAGTCGGCATTTGGCCAGACTAGCAAACCCGCTGGTGGTTTTGGAGCCTTTTCAGGTTCTCAGACTGTCAGCACCAGTGGGGGATTTGCTGGCTTCGGTCAAACGTCTTCCTCCAGCTCGGCTTTTGGATCTCCGTCAGTAACTGGAGCATCTGGCGCGCCACCATCGAATCCTTTTGGAGGACAGACCGCTACTTCGAACAGTGCGTTCAGCTCATCGGCCTTTTCTCAACCGCCTACTTTCACTCCCTCCATTCCGTCGAATCCTTTTGGGGGCAACGGTGGCGCAGCTTCATTCGGCGCCGATGTCAAAGTTCCCGAAGGCTGGTCTTATGACGACCCATGGTCGTACCTCTTGCCCACGATGGATGGCGCTGGACCCGGTGGCAAGCTTGACGAGGTGGATCTGGCGGCTTTCAAAGCAATGTCATTTACATTCGACAGTGTACCTCTCCTTCCTCCCCCTGTATCACTACGTGGATGATCATGTATCAAGTATGAGTTTTCGCTCGCCCTCAACGGCACTCCTCTGTCTATCTTCTCCCGGAGTGACCATCCTTTGTGTCAAAATGGGGCATAGTATGTGCATTGACCATTGTCGCCACCACTTGAACACTCCACTACTTCATCAGCAGGACGAGGAGGCGTGGTCTATCTCTGTGCCTGCTTTCTCGACGCATCTTCAACACTACTGACGTCCATCACCCGCAAGTTACCCGCAAGCTACAAGTCAGCATATGCGACAATGTCCACGACTCTCTTTTGTAAGTCTCCATGCGAGCTAAAGCTGATCGAGATCAGCTACTGGACTCCGCCAATCCCTAGCCAACCTCTCGACTCGCAAATCGGCTGCACGAGTGTATCTACGGCATTTACTCAGTGGTTATAGGACCAGTGATCCACCTTCTCCGTCCGCCGATAGCGCATGGCTTCTCGGTCGATCCCTTGGAGCTCGACTGGGCAGGTCAACCATCGAGTGGGATCCAATAGACTTCCGGTCGTTCCTAAAAGAGAGCGAAAAACAGGTCAAGCCGGCTCCACCTAAACCAAGCCTATTCAGTACAGCAAGGTGGCTTGGAACAGATCCGGCCAGTCCTGAGCCTGTAACAGAATCTCGGTTGCCCGTGACCGGTAGAGCGCATTGGGAGGTCCCCAGTCACGACGTGCCCTATCCCAGTCTTGGGCTTTCAGCACCTTCTTACATGACTACCTTTAGAACCAAGCCGAAAACGGGCGACCGTCGCGCTCGGGAAGAGCAATATTGGCGGGATCTTCAAGAACCTGTTGAGCCCGCAGTCGAAAAGTCAACCACCGAATCTGGCCCGTATGATAATGGTCAACTGCTTTACCGGCTCTATGATCCCCGGACAGGGGTCAGTACTCTCGTATATCATGATCCAGCAGTTGAAGCTCAGAGGGACCTTGAAGCTCAGATTACTGCAGCTACTGTGCTGACGGCTGAAGACATCTCAAACACTGGTTCTGATGTACCTCCACCGGTGGCTCCGATCACACACGATCAGGTAGCCACCAACCAGGGTACCAACACATCACTTCTTCCCGCGACCAACATGGCACACACACCGACAACACCTTCTACAGCTGGCGCTACGATTCCTTTCTCGACAATGCCCTACACGACGCCGACAACCCCACTCACCATGGCCAGCACAACCACGATGACAACGCCGACAGTTCCTCCTACCACCACGCCAGGGACCGATCAGACCGGAAGGGTAGCTGCTCCATTAGCACCTCCGCCGACAATCACATTCCAAGATTCGACAGTGACTGGCGACTTGTCAACGTATATGGAGCTTCTGCATGCTGCTTATCAGAGAATCAAGGAGATCGATACGGAAGGCTCGTTGGCAAGGAGATGTGCGGAACTGGGTCGCAGTGCCAAGAGCCTCGCCGACGACGATAGTGGCGATTTCGCAAGTCGACTAACGGCACTCGAAACAGCTACGGAGAATCTGAGGCAGGATACCTTAGCAACAGAACGCAGCGCAGAGCGTTTCGATAGTCTTGAGGCTGCTGTGTCAGCTGTGAGGTTGTTGCATGACGCAAAGCACATTGTACCGACCTTTCAACCGTGAGTTGACTAAAGCTTCATTTTCAATGGCGAAACTTAATCATCTGTCTCTCTAGATGGCCGAGCTTCATCGAAGATGGCGTCCCGGCTCCAGGAACCTGGTATGACCCGACAGAGGCCAAATTGAGCCGGGTCCGACGGCGATGTCGTTCAGACACTCGCTTTGATGACCCGGACGATCCTCCCCGCCCGGCGGTAGTCGCAACTGAGGATGTGGCGACCGAACAGGAACATATGCGAGTGGGCGGTGGCAGCGGCACAGATCAGCGTGTGTCAACCGATGATGGAGCTGGTGACGTGCAGCATGAAGGGGAGTCTGGGGATCACCTGTCTGAAGATGAGCATTTGGAGGAGGAGGAAGATGAACGTCCCAACTCATCTGACTGGTCAGATACCTCGTCTGACCGGTCAGATACCTCATCCCTCAACTCGCATTCCTCCAACGACGGTCCAGCAGTGCCCAACCAAAGCCGCTACTACGCCAGGAATGGATATGAACCGGAGCGCACGTCAGATGCAAGTCAAAGAACTACCACGGTCACGCCCTTAAATTCTGATACGCGCCCAAGAATCGCGAGCGTGATCACCACCACGCCTTTGAGATCTGCTCTTCGGAAGTCGACAGGCGACCCGACGAGTTCAAGCGGGCGGCGTCGTGTAGGGTTCGCGCCGGAGGATACAGATTGAATCTCCTGGAGGTGCCGATTCCTCCGGCCTGGAAGTCACCACGACCCACGCTACTGTATGCGTTCATTTTCACTGATGTATCCTCTGTCCTCATCCATACTGACCACTGACATTGTACCACGGGTTGCGAGTCTTTGCCATTTTGCGTTTGCTCGGCCTTCCAAGTCGACCTCCGAATGCAACGCGTTTCAAAGCGTGAAGACTAGACAATCTTTCCCGTAATGGGTCACAGTCCTTTCACTGATGGTTGACTGACCTTTCCTTTGATCCTGGAGAGAGAATCTGGGTAAAAGTATATGACTACGGTGGCAAAGCCTGGTTTGTTCTCCTCATCAAATTTGACACTGACTCTCTGACCCACTAGTACTTTTGACGATCCCACTTCCAAAGCTTGATCATTCTCGACCATGTCAGAAGCTAGCAGTCTGCCTGACTTTCTCTTTGCGACGAGTGAAACGTCCAAAGCCAATGAGATGCCCGAACTCTGGACCAGCGGCTCTGCGCCCGCTTATGAGACCGGAAAGACTATCCTTGAAGCATTGTCGCCAGAGACTGCCAAGCGTATTCTACAAGATGCTGCTGACAGTGCATCGCAAGGCATCGATCCTAAGTTGCGCAAGAGGTTCGAACACGACGTCAAAACGCTTGCCCTATCGCTGGACAGGCCACAGGACACCCAGAGGGACGTCAAAACGAGACGCTTGATCTTCGAAGCCATCCTATCAGAGGCCAATGGTACGCTCCATCCGATACTCGAGACGTTGGAAACGGACGAAGGCTCTCAAAAGTCCGAAAACGCAAAGAAGGCAATCGCGACATTGAGGACCTTGAGCAAGGCATGCCAGTAAGTGGAGAGGCAAATCCGTTTGTCAGCTGATTCAGGCTTTAGTGACGCCTCCGCTCTTTTGAGCCTCGTAGAAACTGAGGCTGCAGAATTCAAGAATCAAACAGATAGTTATAAATACCGCGACGAGTGGATCTCAAGAGAGAATGAGGAGCTCAAGCATAGACTATCGGCTGCCGAACGAGCAGGGATCCTGTCTCACCTTGGGAGGACCTGTTCTATCTCCTTACATTCAACAGCAGCAGGCCTTTCATCGGTTGCCGGCGGGGTGACCAACGCTGTGAGGTCTCTCCGTGATGCCGCCTCAGGGTTCGGTAGTGCCGTTTCTGGTGTGACCGGCTGGCATTACCCAAAGGGTGGTATACCGGAGAAGTCTGAAGGTGGACAGCAGACCGTATTGACCCAGGGAGGCCAAGATATCGGTACTGAAGTTTCTGGTGGAACGTCGTTCAACCCACATGGATCGGCAAATGCGAGCGAGAGTCCTGGGTGGTTATCGTCAACGAAAGACCTGTTAGGAGCAGGAAGCAGCGTCTCCAAGGGAGTGTCTACCCTTCGAGTTGCGTGAACAAACAATTTTTGGTGCTGTACGTACTCAACGATTATGCACAAGTCCCCTGAACGAAGGATCCGTATGTCCTCAGTGAGATACGGCGCCATCATACAACTAGCAATTTTGCTCGGTTCCCCTGGTCTCTTACACCGCCATGTAAGGAGGCCTGTACGGGGCGTGAGACCTTGAGCAAATCGCTGCCGAGATAGTTTACCTCCTCATCGGACCATGTCTTGAGTTGTTACACGTTTCAGGACTTGCAAAGGGTGAAAGCAGTTTTTCCATTCTTCGTCTATCATCCTTTCATCGGCAATCTCCTCCTAACGTTCATTTTAGTGGGGACTTGAAGACTTCATATATGTACATAGGGTGGCCAAAGACCGTCGTGTCGTTCTTACCTACTTGACGTCCAGTCTAATACATACACTACACACGCACACATCATCTGCAATCTTGGACATGTCGGAGCCTGGCGACTCACCCACGCCATCAGAGGCGGCTTTTACTGATGGCGGCTCTCACAACCTCACAGACTCATTCACTGAGTCTGCCACCCCGAAGACAGTCCTCGAAGCTCTGACTGATATCTCAGCAGCTGAACGCTTCCTCCTGGAGACTGTCGAGGCATCAGCATTGCCCATATTTACAGGGCATTTGGAGTCGGAACTGACAGAGAAGGAGAGGAGGTTTGGCGGCTACCTTCGGCAACAGCATGACGGGATGTTGGCGGCTGTGACAATGCCCCAGACCACAGAGGCCGAAAAGCGGGCCAGAAAAATCGAAATGGATACATCTTCAAAGTCCTTCTTATCCGCCTTGGATAAACTTGAATCGCTCGCCGTCAATCTGCAGTCACAAGAATCCCGGAAGTCGATAGCTGCCACAAGAAACCTCTTTGAGGCTGCCGAGTGAGTTCCCATATTGGTCGCCCAACTTGAGGCCTGACTGGACCTCTCATAGCCAGCCTGAGCCCTGGAAGGCCCTTTTCGAATACAGCCAACACAGGTCCGCCATGTTGGAAAAGGAAGGGGAAGACGAACGCTCATCACAAGCTCTACTCTGTGATGCTCTCCTTGCACGCATTCTTGAACTCGAAAGTGCTGGTCCTTCATATCACCTCGCCATGTTTTGGGCTCAGACTGGAACAGCCGTCTTGACGGCCTTATCCTTGGTCGGTGAGGGTGTTAGCAATATAGCCCTCTGTGCCCGAGATATTGGACGTGCAGCTCAAAGTACAACTCCTGGCTTCTCTGGCTGGTCCAACTCTCAGGGTGTGGAGCCGGGAACCACCGTCCAGGACAACACGACTGAGACCGTAACGAATGACGGTCAAGTCTTTGAAGATGACAAGCCCGTAAGTATTGCAAACTCCAAGGTCGAGCCCAACACTACCGGGATTACCGCAAGGTCCCCTTACAGTTCGGAGAAAAGGGAGGCTCTTGACGGTTAAGCAGCAGAAGTTGCGCAGTCCAGCTTGACATGAGCCATTATCCAGAGGATCCTTTATGCACCTAATGACCCCAGCCCTTCATGCATGTCTTCACGACCGACATGGCTTCAAATGCTCGACTTGCTCCTCACTGTTTTATAGCTGTTTTGAATTGTCGACGTTTTTGCCGCCGCCACTGATGTGCGTAATCCTAATGACGCTGGGCTTTTTATTGCGCAATTATGGATGGATGGCCCATGTGTAGAGACATTGGACGGGTTCAGAGAGCAATTGAGAAAGGGTTGGATGGGGGGGCACCAGTCTCTCGCCTTCTCTGAGTCCAGAGCTACTTGCGCTGGGGAACCGATAGTACAGATGCTCTGCTGAGCTTGCCTTTGGTCGGACCCAACCCATCCCCCCCCAACCGAAATCCAAGTTGCACTTGTTCATTTCAGGTACACATTACAGCTCGCTCGCTCGCTGCTCGGAACATTTCGGCGCGCGTCATTTTTTCCCCTCCCCTCGCCCTTTCTCTTTCCACCTTTTTTTCATCATCATATAATATAACCTTTTGGCTCTCTGCGCATTCTCTCACATCCTCACACCAACACGCCAGCAAGCGTCTTCTTGACCCAAAACTGTACAGCGTCTCAAACGCAGCTGCATAGAGATATCTCTCCTGGTGTGGTCATCAACCGCGACGACTTCCCAACTCTCCCTCCCCGTTTTCGTTTTTGGTTCGAGGTACCTGAACAGTTGTCAAACCTTGGGGCATTTGGACTCGTTCAAACGTCATCAAAGGGACTGTGACCTCAGCCCAATATTCCTGTTGCTCACATCTTCCTCTTCTTCCATCCCTTTGACTCTGTTCGACTCATCTCTCATTACTCGCCCATCGCGATTGTACTGCACACCCACACCCACATACCTCTGTCAACATGACCGTCTCATCACCTACCACCCACACTCATCACGACAACGGTCGAAAAGCATCCTTCGGTCAATCAGAAGCAGGCAATGAGAAAAAGTTGATTGTCGTCAGCAATCGCCTGCCAGTGACCATCAGCAAAGATGCAGAGGGGGAGTACCATTTCAAGGTGAGAGGGGTGGTCAACAGACGAACATTCCAGCTGACTCTTTATGCCAAGATGTCCTCGGGTGGGCTTGTATCTGCCTTGTCGGGCTGCAAGAAGAGTATGAATTTTACATGGATTGGCTGGCCAGGGAAAGATGTGAGTCCTGCCTGTGCTTTCCACGTATTGAGCGTATTACAGATTCCCATGGCAGACCGTGATCATGTCAACAAGCGACTATTGGAAGAACATCAATGTTACCCTGTCTACCTTTCAGATGACCTCTCGGACAGGCATTACAACGGTGAGGCTAGCCACACGAAGCTCCTCTCTGAGCATGCCAGGTTTCTCCAACTCTATTCTCTGGCCATTGTTCCACTATCATCCCGGCGAGATGGAATTTGACGCTGGGCATTGGCTTGCATACAGAGAAGCCAATATGCGATTCGCAGATGTCGTCGCTACCATGGCTCAAGAAGGTGACATCATCTGGGTCCAAGACTATCATCTCATGCTCCTCCCCATGCTCTTGCGCTCTCTCTTGTCTGGTGAAGCCGCCCAGGGCGAAGCTGTCCGTCGAGAACTTGGAAGGGTCAAGCAAGGTGTCGATGCGGAAATTGTCAAGGATGTCTTGGGGATGCAGCCCGGAGTCGCTCCTGCAAACGAGGACTTCGATTCCTTGGGGGACGTGGTGGAGGAGGGTTCACAAGAAAGCTTGACCATGACTCCCACGTCGAGGAGGACGGCCAGTAACGGTGGACTGAAACGACCCTCTTTTGGACGGACCATTTCCGTCTACCAGCAGCAGGAGATGGCCGCGAGGAAGCGTGGAAAAGGAAATATCAAGATTGGATTCTTCCTACATACCCCTTTCCCGTCCAGCGAAATTTACAGGTGAGAAAGCGTCGATAACGATATGCTGACTCTCCAAGAGTCCTGCCAGTCCGTCGAGAAATCTTGATGGGGGTTTTGCAATGTGACCTGATCGGGTGAGAACATCCGTTGGCACGACATGATTGAGCCTATCTGACACATCCAGATTCCATACCTACGACTACGCCCGTCACTTCTTATCCTCCTGCACCCGCATTCTCGGTCTCCACACGATGCCGAATGGAGTCGAATTCGAAGGTCGATACGCGCAGGTCGGCACCTATCCGATCGGTATAGATCCATATCAATTCAGTGATGGGCTTCGAAAGCCAGAGATCCAACAACGATTGGACTTCCTCCTAAAGCGATTTGAGGGGATGAAGGTGATCATTGGCGTCGACCGACTCGACTATATCAAGGGTCTGCCACAGAAATTGCACGCGTTCGAAGTGTTCCTTGCGCAGCACCCCGAATGGGTCGGCAAGGTGAGCCCAAATAGCCTGATCGCTCGCTGATAGCAGTGCGTCCTCGTTCAACTGGCCATTCCGTCACGTCAAGATGTGGAAGAATATCAGAACCTGCGGGCATGTGTCAACGAGCTGGTTGGACGGATCAACGGTCGATTTGGAACGGTCGAATTCACGCCCATTCACTATATGCACAAATCGGTCCCTGTCAATGAACTGACGGCGATGTACGCGCTGGCAGACGCCTGCTTGGTGACGAGTACGAGAGATGGAATGAATTTGGTGAGCTTTATGCACTATGTTTGTTGCATGAGACGCTAACACGTGCAGGTCGCGTACGAATATATATCGTCCCAGATTGACCGACATGGATCCATGATCCTTTCCGAATTTGCCGGTGCCGCGCAGTCACTGAACGGAAGTCTTCTCATCAACCCCTGGGATGTGCAGTCTACAGCAGATGCCATTCACGTGGCGTTGACATTGAGCGCGCAACAGAGGCACTCGAATTGGAACAAGCTCTGGGCGGTGAGTACTGACCATGTGGACCGAGAGCAATGGTTGACGTCACATCAGTACGTTAGCAAGTATACTTCTGAAGCCTGGGGAGTCAGCTTTATGAACGATCGTGGGTTCATCAGCGCGGCACATGACAAAGACCATTGACGCTCTCATTCTAGTCAACCGCCTGTCTGGACGCAGGCCCGCCGGCCCCAGCATCCCTGGACGTAAACGCAGTACGACAAACCTTTCACGTCAGCCTTCGTCACGATCGACGCTCTCAGCTTCGAGTCGACGACCCAGTCATTCGGCGAACGCTTCCGCGATCATGACATGAGAGCTGTTTTGCACCGCGGCATTCACACCCACCCTGTATTAGTAGTAGTAATGGGGTCTGATAATTTAGACCAAAATTTAGATGATGACGAGAAAATGAGAGTCCGCTACGGCTCATACACGAGAGACGATTGCCCTGTCTTGATATCTGGTAGCCTTCTTTTCCGATTACTAGCTAGATAGATATTGATCCCTATTTTCACGAGGCATGAATTGTATATACACGCGGGATGTCGAAGCTCGTCATTCCGACGTTTCTCATGCTATCGCATGCATGTATTCATCATGGCACGCGTAAGGATATTGTACTGTAAGTCTTGAAGTCGTATGGACAAGGGTGCTCTAGCCAAACGAGTATTCTGCACAACAAGAAGAGAAACGAGTCGAAGAGGCGAAGAAGGTATGTGGACTGCCAGATCGAGGCGAGACGATCAGACAGGGTAAAAGAGAGGGAAAAGGAGTGAGCACAGGCGAGGCGGTACCTAAGCAAGCACGTCTAGTTCTTGTGGTTGCCGGTGACGCTGCATCGATTAATGGATGGTACGGCAACTGGAGAACGGTGGCATCACTCACGCCTTGACGATCGGGACGACGATAATGACGACGAGGACGCAAATACCGATTCCGACTGGTGATAGGTATCATCAGCACGAGAGGTTTTTTTTCCCATCAGGTCACAAGATCGAGGCGAGAGGACTTACTTATAATCTTCATCTTGGTATCTTTCCTGTTGGCAGGGTCAATACCGCTCTCGACTCCACTCCAAAGAAGAAAAAAAAACGACGAAAGAACTCACCACCACATTTGTTTTCTGACTCTGCTGGCACCTCTTCTGAAGCCTTGCGCGGAGACGGCGAGTGTGTCTGGATGTGATAGCGTATCAGTGAGAGAGAACGTGACGGTCTGAAGGAGTGTAGACATCGCTCCATCTCTGACTGCAATGCGAGGGGTTCGCTCCACTCACCAGTCTTGTCCTGCAAAGCGTCTAATCGTTCGCCTCGTTCTGCGACCTGTAGACCGTCAGATCAATCGCCCCGACATAGCGATGCGGTGAGAGATCGCTGACCTTTGTGATGTTGTCGTGCATGACTAGTTGGGTCTATGTCAGCGGGACGCTCACAACGACACACACGCAATCTCGAAGCAAAAACTCACTCGACACGGATTGATCAATCTGATCCTGGATAGCGCGAATCTGTGGAAGGAATTGGACGACGGTCAGTCTCCATGAGTGTTTACTGAGCGCTCCTCGCTCGCTCGAGCTCGCCTTTTGCTTCTGAGCTCCTCCTCCTCCTGCACCGTTGCTTCCTCCGCTACCGTTCTCAGCGGGTCCACGAGATCCAGAAGGAATGTATGGGTCGTAAGGTTGTTCAGACCTGAGTGAAAAGGTGAGACCTGTCAGCACCAACGCCAAGACGAGGGTCGCAGACAGCACCCTCGGGCCTGCTTCACTCACATGATGTGTATTCGACTATGCTATGAATGCGCAAATTGTTGGTGATGGTGGTCTGATTTGATCAGGTCCTCACTTCTAAACTTGTGCGTGTTTTTCCCTCTTTCCGCCGCGCAGCACTGAGCCACGCCGCTCCCCAAAGAATGACGGCACCACAGCAATTCCCCCCAGCAGGTTATCACTGGTGGCTATTCCACGTCATGTCTGTTCTGACGCGTGTCACTCAAGAGTGGAGGGCGATCATTCAAAATGTCTTCAGCCTGTTACGGTCACCACAAAACGCACGGTATGGAATGAGTCGAACCAGCTGGGAGCGGACATGAGATTCAGAACACAAGTCTCGAATGTCCCTCTGCTACATAGTCAGTGGAAGCTTCACATGGAGGCTGACGGGTTGTAGAGATTGTCAGGAGCTTGGCTAGTCTAGCGAGGCTATGTATCATCCGGTTGTCGGCTGAAAAGGTCCACTTCATCATTTCGGGGAATGAGGGCAAAGATGGTGTCCAGGTATGGTCGTGAGTGAGGCGTAGGGGTGTCAGGGATGTAATTGAGTGTCTGGCTCACACTTATTCTTAGACAGGTCAAAGTGGTGAGCCTAATGTCTGTCGCACTGCCTTCCTCACTAAACCCCCCCCTTTTCAGCCTACACTTTTCACTCAATTCCGGATAGAATCTAACAATGATAATGAAATATGGCTCGAGATCAACCTTGACGCCTTACTGAAAGTGCTCAAAAGTGCAGACAGCTCGGGTGGGTTCTACGTGGCGAATCCTGTCACTGCGTTTGGCTTATTCGTGTTCTCCCAGCTGGTACCACCAACGAAGCTTCACGATTCAACTCGACCGCATTGAGCGATTCAGACGTCAGTATCAAGTTGAATAAACGTCCCGCAGCGTCTGGCGGTACTGGTGGTCAGGCGATATGGGTATTCGATATCAAGGGGACTGTGAGTGGATGATGAGAGAGCAGGAAGATGGGAAACGGGCTGAGCTTGATGGGTCCTAGACCGCCCTAGGCAAACTCATGTCTATCACACACGAGGTCAATGTGAATGTGTTGACGAAGAAGCGGCAAGATGAGCTCAACGAGCCAATGTGCCCTCCACCTGATGTGAGCGAGGGACCTACCTCCTGATGAGGGACGAGATCGAGCTTATCCCACTTTTTCAGGTCCATCTGGTCCTGCCTAGCTTGTTGGATCTCCGGAACATCGTCTCTAGATTGAGCCATCTCGCTGAGGACGTCAAGATGAGCGCGAATCATGTGAGCGGTACTATGAAAATCAGTAACTCACCATATAAGGACGGCGCGATGGAGCTCTCGGTTATGGATCCCCGCGTGGAAATGAGTATGAGTTGGCGGAATCTTCATAATCCCGCTGCATCCTGTGAGTACAATCGCTTGTCCAGCCTGGATCTGGCTGATGGCAGTGCCAGCCGACGGCGAAGCAGATGCTACCCCGAAAGACAAGATGTTCTCCACCACTGTGTCCATCAAAGGCCTGCTGAAATTTCTCAACTGTCATCTGGTCGGCGGGACAGCCATCGCTTGTGAGTGATGAACAATGCATACGAGGCGGACACATCTCACAGGACTGATCAGGCATCTGCGAGAAACACTGCATCATTGCGTATGTATATATTGGTGAGTCTTTGACGAGTTGTTCTCAGCTCACACATCAGGCGACGTGGATGAAGCGGGAGGAGTTCTAACCTTTTTCATCCCCGCCAAGAACTACGGAGATGATTGAGGCGGCGTTTAGTGGTACAGGAGTGTTATATGCCCCCAGCATGGTATAGATACACAGGAGGGTGCAATGTACTGAGTAGGATCTGTATGTAGGTCTCCAGACAGACTGGTGTGTATCATAATGCGTACAACAATGTATGTGCTTCCTCTCTTCACTCAACCATGTCGCCCCCTCACTTCTTCGTATCTGGCCCAATATCCGCCATGCCTGCTCCAGCTAACCCAGCCCCTGTCGCCATTTTCATAGCGTCGTCTGATAAATGATTGCCTCGGAACCTCCTGCGCATATCGAGCTGAGGACATTGGTCAGCGTGTTGATGGAAGCAGTGCACCGTATTGCCCCCCAGAAAAAGAACCCTCACCATTCCCTTTTTACAATCTGAATAATTCGCGATGAGATGTTGACACCGTAGAGGCAGTTCCTGAGGTGATCGGATACAATCCCCTACGGATTTACCACCTTTCAGGACACTGATGCACAAGGGGGTTGTCAGTGTTGATTCTTTCAAGGTACCATGATGATGAAGAGAAAGAAGAAGCAAGAAAAGCACCCGACTGGATCCAGGGGGGTCACGGACAATCGGACGAAACGGACGGATTGACACCGGGCGTAATCCGTTTGACATTGGATCCAGGACCCAGGACCACGATGACGATAGCTTTTCACTCACCAATCACTCTTCATGACACACGCAATGAGCTCATCTCTTGGTCCTTGACATGGTCTGGACATTGCCCCTCCTCAGATGTACCGAGTTGGAGATGTTCGTCTTCATACTCGAGACGGCGGCCATCTACAATTCCATAATCTATCACCATTGTTCCACCGTGGGAATATCGCCACACGCGGTTTGACCTTTTTTCTTTTTTAACTTTGTCAACAGAACTGGGCCACCTTAGCCATCATTTTATGGTGACGTTTGTTGACCTCTCTCACTCTCCTTTGTCATTCAATCTTGACACTCGACAGCATCTAGACAGTGGTAGTGAGGCATCTACTGTCCTTATAAACAGAGAAGAGAAGTCCTCTGCTTGGTGAGTGCTCAATCTCGTGGGGGGTCCAGAAACATTGTGTCATAGGTGCCTGAGTTGAAAGGCTTTGAGTCCAATGTCTGGGCGAAAAGATTGAGGACTTAGGGGGGAAGGGGAGAGAGGAAAAAGTTGAGAACGAGATCATGTCATTGGACTATGAGGACGATCTAACGTCTTCATCCTCTTGTGTCTCTACCTCGAACACTCCGTCTCCCTGACCTCGAGACAGCTCACTGACGCTCTTCATATCCGCACAAAGCGCTCATTTTGAACCTGAGCACCGGCCGTCATTCCTTCATTCAGAGCTGAACCTATCTCACACATTCCATTCTTATCACCCTCCTCGCCACCATGTCGTCGTCTATCCCCTCCGGATCGTCTCTGGTAGATCCTTCCGTCGCCTATACTTTACTAGAGAAGCTCGGAACAGGCAGCTTTGGCACAGTGTGGAAAGCGTGAGTTCTCAAACCATTCTAACGGACGCGTCACTGATGGCGGGATGGTCTTTCAGGAAACACAATGATACGGGAAAGATTGTTGCGATAAAGATGATCGGTGAGTTGCACATCTCAAATCATGTTGACCTCGCCGCAGACCTCGAATCGTCAGACGATGACATTTCAGAAATCCAAGCAGAGATTGCCCACCTTTCAGCTTGCGATTCGGAATTTGTGACGAGGTATTATGGGAGTTTTGTGCGAGGTTGGAGACTTTGGATCGTCATGGAATACCTTGCCGGAGGAAGCTGTTCGGACCTCGTGAGTATTGCTCCGCTCGACCGCCACATCTGCTGACTCGTCTGCAGCTAAAACCTGGCGTCTTTACCGAAGGTCAGATCGCCATCATCTGTCGGGAACTCCTGATGGGGTTGCTGTACCTACATGAAGAGGGAAAAATTCACAGAGATATCAAAGCTGCAAACATTCTCTTATCGGCCAATGGAGCCGTCAAGCTAGGTGAGCCAGCTGTCAATCAGCCATCTTCACTGACCCTCCTCAAGCCGACTTTGGAGTCGCTGCCCAGCTTTCTTCACACAAATCCCAACGGCACACCTTTGTCGGAACTCCCTTTTGGATGGCTCCGGAAGTCATCCGTCAAGCAGGTTACGATTCAAGGGCAGACATTTGGTCACTGGGTATCACCGCCATGGAGATGGCCAAAGGTGATCCTCCCCTGGTCGAGTACCATCCCATGCGAGTCCTTTTCCTCATCCCAAAAGCAAAAGCTCCGAGACTGGACGAGAATGAAGGGTGGTCAGCAGAGTTTCAAGACTTTATCAGCTGTTGTCTGCAGAAAGATCCCAAGGACAGGGCAACTGCAAAAGACCTTTTGCAACACAAGTTCATCCGCTCTGCTCGGTCAACATCTCGACTGGTGGAGCTCGTGACGCGGTACAATGCTTTCCGGGTCCAAAGCCCTGCCAAGAAATCGACACCATCCAAAACGTTGTCAAAGCAGGCCGGTGGCGGAGACTACGGTACTATCACCCCCGGGACGATCAAGAGTGAATGGAATTTCGATGAGACTATACGTATGACCGTCAGAGGCGCGCCGGTCGAGCTGGATTTGACGTCCATGTCGGATGATGACGATGAGTGGGATCTGGCAGAAGGGTCTGGAACAGCGAGAGTCAAGGGGACTGTCAGGGCGAATTCAAGAGCGGTGCGTCAAATGAGACTGCTTGAGCTGATTATCCCGCAGACATCGGAAGTATCTTTACCCGGCTTAGACGCTTCTTCACAGACTCACAGTGTCGACTCACTCCCCATCACACCTGGTTCCAGTGATTCCGAAGATGCAAGCTCGACGAAGAGCGGTACGCCTGGAAAATCGACCTGGAGACAGCGCAACGACCGAGAGAGGGGTACGGTCATGCGGATGGATGACGTTGGTGATGGGTATGTCGCGCTGCGAGACGCGTTAAAGCCTTCGCTCACGGAGTTTTGCAGCTACTCGACCGTTCGACCTGTAAAGAAGGTTGATGAGATTGCGTCGAGTCGCGCATCCCAAGAGTTCATCGGTACTGGATCAGTGAGAAGAATTCCAGATGCTGGACCATCCGCAAAGGTCACCACGGCAAAGAGCCCCGCCAAGCCGCGCAAAACGCTCAATGCCAAGGGTCGTGCAGGCCAGGTTTTGGTAGAGGAAGTGGTTCTTGGAGTTCTCGATCAGGTACGTGGCCTAGGGACTCGTGACATTAACAAGGCCTATCAGGTATCCACTGTCAATCACGATGCCTCTGCTGTGGAGGCTGTGAACACGGTCCGTAAAGGATTTGCGGATCTCGGTACAGCGGATCCAGAATTGGCTTATAGGGTAATCATGGACATACTCGGCGGCATCCAATCGTGAGTCCATCACCGTGATGGGCTGCCACTGACGCACAACTCCAGGAGCGAGACAGTTCACGCTCAGATACGTGATATGACCATGGCTGCGATGGTCGACCGTTCAAGACCAGGAGTGGCGCCACACATCCGCCGAGAGGGAGGTGCCGACAAGCCCTCGGGCGTAGAGCTTAATGACCTACGGGGCAAGAGACCCTCTGACGATCTCATCAAGGACAGAAGCCCGCTCGCGGACATGCTGTACCTACGCTGTGAGTCGTATCCGTGCTTGTTCTCCTCGCATCCGCTGATATGCATTTGCAGGGCTGGATGGGATCAAGCTGAAATGGCCAGGATCATAGGTCCTCCCGCCTGCCCGAGATAATGAACTTTTACGATACTCTCACGAAACGGCGTCGTTTTTTCCCTCGCATAGCACCCGAGCATGTCTCACATAATTGCGATCCTGTCCTTGTTGCCATCTATCTCATTTCCGCTGTCTTCGTGATGCATGATGATGTGTGCCCCTTCTCGCGCCGTGGTTCGGAAATCGGATTCGGGTTCCAGGTTCGGGAAAAATCAATCAGCTGAAGTGCCGTTGAAATTTTGTTTACATCCTCTTTTCGTCCCCAGTGAGAGTCGTCGAAGGCCCAGTCAGCAGCGGAGCCAGGCGAGCATATAGCAGCTAGTCTTGCGAAATGATTGAATGGGGTTTATCCGATGTTTGGAGTACATGAGGCCGTCCATTCGCCTTGTATCCCCCCTTGCACTCGTCTTTTCATCTGGCCTAAATGTCATTTCCCGCTTCGGTCCATACGGTCCATCTGACACGAGCACGAGGTGGTCGACCACGGAAAGAAGGCTCTGGAATTGATAATGGATCCCAAGACCAGTATGATCTCGGTCCCGGAGGACCTGTATTGGATTTCGGAAGAGACGGAGGAGCTCGGCTGATCCAACAGGGCAAGAGGTGGAGATGGGTTTGGGCAAACGAACCAGATGGAGAGGGTACGTATAGGAAAGACAACAATTACTCATCTGCTGAGTCTTTCTGCAGATAAATTGGAGCTGAAGGAGGATGCGAAACTCTTGTACCCGGGGACTCGTCTTCTTGATCCACCAGCCCCTCCTCATCAAATCGTATTGGATTCAGCGGTGAGCCAAACATGCGCCGCAGACTTAAGCAACCCTCGTTGATCGATTAATTCTCGGAACAGAGACAATACCTCGAAAAGACCTGCCCCGACATAGTCCTTGGAGAAGTGGGTATACCACCAGAGATCCAACACGAAATTCAACATGGTATGGACTCCCTGCAAGACGATATCTACAAGGGTAAAATACTGGAGCTCGTTCATAATCCTCGAGCGAATCTCGGTCGAACTGTCATGTGTTTTCCAACCGGGCAACTCGGGAGTCATCTCAGTGTGTCCTACAATTTCTTCAGAGATGACAGGAAGCCCAATGCTGATCCGTGATGTCAGATGTGTCACCTTTTCTACCTCCGTCCAACGCGCCGGTCTTTGGACGCAGTGACTGTCGATTCGTGCCTAGAGCAAGGCCCGCTCTACGATTCCCGAATACAATATTGCAGATATGCTCCTCACCCATCACTCAGCCACGTCTTAATCGTGAGTAGGGACTGCTGAAGGTCCGCCAGCTCCGAGAGCCAGCTGACTGATCCTTGTGTCTTCTCTAAGGCGACGCTACAGTCCTGGGAATCCGACTCCATTCCTTCACACACCTTGTCAAGCTCATACCAAATCCTTCGTACCTTGGAGACCCGGATGATCCGGCGTGCTACGCCGAGATCATGGCGACTCTATCCAGTCGTGAAACAGGAGGCAGACGACACGTCGATCTGGTGCTGGATCCTACTACTTGGTCACGAGCTCTGATTGTCGATGATAGCGGTGCCGTCTGGTTCTGGTGGGAGGAGCGTTCAGAGTTGGCGGAAAAGGTCGTCGTGACGTACCGGACTCGGCATGTACGTAACTCAGGAGGCAACGAAACAGACGGCTCCAGTACGAACGGTTGGTATAATGTGGCCTTCGGAACTCGACCGGGCACTGCTCTCGTGGTGTCTCGAAAACAAGTCACACTCCTCGACATTGAGTCAGATAAGCCTGTTGATCCGATCATACTGATCACTTTGGAGGGTCAAAGAGAATTCGTCGGTATCGAGAAGACTGCCATGATTCGAGGGGTGACCTATACGCTCCTCTGCACCACAAAAGAGATCATGTTGATTGATGATCATGCCATTGGGCCACCGGTCCTGTCGTTGATGCACAACTATGGATCAGGACAGCAGAAGGATCTGGAAATGTCATTCATCCGGTCAGAGGACCATGGCGGTGAGTCACGGTCCGATGATGTTGCTGGTGAGGACACAGCGCTGAAGTGTGTCCTGGTTGCAGATTGCACTTTTCTCTCATCTAGGTCGAATCCGCTCGTCATGGTCTTCAGGCTATCTTTCGATCCACCCGTTCGTTCCTTGACCACTCCATACAGTCTTCATCTCCCGCTCTCGTCCATGGACAAACCTCTCCAATCCTTCAATATCATCCGTCTGTCTCGCTGGCGGCCACATCGAAGATCTCATGCTCTCCTTGGTATGTCTTGTGATGGCTCACTCTGGGCAATGCCAGTTCAGCCGTCCAAGGAGAACACATCGAGGTCCAGTTCGACACGGCAGTCATCTCCGCTGGAGTATGTCGAGCTTAAGGTTGATTGGGACCCGGAGATCAAAGCTCTGGCAAAATCCCGCGAAATCGAAAGCACCGCTGAGACCTGGAACAAGATTGGGCATGGCCGCGGAGTCACTCGATACCAGTCATACGACGCACGATGGGCCTGGCTGGGTAAGTTGTCCTGCCTCCGATGAAATTGACTTAATGATTCATTTGCCAGAAATCAACATGGAGCCTTTTCCTCAGACGAATTTTCATCTACGCGAGTTTGAGCAATATCTCAGGGAAATCGAAGCGCCTTTCGAGCAGTTCATGACAGCGTGAGTCTGCACATTTGCGTCCAAAGTGTAACCATCCTCATGTCACTTAGTGGCGACCTCGCTCAAGGCCTTTATCGGAGGGCTAAATCAAAAATCCGATGCAGCTCGCTTCTTCCATTGCCGCTTGTCGAGCGTCCAGCCGAGCTCGACCGATTAGCTCAACTAGACTATGCTCGACATTTCAATGTCATTGCCTCTCGCTCATCTGCGAGCCTGGCCGAATTACAGGCTCTTTTCCCGCATCTGTCACCAAACGTCGCGTACAGGAAGCGACATCGTGCGCATCTGCTCCGTCTGGCTTTGGATTTAGCTCTATCCAAGATCATACTACACACGGACGACTTTGGGACCACGAGCCTCGACTCAGCACAAGGCACGTCAGACACAGCGGAGGATGATGATGTCGCTCGTGCCGCGGGCCGATTGACATTGAGCGATAATGACCCACCGTCAATAGCTTTCTCAATTCTAGAACCAAAGCTTGAGCGAGCGGGGTCAGTCGAGCCAGGAGCGGATACAAGCTCCACGGACATTCCTGGAGAGATTCCAACCGTCGAGTCGCTTCAGACCATCACAGCTAGGACCCTTCTTGCTGAATGGACTTCAGCAGATCCCAAAAGTTACACATGGACCCCTTGGCGAGATACTAGAGAGTCATCGACGAGCTCGATCAGTCGGCCCGTCAAACCTCTGCCCTCGCCTCGGGCTACAGGCCAACAGAGCGGAGTGGCATTTGGATCCTCATCTCAGCCTCCTTTACTTGCTGGTGCTGGCTCTGTCCCCATACTTCGGGTCGCCCCTCCAGTCACGTATATGACTCAAGTACCGCCTTCTTCCTCCCAGGACCCTATGCCTTTCGCTCAGACCCAAGTCGAGCGAGGACCCTTCGGAGCGAGGTCAGGCGGTGGCGGGATTGGTAAGAAGAAGGCGAAGAAACGCGTTGGCGGGTTCTAGCGCCTGGTACCTGATACTCGGTCGTCAAATTTACATGCGTCAAGTATGCCTTTTGGTCACTACCTTTCCCTCTGCCTCATTGAACCACACAAAGGCCTTCATCGACCATGGTCGGCACCTCTTTGGTCTCTTCTGGTAAAATGTTCACCATCCTGGCGTGCAGGGGAATCATGACACCCCCCTGAAATGATGTTCCGGCCGGAAAGTACCTGCAGGCTCGGTCAGCTTAGCTCGTTGATGGTATGGTAGTCAGATGGAGTGATCTTACCCTCCATACTTCAATACCGTCATATCCGGTAGAGATGCTCCAAGCGGCAAGATCCTGGGAGATTATGAGGTGAGCTATGACGTCCCTCTCACGGCCTTGCATCCACTTACGAACCCGCAGGCACAAAAAACCCGTCCTTCGCTTTGCCGGCTTTAGTCACGTTGGCCAAACACGCATCATCATTCTGAGCACTGTCAAATCCCGACGGGGAGGCAGGCAAAATCGGCTGTGAACAGGTTGCTTACAAACTCCACCAGAGCCCATTCAGGCTTCCATTCACCCTCTTTGAACCACTTGCTCTCAAGTTCGCCAACCTCTACCAGCTCCTCGACCGTATCGGGAGCTGCCTTTTTCTTGTACGCTTCCAACTTTTCAGCCTTGGCCTTGGCGGCTTTCTTCTTCTTCTCTTGAGCCGCTTCAATGGCTTTCCGCTCCGATGATGAGACGCCAGGCGCGGAGGACGAAGGCATGGCGAGAGATGATGGTTCAACAGTCGGTTAGCGTAGCCTGCCAACGGTCAGCATCGGTCGCAATACTCAATGGGAGGATGAAAGGAGCCTCTGCCATACCACCGAAACCCCTGTCCCATCCTTTGACGCTCGTGGAGATCTACGTCGATCGGTCCGAATCTGTTTGCATTTATCATATGTATCGTATATGCATGGTATGTGGGTGGAGCCCTGTCGATTTGGTGATTGAGACGATGATTATTCTATGACATATGATGCTGAGATTCATGGGGCCAAAGATTTATCACTTAGCGACCCTTGCGTAGAAAGAATAGTAATATCGCAAGCTGGGGGACCGCTACTGCGCAGATTTGTGCTGCAGATCTCCCTCATCTTCCTTTGGACCTGCTCGTCTAGCCACGATGGCAGCTGGCGAGCTCAGAATCAAGCGATGGTCTACACTACTTCGACGAAGTGGCGATAAATCGAAGGCCTCCAGAACCGCCTCGGTACTCCGTTGTCGAGCTGGTACAGCAGGTCCAGTTCGCATTGGCGTCATTGAATCGGATCTCCTCCTTTCGACTTTACAGGGTGAAGGAGGGTCTAGTCCAGGTATCGGAGCCATCCAGAACAAGGTGGAATCACGCATAGAACCTTGAGAAGTAGTTTGGCCAGTATCCCAACTGGTCTCTGCGAGTTTAGATTGAGATGTAGGATGGACGTAATGTGTTATCATCGCTGGCGTGGCGGGCGTAGGGGGTGTAGCGGGTGTCGCAGGAGTAGATGGACCTGCTTTGTCGTATATGAATGAATTATTGGAATCGGAACGCAGGAGAGACGGAGGGTGGATGTTGACGGATAGGTAGGGTGGCTTATGGCCATCTGTATTGGGCTACAAAGGCACGGCTCGTCAGTTTTAGGTGGTCGTGGACATTAGACGACTCCTCACATGGTCCTGCTGTCTGCTGTACTTGCCAGCAGACATCCGATGCAGATCTGTCCTCACGTCGTTCGATTCTTGATGCATGGTCGTAGACCATGGATACGGTCGACGAAATCTGGATCGCCATGTAGAGCTCGTCGGGAACCGGCTCTGAGGATCTGTACGTGATGTGGATCGTGCGCTCAGACCAGCTGGCGGATACGCGGAGAAGGTGGAAAGGTGGATCGTCGGGAGTTGGATGTTTGAAGGGGTGGAAGCGGGTTCGACGATATGAGGTGCAGAGATGGCGAGAATGAGTGTGATGGCGTAGATCTTGGGGAGCTGAGGTTGCAAATGGTGACCTCAATCAGTTGACATTCTTTCGAGCGTATGCGTCAATTCTACTCACCGTTGATGCGGGGAGATAGGTCCAGGGAACGGCAAACTTGAAGCACAACAATTGGGAAATCTGCAAGACGGTCTGAAGCAAGCCAGCGTGAAAGATGACGAACTGGTGGAGCGCGACTGTTGTTAGCCAACGAACGGCCTGTGAGACCTCATCACCATTCAGCTCACCATTAGACGCTGCACTATCCTGCCCGCTGTGCCCCCTTGCACTGATGAAGCGAGCTTGCGTCGAGCCCACCAGAGCTGCCCGGTGAGAACGACAGTGATGAGGACGTCTGCGGTGACGGCGCAAATGGTGTAGGTCAGGCCTGCGTGGTAGATTCTGGGGGCTGGTGTCAATGTTGGGGGAAAGGGGGAGGGGGCAGTTCTCATGTCGAAGGGATGTTTCACTCACTTGGTGCTACCCGAGGTCGATGGAGCCAAGTTTAGCAGGGTTTTTGCCGAAAAGGTATAATATGACTGCATGAATGACCCAACGCACTCTGCAACCATGAGGCAGACAATGACCGCCGCAAAAACATATCGAAGTAACGATCTCGACAACCTAGGCCAGAGGACCTCGGAGACTGTCAAGAATTTAAAGGCTCGAACTGTGAGAAAGGATTGGTTGACAACTGTCGGTATCAAGTTGAGAACGTTGAGAATCCAGCTTCCGACTTCACTGACATTATAGAGGTAAAAGAGTTCCAAGGCGTGTGCAGCGAATATCTGAAAGCCGGTCAATGAGAGGATAATAATGATCTAGAGCATAAAAACTCGCTCACGTCGTACGAGCGAGCGAGGGATATACCCGCACAGGCGAGCGTGACCCCCAACGTGATGAGTATCAAGCGACCTTCTGTCCGTCGTGCTGGACTACCATTGATAGCTTCCGCTGTCAAGCTAGGTCGAATATACACAAAATAATTGATAGAAAGGACCGAGATGACGCCAGTGAAGAGCATCTCTAGCATGAAGCCAATAATGAAGGGTCCAACTGGGATCGCATAAGCTTGACAGTGAGCTACATCGGACGACTCACCGACATCCTTCATCTCAAAGACAATATCTGTCCCGGGAATGGAGAATTTTGATCCTGTGTATCCAGGGATCTTCGACACGGGCAGAGGTCCATCTGAAGCGATATTTAGGGGTGAATCGCCGACAGACATGGTGAAGAGGGACAGTGTCACAGACACATGGGGCGATCAAGTTTTCAGAGTCTGAGTGAAATATCGAAGTCTTGGGTCATATGAACGATGAAGACCCCTCGTGTATACTGTCGCAGTCCTGGTCGTCTTTGTCGTCACAGATACGCAATTTTGGGTCAACGTGGTTCCACTTGCTGCTCGCGATTCCTTTTGGGCTAGACTCTGTCGGTGTCCTGTCTAGGATCAATCTCCTGTTCCGGTCTACGGTTCCTTTGAAAGAGGGTGAGATCCTGTTGCGCGGGTCCAGGTGGTATGAGGTCAGTCTGTCGTGAAGAATTATAGGTGATGAAATGAAAGTGATGTTTTGTCAAGAAGAGAATACAACTATTGAGCAACAATGCCAGCCTCATATACCACGACATCGACAATCTTTCGCTACTTATCATCACAATAGTTAGATGAATGATGCAGACTCGCTTGATTTCTCCACCTCCCCTAAACCCCGAGGGGATTTGTTTGCAAGATGGTCAAAGCGGTATGTCAGATCAAAGGAATGTTTAGCTCTCGAGTAGATGGTGAAGGGTTCGGGCATCACCACCATCATCGACCTCTATGTCATCGGGCTAGTCTATTCGTCTCTTCGGGCCGGGCGCAGGACCCTTTCGGGGGGGATATCATGTCAGAGCAGCCGTCCCTTCAACAGACTTGGGATTCACAAGCGAGCATCTAATGACAAATGTCCAATGTCAGCTCGGGTTCTTGCAGACGTGATCATCTCTCGTCGAGACAGTTACGTCGGACCCCCTCAGTCTCGCCTTTGCATCACCATCCAAACCCCCATGTCATCGAGCTGGTTCAAGGAGAGGGATCATGAAGAAGAGAAAGATCTTTCAAAGATAGATGAAACGGGAAAACTTCCCCTCTGATGAAAGGTCATCTAACACCATAACACCATCCTTGACGACCTATCCTACATCTCCCGCCTTCTCCTTGTACCAGTTTCGACTATCTCGTGTCCCGCAGTATACGGTCGGGGTAGGTACGGATTACCAGGATTCTTCATCATAGGGGTAGGATGATGGAGAAGGAGGAGAACTCACTCTGTCAGTGACTTGCGTGTGTTGTTGTCGAGTCGCATCATGCAAATGATATCTGTCTTCCTCGTTGATCCTCAGCCACGGTCAGCTTCCTCAAAGTGCCTCACTCCCGTGGACCTCGCCTTGACACTCGACTCGATATCACCCTTCTCGTCGTACTTCTCACACCTCGAATGTAGAAAGTAGCAGTAACGTATTGAAATTCCGTCCAATCGAAACACGTCAGAAAACCGTGTAATCCGATTAAATCCGACGGTTACAGTTGTTAACCGGTTCACGTTAGCAGGTCCACCTCAAGTGACCTTTGTATACATATAGCAGCTGGATGTCAAAAGTGCGGAACTCCATGAGTCGAGTAGTGCCCAACACAATTTGTAGCTCAACAGAAGCTGGCGCAACGTACGAGAGCCCTTGCTGATTCAAAACTCAAAGCACCTCACTCAGTTTGCACTTCGTCCACACTATCATACCGCCGCCACCAATCCTCACCAACTTGTATCACGATGGACGAGCAAGCGCTATTCGAGCAAGAAGTCGCTCAGCTGAAAGAATGGCAGAGTGTGAGTTCATTCAAGCTAGTTTCCAGGCAACTTCACACTGATGCTCGCCTAGCAACCTCGGTTCTCGCGTACCACACGACCTTATCCCCCTTCCGAAGTCATCAACAAGCGTGGCACTTTGCAGATCCAGTACCCCTCCGATACCATGGCCAAGAAGCTTTGGAAGACCTTGGAATCCAAGAGTCGAGGAGAAGGAGGAGGCTGCTCCATCACTTATGGAGCGTGAGTTGATCAACAGAAGGCAAACGAGATAGGTGATAGCTAACATGAGCCCTCGCCAGATTGGACCCCGTTCAAATAACACAGATGGCAAAGCACCTCGAGACGGTTTATGTGTCCGGCTGGCAATGCTCATCCACCGCTAGCTCTTCACTTGAGCCTGGACCGGATCTTGCGGGTGAGTCCTGCCTCCTCTCTCTCCTTCTCCTTCAGACTTATCCCCTTTCAGATTACCCATCCAACACTGTTCCAAACAAGGTAGCTCAACTTTTTACTGCACAACAATTTCATGATCGGAAACAACGCTGGACTCGAGCACAGGCTCGAGCGAGGGGAGAGACCCTGCCAGCACCGATCGACTATCTCAGACCATTGGTCGCGGATGCAGATACGGGACATGGAGGTGAGCAGGAGCGATTGGGTCTGATCACGCTTGTTTCTTTTTCACTGACACACAAATGTAGGATTGACCGCCGTGATGAAGTTGACAAAGATGATGGTTGAAGCTGGTGCGGCGGGAATTCATGTGGAAGATCAAGCACCAGGAACCAAAAAGTGCGGACATATGGCTGGCAAGGTGAGCAGAGATCTTTGTTACCGAGCGGCTTCAGCGTAACTCATCGTACACTCAGGTCCTCGTGCCCATTTCCGAACACATCAACCGACTCATTGCGATGCGACTGCAATGCGACATCATGGGAGTGACCAATCTTGTCATCGCTCGAACGGACTCGGAAGCTGCGACTCTGATCACGTCCAACATTGATCCGAGAGATCACGCCTTTATTCTAGGCAGTACGAACTCCTCCTGCCAGCCTTTAGTAGAAGTCATGCTGGAGGCTGAACAACAAGGCAAATCTGGATCTGAACTCCAGGCGATCGAAGACGAATGGATGAAGAGTGCCAAGCTGGCCCTGTTGCCCGATCTGCTTGCTGCCTCGCTCAAAAGCAACGGCATCAGCTCTGAGAAAGTGGACAACTTCTTACATCTGATCTCGAATCAACACCTTTCCAATCGGAAGATGATAGATCTGGCGCAAAAGACAGGACTGAAGGAGGTTCCCTACTTTGACTGGGATACACCTCGGACGAGGGAAGGATACTACCGATACCAGGGTGGAACACGTTGTGCCATCAATCGCGGCGTGGCATTCGCACCGTACGCCGATCTCTTATGGATGGAAACCAAATCCCCAATCTATGCTCAAGCCAAAGAATTCGCAGAAGGTGTCCACAAAGAGAGACCTGGTCAATGGTTGGCTTATAATCTCAGTCCGAGTTTCAACTGGGAACAAGCGGGCCTCGGCAAGCAGGATATGAAGGAATATGTTTGGAAATTGGGAGAGCTGGGATTCATCTTCCAATTCATCACGGTGAGCCTGGCTTCGCGGTGGAAGAATCAACATTGACTGACGGCACGACTGGGGGTTAATAGCTTGCTGGACTCCATTCCAACGCATATATCAACGAGCTGTTCGCCTCAAGCTTCAAGACCGAGGGTATGAAAGCTTATGTCGAGTTGATCCAAAGTCGAGAAAGAGAAATTGGCTGTGATGTCTTGACACATCAAAAGGTTTGTCGTGTCTGTGTTTTGCACAGGGCGAGCGCTCGTCGCTGATCCTTCGCAGTGGTCAGGAGCAGATTACGCCGATTCAATGATGATGACTGTGACGGGCGGGATGTGAGTGTCGGTAAAGTGTCGTGTTGCTTCAGCCTGACGATCACCACAGATCGTCCACCGCCGCCATGGGCAAAGGAGTCACCGAGAGTCAATTTACCGCTGTAAAGACCCCCAACGGCCACGCTTGATCTCCGCGCTCTGATGTTGCACGTGCTTTGTACCAAAGTCAGTTCCTGTACGTATATTCGTTCACCGCCATTTGTATGCAACGAGTACCCTGTAAAGAAGCGATGATACATCCCATCCATTCGACAAACAACACTAGCTCTATTCCAGTACAACCTGAGGATTCCTTGAAAGGTCCTAGCCTCGGAGAGCAGGAGACTCTCCATACCCACGCTATAATTTTGATCCTACACGAGACACATGCCGATCCTTGTCTACTCTGTATGCAAGGCCAATCCAGACTTTGCACCTGACTCATCGCGATTTCCAATGACACCGACAAGGACGGAGATGTCTATGACCTGGTGAGCCTCGCCTCTGAAGGTCCACAGACGGGGCACTCACCATCCTTCTTGCCTCCTACGAAATCTATACCCTCTTCAATGGCCTTCACCATGAACGGGCTCGTGGCGGACGTCTCCTCGGACACGGCTCTGGCGCGCTTGCACAGAGCTTCGGAGACTTTTTGCGGAGAGAATGGCGGGAGACCGCCGGGTGTGGTGGGCCGAGAAGACGAGGGTCCGGGCTCAGGGCCAGAGACAGGAGAGGCGAACTGCGCGAGAGTGTCGAGAATGTCTTCGTCAAACTGACCAGGGTCAGCTTGAGAGATTGTTGACCGCCAGTAACTCACCAAATTGTCCATCAATCCGTCACTCCCCACAACGACCACATCTCCCTTTCGGACTGGGATATCGTACCGCTTTGCATCTTTCATTGGCTCGTCCCGGCTGTGTGTACCAAGTTGAAGGGGGAAATTGAACGCGTGCTGCATCTCATCGGTCCGAAGGACAATGTCTCCGCCTCGAATGAGCAAGAGACAGCAATCGCCGACATTCGCCACGAGGAGAGTCGAATGATGTAATAAGGCCAAGAGGCATGTAGAGGAGCCATGAATGCCCTGAAATTGGTCAGACAAATTCTCTGCGTGCTCCTCGCTCTGAGCCCTCACCTCGGATAAAACACAGCTTAGACACTTCTCGAACCCTCTCTGCATGATCTCCACTGGATCAAGTGGCCGACGTTTGGCTTCTTCCACCCTTTCCACCTCGGAGGCAGCCACCCGACCCGTTCTCCAAGCTTTGCTTGCCCAACCGCTAGCGGCTTGATCTCTAGAAGCGGCTTTGCTGCTCGAATTTTTGCCATCTTCATTGGACTCTGACGGTGCTTTGACGGCGTAAGCCCCGGCTCCTGCCCACCAATCAGTTACTTCTCTCTCGCAAAAATGAGTGAGAAGTCTGGACCATCTACCCGCGTCGGCGTCTCCCCTTCCAGATCTAGCCCAACCTCCCACCCCATCCGCAATGCACATGCCGTCCATTCGGGCAAAGTAAGCATCTTCACCGACAGATGTTGAGCGGATGTCTGTCGCCAGTGGGGGCGTAACTTCTGGCAGAGGGAAGGAACGGGGTCGTGGTGGCGGAGGAGCGGATTGAGGCCGGGGTCGACCAGGGTAGACCGGTCGTTCTTTCGCCAAGCCTGACGCTCCGAGATGGAATATCAGATTGGACGAGTAGAGATTGAGACCAGAGTTTTCGGATGCAAGGGGCGCAGCGACAATTGGCTCAAAGGATGACTGATAGGGCAGACCGAGCGTACCAAATGCTGGAGAAAAGACTGGATCAAAAGTCGTAGAAGATGAGTTGTTGCCTAAAGGTGAGAGTGCAGTCTGCATCTCATCTGGACGAAGTGTCCCTGATATCGTTGGAAAGTCGATGGATGATGATGCTGCATCGCTGCCAGCTTCGGTAGAGAAGTAGTCTGAAAAGGTCGAATTCTTCAGCTTTGCAATGACGGCTTCGAGGTAAGGGTTCCAAAAGAGTTGATTCAGATTCAAAGTTCCGCCAGTGAGGGACGAATGAATCGCCGGAGCCATGTTCAAAGACACGGACAATGTATTGGGGGAAGAAGTGGTGGAGAACGTCGCTCGACCAGATGGCCGATGATGCTGCTTTAACGGTAATCGAGCGGCAGTGGATCGGAAGGGAGTGACGATGTCTCCATCCCATGTTGAGGATGATGATGATGGCGTTGAGGGGGAGGAGGAGTTGGTGGTGGAAGACGAAGAAAGCCAAGGCGAGGTCGCACCTGGCGATCCAATTGACACAGAGGAGCTCGGTAATCCAATAGAGGCGAATGAAGCGCTTGAATCTCTCCTTGTCGAAGAACCCGCGTTATAGCCCTCTTTGGATTTATTATCCCATCCGGTTCGCGAGCCACTGGCTTCCCAGACGGTAGACCTGGTAGCAGTGGCATAATCTCGATGACTTATGGGACCATGCGTCGTAGAACTCGTCGAGCTCGAAGGATGAGCGTGAGACAGAGTCCTGACGATCCCTTTTCCTAGTCCAGGTTTGGGTTTGGACATGATGGCGGATGGGCGGCGAGAAGGGAGGGGTGGGCTATTTGGCCTCTTTCAAACCGCTGAAAGAGGTCTCGCTCAAGTCATTGAGCCGTCAACGGTAGCGGAGGCCTGATAGTTGCCCTCGCTGACGATGATGTGGTCCGACTCCAGGTCGATGAAGATGTAAGGTAAAGATTGATTTGAATGACGAGGGCGAGACAACGATTCGGGTTAGTTGGGTATTCTCTTCCGAGTAATCCCGAATTTATGATTGGGTGGCCAAATGAATGGCAGTGGCAGTTTTTAAGATGATGGTATGAACTGCAACAGCATGCATCAACACAACCCCGCTTATATCTCCAGAGCACGCTTCATGACCTGCCAGGTGGCGAATGATATACTGTGGATCCTAGTCAGCAGGGGCTCAAGCTAGAGGCAAAGCCCATTGCAGCTCACCTCGTCATCGGAACAACCTTCAAGTAGCCTATTGTCAGGCCCACAAAGAAACCTCTCCAGCCCCTTTGATCATAGATCATCCTGACGGCTTGCTTCCAGGAGATATCATGGCTGCCCCTCGCACCTCCCACTTGCATCCTTCTGCGAATCACCTCGAACGGATAGCTAGCCGTTTGACTTAATAAACCCGCCACGGCTCCGCAAGCTAGGTCGTTGGCTTTTGGCCTAGAGGCGAGGTACGGGATCCAATCGGGGGTGTGACGCTTGAGCGTTCCATAGGTTAAGAAAGCTGTCCCTGCATATGGCACCATCCCGACGATAGATATGCTGAATCCTCGATAGAATGGATAAAGAGGAATAGAACGAGTAAATGCAGAAATGGTCGAGGTGGTCGCGGTGGCAGTTGCTGATCCACCTGCTGAGGTGACTGTCGCGGGATTAATACTCGGTTGATGGGCATGACCTTCATGATAGATCGATCGAACGGCTTCTCGAAGTGACGTCCGTTCAGATTCTCGCGTTTGGAATGCCAAGCGGACTCGGATGAGCTCGAGGGGATAAGTGAAGAGTACGGAGATGACACCAGACGTGGCTCCAGCGATAAAGAAACGCAAAGGTGTCCTCTTATCAGGTGTCGGAATGAGTATCTATCCATGCGATGAGCGGTTGAGGAAGGGCATCATTGCACACAGGAACGGACTCACGGCCTCTGCACGGTCATAAGCCATGAATTTTATGCCGGCATATGGGAAGATCCTCAACAGCGTGGCTGAGTGACCTTGAAATAAACCTCTGACGCCTTGAGAGCTATAGATCTTGGCAGAGGCATGTAACAGTCCAAGAGGTGTCCCTGTACGTCAGTCCAGCATTCTACGTGACCACTCTCACCAGCATATTTACTGAATTCAGCATTCGAAGTTTGAAAGAGGATCTTGACTCGATCCAGCGGAGCGATGGCCGTCTTAGCCTGACGACTATCAGATATGGCTCCGTACACAGGCTGAGCGAGCAGACTCACCACGCAACCGGCTATACCGCCAGCAACGCCACTACTCAAAACTGGTCACGCGAGATCAACAAAACGAAATCACTGGAGAGCGAGCCCGAGTCCCTCACCATAGTCCCAGCTTTGACGATCTGCCCTGGCTCGCCTACGACTCTCTTGCCACCATGTTGACGATACTGCGCCATCACTCTGCTTCGTATCCACATTATAGTGATACGGCTCTCGATGTTCATGATCAACCGGAAGCGGCTCGGTGGCTCGACCTTTGCCTTTGATATCGACCATGGTGAGGATCAACTGGCTTGCTGAGATCCTGGTGATTCTAAGGACACAGCTCTAATCTCTATAGCCTTGTCTATGTGTCCACAAGCACGATAGGAAAATGTTCAAAGACAATGTATACTACGCGCACCTGGTTGATGATTGATTCACTGATCGCCCAAAAAACTTGGTCGTCGGCACTGACGCACCCAATCGTTGGTTCCGACCGGTGATTTCCCACGGTGGAGATGTATCATCAACCTGGGCTCGCGGCAGCGTTGGCGAACCATTTGGGTCACACAAATCATCGCGAATGGCTCAACAGCTAGCAGGTAGCTTCTCACTGGCTCATCCCCAGCTGTGAAATGGCTCCATAGTAGTTCTTCAATATCCGGTACCCTCTTCGATGCCGCCTCGCGCACCAACTGATGCCTACCCATTGTCCAAGCTGTCACATCGGTCCTCATTGAATTCCTCCGGTATGCCGAGGTTGGAAAATGGCAATGGTGGAGAGGTATCGACATCGAGGGCTGCAATGGCATTCGGGAGAAGTAAGAAGGGCAAGGAACGTTTCAGCGATGGCGAAATCGAGGATGAGCAAGATGAGGAAGGAGCCGCTCTCTTAGGTGGACATGGAACTCTTGATCCTGTCGAAGGGAGTATGGTGAGGCGCGAGCGGGATTGACCAGTGGACTGAAATCTGGTGATAGCTCGCTGGACCCAGCAGACTACCTATGGGAGCCAGACTGACGGGTACGAAAGACAAATCACGGACAATCCCTCTACATCTCACTGGTGAGCTGTATCGTGAAAGCCCAAAGATCTCCAGCTGACGCTTGCCTCTCAGCATCTAGGGCGACATACCCCGCCAACGTGGTCAGGAACCAAAAGTACTCGGTTGCAAGCTTTCTACCTCTGGTGTTCTGGGAACAGTTCAAGTTCTTTTTCAACTTTTACTTTCTCGTGGTCGCGTTATCACAGTTCATCCCCGCGCTCAAGATAGGTGAGTCGGCCTTCTTTCGACCATGCTGACGTCGTTTCCTTAGGCTATATCGTAACCTATGTCGCCCCTCTTGCGTTCGTTCTCGCCATCACGATGGGCAAAGAAGCATACGACGATTACTGTCGATACCTTAGAGACAGGGAAGCAAACTCGACTTGGTACCTTGTCATCTTGCCTCAAACCACCTCTTCCTCAGGTGTTGCGGACTCTGGATCTCGCGATAAGCCTCTGACAAGATCGGTCCCTTCATCTCGCATCAAAGTTGGAGACTTGATTCTCTTGGAGAAGAATCAAAGGGTACCTGCGGATATGGTTCTCCTCACCACCAGCGAGGAAGAAGGGACTTGTTTCATTCGGACGGACCAGTTGGATGGTGAGACTGATTGGAAGCTCAAAGTAGCGGTTGGCGAGACGCAAAAGCTGGGGGAGTCAGGTGTCGGCGGTGTGGAAGGTAGTTTATATGGTGAGGCAAGCGTGTCCTCCTCCGGCATCCGTTGCTCACAATATCTAATTAGCCGACCCACCGATCAAAGACATTCACACGTTCTACGGAGTCCTGACCCTGCGGTCGACAGATCCTGGCCCTTCGACAGATACGTCTATCCCACTGTCTGTCGAGAATGTTCTCTGGGCGAATACTGTCCTCGCAGCTGGCTCTGCAGTCGGTATGGTCGTTTATACTGGCAAGGAAACGCGAGCAGTGTTGAACACCAGCGAGCCAGAAACGAAGATGGGTAGTTTAGAGGCTGAAATTAACAAGATGGCAAAGGTAAGTTATCGTTCAGCACCTCTTCTCTAACTCTAGTAGATCCTCTGCAGTGTCACTTTTGCTCTCTCGGTCATTCTCGTCGCTCTGAATGGATTCCGAGGTCGTTGGTATATTTATGTCTTTCGGTTCCTCATCTTGTTTTCGTCCATCATTCCCATCAGGTGGGCTGGCGTAGGCGGTCCATGCTGACGTGCTCCAGCCTGAGAGTCAACCTTGACATGGGCAAAACGGTTTATGCGCATCAGATCCAGTCTGATGCGGATATACCTGAGACTATCGTCCGAACAAGCACGTTGCCCGAAGAGCTCGGCAGGATCGAGTACCTCCTTAGCGATAAGACGGGCACTCTGACGAGAAACGGTGAGTCTCATCTCTCGTCTGAATCCTGATCATCCATGCGATTCTAGAAATGGAGCTGAAGAAGCTACACCTGGGAACAGTGGTCTTTGGTTGGGATTCGATGGACGAGGTAGCCAATCTGCTGAAGCAGAGTTTTTCGGACGAAACTCTGCAGGGTGAGGCCTGCCGTGACCAGATCAGGAGTGCATAGTTGACTTGGATCAGCGCCTCCCGGCAATACACGGCGAACCTCGGTCAATCTTGGCCAAGGTCAAGCAAGAGGCCGTCGTGATATGTCTGGGCGTGTTTTGGACGCCGTCCTCGCGCTCGCGACTTGCCACAATGTGAGTCCCCAAAGGATCTCGAGCTGAGCCCGTCAGGTTACGCCAGTGTCCAACGACGACGGGACAGTCACATATCAAGCTTCCTCCCCCGACGAAGTGGCCATAGTCCAATGGACAGAGTCTGTCGGTATGACTCTCATCTCCCGCGATCGAACGAGCATGACTCTTCGGCCACCCAACGGTGATCCACTAACGTTCGACATTCTCGCCATCTTCCCCTTCACATCAGAATCTAAACGTATGGGTATAATCATCCGCGAGAGAGCTACTGGGCAGGCGACTTTTGTTCAGAAGGGAGCCGACGTCATCATGTCTCGGATAGTCCAGAAGAATGATTGGCTGGATGAAGAGTGCGGCAACATGGCTCGGGAAGGACTCCGGACGCTCGTCATTGGCCGGAAAAAGCTCTCTGCAGAGGGCTTGGCAGAATTCGAGAAGCGATACCGTCAAGCTCAACTCGTTGTTGGAGAAGAGAGACCTGTTGAAATAGCCCGGGTTGTCAGCGAGCATCTAGAGATCGATTTAGAGCTACTGGCTCTAACTGGAGTCGAAGATAAACTGCAAGAGGACGTCAAGTCGACCTTGGAGCTTTTACGAAATGCTGGACTTAAAATTTGGATGCTGACTGGAGACAAGATTGAGACTGCTGCGAATATCGCCGTATCTTCTAAACTGGTGGCGAGGAATCAGTACATTCATCAGGTTGCGAAACGTGAGTTTGAGTAAGGAACAAGGCGCTGATCAGGCAGTAAAATCTGCAGACCAAGTCCGGGACATGCTAGACTTCTTACAGGCCAAATTGAATTGTTGCCTTGTTATCGACGGTGAATCACTGCAGGTGAGTCAGTGCTGATGGCGGGTCCCGTTGGTGATGCTGAATACTCCTTCAGCTCTGCTTGGACAGTTTCCGATCCGAATTTGTGTTGCTGGCGACACAGTTACCGGCAGTAGTCGCTTGTCGGTGTTCACCGACACAGAAAGCCGATGTCGCCAGATTGATCCGTGAATACTCGAAAAAAGTAGTCTGTTGTATCGGTGATGGCGGCAACGACGTCAGCATGATCCAAGCGGCCAACGTTGGTGAGTCGGGACACGGGAAACGAGGAGCAGAGCGTTCTAAACCACCTACCAGGCGTCGGTATCGTCGGCAAGGAAGGCAAGCAAGCTTCTCTCGCTGCGGATTTCTCGATCACTCAATTTAGTCATCTCACCAAGCTGCTCCTGTGGCACGGTCGAAATTCATACAAGCGATCTGCAAAGTTGTCACAATTTGTCATTCACCGTGGGTTGATCATCGCGGTGATACAAGCGGTATTCAGCTCCATCTTCTTCTTTGCTCGTGAGTCAGACTACACGGGAGCCAGTGATCGTACTGAGAGCGTTATTCAGCAATCGCGCTGTACCAGGGCTGGCTCCAAGTCGGTTATGCCACTGTGTATACCATGGCACCGGTATTTTCGCTCGTACTCGACAGAGACGTCAATGAAGATCTCGCTTTACTGTATCCTGAACTGTATAAGGAGCTCACAAAGGTGTGTCATGCGTTGCCTGCCAGCTTGGCGACACGGCTTACACCTTGACTTGTCAGGGCCGATCCTTAAGCTACAAGACATTCTTTACATGGCTCACCATCTCAGTCTACCAAGGCGGAATCATCATGCTCTTGTCGCTCCTCTTGTTCGAGTACGAGTTCCTGCACATCGTTGCCATCTCCTTCACCGCCCTCGTCATTAATGAGCTCATCATGGTCGCTTTGGAAATTACGACGTGGCATACATATATGATCTTGTCAGAATTGGGTACAGCAGCAGTTTACTTTGGGTCCATGGCGGTGCTTCCTGCATATTTCGGTGAGCACATACATCATCTTCACACCGGCTGATCCCCCCGATTCCCTTCCTCTAGACCTCTCGTTCGTCCTGTCCACTGCGTTCTTGTACAAAGTCGCGGTAATTGTGGCGGTGTCGTCATTCCCTCTCTACGTCATCAAAGTGTTTAGAAACAAGTTCAAGCCCGCTGCGTATACCAAGGTAGCGGGCATATAGATTGGTAGATGGCGTGACAAGGATGTATGATTCATCATGTAGAGTGTACAAGTCATGCTTGTGAGTATGCAAGGTGGGAACGAGTTCCTCAAGTCGGAGGAAAATCGGGGAATGGCATCTTCCCGCAAAATACGCTAATCCGGTACACTCTGCCTTGTCTCCTTATCCCTTGATTTATCCTCTCTGGCCTCTTTTGGCTAAGATCATGTGTAGTATCTGTTCTTAATACTGTAAGAAGTATTATATTCCTACGGGAATTTCTTCTTTCGGCATTTTTCAAACCTGCCCGACCTCTGTAGCTTGCTACACGTCGTGGCGCGATGTCGCTGGCCATACACTACAGCCTTCTGATGTCAAGGTAACCCCCCTGTCATTCATCTTTTTTTGGTCTCTCGGAGGACTGTAGCAAGGCTCAATGCTATCATGCATATGAATCAACTAGTAGCTACAGGTTACGAACTCATATCATCTAATATAGAAACACTGGAGCAGGTCACTCACTGGTGACCCCTAGGGTGATGGCCACGATCTCTGACCAAGTCTCTCGAAGGCGGCAGAGAACTATCCACCGTCTCCGAATCACCGCCGCCTCCCCATCGCTGTCGATAACTTTCAACGACCCATCGGAAAGGCGAAGATGACGACGAGGGGATCGTCGAGGTTGCCCCTGTCTGACTAGGTACACCAACACGATCACCTTCTCTGGCGGGTTGGCCTTCGGCTGAAGGGCGAGATCGCGAATGAAATTCACGAGATGGTTCAGCGGCCGTATCAAATTGATCGAGTGGATCTCTGGCGTCGGGATCAAGCATAATGGTATGCTCATACAGTCCCGGCATGCGCTCTTCGTCACTTTGGGGACTTTGATGACCCTGTCTGCTGGACTGGGTATACCTCATTGACCGAGAACTCGCATCCGTCCTTGGAGTCGAAGCCGAATTTGAGATGGATGATCGATACGTTGTTTCTCTTCCGGACCGAGGAGCTGAGCTAAACCGATGTGCAGTCGTGTGGGCGTTACTTTCCTCGCGGGAGGAAGTGCCGACTAACGGAGTGGATACCACTTCAGGTGTTAAAAACGTAGCTGAAGAGGAAAATGCCGAGCCTGGTATACCCGTCGTGTCTCTCCACCGGTTTCGAGTACTCCTCGAGGATCTGAAAGGAACCGCTCGTCTTGTATTGAGAACATTGATCACGGGTCTTCGGTCAGGAGGAGGCGATTCGGCGGGGACAGTGAGAGACGAAGATGACGAGACGGAACCACTTCGCTCAGATCCATCCGATTGAGACGCCTCGGCTGCGAGTCGAGAATTGAGATAATTTCGCAGGGCAGCGATACCGTTGCTCGAAAAGACGCAAAAAGATGCTGTCTGGTGCTCATTCAGCCCAGGAGGAGCAGGTCGACAAAACTGCTGCAGTTCTGGCGTGACAAAGGCCGTGACGCCAGAGAGACTGAGATGACCAAGGAGGTGAAGCCGGTTGAGTAAGCAAGCGATGGCCTTGACCGAGACATTTTCGCAGTATGATAGGTGAATCCGTTCGAGGGTGGCGTGGCGAGATGTCAGGGAGTAAACGCCCTCGTCGGTCAGCTTGACAACCTGAAGTGGTCAGTGGTGTCGTCGCAAAAGATTGAGACTCACTTTGACTAGACCGATCCGTCTAAGCTTGGTAAGCGACTGCGAGAGCTCGTGAATGCTTTGGTCCGTGATCAATGGACAGCCTGAAGACATGAGCAGCCATCGACGTTTCTGGGATTTATGGAGGCTCACAAGCAATGTCAAGGTACCGAATCCGAGTACAACTGTGAACCAGCGTCTTGATGCCCTCGTCGGTGAGTCTGAAAATCGCATAAGCACAGTCGTCGACGTCGGGCATTTACTCACTTGGCCACATGGCCGAGATGGATATGATGAAGGTGCTTTCCAAGTCTCGCAACGCTCGTCATGGCCGCGTCTGTCAACTCTTCACATTTTGTCAAGGCCAGTTGTCGGAGCTTCGGAGCGTTACTGATGAGTTGGTCGATAGCGGCGTCCGTGAGGAATTTCGAGCCGGTGAGGTCAATGACACGAAGGTACGACAAGTTCGAGCTCGAAGGCGCTTTGACGATACCTCCGGCGGCAAGGTACGACTCGAGAAAGTCTTCAGCTTCGAGTCGATTGCCCAATGCCCGCATGCTGGCAAGGTTGACAAATGCTGCATCTGTCGGGCCGGTGGCTGTGCGAGGGGGTATCACTGTGTTCAGCTTTATTTCGCGAATATAGGACGAATGGAGGAAGATGGCGTAGAGTGTCGAATCTCTGATCAAGGGTAGAGAAGCGAGGTCCATCTCCATGATCAAGGGACAACTGATAACCAATCTGACGAGTGACTGGTCAGAAACAAGGCTGCAACCTGCTATTTTGATCTGTAAAAAATGTGATGAGAAGGGGAACGCCTGTCGGTGGACTCACCCTGCGCAAGCCAGAACACTTTTCTGCAATGGCCTTGATGCCTTCGTCCCCCACTTGAACACATTTGCTAAAGTTTAGACCTTGCAGTTTTGAACAAGATTCCGCCAAAGTCAAGGCGACCGAATCGTCCACTCCGAAACATCCGCTAAAATCTACTGCGTGCAATTCGGTCAAACCTCGTACGAGTTGCTTGAGTCCATCTGAAGTCACTTGATCGGTGTTGGTGACTGTCAGTCTCTCCAATCGAGAGCAGTTCTCTAATCCCTCCAAGAGACCATCTGAGAGGCTGCCTCCAAGAGAGCCAAGATTGAGACGTTTGACGGATCTGGCGTAGGGAAAGGTGCTGCTTTTAGATTTGAGGACGCGGGTAAGCGAGGCCAATTGTCGGACGTTGTGTAGGTTCGGGTGAGCCCATAGAACTGGATAGGCGCATACGGACCACATGCGAGAGACGAGTAAGGCATTGGAGAGATCTTTCGGGTTGTTCAAGAAGCGAAATATCTACCGGGGAGTGGAGAAAAAGTTTAGTCAGGGGTGCTTCAGTGTAAGCTCAAGGACGTACTTGCAAGAGAATCTCTGGAGGAAGCTCGCCAACGTTGCTGTTCCCTCCGCTTCTCGACGAGCCATCTGTCTGTGATTCTTGTCTCGTTTCAGAGCCTTGTTCTACAGCTTTCGACTTTCCCTTCAGGATCCAAGCTTGAACTTTTTCCTCGTTCATAGATATGTCCACCTCGCCCTCCTCTCCATCCTCCTCGTCCGAGATAGAAGTCACAGAGGGTGTACCGCTGGTATCCAGCCACTGCTGCGCCATTGGTGGTGGAAGAGCGGTGTTTGCAGGATGAGACGAGGAGCCAAGAGGGGATGATTGCCATCTGGGAGGTCTCGAGATGAGACTCAGTCGAGCGAGAGATTCAGCCGTCAGATCGGCGTTGTAGGCTGGATTTGACTCTCCTCGTAGTGGTTGGATATCATCTCGGTCGTTTGATCTTTGCCTGAACGAGGAGGAAGAGGAGGTATCCATGCTTGGCGAGAGGGGATCCGAGGTGGCCCTCTCGCGAGGCATGATGGGGGAACAAGTCAAAACAATACGCGATGGGTAGACGAGGATGCTAAACTGAGAGTCGAAGAGGGAAGATGATCATGGATGAAAGGGAGACTGGAGAAGCCAGAGTGACTTGACTCAAGCAAGAGGCGAGGAGAAGAGAGGATAATGTGATGGCAAAGAAGCACAAGAAGAAGAAGAAGGTGAAAAAGGTCCCAAACACAAAAAGCGACAATTGTGCCCGGGAAGCCTACTGTCAAGGTGCGTAGGAGGATATCAGGTGCCTTGTGCCGGTGACGAGCAGCTCAGCTTTTAGACAGCTCTAGCGTGACTTGTGCTCCAAGGACTGCTGCTGATGCGGCGGGAGGGGAGATAGGCAAAGGTGACCAAATCAAAAGAAGTTTGCTTATTATTGTACTGAAAATCCCATGCGAGAGAGACACCTTCATTACCTTTTTCACGTCATCAAAGCAGCAGCATCAACGGCAGCGACAGTTGGGGGCGGCGGAGGCGGCACGGGAACCGAGCACAAATCTTTAGTAGTCGTCACCAGCTCGCACCACCGGGGACATGGTCAACTTTATGATGCATATGCCCCACCACGCCTCTCCGTCCTCATTATGGTGTGTAGACCCGCTTGTTCTTTCGAGTTTATGTACAGATGTTTTGCCTTCTTCCTTCTCTATAAGGGGGGGTGGATTTGGACCCTTTACAGGTTTTAGGAGGGGGGTATCATTATCAAATGTGGTATATTCGTCCATTCCCTCGATATCATCGTCTCAAGTTGACGAGGAGAATGTTCCTTCCTGCATGAACCTACTCAACACTTCTTGCGTATCCTTCTTCCTGACGTCCGGGTCAGTGCTGGGATCAAATTTGCGGGTCGCTCTCTGATCCGCAGAGGGTACGCCAGAATCCGTCATTCCAGAGGGTCGACGAGACGAGCCATTGGAACCAGTACTATTGTGACTTGATCGTCGAGTCGCAATTGGGTTCACGGGAAAGGGTACACGATTTCCAGTGCTGGATGTAGCGGTGTGCTCGGAAGGAGGCGTCAAGAGACTTCCAGCCCTTGGAGTCGTTTCGGATGAAGAAGATTGACCGTGACTGTTGCCATTGCCGTGCCTTCCGTTATTACTGTATCTCCTAGAGCTAGACTTGGCAGGCGTCATCGACGATGATCCAGGCAAAGGAGCAGCTCGGGAGGGAGGAGACCCTGCCCCGGAACCCGTCTGAACTTTGGCGTCGGTCATCGTTCGTCTATCCGTTTGAGCTTGTCGGTCTCGATACCCTGAGTGGAATGGGTAAGGCACAGACTCCATTCGACCAGTGTTGTTGCTGCCAATGGCAGGAGAATCGTTGACGGAGTCCTGGCTTTCTCCATCATCTTCATCATCTCCATCGCCAGAAACGTCTGATCGACGATCACCCGACTTGGTTCGATGACGTGCAGGAGCCGTTTCCTGCTTCGGCGTCGTGGGGACAGATTTCAAAGCTGAGAGATCAATCTGTCGAGGCATATCGTTGAGGCCTAATCGAGGTGGTCGACCAGTCACTCGGTCGATATACTGCTGAATCTGAGGCATGCTGTCCCACGCATTAGTATAGCTCGCCATGGCTTCAGACATCGATCGAGGCGGAGGGTTACTGGACGTAGTGGTCGTCACAGGAGGCGGAGATGCGCGGCGAGGTCTGACGGGCTCAGCAGGCGCTGCGTGTCGTTTTGATGGGGCTGCGGCTGTAGTATGCTTGTAGACTGGTGCGGGTGCGTCCTGAGGGAATACTCGATCGGGTTTACGCTGCTTGGCTTGTTCCCAGGGGAAGACAGGATTGGTGTACGTGCGATCGGGGGTGGAGCCGGTAAAATTGCTGTACCATGTGTCTTTCCTTACGTTATCAGGTATGGTGGGATACTGAGGTTCATGCTGATGCTTTTGCGGTGAAGAGTAAAAGGAAGATTGTTGGGCGGGCGATTCGTCCCAAGCCGCGTTGTAAAACGTGTTCATAGGTACCGACATTTCAGGTTGACCACCTACAGGAGGAGAATATCGTTGAGCGTCCCAGACGGCAGGTTGAGTCGTCTGTTGATGCAGGCTCTGAGGATGGGGTGCAGGGAAATGCTGCTGAGGCGAAGTGTCGCCAGCAATTGTCGGACTCTTCGGCGGAGAAGGAGCCTTGACTCGAGGTCGTGGTTTCGGCATGATGAGATCGACTCGACCGTCCAACGGTAATGACGTGTATTGTCCAGGTTTCATCGCGGTCATACCTACGCCAACGGCAGCTTTGAGCTGCACGAGATCCAGGCGATCAGGAGGCTGTTGAGCCATGGCTGTTGAAGTATTCCAAACTGCCACGTGTTCCGGGACTTGGAATCGTTGAGCCATGTCGGGGTGATGAGCGGCATTGGGACGAACGTTGCGGTCGTAGATCTCATACCAGCGGTCAATGAGTGATGGATCTGCACGGAGTCAGCACATGACAAGCGAGACGTGAAGCGTGTAAAAGGATTCACAATCGAATTTATACTCTTTGCCTTTCGGCAGAGACATGCCTGGCGGGCGACTGCTCAAACTTGACCAGGGCTTGTTCGGGCCGATGAAGTGGACAATGTTCACTTTGGAGCCGTATCGACGGTAAGCTGGCTCGTACTGATAAGCAGCGGTCGGTGTGACATTGTATCTGATTGTGAAGGGTGAGCGGGAATCTTGCAAGGAGCCACGCATCGGTGCTCACAAGAACGACAGTCTGTTCCACTGTCCACCTGGTCCTTCATCTGAAAAGTATTCGTTCAGCAGACCTTGATCTGCTCCGTCAAAGCTTCCATTCCCGTACAACGCTTCGCCTGAACCATTCGATCCACCGCCGGTGAGGTATATCCCTTCCTCTCCTTCCCCATTTTTTAACATTTCCCTGAGCCCCTCCCAATCCTTTTCATTCGGTCGGATGACCATGACACCAGAGTTGAAACAGTCTGGCCAGCCTGTATCTGGAGCCGCGGATAAGACATGAGGCTCGGTCGTACTGAATAGATGAGAGATGGGTCGAAGTGGGAGGACATCAGCATCGAGGTAAATAAGGGTTGAAAACAGGGTATGAAGTCGAAACAGGTGAAGCTTGGTCAGAGCGAGATTGAGGTCCGGTCGACCTATGGGGTAGCGACGAGTATCGTCAGTTCGTCATACTTCTCTTTCCGATACGACCGACTTACCCATCAGCTTTAAGCCTTCTTCGCCTTGTACACCACTTCCGATCGGCTCCACACCAATGACTAGGTCGAAGCCTGCCTTCCTGACTTCACCAATCGTCCTGGCATCTACCGTTTCAGGAGTGACCAGACAGACAGTCTTGAACTGTCTGGGCTCTGGGTGAAGCTCCAATAGGGAATGGAGGAGGACCAGAGCTCCCGGAAGATAGGAAGGGGTGGTGAGCAATGTGACGAAAGCATTGGGGAGAGAGGATGACATTGTGGAGATTGTCAGCGAGTCGGAGGGGGGGGAGGGGCAAAGGGGGTGGTGGATCCAGAGAGGCCTTTGGAGAGTGGGTCAGCTCGCTGCGATGGAGGCCCACTCTGATACCAGGCACCAAGCAAGGTATGTATGTATATGTATAGACTCACCCCTTGGGTTCCCGAATGAATATGGGATGATGGAATTCGTCGTCGTCACTGGCCCCCTCTCAAGGGAAAAAAAGAAAAAAGAAAAATGTTCGGGAGTAATGCCGAGAAGGGACACACACCAAAGAGCAGCCAGCGATGTGGATATATATATATATATACGCTGCGGTATGTGAGGTCTTGAGTCTCAAGAAGGAGGGATCCAGCGACGTTGATGGCTGTGGTGCGAGAATGTCGACGACTCCAACAACACACTCTGAGCAATGTCACGATATCCACCACCTGGGAGCGGGTTTAAAAAGGCAGATATACATATACAAATTCTCCCCTTTTTCTTACCGAGTCCGGCCGTGGTGGAATGTCGACCAAGCTATCGACGATGGCTATAACTGGCTATACATCTTTGCAGTGGACACGCACTGGAATCAGCAACCGTACTAGGTCGACACATACTCGACATATGCGTATACATACTCCACCTTCATCCCCCTCGGAGAACCCCCCCTTCGGAGCAGTGGGCGCCTCCATTCCCGGAGCTGAGCCGACTCGACCGTCTCTTGGTTGAACACGAGCCTCACGGTCATACGTATCGGACGTGGTACTGCACGGGAGCCAGTCGACCACTAACCAATCCCCCAGACGTGCTGATAGAGATACAATGGGTGTGTGGCGCGACCATTACGTGGGATGACCGTTGCTTGGAGGCCACGGTGAATGACCCGCCTTGGCCTGCTTACCATCCTTTCGTGCTGATTTCAACCTGATGAATCGTGTGGCCCTAGACTTGACGTCTTGACTTATCACACTCTTCTTTCTTTTTCTTCTTCAGCGAGACATCAACGTTGTTACGGCCACTGCACACAAAAGCTAGGACTTTTGCGACCTGGATCGAGCCGGCCATCGGGGGATTTCAAGCTGAAGACCCTCCTGCTCCCTCGTCAACCTGATTCTCTCTTTCTCTCACATCGCCCACCCCATCACTCAGGATCCCACCAGAACTGACATCACCTTCTGCCAGATGTCATCCACCCCGCCTACTCCCCCAGGCTCTTGCTCTCTCCCACTTCAACCTCGTTCCCTCTCACACCTCCCGAAAGAACTCCTGGACGTGGTCACCTACCATCTCGACATCGAATCCGCTCTCTCCCTCTTTAACACTTCCAAACCACTTTCACACCCTGCTGAAACGCGCATCTGGTCAGAGATCAGTCTATCTCCTCCCCGATCACTATGGCGAAAACCCCCTCATTCGACCTTTCGAGCATAACACAGTTGCATACTGCGATTGGGCTCAGACAGAAGCTCGAGCAGCTGAAGATAGAGCACGACAAGCTCTCGACCAGCGCGTCAAAGACATTGTGTTGGCTTGCAATTCGAGACGCCTGGGATATGTCAAGTCCCTCAAAATAATGGCCAGGGCTGGCAGTGCCCATTCCTCGGCCTTCTTTCTCTCTTGCGTGGGTCCGCGATTGGAGAGCTTGACCAATTTTCCCTCCTCTGAAACACATTTGGGACATGAGATGGGAGCCGGAATACCACGAGACCCTCTACTCCCACTTGCTTCAACTTCGAATCTCTCAGCGTCTCAAGCTGGATTCACTGACCAGCCTCGACCTCACCTTCTCTTCCGGAAAAGAGTTCGAAGATTCACTCATTTGCTTGCTTCAAGCTGTTCCGAAGCTGGAAATTCTCAAGATCAGAATCCCAGGCGTACTGTGGATCATCCACGATGACTCCGAGAGATTCGGCCCAGTGCCTGACTTGGGCAACCTGTATAATGATTGTCAACTGGAGAGCCTCAAGTATTTCACGCTAGACTGCACAGAGATTCCCCCATCTTTGGTGGCTGCTCTGGACACCGCATGCCATCTGGAAAAGGTAAAGCTTGTTGGCGTTTGTGAGGTTTATGCGCCATTCGAGGATGAGGAAGGTCTTCTCACAACTCTGTCCCGAAGGCGCCACTTGACCGAACTTGACTGGGAGGGGGTTCATTTTCTTTCGATCTTTTTCGACGATCGTGACGGGCACATGATACTCCCCTCCCGGTCTCTCGGACGATGCAGACGATCTTGAAGGTCTTTCTGATTCTGACTCGATCCCTGTCGATCAACACTCATTTCCGTCGCTGCAAACACTGGTACTCGATGACTTATGGACGAGTCACAGCCCCTGTCTTGCGATGAGCAGCACTGGTTTGACCTGGTGCATTACTGACGGCCCGTATCAGTTTTACCCCTTTCCCGACAATCGTAGCCTGAAGAACCTGCTCATCAGGGTTCCAGATTGGAAGCAAGGTACGAACAAGCCGATCCCGGGCCCATCATTCTTCGGTATCAATATTCAGGATTATGAAGCGATCCCGAGGGCCATCTGCTACTGGCTTCGATACACCGGTCCATCGCTTGAGCACCTCCAGTTTTTCGGTCATGGTAAGCATGCCAACCTGGTGGACCCGACTCTGTGGGACAAGGAAAATTGTCAAGGCACACAATCGTCCGCAGCTTCTCCCCCTGTCCAAACATCGATATTGGCTCACCGGGCAACACAATTTTGCATATCAGAAGTCGAACTCAATGGCTAGCGAAGTCTAGATACGACGCCACATACCCGGATCAAACATCAATCATTAAATCCCGGTGTCTTTTTACTGATCTCGATGACGAGTTGATAAGAAACTGTTTGGGCGGATTACGTGAACGATGGACCTATGTGCAGGTCGAAAGTAGCCAGTGGATTGAATCAACGGATTACCGTGGTCACATTGTACCTCCCTCCGTTATGCTCAAGATGCAACGCGCAGAAGGCTATGATCCTTCTGAACCTCGTTTCGGCCGAGACATCAAAGTCGGTTCGGCGGGATGGAAGGTGATTCGAGACTGGTGGAAAGAGGTAGAGAGGAAAAGACAGAAGGATCATATCTCGGAGACTCCCACGGAAGACGGGATCGTGAACCCTCCTATGGACGGGAATGAGGGCGGAGTCTGAGGCGTTTGTGTGTTCTGGAAGGATTATGATCGAGTTGGGAGCTTTGGCTATGACTGATGCGGAGAGCAGGATGGCATCGCATTGAGGGTTGGAAGGAGGAAGGAAGAGTCTCGACACTTGGCATGACATTCTACGCCGACTTGGAGGAGACCATGTTGTACATATAGACAGAGTCGTTGAGGTCGAGTACATGGAGCGACCCAGTCCAACCCAAAGCATGCCATCACAACATCCTCCATGTCCAGTCTGAGATTAGAGGAACAACAGAGACCCTCCTCTAGATTGTCAATACATGCCTCGTTTCCTCAGATACAATTCGGTCTAAGTCATTCGATCCCAAACCTCCTCATCCTCTTCCGTCAATCCTTCTCTCCCTCTCTGACCGCCAACGTCCAGCGGTCTCCTGATTTCTCCTGAAGCTCTGGACCGAGCCTTAGTGCCAGATCCCCCCGTATCGATGGATGAACGTCCTTCCAAAGCCCCTTCTTCATCTTGAAATATCGGTTCATAGCCTCTTCGAGAGCCTACCAAAGTCCTCCGAGATCCATTCGACGATGCTCCTGCGAGGTGTCGCTCGGCGACCGCTTCTTCATCTTCTAGGTCCAAATCGAGGTCCAGGGCTAAAGAAGCAGTACGGGCTTGAGACAGATCGATAGGTTTAGGTGGGTTCAACAGGGAATGACCGGAGCTGAGAGATTGGCGATCAGTCCAAGGAACCGTTTTCGGAGCTTCTGCTCTCTTTGAAGAGTCAGACGCAGAGTCGACTCACCGCCGCAGAATGTTCCCTAATCTGAGGAATTGAACAGCATTTCGAATGACTAGCAGGATGGTGTCCAAGACTTCCTCCTCTGTATCGGTGTCAGTTGATACCTCACAGTACGTCGGACCTTCAGACTGGACCCGTGTTGTCACTCACGTCGGGTACCTTCGGAACAGGGTGATCGAAAGACGAGGATCAAGGTGATACTGCAGAAGAGGACCAAAAGGAGGTCGATAATGTTTAGCGGAGTCATAGGGTATTTCTGCGATAAAGCAAGAGCATCAGTTGAGTAGTCATGGTCTGTTCGAAGAAAGGACCTCGATTCGCTCGATATATCTACCTGAGATATCGTCGTTCTTATCGCCCCTCACTCACCTTTCCGAAAGCTACCCATCTTGTGCTGACTTCCAAGACCATCATAGCATTGACAATGACTTCGAGAATGTGCCAAGAGACCGGGGGGCATTCGCGTTGATCTGAGCCGGGGGAGAAAAACACAAGGTCAGCATCAGCAGAGGTCAGATGTGGTCATCGGAAGCTGGAGATCCGAGCGTATGAGAAGGGTGTCGGGGGTTGTCGTAGCTGGATAGGATTCCACATCTCACTCCTGCAGGGTATCACAGTACAATCCCCCGTTGTCGCTTTCCGCTAACATACTTGCCGTCTCAGAACAGAGATAACTCACGAGTCGCCCTCAGACTCAACACCACCGTTGTCAAGCTCAAACTCATCATGATGAAGTAGAATCCAATGTAATACCTCGAGTAGATGATTCTATTCGCAACACCTTTGAACTTTTCAGCAGGTTGAATCTGGTATTGAGATCGAGTCGGCTGAAAACCACCACTGCCTCCATTCTGACCTGGCCTAGAATTCCTAGACAGAGGTGTCCGACTTGATGATGATAAGGAGGAAGAGGACAACAATTGGGAAGGATCATCGTGTCTATCGTCATGGAAGGTATCGCCTGCTTGAGGTTCGTCTTCCAAGCCTTCATCTGAGGCTATCTCGTACGCTGCAGCTGCGTCCACCCTGTCTGACATGGTGAAGAGCCTCTAAACGGATCTGAATAGTGTTTGTGTCGTTAACCTAGGGAGATCCTGAGCTTGAACTGATTGGATGAGTCTCGACGAGACAATTGACAACAAAAGAGCTGTACAACTGCGCCCGGCCTGTCGCGCGTCTTTATTTATGTGATCGATATCTCTGCCCGGCCCTCACGATATGGGCAACGGGCCAGACGTCGCCAAGATTATACGACGACAGCTCGATATGAATGCATAGCGTGACAGATAGACAAGACGATGACAATAAAGATGACAGCATACACAGCTGTTTTCACTCTCTACAGCATCGCTCAAGCTCCGCTCGAGCTCAAGACATTTTCAGCAGGCGTGACGCTGACCGTGCCAATGTTCTCTCCTGTACCCCGCCTAGGCTTACTCTTCAGCCATTCCCTCAACACTCGGTCTTTTTCCTCCCGTTCCACATCCCGTCGACTAGTAGCGCTCGTCGAGATACTCTGAAGCTCATCAGCCTTGCCGGTGTCAACAGGATGAGAAGGAGTAGCTTCAGGAGGCAATGTGGCACTTGGTAGGGAGGTAGTTGCGGCCTCAGACATTTGAGCTGCAGGATTGCGCAGAGTATTCAAGCCGAAGACAGAAGCGATTGGCGATGGTCCTGGCTCACGTTGTCTGCATGTCAGCTCAAGCGAATGAGGTGCTGGTGCAGATTGACTCGATTCCAATGCCACAGGTGAGACCGCATGAGAGGTCTCCGAGGTAGGCGAGTTGGGTCTAGTAGTGAGCGGAGAGTAACGCGACGAGAACGAAGGGTTCCTGGACAAAGCCATGAACGTCTGGGGCCTCTCTCCTCGGACCGCAGAGATTGGACTGCTGACACTTTCAGGCATCGGTGGACTCGAGAGGTGACCGTAGATCTGTCGAGCATCCTTTTGCGCCGCGTAGCTATGTCGAGGTCTTGGAGGAGGCGGCAAGGCGGTCGACCGAGTAGGTAGCTTGTCTTCCTCCGAGTCGAAAGGGTTCAGAGTCGAAAATGGTGATTTGATAGCTGGAGAAGACATGGACATGTTGATACTGGTCTGACCCATAGATTTTCTATTATCCGTCTTTGTCCTTTTAGACTTGGATTTCGCTCTGTCCATCGAAGCCGATTTCCGTACAGTGCGATCGGCGATAGGGCGTGAATGTGGTTGAGCGTTGAGACGTGAATCATCTGCATCGGATCGTGCCTCATTGTCGTTCGACAATGATGTCGTAGAAGTCGATGAAGATGACCAACTATCTCGTCGATCGCTCGTCTCGGGAACAATCTTGCTCAGCTGACCGGGTGGCAAGATGTGTTCCACCACAACAGGCCCAGGAGCATGACGGTCAAGTGGAATAGGCTCGTCCGGTCCGAACATTTCTTCCATCGCGAGAAAAGATAACGCAGTCATACCTCTCCGACGGTCTTGCTTGTCCGCCGTATCCATCCGTGGAGATAGCGGTGCACCGGGTCGAGGTTCATCTCTCGCTGACAGCTTGCGTATTTGAGGACGTGAAGACAGAGGATCAACATCGTGAGACTCAACAATCTCTTGAGACTGTGATGATGTACTGGGTCTCTTGGGTCTGAGGAGTTCCCGTTGGAACCTGAGTTGCAAGAGGGCAGAGGGGCCAGACGAACTCGATCGAGAAGGGAGCATGGAACTGCGAGAAGATGACCCTGGTAGAGGCGGCAAAGGACGATGTTGAAATGGCACGGGAGAGCTAGGAGGACTAGGTGGCGTCAGTCCATAGCAAGGCGGTGACGCCGACTCACCTCGCAGGAGACCGTGCATCGGAACCGTGAGTGAAGTCCAACAGCAAAGGTACCTTGATCCTAGATTTCTTCTTCTCATCTGAGCTTTTACGACTGAGTGCCGAGCTGACACGTCTCATCCCTCCCTTGGTCGGTTCTTCTTGCTCCTGGATGTTATAGAAGGCGTAGGGCATGTCTCGCGACTCCACACTCGGTCTCGTGAGCTTGAGCCCAGGCGTCAAACTAGTTGACCGAGGTGGCGTGTTCGGGCTAATGAGGCGGTGAGAAGATGTAGCGCGTTCGATCCGATGATGTGATGAGATACTGCCCGGCTGAATCGAATTCGACCCAATTGGAGGTTGCTCAGACAATGGCCTCAACGTCGGAGGCTTTGACTTTTTCCTCGCTTCTCGCCAGGATCTCACGCTCGCCGCGTCGTGTTCATCTCGTCGTCCTCCGTGACTCTGAATGGAGTCCGCATCCCAGTCTTCGGATTCGAGACCTGAGCTCATCGCGTATGATGGTGTGGGCGGTAGAGGCGGAGCGGTACGTGATGGAGGCGATTGCTGCTGATTCCTCAGATTCGATTTAGCAGGTACAGCCGGAGCAGACTTTGGGTCTTGGCGAGAGTAGTGACGCGATGAACGTCTCGGGGGATTATATTCGTCAAGCTCGTCTCCCCATCCGTCGCTGAGGAGATGCCCAGAGAAGTGTTCAAGGACCTCGATGGCGCGAAGGTTCATCTCGTTAGGAGCATACCCCAAGGGAGGCTGTCCTAAGGCAGGGGCGGCACTGGGAGCTTCTGAATCGAGCCAGTCTGTGGATTTAGTGAGGGTTGTTGGCACAGGTGATGGACCGTCGTTTCTTCGCCGCTTCGTAGGATCTTGAGATGAGTGAGACGACGACGAAGGCGTCGTCGCGGATCGAGCTTGAAGAATAGATTGATCCGACAACACGTCCCAGTCAGACAAGTCGTTGATATCCGCCTGAGGGGAAGACCATTGTCTTTGCTTGTCAAAAGCTATCGCCCCCGCTGATCTTTGCGTCGGTGTCGATAGACCCATCATGGGAAGTTGAAGCGTGTCTCTGCGTCCTTTTTTACTCAGTGTATTATGCCGATCAATCATTGATGATCCTGATGTATCGATAGGTGGAGGTGGTTTTCTCGCCATGGTTACTCTGCGACTCGGGCCTAGATGATCATTTTGACCCTTCTGTTGGACCGTATGGAACTTGTCAAACACTCCGTGGATACTCGGCAGGTCCGGCGGAGTGACGGGATACCCAGAATTGAAACCCAGTTGAGCAGACGCCTGTGTAGGATTACAAGATAATCGAATGGTAGATGATGGTGGAGAGATACGCGACGCACTTAATGGCGGACCATTGGAATGTTTGCGAAGACGGAGTCGATCGATCCGGAATGGGGATGAGGGATGGGGTAGAAAAGGTTGAAGAGGATGATAGGATACATCGGGTGATGCGGAAGCGCCAGGAGGCGATCGATGTCGTGTCGCGTCGGACATGAATGTTGAGGATCTGTTGTGATGATAAAGTTTCGATGTCGAAGGTGACTTATGGAGGACTCGTGGAGGAGATGGGAACTGGGGTGGGATGCAGATGAGAGGCGGACGGGCGGAGGTGAGAGTTGGAAGAGGTGATGAGAAGGGATTGGGAGACGACTGAGGGGAGGGTATGAATAACTGACGGCGAGGAGAAGATGTTTTGAATGGATGTTGATGTTGTCCAGATAGTGGAGTAGGAGTGGAAAGGCTCGTCATAGAGCGTTGAAGAGGTCGTGAATGGCGTAAAAGTTGGTACGAGGAGGTGTTCAGTGGTAAGAAAGAGTTTCACTTGACTCTCTTCATGCTATATGCTCAGCGTCTTCTGACGGATCATGTCTCGATGGACGAGGACAGGAGGAAGTAGAGTATATGGTTCAGGTGTATGTATGTGTGTGTGTTTGGGGATGTGTAGTCGTGCCGAGTGATTGCTGGAATTTGAGGCCCACCTGTCTGCAAGAGGGCCATACCCTATTGTCCCAAGCCACACTGTCAGTAAGTACCATGCGGAAGATGTCAAGAGAGAAAGAAAGGTTCAAGCGTGAGTGAGTAGACAAGACAATAAGGCGGACACGTAAAAGGACAAAAGAGAGAGACAGTGAGGCTCGAGCACCACGGGATGCTGAGAAGAAGATGATGTGATCCATGCGTTAGTCCCAGTTTTGTATGCTTCTTCCCTTCTTTCCTGGTCAATTCAGTATCAATGGCCCGTATGCAGTCCCTCCAGAGAGACAGGAAGGTGCAATTCATATCCCTCCCTGAGCAGCTGAGAGATATGGATAGAAGCAACAGTAGCAGTATGACCCACTCCCGATCTTTTTTGATTATTATTCCCTCACAAAGTCTCACCATTTGGGGTCGATTACCCGCACTTTGATCCAGAGGAAACCCTTCACTCGCCTCCTGCTCTCAACCTACGACTATTTCCTGGACAGAATGCTTCTCAGACTAGCGGGCATGCACATGTCTCGGGAAGTTCCATTGTAGGCCATAGCGAAATACATTGCATACTCGGCTAGTCTCTCTGCTAGTCTAAATGAGACGTGTTTCAAGATAGGGGCAGAGTGGCAGTTTCCAGGCTGGCAGCGGCTCCCATGCATACATACAGGAACACACACATGCACCCCAGTCCCATGCTAAGCCAGCTACAAGAAGATACATTCACACACTCATGGATCCTTGTACACAGTCACACGCTTACTCAATCGGTCCGTTTGCCCAGCCGCGTTGCCTTTGCTCGAAGCCTTCTTCTCTGCAAAATTGGTCACGTCGTCCGGTTCCACGCGCTTTCGCTTGCTCTCAAGACCAGAGTATATGTCCTGTCGTGGTCGAACGCGCTTCCGCGGTGACACATGTGCAAGGTTGCTGGTCGCAGGATCAGCGGGATGAGAATTTCGCGATTGATCGACACGGGACAACTGGCGAGGTCGATTGACAGGTGCGCCGGACGTGTTGGTCTTCCGAGACGTGTTGACCACAGTGATGTCCTTGGGAGTGACATGATCCAGTTTTCTATTCAATGGCAGTGCCTTCATATTCCGAGCAGACTTGTCGTCCGATTGAGCCAAGTCTGTGCGGGCTCGCACAATGTTTCTAGGGAGGACACGAGGGAGCTTTCGAGTGCTTGACGAGGAAGCTAACCCTCTTTCCACATGAGAGTTGGTCATTGGTACTGTCAATCTTGCCTCTGACGGTGCCTCTGCGCCGGTAATGGTGCTCGTCTGTGTAGATATCGGTCGATGCTTTCGAACGGCAATTTTCGTCAGATCGTGAGCGTCGGAAGCAGGACCCAGATCCGGGGCAACAGCAGAAGAGAGCTTGGTTCCGACCGAGGTATCCTGATGGGTAGGTTCGAGCAAATCGTCAGGACTAGGGGGGAGAATCAGAGACTCGGGAGGGAGCTGAGAAATAGTAGACTTCTGCGTGGCAGAATGCTCAGGGCGCGGGCCCAAAGCATGTCTCTCCAGAGAGTCACTGTGTCCACCAGAAGGCCCATCCGTTGTCCTATGCGAAAATGTCGAACCGTTGATTCGTAAGTTTTGGCCGATTCTTCCAGTGAGAGCCTGGCCGTCACTGCCGACAGTATCGCCGTTGACGTCTCCTTGAGCCACATGCCGACTTTCAGCCTTGGTACTCGACCAGCCGGTCAGAGGTCCCAAAACTGCCCTTGCAGCCATCATTGGCTCTTCCACCAAGTACAGAGCTGCCAATCCCCAGATCGATCTTATGAGGGACAGCGTGAGATCTACAGGTTTTTCGTACTTTTTCACTGTTCCCCGAATGAAAGAATTGTACATCATGTTGGATGTCGCTGATCGAGTTGATACCAAGGCCAACGAGAGAGTCGTACTGAGAGGCCCGTAGAGAGGTATCCAGGAGAAAAGTCTTTCGACAATAGGAATCGAATACCCAAGTAAGATCTGGGAATACGTTCAGCTGTATCTCTGGAAAAAACCACACCATGACTCACGTAGACTATCCAGCCCCGCAAAGCCTCTCGCATGGCTTTCCTTCTCGTCATGAGTCCCACGGCTCGTCCATTGCTTCGTATGGTTCTTAGAGCGCGAAAGGAGTCCAGTAAACAGCCACAGAGCCTGAGGAGAATGTTCAGTGGTACTCCAGCAGACAAAATGCAAGTGGGGCAAGACGTGGAGCGGGAATTGGTCAAAACAGCTTACCATATGGTCCGGATGAGCTCTCCCTTATGAATCAAGTAGTAGCTCAAGCCGACGAGCAGGATGACCGAGCGAGCCTGGCCGCCACCGCCGCCGTCGTAGTCGCCCATCGCTGAGGCGCCGACTGTGGGCCAGTCCGTGAGTCAAATGTGTCACTATGCCCTATATCTATCCGGTCCCATCCTTAGCCATAGCTTATATGGGCATGCGCCAATGTTGATAGTGGAGCCAGAATGAAAACACAAGGTCAATGGCCAATCTCAGACTGGGTTCGTCAAAAACATGAGGAAAGTCAATCACGTCTCAGCTGGCTGAGGGCGAATATATATATTCATCGCACAATTTATTATCCAATTTATCCCAGCCAGGATCTCGGGATGCGAACAGGTTCAACCTCCAACCCTCGATCCTTCACATCCTTCTCCACTTCCAACGTGTTCAAGACTGAGTCTAGCATCCGATCGACATTCACGCAGACGCACTGCTTCCCACGCTCGCTCTACTACTCTGAACCTGATCGGCTGTCCTTCCCACAATCATGGCCGGAGTCGACTACTCCCAATACCAGGGGTGAGTCTTTGTTGCATGAACATACGATCCGGCACACTAGTGGGCAGTGACTTCCATGGTGTCTCTGCGTGATCTGGATTGTCTCGTGCTTACATCTACACTCTGTCCAGAAAACCATTCCAGGTCATCTCCAAGCTCGGAGTGAGATATACTGGAATCTTTGACCATATCTCCCAAGAGAAGCAGACTATCTGTCTGGCGAAAGGTGAGCAGCCTTCCGTGGACATTGTATCGCAACGCCATCCTCATTGAATCGAACGCAAGGGGCACTGACGCCACGTACCCACAGTCTTCAACCACGGTACTGAGGACCGCCCAGTCGCGAAGAAGTTCCCACCGAATCCTAAAAGTCTGGGATGGGTACAATTTCAGTGAGTGTCAGACTCGCTTCGAACTTGCTCTTGTTCCCTGTCTTTCACTTATGTGATCCCTACGTTTTGTGTCAGATTCCCTTGCTGACTCATTCAGTACCGCCTCGATCGAAGCGCTCGCCTTGGTGGAAGACTACGTCCCGCCGTATGCTGTTCCCGATGACCCTGTCGACCCGATCCTGGCGTCCGTAGTAAGTGTCTGACCCTCTTCTCACAAGCCATCACTCCACTCCCACTTTCCATGATGAAGTATTTTTCGGATGTAAACAGCCTACGGGCGATTGTCCGAGAGCGCAAAAACCCTGTGGACATTTCCGTTGCCTTCCTTCTGATCCTGTCTCTGCCAATTTCCTCACGTCCTGCGACACGAGCACTCTGACTGACACTCTGGGTTCTCTCAGAGTGCGACCGCTCCATCATCATCTGCGCCGCCGCCACCGCCACCGACATCGCAATCATCATCTCAACCTGCACCTTCTGCCGCTCCCTCTCAGCCTTCATCTCAACGTCACAACCTTCCCGCTAAACCACCTGCATCTTCCGCCTCTACCGCTCTAGACCGTGTCCAACATTCTCTCTCTGAACTCTCTACATCTGACAATACACGTCGCCGACCTTCGCAACCACCAGCTCGACCTATCGAGGTTCCAGACGCCGACTTTGACTTTTCAAAAGGAACTGAAAAGTTTGAAGCTGAGAGAGAGGCTCGTAAAGGGCAAGATGCGGAAGGAGGAGATGGGGAAGGTGGGGAAGAGGCGGAGAGCAAAGCTCCCGACGAGCAAGCTATCGAGCAGTCAAATGGACATGGGGCTACTGCGGGTCAACTGAAGGATGGGGACGCAAAGAAGTCTTCAGTCTACAACAAATCTTCGTTCTTTGATGGCTTATCAGCAAGCACATCGCGAGTGGGAAGAAATGAGGAACGAGGGAGGAATCTGGATACCTTTGGTGAGGCTGGAGATGGAGGATTTGGAAGTGGGATGAGTGGGAGAGGCCGAGGGGGGTTTCGAGGTGGTAATCGAGGAACCCCAGGACCGAGAGGAAGAGGGGGGTATCAAGGCGGCGGTGGCGGTGGACAATACGGTGGATATGGGAGCGGAGGTCAATATGGCGGGTATGGAGGTGGACGAGGCGGAAGCAACGGAGGTGATTGGCGAGGTGGGGGCAGAGGCAGAGGCAGAGGAGGATTCTCCCAGGGCGCCCCGGGTGGTGGTCTGCCGCAATAGGGTGGAGAAATGGGCAAGAATCAGAAGAAAACTCGCAATACGAATGTTCATATATCATGACCCCATACGATGAAATGATCTGATCAGATCAGCAAGAGCGGTCCTCGAGGTCTGCAATGCTGTCACTATATGCTCAAGAGGCCTCTGCCCAGATTCCATACCGTGTCTATCCAACCTTGAAGCCAAGGTCCCAGAGCAGGATTAGCGATCCAGACGCCTCGCCATAATGTCGATAAGAGCCATCCGAAAGCCGCTCCAACAACAACCTGAGAGTACGTATGATAGCCGAGTTCAATACGTGACCAAAGCCCGCCCAGCCAATAAGCCGTGATCCCAATTGCGGAGGACCACCTCTGACCCGTAGTCAGAGAATCAAGTATTTCCTTCCGTGGTGGTCTGACGGATCCAAAGGTGCCTGCTGATCGAAGTTTGGGAACAGCACTGAAGGACGGTATATACGGCCGTATTGACGCAGGTAGAGGTATCCTTATACCTAGAGTGAAAGGCAATGACGCGAGCATTTGGCTTGAGAGTAAAAGCTCCGGGACGAGGTAGAAGAAATAAAAGCTCAATGCGGTGGAGTGAGTGGATGGCATGCCATAGGTTTTTTTCGGTCGAACGTGGGATTTCAGATCTGTATTGGAGGTAGGAGGAGGTGGAGGCGGTCTAGGTGATCTGATAAAGTGTTTGATGCCTTTAGCTTGAGGCGGAAGAGCGGTCAGCAGGCAAACAGATGTTACAGAAGGGAGAGAGCAGGTAGTGATGCCTGTCTCGCGAACGATGACGGCGCACGAACAACGGAGAGAGACAGTGGCGAAGCCAAGAAGGTAAGTCTCACCTGAAAGTGATGATCCCAAAGCTCCGACAGCGATCCAAGCTATATGAGCATCTCGTGTGTAGATGATAATGGCAGCGTGGAGGACGGTGATGGTGAGATGTGTCTGATGGGTTTATTCAGTTGTCAACCCAGGCTTTCGTTGAAAATGAAGAAGTCACTCACCTCATCCAGAACGTATAAGAGGAATGAAGGATAGTCTGATGGACTGTGAGGATGTAGACCCATGATCGCGGCTGTATCAACAGGATATCACAGCAACTGCCTCCAATCTGTTTTAAGCCAAGCTCGACCTACTGCCTGTCTTCTTTGCTTTCCCACGGTCGAAGATGGTTCCCAATATGTTTGTCCGGGCATCGGCTTTTTTTTTTTTTAATCAGTTCGCACTCACCAACAGTTGGTGCCATCAATCGATTGGATCTCATACCGATTCCTGCTGTTGTACGCTCGTCTTCGTCGACTAGAATCCCAGAAAGTCAGGATCTGATAGAAGAACCACCCCACTCAATCATGAGAGCATACATCTATGACAACGTTCCGTAAGTGTGTATACTTGGAAAGTTACCTCCAACGTGCGAGTTGACCTGACTATCCGTCCCCGCTCAGAGGTGACCAAAGAGAGCTACACGACAGCGGTGAGGACGTCGACAAGCAAACTCTGGAACGTCTCGGTGTCTTCTATCAGCAGATTCCGATAGACCAGGAAGGACGATGGGAGACAAGCATCGGTGAGAGCCGCAGCGACCGTCGCAGGGTGAACTCATGCCTCTTTTTCAGACGAGTTCGCAAAGGGGAGGGGTTATAAGAATGTCAGTCTAGCGTGATGGCGCATGAGGGCAACATTGGTCGCTGAAATCAATCTCCACGTAGAGAGACAGAATCACAGTGACCAAGGCTGGATTAGGGGACGCATACGAATCGAAAATCAAATCTTTCTTTGACGAGTAAGTCTATACATGATCCGTTTTCCCCTCAAGTGTCAGCGGCATCTTATGCGGTGACTCTGACGATCCATCTCAGACATCTGCATGAGGATGAAGAGATTCGGTACATCCTCGATGGATCTGGATTCTTCGACGTCAGAGGTGAGTGACTCGTCTGCCTTCCTCGTAAGTCCCCGCGGCTGAAATTTTGGCATTGGCTTTAGGTCACGGAGGACCTTACGATGATAAATGGATAAGAATCTGGTTGGAGAAGGGTGATCTCATAGTTCTGCCTGCAGGGTGAGTGCACATCGTGCCTCGCATCACTGTGTAGCGATGTGCTATGTGCAGTATCTTGCCCCAAACCCCTGAGCGATCCACGCTTTCTGATGGCGGAGTGCTGACATCAGTTTTCCACTCAGTATCTATCACCGATTCACCGTCGATACCGCGAATGCAATCACAGCGATGCGATTGTTTCAGGATGAACCAAAATGGACCCCACATTCTCGTTCAGAATCCGATACAGATGCGAGGGAGGCTAGAGCTACGTACCTAGATGGATTGAGGCAAAGTGCCTAAGCTTGCCGTCGCTACAGCTGATTCAGAAGACAATGTGAATAGAGTCATGCATATGTATTCCTTTTCGTTCTACTCTGCCAGAGCGCCATTATCTCTCGCATCGTCTTCTCCACTGGCTGCTGCGGCTGCCCCGCCTACCCCTTTGAACTCTTGATCTCCACTTTGCATCGTCAAGCCAATCTGATGCCATGTACTCGTCTCCTCCCTTGTGACTTCCCTCAACGCCATTGTAGCGTAAACACTCGGCCCAAGCTCGAGGTCCAATTTCAACGCTTGGAATTTGCCATCAGGATCATGAGGAGCCGGAGGGTTCAAATCGAGTAATTTATCTTCATCAGATTGAACGAGCGCGATATCGGGGTCCGTGTATCGCATATGAGACCATGAACAGTGAGCTGGACGAAGAATGATGGGCCGGTATCCACCAGGCAGAGAGTATTCTCTAGTTTCCTTGGATAAGCCTGGTGGATGCTCCATTAACAATCTCGCTCACCTTTGATCCCTTCTCATTCGATGAATGTTTAGACCGTCTGCGGCCAAGACTTTTTCGTAAAGCTCTCCAATGGTGCCACTTGGATAATCCACATTCCATCCAGGTAAGGGTAAGACGACATCAGTGATCTTGTACTGTGACACGTCCGCTTCTGTCAACACCTTGACATCCTGAGAGGACGACGATTCGGAAGTGTCATTTTTGGTCCTTGCTTTTCCATTTTGGCCCGCTAAAACGCGTCAGCATAGACAATCAAGACCTCTTGGCGCACATTTCGAGCTGTTCGGATTTTCCTTGCCGTGCTCAAAGACCAAGTCACCGACAAGTGTTTCTGTCGCGGACAATTTTATCCTCTCTGACGTGATGAGGTTCCAAACGAAACTCTGATACGCGTGGACGTAGATAGTCCTGAGGTTCCTAGGAATCTGGAAGCGCATGGTCAGATTATCCTTCATCCAGTTGAGAAATGAAAACTCACGCTACTCAGAGCGCCAACCTTGTCGGTCAAGGATCCTCCTCGCTTGTAGAACTCCCAGATAGATCTCTCAGCCACACTGCGTCGCGGCATGAGCTGCAGAGCTTTCTCGTAGTCTTGATCTTCCAGCCAAGCCAACCTGGCTCGAACGCAATCCGGATGCTCCCCTTCTCTCAACGAAAGAATAGAATCGAGAGCCAGTCCCCAGTCCCCGCGGAGAATGTGGAGGCCGGTAACGTGAGTCGGAACCGTCGACGTGCCGAAGCGTTGCATGCCTGGATTCTGTCAGCTTCGTCTCAGACTCAATACTCCACCGTAGAAGTTGACGAAACCACGATCCCGCAATGATCCTAGAACAGTGTCTAAATCGGCCTCAGAGTCATTTTGAATGTTTCTGTGAATCTGTCAGCATTCACAATTGTGACGACCCACCTCAAGGTAATTAAAAACCTATTCCCGTTGAGCATACCGAGATCGAGGTACTTTGTAGAGTACTCGAGATCTCCAATCCTGACACCTCGGTCTCCCCTTGTACACTCGACATCTTCCTCACTTCTGCGTCCTTTGCCAACTTGATTGGCCGCCCTCCAAACGCTGACAAGATTTCGGTTCCCGCGCTTGAGACATACTCGTTGGACAGTAACTGCCCGTTTGTCTTTCGTCCCGCAGACTGTGAGATCTTTAGGGTAACATCCCAGAGATCTGGCGAGATGAGACAACGCATCTTGTGTTTCGCGATTCGACTTGTGCATCGTGAAGTGGATGTACTGGGGAAGTTTGGGTTGATCTGGGGGCAGAATCAGTGAAAGCGCGGGTACTAAAGACTCACCTCGATCGCGGTCATTTGGCGCACGACGAGATTGTTGCCTGGCCCATTTGATCACGAGGACCTGACCACCTCCGGGCGCTTCCCGAGAGGAAGTCTCAAAGAGCCCATTGAGATGCTCGCGGACTGCTTTGTGTGCAGCAGCCCGCTGTTCCTTGTCCGCCATTGGCTAAACGGAGGCATCAACATCTGCTTACGAGCTCGTGCAACCCACTTGTGATAGAACTTCTCGATCATCGCCATTTGCAGTCCACCACTCGCCATTGGAGCCGCCTCCTCCACCTCTGCCACCACGCCCACCCCTGCCCCGTCCATCTCTTCCTCTACCTCGATCGCGTCCCTGCGGAAAGCCTCGTCCATGTCCACCGGCCGCGGATGTATCTTGGGTCAACGAATCAAGATTCATGGCTGCCTCTTCTCCTGCTCCTGCCTCCTTGGGTTTTCGTTGACCCCAGCCAGAATCTTGCTTCGGAGGAGGATCTTTCCCTTCCACTAACAGGTTATAGAAGGATTTGATAGTCGAGTCGGACAGATGGGGTCGTAGGCCCTTCGTCGTGGACAGCGTCCAGGATGGATGAGCTGGGAACTGAAGCTCTTCAGGCAGGTCAATCTGAGTATCTTTCGGAGATTCCTCTGTAGGGGGCTCTTGAGCTTGTGGCTCCTCGGGTCCTTCCGCTGCGCCTGCCACAGCCTTAGCTTTGCCCTTGTCTTGAGATTTCGTCTCGGGTTCCTGTGGCTTTCGGATGTCTTTGAGGTGCAGCACTGTGCCGTTTAATAGCACCTCGTTGACCAGGAAGTCTGTGAACCTGATAACGATCAATGGCGCTCATAATTCATCCAGCCTACCTCTGTTTGATCACCCCCTTAATCCCACTGACGCCACTAGGTCCAGCGTAACCGATGATACCAACTTCTTCTTCCCCTACGAACCCCTTTCGAGCTCTCAGATCGGCCTTGACGCCCGTCACGAGCTCCAACGAAGGTGGCAGGACGGGCAGCATAGGCTTGAGTCCCAGTCGAGATACTGGTCCGGGCTCATCATGATAGCTTGGTCTGATCAGGACGCTGTCTTCTGCTTCATCCTCAGCGTTATCTACTCGAGCTGAGCCTTCCGTAGGCTCAGCGCTGACCGCTGGTCCTGCCTGATCCGACTCGTTCTTGAAACGCTTAGCTCTTGATTTGCCATCTTCATCCTCGACGAGCTCCAACGGCCTCTTGACAGATGGATCTTCGACCATTGTTGTAATCGTGCCCGTTGTACGCATCATACAAAGAGATTGCTGAAATTTCAGTTCGTCGGTCAAAATCGATTGTGGAGTCTCCACACTCCGCGAAGACGGAACCAAAATTTTCAACAAAGCGGCTGAGTCTGATCTTATCGCACGAGCAGTATACTTGATTCATAACTCACGCACCATGGTCTTGTCATACAGCGCAGCTGCCAAGCCAGCATCCAGTGAGACCGGAATCTTGTCCACAAGCAATTCTATACAGGATGGCACAGCCGCCGATCAGCCCGTCGCTTCGAGCTCGAAGGCCAGGTCGAGCGCACCCGTCAAGCACTTGATCCTCGATGCTGGTCCTCTGTTGTCCATGACGCCTCTGCGGCACCTTGCCGAGACGTTCCACACGACACCCATGGTTGTGGCGGAGCTTCGGGATCCCAAAGCTAGGGAATACTGGGAGAGATTAGGCTTGACTGGTATAGACGTTAAAGTCGAATCGCCATCAGCCGAGGCAATGGCAGAGGGTGAGCTTTGCAGGTTCAGGTTGCAGCGGGCGATCAACTGATATCAAGCTCAGTGGTAGCATTCGCACGCAAGACTGGTGATTATGCTGTCTTGTCAAAGACGGATCTGTCGGTCGTGGCTCTGACCTGGCAATACGAGGTGTTGGAGAATGGTAAGGAGGGAATAAGGAAAGAACCTGGTCAGAAGTTGGCGAGGCCGGATGGTCCACATGGGCTAGCGGAGAGCGAGAACAAGCAGGACGAGCCAAATACTGGGGGAGATGATGGCTCAGACTCTGACGGAAGCCAACACGGCGAAGAGGATGTCGTCGTGGCTCCGCCGGAGGATGGCGAGGTGAATGCGGCATCCAAGTCGATCGAGCATATACTCCTGGACGACGACAAGGCAGACGGTGCCAGCTCGGACCACTCTCATCAAGAAGCAGATGCACGTGTGACGCCCTCAGCCGAATCGCCTCCACCTGATCAATCCCAATCAAACGAGGCCGAAGACAGCGAGTCTGACGGCGGTGAATGGATCACCTCGAGCAATCTCAGCAAGCACCGTAATCGCGATCTTGGGCTCCTGCCTGATCAACCAGGAAAGGCACCGAGCGAAGTTCAGCAAATCGCCGCAGCATGCATGACCGGAGACTTTGCCGTGCAGAATGTCCTGCTCGGAATTGGGTTAGGCCTGGTGGGAGAGGGCGGCAAACGTATCTCGAAAGTCAAGAGCTGGATCCTGAGATGTCACGCGTGTTTCAAGTGAGTCTTGCTGATTCATTTCCCCGCTGATCATTGCTAGACTCTGTAAAGACCCAAGTAAACGATTCTGCCCTTCATGCGGTAACGCGACATTGCTCCGAACCACCGTCACAACTTCTGCCTCGACGGGAAAACAACATATTCACCTGAAAAAGAATTTCCAATACCATCTCAAGGGATCAAAATATACCATACCCGATGCTAAACCCGGTCGGGCGAAGGGGCAGCAAAAAGGAGGAACAGGCCTGATCTTGCGAGAAGACCAGATTGAATGGCAAAATGCAGTGAAGAGTGCGGACATTCAACGGCAGAAGGAAGAAAAACGTTTAGCGAAGGGTGGTCTGGACGGTTGGAATGATCCTGATGTAAGTTTGTTCCCGCCTCATTAAGGCGGCCGCTGACACTGATGGCACAGTGGCTCCCGCCGATGATTACCGTTGGTATGTCAGGAAAAGGCAGAAGCGATGGTCAACATATGCCTGCGATCGGGCATGGTCGGAAGAACCCGAACCACAGCAGGAGAAAGCGTTGAGAATCGTCATGACATGTCACGTTTTAGCCTTGACCCGTTATTGATCGTGCTTGACCGCTGATGAGGCACACGAGACGCTTACTGAATTATCTCATCTCCCGCCGCGATGCGCCCATCGAGACGCGGTACCGCCGTCAAGATGGGCGTCAAGGCATGCTCATGCATGCAAAGGCGCACAGCGATACCACTCTTTGCTCGGTCCGACTGGATCACAGGCAGGGAGGCATCATCAAGGACTTGTCGCGCTTTGAGGTCCACTGCGCGGCGAGTAGTATAAATTGCAAACAGGATCCGCCAAAAAATGTCGATAATGCTCGCATGCAACGGTTATCAACATACAAAGCTACTGGAATTCACGAGACGCATACAAGAAACGGCTGACAGTAAGCAATACAAGGCTTAACACACCCCGTGCTATGGCAAGCCCATCCTTCTGAGTCTTTCCAGACGAGGTCCAAGAGGCCGATCACTTGGAGGAGAGACAGGGCGTTGAGGATGAGGAACCACGTCCCAGGTGTGCCACCCTTCGGAATCAGTGTCGATCGGAGTAGCAGGCCCAACGATTGACCATGGAGATCCGAGAATATTGTCTCGTTTAGGGCGAGGTATTCCGAAGATCCGTTGGGAAAAATGAGGTGCTGATTGAGTACGGCGTCTAACGTGACGACTGGATGTGATCGCTTGAACCGTGTTCGCAGAAGAGACGGGGAAGGAAGTATCGCGGAAAAGATCTGGATCTGGTGTTTGACATCGTCTTTTGATGGGTCGAGGTCTATCCAGGATCTGCCTTGAGCGAAGCGTAGAGGTGCCTTGGGTTGTCCACGTCTGGATTATGGAACGATGTGGGAAGGTGGCCAAAGGCGACTCTGGTGAATGAGAAACCGCTTCGGGTGTTGTCGCCGGAGCTACAGAGCTCGAGATCTCGGGTCGAGGTAACCTTATCGGCCGATCTCTCACGTACTCGAGGTAGAAGCTAGCTGAGAAGGTGAGTCCACCAACTTCCCTTCCTCTCCCCCTCGCGCGCCGCTCACCTGGCAAGTCCAGTGGATCTCTGATGTCTAGGCAGACTGCGCCGAGAAGACAATTTCGGTGCGGGATTTTGAGAAAGTTAGCTTGACGTTGCCAATCTGCCTCTATGTGCTTCCATTTTGGGTCTCGTCTGTCCTCTACAGTTGAGATGGCTAGCTGGGCAGGAGTGACAGGACGAGCAGGGACTGGAATCCGGGTCGTTGGCGAGGATACATCGTACTTAGAGGTAGGAGATGGACGGAAATGGACAGAGGGTCGAGTGGAACTTCTCTTCAGGGGCGTGTGAAAGATCGGAGTAGCTGATCGCAGTCTATCAAGCGTTTGGGATCCTGCAGACTTGCCAACACTGGGTCCAAGACTTCGAAAGAGGGATCGAAAACCTAGAGATGAAGTAGGTCGATCCCGTTCCATGGGCGAGGAGCGAGGAGTGCGGAGCGACATTGGGATGAGACTGAGGGTGTAGGCAGAGGGAGATGAACACCAACAGATCGCGCATACGAAGGCTGGGATGGAGAGCAAAAGGGAGAGCCAGTGTGGCGAAATGTTGAGCTGAGATCCACTTATGATTGCAATCGAGTTTCACCACTTTTTTATGCATGATTAATTGTTTTTTGTTTCAACGTTTCTCAGATCATGGAGAACCCAACTTGGGGATCAACCTGGTAGACGATGAAGGAAAGATTGGTCGGGTCGATGTTGCCCTTGTCAAACAGCTCGCCGACTCATGACGTTGTATATACATGCAATATTATGCTATCTCGCTTTCCTCTTCAACTCCAGGTCTCACCTTTCGCGTGACCTCCTCTCTGCTCGCTGTCATCCTCGCGCGCCGATCTTAGCGCCTTTTTGGTCATGAAGTTTGAACGAATGCCAAAACGAAATGAAAGATAAAGACTCTTGCGAGTCAAGTCGAAAGAACAAGTAAGGTATCACTCGAAAGGACGGACCTTGGGTTTGAAATGGAGTAGAAGAATTGGGACAGCGAAAAGAAAAATTGAGGATGGTTTGGTAGTACAGTGTCGTCGAGTTCCCTCCCTTCTCTACGCATCTACCCTTCTATACTCCCCCTAATCCTTCTTCTCCCCGCCACCACCTGTAGCAATCTCCTTCTTGCGATCGCTGGTGGCAGCGCCTGCACTGTCACCTTCTTTCTTGCCTGGACCAGTCATGAGAGATCCGCGAAAGCCACCTCTGCCGCCACGGACACCACCACCTCGCCCACCGCGAGCGAGGGAGGGAGCTCGGGGCGGGGGGTTTGAGATGGAAATTGAAATGGTCTTGTCTCGAATTGTCTGCGAAGGGATCAGCTAGGTGAATAGGTCTTTCAAATCAGCTCACATCAGTGTGCGATTTGAGCGCTTCTTGGCAATCATCCTCATTGGCGAAGTCGACATAACCAAAGTCCTATACAGTCAGGATATGCCTCTACACTGGACTCACCTTTTGCTTGTTGTTATTGTACTGATCATGAAGCAATTTGACGGAGACGATCTGAAGAGTCAGCTACAAGTCAGGAGGTGAGTCTCACCTTGGCGGCTGAGTTAGGGAACAAGGCCTTGATTTCCTCCTCCGTGACCGGCGTAGGCAAGCCCTTGAGGTACAGTGACTTCTTGGTAGCTGGAGTGGAGGCGTCCTCAATCCGAGGTTTCTTTTCCCCTTTGGTATCCTCATCTGAGGTCTTCTTCTCGGTTTCCGTCACGGGGGTCGCAGGCTTGGACTCGGACCTCTCAGCCTTGGTTGACCGGTTCCTTTCCTGCTTCTCCGGTTTTGAGCCATTTGGAGGCGTATCAGTCCTCTTTTCGGGGGCATTTCGTCCCTTTGGTGCAGGCGACGAAGGTTTGCCATTGCTCTGGGCCGGAGCTTTGGCCGCAGTGGGAGTAGGTCGAGACGGCGTGGTCGGCTTAGCCTCGGTTGACTGGGCAGGAGGCACGTTGGCAGTGCTGGGCCTAGGACGAGGTTGGACTGGCTTGGGAGGAATAGAGGACGGGACAGTTGATGGACCAGTGGGGGGTCTGATAGGAGCAGCAGCAGGGGGCCTGGTGGCAATCCCCCTGATATTGCTCATGGGAGCGGCAGGAGTAGAGACTGGTTTCGGTGGCATGACGCTCGAGGCTGCCGGGGCGGGAGGACGAGCCATTGCGCCAGTAGGTGGCATAGGCTTCGAAAGAGGGGCCTCGGCCGCTGTCGTTGCTCGTGGAGCGATGGGAGCTGGCGCTGCAGGAGCAATGGGGCCAGAGCGTGGTGCCGTGTCGTTGTTCGTTCGATGGCTGAAGTTTAGGCCTGAGCGTGTCAGTGTAGCCCAGCGGATCTCATTCACCAGTGCTTCGCGTCTCAGCAGTGACTCGTCCTTGATCCACCGAGAGAATCATGTGGCCGCACGAGGCGTCGCTTGGCCGTCAACAACAATGAGGGGTCATAGCTCACCATAAGACCCAATGCCAAGTATTCGTCCACGATTCATCCTTGTTATAATCGTCGACGATACGCGAAGTCGCCATGAGGGCCTTTTTCAAGAGATCTTGCTGCGTTCCACTGACCGCGTTAGTCAAGCAGGGTATCGCACGGCTCACTTCATGCTGGCCTCTATGCTCCCTTTGACCTGGTTGTAGACTGCCTGGAAACTATCACGTGCAGATGCCAGACGTCGTTTGTACTCTTCGTGATCGGTGTGAATGGAGTACTGATTTAAAGAAACGGGATAGCGGACTGTGGCGATCAGCAAGGGCTATCATCATTCACTCACAATGAAGACCGCCTGATATGGTGATGTCCACTCTCAGCGTGTTCGCAATGAGCGTCAGGAGACCGTTCCGAGTCACCGGAGCAGAGGCGATCAGGATTCGAGTCTCGCTCGGATCAAAGACCTGCATGTGAGCTAGAGGTCGGCTAAGCGCTTACCCTCTGTGCCGTATCCACCAATTCGCCTATCTGTAGCGCTGTGGTCCACATAGTCCCCTCACCGCCGGCAATCGTAGAGTAGCCCTCCCCTATGAAGATCAGTTCGGAGTCAGGGAGCAAGACTTGCCATGGTTGACTGCGACAGATCAGCAAAGTCTTACGAGCGACAACTTCCACTCACACAACTTGTGCTGAATCAAAGCTCCGCCCAGACCAAAGAGCCTCAGCTTGAGTCCACCAATGTCCAACAAGCTCGTAGTAGCCTCATCGATAATATTGAGATTGTGGACCTCATACTCTCCCGTCCTGAACTTCTCCAATATCCTCACATCCTCCAAGAGACCCCAGACGGTGAAGACGGGTACAGGGAATGTGATGGCTCCCGTTAACAGGAGTGGAAAGTACGAGAGGAGGAAATGATTGGACGAGTTGTTGAGAGCATTGATGAGTGCTGCTCTGCCTGCGCTTTCGGGTATGGCGAGGAGCTGAGATCGGGTCATGTTGGGGATCAAAGGGGAGTATTGCAAGAGGTGTCGTAAAATTCTTGCACAGTCAGCCGAACGTCTAGCCGAGACTGCTCACTTGTCTTGCATTCGATCCAAACTCTCTGCATTCATGAATCCAAAGTCACCCGTGTGAATGACTGCAGTTGCATCATGTTCGCGAATGAGCTTGTTGAGCTCGTGGTCTGCAGTCACATCAGCCGAGGGGTAAAATCATGATTGCCCACTCACAGTCTCCTCGGATATCTGAGACGCAGAGGATCCTGCCAGTCTTTCCAGCTAGAACGATACGAGGCGGAGATGATACTGATGGAGTCTTTTCGGTCTGAGCGGGAGACAAGAGCCCGTTGGAGGCGACAGCAACCATGTTGAAGCAGAACACACTCGGTGGAGGCGGGTTGCGGATTGGGTATGCAGCGAAGAGGGTATCTATGCAGTGCGTGCGGTTTAGGCCGAGAGACTGGTTCAGAGTGGATGCTTGCTCTGGGAGAGAACCTGGTGACTGTAGCAATCTGCCAGAGAGAGGGCAGGATCAAAGCTATATAGACGAGATCGAGAGGCGAAGACTAGTTAGGTGGTTGCAGAGACACGAATTTGAGCGAAGAGCTGGTCGGACGATGGCAAATTACGTAAGGGGGAATGTGGCGCGGGGATTCGAGACAGCAGCCGACACCAGTCGTGCAAAGGATCACGGTGGATGCGAGATGATCGCAGATTGGAACGGACGTTGCAGCGGCTGCATGCTACACGAGCATCGTACCGGAGTCTAATCGTCATGTCTTACGACTGCCGCGTGTCCGCAAGCTGAATCAATCCTTTTGGCAGTTCCCAAGATGCATCCTTTGCGACCCGCTTCAACTGTTCCACATATCTCTCAGAAGACTTTGAAGAATGCGCTGCGAATCATCCACAAAATCCCCAAAGCTTTGGATCTCCCTCTTTTGGTGAGAATTCGTGAGCTATCCAAAAGCTCCTGTGATCGGGTTTCTTCGATGGAGGCAGGTGTGCCCAAGGAGGCGGTGAGTGGGGGTCGCAGATCGACATTTTGAAACTAGGAGGACAGTGGAGACCAGACGGTTGACTGAACTGAGGGAGAGACTCAGCAGCGGAGAGTGGACGGTTCAGAAAGTGTTTCACCATCATGTAGCCGGCCAGAACATCTCACATCTGATGCATCCAGTGTCTATTCGCATTGACAGGTTCGAGTACAGCCCCATGATTTTCATGGACGATCTATGGTAGAGCCCAAACTTGGTCTCTGGATGTCTTGGCTTTACCGGTCTGTTCAACCGCGAGCTTCCAAACACGCAGACGGCGTAAGCGATGTGACCATCACTTTCGTCGCATGATGACGACGTCAGTGTTGTACTTGTACAAGAAGGTGCCGGTCTGAGATCAGCCCAGTGGCATGAGGACTCGTCTCACCTCTTTGTTCACCCATTCTTTTTCACCCTCTCTGATGATTTTTCTGAGCTGCTTCTCGAAATCCACTCGGGCTGATCCATTCAGATGGTGCTCCGTGAGATATGATTTGGAAAAGAGTCTCTCAACGAGCTTTTGGAATAGCAGTCAGAGGACAGACCCGTCGTGGAAAAGCGCACCTGATCCTCCGTCATAGGCAGAGTCCAACAACTGGAGCTCTCCTCCTGTGGCTCGAATAACGCTTTGTAAGCAGGAGTGTCAAACACGGCCCTCCATTTCCCCAGATAGTACTGTGGCGAGATTCTCCCAAAGGGTTCATAGAGGTTTCGTACCTCTGCACACCAACCAGCATCATTGGATTCGATATTCCAGACGAAGACGAGGGGAGAACCGGATGATAGATAGGACGCTGCTTCGCGCTGCATCTACGCATCAGCTTTGCACACGCCACACGCAAAACGCGCAAGACCCACGACGGCCGCGTCGAGATTCTGACACCAATGGAAAGCTTGAGCAATCAAGACACCATCTACTGTGCCCTTTCCAACGCCGAGCTTGTCGACCTCGGAGTAATCTTCAAAAGACCCAGCGACATTGGCGACTGTCCGGGACGATGTAGCACTAGATGGGATCTGGTTTAAAGCAACTTTCCACGTTTCACGCATCCCATCAGAAGGCTCGATGGCAATAAGAGTATCTAGAGAGTTGGCATCAGCCCGAATTCTGACTTTAAAACATGCCGACTGGGATCTTAGGATAGTCATCGCTGGGGGGATGCAGGAGGAGTCTCGTGAAAATGCCGGTACCTGACCCTACTTCGAGTAGCTTTAGACCTCCTTGACCCTCGCGGCTGGGTAGGGCTCGGGCGATAGTGTGCATCGCTTCGGGAGGGTACGAAGGTCGAGCTCTGTCATACTGAGGAGTTCAGCTGAGTCACAGCAGGGTACTTGCCAGCTCGTTGGTCCCGGATGAGAAGCCAGATGCGGCAACGCTGTGGATCTTTGAGGGTCCAGTGGAGCTCATCATGAGGTAGTTATCACTTCAGACGGCTTGGCGAGATGCGTATTTACCTACTGCAAGATCAAGTTGCCGAGTCAATTGTCGACTCAGGTCTTCAGGCCGGTCTATTTATACCGTGATCTGCCCGGGCTCTCGGAGCTATAATCGCCGGACCGACCATTTCCGATGAGGGACGACTGGACGTTGTCGGTGATGCTCGGATGACATTCGGCTATGCGCAGACTCAGTAGCGAGAGGCCAGGCAAGCTGCCAGCCGATCCGGTGTCTGGCCGACCAAGTATGATACTACTCCCACCGCTGTGAGACATAAATCACCTCGAGCGACACGCGACTGACTTTTTCGAGCCCGAAATGACCATCTTAACGAAACAAGAAATGCATGACATGAATTAATCTTTGGATGTCTAGCCAATGAAGCGATGAAATGTATATGTATAAAGGTGGTCTAGGCAAGACTGTTAGGGAGACAATTTCAGATGGAATCCGAGATGCTTCATGACCACAGCGCCAACAGCGCACCCGAGACCAGGGCGATCCCAAGCGTTCCAGGGACCACGAGTCCCGCGGTCGCTCCACCAGAAGCATGGAGACTTTGACCACCAGTCGCGGCTGATGCGCTGGGTCCGGCGACAGCTGTCATGCTCGCACCGGTAGAGTTGCTTTGCCCCTCGATGATGACACTGCTCTGTGGCAATACAGAAGCAGCGAGAACCTCTTGTGTCTCGATGGCTCCGGATCCCACCGTGATGAATTGTCCAATGGACGGGACACCATCCACAACGAGGAAGATGAGGGCTGGCCCAGGCTGGAAGATATTGGCATTGGATGGCATCTGAGCGACGTGCATGGTCACCTCGCCAGATGTCTCATCAGAAGTAAATGTCGTGGAGAGCTCGAGATATCGTTGACCAAAGTTCATCTACGGGAGTGAGCTCAGAGTACGGGAGCCGGACTTACGCAATGCGTGCTAAAACCAGGTCGGATCACGACGACCTTTGTATTGGAGACCGAGTTGTTGCCGCTCGACTGATACGTGACGTTGAAGGCTTCTCCGCCCTGGATATCAGCAGAGCACTGCCAGATGCACTCACGTAAGACAAGTTCTCTGGCCAATCGGATGTTGGCACTGGTCGAGGCTCAGAATACCAAAGAGGATAGAACTTCTCGACGACATATGAAGTCCCCCATTTTGTCGTGGTGACGTCTTTGTTTGGATTCGACCCCGCGACGAGAATTGCACCATCTGGCAGAAGCGTGGCAGTGGAGTGATACATTCGTTCTTGATTCGAGGGGGATAATCCCTGTCGGCTGAATCGTTGACCAGGAGCAGCATTGGGACTGAGGTCAGTCAAGTAACAAAGCCATACCTCACTCGTAGATCACAGGGTCGTACACGGGGTCCTGGCCATAAGATTGACCGTAAGAATATTTCTCATCTCCGTATCCAGCGGTTCCCATATTGACACTGCCGTCAGCTCAGCCCATCTGAGGTTTCTCACCCATTTCCCAGCCAGAGCTTGCCATCCGGCATGTAAATAAAGTTGCCCATGCTTCTGCCTTCAGGCAAGCTGTCATCATCCGAGTATTGTGGGTTCGGGTCATCGGGAGAGATCCTGACACAGGTATCGTCGGCAGGCACAGCAGTCACATTGAAGCCAGCGCCGCCATCGGAAGATTTTGTGAAATTGGCGGATGATCCTCCACAGAACAATATGGTAGGGGTGTAGTTGTTCTCTGGCGTCAATGGCAGCATAGCCACAGCTGCGGATGCGGGGTAGACACGAGCCGCATAAGGCATGTCAGGTAGGGCAATCTCCTGTTGCGCGTTCATGTCGTAGAGAATGGTGCTGTAGTACGCCTGCATGAACAGCTTGCCTTGGGTATGTTAGCCACATCGACCAGACCAACTCACCGCTCGGCATCAAAAAGGTCAAGGGAAAGAGGTTTAGGGGAACAGTGGCATTCAAGAAGTCCATAGGGATCTTGCCCGTGTTGGTCGGCCAGTACTCGTAAGACGGGTTGTTCTGGGCAAAGGTCGACACGTATCCTCCATTCTGATCACCGCCTAGGACGATCAGTGATCCGTCACCGAGCGCCTCGATGGTGGGATACCATCGTTTACTGGTCATGGTCAAAGCGGATCCGCCCTCTTCCCATGGACAATCTCCAGAGTCACAGGGCGTGAGCATACGAATGGCAGTTCCTCCATCCGAATCACTGTAAGGGTTTGCGCCGCTCGGATTATTGACCTTGTCGTTGACGGCCACCCCTTCATAGGTGACGGGCTGATTCCCTCCAAACACTGCCCAAGACCCGTTTCCTGTGGACATTCCTCCCGCGCAAAATGTGTTTGACATCACAGACATGGGCGTAGCGGTGTTTGTATCCAGGTCATAGAAGGATCCCCAAGCGGGCCGAATGACTCCAGCGGGGGTGGTGACGGTCATCGAGTTGTTCTCGGTTTCTACGAGTCAGCAAACGTCTCACTCTTCCGACTTACTGTCCAGCATGTAGACGGTCTGAGATGTCCCCAGAAACATCATCTGCGCCGACACTCCCGAGTCTCCAACGACTGTGAAACCTCCCAAGTTGGGATTCGAGTCCAGGCCCCCTCCATTCCGACGTGAGTGGGTGGCTCTAGCGAGATTGCGATGGCGAGTGGCGGAGTCGCGGGGGAAGGGGGAGTGGTTGTGAGCGGATGAGGAGGGCAGCAAGGGAAGGAAGAGGAGGGGAAGCATGATGGACGTAGTGATTGTGGGCATGGTGAGAAGAATGTTTGATATGTGAGAGTCCAAAGGGATGCGACGTTGAGGGTAATGAGCGTGGGTGATGGTAAGGAGCGTGGGAGAGGTGTGAAGATCCTTCACGTCCTCGTTGCTGTCACTGTCAAGAAGATAGGAACGACTGACAGACTTGACTTGTGTCCAAAGAAGCGGTGTCAAGGTGTCAAGTGATGAGACTTGATACCCTGGATCAGTCTCCAGCACCAGGGTTCCCCTTTAGTCGACGCTATGACCTCGCCCTTTTCCAAAACGCTTGGACTGGTCCTCTCAACTCGTTGTATAGGCCGGATGCTGTTCTATGACGGATGGCGAGGGACGAAGGACGATCAGTGTCTAAAAGCGTTGTTTTGTGAAGATCCTGTCACTATGAATAGCCAACAACAACTTGGAAAGCCAAGAGGTCCTATCGGATGGGACACAATTTGTGATGAATAATAAAAAAGATCGGGTTGCAGGCCCTGGTTGTTTGGTTATTCCGTCACGCGCCACCAGAGGTAGGTAGGTGGGGCCTGGCCTCAGGTCTGACTGAGTCTCTCTGGTTCGAACAGAGTCGCTTTTGCTGCACTGAGATGGATGGATGGGTCAAGGGAGTTGTCGACACAGCTGCTTTGATCTGCCCCCCTACCTCGTTGTTCTATTGTTTTGTTATTATGCCCCCTGTGTCGCTCACTCACTGGCCCGCCCGCCCGAAGGAAAAAAAGTGAGTCGCGTGTGGGGTTTCAGATACGAGGCGCGGGAGAGCAAAAGAGCCCACCAGCTGTGACACTCGCGGCAGCGATGGATGGGTCTATCGCAGCGGGATCACACAAGAGTGAGAAACCGATGGGATTGTTCATGCATCCTCACTCGACAATGTCCATCTCTTCAAATGGATCATCACCATTGTGTGACACTACTCTCTCTCCTTTCTAGACTCGCTTCAAAGCTGAAACGCCTCTTACCCCTGAAATGACAGGATAAGCGGACAACGCCGAGAATCATCAGTGCTTGACTTGCATGATGGTCAAGAGTGTGGTCATGATCATCGTTGACGGCAGAACCGCAAACTAGGCGAGACTCGGGATCCGTAGAAGATTGCAGCTAGGAGGGCAGCAGGTAGTGTGGCCACGCCGTTGTCATGGCGTTCGCTCACTTTTGTGCCTGACGACCATGATCACATCCTGAGAGCCTGACGACGAATTCCATCGAGAGTCAAAACATCCATTCATCTCGTCATGACCTCCTGACATCTCTCACGTGCTCGATATCACTCGATTGCAACCCTAACCATAGTGAAGCCTGGATAGAATGAAACGAGAGCGAGACAACGTCGAGACGGACTCGTCCTCGACTGTATCGACGATCGATCCAAAGCTGCTCAAAGCGGAGGCTAATGATCAGTACGACGGATTCTCGTCTCCTGAGAAGAAGCGAAAGCTCAAAGGGCACGAGGGGACTGGATCTACTAATACGAAGAGTACCAAGATGGTAAGGAATCTCCGTGTCCTGATACTGTGTCGACACCGATGCTGACGAGACGGCCCGTCATTTAGGCCTGGACGACCGAAGAAGAAGACATCCTCCAAGGCATCCTGGATGGAGTGCTCAAATCTCATCTCTGGGACGAAGTGAAGAAGGATGGCAGACTGGTCCATCGTACGAGTTATGGCGTGCAGTACCACGCGAAGGTGAGGACGGATCAAATCGTCTTCCCTGCTGATATCTACCAGATGATGCTTCGTCTGGGTGGGAAGAAGAAGTGACCTGGCTGGCGGAGACTGGGCTTGAGGGATAAAACGAAGTCATTCATGCTCGATGACTCGAGGAATTCATTCAGGTTGATCGCCATGCACATGGAATCCCACGCCAAGCTCTGATTAATCATTGTCGATTCAGAGAATCTCATGCTCGCTTCCCGCAAAGCAGTATCGTAGGCTCTTCCCCTTGGCGGAAACATGAGAGCAGGACGAACTACAAGAGAGGTCTTCTGGTGTCTGGTGCTGAAAGGGGGAAGCAATGAAAGGACGCTCACACGTTCTCGAGCGTGTCGACTTTTGTGAGAGGAACGCAAGAACGCTGACATGGGCTTGAGCTGAAAGGATGTCTCTTCTTCTGAAACAAGGCGTCCAAAGTCGTCTGCTGAATGTCCTTTGTTGACGCTCATGCACTGCGTTGCAATGTTCACACTGACGATACTTGTTCGCGGATCCGACATTGTATAAGAAGACTTCAATACATAACATCCAGCGGCATCGTTCATCAGAAATGGCGAATAAGCGAAATCCGGCTTCAAGTGCGACTGCGAGTCATCCTGCTCCACAGGATGAGGACGCGTCCATGGTGGGGTATGACACGACGTCTTCCTATGAGGATGACAATGATCTGGCAGAGGAGGATGAAATGCCGCTCTTTGAGCTCGCCAGACAGATCAACCGATTCATGACACTGACTGGCCCCCCGACCGTCGATCGATACTTGTGCAAGGGACACGAGACTGTCACTGCAATCACTGTCGAAGGGTGCGACCGTGATATCATGGCCGACTGTCAAGTCGTGTTTCACAGACCCAGCACAAAATTACAGTCAACGGAGGACCATCGACAAATCCTCGATTGGCTGGAGACAACCAAGCAAAATACAGACCTAATCCATTTCGCGTGAGTCTCACTTTGGTAATGCACAATATGACACCTCATCAGGATACCGGTCAGAGGTCACAGTGACATGGGCAACATTTTCTCCTTCCATTGTAGTGGCGACGGAACGCCAAGCAATCTCATACCTCCTGAGCGTCTCTACGAACATGGCACTCAGGTATACGAGGGGGATGAGGGGAGTCAGGCGTCAGGCGTCAGACTGATCTGAGAGATGGTGCCACTGGTGTCGACAGCATGGTAACTGTCCCGCACGTAAGACCTGCGGCATATTCCTACTGGAAGTCGACAGCATGTGCGTGCAATGCAGCGTGTGTTACACTCGGGGAGATGTTGTGACAATGTTGTACATCGCAGACCACCACATCCGATCTTCCAGATGAGCCGTTCTACAGCTGACTTTTGAGATAAATGACTAATTGCCCAATAGCAAGCTTTTGCAGGGGCGGTTCGTCCACCGTACCGTTTTCCGTCTCCACGGGCGTGTCGTCAATATTCCCCGCGACGTCTTAGAGCTGGTTAGACGACGAGTCTGGGAATCACTCACCTTCCAGGACACTGATGACATCCGTGAATGATCGATTCTTCCTACTCAGCATGAGTCGCGCATGTCTCAAAGCCTGACGATAAGCAATAAGAACGCCTCATTCACTCACTCCGTCGTCTTCCATGCAGACCCAAGCCAAGACGTAATCGGCGTTCCCTAATGCAGACCCTCCTGCTTCACTCTTTCGCAAGAACCATTCGGCTTCAGTGTCCTCGTCGACCTCTTCTACACCCTCCATGTCTGTCCGCTCCCTCGCAATGTCCGCCTCCACAGCTCTCAATCTGCTCTCTGCAGCTTCTCTCATCTCCAACAGGCGCTCAACTTTTTCGTACCCGCTCTCCACGAACTTGGCTATTAAGCGGATCCGCGGTGCCGAGTCGGATGCGAGGTTGGTAAAGAGAGAGACGAGTATGCCCAGTAGATGTTCCTCGTCCTCGAATTCTGAGGTCTCGGCTTGAAGTGCTCTTTTCCGTTTCGCGTCGCCCTGCAAGTGCCGATCAGATATGCTCCATGCTGTGCCTACCTTGCCCATGAAGGCCGAGAAGAAGGTCTTTAAGCCTAGAGACTCGACAAAGCGCTCGCAGTTACCCGCTCCATCCTCACTCTGCATGGCATAGTCCAGCACTTTGATGGCACGAGTGCGAGCCAGGAGTTTCTCTCTGAGGGTTAGCGAGCAGTCCCATATAGCACTTACTTCATCATGATAACCATCAATTCCACTCCCTCGGCTTCAAGGAATGCAGCTTTCATTTCCGGTTCAGCAAGAGCCGAGCATAGACAGTTGAAGAGATCCTCCATGAATTCGACTTCTTCTCCGCTGCTGGGGTCCTTCTTGCGGTATTGCTGCGCGTCAGCTCCACATATCCGGGGAGTCTCACCGAAACGAGCTTTAAGAGAGTCTCCATTCCATCCAGCTCTGCCAACTTCAATACTCCGTCTCGCCCCGTTTGCACCAAGATTGCTAGGATCTGGCTCGCGTACTGCTTGTTGCTGTCAAACTCTTTTTGACCGACTCGGGTCAAGAGCCACCGCATGAGATCAGTATCGCTGACCACTTGCTCGGCCAGCGGCGGCATGAAGGAGAAGAGGTTTTCAAAGACACTGAGGATCTTATACACGCCTTGAGAGTCGGCGTCTTCAGATTCGTTCAAGCGGGAGAGATTGGATATGAGTAGGGACAGGAGCGAGTTGTTGAGCTGGATATGAGCACGATCCGGACGGATGTCTCACCAATTCGTCGATGAACTCTGCCATGGCCATTGGGGTTCCTTCGGCTATCCCCGAGGTCTTACTAGACTCGCCCAGATCCTCTTCTCCGTCCAGATCATCGGCTCCGGCTCCGACATCCTCATCTGTGAGCTCCCGAATGACATCGACGACATCTATGGCAATATCGGTATTCTCGTGACTGAGCAAGTTGCACCAGAGGGCAACGGTGCCCTGCTTAACGAGTTCCGGGTAGAAGAGCGGAGGATTTTGAGTGAGAGGCAGGAACTGGTTCAAGGCAGAGTCGAGATCTGATTCTGATTCGATGAATCTGGGAGGTTAAGCACTCTTCCAGACTCATGGCCTACTTTGAAGGATCGTCGGGGAATTTCCCTCTTTGCTCTGCATTCTTCGCCACGGTCCTCTCGAATCGCAATAGCTGTCTCCGCAACGCCGGTAGTGTTAAAGCTGCCGTCTTGTCCTGTCAGAGTCGCCTCAGACACGAATCTCACCTCTGTGCCGTCGTCTCCAGCCTGATCAAAGATGTCAAGGATTTGCTACATCAGATCAGCTCGATCCAACGTTGTCGCCCACGTTCTGCTCCGAGTTGAGCCCTCCACCAAAGAACCTCCCCTCTTCGTCTGCCTCCCCATCGTCATGAGACGAATCGGCTACGTCGTCAGTCCCCATACTACCGCTCGACCAACCTTGGGCATAGTCCATCCTATCATCGTCCTCGTCCTCAACCGTTGCAGCTCTCCCTTTGCCTTTGCCATTCGTAGGAGGAACGGATTCGTCTTTAGACTCTTCTCCAACAGCCTTGTAGCGTTTCAGGAATTCTGAGGAGGCATCAGCATGTACAATAGAAGAGACACGGTACACACCTGGACTGGGAATATCTGTAAACTTGCGTTTTTGGCCTGCCGAGGCAGGCAGCGAGGGTAGTTTGAACAGTTTATCCACGTCCATCGTGACGAGAGCTCCCACAATTACCCCCCTCAAGCGGAAAGACTGACCTCGAGAAACTTGTCTGGCACCTTCTCGACGCGATGTAAAAGGTATGAAGACTACTGAATGGTCGCCAGAAAAGTTACCGGTCATTTTCCATTTCGGAATCTTCTGAAATGACGCTGGCAGCGTGGAAGTGATCTACAACATCATATACCCGCTGAAGTACTGCTGGGACCCGGATGGAAGCATCCTGACATGTTTCCTGTCCCTGATCACCTCCCAAAGCGAGGTGGAGCCCATCTCTCTTCAGAGGATCGTGGACTGCCCGACCCAACGCTAGACTTGTTGGATCCTCTCATCGACGAATGGGCGAGCTCACAGCCGTCTGGCTCGAAAACAGCTATCAGTCGCTCGAGCAAGATAAGAGAGGTCAGAACAAAGCTGACTGAAGCTATCCACCACAACAAGGCAAGTAGATGTCATGTGTGCGGCTCTGACTCGATCCAGACCAACGCTCATGAGCTCCTCCGAGCCAATTATCCCTCAATTTCATCTCATATCAGACTCGGTGAACAGGCCAAGATCGACTTTGGCAAGATTTCCAGGAGTGTTGATCAGCTGGAGAAGGATATTCATCCTGAGGATGCAGAGGTACGAGTTCCACGATCCATCATCCTGACGAAAGATCTCATTTCTCCCGCCTCTTTTGGCGAACCTGGACAGGCACTTTGCTGCTGTGCAGGCTCAAGCCGCGACACAGGCTCAGCTCAGGGCGCTAGAGTTGGCCAAGGAGGAGGTGGGCAAGCTTCATCGGTTAGAGGAAGCGGTATGGGCGGGCAGAGGGGCGGATGAATGGGTCATTAAGGAGTTGATCGCGGAGAAGCGAACGGAGGCCCTGGAGCTGGAGGGGACACGTCTGTATACGGAGATGACTGTGAGTCGTCTCGTTGAGAGCAGGACTGAGTCGCAGTCACGGTATTTTCTGCTCAGATCAATGGTCACGGAGCAGCTTTCAGACGGTCTAAAAGAAGCGATCTCTCTCGCAACATTTCCTGATGGTCGCAGAACCCTGCGAGTTCAAGGCAGAGCGACGCTCCCGCAGCCTAAACGTGAGTTTCGTAAAGCTCTCCGCTGATGCTCAGTGACTCGGCCCGAGATACACCCGCAAAAGTCTTCAAAACCCCCTCCTTACTCTTTAGCCCATGTATACAATGCCCTGGCGTCGTTCCAATCTCTCGACTCGATACTCCAAAACCTTCAGACAAGGCTTCTCCGAGAGATCGTTGCACCTGTCGCCAGCAGACCACTACATATGGAGGTCTCCGGTTCGGATCCTGTGGCATCTGTTACTCTACAATCGGCCCAATCGCTCGCCACGCCAAAGGAGCGGATCGACTCTGTGGCCTCTATCCTCTCTTTCATCACCGATCACGTTCTCCCCTCTTCTGATCGTACAGAGGCCGTCAGGATTTCATTTCTCGCCGGTGTCCAGCAAGAGAGCATGCGCTTGATCGTTCAGCACATTCTCCTACCCTCCATGCCGTCAGCCTTGTCGGCCATCCCCTCCTGGCTGGAAACGGTCAACCATGCCGTCGAAGTGGAGTCTCAAAACGTTTCATCGGGCAGAATTATCGCGCCATTCTTCACGTCCGAGGCGGGTCGAGCTTGGGCGACTCAGAGGAGGAAAAGGGTCGCTGAAGATGTGCGCAAGCTCATCGACGGAGGCTGGGGAGGCTGGGAAGCGGTGACTGAACAGAGGGACAAGGAGGTTTTAACGCTGATTGAAGTGGAAGTGAGCGACGGCGAGGACGTGGGGACGGAGGTCAAGGGGGAGGAGCCCGACGAATTTGGCTGGGGATTCGACGATCAAGCTGATGACAAATCTGACGCTGAGGGTGTCGATGACGGATGGGGCTTTGACGAGTCGGAGAATGCTGATGCGGGACCGTCCAAATCCGCGCCCTCATTGGATTCGTCCAAGCAGGAAGGCGATACAGGTGACGGATGGGACTTTGACCTGTCCACGCCGCAGGCCGAATTACCACCAGCCCCACCCCCTGTCGCCAAACCAGTCAGAGAGGCGAAGAGACTCGGCAAAAAGGTGGCGAAAGTCGCTAATGAAGCCGGAGATGACCCTTGGGCGTCGGAGGGCGAGAAGGAGCCGGAGGAGGCAGCTGTGCCGCCCGCTGAGACGTCCACCGCGGACGACTGGGCATGGGGTGATGGCGAGCAGCCAACAAAAACGCGCACGAAAAAGAAGCGAAAGCTACTCAAGGAGGAACGGCAGACCATCAAGGAAACATTTCTGATAAGCCGGGCGTGTGAAAAGATTGTCGACATGGCGGATAGAGCACTCATGGAGGCTGTGGATCTAGAGTCGAAAGAGTGAGTCGACGGTCGAGATCAAACTGACCGCAGTCTTCTATCACCATCCTTCCGGGGCTCACACACGCTTCTGCTCGCCGCTGCGTCGGATGTTTTCGACGTCTATCGATCGCTATTGCCGACCCACTTTGTCTCTCAAGTCCGCGACGTGCCCACGTTAGCCATGCAGATGTACAATGACGCAGGACATCTGGCAAAACGCGTCGCCGCTCTGCAAGAGCAATACCCTATGTGGTCTGATGTGGAGGGGGATGCGAGCCCGGTGGAAATTGCAAAGAGACTGGATGCCTTGGCTGTGCATGCGTTTGAGAGTCAACTGGCGCTGCAAAAGCAGGCACTGATGGAGGAACTTGCGGAAGCAAGGCTTGACGACGTGGCGAGGGAGATTGGCATGAAGAATGCGGAGCGGTCGTTACAAGGGGTCGCGCATAAAATCGACACTTTGTCGAGGGTTTTGAAGGTGGGATGAGCCGTGAGCTCGCTGACAGGTCAGGTGGTGCTGCCCGAGACGACATATCTACTTGTTTTGGGCTATCTCTTGGATGAGACTATTCAAAAGATCTCTGGGGATATCTTGGCCCTGCAGGATATCACCGAAGTGGAGTCGACGAGGCTGAGCGAGTTGTTGCGGGTGATCTATCCCTTGGAAGAGATCTTTGTCCTGAATCCGGGTCAAGTGAGTGCGGGCCGACGTCGTAGCTCATCGTAGCCTTCCGCGATCGTGGCTCAAGTACCTCATTGGCTCAAATTCTGCTATATCTCCGAACTGCTCGTGAGTGAACTCCTCGTGCCACTTGCTCATGACAGAATGCCAACCTTGTCGATATATTGTACCTCTTTGACTCTGGCGCACTGATTGACTTTACAACCGACGAACTGGTCAGACTTATTCGAGCACTGTTTGCGGACTCTGAGAAGAGGGATCAGGCAATAGACAAGATTGAAAAGGGCTTGGGCGAGGCGGCAGAATGATACTGATGCATATTGTCAAATATGATACAGTAAGGTACAATATGCTACATGTGGTCCATCACCTCTTGCTGACC